CCGCGCAACTCAACTGGATAAGGCTGTCGTAATCATCTGAAATAAGCTCACGCTGGTCACTAGTTCAAATTACAACAGCTTCATATCTGCCGGCTCCTTCTCATCCGCATTTGTCGAAGGATCAGCGTCAGCCCAACTCACAGGATCTTCCGAGCCACAAGCGTCTCTAAACGCTTTTTCATCTCCCCTATCATCGGGGACGTTGCCCGTCGATCTCTGTTGACAAATAAAAGCCTCACTCTTATCAACCATCGGCCGTCAGCAAGTAAAATTATTGTACCCTTCATCCACCGCTGTTTGGCAGTCTACTAGTACTTTGCGATTTCCATGGTTATGGACGGGCCCTGGCCCCTGTGGGACAGCGGGTATATCCGCCAACCATTCACAGTGCTGACAGAATGAGGACATTCTCGCTTGATATGGAGTCCTCATCCGAACCATGAAGTCTCGGCGATAAGAACGGATAATCGGATTCTCAGTCTGATAGATCAGGATGAAGTCCCAGCTTCTGGAACAATGAGAGTGGCCCTCTTAGAGCCATGCGTTCGTCCCAAACGCACTGCTTAGATCTGATTTGTGGCTGCACCATGCGAGATCCGTGTGCTCAGACGACGTGAAGAAAATCTCCTCCTGCTCAGTTGTGGAGTTCTCCCCATCTGATCGTATGGGAGTCGATGCGCGAATGAGAAGCAAGATATCGGGCGACAAGACTCGATCGTCTGTCAATGGACCCTCCTGTGTTGGCTTCTCCAACTCTCGAATACCTGCGGTGTATGTTCGTCCTCAACTCCAAATCCCGTGCCTCGCCTCACCATCCTTGTGAGGCTCAAGGAGAGAAGATCAGCAGACACGAAAGTGGCGAGGCGTGCAGTACACTGGAAACAGGGTAAGCGAAACTCTCTTTAACTACATTAAAGTTCTCGAGATTTGTTGGACTTGATTACTGGCCAACGTGGGTGTCCTCAGGAGTCAGACGCCAGACTTAGACTTCATTGGCATTGCCACAAGGAAGGCTGAAAGGGGTCCACGGGCCAGCAATGATCGGTGACGGGGATTTTAGTTCGAATCCAAAATCCTTAGTCGTCCAAAGTTCTTCCGGGAGGTCCGAACTTGACCTGCGCAGCAGCGAGCAATATATACGCATATCGAATCTCAGCGGCTGAGTAGGAGTATATCTTTTATTTCTCATCATTATTGGCCGAAATCGGGGAAGCGAACATTAAGATTCGAGGTCAGAATCGGCTTTGGTATAGTGCCGACGCCACCCAATAACCGAGAAATAGACTATTCTGTTCTGTGTCACGCCATCTGAACTGCGATTGGCATCTGCGTATACGCATTTGAATTGGGACTACTTTGAGGTGGGGGATTTGTCAATCTGCAAATGACAGAACGGTATCAACAATGCTGTGTATCTCACAGTGGACGGCGGACGCCACAAGTTCCTGCTCTAGGACACCCCATAGGAGTCGATCCTTGAGCTTTGCGCTTGAAGCAGGAAGCAATATGCAGCGTTGGTATATGAGGGACTTGATAAGGGGGCTCGTAGTTAAGTCTGATGTATCATTGTATGTCACTCGAGTCGGAGTAAGGAGTAAGATTTTAGTAGACTTCAGGAGGATCACTGGGATGATGTGATATGGCCTCAGCTGAGAATGAAATTAATGAATTGACGTCTGGAGTGCGATCAATCCCAGCCCAGTGATCTGGTCATTGGTTCTGTCAGTGTGAGATTGAGAGCATTAGTGCCTGGAAATCAGATCCGCTATCTCCTTCGTATTCTGCTACTAACTTAGCACCCGCTGTCACTTTTCGCTTCAAACAATGCAGGATACACCGTCGAATCCTTCCAAGTCCATCCTTATGTTTGCTATTCTAGACTGAGCCAGGAACTCGTCTTGCCTTGCCTCATCTCATCTTATCGCATTGTCAGCAATATCACGCTCCTGCGTAATCCGCTAGATGAATGAGGACATTTGCCGCGCTCACCTGCCCTCGCAACAAGCACTATCCTACAAGCCGGATTCTTCGCCCATAACGGCTAGTAAAGGAATGATCGAGACTACGGGGCGATTGTATTTGCGACAAGCGGAAGAGAGGTGAGTCACTTCCAAGCTCTAGCTACCTTGTTGTTTGTCCAATCGCCTCCGGATAAAGTCAATAGTTTTCTTGGACCTCTGTACCTGATACCTCCCTATCCCGCCAGTATCCTCGGTCGCCAAACATGAAAGGAGGCTCCTGTTGCGCCCGCTCGATGCCATCTTTTCCGTCACCTCCCTGGCGTCTCATCCGACGTGCTGATTCGGCTTGAGGGCGCCATTGGCTTCTTCGTGTTATCGGTACCCCGCATTTACGGAGTAGCTGCGACAGAATGGAGACATCGTTGTCTTGGTATTTGACGGATTCTTAGGTACGTCGCTAATGCGTGCCGCATCCCCCGGAAAACGCCCCAATTTCTGTTTTCCGGCCGGGGAGCTTCACGAGCGGCGATGGCATTAGTGCTCACTTAGCACTAGATGACTCGCAGAGTCGCAGCAGCCTTGTTGGTCCACTTCAGACCTAATCGAGCAGTTATCGCCCATCTACCTACTCCGTTGGTAGGGCAATCCAATGAGAGCAGACTGCAGCAGATCGCGCATCAGACCATGGACAAGAACCAGTTACTTTTTAAGCAACCAGAGATGACGTTCAGAGTCGCAGTGGTTATGACAGAATCCCTCCATCATTTCAGATTAGTCTCTTTGGTTGGTTTCAGGGTACCTTGCGGGATGCGCTAGGTATTCCTACAACTAGGAAAAGGGTGAGCAAGCAGGGGTATTTCAGTCCGATTCAATCAGTGCGCCGCTTGGTGGTAGCTGCGTCAAAGGCTTGGGTGTCGGAATCGCCCCCGTCAATTAGTTAAGGATTCTAAATCTGGCCGACACCTGGCCAGAAAAGCCAATCTGCGACTGCGAATACAAACTCAAATGTTGGGACTAAGAACTTTGGGAGATGCAGGCCGTTTGCCGGAGTTGGGCAACGGTCTGCATTTACCCACTTGGGCTTCCTGGTAACGGGCGAGTGCAGAATAATCAATTACTTTACGCCGGTTATGCGAATAGCTATCCCCGTGTTAATGGTGCTCAATTATCGGTGAGTCGAGATTTCACTACTGAGAGCACATGAAGGCGCAGCTTCTAGGTGATCGAGTTTAGCCCGCGCGCTCTAGGCAACAATGAGATACATCCTTTGTCTGAACTAGCAGGGTTTGTCCCTTGCATGTCTCACTCGGTATCTGCCCTCCCGCACATTTACATCAACTGAAACTCGGCGGTCTAGTCTAGAGGGTTACACCGGAGGACTAATCAGGTCGAAGTAGCCATATCTGTTCTTTGTCTCGGGATTTCCGGGCCGTCATTAATCTGGCCGTCACTTGAACAGCCGTCTTTGACTCGGACTGGCCGCTCGTCGAGCCGTTCTAGTTCTACTATCGTTCAGCCTAGATCATTATCCTAGCTCGAAGCGACCAAGGTAAGCCCCCTTTTATTCGGATATGCGACCACGATGCGGTGGTCTCGGCCTCAAATCAGATCCACCACGTCCTCGGGCTTCAACGGCAACAAAGAAACGGCAACTCCTCCTTTCAAAAATCTGTGTACATGTTGGTATTCAGAGCTTGAGACCGAGCGCACCTTTATTGAATGCTTATAGGCCATGGGATAGTTAAGGGTCGGTCCGCTGTGGATCATGTACCCACGCCTTCTCTCTTTGCTCATTATTAATCTTTATGCCTTCAAAGCTCACGGACCAGGCCAGCGGAATTGGGCCGGAATTAGCATTCCGAATGCTCGAAACGGCGTGCATCCAGAATATGAATCGAGGATAACACGGCTCTTCGGGATCAACTCTGGATACGGTTTATTACAAACTTACCATACTCAGCCTTTTCCGTTTCGAATGCTTACCACCGCATAGTGCATTTGTTTCGGCCGCATTACCCCAGGTTTTATAATACTTTTTGCTATACGTAGCTATAGCTCAGCCTGCATCATATGCTTCCGGCCGTCTCCCGGCGTGAAACTCTGCGGAAGAGCCAGCTTCTAATCCGGTCGCGTCATTTGGCTTGCCCTTGCTGTTCCGATGCAGGGCCTCATGGAGGTGCGCCATATATCTTTACATGGGTTGCTGGCAGTCGGGCGTCTCTTGTAGGACCAATGAAGCCCAAGACTGTCTCCTCTTTGGACCGCGAAACGCCCAGATTCTATTTGATGAATGACGTGCGCTCCCCATTGGGAAGCATCCCCAGAGACTCAGCACTAGGCGGCAGTTCATATTGAACACTAGCATCCATCGAGCCAGGCAATCAGGCAAAGGAAGAGTATCTGGTGACCGTCACGACAGGGGAACTTCAAGTCCATTAATCTATTATGGTTTTGGGCACGAGGAACTCCGCGGACTCGCTTATCATCATCTATAGGCGAGCCCTAGTCGGCAGAAGTCTAGACAATTCGAATACGAGGTAATCAGCGGGCGTCCCCTCATAATTCCACCTCATCCCAGTGTATATCCTACCCCAGGTATCATTTGTATGGGGCGCGATCGACTAGGTAGGGTAGATAATAAAACCAGCCTCGGCAAGTCTGACATCACTGCCAGGGCCTATCGGACGACGTGAAGGCTGCGATAATGATATGGGGGCCCATCGAGATAGGAATCGATGTCCGATGCACTAATGAGTTTCTAGTATGGTTTTCAGAAAGGCGGGTGTGATATGATCCTTTGACAGCCCCAATTCACTAAGACCAGTTTATGACAAACAAGGGTGGTTTCCGGTCACCAAGTGCTCAAGATGAAGCGTCTGAAGGAGGACGGATGCCTTCTCGTCTTATGTACATAATTAGTCTGAGAGAGGCCGCTTACGTTATCCGACAAAACAATGCATGCACCAATCACCCGACGAGTTTCCAGCGCGGACGGTTGCCGCATCAAGAACTCGACCGGTCCAGTGCAATCGAAAAACTATGCCTACACACGGCCTGCCAGGCCTTGAGGACAAGGTCTATGTGCTCGTGACGGGTGCGAATAGGTACAGTGAACCCCCGCTCTGCAACTCCTCATCTCGTTATTTCCATTGGTGGTGCTCGTTCCTGACTGTTGCCCCTTGGGGTCTTTGCACGTCCACAGTGGCCTGGGATATTCAACGTGTTGCCGCCTTGCAGATGAATTTCTAGCCTCGTCCCAGAACAACCATCGTTCATTGACAGTCATCTTCACCACCCGGAGCACGAAAAAGGGCAACGACACACTCCGCAGCCTACAAAATCACCTCCGCACCTCCACCTCCGATCCCTCCGCCGCCGCTCGGGTCACATTCGTCCCTGAAAATGTCGACCTCTGCAACCTCCTCTCTGTCCGCGCGTTGTCCCGCCGCTTGAACAAAACCTTCCCCAAACTCGACGCGATTGTGCTCAATGCCGGTATAGGAGGATGGACAGGTCTCGATTGGCCTTCCGCCGTCTGGAACGTTTGCACCGACATCATTCATGCGACGACCTGGCCGAGCTACAAGGTTGCGTCGACTGGCCTTATAACAGAGAACCAGACATCGAACCTCGCAGAAAAAGAACCCCGCCTGGGCACGGTCTTCTGCGCCAATGTCTTCGGCCACTACATGCTCACGCACAATGTCATGCCTCTCCTACACCGATCCGGCTCTCCCAACGGGCCTGGTCGCGTCATATGGCTGTCCAGCACTGAAGCAACCATCAGGGTCTTTGATATCGAGGATATCCAGGGTCTCCGGTCTCGTGCTCCTTACGAGTCATCGAAGTGCCTGACAGATCTTCTATCCCTCACCTCCGACCTCCCAGGCACCGCTCCCTGGGTAAAGAGCTTCTACTCACCCGACTTCGACTCCGGCTCCGAAAATAACCAGCCCACCTCCTCAACCCCGCCAAACACATACCTCGGCCATCCCGGTATCTGTGCCACGGCCATCATTCCCCTCCCGACAATCCTCATATACTCCATGGTCGCCGCTTTCTGGCTAGCCCGCATGCTCGGCTCTCCCTGGCATACGCTTTCCACCTATCTCGGTGCTATCTCCCCCGTCTGGCTCGCCCTCTCCCCGCAATCTGAGCTCGACGCCGCCGAGGCACCTTACCGAGAACGCGGCGGCGGCCGCGTGAAATGGGGCTCTTCGGCGTCTCGGCTGGGTGTAGGCTCTTCGGCGTCCACGGAAGTTGATGGATGGGGCTATGGAGGCGTTGTCGGGTCGGCGGTTCTAGCTGAGGACAGGGCCAGGAGGCGGAAGCGCGGCGCGGTCGATCTTACGGCCGAGGAGAAGGAACGGTTTGAAGGGCTGGGAAGGGAGTGTTGGAGGCAGATGGAGGAGTTGAGGATCCTGTGGGATGACCTGCTTGATGAGGAGGAGGAGAGGAGTGGTGTGAAGGAGTAGGGCACTCTATTGAGAGTTTAGGGCTCCTATATTTCGGGCTTGCTTTGTCGTTATCTATTTCCTTTTTTCCTTTTAGCTCTTTACACAAGTTCTATTAGTCTCCGGCAGATCTTCATGTATACTACCACACCTACCATATAGGACGACAGGCACATACTAGCTAGCATCAAAGATAATAATAATGAATAATAGATGAATGAGTGCATCAGTAGACTTGCAAGAATTTGGACGTCTTGTTTCAATTTCCTTTCTCTTATTTTGTTATCTTCTTCTCTTTGGTTCCATATTTACATTCCTCATCCACGTACATCATTAAACAGTAAAGTAACGTGATAGTAGCCCAGTTTCTGAATTGAACCCGTAATCTCCGAGCCAGAACGGAGGCTAACCATCAATAAAAGAAAGGGGAGAACAGAAGAAGATGAAAGGTAATAAAGTGGGAAGGGGTAAGTGCACTCTGTGACGAGGACAAAAGACAGAAGACAAACCGGACAATCGGGAGAGAAGCAGATTATGTATGGATATGTGTATGGTATGTATAAATATAGAACCACGACTTGCAAAAAGTGAAGAGGAATGTATGAAAGTGGAAAGTATGAGGTGTCGAAGTCCAAAGACAAAGAAGATATCAAGAAATCGATTACTAAGGCTGTCAAGCACAGGATTAAAGAGCTCGATTTCAAGCAAGCATTGCTTCACCGTCAAGGTGAGTAGCAGTTTATGAATTGGGACCGGACGAATGGGAGAAGTTGAAGAGGGTTGGGCGTCAACCGATCAGTGGTATGTCTGAAATCGGCGGTGGTAAAGGCACAAATCGACTCCGGTCTATGCAACTGAGGTATTTCGAGAGAAGCGAGAAGGAGAGGGGAGGAAGGCGTGGGTTATGAATTGGCGTTTACATGATAATCGCAGGGACTGAGAATGGTTTAGTACTCGAAATGATATGACTTGCTGGTTGGGGTCAACTTACCATCAATGTTCTGCTTGATGCTCTTGTGTGGCAGGATGGAGCCGCCGTTGACATAGATCTCGTCACCAATCGTCACATCGTCACCGAGAACGGTCACATTCTCCAGACGGGCCCATCGGCCGACGGAGCTGTTCCATCCAACGATGGTTGACTTGATCCAAGCATGGTCCTTGACCTTGCTGTTCTCCATGAGAACGCAGCGTTGCAGACGGACACCGTCGCCAATCACGACGTTCGGGCCGATAACCACATTGGGGCCAATGCGGCAGTTCTTTCCAATCTTCGCGCTAGGGTCGACCATGACGTTCCCACCGTACACATAGGGCTCCGAACTGGGGGCGAGTAGCTTCGAGTTGCGCTTTGTAAGGGATGTGAGGTATAGGCAGGTTCCGGTAAGGAAATCCTTGGGTTGACCAACGTCCATCCAGAAGCCCTCCAGGTCAAATGAGTGAAGCTGGCCGTCCCGGACGATGGCGGGGAAAGTCTCTTGCTCAATGGAGGTAGGGCGCAGCTCAATGCGCTTCAGAACGCTCGGGTTCAGGATGTACATTCCGGCGTTGATGCGGTTACCGACGAATTCGACGGGCTTCTCGACGAATCGGTCGATGCGCGTGGGGTGGTTGGGCTTGTGGACGACAACACCGTACTTTGAGGGCTCGTCCACCTTGGTGACGACAATAGTTCCTTCATCACCGTGGCGCTTGTGAAACTCGGCTAGTTGTTGAAAAGGGTAGTCACAAATGACATCGGAATTGAGGACGAAAAACGGAGAGTCGTCTTTGCCGAGAATGTCCTCTGCAAGTTTCAGAGGACCAGCGGTGCCGAGGGGTTCGGTCTCGACGGAGAATTCGATCTTGACATTGTACTGTTCTTCGTACTATTCCGCCGCAACATTGTAAGCATCTGCAAGGTTTCACATAATAAGCGGGGCTGCATACCTTCTTCAGGGCAGAAACCATAACATCTGGGCGGTAGTTGACAGCTAGAACTATGTCCGTCACACCAGCAGCAGCCAAGCTCTCAACTTGGTGCAGGATCATAGGGCGGTTACCAAACTCTACCAGGGGCTTGGGAAGTGTAAGGGTCTACCAAACAGAAATGATGTTAGCTTCCTGATTTATCAAGGACTGGAGCGTCGAAACGATCGGAGAGGGGTTCTGCTCACAAGAGGCCGCAGGCGGGTGCCAAAACCACCGACAAGAATGAGAGCTGGTAACAAAGTCAGAATAAGCTCTCCCTCGGTAGCAATTGACGGAGGTACGTACCCTTCATTATTGCGGTAGACTGGGATTAATTCAAGAATCTATTGGTCTAAGAACGAGCGACGGAGACGGAGCTGCGATGCGGGCGGGATTCAACGAGAGGAGGTCCGCAGGGAGGATTGGAAACGAGGCGGATGACAACCGTCGGTAGGAGTATTCGTCAATTATTGAAGTGATATGCCGCTGTGAAATTCCAGTATGAAACCCAAGAGACAAGATCGATCCCAGGGAGGGAGAGAGTATAAAACGCCAGGAGAACACGTTGAGCTTGAACTAAAAGAGGAAGAAACTGGGTAATGTACGATACCACCGTGGATCAAGCCCGGGACTAGCCTGCTGCTTGCGGCCGCCACAGGGGCAGGACTCGCAAGCATTATTGGCCGGATAGATTACCAGTACCAGTGCAGTACGATCAGGCGCAGTGTTTCCGATCAGGTGGCCTTCGTGGGGCTTAAAACCCCTGGATTTCGGTCATTGACCAGTCCCCTTTGCACAGTGCTCTACTTTTTTATTGACAGCATTGACAGGACTGACGGTCTGACGGTCTGACAGCCTGACAGCCTGGCACGCATTGCCTCCAAGCACTCCATAATTAGTGGTGCAATTTAGAGGACCTGCTATGTACATCCACCCGAACCGAGTACAGCTACAGCTCGTGACCCTCGGCGGGTGTCATGCAACTCCGGGACAAAGAAAATCAGTCGCATATGATTTCAGGGGCCCGGGGGATATGTTACAGAACTGATCAAGTGAGCGTTGAAAACGCCAGCATCAAACAGACTATTAACTGCAATTCCATCACAGCATTGCCCAGGCCCCTACTCCCGAGGTGACAGTAACATCACTATAGTATAACCCAACCATTGCTTCCCAATCATGTTCGGGAACCGAATACCCCAGATTCCATAACCAAGAGCATCAAACTGCCGTTTCTAATTATAACATTCCGTCCTGAGAATCAGGAGGCAAAGTCGCAATCCTTCGACGTTTCCTGTTACTACCGCCTGCTGCTTCCGGGACGAATCGTCTGATCCACTCGTGTACCTTGCGCACCTTCACCAACGGCAGATCATCGTCCTTGGCAACATGGTTAAGAATGTCCCGCAATTTGTAAATCCCGCCTGTGTCAGTTGCGTCAACTTGTTGGCGATGCAGCAGGTCGATTTTGGTGAGTCCTTTCCGCAAGCTCTGCCCATACACCCGGTCCCGGAAGCAGCCCAGTCCCACCGTGCGTAGCAGAACAATATCTCGTGGTCGTAGTTGCATCAACGACGCTCGTAGCTCTTCCCCAGCCCCATCGCCGCATCCGCGAGCAGTGACCACCTTGTTGTCCGACGGAGGGAGCCAAAAAGTAACCGCAAACCCCGTTCTCGTCTCATCTCCTACCACCACTTCAACCAGATCTTGCTCTCTTTTCCACTGTCTCGTCACAATACGGCGAGGAGGCCGGATATCTATGATGGCAACGATGAGGTTGATCGTCATAGTTTGTGGTACAATAGAGTTCAAATACACTGTATTAGGTATATCTTGCAGATTCGTGACGCTGCCCTGAATGTATGGCCGCACAGCTGAGGTTTCTCTCTCATCATTTGTCGCAATGGAGGTATCTATGCTTGCAGTCCATTGACCACTGTCCATGGTGGAATCACCCAATAGTGTGCCAGGTGCAGATATCTCTGATGTCTCGTGGACTGTGAAGGAATGGTCGTAGAATTGAGACAATTCCGAGTTCTCTTGTTCTATTGCTTGTAAGCCAATGGGCATTGCGAGGTCATAAATTGTGAAGAACTGAGTTCCTCCTGTTGTCTCCAACGGGGTTCTGCTTTGAGGCGTTTCTGGAACCAGACATGCCGGTAGCAGCCTCCATTTAATTGGATTGGTGGCTGGAAACATTCGGGATGTCCCATGGCGTATTTTGGAGGTTTGAAAGGGCGGCACAGATTCACTGAGCAAGTCGCTTTCTTCCCACCGTAAACTCGAGAATGTGGGTGCGCCCAAGAGGAAAATAGCCCTTGGGGACATTGTCGTTCTGACTTAAAGCAAAGTGCAGCCATTAACTTCGTCGTCAGATTTCCTGCCCCATTCGCCTGTAGAATGACTTGGAGATATATGATTGACTCGGCGAGCAGAGATAAGCTTAGCTACCACCTAGCAATGAGAGTGGCAAACAGATATATATATAGGAACAGGGAGCCTCAGGAGGTGACTAGAGTAAGTCACCTGTCTCTGAATCAAAACTCAGACGAGTCAATAACTTGCAACCTGTCATGTCGTATGTAGCTCGAGGACGCAACTTGGTTCCGGCAATATGCCAAGTTGTAAGGGGATCCAAATCTCCCAAGACGAAGGACAACTGAAACTAGAGCACAGCAAGCAGCCAGTCAATCTGTAGGTATATCAAGAAGTTTGTTTTCCTTGTGATTTGGAAGAGAACGAGTCTACCTTAGGTTGCTCCGAAAATAGCGGAGTTTAGATACCTATGGAAGGAACCGTATCAGCACGTGACCTAGTAAGAAGTACGGCGAGGTATTCAGGCCAAAGTGGCCAGACCCAACAATTGGCTTTCGCCGCCGCCGCCTCCTACTTAGAAGCAGTCATCATCAAGTTCCCTCGTTTCATCCTGCCATTTGTGTGCGATCGGGGGAAAGTGTATGCGACATTTGAGCAATATCTCTTATTCTTAATTCCTACCTAGTGTCTCTCAACTCCCCCTTATCCCCCGGGGCTTTCTCTTGTGGTCTCGCGGCCAAGCGCCGCTTACTTACTCCGAATATGGCCTTCCAACTTCCGATTCTTAAGCCGGTAAGGGCAGTTGCATATACGTGCAAGAGTTATACATCTAATAGATTGCGTGTATTTTAGAATACATTGGCATTCGGATCCAGGTCATCGATGTCGAAGGTGCTAAATACTCACTTGTATCGCATCGGCCAATTCTCCGCGACCCCGGGTATCGCACTCCAAGATTCACGACGCCTACATACGGAGGTTAGTTCATCTACCTTGTCAGGCAGATTCAATGTTATGTTACGTTCTGGCCATGTGTTGATATTCTGTCAGTGCTCTGCGCGCGTTTCGTCGCCTGTTGAGGCTGTCGCCACTGGAGCCTACAACCCACCTTTACATCAATTATCACGGACCTTGTTCCACAGTAAGCGCATGTTCTCCCTTTAAATGGATACATCTGACGTGAATGGTGCTTTCAGACAATTCCATAGTCACGTCGTCCATTACTGCTCGTCATTGCCACGTACTGTCTGCCAGAAAATACTCGACACTCGCTCCGCCGCTAAATCGCGCTCGTCCTGCTCTCGCGGCCGACTACCTACGACACCAACGGTTTCTTTTTGGAGGGCCATCTCATGGATTGCTAGCGCAAAAGGAAAAAACCGCGAATAACAACCCAAACAGCGTCAGCGCTCAAAATGCATTTTACCAGGCCCTTCTCCGAGCCAACATGCCTGCCATTGTGATCGAGCGGTACAGAAGCGGCCATTTCTCGAGTAACGCACTCTCGGAGCAAATTTATCTGAAAGCCTTGGAGCGTGTTGGTGGAGGTGTTGTGTCGGCGTCGGCATCGAACCTCAACCAAGGTCTCCGCTCTGATCAAATCCAAGCCGTCGGACAAGCTATCGCAGCCCAGAACCAGGGTGGACAAATTGGGATTTCCTCTACTAAGCAGTCAGGGACTGGTGCCAAAGATGCTCCTCTGTACGTTGTTGTCGAGGAATCTCTGGGAAGCACCGTGTTTCGTTGGGTCAAGTTCATTGTTTACTTCTGTGCCTTCGCCTACACGTCGATGATTGTACTTTCAATTGTTCTCGAAACCACAGGCGTCATGAAGAATATCAAAGGTCCCCACAGCAATGAAGCGCAGCCAGAGCACCAAACCGTCCGGTTCAGCGATGTTCATGGATGTGACGAGGCAAAGGATGAGCTCCAGGAACTAGTCGAATTTCTGCTGAATCCGGATCGATTCTCTTCTCTTGGTGGAAAACTCCCTAAGGGAGTTCTGCTTGTTGGGCCTCCAGGTACCGGAAAGACCTTGCTCGCTCGCGCTGTTGCAGGCGAAGCTGGTGTTCCTTTCTTCTACATGTCTGGCTCTGAGTTCGATGAGGTATACGTAGGCGTCGGTGCTAAGCGTGTCCGCGAACTCTTCAGTCAGGCCCGGAATAAGTCCCCCGCGATCATCTTCATTGACGAACTTGATGCCATTGGCGCGAAGAGAAACGAGCGGGACGCTGCCTACGTGAAACAGACTCTGAACCAGTTACTGACCGAACTTGACGGATTCTCGCAATCTACCGGTGTCATTATCTTGGCCGCTACCAATTATCCTGAACTGCTTGACAAAGCCTTGACTCGTCCTGGTCGCTTCGACCGGAAAGTTGTTGTCGACCTTCCTGATGTTCGAGGACGAATGGACATCCTGAAGCATCACATGAAGAACGTTCAAATTGGTACCGATGTTGATGTGGCAGTGATTGCACGTGGCACAAGTGGCTTCTCTGGCGCTGATCTGGAAAACTTGGTTAACCAGGCCGCCATCTTTGCCAGCAGGAACAAGCAAAACAAAGTTACGCCCAAGGATTTTGACTATGCCAAGGACAAGATCATCATGGGTGCAGAGGCTCGCAGCAGGATTATCCAGGACAAAGACAAGCTTCTGACTGCCTACCACGAGGCTGGACATGCGCTGGTTGCCTATTTCTCGCCGTCTTCTACGCCTCTGTACAAAATCACAATCATGCCTCGAGGAATGACTCTTGGATCAACCCACTTCTTGCCGGAAATGGATATGGTCTCAAGGAATTACGTCCAGTACTTGAGCGACATTGACATCTCTATGGGCGGTAGGGTGGCAGAAGAGCTGATCTTTGGGGAAGACCAGGTCACCAGCGGTATCTTAGCGGTAAGTTCGCAATCAGTATATCAAAGCTTTTGAGTGGATACTAATTCTCCGCAGGACCTCGAGAGTGCCACGCGAACCGCCTTTATGCTTGTCACGCGTTTTGGATACTCTAAGAAACTTGGAAACGTTGACCTCTACGGCAATTATGACAGCTTGTCTTCTGAAACGAAGCAGGAAATTGAGGCTGAGGTTCGACGGCTGGTTGAGGAAGCTCGCCTGCGCGCCACTAACATCTTGACGGAGAAGAGACACGAACTAGAGTTGCTAACCAAGGCGCTGATTAAGTACGAGACACTGACCAAGGAGGAAATGGAGAAGGTCTTGAGGGGTGAGAATCTCGATAGGCTTGTCGTGCCGGCCGATGCGCCTATGAAACTGCCTGAACCCATCCAGCCAACGAACCTTACCCCGTCCCAGGGTGTTCAAGAGCCGGCATCACAAGTGTCTGCAGAATAGTCGTTCTGTCGTTTTATATCTCTTAGATCCACTTTTCCTTGCTGTCTTATATTTTTGTCTGTTCAATAGGGATTCGAAACAACTCAAGCTCATACATAGCATGTTGATAGGGTGAAAGCGGGCATTTCTCGGCCACTGTACTGTATAACTAGCATACATATGAAAAATCCTGCATACACCAACGCATACCTCTAGCCCTGGCAAGCTGGAGGGGAGGTCTCAAGTACACCTATATCCAGAAAGGGAAGCCGGAGAAGGCACTGGAGGACCATGTGACAGACAGACCAAGCGACTACCCCAAACTCCGGATTCCGGGCAATTTGATAGACTTAATATAGTAGTCGGGACAACTCAATGCCGACAACCATACCTAGAGCGCCAAGCCGAGCCCAGAGGATTGGGTTATCTGGAGCAGAATGGCGAGAGCCGAGGGGAGGCAATCTGGATCAAGGGACAAAATTTCCATAATTTCTCCGTGAATCAGAGGACGGGCAGGGGCTGGGGGAGGAACGGGGGGTCTAGATTTGCAGCAGGGGGAAATTTAGAGACTGTCAGGTGCACAGACGATCAGGACCCAACATCGATAGTCTACGGTCCGTACAGACCAGGTGACCGGGAAAAAGGGACGGGGCCCGGCAGGGGTTCCCTTGAAGGGTTCGACAGTGCTGGGCTTCTGGAAAGCCGATGATTGACTGATGGGCGGCGATAGTCTTCTGCAGCGAAAAATGAACGAACAGTCGAACAGTCATGTGAGGGCGCGTCGCGAGGGCCGAGACCAATTCAGCGTGTTCGACTCAGGAAGCGGAAGGACAGCCGGGGAGGGCGCGGGAGCTCCAGCCTCCAGGGGCCTGGCTAACCTTCCGCATGTGGGCAGTATATAGACGACAAGCATTCGGATTCGTAACTGCAGGCCAGGGGAAGGATGTCTGGAGGCAGCGCAGAAGGTCGTCTGATCAGAAAAAAAGAGGGAAAAGAAGAGCCTGGAACTGAAGCGCAAATAATAACGGAGGGATCGCAGTCATGCTTCCCCACGCCCCCACCTTCTCCGTCATAGTCATCCTGGAATCCTTGATAACTGTTAAATCCAGATTATTCCACAGTCGCGGGAGTCTCAAGCAGGTACGTTGATAGAACGCTTGGAGACGATCCCTGACTGTCTGGAACTGGGAGCGTGCCCACTGCCTGCCTACTAAAGAGGCCTCTTCCCCCTCCGGTGCCCCTCCTCGAGTCTCTCCAGCCGGTTTCCTCAGCCTTCCCTCTCGATGATCTCAGTTGTTGTCAGTAAGAACAGTAATACTTAATCATCCCCCGGTTTATTCTCTTCTGCCTTCTTGCTGTCTGTTGTCATTGATTAATCAATTGATCCCCCGTCGCCACTTTCCCTCTCCCAATTACTCAGAGCGTCGTTGAACCAGGTTGCGGGCTCCCCACAGTCTCCGAGTCGTCTCTGTCTACGTCACCATCCGGATTGCGTTCATCTTGGCCTCTTCTCGTCCTCTCTCGCCCTCTCTCTTTTTCACATCCACTGTACCCTATTTGTTCCCTCTCCTCTCCCCTCCTCGTTTACTCCAGACCGTAGCTCAATTCCTGACTCGCCCTACTCTCCGCTCTGCTGTAACAACTGTTGACCCGGGGACGTAATCGTTCTATCACCTATCTGTCTTTGTCGCCTATTCCACCTCTGCCCCTCTTCCTCGTCGATTCCTCGACGAACACCGCACAGTCACCATGCGCAAGAACCCCTTTGACATGTCCGAGCTCGACGCCGAGATCGATGCCAATGAAGAGCAGCACCACCAAGTTCGCATCCATGCCCGTCAGTCAATCGACGGTGACCGGTCCTTGCTTATGGACGAGGATCGACGGCAAGATGATTTGAAGGAACGTTTCATTGGTGCCATTGATCAGGGTACTACGAGTACGCGATTCATCATCTTTGACTGCGTGGGAAACCCCATTGCCAAATACCAGGCGGAATACCGTCAACTTCACGAGCAATCAGGGTGAGATTTCCACGGTTCCGAGGGGCTCGCTTTTTCTTCTTGCTAACGTATCTATCCTCGACTTAGATGGCACGAACAAGATCCATATGAGATGGTGGACTCCGTCTACACCTGCATTGAAGAGGCCATGAAAACATTCCTCGCCCTCGGCCACTCCAAGTCAGACATTGAAGCAATTGGTCTCACCAGCCAACGTGAAACAGTCCTCTGCTGGGATTGGGAAACTGGTGAGCCTCTGTGTCCCTCGATTGCTTGGCCCGATACCCGAACAAAGGCCCTTGTTCGAGAATTGAAAGCGCAAAAGGGTGCCGACGAGCTGAAGGACATTTGCGGTCTGCCGCTATCCACATATCCTGCGTCTGTCTCACTAGTGTGGTTACTCCGTCATAATGAGGTCGTCAAACAAGCGTACGATGAAGGACGCCTCGCTTTCGGTACTGTTGACTCATGGCTCATCTACAACCTGAACGGTGGCTTGGAGGGAAAGCACCATGTAACGGATGTTACAAATGCCTCAAGAACCATGTTGATGAACCTCGAAACGCTTGATTACGACAAGCGACTATTGGACTTCTTCGAACTGGATCCTAAGAAGATCCGCCTGCCTAAGATTCTCCCATCCTCTGACCCGGATGGTTTCGGTTACGTCAGATCAGGTCCTTTAGAGGGCGTCCCGATCACTAGTGACCTTGGAGACCAATCTGCAGCGCTTGTTGGCCACTGTGCGTTCACGCCGGGTACAGCGAAGAACACCTACGGTACAGGATGTTTCCTCCTGTACAATGTTGGAGAGAAGCCTGTGATCTCGAAGCACGGCCTGCTTGGCACGGTCGGTTTCCAGCTAGGAAAGAACCGGAAGCCGGTGTATGCCCTTGAGGGAAGTGTAGCTGTTGCGGGAAGTGGTGTCTCATTCCTCATGAACAACATGGGCTTTTTCCGAGACTCGCGTAAAGTGAGTGACCTGGCGGCAATGGTTCCAGACAACGGAGGATGCATCTTCGTCACAGCCTTCAGTGGCCTCTTCGCGCCATACTGGATCGATGACGCTAAGGGAACAATTTGTGAGTATATCCCTCCATCTAGCTCCGGCTGTGGCTGATCAATTCAGTCGGAATCACACAACATACACAACGTGGTCACATCGCGCGTGCCACCATGGAAGCCGCCTGCTTCCAGACCAAGGCCATCCTCGACGCCATGGAGATGGACAGTGGTCATGCACTTTCCGAGCTCGCCGTTGACGGAGGAATGAGTAATTCCGATATCTGCATGCAGGTGAGTTCCAACCCTAACCCTATCAACAGTTCTTGAAGGAAGTAAAAACTAACTTTCCCCCCCTTCAGACTCAAGCAGATATAATCCAAATCCCCGTTGAACGACCAGCCATGCACGAGACGACAGCGCTCGGCGCTGCCATTGCCGCCGGTTTCGCCATTGACATCTGGAAGGAATTCGACGAGCTCAAGAACATGAACCGCGCGAACCGGACCTCCTTCCAACCTGCCATCTCCCCCGAACAAAGCAAGAAGATGTACAAGAAGTGGACGAAAGCCGTCGAGATGTCTCGCGGCTGGGTGGATACTTCCGAATTGGGAGGCGAGGATGACTAGACCATTCGTCCCTCGCTCTCTTCCCCATTCGTCTTTATCATGAATTCATGATATCATCCATCGAGAGAAGACATTCTTCCCTACTCGCCCGCTCGTCATCTTTCCCTCCCGGGCTTGCTCACCTTCAACCAGCAACTTCAAGAACCGGGTCGAGTCGATATGACACACCACCTTCCGCTTCTCTGTACATTTCGCATGATTCTTACGATTGAGCGTTGTTTCCTTTTCTTTCTTTTTATTCTTAACTTTTCTCTTTACTGTTTTACTCGGTGCTGTTAGACCATGGGTTTCCGGGGGTTAGGATACCTGCTTTTTTGACTTGACTGGACCTGACACTTTCCAGGGTAGATTTGGATATTTTCTTGGTCTCCATCTCTCCGTGATGATTGACACATTATATAAGTACATAAGGGATACAAATATAAAATCATAATTCTACAGCCTCTCCGCTATCGTAAACGGTCAATACAGTCGAGCTTGTAAACTGCTCTCCATTGGAGGTCCGGATTATAATATTATAATAGGGGAGGAAGGCTGGGTATCTCTATATACAGCAAAAAACAAAGCTACTCGAGCAAATACACTGTAGACCATAATAGTCTAGAAATTGGCATCCGAGAACGGAACAAACCCTACCTCCCCCCACCGAGGACATACGGCAATCCCGAAACGCTCTCCGTCCGCGCATCAGCCAGCCGGATCACGCTCCCGCCACTCGCACTGCCACCCCCGGAAGCAGAGTCCGAGCCCGACCGGGATGCCGAGCTTAAACTCACTCCCGACGCCGAGCCATTTGACCGGGCCGGCCGCAGCGAATGCGTGGAAGGGGTTCTGGCGGGCGGCCAGTACTGCATCATACTTTCACCCCCAGCTCCGTCTCCGCCGAATTCGATTCGGCTGTGGCGTCGACTTGGTGAGGGCCTGGAGTTTGGACCAGTGCCCTCGACCTGGAGACTGCCGCTCGCATAGTTGTAGGTATAGTCGTACCCGTACGCCGGGCGAGAACGGGGCCGTGGCCGGCGACGGGGCGAGTCGAGACGATGAATGTTCACGGAACCAAGTGTATCTGTGTCCGTCTCGCCCTCCTCGTCTGACGGGCCGATGACTGATTCGGACCGTGAGCCAAAGAGAGAGTGTGTATCCGCTATTGAACGGCCTAGATCGCCGTCCTCACCTTCCATGTCCATAAGAAGCCGATGCTGCTCGTGATCGAACCTCATTCCCCGCAGTACATCCGCAAAAACACCCATCAATGTACGGAACTCATCCTCGTATAGATCCTTGCCCGAGAAACGGGCGCGCTCGTACAGCGACAGAAACTCTAGTCCTATTTCCGGCGGGTGCAGGATCGAAAGAGAGATTAGGTGGTTGATGTAGTTGCGCAGGGACATTGTACCGGAGCGGCGAAGGATAGCCACGATGCGGGTATCTGGAATTCGAAGGGTTTCTTGGTCTTCGTCTGCGTTGGGATGCGTCTGGTTCGGAGGAGCAAGCGTGAAGATCGGATCTGGGGGAGCGAGGGAAACGGCCTTGGCTTCGATGAGGTGCGGAAGTTCGCGGATCACGGTGCGGTAGCATAGACCCGGGGCAGGTGCGTCGCCCTCCGATGCCCCCTGGTCCGGTGCAGACGCAGATAAAGCTGATTCGGGCGTCGACCACCCAGGATGCTCGATAACTCCCCACGGCGGATTCGCAGGGTCGATATCGTAGTCGAACCCCCTGAGTAAACCCTCCCTTTCTTCGCCATCGCCAACCTCGCCAGCGCCAGCGCCAGCCTCCCCATTCCTCGCGCCGTTTGTACCGTGTAAACTCCTAGGTCTCGCACCCCTCGCAATCAGCGCACTCCTCCCCAGCCCCTCGACAACAAGCCTCCTCACGCTCTTCCCAACATCCTCTTTCTCAACGGGTATCCAGGCCTTCGGAATTCCACCTAGAACGCTGCGATTCGTGTAAATGCGCGTCGCGTAGATCAGGACCGCAAGCAGGAAGGTCACAATGTATCCACCCGTTATGATGAAGATGTTGGTCAGGCGGTGCGTGACGTAGCATTGGTAGATTGCATCGGCCGGCGTGAGAACAATTAGGCATAAGAGAATTATGGAAAGGAAGATGAAGACGGTGTAGTTTAGGAAGCGGGAGAGGGTGGTGCCCTTGCGGTTGCGGTTTGCTGGGATCGGGGTTGTTGGTGATCGTGATGGCGGCATTTCAGGCGTTTGATTTGGCTTCTATTCATCTGGAACTAAAGACTTGAAGTCGCATTGTGAGCCGCTATTTTCTTGCTGATGCGACGCTTTCGCGCCGTGCTCGTGGAGAGTTTTGGAAATGACGATGCGGACAAGACAAGCTGCGGAGAAAGACATCACGTGATCTATAGTTCATTTGTATATGATGATGTTCTATAATTAATAATGTCTACCGTCTATAACCTATCGCAATACAATGCAAATGCATCTAATCATCCTGAATAGCCTCCTCGTCCATCGCCGTAGGCTCATAGTGCTCCCCTCTAGCACGACGAATGACCCGCTCAATACCATCAAGACCCATCTTCAGCACATCCATCTTCGGCCCGTAACTCAAGCGGACAAAGTGGTGGCAAGGGCTGTCGAAAAGATCACGTCTCTTAGCCGGGTTCAGGTCGAAGAAGATACCCGGTACAACAATGACTTTCTCGCTGAGAAGGGCGTTGAAGAAGTTCAGACCGTCGGAGATGTTGGCCTCCTTGGGAAGCGGCGGGTCAAGCGAGGTCAGGTCGAGCCAAATGTAGAAGGTCGCTTGCGGGACGTCCTGGACGCGGAAACCGATCTCGTGCAGACGCTTGAGGACGAAATCGCGCTTCTCGCGGAAGTGACTTTGCAGGGCCTTCATCTCCTGGTGCACAAGAGACGGCTCGAGCATGGGGATGGCGGCTTCTTGGAAGGGCGCGTTGGCGCCACCGTCGAGGTAGGAGCCTGCGGAGCCGAGGGCGTCAATGAATTCCTTGGGACCAACGACCCAGGCGATACGCCAGCCTGGCAGGCGGAAACGCTTTGTGAGGCCGTCGATTAGGAGAACGTCTATTTCGTCAGTATTTCTCAACAATGGTCCTTGGAGCACCATACCATCCTTGTTTACGTCGATGACGTTTGCAGCACCGCTAATGGTTGTGCCGTCGCAGTCGGTGGTGTAGTTGTAACCACCATAAAACTCATCCAGGATGAGAGTCGCGCGGTCTCGACAGATGTCCTGGATGTTGGCCAGCTCCTCGCCGGAAATGAAGTGACCGGTAGGGTTTCGCGGGTTCGAAGTCAGGATAACCGACGTTCCACGAGCGATTTCCTCCGCAATCTTATCAGGGTGGATGTGGTAATGATCTTCCTGCGCGAGTGGCATCGGGATGGGAGCAATATTCTTGAACAAACTCAACATCTCCGAGTACGCAGAGTAATCGGGGATGGGGAACGAGAGGTATGAGTTGCCGAGAATGGCTGCAATTCGAATCAAACCCGCACGTCCACCGGGGACGATGCACACATTCTCCCATGTATACTGACTCTCTTTGCCCTGGCGGTAGTGTTCATTGTATAGGCGGGCGACAGCGGCGCGGAGGGGTTTGATACCGGCCGTCGGTCCGTATTCTCGAGCAGCGGAGCTGATGGGGATAGTTTCGGGACGGGGAAAGCTTCCTTCGATCTCATCGTCGGCTTCGGGGGCACCCTGGCCAAGATTGGCCCAGCCAGTAGGGTCCTCTGAGTAGCCGTGTTCGGAGGCACGTTCGGTACACCTAGTTTTGTCTCAGGGACGAGGATTGCAAACAGGGTTTGTTATACTAACCAGACGACACCAGTGGAGGCACGGGAGGCGTCAAGACCAGCATGAGGACGGTGACCTTCGTGGGCGGTTCGGAATTGACGATGGGTTTCGGATTGGAGTTCTGGCAATCGATATTAGTCTGGAGAAGAAGAGCAGATGGAGTATTTCTCCGGGAAAAGCAAAAGAAGCCAAGAAACGCACCGTTGTTTGACAGCTCCTTGCCCACCGAGAAGCGTCGGTTGGAAGGGCGCAGAATGCTCACGCGACGTCCGGAGAAGGACATGATGGGATTAACTAGTAGTAAAAAGTGATGATATTGTAAAAGTCTAACAGAAGATTAGGGGAGAAATGATGGGGAAGAACTTGGAAGAAGAAAGTGGATATCCAGAGAGGCGACAGCTTTTATATAAGGCGAATAGCACTTTCAGCAACCAAATCAGGACGACACAGGGCATCAACCTGTGTCTCAATTGTAATCGCGCATCGACTGCACCGCCCAAACATCTTTCTCGTTGGGCGACCAGCTGGAACAGAAAATGCCTCATTTTGCGACGCCAGGCTGTCTATCAGTCGAGTACCAAGCCTTTCCCAGATCTTGCCTCCAGGAACCTTGTCTGGACCTCTGGATCCTCCCGATCGGCTGGGTCTGTCTGCCAGTCTCGGAGAGTATCCGAACCTGCCAGGATGCCGATGCCGGTCTCTTCAGCTCTAATTTACAATCTGTCTCCATGTATGGATTATTATTGTATAGAGACTCTGTGCCACTGCCGACATCACTACCGTATTTTTAGACACCCACGTTTTTGCTTCTTCAAGCTGCGCCCAACGCCGAATCAGAGAGCACGCTGGCCCCCTGCAAAGTATAAATCAAATTTTCCCTCCACCGCCTCGTCGTCACTTCGACTAATAAGATAGCACTGCAACGTCACAAGTCTATGTGAGGTGGTATCTGACCTTTCCCATTCATTATTTGTAACTGAACCTCTTCTTATGCAATAAGCAAAGTCTAGTCCGTAGACAATCAACAAAAACACCGCAGTTTCAGCCCGCCGACAACAAGATCCAGCCCTAACAATGCGAGAACACTATACATCGCCTCATCTGGGAAAACCTGCGGGAAAACGTGCAGCGTTATACATACATCATGCAATCATAGTCCGTGGACCTGGAAATTCGCAAGCAAGGATAGATGGGAATAGATGAAACAAGATGGAACAAACATCATCATAGGTAGAATTCCCTCTTGGAGAGAAAATGTTCAGACATCGAAACCAAAAAAGTCCATCAGATGTTCATGAAAGGGGGTTTGTCTTCAAGCCTCCTGTCGTCTTCCGAATCATGTGAGAATTGAAGACGCAGCTTCGGGCGGTCTCGAGCCAATCCAGTTGGAACTAATGAGCGGGCGAAATACATCCAGGAGACAACAATAGGCTGCGTCTCTTCTGCCACTTCGGCTCCTCGAGGCACTTTCAGAAGAGAAATTCAGCGCTAGCTGAGATGAAGGGGGGCGGGAGGTATAATGGGGAGCAGGCGGCTCGGTCTAGTTCTCGACCGGTTGACACCAAAGTTGGATCTCACCCACTTGACCTCGTGCAAGGTCCTCGCGATTTTGCTCCTTCCACTCCATAAATGCAAGTTGGACGGCCTCATCACTATCGATCGTCACAAAGTCGCCGTCCTCGTCTTGGTAACGTAGTCGGACCGTTTTGCTGCCGATTGAGCGATTGGTAAATCTCGCGAGTTTGGCGTCAACGCGATCGGTGAGCGTACGGAACATGATGTTGCTGGAAATAACCAGTGTCACATAATTTTCGTCAAAGTTGACTTTGGCCTTCAATTGCGTCGGCATGAACGGCTCCTCCTCAGGTTCGTGGCTTAACGGAGATGTTGGCTGATCCGAAGGGGGTGCGCCCGGCTGCCCGTCAGAATATTGAGGCTCATGGAAGGCATGAGGGTGATTGGTTCGGATAGGAAGGTTGTGGTTTATTGGAGAGTTGTTTTGGCTCCGACTGACCGGCGCTTTCATGCTGGCCATATGAGCAGGAATTGGAGGGACGGGCACATTGTCAACCGTCTGCATGGTGTGAGCACCCATGTACCGACGCATTTCAGGATTGTGATGGTGGATATCCGGGCTGCTCGCAGACCGCATTCTCTGCGACGCGCTGTTCGCTGCTTGGCTACTAGCTGACATTGGAGGCAGAGAGGGACGTTGAGCACTCCGCCCATTGGGTGGTGCGCCATTAAAGTAGCCCGAGTTCGGACCATCCCTAGATGTTGCACGAGACAAAGCAGGAGCCGTGTATCGATTGTTGTCTTCCGCCCATGGGGTGACCGGGGTTAGTTGACGATTGTAGGGATACCCCGCTGATTGTGAGCTCGACCTGGCGGATTCCGTGGGCGAGAAATATGAGTTGCCGTTTCGTTCACCTGGCGACATACTCCCAACAGGGAACTGCGTGTGTACGGATAAAGTCGAGTCGGGCATTGCTGGGTAACGGCCAGGGCCCCGGTTAGTGGAAAGCGGAGGACCAGAGCCGCCGCTTCCACCTGTCGCAGATCGGGTCCGAAGACTTGTGCTTGAAGCATTGCGACTCATGGGAAACTCGGAGAAGAAGGCTGCTTCTTTCGTGGCCTGTTCTTCGGCATCATACTCCTGCTGGAAAGGGTTCGAGATGTTTAAAGATTTCATGTAGGTGAATTCGGAATCGGATGTACCAGTATTGCGCGCACTGCGTTGCTCCGCCTGTATTTCTCGCTGCGTGTTAATATCCTTGTACCATTTACGCATCATGTCCTCATTCGAATAGCGAATAACAAAGTTATCCACTACCCCAGGGTCTCCTTTCCAGAAGATCTGAATACGATAAGAGCCTAGCCCATATTAAGTCTTAGTGTCTTTCACAGTTCTGATAGGCTTCTGCATACCTGGTTTTTGTAGCCAGACGATATCGGTCACATTTGCCATGTAGATGCGACCTTTGAGCACGAGCCGTGGCTTGCCCTTAGCAGTACTCGGCTTATCTTTGCTGCCGCCGACCAATCTTGATTTCTGCTTGTTGGGGTTTATATCCTTGCAACAAAGCAGGATTCGCTCAAAAAGATAAATGTGGTACTGAATTGGAGACAAATTAGCACATGTTTTGGTAAACCCCATCTGTAGATATCTTCGAATGTAAATTGTGCGGAGGAAACTGCACTGACCTCTCTCTCTGAATCCTTGTTGTTGTCGTTCTTGATTACCGTAAAGGTACCAAAACGGAGTAGTTCGCCGAACGATTCAATCTTTAGGGCTTTCCAGTCATCAACACGTTCGTCCAATTCAAGAAATGCTGCCGCTAGTTGTTCCTTGTCAATGGCATCGTTGGCGGCGTCTAGTACGGACTGAATGGCATCGATGGCGCGTTTGATATCGGCTTGAAGGTCGGGGTCCTCAATCTGTTTGCGTAATTCCTTTCACCATAGTCAGCAACTGGACTCCGGCGGATAGCCGCTACTCGAAAGTACTAACCGAAAGCATCAGAGGATACTTGGTCAAACGCTGAAAAGGCTTCACAAAAAAGCCGTTGAGTGTGGCTGGTTGCGCGACCATCTGCTGGAGATCAATAGAGCGTGGCGCGTTCCGGATCTTTTCCCATTCCTTCTGACAGGTCTTATCACAGCGCATTTGGTTCGCAATAAACGGCTCGTACTGACGGAAAGCTTCCTCATGTTGGATGAACAATTCACCCCAATTCTGCTTTTCCTCTGGTCGAGCATAGTGTTGCTCGAGTCTGATAAGGAATCGCTGGGAGAAATCGAGCAAGTTGTTTAGATTCAAGAAGATCTGATGACTAGCATCACCGGTGAGAGCGCCGGTGTCCTCCAGCTCTTTTTTGAGCGCTTGCAGATTTTGGAGATGGTGAACGTAGTCGCGCTCTGTTTCTAACAACTCCTTCAAAATGTGTTCTCTCTTAGTGAGCTTCCTTCCTGCTGCAGGCGCAGCCATGGCAGTATCGGACGGTTTCTTTAATTGGCCTTGAATCTCCAGGATGTCTAAGACCCGATTTACCATCTTTATTACCTTGGTGAAACCGATCGTGTTCTCGCCGTACAGATCTGTGATGAGGAAACAATCCTGTTGTGGAAACGCCATCTCTTGTATTGCGGCTTGGAGGAATTTAAATGTAGCGGCCTTTGGTCGTCTGGCTTCGGGAACCTTTGTGGTGTCAACTTCGAGGGGTGCGCCGGGGTCGGAAGCGTTGTAGATAGCCAACAGGGGGTACCCTTGTCGGAGGAAATTCCATAGTGAGGCGACGGGATCGGAGTTTCCCTGTGCTAGATCTTCTTCTTCCACCTCTCGTAGGTATGGCTCAAAGTTGGGGACTTCTGCAAGTCGCCTTTTGAGGTTAACACAGCTCTGATAAATACCCTCATTGCCGCGGCGATTGATAATGTTGTCCTCGGCGACGGGACCGCCGGGGTTCAGGCCAGCGGTGTCGGCCATTGCGACGTCCACCGACTGGGCCCGTTGGAGTGAGGGGGTAGAGACGGCTGATCGACTAGCGACAGTGTATGGGAGGTTCAAATCTGCGCAGCAGACTAAGAAAGGAAAGGAATAGACAAAGCAGTGGCGGCCAGCGGAGGTTGTACGAGAGTTGTCGTCAGGTCAAGCATGAATCACTGAAGAACGCGAGCCAGTGCCCAGTGGACCGATGCGGGACGGATGGCGCAAGCGAGCAGCTAAGGAAGGGAGTGGAGATAGGAGCAGTGTTCAGTGTTCAATGCGGCGGTGGTCACGACTGGCACTGAGCAACAGCGGTTACCGTAAACTAACGATGGCGCAGGTTAGAGGGGGCTGTTGTTACCTCGGAACCTGGATATGCGATTGGAAATATGGTCGCAGCTGTGTTTCACCCTTGCTGGCCAGCTTAAGATCGAGAGAGAATTATTGAGAGCGATCCCTAAGAGAAGGGGAAAGTGTGGGGTTTGGCGCAGCAGTGAGCCTGGAACCCTGAGGACCGGGATAGGAGACCGACTGCTACGAAGCAAAAGGGGAAAGAATGGATGTTGGGCAGTGAAGAGCACAGGACATTAAATCATGATAAGCCAGGGAGCAGAAGACCAGCAGACCAGACGAAAAGGGAGACGGGGAGGAGTTGCCCAGGTGCAGGCAGTGTTGCAGTGACCGACCCCGAAGGAGCACAGGTCCAGAACCTGAATTTCCAGGCAGCCGGGGCCAGACTCGGATTCACGTTGTACAACTTCATTATAGCGCAAGCCAGGGCCTTGATATATCTACTTCGTGGCAACGCCAGTTGTTTGAGGCTTGACTAGTCCAACGCCTTTGCATGTTAAAGGACTATACGTGATTCGAATCGGTGCTGAACTGCTGATCTATCGCGTCTACTGCTTCCGCTACACCTTCATTCCGTAGTGTGCGTATAGTATGTGTCGAGATTGTATCGTAGCCAGATGGACGATCTACTTACTCCGTATCTCTCAGAATATATAAAGTCTCTCATAGATCGCTGAGGCCAAGCTGCCGTTTCAGACGCTAGAGTCCCGAGTCAACGGCTGCTAGAGGAAACGCTGGAGGAACCTTAAGCACATGCAGGGATGCGCTACAAGTTAAGATGGCGGGGCATGCACTGCAAACAGGTCAGTCGACTCCTAGCAATTTCAGCCCTGCTAGTGGGAATAATGAATACTGACTCTGATAGACAGCCAACCATGAACTTTCTATCTTTATTTATTATTCCTATGAAGTAGGTATACCAGGTAGCCCGCGAATACCTGACACGGTTTGTGAAGCCATGCCAGCATAGAAACTGGATAGTAAGAGCTGCGTCGCATAACAATGGGAAGGGACCGAGCATACTGGAATAGGTTGGTGAATTATTGGATTAGGATAGTAATGAACGCTGAGATGTAATATTTGTTTTGATGGGCTGGAGTAGCTGGGTCTGCCAACTCCGCGCCGGCATCCACTTCGCACTTCCTCTTTGTTATCATCATCCTGTCAGTTTCATGTCGCATTCCAACCACAACCAACCCCCTTCAATCTCCGGGACGATCGCTCCCTCGAATATTCGCGTGTTCAGCACCTAGAAACGAACCGGTGGCCGCAAGACAGCATTTTACCCACCGCCTTAGGCAGAAGCTGGGCGTCTCGGCTGAGGCTCTGATCGGGTCGATAAGGAGAAGGCCGCGGAGGAACAGGAGCGAGGCCGTTTGATCGTCATATCAAGAGTTCCAGATGGACCATACTCCCATGGCGAGAGATAGCGATGCATCTGATGGCTCGATCCCTCTTCGTCTCTTCCCGTCCGACCTCACCGCCCGCTCTTTGTCCGCCCCCTTCAAGGTGGATGAAGGCTATGCGGACGATACGCGAAGTCAGGCGGATAAGGAGCTCTTGCGCTCTCCCTCAGACGATGTGATGTCCATTCCAGACTGGGTCCTTGCACATAGCGAGGCTGAAAGGGCCGGTGAGTCTCAGCCATTCCTCCCCGCGCCTGTCGCGTGATTGCCCGTGGTTGATATGAATGCTCATTGTTATTGCCCTCTCTAGAAATCGCCTATAGCCTCCTACGTACTCTGCGCACATCCACTGTCGCCGCAGTTGTAGAGCGACTGTCTCCGCTATTGCACATGGACCCCGTTCTCAGACTGCCGCCGGAAATCACCGCGGAGATATTCTCCTACCTCGACCCCCAGACCTTGGTGACGGCTTCTTTGGCCTCCCGCGCGTGGCGAGATCGGATATCCGATTCCCGCCTATGGAAAGAACTATATATCGACGAAGGATGGCGCGTTGACATCGATGCGATCCGCGCTTTCGAACAGGAGCACTCTGGGTTCCCATCACCACAATCTCGGAAATCACGTTCGAGGTACGCGGATACGGACCTCGGGGAGCCCAAGCAGAAGAAGCGTGTACCATCAGGATGGCTCGACTCCCGCGCTCAAGCGTCGGAGGGCAATGGTTCGAGCACGTTGGGACTCAATCAACAAGGGCATGCAAGATCGGATAGGGAAGGCGACCATCTAATGTCTGATGCGGCGGATGATCGCAGCACACTCTTTTCTAAAGAAACAGAAGACGGGTATGGACATGAGTCTACGCAGGAAATATCTTCGCCCACCATTGAACGAGCACCATCGAAAACCACCCATTCACCTCTCCTCCTTCGAATGCCAAACGGTTCCGCTAAGATCAACTGGCCCTACCTCTTCCGACAGCGCAGGCGCTTGGAAGACAACTGGGCGAAAGGACGATTTACGAATTTCCAACTTCCGCACCCCTCGCATATGGAAGAGGCCCACCAGGAGTGCGTATACGCTATCCAGTTCGTCGGAAAGTGGCTCGTCAGTGGTAGCCGAGATAGAACTGTTCGAGTTTGGGACTTGAACACCAAAAGACTCTGGCACCGACCCTTGATCGGGCACACAAAATCAGTTCTGTGCCTCCAATTTGACCCTCGCCCTTCCGAAGATGTTATTATATCTGGGAGCAGCGATAAAAACGTCATTGTCTGGCGATTTTCTACAGGCGAGAAGATACATGAAATTGCGCCTGCACATGATGATTCTGTTCTAAACCTCAGATTTGATGAACGATACCTTGTTACCTGTTCAAAGGATAAACTCATCAAGATCTGGAATCGAAAGAATCTGTCAGCGGCTGATAAGGACTATCCTAGCGTCCAACAGGGGTCGGGGGTTCTGTACCCATCATATATCGTGGACACAAGTGAGATACCATCTCCCGTTCTGGAAGCAGAGATCGCCAAGAACCATATCCGTACCCTGGCGCCGTTCTCTCTCCTGATGACACTGGTGGGCCACACCGCTGCTGTCAATGCTATTCAAATAGACGGGGACGAAATTGTCTCAGCTTCGGGCGACCGATTGATCAAAGTCTGGAATGTCCGCAATGGCGCTTGCATGAAGACCTTTGTAGGGCACGACAAGGGTATAGCATGCGTTCAATTTGATAATCAGCGAGTCGTCAGTGGGAGCAATGATAACACAATCCGGATTTTTGACCACGCCTCCCGTGCAGAAGTTGCCTGCCTACATGGCCACGCCGACTTGGTTAGGACCGTTCAAGCCGGCTTCGGCGACCCCCCGGGCTCAGAAGAAGCCCTGAAACTGGAAGCCTTAGCAGTTGACCGAGATTTCTGGAATGCCCAAAGTTCAGGCGAGGCGGTTGATCTAGGTCCCGCTGCCCTACGACGAGCCGGCTACCTCCAGAACACAGCCGGGTCCCGCAACCCTCGAGACATCAAGGCACTAGGTGCCTCTATTCCGCCAGGAGGCGGCGGCAGCAAATGGGGAAGGATTGTATCCGGCTCTTATGACGAGTCCATTATCATCTGGAAAAAGGACCGGAAGGGCCAATGGATCGTTAGCCAGAAACTGCGGCAAGCTGAAGCGGCCGCTAATGCCTCTTACATTGCACACTCGAACACATCATCCTCACGCTCAGGCCCCGGAAATGCCTTTGCCCTCGCTCAGCAAGCTGCACAGGCAACGCAAACCCAGGGGCCTTCTAACTCCTCACAACCATCATCCTCTACCTTCGTCACACATGCCCTCAACAACCTTCAACAGGGCAACTCAAATCCGAACTCCTCTTTCTCAACGACACCCCAACAAACAGAGCCCCCCAACCGCCCAACTCCACCCCCGGGCCCGCCCCTAACGAGCCTCCTCGCAGCCGCCAACTACTATACACACCCACGCGCCCGCCTCCTCGCACAAGCCGCGACTCCAACAAGCCGGATCTTCAAGATCCAGTTTGACGCTCGCAAGATTATCTGTGCGAGTCAGGACTCACGCATCGTGGGGTGGGATTTTGTCGGTGCAGACGAGGAGCTCGAAGAGGCTTGTCAGTTCTTCATGGGATTATAGCATGGCATGCATGTTACTGGATATATCTATGCAGAATAAAATGGATAATAGTAATTATTATTTATGACGACTCTCCTATGTCATTGTCATTTATGATAAGCTTGCCTATTGTTTGGTATGGTGTATTCGTTCTCATCTTTGTTTGGACCTGTATCTTTTGCATAAAGTGGCAGGCTGTTTTCGAGGCTCTCCACGATGGTCTTTATACACGGGGTTCATATATGTTGTGGCGTTCGTCTACCTTCCTCGTAATCATGCGTTTATCTAGCCCTGCTCTACTGTCATGACCGATGAACGCATCTATTCATATTTAAAACTTCATATTCAAAACATAGAAGCTGTTCATGGGAAGAATTGTTCTCGTCTGATAGAAGATATTAAGCAATGAAGTGACTAAGAAACCAAAGTCCTCATCTAACGGTCCACAAGTACAAAGTTCCTCTTCCATCTCGTTCTAGCCATATCGAGTCCTTGGAAGTAACAGTAGGTAAAGATAGGGCCGTCACATATTTCCAACAGAAAAAAAAACCAGTTGCCCAGAACTACGAAAATTGCAAAGCTCATGAATTGGCTGGCCCTTCGGGAGAAGCAGTTGACGGATGCTGCTGAGACTCGTTAGAGGTCTGGTCACGCGCAGTTACATATGTGTCTTGTGTAGTGGTGTTCATCGTCGTGTTCGGATTTACGCCATCTGATGGATTCAGATGCTCTGATTCATCCGACCCATGGCAGCAGCAACATGTAGTCTTTGCTCGTTTCTTAACAAATTTCCACCACTCTGGCGTATCATTGTCACGATCGTTTCCCTGAACTGTGTCCGCCTCTTGCGGATTGAGGGGCGCAGCAGAATGCGACTGTGTCGGTGCGAAGTATAACGACTCTGAAAGGTTCGAGAAAACCCGTACAACGAGCCGCCATGTGGTTTCTGGCACTCGAGATACACAAGTCTGATATGATTCAATCCTCGCATTAGGGGGCCCTTGGTGTAGCAATGCCGGGTTTAGCGTACCATTGGGTGGTGCCGCGGAATCAGTAGCCAGCGACCTTGGCATATTCTCCTCTAACCAGCGCAATGTGGCTTCGTCTTCTGCATCTCTCGCACTTCGATCACTCGAGGAGGAAGTACCGGTAGGATCTGCCCCTTCAGGCACCGCGTCGTTTGTCTCTGTGGTCGGCCCATCGCACTGAGCGAGAGGTAAATTGCCCTGGTGAAATGGATGATCATTCGGCCCCTTCAATATACTTGTACCATGACCACTTTGCCGCTGTGGGAAGCTTCCTAGAACAGCGGTGCCATCTTCTGCGTACACTCGTGTACGTCCCTGTCGATCAGCCGTGGAAGGTGCGTTGGTTGCAGGAGTCCGCTGAAAAAGTCGGCGTAGCAATGACTCACTACGGCTAGGGACTGGATGATCAGCCCCAATACGGAAGTCATATGTTCTGGCTTCCTCTGTGCCAAATGTTGGAAGACCAGGAGGCGTGGGCGCTCGAGTAGGTGGTGGGAATTCCGGAAGGGTAGGGCTTACGGGCGATTGAATATTCGCCGGCCACTTTGGCGATGATGAAGCTGCATCCGCTGATTTATCAACATCGACGCTGGGATCTTTCGCCGGACTAGATCCGCTGGTTTCATGAAATTCCGATAGGTGGTCTGGCATTGACCATCCTTTCAGTTCTTCACCCGCCGTTCGCAATTTATCGGCCACCAAGTGCGCACGCGGGGGCCTGCTAATCTCGTCCGGATCGCATATAGGAGGGTCAGGGGCCGAGCCTCCATATGCGCGGCCTTGTTCTCGCGAGATAGAGTGGAAGGTAGCGACATTAGCGGCCATTCTCGTGTCCACGCGCTCAAGCGGGCGGTTGTCGCTGTGGTTCCCGGGCGTTGTCACGCTGTCATCGTCGGAGGTTGCCCTAAGTGCGTTGTATATTGAACCTCCGTTGCTCGACTCTAAAAAGGTCGAGACTGAACGTGCGGGCGAATCACTCTTCGGGGGAAACAGTGTGGCAATGGGATATCGCTGGTCTTCTTCCATTGGATGGGTCTTCCCGGGTGCAGCCATTCTATAATTAAGCAAAGATTGTCGATAGACGCATTATGCATCAATAGAGAGGTAAAGGAATATTTAGACGAGAGCGAGGAGCGTGAGAAAGCTGAGATACTGTCAGTTTGAGACAGTCGGCAGTACAGGAGGAGGGAGGAGGCCATCCATCGCGCTTTCCCAACTGACCTGGAAACAACGGCAGCACAGAACCACAGAACCTTTCCGGCGGAACATCAGAATTGAAGGGAATGTACAATTGAAGACTGATATGCAGCCGTAGCAGATCAAGTTCTATGATACATATTTGTCAAGCGTGATATGTGCAGACTCGGACAAGTCAGAAACCGAGATGAAAGACCTCGTACCCAAGGGATGAGGATGATTAAGAAACAAACATTAATATGTACGAAGAATGGTAATATATTCACCGTGGCCATCATCCGGAACAAGGGAGCCCAGTTCGACGTCGCCCTGCCATGCAGTCGAACGTGGTCTGGTGTTGGAAACAACCGAGTCGCTGGGAACCGACTAGAAGCGGCCGATGGGCTATGGGCTCCTGACGCGGCCCGAAAGATAATAGTAGAAGGGGCAGAGAAGAAAGAAAATGAATAAAGTAAGGAAATGTGTTCATCATAACGCCGTTACAGTTTGGCTGAGGTTCGACTTGCCGCTCAGATTCGCTTGCTCCCTTTTAAGATTCCGTAATATGGCTTCGAGTTTCCTGCGCTCTTCCTGCTCAGCCTGTTCTCGGGTCAGCGTCGTAACAAAAGGTATGTTGAAGGGGAAAATAGCTCACCTTGAGTATCTTCATGTTCTCGGCGCGGGTATCCCGCATCATCTTCTTGAACTCGTTCTTCAGCACCATTGTGGATGTTGTCTCGTAAGGCCCGTCTCGTCCCATAGAGGAAGCGCTGTTGTTGGAGCCCATCCAGCTAATCCGTTCTTCATTGAGCTGAGTCTCCAGCTGCTCACATCGATCACGGAGGTTATCAATCATGCCCTCAAACCTTTCACGCTCTTTCTCAAACTCGATGCTCGCTTTGGTCATAGCCTCGTAGTCATCCACAGTTTCACGCAGCTCTTTCTCCAGTGTTTCAACGCGGTTGTGAACATCGCCACTCACAGGCTTTCCAGCCTTAAGGGCTGCAAGCTCCTCAGCCATTTCGAAGTTTCGAGCCTTCAGTTCGTCGAGCTCCTGGAAAAGGGCAGGGTCGGCGGCGGCTTCAGCGGCCCGTTGTGCACGTGTCCCATAAGCACCGTCAAGTTCTGCTTTGACCATGGTGAGCTCAGTCTGGGCCCTTACGACGTCGCCCTCCAGGTCGGTCAACTCCCGTTGCAAGCGGTGTGCGTTCTCTTCTGCATTGTTGCGCGCTTCGGTTGCTTCCCTGAGTTGAGACTCTAGTTTTTCACGTATCTCGTTCATCGATTCTTCCAGTCGTGATATTTCCGCGTCAGCTTGAGCGCGCATATCGGTTGCTTCCTTGACACGAATGTCTGCGTCGTGGCGAATCTGGTGGATTGTCTCTTCCAATTGCGCGACTTGTTGCTCCGCGCTTTCGCGCGATTCTGCGGAATCTTGTAACTGGCCAACGACACCTTGTAATCTGGTGACTTCGCCCTCCAGGCGGACCCGAGCTTCGTGATGCTCATCTCTCTCGTGTTGTATTTTTTGAATGATATCTTGAAGGCGCGCAATCTCAACTTCAGCACGCTCATCAACTTGATCGCGTGTATCCCTCTCTTGCTCAATCTTCTGGACGATAGCTTGAAGGCGTGCAATTTCGGCTTCCGCACGCTCCTGGTCTTCATGATTCTCGGCTTTCTCTTGCTCAATCTTTTGGATGATATCTTGTAGGCGTGCAACTTCGGCTTCTGCACGTCCATGAGCTTCATGATGTTCATCCTTCTCCTGTTGGATTTCTTGAATCATAGCCTGGAGACGTGTGACTTCGGCTTCCGCACGTCCATAAGCTTCATGATGTTCATCCTTCTCCTGTTGAATTTCTTGAATCATAGCCTGGAGGCGTGTGACTTCGGCTTCCGCGCGACCGTGGGCTTCATAGTGTTCGTCCTTCTCCTGTTGGATCTCTTGAATCATAGTCTGGAGGCGTGTGACTTCAGCTTTTGCGCGCCCATGAGCTTCGTGGTGTTCATCCTTATCTTGTTGGATCTCCTGAATGACTGCTTGAAGGCGTCTGACTTCAGCTTCCGCGCGCCCGTGAGCTTCGTGGTGCTCATCCTTCTCTTGCTGGATCTCCTGAATAAAACTCTGAAGGCGAGCAATCTCGGCTTCCGCATGCCCATGCGCTTCATTCTTGGAATCACCAAGATCTCTGGTGCTTTGCGTCTCCCGAGACTCTGACAGCTCTCGTCGTACATTTTCTAGCTCTTTCAATGCCATATCGTAATCTTCCTTAGACTGCTCACCTTCACGCTCCGCAATTTCGAGTTCTTTACGAAGGTGGGCAAGCTGTTCAATCAAATCGGCAATCTTGGCGTCTCTTTCTGCATCCGACTTGGAATTCAGCTCGCGCTGCTGCTGAATCTGGGTTGTGAGAATACTCTTTTGCTCCAGTAACTTCTCGACTCGACTCTCCAAGCCGGTGATTCCAACACTAAGGAACGTAAGATGTTCCGCAAGATCGCTGTCAGATGGATCAGGAGTCGGGGGCAAGGTTTGAGCGCGAGGTAAACCGGGATTCTCCATGATGCTGAGCAACTGTTGGCCCATCTCTACTAACTGCTGTTCGCTAACACGGTCCAGGCTCTGGTTGGGCATATCAGCTTTAGGCTGAGAACCAAGTACATCGATTCCATTCTCGATATACCTCAGGTGAGCATCCACCATGGCTGAAAGGTCAACCGCGTCGCCATTACTAGAAGGCTGGGGAATTTGACCGAACTCGGTGTCTGGATCCGACCGCAGTAACGTATCTCGTAGTCTGCTGCTCAGCGACTCCAATTTCCTTTCCGTTTCTTGGATATTATCATGCGCTAGACTGTTGGTAAGCGGCGCCCTGATCTCAAAGTTTGTTGGTCCATCCAGTGGGTCCGACGTTTTATACAAGCTCCGATCATCGAAATCGTCCACCGTATTGCTGCTGGACAGGCTTTCGGGGGTATGCGGAATGCCGTTCTTCGGATTCTTTTTCAAGCCCTTGTGTGTCAATTGCAGAACACCAGCAGTGTGCTCCAGCAAGCGCTTTTGTATCTCTTGTCCTTTGCGCTCTGAATACCAGATGTCCATTGACAGCTCCTCACATTTCCGATTGCTTAGTGCAAGTTCCTCGTTTGTCTTATTGAAAGTTGGCTCGTTCTGGCCTGGTATATCGATATCGTACTCCTCATTATGGTGTAATCGGCTTAGAGACATGGCGGCATCACGAAGCTTTAATTCCAGGGCCAGTTTTCGTTTAGCCGCATTCGTACGGTTGGACAGAACTCGGAGCTCCTTCTTCAAGCCTTCCATTTCCTCGACCGACAAAATTTCATAGTTTATGCTGTCACCCATGGCCGTTTCGGTGAGTAGATACATTGCTACTGGGTCATTTGCGCTGAGTGGGACGGATCGGGGAGGGTGCGAGGTCGGGTTTGCCTATAGGATGTACGCTCGAAAATAAGCCACTTTCTTAACTAGTTTATGTGGCAGAAGTACATACCGGACTATACAGCGACTTCTCCGCATTTTGGGAACTGAGAGCTGCACGGTAGCCGTCCAGGAGAACCTTGGTTGGCGGCGGCTGGGGGGCGCCGTACGAAGCGGCCGAGTAATGCCTCGGGTCGCCATAAGACGACTGGCTAGACCGAAAATCGAGGCCGTTCATCGTATCGAAAGGAGGAGCAGTCGTGGAATCGTGGAAAAGGAGCGATGGAATAAACCCGGTCTAGCAGGCAGTATACATTATTCTCGGAGTCTCCGGTCTACCGCCAGGGGTTGACTCGTTCGACGGGTATACAGCGGATGAGCGAATGAGCTGATGAGAAAACGAAGGAAATAAATTATCGAAAGAAGAGGGGACAAGGCTTTAACAAGGTGCAAAACGTTGAAAGAGAGACAATCGCAGAATTGAGCAGAGTTGAAGGAATTGGGAGCTAGATTGGCGCCAGTCACGAGAGAAGATCTGCAGTGTCCAGAGGCGGCTGGCCAAGCCTGTTCAGGAACAAAGAGAAGGATCAATCAGATTTTCTGCATTTCGCTCTTTTTCGAATCTCGAGAACCGACCAATATTATGTATCTTGTCCATTATATATGCTGAGTACTACCAGGATAAGCATCAGCATGATGCATGGCCGAGGAATGGTGCTGGGTTGAGAATCCATCTGATAAGCGCAGTGCCCCTGACGATGATACACCCACCGAAGATCCAGGGCCGTGGAGGCAGTCCTTGCTGCGAAGTACTTGCACATATAATATAGTTTGTAGACTATTTAAATCTGATATACTTCAAGCTTCCCCATCCCCACAAGGCTAGGAAATAATCTGGGGAATTTAATGAGAGGGGGTCCGGAGGAATGTCAATGCGGAGAAGACCACGAACTGTGACCAACATTTGATGGAACGTGAAACGCAGCCAACCTCGGATCAGGACCAAAATTGGTCTCAAAGCGAAACATACCCTAGTCTAGCTCTTATCGCCTGTCGGTACTCAAAAATGTGATATATTCCATCGAGTCCCGTGGCTGGGACGGAAATTTAGTCCTGCGAACGCAACCTCCAGCCATACCCTGACGCTCACAATGGGCTCTGATGAGCACGAAAGCGTAGTCGAACTCCCACCATCAGGACCTGCTTACAGGGTCTACAAGCGACGGTTCTGGGGCTTAGCGCAGCTTGTTCTGTTGAATATCATTGTTAGTTGGGATGTACGTTGCCTGCACTGGACTCCAACGGGAGGGGCAGTATAGACAAGAGACTAACGAATCCCCCGCAGTGGTTGACCTTCTCTGCCGTCTCAACTACAGCTGCGGAGTATTTCGATGTCTCAGAGAGCGCTGTTAATTGGCTGAGTACGGGCTATCTGTTCGCCTTCTGTGTTGCGAGTCCGTAAGTGTCCTCTTGCTCTCGTCGTTGCAGATGCGCTAACCATGAGTATCTACCCAGCATTGTCATAGTTACTCTCAATAAAGGCGGCCCCAAGCCGGCTATCATCGTTACCTCAGCCCTTCTCCTAGTCGGGAACTGGATCCGTTATGCAGGGGCCAAGGCAAAGGGGGGCATCTTCGGTGTTACGATGTTCGGCCAGATCCTAATCGGCCTGGCGCAACCGTTCTGTCTCAGTGCTCCAACTAGATATAGCGACCTCTGGTTTACAGACCATGGGCGAACCAGTGCAACGGCTGTAGCCACATTGGCTAACCCACTGGGCGCTGCGCTGGGTCAGTTGATAAACTCCTTCTGGGCGAGCGAGCCGCATGAGATACCGGACATGGTTCTATACATCTCGATCATGGTAAGCAGATCCATAACCCCAGATGGACGGCGCATGATGTTGACAAAACAACAACAGGCAACAGTCGCATCCATTCCATCGTTCTTCATCCCCGCCAGACCACCAACACCACCCAGCGCATCCTCCGCCGCAACAAAAACTCCCCTCGTCCCAGCCATAACGCAGCTCCTCCAGACCCTCGAGTTCTGGCTCGTCCTCATCCCCTTCGGCGTATACGTCGGCTTCTTTAACAGCGTCTCTTCCCTTCTCAACCAGATCTTGTCACCGTACAACTTCTCCGAAACAGAAGCCGGCATCGCAGGTGGCATCCTCATCATCGTCGGCCTCATATCCTCTGCCATCCTCTCACCCCTCACAGACCGCTACAAGCGCTACCTCGGCACAATCCGCGTTCTCGTCCCCATCGTCGCAATCTCTTACATCGCTCTGATCTTCGCACCGTCCAGCCCGGCTGGCATTGGGCCGTCATACGCCATAATGGCCATCCTCGGCGCTTCATCCTTTGGCCTCCTCCCGGTGGTCCTCGAGTATCTTGTTGAGATAACGTATCCGTTCTCCCCCGAGATCGGAAGCACGATCTGCTGGACCGCGGGGCAGTTGCTTGGAGCTGTGTTTATTCTCATCCAGGATGCGCTTAAGGCCGGGGAAGGCGCTGACCCGCCACTGAACATGCGCAATGCTCTTATCTTCTCTGCGGTTGTCGCTTGTGTGGCCGCGCCGTTCCCGATCTGTATTGGGCTGTTCGGGCGTGATGTTAGAAGACGGCGCCTAGATTTCGATCGAGGCGTGAATTTGGATGAGATGCAGACCGAGCGGGTCGAAAGTGTGCTGAGCGACATTGGTGTCGAGGTTGCTGGTGCAGGTCTAGGCAATGAGTCCGGGAAGTCGAGATTTGGTCTCGGGTTGAAGGTTCCCTGGGGGAAGAACTGATATCGCACAAATGTAATCCTTGATCCTTGCATCTTGCCATTTCTTTCTGTCTTGTGGGTAAGGTGATGATGTACGGCTTGTTTCTAGCTTGTTCGAGTTCTATTGAGCGATTTTCGGTCCCAGGCATACTTGTGAATCAGAATAATGATCAAGAACAATCGATTGGCCATTCACCGTTAGTCTATGCGCTAAATCTGCAAGGGGACCTGACAATGAAGTGAACGGTATGCTGGCCAATCCAAAATATTGTAGGGTAGGCTGTCTGTGTCAGCAATCACCAAGTCATTTAATGTATCTGCAGCGTTCGGTTAAGTTGCCATTCGGTTGAACAAGGCGCATAAATACATAAAGTCTAGAGAAAAGTAGCATTCATCTAAAACACAAGTTGATATAAAAAAGGCGGAGACCAGCTATCTGTACATACACACAACACATTAAAGGACAAAGTTCGTATCGTCTTTCAATCCTCTAAGCGCAAAAGTCGACAAGAAATGATACATATCCCAATCCCATGCGCAGTGCGCGACTGCTGGCTTTTTTCTTCAATGTGCGTTCCGGATCATGTCGTTGGTCGGCTTGGCGGGTCTCGTTAATCCGGTAGATAAACCGAGGATCGGGGATCGTTTCAGCTTTGCCTCCTTATTTGAGGGCCTTCCAGAGCTTGGGGGCGGCGCACTGAGTGGCACAGTGCGCGAGGTGGAAGACTAAATGAGATGATGAGTTAGTCGATTGAACGCAAGTAGACTACTACGACTCAAGTCTCAGGTCAATTGTACTTACACTCCTCAACGCAGTCCTCCTTGGGACCCTTGTAGTCCTCATCCTCCTGCTGCGCGGTCACGCGCTCAACGCACTCATCGTAGTGGTGCTTGTAGGGAGCGCACTGAGCGGAGTTGGCACATTCTATAGGAGACATCGTCAGCATACCAACTCTTTCGGTAGCCGAATTCTAATATGAAGCAGCCGCCCGCGCGTAATGGCTCGTAAAACGCGAGTTTCAAATGCGTTACCGAGGCAAGCGGTAAACCCGAAAACAGGTAATCCGAGCAAGAGCGCATTTGTAAAGAATCGACAAGACAACTCAAGCAAAACTCACCCTCCTCGAGCTTAGGCTTGATGTCCTCAGGCTCCTCCTCTTCCTCCTCCTCCTCCTCTTCTTCTTCCTCCTCTTCCTCGGCCTCGGGCTCGGCCTCCTCACCCTTCTCCTCCTCCTCGGAGCTCTCCTCGGGGGTGTCCTCGGCAGCAGAGTCCTCGCTCTTCTCGGTGCTCTCCTCGGCGGGAGCGTCGCCCTTCTTTACCTCCTCGGGGGCGCTGGACTCATCCTCAGTGGTGTCGGCGGGAGCCTCAGCGTAGGCCTGGGGGAAGCCCCAGGAGGAGACGACTTCGGAGAAATAGTCGGCGAAACCCATCCTGAACCGTCTTGGGGAGGTCAATTGATGAGACTGGAAGGTCTGGGGTGACGGGTCGGTGGGGGTTGAGCGAGGTTGATGAGGTTTGGTGGTTTTCAGAAGCTGTGGTGTCCGTCTCCCGTCCAGGGAAAATCGGAACACCCCGGCCGCCGAATGGCAATTATGACACGCGTGATTGGCTGGTGGCCTGCCCGCGTAGAACAACGCAACAACAGACATCATAGTAGGCTCTTTATCTATATATTGCTTGTATAGATGTCATTTCTATCATGGTGTACAGTTTGGAACATGAGGGATACTTCGGATAAATCAGATACGCGCCCATTTCGCCGCTGAATGCGCTACAAAGACAAAGGTTTCGGGAGAACGAAAAACAGGGATAATTCACAGCATTACCTAGCAGACAAGACCGAACCCGGATGATCTACTATTTCCCAGCTCAGCTCGCCCGGCGCAATCTTGCTTCAAGCTCGTTGGCGACGCTCTGCTGCTGTACTTCTTCATAGCCGGGAGGTGGCTCCTGAGGCTCGGGATTGGTCTCTGAAGCCTGGCGATGTACCGCTCGGTTACTATGGTCGTTACCAGTCGAGTAGGTCTGGGGGCCCGAGTAAGCGGGGAGTTCTTCTAGATGGACACCGGCCATGTTCACATCTCCAGCGCTTCGGCCACTTTCACGGGATATTTCGACCGCGTGTTGGAGTCGCTCTTTGATCCGCTCAAACTGGTTGTGGAAATCAAATGCGCCCCCTTCTTTGAAGGTCACTTTCAAATGTACCGCAACTAGCGACGAGGGAATTCCGCCGCCAGGTACTGGTTGAACAACGACATTCCATGCATTAGGTCCGAAGAAAGGAGAAGAGACATGAGAGTCGTGTAGATTGAGAAGAGGGGCTGAGAATGATTCTAGTACATCTGACCGTTGAGCGGGAATGTAAACAACCTGCGGACTTGTTGTTAACAGGTGATTCGAAGCCAAAAGGACAGACTGCAAACGAGGAGGAAAGAGAATTACCCGTTGGTTTGTAAGGTAGACTTGACCGGCACTGCTTTGTAGTGATAGCGAGTCTCTGCCAGTGTATGATGGAGGCGGTTGCAAGGCGAAGCTTGTCCGAGGGGGACTGGTGTATAACAATCGCTCGTTCGGTAGATGAACAAAGCCTTCGCGCTCATCAAGCATCACCCAACTATTTCAGGGGTTAGAAAATGTAACTACCTAAGTATGGAGCCGTATCGCATGACAGGCAGGCCAGAGCAGTGCTTTGTGACAGTGTGGTGGTGATAGAGCCAAGCTAGTTACGGCGACGCCGAATGCGATCAAGAGACGAGCAGTCTGGGTATCTATGTTCTAGAGTAAGGAAGTGGGGCTCATCCACATACTTGATCGACATCTTTGGCAGATGATACCTGAGGAACGGTACCTATGGGCAGGGAACGAGATGCTTCGGACGTATTGGATATCAGTAGTATGGAAGACGCTAAGCGGGGAGAATGTTTATGGCGCTTTGAACGGGCTAATGAAGATGCGGTACGTAACGGTCTGGAACGGGCCGGTTGTTGGTCTGGTTTCAAGGATTCGAGGCCTTGAACGCTTGGACTTGTTCCTGTTCTTGCAACTCGAACCGTCTCTGAGAAAGAGGATGGGATGAAACCTGGAGGACCCCTCCGCGAGCCGTTAGAATCGGAAACCGTGATAATCTTCCCCGCGGCCCTCCGCCGCTTTAACTTACATACGTAATTAAACGGCTAATGAGCCTGAGGCAAGTAAACGTCTCTACTACCACTTTACTAACCTGACATTCACTCTTTGCCATGATCATGCCACTGTTGACCCCTGTATTTGCCTCAAGTCCTCGGAGTGACCTACCATATACAGCGGCCAAGCGTCACCCCCGACCTAGGCAGCATTGGTGTTGCTTCTAGCCATGCGTTGAATGCCCGAGCGACAACTGGATCTCTTCGAGACCTGACAAAGAGAGTGTCTTGATGCGTGGAGGTATCTACCTGTCGACGGTTCAATCCATCGACTAGATGGGAAGACGCATTGTCTGACTCAGAGAGAGCTTCCCGGTACGGTAGCTTGTTCCACTGCTCAGGTGTTCTGTGTATAGGAAGATTACTGGGACCCCAGAATATCCCAAAGTCAATATCGACAACATGAGCATACTGATAAGGTTGATGAATGATGGCCTCTTTATTTTCTCCATGGCTCCACACTCCGTAGATAACCTGGACACGGCATTCCAATGCAAAGTGGCTACTGAAGGTTTATTTGCTTGTTGTCCTCTGGCAGTGTGCTGAGACAGATGAGCAAGAACAGAAGAAGGAAACATCAACATTATCAATCATAATGAGACTTGCCAGAACGGAAGCAAATAATGGAGAGGGGATGTTCCAAGTTGGATTATGCCATGTATGTATACTGACTGTGCTGGGCTGGAATCTGCTAACTTATCTTGATTAGCGTGTATTGACGTTACCAGTGGTTACCCCACCAAGAAAATTACCACTCCGGCGCAAAGACTCCCAACCAAGCACTGTCACGTCACATGCGCTACTACCCTCCAGGATCCGTTGAGGCCAACCTGCTTCTTGGTCCTCTATCTACACGAGACCAAGCTATCTAAAGCTAGAGACAATACTCAGGTTCCCTCAACTTGTACCGCGCAACTGTTTATAGAGTACTGGGGCGGGATATGCGGTCTCAGCTTTCTTTGTCCACGCGTGCTGCCTCCAAAAACTGGAATTGACTTCAATTCCCGCTGGCAGATAGGGGCCTCGTGCAGCTTCCTGAGTTTCTACTATACCTCACCTAGGTTTCCATACAGTCGCCGCCTCCAGGGCAGTTCAGCTGTCTTATTTGACGTCATGGCGAAGAAGCCATACATTCCGCCCTTAATCGGGTGGTTATACGATCTTGTGCTATGGACATTCTCTGTGCTCGTTGACCTCTTTTTCCGGGAGGTCCATCCGCGTGGCTCATGGAAGATTCCTCGAAGGGGACCCATGATTATTGTGGCTGCCCCTCATGCAAATCAGGTACCGTATATCATACTCTTGCTCGTCTGCACAGGTACTTACGATGCCGCTGTTATAGTTCGTCGACTCCCTAATCCTTATGCGCGTACTGCGCAGTGAGGCGCATCGCCGCATCTCGTTCCTTATCGCAGAAAAATCGTTTCGCCGCAAGTTTATCGGTCTTCTGGCGAGGGGCATAGGAACCGTACCTGTAGCTAGAGCAATGGACATGCTGAAGCCCGGCCAAGGTACCGTGTATCTCCCAGATCCTGTCAATCAGCCTACTCTATTGCGCGGCGTGGGAACGAATTTTGAAGGGCCCGGCTTTGAGAAAGACGGCACAATCGCGCTACCGACTGTCAATGGGACATCGCACAGTGAAAGCATCGCCGAAATTCGCGGACCGGAGGAACTGATACTCAAGAAACCATTTACCCACAAGGATGCGCTGTTCCAGTTGACAGGCCGGAAAGATATTACAGACGATGGGAAGTTCACCGGGGACGTTTCAGACATCGACCGCGCCGACTTCAAGGGCTCCAAGTTCAAGGCGGCACCTCACGTGGACCAGAGTGCAGTGTATGAAGCCGTATTTGGACGCCTGCTTGCCGGTGGTTGTATCGGTATCTTCCCAGAGGGAGGCAGCCACGATCGCCCTGACCTATTGCCTCTGAAACGTAAGCTTCTCTGCCCCAACTTAGACACAATGTAGCTGACTCCGACTTTAGCTGGTGTTGCTCTCATGGCCCTCGGTACATTGGCGGAAAATCCGGACTGCGGCCTGAAAATTGTGCCCTGTGGAATGAATTATTTTCATGCTCATAAGTTTCGCTCGAGGGCGGTAATTGAGTTCGGCAACCCGGTGGAGGTTCCTAGGGAATTGGTAGAGAAGTATAAAAACGGTGACAGAAGGGGTGCTGTTGGCCCGCTATTGGATATGATATACCAGAGTCTCGTGGCGGTGACTGTTACTAGCCCTGATTATGAGACACTGATGGTTTGTTCAGCCTTTCGCTCGTGGATATAACCCGGACTAATTTGGAAATTCCAGGTTATTCAAGCTGCACGTCGTTTGTACAACATCAAGGGCAAGAAGCTCCCGCTCCCTATGGTGGTTGAACTCAACCGTCGCCTAGTCAAAGGCTACTCGCATTTCAAGGACGACCAACGTATCGTGGATCTGAAGAAATCGATCGCCGACTATAACAAACAATTGCGACTTCTAGGGATCCGTGACCACCAGGTTGAATATGCGAAGTTTTCATTTGTCAAAGTTATCGCAACGCTGATTTATCGCCTGGGTAAATTAGTCCTTCTCACTATCGGGACTTTACCTGGTCTTCTTCTCTTCACTCCAGTTTTCATCACAACAAAGGTAATCTCGAACAAGAAATCGAGAGAAGCTCTTGCTGCTTCGACTGTCAAGCTTCAAGGCCGCGATGTCATGGCAACTTGGAAGCTCCTTGTTGCCCTTGCATTCGCCCCCGCGCTTTACGCGTTCTATACCAGCGCCTTTACCTATTGGGCCTATCGTAATCGCATCAACGGATACGTTCCCGACTCCGTGCCGCTATGGTCCTTTATACCGATTGGCATGGTCTTGTTTCCAACAATCACATTTGCTGCACTGCGCATTGGCGAGATCGGCATGGATATTATCAAGTCCCTACGTCCGCTGCTGTTGTCACTCAATCCCTCATCGGCAAACACATTGGTCAAACTGCGCTTGCGACGCGCTGCGCTCGCAAAGCAGGTCACAGACACTATCAACACGCTTGGTCCTGAACTGTTCCCCGACTTTGATGCTGCGAGGATTGTGACAGATCCTTTCCGCGAGCTCAATCGGCAATCTGCCAACCTTGAAAATGAACAACAACCACCAAGCGTCGAGATTAGACGGGCGAGCACTGAGAATTTCGACGAAGGTTCAGCTTCACAGGAGCCGCTTCCTCGAAATGAGTCCTTCCATAACCTAGCTAACTTTGGCTTTTTCTCGACGCGGCCCTCCAGCCGCAATCGCAGCCGCAGCAACAGCCGTAGCAGTTCGTTCGGAGGGTTGCCGGGCACATCAGGCCAGCAGCTCAAGCCTCTGAGCCAGGTAATCGCCAAGGACGGATTAGACGCAGTGAGTTTTAAAATCCGTGACGCTATGCGCGAACGGGGAGAACAACGGCGTCGGCGCAGTGAAGATAACAGCAGCTGGGACATGGCCAGCTCTGGACCGGGAACGCCGCACAGCGAGGACAACCGGAAGGATATTTAACAAATTGCTGCATGCTATGAACCAGGCCCTTGCAGGGCCACCCTGCCTGTAATGACAGCGGCGGAGTTGGGCGTTTTCATCTCTTCCTGTACTTCCCGATGTGTATCTAGTATGGAATTCCGCAGCAAATGAGACGGTCGTGTGGCAGATTTTCCCAACGTTCGCGCAGAAATCAGTACACAGGGCATAGATTCAAGACTTCGTATTCATCTGTTTCCCCGCATGAATCTGTTGGGATTATGATGGAGGAGGAGAGCCTCGGACCGCTGGGGAGGGCAGGCATTCGGAGGCAAGGCCGGGCTTACACGTGGGCCAGACGGACTTTCGACCCACAACCGTTTGCTCTGGAACGACCGACGCAATTATGAATGAGATCAGTTCGATCTCCTCACTTTCATCATAGAAAGGCCCGTTCTCCAGCTGTTGAGCAAGCCATCAGCTCGAGACGGCCACTGTCCATTTCCGTTTCTTTCTCTCCTTCAGGTATGCATCACCGCCTCGTGCGTTCCTCCTTTCGCATCGGATCGACAAGAGAACAGGAAAACAGTGTAGCCTGCTGGCCACTGACTGCGCCCTGTCAACCTCAATTTAACTCTTGCTGACGTCCTCTGGCCACTTGTTTCAGTTGCATTATACCCTCGAGCTTAGATCTTGTCCGTCGGCGTAGCATCTTTTTAGTCTCGCATGGTCCGCCTCTTTTTCCATCGCACACGACTGTCGTTCCAATCATTCCACCATTCCTAGACGTCCCGTTACGACATCAAGTACCGAAGATCCTGTTTTATTATTTATTTAACGCTGTCCTACGAGCAACATTCGATATGGCCACGTCAATGCACCTCTCAAAACTCCGGAATTGGTTCCTTGCATCGCCACCCATCGAGTATGCGATCTCCAAGCTCCGGGACCTTCTGGTTGGAGCAATCAAGCAGGGGCCAGTTCCACAACATATCGCTTTCATCATGGATGGGAATCGGAGGTTTGCCCGAACTCACGGGATCGAAACGGTGGAGGGGCATAACTTGGGGTTTGAGGCACTGGCACGGGTGAGTCTATGGCCAAGTCAGGACACCGGATGTCTATCCACAAGCTATCTTCACATGTACCTTTCGAAGCACTATGTAAGGCTAATTATTCCTGTGGTATAGATCCTCGAAGTGTGCTACCGGAGCGGAGTACAAGTTGTGACGATATACGCGTTCAGCATTGAGAATTTCAAACGGTCCAAATTCGAGGTGGATGCTTTGATGGAGATGGCGAGAGTCAAATTATCGCAGATGGCCCAGCACGGAGAGATCTTAGATCGCTACGGGGCGAAAGTACGGGTACTCGGCCGCCTGGACCTGCTCCGCCCCGATGTGCTTGCTGCAGTCGACCGCGCAGTCGATATGACGAAGAATAATGGTGATCGTGTTTTGAACATTTGCTTTCCCTATACATCGCGTGACGAGATTACGAGCGCCATTCGTGACACCGTTTCCGAATACAGCAAACCACTCCGGTCAACACACTCTTCGTCGTCTCTTCCGCGGACGCCGTTCTCCGAAGATCACATTACACAAAACATCAGATCCCGAACAACGAATGGGAAGTTGGAAGACTCGAGCAACGAGTCCGATTCTGTATCAGAATCATCCACACTCGGCGAGGATGATGGTCAAAAGCCACCCGACCGGAACCACGTCTACAAGTCCGAATCCGCTCTTTCATCCGCTGCCACACTCCACCTCCCCGATCAACCTACAAAGGGTCAGACAAGAGAATCCACTGGTTCAGAACCGCCGGTTTTCAAATCCCCGGAAACAATCACGCGCCAAACTTTGGCGGACCATCTACTCACCCGCGACAACCCGCCTCTTGACTTGTTGATCCGTACATCAGGGGTGGAACGTCTTAGCGACTTCATGCTCTGGCAATGCCACGAGAATACAGAAATTGCCTTTCTAGACATTTTATGGCCCGAATTTGATCTGTGGCAGTTTCTGCCCGTGCTGCTAAGATGGCAACGGAGGGTCTCCAAAGCAAGACAGAATCCGGATGCCGAAGGTAACTTTGACGGCGAGTTCCAGGATCCCTCGGACGACAGCAGGGAAGAACTCGTGGTTAGTTCCGCCGCTAAGCCGAAAAGCTTATAGTTTGATCTTTGATACACCTGTGCTATAGTATATCGGTTGGGTATACCATTAGAAGACTGGGAATACGGCTTTCGTTTCCGTTCATCCTCCCCTTTGCCTCCTTGGCGCTGTTGACTTGCAGATAGAGCTCCTGTTGATCGTGTACATGACTCATATACCGACTGTAGCTGAAACGCGGCTGTTCACGGCTATAGCATAATAGACTTGTTCTTCGATTGCTCTACGTATACATAGAAGTATATTCTTACACTATCATTGGTCCTCATCTTCGGGATGTTGGAGTAGCTCCGATACCGCTTGAGATAAAGTTCACGTGATCATCCCACATTGCGGCGGGGATAACTTGAAGGTCTCTGCATTGACTCATTTGCTCTCCAAAAACAAACAATCATTCATTAATTGTCACAATGGTCAAGCAAGTTGCTGGTTCCAAAGTCCTTCTTCTGGGCTCAGGCTTTGGTAAGTCCCACTTCTCTCAACATCAGTCTATCTCTGTGCAGCACCCCGCATTGCTGTGACTATAACTGACCGGATTTTGCTATATAGTCACCAAGCCCACTGTCGAGGTTCTCAGCAAAGCGGACGTCGAGGTCACTGTCGGTACGTACTCGGAGTTCAATTGAACGCTCAATTGCTCATAACTAACCCGTATTGTGAACTTCAGCCTGCCGAACCCTCGAGAGTGCTCAGAAGCTTTGCGAAGGATTCAAGAACACCAAGGCCATCTCTCTCGATGTCAACGATGACAAGGCTCTCGACGAGGCCCTGAGCAAGGTCGACCTGGTCATTTCTCTCATCCCCTACACTTTCCACGCCCAGGTCATCAAGTCTGCCATCCGCACCAAGAAGCATGTTGTCACCACCTCCTACGTCTCACCGGCCATGGAGGAGCTCGACCAGCAGTGCAAGGACGCTGGCATCACCGTCATGAACGAGATTGGTCTGGACCCGGTGAGTGCTACTTCATATTATATCTGAGTTTTGGATTTGTGCTGACTTACCTTTCATAGGGTATCGACCACCTTTACGCTGTCAAGACCATCCATGAGGTATGAGTTCCCCGCCCGGTGTTGGGGCTCAAAGGTGCTAATGTAGTCTTAAAGGTTCACTCTGAGGGTGGTAAGATTACCGACTTCCTCTCCTACTGCGGTGGTCTCCCCGCCCCCGAGTGCTCCGACAACCCTCTGGGCTACAAGTTCTCCTGGTCCAGCCGTGGTGTCCTCCTTGCCCTTCGCAACGCTGCCAAGCTCTACAAGGACGGTCAGGAGATCAGCATTGCGGGCCCTGAGCTCATGGCCGCTGCTAAGCCCTACTACATCTACCCCGGCTTCGCCTTCGTCGCCTACCCCAACCGTGACTCCACTCCCTTCCGTGAGCGCTACAACATCCCCGAGGCCCAGACCCTCGTCCGCGGTACTCTCCGCTACCAGGGCTTCCCCGAGTTCATCAAGGTTCTCGTCGACATCGGCTTCCTGAACGACGAGGCTCAGACCTACCTCAGCACCCCCATCGCCTGGAAGGAGGCCACCCAGAAGATCCTCGGCGCGACCTCCTCCTCCGCCAAGGATCTCGAGTGGGCCATCTCTTCCAAGACCGCCTTCCCCAACAACGACGAGCGTGACCGCATCATCTCCGGTCTTCGCTGGATCGGTATCTTCTCCGACGAGAAGATCACTCCCCGCGGCAACCCGCTCGACACCCTCTGTGCCACCCTTGAGCAGAAGATGCAGTACGCCCCCGAGGAGCGCGACCTCGTCATGCTCCAGCACAAGTTCGGCATTGAGCACAAGGACGGCTCCAAGGAGGTCCGCACCAGCACGCTCTGCGAGTACGGTGTTCCCGGCGGTTACTCTGCCATGGCTAAGCTCGTCGGTGTTCCCTGTGGTGTTGCTGTGAAGCTGGTCCTTGATGGCACCATCAACAAGACCGGTGTCTTGGCTCCCATGACCTGGGACATCTGCGAGCCCATCCAGAAGATCCTCAAGGAGGAGTACGGCATTGAGATGATCGAGAAGACTCTCTAAGTGTCTGCTTTCTGGAAGTTATGACGATCTAAAAATGACCAATATAAAAAGGATAGAATAGGATTCTACGAGAATGATAACGAATATAGACATTCTGCTGCTCGTATACATATGCGTCCGTAGGTCATAACGTATGATTCTGCGACCAATGAATCCATCGTTGTTGTTCACTATACCTTATTTATAATAGCGAATATCCTTCTGAGGACCGTAGCTCTTTTTGAGACTATGGTTCCATCTAAACTATCGACCTGCCTGTAGGGTGGACGACCTATGCCCTAGGTCTGACGCAACCCAAGCTTAAGACAGTGATCAGATTTATATGTCCACAATAACAGCCTCATTCCTCAACTCATTCTTCAACCCCCCACCCACAACAGCCGCATTAACAAACGTGGTTACCCTCTGCTCACCAAGTCTGACACCGAGGACCCTTTTCAGATAACCCAGAATCACAGCCCAAACCGTCCCCAGTATGACTCCCCATCCACCCAACCGGTTCATAACCTTCTCATGCCCTTGCCTCACGCCGTCAAGCAAAACGTCCTCCCTCCCATGCCCAACATGGATATGCCCAAAGACCACGAGACGCGGCCGGACACGGTGAATCTCTTGGTTCAGATGTGCGCAGCCTGAACGCCGTAGGCCGTTGGGGTCAAAACTATCGAGGTGAAGGCGTGGGGGACCATGGACAACCACGATGTCTGCATCGTCTGGGATGCGGTTGGACCATACCTCTTCAGCCGACGAGGAAGGGTACTGAAATGCCGAGATGCCGTATTGAGGGGTTTGTGGGGAGCCGTAGATTTTTAGGCCTCTGGTCTTCTCTGGGCGCTCGCTCTCGCTCTGCGTTTGGAGCTCGGGTTGGCGTTGGTTGGGATTGTTCTCATGCGCATGCGCATGCTGGGCAGCCTGGGCTCCATGCCTATCGTCATCCTCCTGCCCGTATCGCCCTCTCTGGTTCTGGCGCGGGAAATTCAAAGTAACACTCTCATCTTCCAGATAAACCAAGCCCCCCCACTCCAAATCCTTCCTCGTTCTGACATCCCCATACCTCCGCTCGGGGTACTTCTCCAAGAATCCCTCGTCAAGAAGCACATCATGGTTCCCTGCCACAACAATCTTGTGCGCATGCGGCTGGGCCGACAGCCAGTTCAGTTGCGCCTGGAGTTCATCAAATGAGCCGTTCTCTGTGAGATCGCCTGCGTGGATTAACACATCGCCTGGCGGGAGATTAGGCTTGTTGTTGTGCGTGTCTGAGACGCAGACGATGCGAACTGTTTCATCATTCGCATTGTCAGAACTAGCATTGTCAGAACCGAGGCGTGGGTTTGATGCTGAAGGGTTCAGGCGCAGATGTAGGTTCAGCAGGAGCTGGGCGTATTTGCGGAGATGGTGGCCGGGTAGGGTAACACTTATCACGCGCTGGGGCTGGGTCTCAGGGCTCATGTTGATTTATGGGGACGGCATCAATGGTGGTAAGAAAGTGGGAGATTGCTTGATTGGTTGTAGGGTCTGGTGTGGTCCCGAAGGTGAGTTTAGAGTTGTGGTGCTGCGGATTGGAGGAACGTGGCTTGTGTTGAATGCGCTCGCTTCCTTTCATGGATACCACAACTAGCTATAATGGCTGCGAATAATATATGGGGATTGGTCAAGTTTGATATCTTGTCATTATCCAGTTCCTTTACATACCCCGGATCTGATCATGGGAAATTCTATCGTATAAATCGTGCAACACATGGCCCCGCAAAAGCACATGAAGGCGAGGAATTGAGGAAACCGCCGCATGAGCAAAGAAACGCAGCAGGACGGTGTAAATAGCATAATCTTAAGCTTCAAGAAGCGTCGGTAGCGAGATTTCTCTTCGCACCGCAAGAATCTGAGTCTAATCTATATCACTCTTGGCCCCAAACGCCCGTATGTGATCAGAGAATAGTGCCAAACCTATACCGAGAGAAAGAACAAGAATTGTAATCAGCAGCTGTTTCCACGCAAAAACAAACGAACGAGATCTGGGCGGTAGTTGTAAGGAAGCAATTGATTGCGGTGAAAGGCGAGGGCCAACGTACCCGAATGTCTGCTTAATGCTGCGGACGTAGTAGAGCTCCCAGTTCTGTTTCGTGACGTCCTCCTGACCGACGGGGACGCCGGCCCACGAGACGCGCATTTGGGTAACACCGTCGACATCGTTCTGGTCAAAGTTGATCTCGAGGGTACTGAAGTGACCCTGGGGCCACTGAGCCAAGCGCCACTTCTGAACCAGCAGTTTGGGCGACTCAAGCTTCACGAACTCTCCAGTAACATTGCCGTCGAAGATGGAGAACTTGCCGCCGATCTTGGCACCGTCCCATTGGCGAGGCGCACCACGAGTAAAGGCTGTGAGACGCTCGGGCTCTGTGAAGGTCTTGAACAGCTCGTCGGCTGTGGTGCGGAATTCGTCCGAAGCGGTCACTGTAGTGGTGTTGACGGCGACCTTGTTGGTAGTGGTTGTAGTTGCGGACTTGGGAGCAGGGGTTTCTTGCTTCTTAGCATGAGGGTACTGAGCCGCAGGCGTGAAGCCGCTGGAGGGGTTGACACCAGGGGCGTGCTGAATATCCTTTCCGTGTTCAGCTACTAGAGCCGGGGCGAGCTTGGCCAGTTCCTTGCGGAGCTCAGGAACAATCTTTGAGCGCACAAGATCCTTGACGGGCTGCTTCGAAGCGGATTCCGAGTAGATTTCGATCTCGAACTGTACACCGGCACTTGATCAGCGCGGCCCGGCAGTGAAGCTGGAACGTCTAGGGAAACATACGACATACTCATCCTCCTCGGTGTCATGGGCCACTTCAGGAATGGTGATAGTTCCACTCACAGCCTCTTCTTCCTTAGTCTTACCTAAGAGAGGTCTTAGTGATTACTCGAGAAAAATCAAATTGAATTACAACTATGCGCGTACCTTCATACTCCAGCTGCAGCTTAACGTCGAACAAAGTAATGACCTTGCCCTTCCGCTGGCTGACATCTACGTCGCCGTCCATTGTCAGTACGTTGGACACCTTAGCGGTGACCCCATCCTCCTCGGCAGAAATCGCACGAAGCTTCTCCGTCAAGTAGTTCTTGGCCCAGCCGGAGACATCCTTGTTGACCCAGTGCCAGTTGTTGGGGTTGTGGAGAACCATGATGTCGGTAGTGTGTAAAATTAATTATATTTAGTCGTGCAGGACAAGTCTGCTGCGAAATGGAAACACCGGAGGGTATCAAGGTGTGGTCTTTATCTTCAAGGCTAGGTAAGGGTTCTGCTAACGAGCATCCAAATTAGCATCGGCCTTCTCAACAAAGGATAGAAAAAAAGCTAATCGATGCATGCAAGTGAATTCAGGATCTGGGTAGCGTTCCCGGATCAGGAAGCTGATCAGCAATGAAGAGAGATACGAATATCCAACTTCCTCTGACTGGTGCCAGCTAGTTGTCTCATCATAAGAGCAAGCGCGGGGCAGGAGTTGTGCGTGGAAGAAAATTTCAGCGCAACTTACAGTTTGACAGTTGAGTCCAGATCAAGGACACTGTAGTATAGGTAGATCAATCCAAATCAACGGACGGCAACAATGGGGGAAGGTAAAGAGAAATACCGCCGGAGAGAGGAGTGGGAGTTTTATAATGGGCACAAAGCCGGGAGTTGGTGAAGTTGAACCGAAGATTCAGAAGGAAAGCTCTAGAAGAAGAGCGGTCACGTGGGCTTAGTCACCGTCGCGCATCTGAAACGGGTTAGGCGCTGTGACCCACCCTATCGCTATCAACATCCATGACCACGTTAAAGGCCAGCCTCAGCATCAGTCACTCTTGTGATAACAATGGCCAACTTTACGGGGTGATATTCATAAGAATTTGGCCTATTGCTGGGAAACATCCCCCTTACCTTCTTCATGCCACTATGTTGGAGCTGGTGAAGCTGTTAGACCATGTGATTACATGAATTCGTACTGGGTATGTAGATGAATCCACCTTTACACTGCCTATTGCAGTGCCAATTTTGAAAAGGGCCGGTCCCAATGTTAATGACCCGCCAGCCTTGAGTCCCTTGAACTCCTCCGCAAACTCTCCTGGAGGATCAGCTGGTTGAACCTGCGAGGACCATGGTTTCGTATGCCCTTTTACTCGGTTGCAGTTTCACTTATCATCGTGAGTAGACGCTGGCTTGAGTGGCATTGGCTCGGTCATAGAGCTGTGCTGTCGCCCCATCGCCGGCAATCTGCTTTGTCGTCCAGCAATGGGGTTTTAGCGCTTGATGATCAACTCGTCTTCAGACACTCAGGGTTTGCAGCGGTGCTACCGAGATGAGTCTGTCGAACGAGGCTTCCTCTTCACCGGAATCGCGACTTCTGGACAAAGGCATAAAGAAGCTAGCCTGGAATTGGCGCAGTGACGTCAAACTAGCCCTGTCCATATTGATTATTACGTTAGTGGCCAACTTGTCCTCTTCATTGTCGGCACGACGCCAGAGAGCAAAGGTGGTATTGGGACCTTTCACCAAGGACGCGCAGCGAAGATCGTACGACTCAATACAATGTATCATCTCTTGATCAATGTTCTGAGCACTTGTCTTCTATGCCTAGTCTTGGTGGCTATAATACCCTTTCACCCTTTTACGAACAGTTGAATCGGACCTAGGCCAACCTTATCTCCCTGCAACATCCAATTCCCATACCAAAAACCATATTAGTCCTGTTAACACCAACCTTTCCCACATCCCGCAACCCAAAAGAGCACACGAGACAAACCACCACCAACCAGCGAAGATAGTCCAATACACGGCATGATACCCCTGCAGAAGCTGTTTCGGGCTCTGAGAGGTTGTGCCCGCATCACTCCTGTAGTGGACACCAAGCGAAGCCCCTATAACGGCTGCAATAGCAGGCCCAACGGAGTTGCCTAGCTGTGAAATCGTGTTGAAGACACTGCCGGCCAGCGCTTGCGAGTTAGCTAGGAAGGCGCGACAGATGACGAGACTGAGACTGTCCAGAGGACTATCAACACGCACGTGTCGGTCAAGCATAGCGTACTATTACAATGGAGGGGACTCACCATCTCCACTAATTGGACTCAGCGTGATCACAACAAACGCCGCAGCCCAGTATGACTACCCGGGAGACGCAACCGCCATCAGAACCGGCGACACCGCAGTGATAACTGCAGATGCTCCCAACAACATATTCACATTGACCCTAGCTACCAGATGCGCAGCAATAACGTTCGTGACCGCACCCACTACAGCCATAGGCAAGAAGCGGATGGACGCCTGCAGCGTAGAAATATTCTCAACCTCCTAGAAGAACAAGGTAGATATATGCTAGAAAGCATTGAACGCAGCCCACGTGAAGAACATGGCCACGCAGATAAACAGGAACGGCAGATTCCGCCACAGGGAGTTGGTGTTCAGGGCTGTTTTGGTGCTTCAGCTGGAACTTCAACCAGAAGGAGAATGTTGGTAACATCGCCGCTGAAATGGACAGTAGGACTATGTACTGAGCGCGCGCCATATTCTTGTGGCTGAGCGTCACCATGCTGCGAAGCACCTGCAGTTAGCGGAGCCCGAGATGAAGAGCCGGCCAGATGGACACGGTAGGCAAAACAAGGCAAGGCAAGACTCACGCAAGAACATACGAAAGCAACCAAAAAGCCAACGCCAGGATCCCACGCCAACCCAATCGACATCATGCACAAGCCGGCGCCGGGTCGTTGTGTCCAGCCTCTTATCCTCCCCATCAGTCGGGAGAACATGTACGGACGCAACGCAAAACCCCGCATCGACAACGGCAGTGATATAGAACCCCCCACCGCCACCCAATCGACCCCGTAAACACACCACCAAGTATCAAGCCAAGCGCATACCCCAACGGCTGCTCCATTCGTCGCAGCAAACGCGATTCCTCATCCGGCCCGGCGGAAACAACGCCGTGACCAGGACACATGGCCCGGCAGCGAATAAGCCCAGAACCGCACGGAAGGGGATGAATTGGGTCCCCGTGCGCGCGAGCCCGCATGCAAGTATCAGGGGGCATGAGAAGCCGCGTTCAAATAAAGCCACACTGTCTTCGAGCCCAGCATGTCCGCGACGGAGCCGAATGCCAGCAGTGTGCATCCTGCGGTGAGGGCGTAGACGGAGGCAGGCCCGAAGGTCAGGTCGCGGTCGAGGTTGATGTCGGCTGCGATGGCTGGGAGGGCGGTTGTTAGGATGCCGGTGCGGGAAACGCTGGTGAAGGTTACGCCTGTTAGGATTGTGACTTGAGGAGGGTCTTGCTGTCTTTGGGGGTGGGCGTAGGAATGGCCTCAGTCGGATTGGACGGTGTCTTGTTGTCCAGACTTGAGAGCTCGAGTACTGGAGTCGAACTTGCGACGCCTTTTATGCTTGAGACTCTTCCATGATGTGATTCAAGGGGCGGAGGAGGCGCTGTGACTGTAGTTGTAGTCGTAGTTGTTATTGGCATTGTCGTGGTACAGGACGGTCAGGGGAAGGAGATAATGTCAGTTTCAAGACTGTCGGGAGCATACCTATAGGGACAAGAATCACCTTATCTTCTTATATTGGAACCAAGTCTAGAAGAGGGCCAGACTGACCTTAGCAGGAGATTCTATGTCCTATCTGGGTACTAATGGCGCCATGATAAAGCCATGGCGCTTCCTACTGGCCCAACCTCCTGCGGAAATATAACTACGACTACCAATCGTATGGCTTTGTTCCTTCTATTTATTCGTGCTGTGTACTATGATCAGGGATTGCCCTGGGTTGTCGCACAGATTATGACTCGGAGACGTCAGCTGTAACCACCCAGTCCCGCTTAGCTAAAGGATCGTTAATCGTCGATGAGGTGACCGGGCAGGTAACACCACGGTTCGATGGTCAACCTCTATCCCCCCATCAACAGTGGTAACCCTCCTTGCGTATCGCAGAGCAGTCCTCATCTCGCCCTGATGCGTACGCCACGGATGAAGACTTAAAGAGAAGATCCGCTCACTCTCCACGGGAACCCTTCCCGGTCGAGCCAGAACATTCCCAAGCATCAGATCCTTCTCCTCACAAACAGCTCCGCCCTCTTCAACAGCCACCACCGCTGCAAGAAAATCCGCCGCCGAGTGCGGAAAGTGCATGCCCTGTAGCGGCGGTGCCTGGAGCAGATAATAGAGCGCTTGTCGACGGATGAAGGGGGAGCGGCATTTCATTACCGTGATGAATAGGGACATGGCCGTGCCCATGTCGAAGATGAAGGGCGGTTGAGTCCCTGTGTCGGCTTGTGTTGCCGTGCCGGCTAATGCGCGGGCTGCGTGGGAGATGAGCTTTGTGAAGGTAGATTCGTAAGCATCGTAGGAGGACTCTGATGTAGAGAGGGCGGTTTGTGTAAGAATGAGGATGCTGTGGTATGTCATGGAGAGAACGGCTATGATTCCTTGGTGATTGCGGGACGTCTTGGGCGTTGGGGTGTTGTAGTCAATCACTTCTGGTAGTCTAGAGAACTGACAGTTCCACATAAAAAGGGAGTGTTCAAGAGCGTCTCGGTTTTGTTGTAATCGAGCGATTGAGTCTTGGTTTGCCGGTTCATATGATGCCTCGCGGATCGCCGCACAGCCCTCATCTAATACCTTCCATTCAGCGACAAGAGTGTAAAGTGCCGACCGTGCATCAGACAGAGATGTGAAGTTCTTGGAAGCACTCGGAAACCTTGGTAAACGCGCTGGAAAAGGGGTGTCCCGCGTGATGATGACAGCAATAGTGCCGATGCGGAGAAGGATGGACGTGATTGCAGCCTCTATATTTGACCGCAGAGACTCAGGTATCGACTCCATAAGCTGCATACCCTGATGGTACAGTCTCAACGCATCCTTCACGTTGCCCTGGATCATCTCTATGCATATAAAGAGTACACAGCTTACCAGCGCAACCGCATGGCTTACAGCACCCCGCTCGATCTGACGTTGAAGTCGTTTCAGAGAACGCGAGTACCAGGCAAAGGCCTCTCTATGGGTCCCGGACCCGGGTCGAGATAGCTGATTGGTGTCCTCAACCTGATATGTAGCGATTCGCCGGATCGGTGGTGGCTGTTCATAGAAGGTACCCAGGGCGGCTATCGCGTCCCAGATAGCTGGTTCAGTTCTGCACATTTGCAATACGGTGCCTCGCCAGAAGTCCAGGTCCAGGACGTCAGACAGACACGGCGCAGCGTGGAAAAAGTAATACTCGAACGCGCGCCTTTCCCTTGATTCAGGAGAAGCTGTTGGTAGAACACGAGATACTGCAACACGATCCCTCCGGGTGGCTGCAGGCCTAGCATAGTCGCACCACCGTCCCGTACTCGTGCATCGCAGACAGTGAGGCTTCTCTTCTCCACACTTGACGCGGCGTATTCTTGCAAGAGTCAGTACTAACTGTTGGCCACCTTTCTATGAGCAAACTGACTTGCATGTTTTGCAGCCGGTCTTGGATTTGAGTCTGCTGGGGCCGGTTCGAATCAAGGCCGACATCGTGGATCCGAGGCAATGTAATTATCGGCGCCTCACCACCAGCGCCCGTTGCTGGTGCCAGTTCATGAGTACTCCGGTAAGTTTGAGGATTATCTGACGAAGACTCGACTAAAGGTGGCGACGCGATCCACGCTTACCTAACCCAGAACGGCCAAGCGCCATCAAAGCCTCGCTGGAAGGTCAGGCCGGGGCCGGGGGGCCTAGGTGCCTTCCTCTTTGGGAACCGTGCTTCTTGTGTGACAGATCTGGCTGGTTGGCCTCTATAGGGTGAAATATGTACCTAGGTATCTGGATTACGCTACCATTTTGGGCTCCCAAGGTCTTCAAGTTGCAGGATATATATCCGTACAAAGCATTTGTATATCAGCCCAAATAGCGCCAGGATATGCTGAAGACATTGGGTTTCTGAGGGTGTAGAGGTCCGAGTGGACTGTTCTATTGGCCTCCGGATCCAGCCTCCAACTATAGTCAAGGTTTCTTATAGATCATCTCCTCCTCGAAGCCACCCCTCTAATGTGCATTTGACTACAATCTCCACAATGGCCTCGCCAGCTAATGAAGAGATAGATGGCAACGAAGATACCGACGACTGTCAATGTCAATTCCGCATCTTACGGTACACTGACTTCATCGATTCCGCTTCCTGCGCAAAAACGCTTACTTCCCCGTCGCCATCCTGTCCATCTGTGTGCTCAACACTGTTGTCGAACATGGCCCAATCCATGGCAACTTCCTCAAGTTAGGAGAATCCCATTCTCACCGCGAGAGCCGCGTATAAACTTGCCTCCTAGTCAAGAACTGTCGACATCCTCCCTCTGAAGCCGTTCGCATACAAACAGCTCAATTGTCGGGATGGCTTATTAGTCTCCAACCACCGTTGCATACCTGAAGAGCGCAAGTGCTCTCTGGAATGTGCTGTCCGTGTAAGAAACATGGCCACGGACCGTAAGGTATTTATCCTGACTATGCCATTCTTCATAATCACTTAGCTGGCTTACAACGAAGAGAGGTCACTTGCCGTGCTCACTGCGTGGAACACCGAGGCCTTGAAAAGTACAAACATGGCCAGGAAACGCGACCTCAACCTCTCCGTATGCCAAAGCTGAGTTTCAGAATTGGATTGGTTTCAATTCGACGCCATTACTAAACGGTCAGTTCAGTGATCATCTGCGGCCAGAGAGCACTACCTACGCGTTCCCTATACCCGGTCGACCCCGATCAGCACTACCAGTCTCTGCCTTTAAGTACACTTCGAAAGCGAGGAGCAAACACGACGCCGGAATCTACACACTGCTGCGATGATGCTGGGGGCTTTGCATCAATTCTTTCTGGCGGCTGGCCGGGGAATTCTTAAGGGTTTTAATGGCAATGTGCAGGGTACGGAAGGGCTTAGAGACGTTCTGCAACTGGAATACTCTACTCAGCCCTATCACCCTCACCGCTCCAAAGCAACCAAGCAAGCACAATCGCGCCTTTCAGCACGACCACCATCCACAGCGCCCCCATAAGCCCAACCTCACTCTTCGCCCAAGCCCCTCCGAGCAAAATACCCACAAACAATCCCACAACAGCCCCAAGACGCCTCCACTCATCCGCACCCTTCCCCCTCCCAGAACCACCAAGATACGAAAACAAATCACAGTAAACACTGGTAAGCACCACGCTCGTCAACCCACTGAACCCAACAACCCGACTCGTAACCGCCTGCCCGGAGCTCTGAAACGCAACAAGCGCCAGCGGCAGCGCAATCTCCCAGCCCAATTCATCCGCCTTACTCGCTTTATGCACAGTCACAATACCAGCCGCCACAGCAACACAGAGCATCTGCACCGTAAAGCTGAGTGCCAACGCACCTCGTTCCCTCGGACTCCGGAACATCCTCGAGAGAAGCGTGAAGAGAAGACTGCCAACACAGAAACTCGCGATTGAAATCAGCGCTTTCAGCCACCGCTGTGCCTTTCCGCTCTCGTCTAGTCCTGACAATCCGAGACCCAGGTATACGGTGTTGCCGGTTTGCATGCTCACGAAGGAGCCCCATATGAACACGGCGGAGCTGTCGAGAAGACCGGTGATTATGTAGCAGGTTAGGAGGAGGAGGTCCGTGCGGTGCGGTGTGATTTCGGTTGTGAGGTGGTGCTTCAGGCGCTGGAGGGAGAGGGAGGACAAGGGGTTTCTGTGAGTGGCAGGGCTGCTGGTCCCGTGGCTGAGGAGGGGAGAGGTTTCGTGGGTGGGGAGCATGCGTGCCATTGGGTATTCTGTCGGTTGGCTGAGTAGGTATTTCTCAATGATAAAGGGTTCAGGAGAAAGTTGAAGTTTTGTTTTGGCGACTTCCAGAAATTGTGGAGTTGGTTCTGGCCATGACGTCATGCTGCGTAGGGCTGAATGTACCTGGATAGCCAAGATTTAGTCTGTCTTGGGGAGTAGTAGCTTGATCCTATTTATCCAACAGATCAGATTATCTTCTGCAGTTAGAGAATCATGTCCTAGGCGTATGGTGTATGGCAATATATGTCTTTCATCTGCTTTCACCGGTATATACTTGATAGCCCTAAAAGACTGCATCGTGCGCCTCCGATACTGCTGTCTTCTAGGCGTTTCTAATATATGTCCAGCCTGGTAATATTGACATCACTAATCTACAGATATCCTACAGTATGCTTTGATCTAGCCAATCAAATTACATGCATCGCCCTGAGCCTCTTGATATGCTCCGCCATCCTAGGGTCTTTGTCCTTAAGCCACTTCCCAAACCCATCTTTCAAAGGACTTGCAATCAAGCTCTGCTCTCTCCACTCATGCAGTTGACATGGCACCGTCTGCCCCGTATAAATCCTCTGCGGGTTGTCCATGGCTAGCGGCCACAACTCCGTAAGACGCGCAGAGTGCGTTGTAAGCATCGCGAAGAGCTCGCTCCAGACGAGATTACCAAGAATACGCATGTGTCCCACGTAGCCGGGGGCATACTGATAACGAACGGGTCTGTCTTCGTCATGACTCTCGCTGTGATCAACTTCACTTTCGGGGACCGAGTCTGAGTCGAAGTCTGCGTCGACGGCTAGGAGGTGGCCGCGGAAGGCGCTGTTACCTGGGAATACTTTCTCGGCAGATTCAATCGCCGGGTGGGTTTCGTATCTGTAGGAGGCTGCGCTCCAGTCATCGATCATGAGGAAGACGTCTGTGTTGATCTTTTCTCGATATGAGTCCGACTCTCGCCATTGCTGGAAGTGCCTGAAATGGTCGACGACGTTAGCTTGTTTGTAGTTAATACGAAGGCTAGACGGACCTTTTTGCGGCCGCGGTATCACTGAAATCCAGGCCTAACTCCTTGCAATCGAACCAATGGAGCCTGAGGAGCGGCTTAACCTCATCTGCGCCCTGAATGTTGTTTCCCCAGTGCAATATATGGGCTTCCATGTTCCTCTTCACAGTCTGCCATTCTTCGTCGGAGGCCTTGTAGGCTGCACGGTAGATGGCAAACCCGAACTCACGGCGAGCTACTTCCGGCAGCTGTGGATTTTTCAAGTCATACTCGTGAGACTTGAGAACATACTCTATCCAATGGACCAGCGGAGGCTGTGGGGGCAATCGTCCACGTATTTCTTTCCGAAGCATATCCTGTGCCGCTACGAGTATCGAGAAGCGGACACGAAGAGCAGCTAGCGTCTGCAATCGCCCAGGCTCTGACTGGTACGCAGAAGAGCTGTTATGCAGTGCTTGAATTAGCTCTTCATATCTTCCCTGGTAGCCCTTTTTTTGGGCGTCCAAGCCGGGATAGTGTAGCCCGGGTGTGACCTCGGCGGGGGGTTGGTAACCGGTATAGCCGTCCATGGACATCCAAATCATGAGATCAGCCATTGCGGTAATCTCCGTAAGATTCTGTATTCGGTCTTGGTAGACCTTGGTCTCCTCTGAATCCATCTTCTCAACCACTTGGGGCACGTTGCAGAACTCGTTTATAGTGTGATCTCGCAATTCGGCCACGCGAGAAAGAACCCAAGAATGAGCAGTTGCAGTCATGATTTCGTATTTTGCGCGGATGAATGCTTCCCACAAGCCAACTAGATTGAGCTCCAGTATATTCCCATTTGGATCCTGGAGCTTGCGACGAGCGTTCAAGGCATCCTGGAGCTCTTGCAAGTCGCCCGCTATCAAGTTAAAGGTACCACGCATATTGTCGCGAACTTCAGGTGTATTTAGATACTCAAAGACAACAAGGACAGCCGTCAGGTGCTCACGCGCGGTGTTGAAGTGCTTGGGGTTATTGAGGTCCTTTTCAATCCATCGACTGTCCGGCATGGGGACAATACCATCCTCGAGCTGACGCTTGAGTGAGTGGATGTTCTGGCCAACACGACATAGCCTGCTAGTGTCTCCAAACTTCCCAATTCGGTCCTTCAATTTATGTATGATGGTGACGGTACAGCTGTTAAAGGGAGCGGGGGCCCATTCTGCGCTTGGGAGCAGAAACAAATCACCCTCCTCTTCATCCATGATACGGAGACTAGTCTTCTTTCCATTGGGCAGTATACCGTCCCCCAGGAACATAAGAAATTGGCGGATAGTCTGATGGTCGATTAAATTATCGACTGGGATTATTAGCGCGATGCGATAAGAACTGGGACATGGTCTCTCCCAGAGAAGGGGCAAGTACCAACAGACAAGTCCTGACTCGCCCAATGCGGTTCAAGGAGCTTAGAGCCGGTAGTTTTGATCTGTGTGACATCGAAATTCCAAGTCGGCCACCCCGGAGAAGGGCTTGTGTGTGATTGTCGCGCAGTAATAAATGGTGAGATGTTTCGCTTTGGATTTCTGAGTTTAGGACCGTAGAAAGGGGGTCCAGTATGATTATGGCGCACATGCGTCAATGGCCTGGGCAGACCGTAGAGGCGACGGCTCTGAAGCAAGAGTCGAGACACTCGAGGAACTCTTGTGGGCATGTTGGTGAGTTGTTGTTTGGGAAGATCAGGGATCAGCAGTTCAGACACTGAGACAAGGGGGGAAAGATCGATCGAGCTCCACGCCACTACGCCCGTTTAGGAAGGAGGCCCCTTTCCCGGGCCCGAGGTCGGGCCGGGCCAGCCATGCTATTCTTCGGAAAGATCTCAGGTCCATCTATCGCTCCGACACTCAGATCTTTGCATCAATCACTTCCCCATAATATTTCGTCGACAGAGGACCACCCGGAGGCCCATACGATGGCTTTCCCTATGCCACAACTCGAATACTAAGATTTATCCGCCTCCTATGCAAGTGTTGGACTGACTCGAGTCAAGCGTATGGTAGCTACCACACGCGAGACATGGATGAATTACCTCCGGGTAGCAACAACCATAGATACTCTATCCAGGCCCATATCAAACAGCTCAAATCCAGCAGCGTCACACTCAGCCCGCATCCACAGCTGCCACATTTCATTATCGCATTTTGTAAGAAAAGCTAGAGTCTCTATTCGAAGAAAGAACATATGTTCAGCCCTTATATTCACGTCATGGAAAGCCTCGACAAGCCACAGCTCTAAGCACAGTAGAAGTTGACATAACATTCAGGGCTCCCATCGTCACCAATTTCGCACGACTCAATCAGCGGGAAGAAATCCGAGTTGGGGCAGTTGTCAAGGCAAGTCCTGTAACTTCCGCAGGGAGCATCGTCTACACCTAATGTCAGTACTCAGCAGGCCTTGTTCGAGAATTAAGAGAAATCTTGCATTGTGCCATGGCGAAGGCAGCCAGGCCGAGGATGGAGAGGATGGACGCGAGCTTCATTATGCTAAGCACGCTGGAAGTAAGCAAGGACATTGTTAGGGTTAGGGTGAGGAATGAACTTACTGAGGATAACCTTGGCGGAATAGCTTTGGTAGGATACTTACAACAGGACTCTGTTCCTGTTTATATAACTTCTCAGAAAAAGCATTGGTATTAGGGTTCCGAAGATGGTCGATCTTCTGCGAGGTGACGACCCGCAGTAGTCAAGCTGAAGCTGATCCTTCCAAGGTTGAATCCTTTCGGGCCTTGAAAGATACTCCGACACTCCGGAGTTGATCTCTTACTCCACGACTCCAGTCCCTTGCACTGCGAATCCTATACAGATTGGAAAATGGGCCCAAAGGTCAGCAGCACTTTTCAATACAAGACCAAGCCCTGCAGATGCCAAGCAGATCTATTACCAGTGAGAACGCCAACAAGCAGCGGTCAATCGCCAACTCAATAATTCAGTTGCCTCAGCGGATACATGATCTGCAAGTAAGACGAGATCAAATCAGGGCTCTTGTGTGCTCGAGCCCTATATTGGCTCAGTCAGCCTACATGAGTCGTATAAACTACGGTCCCACGGCAAGGGACATGAATGGTAAACGATGATATTGTTATATGTACAGGTAGAAGGGATATCTAAGCCATTATGCAGTTTACTCCGGCTCCCGCGGCCCCGTCTCAACCCTCACCTCAGTTGCAATACGAATCCCCATCCCCTTCGCCCGGTCATGCATCTGCGCTGCCTCCGCACTGTTCCTCTCGGCCAGTATACTTTCCTGCGAATCGTTGTCTCCCATTCGACTTCCCGACCCGATAATCCCCGTCATCGGCATGCTATTATCATATATGCGGCTGGTACCCTTGGCATTCCGTGATGAAACCCCGTACGTCTCTCCGTATGATTGTCCGTAGCCCTGCGTTGGGCGGCGACGATACGACGAGATGTTGATTGCGAGCGCGCGGAAATATGGGCCGTAAGTTGGGACGCAGCTTATTATTATCTTGATCATTGGTTATATGTTAGCAATCCACTCTATGGCAAGAAAAGGTGGTATTCGGTGCGAGACTCACTCCAAGACTGACTTCAACATGAGACCAGAGAATGACCGCTTGGCTGTCTGTGTATGTTTTGAGATGCTTGACTGTGAAGATGCGGATGATTTGGATGATTGTCACGAAGAAGCCCAGGCTGAAGAGCATACCGAGTAGGATCTACTCTTATCATGTTAGCTTACTCCTCCTTGACGATGATTGATCGAACTAAAAGAGTCGACGAACCTTCTGTCGCAGCTTCAGCTGCAGTTTAGCAAGGATCGGCAGCGGTAGGGCAATGATAATCGCGTCAAAGCCGAGACTCGTCCCAGCAATACCGTAGTATGACGCAACGGTGTTGATACATGTCCCCGGGATGGACTTGTCCCATTGACGGGCAATCTATACTCGCTTAATTGTCAGTCATGTTTTTAATCCTTTCTACCTGCGACGGTATAGCGGACCGGGTTGCAGCCAAACGAGATCACAAACGTAAAGGCAATCTGGTTACACACGCATGCAGCAATGACTGCAAATATGACCACCCGATACAACTTGACGAAACCTCCAATGCGGAGATAGGACGCGAGTAGCGAGATCTTGAACCCCAGTAGGGCGAGCGTGTATGTTGGGCCTTCGATATATTGCATCTGATTGATTTCGGTAGTATCGTTAGTCATGGCATACCAGCGCAGAAAACAGGGGATGGACACCAACCTTGCCCATCATGACCTCGTTGGCTTCAGGGAGATATTCTGCACTAAGGCCCAGGCCCCAGCGCGTCTCTTCGCTCTGTTAGCACATTTCTTTCTTTATCTCTTTCTCTCCTGCGCCAAAACATACGAGCAACAGTAAGTCCCGCATATACCGCCTCAAGAACTGCACTGGACAGCGTCGCATAATCATCCACCCACAGGGATTTCTTCACGTTTATTCGAACATGGAACCGCAGCGCAACGGCTATGCATGCCGCGGTCGCAAAACTCAAGCAGACCCCGTTGACCCGAGAAATATGGCTATTCGGGTCGGGCGTTTGGAGGTTGTGCACCCAGCCCATGGCTCCACGCCCACACGAGAGCGTTGGGGCCCGACTTAAGTTGCAGATGGGAAAAAAAAAGTAGTGGAACAAAGAAAGAATAAAGGGATGCTCAGAGAACAATCGATAGAGGCTATTCCGCACTCTGATCTCGGGCTGAGACTGAACTGATCATGGCAGATTTCCAGGGAATGATTCGCAGGACGTCGAAGCAATATGTTCGCGAATGCAGGCTGCGCTGCACAGAACGAGCTAATGCCAGCTCCCTCGTGCACTGATTGAGCCAGTAGATAGCCGCCAGGCGAACCTCAGCAAGCGCTAGGACTTGGCTGAAACCGCCGACACGATGCTAGTGCTTACCTACTGCTTATAGCATTTCTTCTCCTCTTATGCAAGGCCGCATCTAACAGGATCTAAACCGTAGCGTACTACCCCGGGCCGGTAAGGTTGACGCTAGGGCATTCCTTCCCCGGTCTCGCGACGCCACAATGAACCTCTAGAGTCTATCGTATGCACGCATTCTGGAGAGCCTTCTATTGTCGTCTTATGCTCCGAATCCATGAATCCATGATGGTTTGTACTCCCCGTAGTAGTGAGGCTCATATTGTGGGTGACACTGGTAACGGGCCGACAGGCGGAAAAAGCGGCCCCAATGGTGAGTGGACTCAGTGGAGCGAAGTCGGGGGAATCCGCCCGGACTGCCCGAACTGAGGCCCACCTGTCATATAAAGGGGGATCACAGCGGCCAAGGAGTCAGGGATCCTAATCATTTTGGATAGAACAATCGGTAAAGAAGACGATGGAGGAAAGGTACAGTAAGCAACCAAATGGGACAAATGACTCAAACAAGTGCTCATGAATTGTGCTGCAGACTAAGCTGTCGGTCTGCCTCGAATTCGCTTAGGCCCTTTTCTTGGCTCTTTTGTTGGCGTGATAAGGTGTGGCACTGCTGGGGATCGACATGGCGAGCGGGACAGGGCGCTGTTTATATTAATTATGTTTAATCAACAGCTTCTTAGCGTGGGGAGCTCTTCTTGCGGAGTGCCAGCTTCGTCTCTCATCCATGTAGACATGGTCAAGCTGCAGGCAAGCTTCTTTGGAGTAAGGCATTGATGCTTGTCAGTCGGTGATTGTTTGATTGGGACATGAAATGACAGTGATGGTTTGTGGGTCATGTGACTGTTCCTACCTGTACAGTAGGTATCCCTGCGACGCCGAGGCGTGGATCCTGGACAGCATCCTCAATTCCCCACAGCATCCTTACTCCAAAATCCAAATAATGGCGTCGGAGCAGAAACTGACCGTACCATTGACGCGTCCACTCCGCGCAAGACAGTTAAATACGATGGCAAGGTACATGTCGGCCGTCTTTCCCCTCGACCGGCTCAACCTGCTGCTGTCACCATGTTGGGACTCCCCACGGGATTTACCACCATTCTTACCGGCCTCCTGGCCCTGTTCCCCGCTGATGGAAGCTGCTCTTGTCGCTGCATGCCGGGCGACGCCTGCTGGCCCGATCGTGCCACTTGGTCAAGCTTTAACCAATCCATTGACGGTCGGCTAATTGCAACCGTGCCAGTAGGGAGGCCTTGCCATGGCTCTGCTTACAATGCAGCTGTATGCGATGCTCTCGGCGAAGAGTGGACACTTCCTGAGATACAGTAAGTCAATTGGACAGAGCACACTGGATGGGAACATCCTAACATGTCTAGCTATGAGACCTCTTCCTCCATCATGGCGCCGTTCTTCGCCAACGGCTCTTGCGATCCTTTCCATCCCGTCGAGAAGCCCTGCACGCTGGACAATTACATTGTCTACGCGGTCAACGTGAGCAGGCCCGAGCACATCTCAAAGGCGATCCAGTTTACGACAAAGCACAACATCCGCACCGTGATTCGCAATACCGGCCATGACTATAACGGCAAGTCGACTGGTGCCGGAGCGTTGGGGATCTGGACGCACAATCTGAAGAGCATCGAGATCAAGAACTGGAAGGACTCGCACTACAAAGGAGAAGCAATTAAGCTCGGCGCCGGTGTGCAGGGCCACGAAGCATACGAGGCGGCCGATGCGCTGGGTTTAGAGGTTGTTGGTGGTGAGTGTCCCACAGTGGGTATCGCCGGTGGATATACCCAGGGTGGAGGACATTCCGCGTTGGCCTCTGCGCACGGCTTGGCGGCCGACCAAGTGTTGCAATGGGAGGTTATTGATGGCAAGGGCAGATTCATTACTGCTACAAGGGATAACGAATACTCTGACCTGTTCTGGGCACTGAGTGGAGGGGGTGGTGGGACGTATGGTGTCGTTTGGTCTATGACCTCCAAGGCTCACCCAGGCACACCCGTTTCTGGCCTGAACCTGACATTCACAAACGAAGGCATCTCGCAGGATACGTTCTACAAGGCTGTGGGTCTGTACCACACTACTCTCCCATCTCTGGCCGACGCTGGTACCATGAGTATCTGGTATTTCACAAACACCAGTTTCTCCCTCCGGCCTCTGACCGGTCCCAACATCCCCGTCGCCAAACTACAAGAATTGGTAAAGCCATTCACCGACGGACTTACCGACCTCGGCATCAGCTATAACATCTACTCAAAGCAGTTTCCCAGCTACCTAGCTCAATTCAACGGGATGCAGGCCGATATCGAAGTCGGCATCGCTCAATACGGCGGCTGGCTGATACCACGGTCCGTGGTCCTCGAGAACAACGTCGCCCTTACAGCCGGCTACCGCCACATCACCGAGTCCGGCGCGACCTTCATCGGCGTCGGACTTAACGTCTCCAAAGCTGTTGCCGGCGACGTCCACAACGCGGTCCTCCCCGCCTGGCGAGACACTCTAATTCACACCACCCTTACCACCGATTGGGCGTGGGGCGCTGACAAGGAGATGCTCGAGCAGCAGCGCAAGATGACTGATGACTACATTCCGACTTTGATGGAGCTGGCGCCCGACTCGGGGGCGTATCTGAACGAGGCCGATTTCCGCCAGCCCAACTGGCAAGAGGCGTTCTACGGGTCAAACTACGCTGCTTTGAGGAAAGCCAAGGCTAAGTACGATCCGAATGATGTGTTTTATGCTTTGCAGGCGGTTGGCTCAGATGAGTGGACAGTCAGTGGCAGTGGGCGGCTGTGCCGTGCGTAGTACCAAGCATCTTCCCTTGTAAAATAACCAGTTGTAGGGAATGAATTGCCATTAGATAGATCAAAAGTACCTTCATGTCAAGATACTTAGGTGAGCCTAATACAAGCCTCAGATCTTAAGGATGAATGCCTAAGTGAAGGTTACAGTTTGAAGTCTCCGGCCTCCTCTTCCGTGGCCTCCTCTTATTCTCATTTCCAATCTCAACTCTCCTCGCTCTACTAGTACCCAACTGTTAACAACCTGCTAGCCCGTTACTTTCTGCCTTCTTATATCCAAAATGTCCAATGTTACGACTAGCCTTACAGAAACCCCAAGGGGACAGCAAAACCACCCAAACCGACTTCCTTGCAACTCATGATATCCATCTCGAGTCGTATTCCTTCGAGGATGCCATGGCACCACCACAGGAGTCTCGCGAGTACGTGACCGTCGAGCACCGTGTTGCTCTGGAGGACCATGACCCAGAGTCCCCAAACAGACTCTCCGACATTGTCTTCCAAAACGACTCGCCCGGCGGCTGGGATCTGCACGAACGCGCTGACTCCATTGCGCTTTGGCTTGTGAGAATAGCATACGAATTTCCGCGTCCCCTGCCCCCCAATGTTCTTGACATGGCGCACTATTGTGAAATCGCACCCGTGCTGTATAAAGTCTGATTCCTGTCTCTCAGATACTAGCTAATCCCGCGTCATAGCCATCCCCACGGTCTCGACTTATCCGACGATGGCTTGAATCGCATGGACCCAGCCGCCGCCAACTGTTGGAACTCCGACATCTACGAGTCCACCAGGAGGACCCGAACCGGGCAGAGCTTCGCGCACTTGATACTGCTCACCATCCTCGCCGTTCCTGGGGCCGACGGGTCCATAACCCACTGAGAGCTCTGTGCAATTGTGACAGCCATGCGAAACCATGCGTTTCAACCCGCCGGGTTCAACGTCGAGGACGGGGAGTATGAAAGCGAAGCCGAGGACCTGGCTGCCCATCAGCGCGAAGAACTGCGCTATACAGAGCTGCTCTTTGAATGTGAGCAACGCTTCCCGGTGCTTATGGTGGCTGTGCTGGGTAACCAGGCTCGGATCAACTATGCATGCATATCACAAGGGGAACAGCTCCATATACGCCAGTCGCAGCTGTATAGATTTGCGGAATTCGGATCAGCCTCGTTTGATCTTTTTTCTCGCGTTCTACTCAGCGAACCCGTGCAGCTGGATTAGAACAGGACGTTGCGGTGACAGGCGACTGCTGTTCTGAGTTTTCAAGGATCGCTACGTCAACTGCGGTTGAAGGGCCGAGTTGCAACAAAATACATGCACCCTCTAGCCTGCATATAATCAAGGTCAACGTGGATTTGTCAGGCAAATCTACTAAGAGACGGTCACTGTGCTTGCAATAGTTCCATTGCTGCGGCTCGGCCAACAATCACCTATATTTCTTGTCCGTACTACCTACCTTGTTTAATCCACAACATGTAACTGAAGCAATTATATCTCCGATGCCATTATGTTATTGGCGGGATCTGGCTCCTGAAAGCTGTCAATGTCCATCCAGACGGGATGAGCTCATGACGGCAGCCAGGAACCGGGTTGAGTTCCCTCCTCAAGCCCTAACCAGGCTCTACCCTCGTTGTTATACTGACATAGCTGATCACGTACAGAAGTCTTATTCCATACTTGGGAATGAAACTGTCAAAAGTCGAACCACGTCGTGCGCTTCCCCACAGTCGATCGAGCCGAGCCAATCTGCCCTACCTATACCGTATGGCAGGGGCATGGGGACCCGCTTTCTCTCCGAGGTCCCAGCTACGGTAACGGTAGGTAGCCCTTTCGGTTAAAAAGAGGCTGAACAGATACAAAAGGTATTCAGGGCCTCCACTCTTTGACTTCGAAACGCAAATTACTTCCTAAGTATTCTAGCTATCGAACCAGCTGATCCTGACTCTGACTCGTCGTCAGGATCATAAATTCGGACTGCTTGTGAATCTGTCCCAGCGGTACAGGGCGGGCATTTCGTGCCTCATCCTCATCGCTCTGGTGTGTTGTGTCTCCATAGCAGCGTGGGAAGATGGCCTTCAAAAGCGCCGGAATACTCGGCATGCAGGCGCAGACGATTGCCACGTCGCATTCGACCATGCTCCAGTAGATGGCCGGGTTGTTGTCCACTGGAGTTGGATCAGTGGATGTAATATGGCTGGCATGCAGTTCATGTGCAGGGGTAGGGGAACTGACTGCTTATATTGGCGGATTTGGAGAACTTGATTAGCGAGCGAAGACGGAGACAGCTTACTACTGTGATCCTATGCTCGTTAGCGGGCGTCGGGTCTTACTATATGGAGCGAAACGTACAAGAACCCCGTACAAAACATAACCAGCACCAAAACTTTCTTCCTCGTCGACAGGGCGAGTTTCCACACCGGCCTGATCGGCAAACTGATGATACTCAGATCCATCACGATTTGCATGGCCGCGCGGTACCACGAGTAGGCGCTGATATCAATGCACGAACCCGAAGCCTCGCCTGTCCAGGACTGCCAGAAGTAGGAGACAGGTGTGCATTGGAAGATCATGATAAGTGTATTAGAGATGCCGAATGCGACGGAGGTGCCTGCTAGGATGATAATGGCGGGCTTGAGATTATAGGATGGCGGGAAGATGCGGGTGTAGAAGGCGAGGAAGGAGAGTTGGGTTAGGGCTTCGGCGGGCATGTAGAAGACTTCGGCGACGAGGAGGAGCTTGACGACTTTTAGCTTGTTGTACTGTTGATTTGCAAGACGGTATATATACCTTTAGCTGGGTGGATATGTTGTCAAAGGGGATCGTCCAGAGATTGGTGCCGAGGCCGTTCTTTTGCACTGGATTTGTCAGTCTTGTCTAGGGCTTTAAGATCGATACAATGCGAGGATAGGAGACTAACGGGGAAAGGCCATGGCGTTCAAGGGTATAGCGCAGACCTATGGAAACCGTCAGAACTGCCCCAGGCTTCTAAGGCCTCAGATAGCTGACGATAAGACATCTGCATGACTCACCAGGGCAAAGATAATCAAGACATCATCCCATCCAAACACCTTCCTGGTCACAGTCCGCTGGATCACTCGCAGGCCGACCATGATTACTGCGAGCATGCCCAGGGACCCCGCCAGTGCAGGCGTCAGACCTGCATTGCTCTCTTCAGGGATTCCGCACGCTGCTCGGGTCGCGTTGGTCGAGGCTAGTTGGGTATTAGCTAGAGTAGGTTTGGTGTGGGATATAGCCAGATGGGTTCGGATTGTAGTGGTGTACATAGGGTTTGCTTGACGGTGCATTGCAGGCCGTAGCAGCCAATTGCGGTCTCGAGGAACTGCGAGTCTGTACAGAGACATGTTGCATCTGTCAAGGCGCAAGACATCGTGCTCACTGCCGCTGCCGCGCAGTTTGCCTTGCCTGAAGGTGAGCTCCCGTTCAAATGGCTGCCATCGAGCAAGGAGTGCACGTACTGCACAAGCCGGTAGATCATCCAGGAACCCCGACAACATATTCAACCTCATGACGACTGGTCATATGGCAGGCCGAGAGTTGGAGAGTTCAATGGCAGCATCCTGAAGACGCCTTTTCCGTAGCTTAAGTAGTTGATGGCTAACCGATCCCCTCGAATGACTCGTGTCTCGTAAGAAGCCCATTATCACACCCCGGGATGTCGCATGATGCAAGGTACATGATTCGCGGAACTCCAACATGCCGCACAGCAAGAGAAGGGCCGTTCAATAACGGCCGCAAGCCTGGTGGAGCCGCTATGCAGCTGGAGATTGCAAAGGAATTGCCGGGGCATACACTAGGCCAGGCTAAGGGTAGGTTGGCCAATCAAGCATCCCATGTTGGCAATATCCCTGCATCCCGGCCGTGTCTTAACGGCCCAAGATAGACTGTTCTCCATGCCTCGAATGATATTTAACCTGGGCTTTCCGGAATCGCTGTCCAGGACCTAGCCAGGGGAAGCTGCGCCGACTCTGGAAACTCCGATGTGGAGGTTGCAATCGCTCCTGCCTGCTTCAGCTTGGTATCGACCTTAACCATGGGGTCATTCTCTTCTTCACTGCTCAGTGTGCCTCTGGGCCTTCTCGCCTTGTATATCATCAAACAATTCTTGACTCCAAAGACATCAAGCCCCCCACTCCCTCCAGGCCCTAAACCGAAGCCCATCATCGGAAATCTCCAGGACCTCCCTGCGTCGGGCCAACAGGACTGGGTGCACTGGGCTGGATTCAAAGATCGCTACGGTAGGCTCTGCTCTTGTTGGCATCTGCGATGCGACGCAATGGATGATCGCAGAAAATACCATGATACAGGCAGTAGTTGAGACATAACGTCTAGGACCCATCAGTTCCATCACCGTCTTCGGCCAAACAATCGTCATCCTCAATGACTCGCGCGTCGCCTTCGACCTCCTGGAGAAACGCTCCAATGTCTACTCCTCGCGGCCATGGATGACATTTGCCGGTGAGATGTAAGCAACAGCATACCTGTTTCCCTTGATCACATAGTAACCGGGATAGGGTCGGCTGGAAGGACATCCTCGCCATGCAGCCATACTCCAGTACCTTCCGCGCCTATCGAAAAGCCATGCACCGCGTCCTCGGGACCAAGAACACCGTGGCGCAGTTCAACGCGTTGCAGGACGTCGAGGTGTGGCGGTTCCTCTTCCGGGTACTCGAGAAGCAAGATGATATTGTGCAGCATATTCGAACGTAGGTACCCGACAATGCTATCACGACTTTTATATACTGAGCGCGGGACAGGGAAACCGGCGCCGTGATCCTGCAGATTGCGTACGGGTACAAGATCAATCCGCATGGCCACGACCCGCTCGTCGCGCTGGCGAACGAGTCCATCGACAATTTCTCTGTTGCTGGGACGCCCGGGGCGTTCTTGGTTGATACCATTCCACTCTGTAGGTTTCTCACCCTCCATAGTCGTGTATTTCGCTAAGAATCAACAACCAGTAAAATACATACCCTCCTGGTTCCCCGGTGCCGGGTTCAAGCGCACAGCAGTCGCATGGCGCAAGGGCCTGCTGACCACCATCGAGAAGCCGTACCGGCTTGTCAGGCAGCAGATGAAGACGGGTAAGTACCCGGACTCTTACTTGTCGAATCTCCTCGAGGAGGCGCAGGAAAGTGGGAAGCCGCTCAGCGCCGAGGAGGAACAAGTCATTAAATGGACGGCTGGGTCGTTGTATACTGGGGGTGTGGACACGGTACTCCATGGACCTCCCCCTATGACAAAGTATTGACGTCTGCTAACCCTAAGATCCTGGTAGACTGTTTCCGCGCTCTCGTGCTTCTTTCTTGCCGTCGCCCTCTATCCGGACGTGCAGAGAAAGGCGCAAGAAGAGCTCGACAGTGTCATTGGCACGATAACGAGACTCCCCACCTTCGACGACCGTCCGAGCCTGCCATATATTGACGCCATTGTAAAAGAGATCCTGCGGTGGCATCCCGTCGCCCCCATGGGTATCCCGCATGCCACGTCGCAGGATGACGTCTACGAAGGATATCTCATCCCCAAGGGGTCCTTGATCATGCCCAATATATGGTGGGTAACCTACCCTTTCAATTTGTCATCAGGTCTGACTGACGCTCGAACAGGGGCTTTGGCCATGACCCAGCAACCTACAAAGATCCGCACCTCTTCAACCCATCTCGCTTCCTCGGCGAGAACCCCGAACTAGACCCCCACGATCTCACCTTCGGCTTCGGACGGCGCGTCTGCCCAGGTCGGCTTCTCGCCGATTCGACGATCTTCTTGACGGTTGCGCAGTCGTTAGCTGTCTTCGACTTTACGTCCAAGGCTGGCGATGCGAGACCTGAATTTCTGCCTGGCGTTGTCAGCCATCCTGTTTCATATAAGCTTGATATTAAGCCGAGGAGTAAGAGGCATGAGGAGTTGATCAGGGCTGTCGAGGTGGAGTTTCCTTGGGAAGAGGGGGATGCAAAAGAAGTGGAAGGGATTGAGGTTGATGTGTGAGTCCGTAGATGTTCTTGTCTGGAATATGTATTATGCAATCAATGGCGTTCGAATTATCCTATAGGATTCTTCAAGTGTGGTCCCAATGGGGTCTCTGGCTTGTTAGTTAGGGCTCAGGCCGGAAGCGGCCAGATGTATAGGAGGCGACGATGAGCCGGGCGATGAGGTGCCGAGGACATCCCTATCATTGACAACTGATTTTCTTCAAGATCCGCTCAAAAAACAGCGGAAAACGGGCCCGTAAGCCGTTATTTATCTGATTTCATCCAGGTGATCAGCCAATCTGATAAAGGGGCTCATTGAACTAATTATTCAGTCTACTCCGAAAAATAGGTGGCACTGTCACCTGGCTTTTTTAGCGCAAGGCCAGGTCCAATCCGGGGTACCATGGTGATGCCCTTTCGATCGGGACTATCGTCTCCAGGATTGTGATCGGTTCAAATGGCAGGGCATAAAGCAATGTGCATTGGATGCAGTTCCTCCAGGATCCTTCGCCTAGGCTGGGCATCGTCTGCGATGGAGATTAGCGTCGATGAACAACAAAGAATGCAACCGACTAGCAACCCAAAGACCGCCTGGGCCACTTCCACTTTCTTGCTATTGCTCAAGTGAGCTGCCTGTCGAAGACATGTGTATATGTAGTCATGACGGGTGTCTCTCCCGCAAGCCCAGGCCATTGAGCCATGTATCCTGTCTCAACTGCGAGTGCAGCACCCTCCGGGGAGTCTGGGCCAGTGCCAGTGCCAGTCCCCGGGTTTGCTGCCTTCCTCAGCCTGCTTGAAGTCGCGCGGGCGATGGTGATCGTCTATTGGGTTCTCCCGTCGATCTTCCTAGTCATCCGAGTCTGCTTCAAGATCTTCACCCTCCGCCAGTTCAGGATGTCGGATGGTATGTATCCCGCCACAGCACGGTATGCATAGGATTTCTAACCCTATCGAATTGCAGCTGCCATGCTCATCGCCTGGGTGAGTCCCTTCTCCATCTCTCATTGAGTTGCGCCTTCATCCATAGCTGCTGACACCCACAGGCCCTCTTCACAGCCCACCTAGCCCTAGCCTGGCTCGTCCTCAGCGCACCCCCCGATAGACGGACCTTCGCCTCCCTCCGCCCGTACTACTACGCCGGCACGATCCTCTACGGGATTTGCCTGTTCTTCCTGAAAGCCTCGATCCTGCTGCAGTTCATCGAGGTCTTTGCGCAGCACCGCCGTGACTGGTTCTTTTGGGCTTGCCAAGCTCTGATCTGGTCAACTTGCATCTGTTATGGCATCATTGGCCCGCTGCTGGGTGTTTTCTCTTGTCCTCCGTCTCGGGCGGCCTCGGTTTCTTTGACTAGGGCAGGTGGCGGGGGCGCGTCTTGCTTGGTACACGCCGATATTCTGGACGTGTGTTCGGGCGTGTTCAATGCCGCGTCGGACATTACCATCCTCGTCCTCCCGCAGACGCGCATCTGGACGCTGCAGATGCCACTGCGTCGGAAGCTGGCTATTTCGGCGGTTTTTGCGGTGGGGTTGTTGTACGTCTCTATCCATTTCATGACTTCCAGCCAGACAGTGCAGTCCGCCCTAGTTGTTTCCTACTGACCATGTGCCACGGTCAACCTGCAGAGCCACCGCATCCGCCATCGTAAGACTAGCATACTCAGCTCTTCATTTCACAGCAGCCGCCAATATTGCCCACGAGCGGTACATGCGTGGTCTCTGGACCCTGGGGCTGCTAGAGATGGCCTGCGGGATTATAGCGGGGTGTCTCCCCTCCACAGCGAAATCGGTGTATAATTTTTCGCGGCGACCCTGTGTTCTGAAGTGGCGAGATGCGCTGCGGACTGTCTTTTCGTTCTCGACTCTGTCCTTCCCACGGCAGGGTCGAGGCCGAGGCCGAGGGACCGTGACCAGAGATGAAAACGCGGACTCTGCGCAGGAACAGGGGCAGGGGCCAGACGCACATGTGGCATTGGCAATGCACCTACAAATAAGGAATAAGCGCTGGTCTCGGGCACGCGCACACGCGCAGCCTGATCAGTATCCCTTGACATCTTTTGCGACGGAGCCTGGTACCGCGCGCTCGGTCTCTTCGTCTCAGACGCAGAGTGTGAGGTAGCAGCGCGAATCGAATGCTGGGTCAGGCTTGTTTTGGATGGATGGAGCCATGACCGGGACGAAGCGAGAACATGGTAGTGACAGCTATATTCGAGCCAACCGACATGCGGTGTCCAAAGCATCCCTATCCCTCATCGCCAACGACCTCTTCTGCTCCCAAACCCCTAGCAGCCGTCCCCGTCGCATAGACTCTTGCTACGATCCATCTTCGTATCAAGATAGTTATTGGCCAGTCGATCCTCCATCAGATCCAGCACCAAGTCACTATTATCGGCGAAGACATTGTGGGCGTCGGGTGGAGTTGGTTCGGGATGGCTTTGGGTTGGAGTTTGTTTGGAGATACAGTGGGAACGAAGAGTGACTTGGATAGCCGGGAGGGAAGACGGAAGAATGATGGAGGAATGGAAGCAGTGGTAGGACATGAGACGGAAGTTGTGAAGTCCGGGATTGACAGAAGAGATGGTGCACTGTTGGATTCTCTGGCCGAGGTGGCAGGGCTGCCTGCCTTAAGCGAGTTCCTTCCTTTCTAGTTTTCCCACTCATCAAGTCATCACTACGCCAAAATCCAGCATCATTCACTGCCAACCTGCAGGACCACTCTTCCTGCAATGTCTCCCCTTTCCATCTCCTCATACACCCTGGGCAAGTCTCTAAAAGGCCGAACCTCGACAACGGGCTTCACAATCCCCCGCCGTGTCAAATCAACAGCTTCCATACACTCCTTCAACGACCCAACCAGATTCCCCGTGATTCTCAGCCCCTTAATTACAATCGTGCTGATCGGCGTCTCCAGACAGGGCCGTCCCGGTGGAATCCCTACACAGCTCAGACAGCCTCCTACCCGCAACATGTCGCAGGCATTTGCAAACGCCCTGGCACTGCCGGCAGTCACGACCACTGCATGAGCTCCCAGTCCAGTGAGTTCATGTACCCTCTGGACGGGATCCTCGGTTGCGAAATCGATGAATTCGTGCGCGCCGAGTCCGCGGACGAACTCGCGTCTGCCAGGGCCGGTGTCCACGCCGATGACGAGGGCACCCTGAGCTCGGGCATATTGCACTAGAGTATGACAGTGCGTCAGCAAACCAAAATGAAAGTACGAAGCCTATGCGTGACAAGCATCATACCTGCCAGATGCCCAAGGCCCCCGCCAGCCCCAACAACCACCACCCAGCTCCCGGGCTTGACGTTCGTGTTCAGTACTGCCTAACCATCCGTTAGCAAACAGCTTACTATAAGCATCATTCAGGACACAAGATACACACTTTATAGGCCGTAACCCCAGCACAAAGCACCGGCCCGATAACAACAGGATCAACATCATCCGGCAACAAGGTCAAATAATCCGCATCCAGCGCGATATACTCCTGGAAACACCCATCCTCATGGTGCAGGTGGTTCGTGCTGGCCACGCAGTACTGCTCGGTCCCCGCAAGACAGAACTCGCAGCACCGGCAGATCCGGCTTGCAAAGCGGATGCCTACTAGTCCGCCAATCCTGAGTCCGGCGTTGTGCGTGATATCCGGGCCCAAAGCCACGATGCGCCCGACGCCCTCGTGGCCCCCTACATGCGGCAGCTTGATGTTGGTGATGGGGGTCCCGGAGGCGCTGGCTGCGGTACCAGATTTTGTGTGCAGGTCTTTCGATGAGATCAGTTTCTTGAGTACTGCACTTCCAAACATGGTGCTATGGCAGGCTTACCGCTTTGACAAACACCTGTATATAACACCTTGGCTAGGACTTCATTGCGTCCTGGCACTGGAACCGGGTAGTCATCTTTGAACTCGACGCTGCCGCCAAGGGTGGACACAACGGCGGCGGTTTGGGTTCTGGGGATATCAGCGCCCATCGTTGGCACTGAGAGTGTGGACAGAGATTGGAAACTTGAAGAGCTCCCGCCTCTTACCAACAAGTTAAATAAGAGACTATTTATGTGTAGGGATCGCCGATGCCCGAGCTCGGACTTCGATTCCCAGTTCAGTCTGCGGGGGCGACCCAGTCGGAACGAATCTATATGATGTGGTACTTCAGTGCCCATGGTCAGCAGACCATGCTATCAAGCATAGCAGAACGTATCATGCAGCGAAGTGACTGTAGTCGAACATATCTATTGGGTGATGCATGATGGTCTGGCCAGGCTCTAAAGCATTCTCCAGGCCGGATGGGGACAGAGAGTCGGGTACAGTGCGGGGATGTTGCGGGGATGTCACCTGGTTCAACAAAGAACCTTACTCCAGCTACATGTTGGCTGCATGAATTTGAGGTCTTCATTGACCTATCCTACAGCTGGAGAAGAGGAGCAGGCTGTCCACGCTAACCCTTCCGTGTGCTTGTGCGTTTGCCTCCTAGTAAGCCGGTACCATAATACAACTTGAATACTTTTTTTCTTCTGTGGTTTCACTACGAAGGAGCTCAGAGCAATGTTTGGATTATAAGAGGGAGAATAAAGGGTTCCCAGTTGGGAGTGCAGGGGCTTTTCCAGTCTCATTGAGATTGTTCAAGGTACTACCTAGGGAGATGGATAGGCTGCATGTCTATAATGGCATGACTACCGCAGTAAGTAGGGCATCTGTGCCTCCAGGGCTAGTACCCAAGCAGAGAAGTCTAGGCGAAGGAGAGGAAAAGAAAAGAGAGGATGAACTGAATAAGTGAGCTCCTCGGAGCTTTCATATTCTCGAGTTCAAGCTCGAGTTCGAGTTTGCGTATAGTAACGAACGAATACGGCCAGGGGTATCTCTCAATACAAGCACAAGCAAGCACAGTAGTAGTCAAACAAGACAGAAGCAGATCAAGCCAAGGGGCTAGAGAAACAGCATATAAATAGCCCAGGTTTCATGCAGAAGACCGTCACCACATCAAGTCGTAAGTCGTCAAGCCTGCTCCAATGACTCCAGGTCCTCCCACCCGCCCTCCCGCTCCAAGTGCTCCCTCACCCGTCCCCTCAGGGCCTGGATCTCGCTTCCCAGCGCCTCAGTCCACTGCCCCTCAACAGTAGCAACCTTATCCTTCAAATCATTCGTCAACGCGCGCTCCTCACCAGCCTGACTCTCCCGCATCTCGCGCGCCACAACATCCTCGGCTTCCCCGCGACGAATCCGCTCCGTCTCGTCCAGTTTACAGTTCGCGCGCATCACAGCGGACTTGACTTCATGCAGCAAACAAAACAGATTGGTCTGGCTCTCGATAAACTGGTAGCTCGATTTCTCGGCGTGCGAGAGCAGCGTGTACAGATATTGCAGCGGGTGACGCAGATAAGACGGGTTCTCCTCGTACTCGGTCGCAGGGATCTGGATGGCGAAGCCGTCGAGACGGTCCGGGATCCCCTGCACAAGTGTGGACAGGGACGGTGCGATGTCCCAGAAGGCGGAGAGCTGCATTTCCACGCCGCGGACGACGTTTTCCTCGATCACGGACTGGAAGGATTGCAGGCGGGATAGGGCGTTGCTTTCGAAATTTGCGCGGCGGTCGAGGGCGTCGCGCGCGAAGAAGGAGGCCGTGCTGGCGATTTTGTCGTCGTTTTTGGATTGTTGGTATGGGAGGATCACGAGGGCTTTGTATTTCTCGTCGCGGGCTGTAATTAGGTCGTACATCTCGCGGTGGAGTTGCTCGCGCGCTTCGAAGAGCCATTTCAGCTGCGTGAGCTTTTCGAGGAGCTCGGGTTTCTCGTCGCCTTCTTCCTGCGGCTGGTCCGGTGAGTCGTGTTGGGCGTCGTCGAAGAGTTTACCACGGAGATCGTCGATGCAGACTGTTGCGCGGTCGATGCGGTCTGTTAGGATTGCTTGAAGGGGTTTGAGGACTGTTTCCTGGTACGAGTCGAAGAGCTTTTTTGTGAGTGCGCGTTCGCGCGAGTTCTCGTCGTTGATGAGCGCGGCTTCGGCCTCTGCCGCTTCAGCGAATGAGATGCTGCCGTCTTGGATCTGGGACTGGATGTTGGCGCGGAATTGGCGGCGGTGGTCTTTGATGCGTTCGCGGTGCGTGGCCCAGAGGGTTTCGGCGTCCGTGGCGTACCGTTGGCGCGTGGTCTTGATCTCGGTGTGGTCGCTGATGGAGCGCACGAGTGTGCGGTACGTGACTAGTTCAGGGTGGCTGTTGTTGACCGCTGGGTAGTGGCGGGGATATGGAGGTGGCAGGGTTATGAGGCGCGAGACGTCCATTTTGTGATTATGATGCTCCGTGGATGCGCTGTAGCTGGCGCTGCTCTGGCTGGGGGTGGGATATTCTGGAAGGGTTTGGTCCTCGTGCCAGCCGACCTTTTCAGGCGGGTACTCGTCTGGACCATACTCCCCGTACTGGTTAAAGTGGTCAAAGGTGTGCTCTGCACTACCGTTGCTGCGGAGTCCCAGTGGTAATCCCATGTACTTGGACTCTCGCTTCGAGCGCTGGACTCTCCGTTCGCCCCCTTCGCTGCCGGACCCGGTTCTGGATTCCCACCAGCGACTTGGTGCACGGCCTCTAGAGCTCTCGTCATTGCTGATTCCGAGGCTGGCTATGGGGGAGAGACACGGTTTGTAGTTGTTCCACGAGGATTCTCCTCGGGTCGTAGGAATGTCCAGTTTCGGCCCTTTGAGTGACCGTCGATTCAGCGCTGCAGGGGCTGGCGCTGGTTTCGGTGGTGGCAGCTGGAAGAGCTTCTGCTGTAGCTGTTCCAAATTGAAAGAGCCAGCATCAAAAATCTTGCTATACCGTTCACGCCGGATCTGCGATTCATTGATGATAAACTCTGTGAACAGCCGGAGAGCTTCCGCCTCGTCAGTAGCACTAGCTTCTTTCTCGATAAACTCCTTATGCCTCCGTGTGGCGCTCTGGATGAGTTCTGCGTCCTGGTTGACGACCGAATCCAGGGATTGTCCGCTGTGGATCGATAACCGCCGCGGCTGCAGGACAGGAGAACTGACATTCTCATTAGGCAAGTGGAGAATGTGCGAGACTGGACGGTTCTCCCGGAGTCCATGTACAGAAGACGGCCGAGAGTCTTGTCCTGACTGCAACGGTGGGGTGGGGAGGGCTTTCGGGGGAATGGCCTGGGACGAGGATTTTTGGAATGAAGATGTCTCGGCATTCGGCGAGAAAGGAGGCGTCTGCGCATATCTCTGTGATGGCGGTCCAAGCGGGCTCGGCTCCGCTCGAGGAGTTGAGAATGGGGAACGATTCGAGGAAAACAGGCTCGTTGAAGACGCCCGAGACTGGGATGTAGGTATATCAGATGTGACGCTGTGGTTGCTGCGCGGTGTGTACTTGGTAGATGCATCGCGGGACTTCTCCGCGCTGTGTTGGCTATCAAGAACAAGATTGGACGGTTTCACTTGTTCCAAAGCGTCAGCCCAAGGGTTTGTGCTCGTGGACACTGCACTATAATCATCGAAAACCTGGCTCTGCCTATTCCTGCGTTCTATCCGTCGTTCTCGAATTCCCTTTACACTGGAATCCCGAACAGCTGCACTGCGGGAGAGGCCGCCGCTAATGGAGTTTCGAGATGTATGCGTAATGCTTGACCCTGAACCGTTGGATTCCCAAGAGACTGATTGACTGGAAGTGTCGACATTCAACGGCGCTCTTTCTGGTCTCTGCGCAGGCTCAGAAGGACCTTCGTCCACCCATCCTGCCGGTGTCGGTGGAATGCTGCCAAGCCCAGTTCCCAAAGACGGAGGTTGGCGTGATATCCGGGTAGGTGGTGGCTGCGAGCCGCGTGAAGATGATCCATCGCCCAATCCGCTCACACTCTGCGATCTCGGAGCCGGCGGTGGGCCTGGCGGCGGCGGAGGTAGAGGCATTCCCGGCTCCCAAGCTGCGTTCTGTGGCGATCCGCTCCTCGATTGGCTTGCGGCTCTTGAGGAGCCTGCACTCGATACAACGGGCCCGGCCGAGACCGCCCGTCTAGAGTTCGGAGCACGGCCCGAGTCCTCACGTTGAACGGCAGCGTGATAGCCGTACGCGTTCGATTGAGACGCATGCAGGTTATCCTCTGAGACCATGATATACGGCCGAGATCCTCCGTTGAACGATTGCTCGTGATATGCATCAGCCCGGTTGTGGGAGGACGACCTCGACGATGGAGCCCCCTGCGGTAATGGAGGAGGCGGGGGAAGCGAGACCTGTCTGTTATGACCTGCGTCTGGCCGCACCATGGAAATCGGGCGAGTACGTGGGATCGACTGTTGCCGGCTGCCCATGTACGGAGATCCAGCATTAGGAGATGTAGTGTCATGAGCTGGCGTGGTACGGCTTGCATGGTCCGGCTGTTGCTGCTGTTGGCTTGGAGGAGAGTACGGTGGAGGTGGCGATGACAGCTCTAATATCCAAGTCAGCCCTACACGAGACTTTTCTCAACCCGAAAGACGCCGATCCGCGAATCGCACCATCACCACAAGTATAGAAGTGGTACTGACCAGGCTGGACGGCGTATCGATGTTGTGAGACCACCCTGAGCATATTCCCCGACTGCGAATAGGGCGACTGCCCATGATTGACCGGCCCCCAGTCCTGGGGATTGTAGGGGGCGTTATACTGTCTTGAAGCCATAGCCATGGGTGAAGAACCAAGTGCTGTACCGGCTGAGTTAACAGCAGGAGACTGGGTGAAAGGGCTGGACAGGGAGGTGGTCGACAGCGGCGTAGATAAGTAGCCCGCCCCGAGCCCGACACCGAGTCCCTGGCCCTGGAACTGATGGTTGTTGAAAGAGGTGGTCAAAGGCGGCGGCTGCATGGGATATTCGCGTCGACCAGGGGAAGGCAGACTGCGAGGCGTCGGCCAGCCGGTGTTGGCTGTGTATGGACTGGACGACGGATCGTCGCCAGTGTTACTCGGGGACCGCCAGCTATGAGCGAACAGCCTCAAGTCAGCCTGACGGGAACAGAACAAAGAAAGGAGAGGAGGATACGAGGATAGGAGGGGCCAGCGCGCACCTATTCATACTGGCGCAGTCAGGAGCCAACCAGACATGGTGGCATGGTTCGATACCCGCGCGTTGGTAAGATGAAGAAGCGACAGGTCCCTTGAGGAGGATGCAAAGGGCGAAGGACTCTAGCGGGACGATGCCTAGGCCAACCAGGTCAGGATGGATCCAGACGAGTTAAAAATAGGTCGGGATCGGTCAGCGTGGCTGCAGAAGCACACTTTGAAGCAGAAGAGGACATCCTATGCAGGCTGGGCCGTTTCATCACAGCCGGCGTTGAGTCGGCGCTTAAAGGATCCATTGGCGGCTTCTCACAGGCCAGCGGTCGTATCTCCCCACGTTGCTCAGCAAACCAGCATTGACTCTCGTGTCCAAGAGTTCGAGATTGCCCGAGCTAGTCTGAAGTGGTGGTAGCGCATTCTAATAATGTCAGTCGAGCTGTCAAGCCATTGGATGATCTGCCCACACTGAGGGGTAGTCTGACAGGGACGGCTGAGCTATATAGCTCTGGTTCCATGTACTGTAGAGTGATAAGATAAGTAGAAACTTGCAAGAAACACCTCTTGAACAGAGTCAGATGAGGGCAATAGTAAAATGCGTGGTGAGGTTCAAATGTACTATATCAGCGACCTCTCCTTCTTTTCCCTTCTTCTTTTGGTGCTTTTCGCCGAAAGTTGAAGATGGACAGGAAGCTGGGTCATGGAAGCTTGTTTTGGGTTGACAAGTGCCGAGTCTAATTCCAGGATGCAGCAAGTTCTGGCCTTGATTATGCTCACGTGCTATAAAGCTACAGGGCCTAAATTCCTTCAGTATATACTCTTGTAGAACGAAAATATATCATAATTTAGATCTCATTGTCCATACCTGGCCATCGGGACTTATTTACGATGGCCAGAATATTCTGCTGAAGCTGCGTGGTTCATGAGATACTTTAGGGGGAGAATATGAACCTGTAACTGTCTACGAACCCGTACACCTCGTGGGCTACAGTGAGACATAAGTTTTAGACAAATTTTCATTATTTTTTTCTCTTTCAGTAACATAGAAATGTTTGTGTATAAAAATACCTAGCCAGCACAATTTCCCAGACCAGACCGACCCAACACGAAAACTCCGACCGGACGCCAACAGCTACGAAAGGCATCGTATTTCGGAACATTCAGTTCGCACCATTCGTGGCAGCTCATTTCTTGTACTTGTTGAAGGTATCGATGATCTTTTGGACCTCGTCCCTGGAGCCAAGGAAGACACCGCTCTTGTCGTGGATAGACTCGGGCTGGACGGACAGAAGGCGCTCCATGCGCGAGTTGACGGCCTTGCCGCCGGCGTTCTCGAAGATCATGGCCATGGGCGCGCACTCGTACAGAATACGCAGCTTGCCCTTGGGGCTCTTCGAGTCCGCCGGGTACGCGAAAACACCGCCGTAGAGCAGGGTACGGTAAGCGTCTGCAACCATGGAACCAATGTAACGCGCGCTGTATGGCTTCTTGCCCTCGCCGGGGCGCTTGAGGGAGTCGAAGTAGGCGTTGCACCACTCGTCCCAGTACATGCTGTTACCCTCGTTGACAGAGTAGATGGCGCGGGTGGGAGGCATCTGCATGCTGGGGTGGGTGAGGATGAACTCGCCCAGGGAGTTTTCGAGTGTGAAGCCGTTGACGCCGCCGTTCTTCATGGTAATGACGAGCTGCGCGGAGGCGCCGTACATTGTGAAACCAGAGGCAACCATCTCGGTACCCGGGAGGAGAACGTCGTCCGCTGTGACCTTCTTGTTGGGACCGAGAATGCTGTCGGGGAGCTTAAAGATACCGAAGATGGTTCCGACCGAGACGCCAGCGTCTAGGTTGGAGGAGCCGTCGATGGGGTCGCAGACCACAGCGTAGCGGGCGTTGGGATGTTCGTCGAAGATGATGGCTTCTTCCTCCTCCTCAGAGACGAGGATGCGGCACTTGCCGGAGGTGCGCATGGCAGCGACGAAGATATCGTTTCCAATGACATCGAGCTTCTTTTGGTCGTCACCGGTTGTGTTTGAGGAACCGGCGAGACCGGTGAGGTTGATTAATGAGGCACGACGGATGTAGTAGGCGATGGACTTGAAGGAGAATTGGAGGGCATGGCAGAGGAGTCTGGTTCTGTCAGATCTGGAAGTTCTGGTAAAGGGAATGAATACTCACGTGAAGTCACCTGTGGCCTCAGGGACCTTGTTCTGTTCTTCCGTGAAGAATCTCGAGAGAGTGACGATGTCAGTGTTGATGTTTTCGTTGCCGACGGCGCCGCTGTTCGTAGCCATGATGGTAGATTGAAACGGGTAAGCTGATAGAAAGGTTCAATTCGCGGGGTGGTCGAGAAATATGGTTTTGGAGACCTCGGTTCAGCGGAGAGAAGAGGAGTTATAAGGCTGGAGACGAGGTATGACCGGGAGATCGAGGAGGAGGGGTTGCTGCAGGGAGAATAATTTCAGGAGTAAGTAGTTTATCGCGGACGTATGAAGTCCGCCGCGGAAGCGCGCATTGCCATTTAAAGGCGCATCCCATGGCCAGGAGCAATCTTTTGCCGGTTAGTGAACGAGCCAGAACGTCAGAGCTGGCGGGCTGTGGAGAGACTTGACGCCATACAATGGACCTGGCCCGATGACGAAAACACCCGCTGCTCCCCGCGCTAACTCCTTCAGTCCGCCAGCCTCCCAAGCCGAGACCCCGGGATTCCCCGCGGTCTACTCTATCCGTTACAGAGATAATGAACCTATGTAGCAAGGATGATGACTGGTGGAATAATTCTCTCGGGAGAATTTCCAGCGAGTCCGTGGAGGTCCTCAAAGCTCAATCCTCAAGGTCAACTTTCAAGACGCGACTGATCTACAGTTACCAGTTCCAACTGTACCAGCGCAGGGCACCCACATAACGTAATGATGATAGCGCTCAATAATACTCCGTAGAGCAGCAGGAATTATCGAGAAAAGTGGGCTTCAGGGTCACCGGACCTGCAAATTGGATTCATGTCAATCCTGCCCTGGTCGAGGCCCTTGTTAAGGCACATGAGCCCGTCAGGTGATTCACTATACTCGTCCCCGGCGTCCCCGCGGCTGGGATGCACGATAAAGGGGACTTATAGTAGGAACCCCTCGGCATACTTGCTGTTATGAGCGTCCGGAGATAAAAATAATCAAGCTTCGATCCTTCAATGGCCTGGCGTGAACAGCGAATGCGATCGGGCTGGAAATTATCCTCTGAGCATGCGATATAAATCTTGAATCCATGGCTCTGAGGATAGAATCTGGGCTTGTCTATCCATAACTGAGAAGTGCGACTTGTCTAGCTCATACAAAAGATGGCTTTGATGCTGCCTGATACGTAGCGGTTATCACTTATCGTAGGTAGCCCGGTCCTTTAATGATCCGCCGTCAGTGACTAAGCGAGCACCACTAGCCGGACGAGGCTAGCCCTACGCTAGCGGCTCGGTAAAACTAGCGCGGCCGAAGCTGCTAAAAAACTTCGCGGACTGCTCTCAGCTTTTATCTTCGTCAACACTCGAGGTTCTGATATTCAGACTTCTTGTTCCTTGATGACTGGAACATTATGTGCGAAGAGCTGCGATTGCAGTGTGATCATCATTCAATAATCCACTAACCATTCCTGCAATCAGCACCCAGTTGCATGGTAAGCGCCTCCGACTTTTTCTCCCTGCCCGCACCCCTACCTTTTATGATGATACCTAGAACCATTTCAAACTAGAGTCTTTGACCCTACGGGGCGTGAAAACTCAATTCTTTGCACGTCAGTCTGATGCTTTGCGAAGAGACCTCGTCTTGTTTCACCAGCGACTGGTTTACTGGATGCTAACTCGAGGATAGGACTAACACTGCAACCAGCTTGGTTGAATGCGACTTGCTCACAGATGACATCCCAATGGTACGTTGTGACTACTTTCTCTCTCCCGACTCCCGATTTGAATGATGCTCTTCGTATTTTATACGCTGGAAATTACCGACTGAGGCCCTCGGCTTCTGAAGTCAACAAATGGCTATTTCTGACTTTCAATCTCATCTACCTTGTTTGCTCTGTTACGAAGTTGTTTGACATGTTCTGACGTTTCGAAGGCTTTGTAGGAAGTACCTCGATGTCCATCACTAGATGGTAAGCTCTTGACTTTTCTTTACTCGACACACCTTCGAAGATGAAGCGGCACTGGGCTCCGACGGCGTCCGACAGACGACCGGTCGTGATGGATAAGCCATTTTTGCGGCAGGCCTAGAAAACCTCGCCCACTGAGATCACCTTCGCAATATACACTCTGTTCATCGCAGTCGTGGCTTGAAGCTAATAGCAAAGCCAGTTTGGAAAGGGACTGTATGCCGAAATCGTAGATTCACAGCGACAAGGTAATAACACTCCTGCGTCCAGTTCCTGCCTTCACATGATGATTTCCTAGATGACGAGTCTTATTTGAGTTATCAATGCAGACAACATCTTTTTTTTTACCATTCATGCAAAACTGACATGAATCTTTCTTTCTTGCCGTATGATTTCTTTTTGAGAGAGTTTTGCTAACTGTTCTCAAAGTATACTATAGGTCGACCATCTCAGATTTGTATGTCCTGACTCGCTTTTAACACTTCAACCTCCTTCCATGATGAATCGACATAAAACAAAGACAAGCATATGTCCAAGTCGGCTTGCCGACTAAGACGATAATTGTCACGTCTGACCGTCGTCATATCCTGTTTACATCATGAAGTTCTGTCGGTCCTAGTACTGATAACTCGGAGTAAAGTAGGATGACTGACACCGCAGCCTGTCAACTGCTTCTCAAACTGTGAGTTCCGACTTTTTCTTGTCATCTCTCTGTCCCCTATACAATGATGATCTACTTTATTTTATCACGACGGTCAACATATGTCTACCTTGATGACCACAGCCTGTGACAGGGCATCTAAACTGAAACTGTCTCTTCTGACTTATCTCTCTTCATGTTTAGTGAGAAAGCAATCACTAACATGTTCTAGTCTTTGTAGGTCCAACTTGACTTGATACCCGATCAGAATAGGTGCTGGCAGCCAATACAATTTTTCCATCAAACTCGTCGTGCACACCTTGTAAATCTCGTTAGTCTGTAGAAGTATTCCCAGCCCAGCCCACCGAAGTGCTATGTAGTGACCCGTCCACTTCTGGTACTCCCATGAAGACTCTAGGAGTAAAATGCCTGCAGACGGGAGTTCGGAAGTAACGGAAGCTCTCGTACAATTCAACCAGACGAATGTGTACCGTAAGTCAAAAGATTACTCGTCTCTATAAGTGTCTTCCTATCCCACTTCCACTGGTCTAGGCTTCACTCATATGCAAGATCAGTTGGTCAGCCTTGGGAGTAAAGTCGTGTGACCACTAGAGACTATATAAATATATATATATGCAACCAACGATGTGAGCATGCTTGAAGATAATAGTATTCATGTGGGCAGGATACCTCGTTCATTCAAGGTCGGTTCTCTTTATACATAATATAGCATAGTAGATATTTCACTACGAGGTTGGTCATGTATGCGACTCATATATCCATCGCAAGAGTGCATATATTATGCAGGACTACTGGGACAGTATATAACCCAAGCAAGTCATACCAGTCATTTCGCTGAGTCGCCTAGTAGGTTTACTTGAACGATTCAGCAAGGTGACGAGTGCACATATACAAATATCTACACGACGATACCAGTACTGCCAAGTCAATCCAGAGGGAATTCTGTACGGAGAATATTCCTCCAATCTATAGTATTCAACCTATCTCGGTTCGGAATATACAATACATCGGTCTTGAGACTGAAAGGAGATATAAAGAAGGTGAAGGCAACTACCTAGTCAACAGGATCCTCATCCAGCAGGGTCTTGAAGCTAAACGGCACAAAGGGAATACCCTCGCCCATGAAGTGCTTGCTCATGGCCTCAACCCAGTGCAGACGGAGAGAGTGCAACATGGCACTAGTTCCCTCCATGACACAGAGGATGGCGATGGTGAGCGTGAACCACATGTAGAAGGTAACGACGATCATGATGGTGCGGATGGTGGGGTCTTCTTGGTCGAATGCGGTGCCAAGTGTCATATCCCAGAGGACAATGGAGAGCTGTTGGTGGGCGAGGGAGAGGGCCCAAAGACGCAGGTAGGAGGCTGTGTGGGAGATACAGTTAAGGCAAAACTCGATTGTGTGGATGACCTGGTGGATCATGATTTCGGAGAAGTCGAATTCTTCGTGCTCTTCTTCGAGGTCCTGGGCGATCATGGCAACGCCTTCACCGTCGCTGGTTGTGCTTGCGCGGGGGCCGTCAAGGTCACCATCCTCGTCGACGGCGCTGACGCGGGAGTGTTCGCCAAGGCCGCGGTAGCCGAGGGCGCGGGCGCGGTTGTGCTCACGGCGGAGGTAGAACGGCTTGAAGAAGAGCATGATGGGAACCTGGACGACAGCAAGGAGCAGGAGACAAACTTGGACGGTGGCCTGTCCAGAGTAGAGTTCTTCCTCCACTGATCCGGGAGACAGGAACATGAAGATGAGCATGTTGAGGAGGCCAGGGGGCGACTGGTTCCTAGCCGGCCAATCCACGCACCACTTGTAGATGATTGTGATAACAAGGTAACCAAAGATCGACTGGAAGAAGATGATGCCAGGAATGAAGTTTCCGATAATGTCGACCTTGGACTTGAAATGGCGAGCGTTGACATACTGCAGGATAAGGGCATAGGTCATGTGTGCCCAACCAAGGACAATACTCATCTTCATCTTCAACGAGTTAGTGAACAACAGACTGTTCTCAGCCTCATGCCAGTTCCAATCCAAACCGAAGGGGAAACGGTAGCTGCCCTTCAAAGACGCCTCATAAGAATGGCCTTCTTCGATATTGTCAGGCCACTTCCAGGAACTCGCGAAGACGGTGAACGACTTGGAGAAGATATCGTTGTAGATGAGACCGGTGTACATGGAGAAGATACCCATCATAAGCATGATGTAACGACCATAGAAAGCCATGTACGTCAGTTCGTCGAGCTTCGTCTTCGACAACTGTCTTTCCCAGAAGATCATGGCAGCAGCAGCCATAGCCATGAGGAAACCGTGACCGAAGTCACCAAACATGACGGCGAACAGGAAGGGGAAGGTAACCACAGTATACAGACCAGGATTGACTTCCGAGTACCTCGAGATACCGTACGCATCGACGATAGTCTGGAAGGCCTCGGTGAACTTGTTGGTTCGGACATACGTAGGAGGGGTCTTGTTGGTGCGGATTTGGTTGACGATCGTAGGCACGCTGAGACCAGCACGGTCATTGACGTCCTGCAAGGTCGACTTGATCAATGCCAGAGAGTTTGTAGGACACCAAGCCTCCGCAATCAGAGTCTTTCGAGCTTGATCGTACGAGCACTTGTTAAGAGTGTCGTAAACAGCCTTCTCTTTCTTGACAATGATCATCCAAGCGGCCAGCGAGCGGGCGATTTGAGAAAGCTCCGCGTCGAGGGTGTTCTTCGTGTTCCGGAGCACATTGTTGACATCGCTCAACCTCGTGTTAACCTCGTGGATCTGGTCCCGACGCAGCTCACTGTTCTCGTCGACGCCGTAGAGCGAAGCTCCGAGAGACTCGGAGATCTTTCTGATCTTGGCAATAATGTTCTTTCCATGAGCGAAGATGACGAAAACCATCTTCTGTGTCTCCTCATTTGTAGTCGGGTCGACGATCGGGTCCGGAATCTCGGACTGGTTCATGTAAAGGTTACCACGCAGCGTCCTCCACAGAATCCGCTCAAAGGCGCCGATCCGGTCGCGAGGGATGACACCAGAGACAAACCCGATGTTCATCTCGAGGAAAGACTGCTGGCCCTGTGCGTCGCCGTTCTGACCGCGGTGGTTCTGCTGCTCGACGTCACGGAGAAGAGGCGCCTCATCGTTGTCGAAGGACTGACGAATTTCTTCGGTATGGGTGTGAGCACGGTCGAAGAAACCTCCGGCCTCTCTCAAGACCCAACGCCATTCGGTCAGCTCGACCTCGCGCTTCTTCAATGTCTCGTAGCTATCATTCAGAGAGGCGATCCGCTGCTCCAAGCTCTCGCTGCGTTCGGCAAGCTCATCGATCTCTGAGGCCAACGGAGCAGCCAAGGTATCGGAGAACTCAGATGACGGCCTCATCTGAATCCCAGCCTTGTCCATCTGGGCATGGAAGTAACCTGTCCTCCGAAACCATCATTAGCCACCCCATCGACCGGATCGAACAACCGCAACGATTGGGAAACATACGGAGCTGCCGTTCAACATTGTCCAACCGACGGATCTCCTTCGTAAATGTCTTCTGGAATGCATTCGTCTCGGGGTTGAGCTATTCAAGAAAAAGAAACCAGTCAGCACCCGGCCCGGCCTCATCCAACAAGCAAACTGCGGAGAGCACTTACATCCCGAAACTGCACCTGCCCAAGCTCACCAAGGGCGCTAACAACCTCACGACCGATCTCATTCGCGATATAGAGCTGCGTCAAGCTCATATCCGACGAGCGGAAGAAGGTGTCCTTCGGAGCCATGGTGAAGTGACTGTCTGCCTACAGCAGCGGAGTTTCCTGCACCACAGCAACCAGGAAGACGCGCGGCTGCGCTGAGTTCAGAGGGTAATATTCGGATAAAAGGTAACGATAGAAACCGGCAGGATAGAAGGTGGGAATCGCCTGTATTCCCAAGCTTGACTCCCTAAGGATTGACGTGATGTTCTCGGGCTGTGAGCGGGAGCCGCGTGGCTGATTGACGGTCATGTGATTGCCGCCCTTTTAGTAAGCAGCCGCATACTTTACATAAATAGCTGCATATATAACTGCATAGAGTAGCCCTATATCGATGACCGCGTTCTTGTTTCCTCCTGGTTCCAGTGCCTGGTGTGGGTTATCTTGAATCTAGAATAAAACCCATATGTTCTCTATGTCATTTCAAAGACGGTATTGAAGGAAAGTGATTATCGTGGTCAACACCTATGCCTGGTCCAGTAGGAGTTATTCTGGGCACTGCCATCAACCAAATGAGGCTACCTAATGCTCATGTATGATCAGCCTGGGACTGAAGAAGCGCATATCTTACATGAGTGAGAATTAATCAAAGTATCTTTGCTAACTACTAAGATACTATGATCCCCAACGGCAATTGTCTTGAAGCAGGAATCAAGCCCTTTCCTAATCACACCCGCCTATTATCCTTGGAGCATTCGATTCTCCCTATTTAGCTTTTCCAAACAATTGAACTGTGCTCCTCAAGACAAAGAAATATAATTGGCCCGGAACACCGGTCTCTATAAATACACAGCCCCAAGCCTTCGCAAACCACACATCCACGCCGCCGGGCAAGCCAGGAGCGGTCGTCGAAATATGATCCCCATGCAAGCGGTAGTGTAACGGTGAGTCAATTAGTAGTCACAAGCTTAGTAGGCTTATGTTTGTCGGTGTGAGATATTGAGCTTGCAAGTCTTACTCTCTCCCATCGCGACTGCCAATACAGTCGAGATGGGATTCACCTACCGCTCTACCTCCACCACAACCCGACCCAAACCAACGCCAAATGCCTACAACTCTTACCAGACTAAAGGCTACTCTAACCGCGTTCCTCGCAAACGAACGTTTCAAACAACTCCGCAGAAAAGCCCACCGTCTGAGCACCAAGGACACCCACTGGAGCGACCTGGAGTACCCATGCATAACCGCCCAGCACGAGTGGATAAGCGAGCATCTTGAACTCGAGAGTCGCGGCCTCGCAATCCTACAGAGAATCAGCAGGCTGGAAAGCAAAAGCACCACCACCGCCAGCGACAATGATGTCAACGCCACCGTCCAAGGCTCGAAGAAAGAACCACGCGAAGACACCCGCCTGACAGTCCCCGAAAAAGCCACGCTCCTAAACACCTTCATTAAAATCCAACAAGTTATCAAGGCGCACCTAGCAACCATACCGCCAGGCAACACAACAGCCGCCTTCGAAATCGACAGCAAGAACCTCGAGCCTGGTACTGGCCGGCGCGCGCAGTGGTTCCATGGGCGCCGATTGTGCGCTGAGCGCGGGGGATGTTGTGCGCGGGGCTGTGGATGCTGCGAGAGGCCTGTTACCAAGTACATTGAGCATTTGCTTGAGGATGGGAAGGGGAGATGGACGACCGTGCCGCTTTATGGGCATTGTACGGCGGAGTGTGGGTGCTGTATTAGGGAGAGGGGGGTTTATGAGCCTGATAAGAGGATTCCGGATGCTGGGGTTGTGAAGGGGATTTGAAGAGCAATTCGGGGTCTATGCTATAAGGCAACTGGTTTATGTTACTGCTGGTATTGGTTGTTTGGGCACTAGGCGTCTCTGAGTAATGTTCTTTTGGTGTATAGAGTTGGTCTACGTATCTGTTTATGATAGCAATCTCATGTACGTGACGATCGTTTTATCTCTCAGTTCCTGAACGAATACAGGGAGTCTATGGTTAATCATATGAATAAGAATCCTGCTACCATGTACACTAAGAACGATTAGATGGCAAAGTGCAAAAGGTAGAGCCTACAGCAATCCCAAACCGGACAAGTGTAGACCCTATCAACTGCCGTCCACCTCAACGACTTAGTAAACACACACCCAAACGGGCCTATCAGGAATGTATGTTCTCGTCCTGCAATTTTGTTCTGCTCTTCGCGCTCTAAGCAAAATAGCTCTTCCACAGAACACCAGAGAGATCTTCTAACTGATCCGGAGTAAATGCCTGAGATGAGGTTAGTCGCAAATACTTGTATTGATCAGAGAAGCTGACTCACCTTCGCATCGATGTGCCACGTATCTTGTCTCGTCTTCTTGAACTCGCTAATGATTGTCTTGACGCTCGATCCAACAATGCCAGGATCGTTGGCCGCACGAACACTCAGCGTCGTCAGTGCTTCGGGTATCCAGGTCGGTGGCGGACTGCTGTAAGGGAAGGCCTGGATAAGTGCTCCGAGACCCAGAACGGCACCGTGTCTCGAGATGATAAGACGGGTGTGTTCGGGTGTTGGAGTACCGGTTCCCGAGGAAGCCGGCGAAGACAAGCCACTGGGAGTGCGGAGCATCTTTGGTCGTTTGGGAAGAGGGTTCTCGACTAGTACTTTCGTGAATCGCTTCTTGAAACGGTCGACGATCGCTTTGCGGAGGAACTCTGGCGAACAACGGACCATGCCCGATAGCGTAGCCGATGCCCCAGCTCTGACTTCATGCTGCGGGTCCTCCAGCATGCTCGCTACACACTCGAAGAGCTTATCACGGTCAGAGGGAGAGAGAAGGAAGAGGCGCCGGAAGTAAATGATCTGAATGTTGATCATGATACGTAACCGCTGGTGCCATGAAGGCGATGTCTGCCCAATGCGGATAAGTGTCTTGATGAAATCCGAGTTCTCTTCAGCGGGATACGGAACGTTAGGGAGGTGGCGGAAAACGTGGTATGCGAGCGACTGAAGTTCTGGGTCTTCCTTGACGTCCATCATATGCAGCAGTTGTCCGGTAAACACGTCCGCAAAGAAGGGGGCAAGCTGCGTGCACTCATGAGAGGACAAAGTAGAATCAAGCCAGAGGAGAACGGTCTTACTTCCTGACGTGTAGGAAGAAGGCGTCTGCTGGCCAGGTGTTCTCTCCTGACGCCACTGCTCAATTCGCGTGAATATATCGTTGATCATCTGGGTGAAATCCGTGTCGGGCGAGTACGGATAAGAACCGACCGACGAAGAAGATTCTTGATCTGTGAGCAGACTCTTGACGTCGGGGTAAGACTCATGGTATCGCGTGCGGAAGATTGTCGCAAGAGTCTGACCCATAGCCTCACGCACTCCCTTGTAAGGGTGGTCAAGGTGAGCAAGGTAGTCCTTGACAATCGGCTTTTCGAGCCGGAAGTGCCAGCCTGCATCAATGATCGATTGGTGAAGCAGGTTAATCTTAGAGCTCTCCTTGAATGCTGCATTCGATCCCATGTCTAGACGGAAGCTTGCCAACCAGTCGACCAACGGCCAAACTCGTCGCGGATCGCGGCACTGAAGGATCATATGAAGGAAAGTCGTCCAGTACCCAGAGTTTTCCGGCGTTAGCCCTTCAATAAAGATCTTCTGCACAATCGGGAAAGCATACTCCCAGACCAGCGTTCGCTTCTCCAAGCTAGTGTCTGTAACAGAGCTGACCAGCGCGCCGAGAATTTCTGCAGTAGCCCGATGTTGATGCTTATCACTTCCGTCCTCGTAAACGGCTTCAATCTCCTCCTTGACATCTTCAAAAGTAGCGGCTGTGAGACCATCGCGAAGCATCAACTCAAACACATAGAGGAGCAACATTGCACACGACATGCGGAATTTGTCGGCTGATGGATCCCGTGGCTCTTGCTTCAAGTACATAAAGAACTGTTTGAACCATGCTCTGTTGAACAGCTTGCCCATATGAGAACGTATCTTCCATTCCACCTCATCATACTCAATATCTCGCTCAACATTGGGCTTGTACCCGGGCATGTGATCACTCCATACAAGCCAACCGGGGAAATCGTGGTCAATGTAATACTCCGTCTCAGGGTTGGCAAAGCTGGCCAGGAATTCCTCAGTCCAACCCTTTTCGTGTCTCTTAGTGGCAACCTTGATCTTCGCCGGGAAGTTTTGATTACCCAGGATATAGCTCTTGTACTCGTGATTGCAAATTGCTCGGACATCGACCATGGTAAACAGCGCCGTTAACCCCTGTGAGTACATACCACGCAAGCCGGGGTGGTCATCGATAGAGCCCATAGTGACAAGCTCCACAAGACGCTCACTCGCGATGTAATCGAATCGAAGTCCCATGGAGATAACAATAGTCGCTACTCGACTGGCAACCTTCCAGTGGGATGCGCGGGCTAGATCCACAAGCTCCTCAGCCAAAGCAGCCTTTTTCTTCTCAATAAGGACCCGTTTGTTGTTGAGGGATTTGCGCTTTTGCAAGATTTGGTCATCGACACTGTGTGTAGCTGGAGCAATGGACTCCACGAGGTCTTTGTCCAAAATGGCCAATCTATCCATGGGACGTCCGTAATCCATGATTTGATAAACCACGCTCGAGCATATCCGCTGTACAGATGGCCTATCGACCGCACTCGCGTCGATGAAAGCTCTGACCAAGGTGGGGGCGTACTTCCAATGACGACCAACGGTCTTGGCTACACTGCTTAGCAACAACGAGAAAAGTGAGCCCTTGATTCGTGCGTAGTCATTCTCCTTGATGCCATTCTGAAGCGTCTTGAGAAGTGGTGGAATAACAAGGAGACGGGCACCCCAGACAACCTTGAGGGCCGACTCTCCGGCAGTCTGTGCGTTGCGACGGGTCTCGGTGTATGCAGATACGCAGGACTCTGCAATATCCAGGAGCAGGATTTCATCCAATCGTGACCGGCATCGAGGGGCGGCATTGTGCCTCAAGCGCTGCAGATGGTACATATTGGCTCGTCGAATAAGCAGCGGACGCGGGTAATCCTTGCGGATACCGCTCATCTTGTAAGGGTGGATGTCGGCAAGGAGAAGGCGAGTTACTCTGTCGAGTACATGGGCGGACCTCTCGATACCAACATCAACGAACCAGCATTTGTAGGCAGAGTACAGAGCACTAAAGCAAGGAACATCGTCTTCCTGCTTCTCAGTCAGGTATCTATGCACTTTGTGGAGAGTCCAGCCAGCCCTCTCTCGGATATCATGAATGGTAACGTAAATGGGGTCATTTTCTTCCAGAGAATATCCAGTTGGGTAGAGGTATGTTTCTCGCACGGTGTTCTCTTCCGAACTGTCTAGTGAAGAATCGGCCTCTTCATTATCTGGACCTGCTCCATCGACGCCGTCAGTCATTTCCACGTCCTCCGTCTGATGCGACACCCCATTGGCCTCACTATGCTTTGTGTTGGATGCAGCTTTGGCGTCAAAGAGTACAGAAACACCTGAGATAATGAGACGCAAAAGGACCAAGTTCCGAATTACTTCATCAGACCATTCCTTGCCGATTCCATCTCGTCTAACGTTGGAACCTTCATCAGTCAAAGCCGCTAGCTGTTTGAGAGCAGACTCGGCCTGATTATGGAAAAGCTCGGCAGCAAACTCAATTTCCTGGCGCTTCGGAACGTGCCATTTTACGGTCAAATTTTGCGGGTCAGGCCGATAGCTCCAATGCTCAGGCTGGATGCCCTTCGCGACATCTTCAGGTTCGTACAGTGAGTAATCTGAGGTGTATGTACCGGTCAGATTGAGGAGGAGGTGGTGTATGAAGTTTGAGACGTGGACAGTTGGAATACCCCGGCACTTCTGCTGCATGTAGACGGCAATGTCAAACAGCTCTTTTTTGTGTGCTAGGACAGCATCTCCAACATGCACGACACACATACTGAGCATACTAACATTCCATACTAGGCCTCGGTCACGAGGAAGCACATCAGTACCAGTCGTACGAGTCGAGCCTGCACCATTGTCATCAATCTCAGTCCGAATCGCCTGTGTTAACACGGGTATGAAACGCTTCAAAGCCTGTTCAGGATTGACTTTACAAACAGCGTTACAGATGAAGGCCATTGCATCGCGAGCTTGGTGAATGACATGGTTAGACACAAAGTCAACAACCTTAGTCAAAGCGATCTCGTATAGCTCAGGAGACAGCGAGGAAAGCAGAGGCATGAAGGTCGCAGGAAGAGTGTTCACAATGTTCTCCTCGGGCGATCCATTGCGCACCCTCGAGACGTCAGGAAGGTTCTCCAAAAGTGTGAAGACTCGGCCTAGGAATGAGATAATGAAGTCTCCAAAGCCGCACGTGGAAGAACGAAGGATCATCTCTTCAGTTTCGTCGTTGAGCTCGGTGTCATAGTTCAGCTGCACTTCAACACCCTCTTGTTCCATCCGTTCCATTTCCCCCGGAACCCATTGCATCGCGAGCATATCACAGTTGACCTCGTCTCTTCCCTTTGTCAAGTCCGCCATGGGTATGTTATAGCACGCAGCTTGGATGAACGTCAACGTGTGAAGTGACTTTTCAAGATCATTTGCATCAATTCCAGGTAGAGCCATTCCAAGTAAGGTAGTGAGGTGACAACGGTAGCCCTTGGTCCTTGCGATAATCCGCGCAAGGATTTGGAGAGCCCGAAGTGACGAAGTGGTACGGTGAACCTCCACCAAACCTTGGAGGGATGGATAGATCCGCTGCAGAGCGCCTGGAAGGATGAGATGCGGCTCCAAGAACGCCAGGCCCTGCAGGGTCGACAAGGAGAAGCTCATCGCAGTAGCGCTCTTGGAATAGATGCCCATGAAAATGACGTCGCGAATGCACAGTACGAAGCGACGCCTCAGAGGCTCTGTCAGTCGTCGCTCCTTTGGAATCTCCATCTCGCCGCTCTGCTCTCTGTTCCATCGCATTACAAAGAAATCCGTGAGGTAATATACCAACTGGGCTAGGCTCTTGGTCCAGCTACCGGAGTTTGACGGATGGAAAAATGTCTCCACGGCTTGTATGAGGCCTTCGAGCTGAGTCAAGATCGAATCTTCCTTGTCAAGGCATGCCGGCGAAAGAGACATGACGATCCACCTGGCTATGTGATGCGCTACGGGATGCTTCCGGGAGTCTCGATCAAGCATGATTCCCAACCCAGAGGATATGTCAACAAGAGCACTGTAAGGAGACGTGGACTGTCCAACCGGAATCTCTAGGAGTCTCAAAGTTGCAGTGAAGATGAGGGACGACTGCTCCTTGGTGAAGATTCCATACTCGGAGAAAGGGATATGGCCAGCAGGCAATGAATCTCGCGCCATTCGCGACAGGAAGTCAAGGAACGTCTGATCAAAGGTCTTTGACCGACTAACCAAGGACCAAAGATGGAAATATGTCGGCATATAGTGCTGTGGTAGCAAATCCTCCCTGGACTCCGGTGGTGGAGTTGTAGGAGCGAGCAGATTGATCAGTCCGACTACAACAAACGCGCCCTCCGAGAAGGAGGTGCTGTAATGCGGGAGAAACTCTTCCAACATGGCTGGTAGCTCGCAAGGATCAATGTAGAGCTGAATGAATGCGCATAGCTTGGTCAACGTCTTGATGTTCCGCTTAAGGTTCGATGAGTGTACGAGGCCAGATTCTGTAGGCAGGACGAAGGCTTTCATTTCTCTGTACAAAGGCTTCCAGTCCAAAGTAAGGTCCTTGATCGGCCTCAGGTAATGCTTGCGCCTGGGACTATGTCAGCATGGGCATGCGTTTATTATCCGCGGATGGAAGAGTCCACTCACTTGGTGAGAAGCATGAACATGCTCGAAAAACGCTCGGCGACGTTGGGATCGATCCCCGGAGCTAAAGAGAGCTCATAGTACAGCTTGACAAGCTTGATCCGCTCACTGCGAGTCGGGTCAAACTTGAGCGCCAGCCATGCTCTCAGCTCACGTGTCCAGTGCACCGCACCAGGACTAAAATCGCCCGATTCCACCGCAATATAGAGCTGTGTCAATATATCCCGGAAGTATTGCGCTCTCTGGGCTTCGTCCTCGAGCTGGTATGGTAGGTATTTGAAGTATGGGTATGTGCGAGGTCGAACTCGTGCTTTGGGCTCGCCGTCTCCGTTGACACCGTCAGGTTCACCTCCCGGAGAGGTGGCTCGTGAAATCATATGCCCATTGTGGAAATTGTCCGGCGTCAGGATCGCTTTAAGGTTGGAGTTATCCATAATCGTGCAGCTCCTGGGATGATTGCGGTGGGCGTAGGAGTTAGGAGTTCGGGCGGTGCGGGAAAGCTCTATCATAACAGAGTGATGTCAGCTACATGGGTTCCAATAAACGCGGTGTAGCGGACAGCGCTATACATTAACTCATAAAGCTCGCATCCAGATACTAGCATATAGAAACCGATGGCCGACAGTATCCTGCTGTAGACCCTCTATTCGCATTGGCGAACTCCAATAGGCCTGGTCTAGCAGAGCGATCGGATTGTAACCTCAATATAGCAACGTATACTAAACGTATACAGGGTATAGACAGTAAAGTGTCCCGGCAAAGTAGAATATGGACAAAGAAAGCTCCAGCTTGTTCAGGTAATTGCAGCTGGGAGGTTGATGATAGAAGAAGCTGGAGTAACGCACGACAGTTGAGGATAGCCAGGTCTCGGCTTAGGCTGCTGCTGATGACGCTAGCAGAGCTCGCAGCCTACCGTAATCTGACACTGCGCCCCACCAGTCCGACTGGGGCATCTCCAGCTTACAAGTTCGATTCTCGCGGTGGGCGACTCTCCTCTGTGTCAGGAAATACGAAGTGAGGTATTTACAAGCTATCTGTGCTACCACAATAAGCTTCTTTGTTCTTTGAGGCAAGGGCCATTTGACAAGAATATTCGGTGTGCTCCAAATAATTCATTCGCCACCCCCTCCTAGCTGGACGCATTTGAAGCATCATCCACCCTTCCAAGGTTGCCACCTTCATTACAGAGAACAGACGCAAGGGATGACCAGCAAGTTGAGGTCGAAGATGGACTAGGACTAGTGCACGTTGAATCCTGGTTGATCGCTCATAATCTCAAACTATGCGATAGCGGACAATATCTGAGACGGGGTTCTAGTGGTTCAAATTGTTTGAGCGTGCTTTGGATTTTAATCCCAACGGTCCCGGGGATATGGTAGCCATGCGCGGGAGTCGCTTAAGTCACCAAAAGACCATTTGCAGTAATCAGTTTTGCCGAGCTTTTGCGCAGCAGCCTAAAATACTCCGTACCGGGAACGTCGCGACAGCCAGGATCTGGTCCGATATCAGAAGTATAAGAAAAATCCTTAGCGCGTATGGGTATAAAGCAAAGTCATAGATGAACAGAGAGCTTTCCATAGGACTTGAGATTGCCTTAGGCCGGAGGTAGGAAAGAGCCAAAAAGAACACCCTGGATAAGTCCATACATCACCATAGCCTGCACAATCACCATGAACTGGCTAGAATATTTGATCCTGAACGAGGAGCGATCCGAAGTTCCCAAAGCCTGCCAGGCAATGTACCAATACCACAACGGGTAGCCAGACGAAATCCTGTTGATGATTTGGACGTGGTAACTAGTTAGTGCCATTGTTGCAAGAATGAGTTGAACTATAGCAAGCTGCGTAAGTAATGTAGCCGCGGGGCCAGACGGTATAGCAATACGGGCTTTGATAGGTGTCTTGAATGACAAGGGTACGGGTGCACCCAAGCCCCAGAAGCAGGACAGAAAAAGAATAAGCAGCATAGGCGAGGCGAGTAGAAAAAGAGGGAGATTGGACACTGTCCAGTACCGGAGGAATCCCACGCCCCTGATCGCGAGTTAACTTGCGGTCGAGTACACAAAAGATTCTCAGCACATACCAATAATGAGCCTGGACCCAGCCATAAATACTGGGGATAAATGACTGACACCAGGGCCGAGAAACACCCTCATTCATGCAGTACGCGATATACGCAAAGTACTGAGGAATCATAAGGCCTAGGGCAACAGTGCTGCCGCTCAGGACAAGAAAACCCAAGCGAACGATCGCCCCAAATGAACGCCGAGTGATGATTTTGTACGTTTGTGCGAAAGCATCATATGCTAGGAGGATTCCACTGAGAATGCCATTGCTGCGTATGGCAGTAGCTACCGCAAAGAGGCATCCGGTTATGAGCAGCTTTACATGGCTCAAAGACTGCTTTTCCTTGAGGAGGTCAATACAGGAGGATGAGTAGATGTAGAACCCGGTGAAGTTGAGGAATGAGAAGAGAGATTCCATATACGGCGCAGAGAGAAATGCCCCGGCAGGACAAATGATATGCAGCGCCGCGGAGAGGAAACAAAGGAGCCTCTTTCTTTCGGTGTCATTACCAAAGACATTGATAGAGAGTCGGTACAGGACTAAGACAGAGAGATAATGGGCCACATGTGACAGCGCAACGCCGGCGACTGCAAATTCAGCTGCTCCCCCTGAATCATACGAGGGGGGAACGACTGCCATATGGTTAGAAACGATGTATCGAGACCGAAGGAGAGGTGCATACATACAAGAAGACAGGGACCTGACTAGATAACCGTACGCATAACTAAATGCCCATTCCTGTTCAAAGACATACCCAGTCTGCCCTATGTGAACAAAGTAGATCGAGTCCCACCGAGCGAACTTGAGCGGGATCGGTAGGGACACATGCTTGCTCGGCGATGATAAGGCTTCGGCCGAGCCGTTGTCCAGCAGCGGAAGGAGGCTTGAGGAGGTATCATAGCCAAGCCCCGGGCAGCTGACTATAGCAACAAATAGTATAGCTTTCCAAAGCCAGAAGGCGACTGATAGGGCTTTGACCGGTTGGCTCGGATCAAAGAGGCACGGCAGCCGAGAAGCTGTTGGCTTGGAGGCCGCGGAAGCTGTGCTCATGGTGTTGCCGTCGACACCGCGTGGCGCGCTTCGGACTCGGAGTCACAGGACTTCCCAGAACACTCGAAGCTTCGGACAATAGTGATCGGGGCGATTAATAATGGAATCCCTAAAGGAGGTTGGGTTATTGGTGGAGGGTGGAGTTTTGGCCGACTCCCGAGTCGGCGGATTGCCAAGACCGATCGAACGGAACGCATAGCTACGGAATATGCCGCTTACATAAAACTTCCTCATAAAAAGCATGACCTAGATGCTCCCAGCCTCCCAGTATTCAAGCTCGGGACACGGAGTATCGAGTGAGGTTGGAGTCAGCGGGTGATTAAGTCTATCCTAGGACGTACTCCGAGGAGGTGTACAACGAATCTGGGTGTGTTGACAGACGAAGCAGTTGTTGCCACCGATGATGACGGTAGTCACGGTACTCCGTAGAAGACCGTGGATCTCGTGAGCCCGGCGCGCCGGATGGATGACTCTTCAAGTTCAGCCCTACGAGATGGAACCAAGGATGCTCCTCACTTACCCCATAACTGCGCACCACCTACCGCGGAAAGTCCTCTACCTCGGATATTGACCGTGTTCCGTACCTCGGAAGGTTGCAAGATCAGTCACATTGGACGAGACAAACGTAGGATCCAGTTCTTCCGGAAATCGATACTCCTGCTTGATTGGTGAGTGGTAGATCAAGCCTCTATACCAAGATACTCCGTAGCTTTGGCGCTAGACGCTGTACATGCCCGAGCAGCATGATCCGGCCATCCGATATATTGCAGATGACCCGGTCTCGGCCGCAGGTTCGATCCATTGAGTGAAGTACATCAACTGAAATTCTAAGTAGAGGTTGCGGGAATTGTAGGACGATGCTATGAACTGGCAATTGCTTGGAGACAAATACACGCATGGTGTTGTCGCCACTGTAGGAGCATCACAGAACTGCTCAGAATCAACTACTAATCTGGTGGCAGCATCAAGAGAATCAAGAGATTCTGATACTACTCCGTATCGTGTGGTGAGTGTGACGGACTTTAAACCGGGGCCGGACATAAGCAATAAAGTTATGAAGTTATGCAGCGCATCGGACGGTCGGGGATTCCGAGTCCGCCCTCCGAACGCAGTGGGAATTGCAACTAATTTCGCAATTTCAGCTTGGCCTCGTGTCAGACTGACTGGCCTTGCGAAACAGCGCCTCTTCGCGAAACGAACTAAGGAAGGATCCGGGATTCCAGGTGCGCTGGCAAAGGATGCTTTTATGCTTAGGCAGATTTCAGCTGCAGAAAGGCAGAGCTGAAGGGCGCCTTGGGGATGGAGACGAGAGAACGATGAGGTGGCGTCTCAAAGGCCGATTAATTAATAACTGATCAAGCAGAGGATCGGCAACTAAGCCTGGCCCTGGGGGGCGGAAAGTGAATATCATTTGTTGGCGCAGCTGGTGTTCAGATCACATCAAAAAGAACTGCTTTTAGGGTGACGCACCAAGATCATAGCTCTGCTTGCTAGCAAGTTTGCAGAGAATCCATATTATTATTGCTTGTGCTTGCTTTTGTTCCAGGTCTTGATCCCCTCTCGGTCTACATTTCAAGCAAGCTCCGACCCCCGACGACCACTGTGGACCAGCTACCAGACCGCCCATCTGACATGAAGAGATTGTTAGAACTTAGAACCTTAAGATACCCGTGGACCCCAGGGCCAGACTAAAAAGTGCTGCCTTTTCAGTTCCATCCAAGCCTGTGGGCACACTCGCTCCATCCCTGAATATAACTAAAGAGGCGCCCGCCCTTCCGCTCTTTCCTCTCCCTTACGTTTGACTCTTGAGTCTTGACTACGATCTCTGATCTTCGAATTGATCTACCTTTGTTTCCTTTTCATCTATCATATCAATCCATTTCGCGGTGCTTATTCCCCCACCCGCTTCTGCGCCCCTGTTGGTCTGACGTGACACAGCTGAGGCCATCCTAGTGCTGACTGGAGCTGGGACGTGGATCTCTCAGAGTCAGTCCAAGTTTGAATGTATTTTTCTGTCAGCTTCGCTGTGGTCACCTTATTAAGTGTGCCTGTCTGCTTCATCAGCCGATTTCTTTTCTCTTCTCCATACATCTAAGTGGGATCGACATCAGCCTTATGTATAGTTCGCAAGCGCCACTGTGAAACAAGACTGCACCACACCTTATAAAAACGTGGCTAGCTCGCTGTCGATGCGCTCTTTGCTTGTCTGTCAAGGTTGATCTCTGTGGATAATGCTCTTCAACCTCGGCTTGACAGCTGATGCCGCTGCCGCTCACAACAGCGAGCTCGCTAGCCCCCAAACGGAAACACAGCACTCCATGCCTTCTCGTGTCTCCTCGCCTCGCCCGTTTTCCTTCAGCAATTTACCTTCATGGGGATTGGGAAGTCGCTTCAGCGGAGAGAAAACTGCAGAGACAGGACGACCTCGCTTTGAGCAACGGCGATCAATGCCAATCACTGCCATCGAGCCTAGATCGTCGAGCGATGAAGATCGGTACTCTACCGCAGGACCTTCACCAGTTCGCCAGTACAGCCAGCACAAACACCCTAAGCAGTCATCTCCGCGGCCGAAAACCATCTATCAGCTAGCCCACCCGGCGACGAATGCGCGCCACAAGCGGCTGAAGCTCAGGCCGAAGCTCCTGCTGCAGCTTCAACAAGTGTCATCTACGTCGCGTCCAGTGCCTGTTTTCGATGTCTTACCGTCGACCCTGTTCATGCCAAGACTGGCCCGAAAAGTCCCCGCAGCTCTGCGCGGCAAGCGAGGACTGGGGCCAAATGATTTAATTGTCACGACTAGCGATCTATATCAGCCGACGGTGGGAGAAGGAGCGGATAGGAATCTAAGCTCGGACGAGGAGAATGGAGACCACCGTGAGGTTGTGGCAACGATTTGCCAGCCGTGTAAGGAGGACGCCTTGTCCAAGGGAAAGGCAGAGATCTGCCTCAATTCTGGGACAGTATGGGAAGCCACTCCTTTACCGAATGGGTCGTACGAATTTGCTGCAAATACGGACTCGGGTCTCATGATTCTGCGATGGGTACGGCGTGGACCGAAGAAGCGCCGCATGTCGGCTCCCCCAGGCTCAATTCCACCGGAAGATACTCGTCGCTTCACATTCAGCGTTATCGATCCTACTACTCGTCGACATCCAGTTATTGCATCGATGGCTCGTAACCACCTTGAGATATATGACAGGTACTCACTACCAAGCACCGCCCCGTCTTCGCCTACCTCTACTGCTTTATCTGTCATTAGCGATGCGTCGGAGATGGATCTTCCATTGGACCAGCAAGTGATGGAGACCGATGAAAAGCTTCGTCTATTGATCACCATCACTAGCATTTGGGTTGCTTTCCGGGAGGGATGGTCTCATAATTTTCGCTACAACGACATCGCGGTTACTGGAAGGACTGGACGGTCTGCAAGCATTTCGAATAATGTCTCGACTCCAGTTCAAGAAAGTGAAGATGACACAGATAAACAGACGTCAGCGGACCCGAATCGTCGGGTAGTGACCTGGACCGCCGCAGCCTCTCAGCCTCCAGCAACGGACCGCTCGACTCAGTATGGCAGCTTGTCTAAACGCTCCAACTCCACCGGCGCCGCCTTCCTCGAAAAGGCTAACAGGCGTAACTCCTCAATGAATCGGCATAATATGGCCAGTCCGCGCCAGTCGTACGATGCGTCGTTCGAGCCTAAAAATGTCAGACCAGACCTGGTCTCCGGATCTTGGTCACAACAACGAAAGGCAGACCGAGAAAACACGAAATTCGAGTCCCCAATTCGGCCCAAAGCGACACATCGTTCCAAGCAAGAAGATCGTCAAACAGCAGCCGACGACAAATTGGAGTCTTTACGTCCCACAAAAGGGAAGCGCCGACACAGGTTAAGCAACCTTTTCGACTTCCTCATCCGAAAAAGCGGGCATCACCGCCAATGACCTGCAGATTATACCCCAAAAAGTTGTGTAGTGCGCAGTTTTGTCTTGCGCAACGTTATATTCCCAGCTCCCTTGAAGGGAGATCAAGAAGTTCTGTTGGACGGTATTGGTATTGCCTATAGTTGTGACCGCCTGGTGCTGATGTCCCTCTGGTATATACATTGTTCCAGCTGGTTGAGATAATCTCTCTGCTTCGCCTTTTTTGCATTTCAGCGTTGCATCTTCAGCCTTATGGCTGCTCCGACACATCTCCATCTCAAAACCATGCCTTACGTTTATATTCGATGAATGTACATATTAGCGATATAGCTTCCACATTATGACCAATCCGAGACTCTCAACTATGTGATATCTATGACTATCGCTCTCAGTCCACTGCTTAGCTGCCAATGACAAACCTTAGTCAGCGTATGCCCTAAACACCCCGCATGTTCTAGAGATGAAGTCATCCCCACTCCCGACTCAGCATCCGAGATCGGTAACTCGTCGGCTTTCGCTTCAAGGTCTCGGCAGATCAGGCGGAGTGAAGACGATCTCCATCGAGTGATCTACACTCATATATCCAGGCATTCTCTCCCTGAATTATCTTTCGCATTTGCCGATATAAAAACCATACCCCTGGTAGGTTGTCCCCTATATCTACCCCTCAATCACCCCGCATCCATCAGCTTGTGTATCGTTTCAATTGACTGACGACGTTCAAGCCATTCTAGTCAATCCAGCACCATGGCTACCGAAAACCAGATGGAATATGTCACGTACGTCCTGCCCGCTTATAAAACCAGCATCGCATAGCTAATACAAGACCCGGTTGAAGCCTCGGCAAGTCCGGCCTCAAGATCTCAAAGGTCATTCTGGGGACCATGTCATACGGGACTAGCAAATGGCAGGACTGGGTTCTCGATGAAGACAAAGCACTCCCACTGATCGAGTACGCTTACAAACGGGGTATCAACACCTGGGATACCGTACGTCCATAACCCCCCGTCCCTCCCAACACTTATGCACATCCAAACCAACGATACACTCATACAGGCAGACATCTACTCCCACGGCCGGTCCGAAGAAGTCATCGGCAAAGCGCTGAAAACATACAACATCCCGCGCCACCGCGTCGTCATAATGACAAAGTGCTTCTACGGCGTCGACGACGAAGGCAAGCTCCCGCCCATCGCAGCCTGCACCCAGAACACAGGGAGCATGGTGAACCGCGTGGGCCTGAGCCGGAAGCACATCCTCGACGCAGTCGACGCATCCATCGCCCGACTGGGCACGTACATCGACGTCCTCCAGATCCACCGGCTGGACCGCGACACGCCCCGCGAGGAGATCATGAAGGCGCTCAACGACGTGGTCGAGTCTGGCAAGGTCCGGTATATCGGGGCCTCCACGATGGCGGCGTGGGAGTTCCAGGCGTTGAACAACGTTGCCAAGGCGAACGGGTGGCACACTTTCATCTCCATGCAGAACTACCATAACCTGATTAGCCGGGAAGAAGAGCGCGAGATGATTCCGTACTGTCTTGACGCGGGGATCGGGTTGATCCCGTGGAGTCCCATGGCACGGGGCCTGCTTACGCGGCCGTGGAAGAGCGCGCCGACGCTGCGCGAGAGTACGGACGGGGCGCTGAACTTCCTCCTGCGCAACCGGGAGACCGAGGCCGATAAGCGGATTGTGGACCGGGTGCAGGAGGTTGCGGAGAAGAAGGGCGTTAGTATGGCGCAGGTGGCGATTGCGTGGTCGCTTGGGAACCCGAGCGAGAATCCGATTCTGGGGCTCAGTAGTAAGGAGCGGATTGATGAGGCGGTTGCTGCGGTGCATGTTAAGTTGACCGAGGAGGAGAGGAATTACCTGGAGGAGCCTTATGTGCCGAAGACCTTGTCGCCGTTGGAGAAGTAATGGGCTGTTCTCCTTGTTGTTTTGTATGTACAGTTGGTAATTCGTTAAGATGTCTATCTAGAATATATTTGAACAAGAGATTTCAACCAGACCCCGCAAAAACTTCCATTAAATCCAACAGCTCAGCCCACCGAGGATCCTTCTGGATTTCTATACTGCCCTCGGGCGTGGCAACCTTAACGTCGTCCACTTGCTTAGTTCCGTATACGTAATCTGACTCGTTATTAACGAACGCCACCAGGTCACGGATCCACTCATGCATGAGCTGGCTCTCTGCAGGGGTTGGACCGTGCATGAGAGAGTAACTATAATGAATATGTTAGTTATCAGCCGTGATGCGGTAACGGGTAGGTAGGGTAACTGACTTATGGAATGGCCGATCCATAGCATGGCTAACGCCGAACGAAGCCGGGGCCACTTTATCCGTGATGAAAGAGAGACGGTAAGCGATTATATACCGCCAGATATCGCGGATCCCAACACCATTCTCGATCAAGTTGTTAACGAGGAACCGTGATGGGGCACGGACTTGGCCGTCTGAGATGATCTTGCCAAAGACAGCTTCCCAATCTTTCTTTTCGGGGGAGGTAGGCAGCGTGTAATGTTGCAAGAGACGGCTGGTGGTTGTGGGAGAGTAGTAATTTGATATCTGGGTTTCAAGGGACTCAAGGCTAGCTTCTGGACCGTTGGTCACGGCATATAAGGTCTCCTCATTGAGCACCTCGCCGATGAGGATGCGTAGGCCACGGCGCTTAAATTCGGCTGCAAACGAGCCGTCACGGTAGTATTCGAATAGGTTTCGGTGGATGAAGACGTCGTCGGACACTGGCCGGAAGGTGTGGTGTTTGAACTTCATGATGGCCTCGCAGAGATCCTTTGCGCTGGTTTCACGCAGACGCTGCAGCTTTTCAGACCCTGAGCTTGTGGCCGGGATATCGAAGTACTCGCATAGCTCGTCGAACTGCGGCTGGCACTCTTCTGGTGTTTTGGGTTGCGCGGGAATGGCATTTGAGTACATGACTAGGCGCCGGAAGCGGTTTCTGGAGGACTCGGGGAGCGTCCCTCGGAAGTCATATAGTGTTTGTGCCTGCACGGCATATGCACCTGCGCTGCGTCCAGAGAGTGTTATATTCTCAGGGTCGCCACCAAAGGCACTGATGTTCTCATATACCCAGTCCATTGCAAGACGCTGGTCCCAGAGGCCGTAGTTTCCTACTGCCCCGTCGAGACTCTCCTCCTGCAAGGGGGCACCGGCGAGAAAACCGAATAGATTCAGTCGGTATCCCACAGCCACAAATACAGCGTTCAGCCCACCAGTGGAAATCATCTCAGTCGGGTCCATCGACGGCTCATTGCTGGGATCGCCCATTTGGAACCAGCCTCCATGGAACCATACCATGACGGGCCATTTGGCGGCAGATTCTCCATCCTTGGACACGGGTGTCCAGATGTTCAATCGCAGACAGTCCTCTCCAAAGTCGTGCTGTGGGATATTCTTCTTCACAGAAGCCGAATAGTTAGGCTGCAGGCACACCTGGCCGAACTTTGTGCCATCGAAAGGGACACCCTCGGGTGTTGAGTAGGAGTAGGACTCGGGCAATGGCTGAGGCTTGCGCCATCTTCGTTCGTCTGTTGGTGGAAGAGCATAGGCCACGTTCGCAAAACGGCGTGATTTATTGTCAAATTGCAGACCTTTGATCCTGCCTTTGTCGCCGGGGAGCTGGACTTCGCAGTCGGAAGTTTGGTAGGAGATCTTGTTTCCCATTGTGGCTGTGAACTGCCAAGATTATGCTGGGAAGGGGATACCAAGAAGCAGGAGATGAGACCAAGCAAATCAAATGAGATCCTGTCATTTTGAACGAGCAATTGAGCCGTTCATTGCTGATGTTCAGTCAGTGTTTGTTGTAATGGTTATCCAACTGCTTTGTCGTGATTGGTGCATTTAATCGACGCTATCTTTGTGCCTCAGGCTGCAATTTCCTATCTTTCCCTCCCCCACATTTTGACACCTGATAAACACTTACGCTTACTTCCAAACATCATTTCGGGATGCTGTTCGATTATTCTGGTCTCCATGAGCCAAATCGGTAATGCTAACGGTGACTCGGCGTCTCGGCCTCGTCGTGCCCGTGTGGAGCGTGGCAAACGGTCTCGGAACGGTACCTAATGTCCACTCAAATATTCGGGAAACAAGTGCTGACCTGGGGTTTAGGTTGCTCTACATGCCTGAGCAAAAAGGTCAAATGTGACGAGACACGGCCTCACTGTGCAAGATGCGTTCGGCTTCATCTGATTTGCGAGTGGCCCGTTCCCAAGCCGTCGTTGGCCTCAAGGAGACGCGGCTTTGGTCCCATCAAAACCCGCGATTCGGGTCTGTGGTCGCCGTCTTCTATCATGCCAAGGGACGATGACGGTGCATCAGCAAGTCAAACAGAAGACTCTCTGACACCGCTAACTCAGACGAATACGCCTTCGTCCACCGTCGAGGCACTTTTGCATCCAGGGAACTTCCTCCCGGGGAGTTCTAATGACGATGGAGTACCCGCCAATGAGGCTTCTATGATGGTGCCGCCGTACAACGATGCGTCGCAGTGGGTATTACCGGCAGCAGAAAGCGCCTCAGTTGGAACTCCTGTTTCGGTGTCCCGTATGCCCGTCAACGATGAAGCGCTTCTGCAGAATCCGCTGAACACCAATGCATTTGAACTGCTTGGGACGCCCATGATGCGCCCCCTGAAAACTGCTACCGACCTATCATTTGCATATACCACTGGAACAAGCCATGCCTTGGGCAGTGATGACAAACAAGCTGTTATTTTCCACTGCAAGGTCCTTGCTCCGCTGAAATCTACCCGCAACTGGGATCGTTCAGCGCATACCCTCTTCCTCAACAAGGCTTACAATAGAAACATGGCACTTCACTTCCTTCTCGCTGTTTCCCACAGTGAGCTGGCTATTCATTTTGGCCAAGGGTCTCAGCCTCCACAGGAATCCCAGAGACACTATCAGCGAGGATCGGAGCTGTTCTTGCAAGCTCATAATCCCTTTGCTACCCCGGACCATGTCAGTATGATGCTCTCATTTCTGTACATGTACATGTTCTGGATGCGACGAGAACACCTTGATCCCACAAAGCTTAGAGACTTGAGTAGAGCCGTCCTCGTCCACGTCCGAACGTACGGGCTGGATACGCTTTGCGCTAGCGATGATGTGTTCTCTGTCGATGGTGCATGTGATGGCGTGATTACCGTGTCAGAGCAGGTTTTGCTTGCTAGGGTGATTACGTATCTCTACGACCGAGACGGGTTTTGCTGTTTCTTCGGATGCGGTGGGCAATTTGCCAACTATATGAACAGTATTCCTCAAAAAAGACACAGGATTTGGTTGCGTTCGCGAGCTGCCTTCTTCCTGCCGCTGAGCGAGGTTGGATATAACGAGGCAGGGTCGGAAATCGAAGACGCGGCAACTATCGACGTTTACTTTGAGCTTATTATTTTGCATCAAGAAATCAATACTTATAGCCAAAGCTCAGTAACGCATGCGACGGCCATGAAACCAAGACTACAACAACGACTAGAGGCTATCTACAAGGTAAGTGTACTCGATGGGAATGAAACGGGCAGCATTGCTTATAGAAATAGGATCAAGGAACACTCTTTCACCAAGCGACAGAGCAGTCGCATGATTCTCAGTGCACTCTGATGGCTTATGTCACAGTAACCGTCTTTTATGCTCTACAGATTTACCTCTACCGCGCTCGGCAGTGTGCGTTTGGGACCAGGCCTATACCTGCCGAAATCCAGGATGCCCTTAACTCACTCGTGTCTGCTGCGTACTACGCCACAAAGACTGGACAAGTACAGTTACTTGAGCGTTTTCAATGGTCTCTCTTCATCGCTGGGTTGGAAGTCACTGATCCAGTGCACCAGGAGTGGATTGGAAACAATATGTCTGATCCTGCAATCAAGAAAGGATTCGACCATATTCAAGCTTTCAAGAGAAGATCTGCAGGTGGTATCACTGTGCAGAATATTCGAGCGCTAATCGACGAGAGTTTGACGGTGTCATAATGCGTGCGTCAGACCTGAAGTTGTAAAGGGAGGCGACATGCCGATCAATTGTTACGCATGCCTCTCCATATCCTCAAACAGCCAACTTCTCAGATGACCACCCTTTTAGAGACAAGGCTCGCCCGTTTCAATTCCCCGGGGCGCCCAAAGCCTTTACTGGTGGAATCTATAACGAGTCATGGTTTGGGGTACTGACCACGACGCTGTGGTCCGGAGTTAGTCTGTCAAACCCCGAGATCGGCTCCCCACGCATCGATTAATCTGGCCAATAACGCAGCCCTATTTAACTACCTTCGATATCAGGGGAGTCACTTTTTTTGCCGACGGAAGAAAGATAGGCGTCGTGACACTTTCTCCGCATTATCAAGGTTTATCTCTGGGTCGTCGTTTGCCGCCTGGGCTCTTCGAATTATATCAAGGGCTGTCCATCCGTTCCCATGGCTTAATCTGACCAGCGACGCAAGGGGCTCTTGTCTACCATCATGGAGAACACTGTCCAGACCACGTCCGTTATTGATGAGAAGAAAAATCAGTCAGAAATGGCTGCTGACAAAGAGTATGGGGTTGCGGAGACCCTCAGCTCTCAAGATGAAAAGAGGCTTGTGAGGAAGATTGACCTACAGTATGTGTCTCCTCTCAGCATGATCCAGGCATGAACTTACCAGCTACCTAGCCTTATGCCGCTTTTGATCATTAGCTACGGCCTTCAATACCTTGACAGTATGACTCGATGCCTCTGTTCTCTTCGCCCATCACTCACTCGCTTCGCAGAAACCAGTTTATCCTACAGCGCCATTCTTGGATTACGAGAAGACCTGGTACGACCCTTTTGCGTGGGACAAAAACACAGTTGCTGATGGCAGTCCAGAGTCTGCATGGACAACAGTACAGCTGGGCATCTGGCATCTTCTACATTGGGTACCTGGCTGCCTCGTACCCTATTTCGCTCGGATTCGTCCGTTTCCCACTGGGCCGGTACCTCAGCGTTCTAATGTAAGTGATCTGCAGCGTTTTGATACCCAATTTATTGAGAAAAATCTAGTTTCCTTTGGGGAGTAGTCCTCACTCTCCATGCCTGTGCGCAGAACTATGCCGGGCTTATGGTGCTGCGAACCTTCCTCGGTATCTTTGAGAGTGCTATTAGCCCTGGCTTCTCACTTATCACTGGAATGTGGTATACCCCCAAGGAACACGTCTCTCGCCACTCGTTCTGGTTTGCCGGGAACTCTATCGCAAGTCTTATTGGATCAGGCATTGCGTACGGCACTCTACAATATACAGGAGGATTCAACAAGTGGAAGGTCAGTTTCTTGCAGGACCCCTTGAGTTAAACGACTAACATCAACTCCAGATGCTTTTCCTCATCTTCGGCCTCATTACAGTCGCTTGGTCGGTTTTCCTATGGTTCTTCCTCCCCGATGACCCCTCGACTGCGCGCTTCCTTACCCCGACGGAAAGAGAGTTTGCATCTCTACGACCCAAGAAGTTCCAGCGTACTACTCAGACAAAGAGGTGGGATAAGGGCCAGTTTATTGAGACCATGAAAGACGTGAAGACATGGTGGTTCTTATTATTTTCTTTTGTGATTTGCGTGCCAAATGGTGGTACAACCAGCGTACGTTGTCCCTCCCAAGCCTTGAGTTCCTAAACTTATCATTTTATCACCACAGTTCAACACAATTATCATTAACAGCTTCGGCTATGATGAATTCCAAACCATCCTAATGGGCATGCCAGCCGCCGCATTCCAGTTCACCACGGTCGTCCTCGCCGCGCTATTCACAACCTACATCCGCAAGTCCAGACTGTGGGCCATGATCTCAATCTTCCTCATGGCCATGGCGGGAATACTCATGGTCAAGCTTCTTCCCTACGACCGGAAGATTCCTCGACTTGCAGGATACTGGCTTGTAACCGCCGTGGCTCCTGCGTTCCCTCTCATGATGTCGTTGTTCGCTAGCAACACCGCTGGGTTTACAAAGAAGTCCACCGTCGTCGCTCTCATTTTCGTCGGATACTGTGTTGGAAACTTCGTGGGTCCCCAGTTCTTTAAGAGCACCGAGGCACCGGGTTACTCGGTAAGCATGCTTTCCCTTGTTGACATAGCTATTTGTGGTACTAACAGTATGACTTACTAGACTGCCTACACCACAATTCTTACCTGCTACGTAATCTCGATTGTCATGACTGCTCTCTTTCGGGTGTATCTTAGCTGGACGAACAAGAAACGGGATCAGAACCAGGGGGTGCACATTGACCCTGAGGAACATCGTGAGATTGACCTTCAGGCAGACGAGGAGCTGGACCATGTGGATGAGACAGATATCCAGAACCAGAGCTTTAGATATATTTTGTAAGGGCATGTTTTCGTTTTGGCGGCATTACATTGTTGTACTAGCCCTGCTCCCTAGCCTTAATAATATTCAGTCCAAGCATCAATGTATCATATGATATTTCACGTAATAAGAAATAGAACTTCATTCAAGGCAATTAGGAACCAAGAGAATTAACTGCTTGGAGAGGCCAGTTGCTGCCTTGGAGCCTGAATTGCTATCAAATGTGGGGAAATTTTTGATAGCGAAGTCGGCGGGATTTTCAACGTGCCCCTCGGCAAGACTTGACTCACTATTGAGTCATTTACTCTCTATCTTTATAACCAACCCCAGTGTAGCTTGACGCCCCAGATCACCAAGGGCATCGGCGCAATCATGGGTGCCGAAAACGTTCCATTACAGGAACGCCTCGAGCGCTGGGCTCAGAGGCTGCAAAACCTCACCGTCTCCCCGCTGACCCGCGACTATCCCGACAACCAGAACCAGGAGCTGCCCAAGCGAGCCATTGAAGCTTTCGAGTCGCTTAAGCTCTCCAATGACACAGCGTCAGCATTGAAGAACCTCTCCGGGACATCTTCGGGATTCACCGTTTTCCTAACGGCGTTTGTGGTGCTCGTCGCTCGGTTGACCGGTGATGAGGACATCGCTATCGGCACCAGCCTTGGTGACGATGGCCGTCCCTTTGTCCTGAGAGTTCCAATTGACCCCTCAGAGACTTTCCTCCAGCTCTACTCCAAGGTCCAGAAGGTAATATTGTCAGATACCTGATTTGTCACTTGACTGACGATTCTAGGCATACGATGAAGGGTCCGCCGAAATCGTGCCATTGGGCAGCCTACGATCCCATATCCAAGAAAAGTCGCAATCCGAGCGAACGCCCATCCTCTTCCGATTCGCCGCGTACGATGCCCCAGCTGCTTCGCAAGAGTACCCTGCCAACACCTTCGAGACGACGGATCTGGTGGTCAACGTTGCGCCAGCAAGCACCTCGGACGGCGCGACAGAGCTAGGAGCATACTACAACCAGAGATTGTTCTCGAGTGCTAGGATCAGCACAATCCTGCACCAGATCGCTCAATTGGTCCAGAATGCCACGAGCCAACCGGAGACCGCGATTGGGCGCATTGACTTCATGACTCCCGAGCAGCGCGCTCTTCTCCCCGACCCGACTGCCGATTTGCACTGGTCCAAGTTCCGAGGAGCTATCCACGATATTTTCGCTGATAACGCTGAGAAGCACCCTGAGAAACTTTGCGTTGTCGAGACTCAATCTGCCAACTCCGCACACCGCGAGTTCACCTACAGGCAGATCAATGAAGCCTCCAACATTCTTGGTCACCACCTGGTTGAGGCTGGTGTCGAGAGGGGAGAGGTTGTTATGGTGTATGCCTACCGTGGTGTCGACCTGGTTGTGGCTGTCATGGGTATCCTTAAGGCCGGTGCGACGTTTTCCGTTATCGACCCTGCGTACCCCCCGGAGCGACAATGCATCTACCTCGACGTGGCTCGTCCTCGCGCTCTTATCAACATCGCGAAGGCCACCAAGGATGCCGGTGAGCTGTCGGAGAAGGTGCGCACATTCATCGATGAGAACCTGCAGCTACGGACTGAGATCCCCGCTCTCGCCCTCCTTGACGACGGTTCGCTCCTGGGAGGCTCAATTGATGGCGAGGATGTGCTGGCTAAACAGGTGCCCTCCAAGTCCAAGCGTGTAGGCGTTGTTGTTGGCCCCGATTCCACCCCTACCCTCTCGTTTACTTCCGGCTCTGAGGGTAGGCCCAAGGGCGTCAGAGGGCGTCACTTCTCCCTGGCGTACTACTTCCCATGGATGTCTGAAACATTCAAGCTTACTCCCAACGACAAGTTCACGATGCTTAGCGGTATCGCTCACGACCCTATCCAAAGAGATATCTTCACTCCTCTTTTCCTTGGTGCCCAGCTGCTTGTCCCGGCCCGCGAGGATATCCAGAACGAGAAGCTTGCTGAGTGGATGCGTGACTACGGTGCTACAGTCACACATCTCACCCCTGCTATGGGTCAGATCCTCGTTGGAGGTGCTTCTGCGCAGTTCCCCACTCTTCACCATGCTTTCTTCGTCGGAGACATCTTGATCAAGAGAGACTGTCGCTCTCTGCAAGGGCTGGCCCCGAACGTCAACATCGTCAACATGTACGGAACGACCGAGACCCAGCGTGCCGTCAGTTATTTCGAAATCCCCAGCTACTCGAGTAACGGCGGCTACCTGGACACCATGAAGGACGTCATCCCGGCTGGTCGGGGTATGCTCGACGTACAGATGCTGGTCGTCAACCGCTTCGAGCCCAGCCGTATTTGTGCTATTGGCGAAGTTGGTGAGATCTACGTTCGTGCAGCTGGTCTTGCGGAAGGGTACCTTGGTTCTCCGGAACTAAACCAGAAGAAATTCCTTACTAACTGGTTTGTTGACCCTAAGACATGGGTGGAGAAGGATACCGCAGAGTCGCAGGGTGCCAATGAGCCCTGGAGGGAGTTCTACGTTGGACCTAGGGACCGTCTGTACCGAAGCGGTGATCTTGGTCGATACACTCCTTCTGGAGACGTCGAGTGCTCAGGTCGTGCCGATGACCAGGTGAAGATCCGTGGCTTCCGTATTGAGCTGGGTGAGATCGATACCCATCTCTCCCGTCACCCTCTTGTCCGAGAGAATGTGACCCTGGTGCGACGTGACAAGTTCGAGGAGCCTACCCTCGTCAGCTACTTTGTGCCTGACATGAGCAAGTGGGCTTCGTGGTTGGAACAGAAGGGTCTCAAGGACGATGACTCCGCTGAAGGAATGGTCGGCATGCTCCGACGATTCCGTCCTCTTCGTGACGATGCCCGTGAGCTCCTTCGCAGCAAGCTTCCCACATATGCTGTGCCGACGGTGTTCATTCCCCTTAAGCGCATGCCCCTGAACCCCAACGGAAAGATTGACAAGCCCGCCCTGCCTTTCCCTGATACCGCAGAGCTCAGCGCGGCTGCTCCCCAGCGTAGAGCATCGGCCCTGAAAAACCTTTCAGAGACCGAACAGGCACTGGCTCAAATCTGGGCTTCTCGCATTTCCAACGTTACCGCTCAAATGATTGGCCCTGACGACTCCTTCTTTGACCTCGGAGGACACAGTATCCTCGCCCAGCAGATGTTCTTCGACCTTCGACGCAAATGGCGCGGTATCGACATCAGCATGAATGCCATCTTCCGCAGCCCTACCCTCCGGGCCTTCGCTGCAGAGATCGACCGCCTGCTGAACTTCGAGTCTTTCGCTAGCAACGATGAGAAGGCTACGGAGACCACAGCAACCGCCAACGAGCCCAACGACGAATATTCCCGCGATGCCCGTAAGTTGGTAGATACCCTGCCGGAATCTTTCCCCACGCGCACAGAGGACATGCTCTCCGCCGAACCCACTATCTTCCTCACCGGTGCCACCGGTTTCCTCGGTGCCCACATCCTCCGCGACCTCCTCACCCGCAAGTCTCCTTCAGCTAGAGTCATCACACTTGTCCGCGGTAAGAGCGCCGAACAAGCCCTGGCCCGTATCCGCTCCACCTGCCGAGCCTACGGCTTCTGGGACGAATCCTGGACCTCTCGCCTCGAGTGCATCACCGGTTCCCTCGGCGACCCCCGATTTGGCCTCACCGACGCCGCCTGGGACGACCTCACCAAGCGCGTTGACGCCGTCATCCACAACGGTGCCCTCGTCCACTGGGTCTACCCCTACTCCACCCTCAAGCCGGCCAACGTCCTCGGCACCATTGACGCCCTCAAGCTCTGCGCAACTGGCAAGCCTAAACAGTTCTCCTTCGTCAGCTCAACCAGTGTCTTGGACAGCGATTACTACGTCGAGGAGTCCGAGCGCAGCATTGCCGCTGGTGGCGCCGGTATCAGCGAAGACGACGACCTGGAAGGTAGCGCCGTCGGCCTGGGAACCGGCTACGGCCAGAGCAAGTGGGCTGGCGAGTACCTCGTCCGCGAGGCCGGAAAGCGCGGTCTGAAGGGAACAATCGTCCGTCCTGGTTACGTCCTCGGTGACTCGAGCAGCGGCAGTACGTGTCCCAACCTCTCCAAAATATAACCCATACTGACTTTTCCACCACAGCAACAAACACCGACGATTTCCTTATCCGCATGATCAAGGGCTGCATCCAGCTCTCCGCCCGCCCCAACATCCACAACACCGTCAACATGGTCCCTGTCGACCACGTCGCCCGCGTCGTCATCGCAGGTGCCTTCCAGCCCCCCGTTTCGCCTATCGGCGTCGCCCAGGTCACCGGCCACCCCCGCCTGCGCTTCAACCAGTTCCTCGGCGCCCTCCAGCTCTACGGGTACAATGTGCCCCAGGTCGACTACGTGCCTTGGTCCAAGCTGCTCGAGCAGTATGTCAACAGCGGCGAGCATGATGATTTGGAGAGCCAGCATGCGCTGTATGTCCCCTTCTACTTATTTCAGGGATTATGCGGGAGAAAGCTAATATGTGTCGCTAGGATGCCCCTCTACCACTTCGTCACTGCTGACCTCCCCTCCAACACCAAGGCTCCCGAGCTCGACGACGTCCACGCCGCTGCGTCGCTCCGCGCGGACGCTAAGTGGTCGGGCGTTGATGTCTCCGCCGGTGCCGGCGTAACAGAGGAGTTGGTCGGCCTGTACACCTCGTACCTTGTCTCCGTTGGCTTCTTGCCCGCGCCAACGGAAAGTGGCTCCCGTCCCTTGCCTGCCGTATCGATCACGAGTGACCAGAGGGAGGCGATGGCGGGTGTTGGAGGCCGTGGCGGAACTGCGTGATCTAGAGACAGGATTTATGGTTATTTGATATGATTGTTTGGTCTTTAAAAGCTTAGCTTGATTTGGCATTTTCTTGTTTCTAGGTAGATGGTGGGGATCTTTGAATGATGATAGGGGTGTGTTATGATATATAGCTAGAGCGTTTGTATAGACAACGCGAGATTTCGGAATGGAATAAGTTCACCAAGATCTCTACTTACCTAGGTCGCGGACGGCAGTACCGAGCAATGATGGTCTCCAGCCACAATAATAGCCCATGCTATTCCTGCGTTTAGCCTGAGAGCCCTAACTACCAAGAACTCCCCAACGTTGATCGAATCCAGGAAGGAGATTGATGAAGAGAACTAACTAGGAGTTTGCATAGACACCCTGAGCCTCTTAGAACATTGCAAACCCAAATTCTTTCACCAAAACAGTGAGGCTTTTGGAGGATACGAGAACACGAGAAAACATACGAGTTCTCAAATATGAGAAATCCAGAACTGCACCTTTAGCCGAAAAGGATATTAGATGGCCAAAGAAGGTCAGGAAGCCGCAGCGATGTATCGCTTTCAGATGACTACCTGGCCAATCTCCGTCTTCAGAATGACCTACTGACTCTGACATTCCCGTATTGCCTACAGAATAGACTTGCGTAAGCTGACAGTTTCTTGAAATATAGCATGATGCACCTAAGCTATCATCTCCGAGTACCATCAAGGTAACCCTGATGGACCACGGCCCGTGTCTGTATATGAAGTCAGACAACATAAGATCAACAGAACAGGGACAGAAGGATTGGAAGGATTCGAGAATACCACGTCAATGTTACTTGTTGCTTATCTTTGCTGGTAATCTGATCACAAGTTGCTTGATACGTCACCCGACGGTTCTATAGACTTGTCAATATAGCGTGGCATGCTTCGCCAAGAGGTGGTGAGTGCGGCGCTTTTTGGCGCAGAGCTCACCATGATGGCGGCTTTTTTATTCAGCTCGTCTTCCCTCGGTGCATTCGCATCTTTCATCTTGGTACACAAACAATATTCCCAGAAACTTTGCAATGGCGACTCAAGGTGCGTGCCGTATATAGAGCTGGCGCTGTTTCTCTAGTCCGATCTGTCGATGTTGATTTGTTCTTTGTGTTTCCCATGATACTTGCGTGAGACAGCATGTATCCAAAAGGCCTTGTTGATTGTCAGTGTGACGGGACCTCATTGCTTGTTGTTTTCTCGGCCAGCCAAGCAAGGTCGTGCATGAAGACAATGGATTATTCCACCTCTCGGTCATGGCCTAGTTCAAACAGTTCAGGGCAAAGCGTACTCATGTTGTTTGGGCTTATTCATTATCATCCATCAACAGGATTGTTACACGAAAATCCATATAGCTCCTACTGACAACTACTTCAGATCGATTCACCACAGCCCTCCGCCAAAACAAAGCGTGGGCAGCCCAGATATCCAAAGAGAATCCAGATCTCTTCCGCAAACTCTCCGCCGGTCAGCATCCAGAGATTCTTTGGATAGGCTGCTCCGACTCGCGGTGTCCCGAGACAACTCTGCTCGGCCTGAACCCCGGGGACGTGTTTGTCCACCGGAATATTGCCAACATACTGCAGCCCTCAGACCTCAGCTCTACCTCAGTAATTGAGTATGCTGTCCGTCATTTGGGTGTGAAGCATGTGGTGGTGTGCGGGCACACCAACTGTGGAGGTGTATCTGCGGTGATGGCGAACAAGCAACTTGGCGTCCTTGATTCATGGCTCTTGCCTCTGAGAAAGCTGCGCGATACTAACGCAAGTCGACTGAAATCATTACCGGCTGACAAGGCACTGCTGCAGTTGGTCGAACTGAATGTCCTTGCCGGGGTGAAGACGGTCAAGCAGAAGAGTGTCGTGGCCGAGGCAATGAAGAAAGGATTGAAGGTCCATGGGCTCGTGTATGACGTGGGGAGTGGTGTTCTGCAGGAATTGGATACCAGTGTGTCGGACAAAGTGGTCAGGAAACGGTTGACCTTGTTCAAGAAGGAGGTTTAGGGCTTGGTGTATGCTTCTGTTGATTTTCTCGACTGCGCTCAGCCATCTTGCTTGTATTAGTTTCTGCCTCTTTCAGATAAATGAATTGAATATGAGATCGATGAGAGGAGTAGAATGGTAGAGCCTGGAGTTGCTGGAGACAGGAAAGTACAGCAGGAGCAGGTGACTGTTCGTACCTTCCAATTCACTGCCTACAGCCACCATTCACTCAGTCATTTGCATCCAGTATTCACCCTAACAGCTCTCAAATGTCCTGAGGCTCCTAGCCTCCGTAAACCCGTCTATATCATCATGTGGACGACCGCCTCTGGGTCTGCTTCCTCTCTGAGGCTCGCATCTTTGACCCCATCTGATACCACACGGACTCCCTCATCAACAAACACAATGACAACCATGACGATTCCATTCATCCGAGAGACTTTGAGCTCAGAGGAAAGAAGCGTTGAGCCAGTGACAACGTTAAGTGACAGAGCACGAATCTGGATGCTAGATCTTCGACACCATGTCCGAAACGACTTGACACCGATCTGCAAGCGTCTAGAATCGAGAATTTGCAGCAAAGACAGAAGGCAGCGCTTTCGTCGCCTGCAGCATAGGCTCTTTGGTCTCAGTGAGGTCGAACTATCGAGCCTCGAGATCTACTTCACCTGCTGGGACACAATGCGTGAGGCGGTGCAGCGAGATGAGTGGCTGACAAGAAAGCTTTCGATGCTAAAAGACAAGATGCAGAACTCGCCAGACAAAGATCCTGCCATGACCTCCCTTCAAGCCGAACTCGATACCGTCACTCAGGGTATTCTGCAGAACGGAATGATTTGTGAGTCGACAACCAAGTTGCTGCGAGGCGTGACACCTAACTTCTGCGACACACCCATCTACCGCGCTTTCCGCCAAACTGTGCTCTCGGACAACTGGCTAGACTCCGTCCAACTTCGAAAATTATGTGCCGATGCAGGAGGCTGCTGCGGACGGGACTGCGGGTGTTGCTTCAAATCCCGCGATTCTCGGTATGCAGGACCTCTTGTTGGAGGGTTCCATGGCCATTGCACCTCCGCCTGTGCCTGTTGTTTGGAACACGCTGGCGTGGAGAAGCCAGCCAATAAGCTGGAATGTCTGCGCGAGCTTGACTTCAACCTCAAACCTGCAAAGACGGATATATCCGGCCAGCGGTTCATCAATGGGCTCATCTGGGGTATTGGTGATGCTAAATGATCAAGGAGCCGCCCGTGAATAGGTTGAAGGTAGATGAATCTGGAATATTCGCCGATGTAGAGCGTTTGGGTATTGCTATTGGATGTTTTTCATGTACTTATTTTTCGAATCCATCATGTCAGTCAAGTAGGAGTAACAGGACATACCTAATCATAGACTGTAGCTATTTCGAACGGCTTAGAGAGGATAGCCATTGTCATTGAGACGGAGAGCAATGATTAGTTGACCGTTGCTGGACCTGTCGGCTATGAGATGTATTTCGTCCATTCGTAATTCTAACATACTAAAGCCCAAGGAACAGCAGGCGCTTCTGTTGCAGTTGCCGTATATAGAAAACGCTAATTGATGCTTAATCTTCCAGGTATCGTTTCTACCACATTGAGATAGTTTATATCTTCGGACGAGCCCCAAAAAAGCCCTTCTCATCCTCCTCCCACTTCTTGCGCTCAACGATACTCCGAGCCCTATAAGCCTTGACGAACCGCCAGACCTCAGTGTCAGCCATATTCCAGGCCTCAGCCACACCCCGGATGTTCACCCGGTTGCTGTTTGTCTGTTTCTTCAGTATATCCCTCGCCTCCTGGATGATTGTATACTCCTGCTGGACACCCTGCTTGCTTGGGTTGGAATGCTGCATTGACTCCTTGGCATCACCCTCGTTCTTGGCGTCGACATTGCTGTCGCGCGGGATTCGGAACCCGAACTGCCACTCGAATTCGTCGAGGAGAGAGCTGGGGAGGGCTTGGCCAACATCCGCGGAGAGAGACTCGACAGTCATCCATAGTGAGGTGCCGATGGCTGGCTCATCTGCGACAAACTTCTTGAAGAGAACAGCTCGTGGCCCACCGCCGAGGCCATGGCCTATTTGATCGCCTGTTACATCCTTTAGCCATGCATCGCGAGGTGTCTCGCGTCGTATATGCCGTGTCGTGACCTCTGCGGAGTTTTGAAGCAGGCTAATGAGAGTGAATGGATGCGGGAGGGTTCCAATTGTGAAGACCTGAGTGTTGTTCTTGTACGTGGCTGGCTGGCTGATTTTCATCGGCTTGTGCGCGTTGCATGGGTGGCAGTCTCGCACGTTCGGAGGGCATGAGGAGGGCGCGACAGATTCCGCGCACTGCCCGAGTGCCTTGGCTAGCCTTAATGCTGGTTCAACCAACGCGGTTGTGTGCTCAGCAAAAGGCTTTAGCACGGCTATTCCACCTGGGAAAGAGTTTACAAATGTATTGTGCAGATGTGAGTTTATAAGGTCCACTAGGGCGAGCCGACGAGCCGACGCAGAGGGAATAGCCTTCTCCGTAAGCTCGTGGTAATGGTCCCTGATCGTAGCCGAGTCATATAACGCCAGAGAGCTCGTCTGGCGGGACTTCAATAGCTCGTCCGGTACCACCTCCCACAACGATTTGATTGACTTGTCAATCTTCTTGATTGATTTTTCAACGGCAGCATTGATCGCATCTTTCTTCCCAGAAAGCAGAGAACTATGGGTTCGGTCAAACCGAGTGATGTGGTCCGAATCCGCGCTCCGGCGCAGATATGCGAGGGTTGCATCGTCGTATCTGGCCATTGGGAAACAAAGCCAATCGGCAAGTAAGCCATCACCCATATGGCCCCATGCCAGCCATCTGAACAATTCTTCCCCCAGTTCAGGGCTCAAATCTAAGTGCTTTATCGACTCATATAACGGATTGGCGGTGGCCTCGGCCCGACCAAGAACAACCGGGCGCAATCCCTGCGCATACCAAGCACGGCGCCAGGCAAATAGAAGCTGCTCATCAGCATTCTCCTCTTCTCTATCACTGCCTTTTCTCGGATTGTAATATGTGAAGATATACGGCCGGTTCGGAAGCGGAGGAAGGACGGACCGGTCCTCATCGAGCGTGATGGAGGACGAGAAAGGGTTGAGCCATGCCCAATGACTGAACCATTTCGAATCGCCGCTTGAGCTGTCCCTTTGGGGCTCCGGGGGGTTATGCGCCGGTGGATGGAACGTCGGCAGGTGCAGGTCGCTCAACGAAGGAAATTTCGGGACATATTTGGCGGCCGTGGATATCTCTTCGCTGACTGCATCAGGCACGGGCACGGGCTTTGGGGAGGAGGATAATATTACGAAGGCGATGGCGATAAAGAGGATGACCGCGAGGAGGGATGTACTGCGGCGCACAATCATGATAGGGCTCTGGTCGAATGGTCCGAGAAAAAGGCGTAAGCGACTGATGTCAGACGCGGTTGTTCCGGCGGAGTAGGAGTGGGAGAGGACGAGTTAGAAAGGGACGGAGGGGATCAATTGACAAGGCTAGTCAGCCCTCATTGACGAAGAATAAACCAGTATAGCAAAAAGCAGTGATTGTGCTTCTGAAGACGGCAGCTTCATGATGGAACCCATCATAATCAAGCTTGTTGCGGCGATCGTGATGTCCGCTCCAGTTTCCGGATGCGGAGTCTACGATGTCATTAGATATCACGTGCTATACGAGTACTGGCCCCAGGCAGCTTCAGGCACACACCGATAAGCTCCAGCGCTGCTTATCTACTGGCGAGTGGCAACTGGCAACCAGATATCTACTCCGTAGCAGTTGAGATTGAAGGTTGGAGGGCAGGGGAATACTCCACACAGTACACATGAACTCGAGATATGTGCGCGAGTGCCTAGTAATAACTATCACACTTATTACAAATGTCGCATTCCGCCGAGCGCGATTGGGCGGGATCAACCTCAAAGCGTGGCGGGCCCCATCGGACTGTGGCGATCCCCGCGATTCATCCAGACCCTTACTTATCAGGCTCTTGTCATATTAAACTCTCCATTCTCCCCACTTCCTTGATGTTGATTTCAGGTACCTTATCCCGGTGCAGCCGTTCAAGAAACAGTCATGGCTCCCGGCGTCTTATTACAACCGTCCCAGGAGGACCTTGAGACAGCAGCTCCGGCGAAACCTGCGGCTTCGTTATCGCAGCTGACTGAAGACTGGGACGATACGATCCGCTTTTATCTCAATGGCACAAAGGTGGTCTTGGACTCCTTCGACCCCGAAATCACATTACTGGAGTACCTAAGGGGTATCGGCTTGACGGGAACGAAACTGGGATGTGCGGAGGGAGGATGCGGTGCTTGCACGGTTGTAAGTTGTTGGTTTGATAAGGACCGGGTTTCTAGCAGACTTCCTGACTTCAAATAGGTTGTTTCCCAAATCAATCCTACAACCAAGAAGCTCTATCATGCCTCCATAAATGCATGCATTGCGCCGCTGGTCGCTATTGACGGAAAACACGTTATCACTGTGGAGGGTATCGGGAATGTGAAGAATCCTCATGCAGTCCAGCAGCGGCTGGCAATCGGAAACGGAAGTCAGTGTGGGTTTTGCACTCCGGGTATCGTTATGGTATGGCACATTAGGAGGACTGGTCTGTTATAGCGTGCTGATGTCTCCCAGAGCCTTTATGCTCTCATACGGAACGATCCCCAACCCTCGGAGCACGCGGTGGAAGAGGCTTTTGATGGGAATCTATGTCGTTGTACCGGCTACCGCCCCATTCTCGACGCCGCCCAGAGCTTTAGCAATCCATCTGGTTGTGGAAAAGCGCGAGCAAATGGCGGTACGGGATGCTGTATGGAAAAGCAGGACGGCACAAATAGTTGCTGCAAGGGATCTTCGCTGGATGCCGCCGAAGAGGTCACGCACAAATTCGCGTCTCCCGATTTCATTGAATACAAACCAGACACAGACCTAATTTTCCCTCCGGCGCTTTGGAAGCACGACCTACGGCCTCTAGCCTTCGGTAGCAAGAGAAAGAAGTGGTACCGGCCGGTTACAGTACAGCAGCTCCTGGAGATCAAGAGCGTCCACCCAGATGCCAAGTTAATTGGTGGGAGCACCGAGACACAAATCGAAATCAAGTTCAAGCAAATGCGTTACGGCGCGTCCGTTTATCTGGGAGATCTCGCTGAACTCCGGCAATTTACCTTCCATGACAAGTACCTCGAAATTGGTGCTAACATCTCGTTGACCGATCTGGAATCGGTCTGCGATCAAGCCGTCGAACGTTATGGCCCAACACGCGGCCAACCCTTTGTTGCTATCAAGAAGCAGCTTCGCTACTTTGCTGGAAGGCAAATCAGGAATGTAGCCTCGCCAGCTGGAAACCTGGCTACTGCATCTCCCATTTCCGATCTCAATCCTGTCTTTGTGGCCACGAACACGACTTTAGTTGCCAGATCTTTAGAGAAAGAAACTGAGATTCCAATGACCCAGTTCTTCAAAGGTTACCGATCCACGGCCCTGCCGCCAGATGCCATTATCTCGAGCCTGCGGATCCCAACTGCCTCGGAGAAAGGAGAGTACTTGCGCGCTTACAAACAGTCCAAGAGGAAAGACGATGATATCGCTATCGTGAACGCTGCTTTGCGGGTTTCGCTCTCGCCGTCGAACGACGTTACAAGCGTAAATCTAGTTTTCGGCGGCATGGCGCCTTTGACGGTATCTGCGCGGAACGCGGAAGCCTTCCTGGCTGGAAAGAGGTTTACTGATCCGGGAACTCTTGAAGGTGCCATGGGTGCTTTGGAGCAAGATTTCAATCTTAAGTATAGTGTTCCGGGTGGTATGGCGACTTACCGAAAGTCCCTTGCCCTTGGCTTCTTCTACCGGTTCTACCACGACGTATTATCACAGCTCGAGGCCAGGAAAAGTGGCGTGGATGACAGCGTTGTGGCCGAGATTGAGCGAGCAATATCAACCGGCGAAAAAGACCACGAGGCTTCAGCAGCTTACATGCAGAGGGTCCTGGGTCGGGCTGGACCGCACGTCTCGGCGCTGAAACAGGCTACTGGAGAAGCTCAGTACACCGACGACATTCCTGTGCAAAGAAACGAGCTGTACGGGTGTATGGTTTTGTCAACGAAAGCCCATGCTAAACTACTCAGTGTCAACGCAGAAGCCGCCCTGGAAATCTCTGGGGTGGTTGATTATGTAGATCATACCGATCTTCCATCACCGAAAGCGAATTGGTGGGGCGCCCCGAACTGCGATGAGGTCTTCTTCGCAGTTGACGAGGTCACGACTGCTGGGCAGCCGATTGGCATGATCCTTGCAAACACAGCCAAGGCTGCTGAAGAGGGCGCGAGGGCTGTTAAAATTGAATACGAAGAGTTGCCTGTGATTCTCAGCATTGAAGAGGCAATTGAAGCAGAATCTTTCTTCGAGCATTTCCGTTATATCAAAAATGGAGATCCTGAGAGCGCCTTCAAGGATTGCGACCATGTCTTTGAAGGTGTATCACGGATGGGAGGACAGGAGCACTTTTATCTAGAAACACAGGCTTGCGTGGCGATTCCCAAGCCTGAAGACGGCGAGATGGAGATCTGGAGCGGTACCCAGAACCCGACAGAGACGTACGTGCATTTCTCCTGATTGCTGAACGTGACTAACCATCCCAGACAATCATATGTGGCACAAGTTACCGGCGTGGCTGCCAACAAGGTTGTTTCAAGAGTCAAGCGTCTTGGTGGAGGCTTCGGTGGTAAGGAGACGCGATCTGTCCAGCTTGCAGGCATATGCGCCACGGCTGCAGCAAAAGTCAGGCGGCCAGTTCGATGCATGCTCAACCGTGATGAGGACATTGCAACGTCTGGACAGCGTCACCCATTCTATTGCAAATGGAAGGTTGGCGTAAGCAAGGATGGCAAGCTCCTTGCACTCGACGCAGACGTCTTCGCAAATGGCGGGCATACGCAAGATCTTTCCGGGGCTGTTGTTGAGCGAAGTCTGTCACACATTGACAACGTATATCGAATCCCGAACATGTATGTCCGCGGCCGGGTCTGCAAGACAAACACAGTCTCGAATACGGCATTCCGCGGCTTCGGCGGCCCGCAAGGCCTTTTCTTTGCCGAATCAATCATTTCAGAAGTCGCAGACCACCTCGACCTCCAGGTCGAGCAGCTCCGAATCCTCAACATGTACGAATCTGGCGACAAGACGCATTTCAACCAAGAACTCAAGGACTGGCACGTCCCATTGATGTACGACCAGGTCCTAGAAGAAAGCGAATACCTCGAGCGCCGCAAGGCCGTAGAAGAGTATAATCGAACTCACAAATGGTCCAAGCGTGGCATGGCCATCGTCCCCACGAAATTCGGCATCTCCTTCACAGCCCTCTTCCTCAACCAAGCCGGTGCCCTCGTCCACATCTACCACGATGGTAGCGTCCTCGTCGCCCACGGTGGCGTGGAGATGGGTCAAGGCCTCCACACAAAGATGACCATGATCGCCGCGGAAGCCCTCGGCGTCCCCCAATCCGACGTCTTCATCTCCGAAACAGCCACCAACACCGTCGCAAACACCTCCTCCACCGCCGCTTCTGCCAGCTCAGACCTCAACGGCTACGCCATCTACAACGCCTGCACGCAGATTAACGAACGCCTCAAGCCCTACCGTGAGAAAATGCCCAATGCCTCCATGAAAGACCTCGCCCACGCCGCTTACTTCGACCGCGTCAACCTTTCCGCCCAGGGCTACTACCGCACCCCAGATATCGGGTACACGTGGGGCGAAAACAAAGGTCAAATGTTCTTCTACTTCACCCAGGGCGTCACAGCCGCTGAAGTCGAAATCGACACACTAACAGGCGACTGGACGCCCCTCCGCGCGGACATCAAAATGGACGTCGGCCGCACAATCAACCCATCCATCGACTACGGGCAGATCGAAGGCGCCTACGTCCAGGGCCAAGGTCTCTTCACGACCGAAGAGTCCCTCTGGCACCGCGGCTCCGGCCAGATCTTCACCAAGGGCCCCGGGAACTACAAGATCCCGGGCTTCCGCGACATCCCACAGGTCTTCAACGTTAGTCTCCTTAAGGACGTGGAGTGGGAGAACCTGCGTACCATCCAGCGCAGTCGGGGTGTCGGCGAGCCACCGCTTTTCATGGGCAGTGCGGCGTTCTTCGCCATTCGGGATGCGCTCAAGGCTGCGAGGAAGGAGTGGGGTGTGACCGATGTGTTGAGCCTTGTTAGTCCGGCCACGCCCGAGAGGATCCGGGTTAGTTGTGCGGATCCGATCATCGAGCGGGTTAGGGTGAAGCCTGAGGAGGGGGAGAAAAGCTTCTTCGTGGCGATTTAGGCCGTTCATTCTTGTCGATATCAGGAGAGTAGTATGGGAGCTAGACTGTATTGTGGTTCATGAGTGGGAACTTGATACCTTACATACCTTAGCTTATTTTGCCTACACACAGTTTTAATATGAATTGGATGTTTGGTCTAATTTGGTTTATATTGGACGTGTCCTTCACCAGAATACCTGATTAGACTCGACCTAGATAGCCCTAGCTAAAGGACTCCAGTACCCGGCTAACTCCCCAAGCTCTAGAACTTTCGCAAGACCTAGCCCGCATAGTAAGACGGGTATATATTCATCTATCCATAATGATATAGCCATTATTATTTCCTAAATAGTATTCGCTAAGTGTATATGCTAAACCTACAGTCCACGCTAAAAATATGCTTGTAGTATGTGACGCTATGCTTCAAAGTTCAACGCCATGGATCGTACCACCAGTGTACAACACAGAGACGGGAAAACCAGAAGAGGTAAAAAACAAGGAAAGGATGCTGATAATCCATGCACGACATGTTAGATCATCGCTTCTCATCCCCAAACTCAGGATAACTGCTCGCGCGCGCATCCACAACAGAAACCTTCAGCGCGTTCCTCCTCTGCCCCGCAAAGCCCAGCTTCTCGTCTTCATATCCTGTCTCTGTCACAGCAGACGCAGCAGGGACATGGAGACCCGCGGTCGCGAACTTCCGGCTCGGCGGCTCGTACTCGGGGACAGCCTGGGAACGGGATTGCGAGTCCGCCGCGAAGTGCGACGTGGTGTTGGCATTGTTGATACTGGGCATTGCAGTGAGCGGGACATCCAGGAAGCCGTCGTTCGGATCGGAGGCCGCGGGTGGTGCAGGGCCTCCGTCGCCGCGGTTTCGGTCCTGGCTCCTGAAGAGGGAGAGGGCGCGGATGAGCCCGAAGAGGAGGTTCAGGAACCAGATTAGCAGGATGAAGCCGGAGATGAGGGCCTCGGTGGCGATGCCGGACTCGATGGCGTTTGTGACGCGGAAGACGACCTCGGTGATTTTGTTGGATGTTGAGGAGCCTGCGTCCGTGAGGAAACTGTCGGAGCCGTTGTCGTCGGTGATGCTTTCTGCTGCGCCGAGGGAGAAGGTGTCGTTACCGAGGGTTGGGAAGTCGATGTGCGCGTGGTCGTGGACCCATGTTAGGCCTTTTTGGATTCCTGTTATCTTCAGGAGGATTAGGCAGTTGAATACTTCCTTCAAGGGGTCGTACAGCAGGGTTCCGCCGAATGTATCGTTTAGGACGCCCGTTGTTTTATCGACGAAGGCGTTCAGCGTCTTGTTGACGCCTAGCGTTGTCGTGTTTACCCAACCGAAGACTTTGCCGTTGAGTTCTGTGTTCATGTCGCCGATGGCGCCGTTCGCGCTGTCTGCCCACTCGGCCGAGGTATTTTCTAGGGAGGAGACGACTTTATCCGCGAAGGCACCGACTTCAGCGGAAAGCTCTGGGACGGCCTTTTCGACGGCTTGGAGGAGGAGGTATTGGCAGAGACAGGCGAAGAGGCCCGCTACACCGAGGGATAGGACGAAGAGGGCTGCTGGGGAGGTTGCGTAGGCGATGACCCAGCGGACTAGGATCTGTCGACGGCTGTTGCTGAACCGGCTGGCGGCTTTGATTCCCGCGGCTGCAGAGTAGGGTCTTGATACGATGTAGACGACGTCCATAGGGTCGTGGGCTTCCTTGCGGACGAGCTGAGAGCGTTCCTTTTGGGCGCGCCAGCGGCGGATTTCTTGCCAGGCCATCGGGAAGCAGGCCAGGACGGCAGCGATTGCCAAAACCGCAATGAAGATCTTCTTTGCAGTCTCGGCAATGTCGGAGACATTATCGAAGAACGAGTCGATTCCGTCACTGCCCTTACAGAAACTGAGCTGCTTCTTTGCTGGAACAGGAAGGGTGTCCCGGTCAAATTTGTATGTTCCCATGGACTCGTTGATGAGTTTCTTTACTTCGTCAAAGGGTAGCCGAATGATGTTCTCTACAAACTTGCTGACTTCGTCGAAGGTAGGGACGGAAGCATTGAGTTTGTCGAGACCCTCGTCGATTGACGATGGGAGGTGGGCATTCTCGAGGTCATCGATGAAGCTTGTAAGGTTCAGGTCGGGGACGTCGTCGGCGCCAAAAATGCTTCCAACGACATTAATCCCGTCAACGAACTTGTTGAGCCCGTCTTCAAATGTCTCTGTCGCGTCGCTGATGCCCTCGCCAATGGTTTTGACTGTCGAATTGAGAAAGTCGCTGGCGTCCTTCAGGAGCCCGACTCCGACGTCGACCGTGCCGCGGACAGCCAAGGTAATGAGGCAGAGATAGGTTTGGTACATCATCTTGATGAAGAACACAATGAGCTCCTCTACACCTGATATTATCAGCATGAGCATTGTTTTGAGGGCGTTGACAGCCGTCTCAACACCGGAGGCAGTGAGTTCGTTGACGCCTCGTGCTGTGTAGTGAGGCATCGAGGCCATGGCGCTGCCCATTGATTCAACGGAAGAGCATGCGGATAGAGCCTCGCGCCTGGCCGAGTCCATGTTTGTGTTGAGACTGCCGACTGCGATCAGAACTCTGACCAGCACGAGGAGTAGAAGAATGGTCCATCGGTTCATCCATATTTGTGACAGGCGTGCTCGCAAGCCCATGTATGGTGTAATATCGTCTGGTTGTAGCGGAATAGGCCGCCCTCCGTTCGGATCATGAGCTCCATACGGAGGGAGGAGAGGAAAGATAGCGCGAGCGGACCTTGAAAAGACCATGTCGAGATAGGATCCGGTACAGGACCGGGAGGGAGAAAGGAGACGAGAAGTTGGTCGAGTAAACGTCCAAGGCGTCAAAGGCCGTTAACGAAGGAATGATTGATTATATCCCAAGACAGAGAAAATGCTGACCAGCAGCAAGCGCAGTATGGAAAGATGCAGTCTATTGAGAAGACATGTATGAAATCTATTCAATGAAAAGCAAGTGAGCGTAGTGTTAGCCGCAGCCAAAAAAAGAAATGGGAGAAAAACTCAGAACAATAGGATGGGCAAAAGCTGCGACGGGGGCTATCCCTCCATTTATTCAATGCAAGCCATGATGCAACACGGGGAGCAGCGTGTTTTGATCAAAGACCAAAATAGGCTTTCATTGAGCATGTGGCCATCCAGATCAAAGGCAGCTCATTCATGCCGAACAATGGGCAGATCCCAAGCCACCGAATGAGCTTCGACCTCGTCCTTGGTGCGTTTCATCTCGCGCAGACTTCTGACTTTCTTCAGAGAGTGACAGCAGTGGGTAGATTGGTGTTCTGCAGAGCGCTTCCGAGGCCAAATATAGCCTCGTCGTGGGCGCTTAGATCGTAGCTCTGTCGACCAATCCCTTGAGCTCCGCAACGGCGCCAGCGTGGTTAGGCTCTGGGTGAAACCAGACTCTCCACATGTTTTCTCCGAGGGCGATTCTTTGACAGGGGCTGTTTGGGTCCTTGTTGAAGTATTCAAGCGAGGCGCTTGCTGCTTCACTTGCCGCTGGCTAGTAAAGGTGCAGCAGCGGATCATCGCTTGACTGGCGAGCAGTTGCTACAGGCATTAGTCATTTGCTTTCTTCCGTGAGTATATTTAGGTATGCATTAGCGCGAGGAAACGGATTGATATGCTGATTGTAGTCTTGGTGAGGAAATATGAGGTTGGGATCGCGAGGCTGGTGCAGAAAGCAGCACGTGATGAGGCCACATCCAGGCAACAAAGAGCCATCTTCATTGTTCGCTGATCTCATGAGACTCTGGATGTATCTGAAACCTTCTTTGAACTCTGATGACGACGGCGGCTTTGAACATGCGACTTTCAGGAGGTGTGATTGAAGTTTACGTGGCTCATGCCCTGAATATATAGTTGCCCGTAAAGGTCCAGGGCTTCGAGCACACCCAAATCATTTTAACGGTCTAATACGTAGGTTGTCGACAGTGATGAATCTTGGTACGAAGAGGATTAACAGGAAAGAGGTAGATAGATGGGAGAGCCTCTTTGCGCCTTCGGAGTTACCCTGCGCAAAGCCCGTGATGTACCGGACGCTACTTCCCAGGATTCGTGATATACTACACTGACGTGGTGATCTTTGTTGGAGTATAAGGAAGGGCTACATAGCCAATTGGTTTTGATGGCCTAGCGGAATATGCTAACAACCTTTTGCATGGCGGTAGCTTACCAGGGTCACAAGGTACAAGAGCACCTCCGTGGCCATTGAGGATCACTTCTCTCTGAGAGTAGCATCTCTTCATAACTAGGCGCTGGTCCATCTGCCGACAGCCCAGGGTCACCTGCTACATTTCGAGCAACCATAAACGCCCAAAATATGATATCTTGCTGCCTTGGAAGTGTCGTCACGGTGATATATGGATGATCCTGCAGATGCTAACTGGGCACGTCCGGCAAGTATATCGAGGGTAGAGGAAGATCGACTTGAGATTCATCCGACTTGCTGGGCTCCGGTCAATCTGAGTACTCCGATTCCCCATTACTCCGTTCTCTGGGAGTAAAGTAGCAAGCGAGCCAGGTTTAGGCTCTGAGCCTGGATGAACAGTCGGCTAAACGTAGGGCAGACAAGGAGCGCAGGGTGCTTGCCTGTAAGTACGCAACAAGTCAATCATCCAATAGTCCTAGTCATGGTCTCGTAGACATACCTTCGCCCAGTGAGTGCAGACGTACAAAGCCCCGTGATATCGCGCCAGCCAGCCCGTTGAAGATATACCCGTATCCATGCCAGCAAACGCTCATCAAAGAACACAGTGCCTGCTTCCCAGAGAAATGTTAGCCAGTGATGCTGTATTCATGAGTGTGCTTGCTCCCATGTCCCAATCTGTTCAGTCGCCGTATTACATCATGAACAGAGCAAAGAATTGCACCATCATCGCCATGGCGATGCGTTGCCATCATCTAGCAGAACTTCCCCTCCTCTCCCCTTCATCTTCAACACAACCCTCACCACCCCCTCATCCCTAAAAAGCATCAAAGCCATCATAGGAACGCAGCGAGGCGGTCATCGCATCGAAAATAGCCATCTCGGCTTTGACAGCAAGCCCCAGTCTTATTTTCCTATCGAAGTCAGCTCAACACATCCTTCAAGCACCGGTAGATCTCCTCCACTTACCTCTTGGATCAAGCTAATTGTTGTTGCATCAAGCTGAGCAGGCAAGATGGCTCCTCATAAGAAGAAGTCCATCCACTTCGGGCCTTCGCACAGCGGCAAGAAGCCCGGAAATAAGGGCAAAGTCCACAAGAAGAAACGGGCGAAGACTACCTCAAACGCAGGTCGCGCGTCCGAGTCTTCTGACGTTGCTTCGAAATTCGAAGATCCTTCTATGCAGGCTAGTCCTTGGGAGAGTGAAAGCGAAGGCGAAAAAAAGGAGGACTTTCACCATGAGTCCAGTCGCCCCGGCAGCCAGGCCGAAACCCTCTCATCTGGCATTCGACTCGCCCACGCAAGGAAAAGGAGTCATTCACTTCCGAGCCAGATTGTTGGTGACAGGACGTCTGCAGGTGAAGGAACATTGAATGGTAAGCTCCCGATCTCCACTTACGTCGTCTTATATTCTCTGCTGGCTCCATGGCCACCCTCACTTTCTACCACACCTGAGCTCCACAGTGTTAACACTTTACAAGCCCACAACGCTCGCACCCAAGCAATTTCCCTTATTCGAGCTCGCACCCTCAGTCGTTCGTCTGATTGTGGCCAACTTTCTCCTGAGTTTCTACAGATTCTTTTGCAGAACTATTCTACGTCTGAAGGTGTTCCCGTCCCGGCCGCTGAAGGGCCACCCGGCAGCATGGATTTCATGAAGGCAAGCCTCATGGACTTCGTGAAGAAGCCCAAGAAGAACAAGTCCAAGGGTAAGAAGCAGAGTGGAAATGCGGAAGCCGTCCAGGTTCCTGTTGAACAGACCGGCGGATCATCCAACGCACCTGAGAAGGGTAACACCGACCATGTCCCTGTCGAACAAATTGACAAATTCTCCGAGTCTTCTCAGAAGGATAGCACCGGCCTTGTTCCTGCTAAACAAACTGGCGAATCCTCCGAAGCTCCTCAGCAGGATAACAATGACCATGTTCTTGTCGAAGAGACCGGCGAATCCTCCAAGGCATCTGAAAAGGAAAGCACCGAAAACAATGTTCTCACTGAACCAACTGGCGAGTCCTCCGAAGCTCCTCAGGATAACAACGATCATGTTCTTCTCGAAGAGACCGGCGACTCCTCTAAGGCATCTGAAAAGGAGAGCACCGAAAACAACGTTCCCACTGAACAAACTGGCGAGTGCTCCGAAGCTCCTCAACAGGATAACACCGAGCATGTTCTCACCGAAGAGAACGGCAAATCCTCCAAGGCATCTGAGAAAGAGGACACCGAAAACAATGTTCCAACTGAACAAATTGGCGAGTCCTCAAAGACGCCCGTCATGGGTAGCACTCTCGAGCTGCCAATTCGCGAGAAGGGTACCTCAACCAATCCTGGCCCCGACGCAGAGGGACAGTCAATCAAGACTCAGCCTTCTGACGACACCGACAATGGCAAAGATAAACAGCGCGTTGCAGTTCTAGATGAAGCTTCCAATGAGGATGTAGCACTCCATCTAGTTCAGTCTTCGGATGATACCGACAAAGAGAATGTCAAGCAGCCTGTTGAAGTGTTGGATGAAGCCGCGAACAAAGATGCAGCACTGCCTTCTTCTCAGCCCCTTGACGACATCGACAAGTGCAAAGGCAAGCAACGCGTCAAGCCGCTGGAGACCGAAGCCTTGAAAAGCGACCCAGCAATCCCTTCCACTGAGCCTTCTCCCGTAGAGAGTGAGGATTCTTGGACTATCATAATCGAAAAACCAAAGTCTCCTGAATTGGATCGAGCTAAAGGTAAGCCAATCTATGTTATTGTTCTCAACATATTTCTAATAGACTCATCTGACATTCATATGCCCAGGATCCTCGACAGCTCCTGTAAAGAAGGAATCTTATGCTGACAAGGTCATGAACAAATCACCAAAGTCTTCTGAAATGTCTGGGGTCAAAGGTCAGTCCATTCATTATCTTACCCATAAGCCAGAGTGCATGAGGCATAGCTAACGTTCCCAGACGCGAAACCCGCAACTTCTCCCGTGCAAAAGAAGACCGGTGGTGTTGACGGCAAAGATACAGCCAAAGCACCCAAAACTCTTGAGTCGACTGGGTCCAAAGGTCAGTTCCTTCTAGTCTTGTCTTATGCCAAAACGTAAGACATAGCTAACATATGCAGATGTGAAATCCTCGATTTCTCCCATGCAAAAGAAGGCGGATGGTGGCAATGGGAAAGCCGCAGTTGAAGCACCCAAGACTCCTGAGTCGACCGGGTCCAAAGGTCAGTTCCTCATATTTCCTGTCTCTCGATGGCTATGACAGAAGAAATACTGACTTCGCATCATACCTAGACTCGAGACCATCTGTGCCATCCTCTCAAAAGAGCTCTGCCAAACCAGCAAGCTCCAAGAAAAAGCAGCTCCCAACCATCAAAGAAGGCCAGGCTCAGAATGACACCGTCACTTCCGAGTACCCCTTTATTGTATCCTCGACTCCAAAGTCCACAAGCCCTGCGTCGACCTCAAACGTCTGGACGCCCAGCGTACCAGCATCAACTCCCCAAACAGCCACTGCTACGTCTGCACCTTCAACTGGTGACAGCCCCAAAAACAAGGGTAAAGGCAAAGGCAAAGGCAAAAACAAGAACAGGAACAAGAACAAGGGCAAAGGCAAAGTCGCAAGCACCACCGAAGCCGTCTGCCCAGCCCGACCCCCAGCACCTTCCCCATCGTCGACCAAGTCCACATCCGGACCGCTGATAGTAAGCAGCCACGCGCACCCATCCCCATCTACCGTTACCACCTCGTCAGCCGTCACAAACAACGCCATCCAACACAATGGCCGACAAATGGTCACCCAAAAGCCCGCAGGATGGTACTGGAACCTGGACATCCACTGCTTTCCCTGTGCAAAGGAAGGCTGCAATTTGAAGTGCAACCTCTGGGACGACGTATCAAGAATCTGCCCTAAGTGCGGCCCGTTCTCCACACTCCGCTACTGTTCACGAGAGCATCTCCTGCAGGATGTCAAGAAGCACTGGGAGCGCTGCGGAACGTACACCTTCGAGCATCCGTGCAAGGAGTCGACTGTGGCTGATAGCATTCGTCTGGGCCCGCCGCTTATCCCCTGCTTGTATGGGTATGACATGCTCGAGCGTCATCGCCAGGCTGTGCACTTTAACATGAACCACCGCAAGGGCGACTACTTCATCTTCAGCGACTGGGCTGACATGGTCAGGAAGAATCTGCACGAGAAGCCGGATAGCGATGAGCGGAAGACGAAAGTCCGCTGCTCGAGTGACATTATCCATGTGGTCAAGTTTGATGACCCGGAGGAGAGAGATCGCTTTCGGCGTGTGCTTGCTGCGGTGCTTTTCGGTTCGTATCCAGACCACCATCCCCCCTTCTCTTACCTGACCTACCCGAATGCTAACTACCACATAGTAACCATTGAAAACCCCATGCTGACAGACTACCTGTACCGCATGATCCGCGACAACATCCGCGCCACCACCACCGATTTCACTAACCCCCCTCCCAACCCCCTGCTATCCCTCGAAGCCTCCCTGGAGTACCAAATGTACCGCGAGTTCAACACCACCATCCAGCCCTACATAACCGGCCGCCGCCACGCCTGCCCCACCGACTGGACAGGCCGCAACCGCCGCTCCTGCACCGACGATGTCTGCTGGAAGGAGTATGAGGAGCAGTACAAACTCGGCCAGCGTGCTCATGGCGGCCATAAGATGGCTATTGAGGAGCTTGAAGCTAGTTACTGGATTCTCCGTATGGCGCGCATCACCCATCCTACCGTGGAGCATCCGATGGAGCGCATGTGGGGGAAGGGTTTCAGGGTGGAAGACGGGCACTTCGGCGTTGATGAGCGTGATATGAGGAAGTTTCGTCGCGGGCCTGGATGGGATGGTTTCGACACTGGTGAGATGCAGATCGAGGGTGTTAATTACTAGGTCTTCTCGCTCTTTTCTTCTTTTTTCGGCTTTCTTTACTCTGTTTCGTTCGTTCAATTCGTCGATTCCTCGTTTCTTCAGTTACTCTTTTCTTCGTTTCTTCGTCTCATCGCTTTTTGGCTTCCTTGTCAAGTCCTCTGAGTGATCGAGCTGAGGAATGTGTTGATCATTCGAGCTGCCGAACATTTGTGATAAATGACAAAGTTGCATTCGACCGAGGTTGGGATATGTCTGAGTATTTGACCTCACGACGAGAGGCTTTAGGATCGCCTTGTCTTTTCTTCTTCCATGTTCGCAATCTGTATCTTAGCACAACATAGCACAGCGTACTTACGAAACGAAACAAATGTACACTAGGTACCACGAATTTAGCAAATCCATTTGAGTCCAATTTCGCTATCAGCATCTAACCCGGCTAAAACATTATGGGAAAATGTGAGGAAAATGAAGTAAAGAGATCTATGGCTAGTTTTAGATTCAACAGATCATACCGAAATGTCCGGCTTTACCGCACGATGTACTTCTTCAGCCCGCGGAGTCGTTCCTTTGCTGTCTCGAGAATGTTATCCTCCTTGCACACGGCAAAGCGGAGGTAGTCCTCTGCAATATGGGAGTTGGCATCGGTGTAGAATTCTGTGGGGGGAATAGCAGCCACGCCGACTTCGTGGATGAGAAACCAGCAGAGCTTGAAGTCACGGGGCCGGCTCGCGACGTGGGGAGGGAAGGGGTAGTCCTCTGGGAGTTTGACGGAGGCCATGTTGGCGAGCACGAAGTAGCCACCTTCGGGGTCGGAGTACTAGTCAAGTTAGCAAGGAGGCACAGATGTAGCTATGGGAATGAAACGCACAGGAATGTTAAGCTCATCAAAGACTTGGCAGAACCGCTCCATCTTTCCCTTCATCTCCTCTCGGCTCTGATCCCAGAAACCCTGCTTGTCGGCCTCTTCAAAAGCAACGGCTGCTGCCTCTTGCAGAGGAGACACGCTGCTGTAGCAGATGCGGGTGTGTGCGCCGGCAACGTACTTGATCAGGTGCTCGGGCCCGATCAGGTAGCCAACACGCCAGCCGGTGGCGTAGAAAGCCTTTCCAGCTGAGCCAACGGTTAGTGTGCGCTCCCAGTATTCCGGCTTCATGGTGGCGATTCTGGTGAACGGGACATAGTAGAGACGGTCATAGACTTCGTCGGAGAGGATAATGAGGTTGTGCTTCACGGCGAGATCACCAATGCGCTCGAGCTCATCGCGCGAGAAGACTTTTCCAACAGGGTTGTGACTGCGCCATTAGCATTAGACCTGACTGGAGAAATGGAGGCTTACGGTGAGTTCAGGACCTGGAAGCGCATTAGAAATCGAGCGTACTATTTGCCATTGAGGAACTCACGATCATCTTAGTCTTGGAGTTTATCGTCTTCTCCAGCGCATCAAAGTCGATGCTCCATTCGGACGCAGGCAATGTCTTGATAGCGCCATCCTTTGGAGGTTGTAGAGGGACGTAGCGGATAGTACCACCAGGCATTTCGATGTTGCTGATGTACTGATCAAAAAAGGGTTCAAAAATGATGACCTCATCTCCTTGCTCAATGAAGCCCATGAAAGCGCTCAGCATTCCTTTCCAAGTCAGCGCATGTCCCATAGCCAGTGTAGATAACCTTACCCTCGTTCGCGCCGGTAGTGATTGTGACTTCGGTGTCCGGGTTCAGCTGGCGACCAAAGAACGGCGAGTATGCGTCGGCAAGAGCATTCTTGAGGCGTGGGCGGCCCTGTGTTAAGGTAAGTTGGAGCCCCATCGAATTTCTGGTGACGATGTACCTTCGTCGGCGAGTATTGGTTGCAGTCAACACGGTCGAGGGCAGCCTTCGCGGCATCTAGGGCAAACTGCGGGGGGTTGTAACCACTGGACAGCAAACACAATTAGTATACCGTAATCACACCCGCTGAAGTTGTGTTTAAGGTCACTCACAAGAAACCCTGACCCATGTTCACAATAGGCTGCTTAGGGGAAGCTGCAGCAGCTTCATTAACAATGGACCTGCAAGCCAATTAGACAACGCTCAGCGCATGCTGTTTGCAAATTCCATACCAAACATCCTGTCGCTGCCCTGCAACACGCTGTGCAGGTTTAAACGGGTCTGGACAAGCTGCAGTGGCCGACATTGCTCTAGCTCCAACTTGCAAACGCGGGGTGCGGGGATTGGGCCTTGATCTGGAGGAGTAGGAAAGAAGACTCAATGAAGTTGATGGTTTAGCAAGTGAAGTCAAAAAATGACAACCTGAGAGCATAGAGAATAACAAGAGGGGCAGCGTGCGGAGGAGGGGCAGATTGTAAATAAGGGAACGGAGGTTGGAGAATGAATCATCCCGCTTTTGACATCCCGGGACCAGAAATCTAGTTATCAGTGTTATTAGTGCCCTAATCTTTGTTTTGGAGTCCCTTTCCGCACTGCTACATAGCATGGACAAGGTATAATCAATAAAACACGCATGAGGAATATATTGCTTTTATGACGACATAGGAATATTATAGAAATTCACAAGATAACCTCATGTTCTAAGGTCTGCCTATACTCTGTGTTTATTATAACTTGTGGTAGGGAATCTATGAAGTTGTATTCACAGAGAGCCAGATATCTCAGCTGATCTTTGAACTGGAGGCTTGTATATACTGGAAAAGCGAGAATCTAATTGATTTAGGCTCCTTAGCTGCTTCTTGGAGTCTCAGGCACCCAGGCATCTAGCTGTACGTGACTAATCTATCAGGACGCGTTACACGCGTTGAAAGACTGATCAATCAACTCTGAGTGTCTTTGGACATTTATCCAAAATACCCATGACCTGCTCATTGCAGCATCTTTCTCTGACGCGCAGGTTGGCTGTCGGTGACTGAAAACATGGTGTCCTGCCCGATTTGTTCGAAACCAGTCTCCTCGCTTCGTATCAACGATCACATCGACTCGGACTGCCAGCAGTTTATCGAAGAGCCGACATCGAGCGCCGGCGATCCCCCTCCATCGCAGAAAGCTCCAGTTCCAGCCTTCTTCCAGCCATCTTCCGCGCGTAAAGCCTCTACATCGCGCGATGTTCATTCCGATGCCTCTCCCCTCCGCAACCTAAACGGCAAGAGAACGGTGACGTTAAATGGCGGCCCATCAGATGATACCACACGATCACAACGAGATGAAGCCTCGGAACCAGCTCCTAAGAAACCTAAGGTTAATGCCTTCCAAAGAGCCGCACCACTAGCCGAGCGTATGCGCCCTCGTACACTGGACGAAGTATGTGGTCAGGAACTTGTTGGCCCAACGGGTGTGCTGCGAGGTCTTATCGAGGAAGATCGAGTGCCCAGCATGATTCTGTGGGGAGGGCCAGGAACTGGGAAGACAACAATAGCGAGAGTTATCGCATCTATGGTTGGAAGCAGATTCGTGGAGATCAACAGTACAAGCAGCGGGGTCGCAGAGTGCAAGAAGATATTCGCCGATGCGAAGAGCGAGCTTGGTCTGACGGGGCGGAAAACTATCATATTCTGCGACGAAATACATAGATTCTCAAAGTCTCAACAGGATGTTTTCTTGGGTCCAGTCGAGAGTGGTCAGGTTACGCTTATCGGCGCGACCACTGAGAACCCCTCGTTTAAAGTGCAGAACGCGCTGCTCTCCAGATGCAGGACTTTTACCCTATCGAAGCTTACCGACGAGGATATTAGGGCAATCTTGGACCGCGCCCTTAAAACCGAAGGGCCAAACTACTCACCGTCTGCCCTGGTCGACGATGAGCTGCTTGATTATCTAGCCAAATTTGCCGACGGAGATGCGCGAACGTCACTCAACCTTTTAGAGCTCGGAATGAATCTTTCAAAACGGCCTGGAATCAACAAAAACGAAATTAAACGCGCTCTAACAAAGACGCTTGTGTACGACCGCGCGGGCGACCAGCATTATGATACCATTTCTGCTTTTCACAAGTCTATCCGCGGCAGCGACCCGGATGCCTCGCTGTACTATCTTGCCCGCATGATACAATCAGGAGAAGATCCTCTATATATTGCGCGGCGTCTAATAGTCGTCGCCTCCGAGGATATAGGGTTGGCTGACAACAGCATGTTGACACTGGCTATCTCAACCCATGCCGCGGTGGAGAAGATTGGTCTTCCCGAAGCGCGGATCAATCTCGCACATGCCACGGTGGCTATGGCGCTGTCGCCTAAGAGTACTCGTGCGTATCGAGGCCTCAACAATGCTTTTGCTGCTCTCTCGGAGCCGGGGATCGCAGGCTTGCCGATCCCAATCCACCTGCGCAATGCCCCTACGCGACTGATGAAGGAGTTAGGATACGGAAAAGAGTATAAGTACAATCCGAATTATAGAAATGGCGAGGTGGTGCAGGACTACCTCCCGGAGAAGTTGCAAAATAGGAAATTCTTGGAGGACTTGGACCTTGGGACGCAGGTTGATCCCGATCTCAAGTTTAGGTGAATTGGTTGCACGTATTACTTGCAGCCGGACCGCTGCCTCAACGTCAAGGGATTCGCCCTTGCTTCACGATCTGATACCCATACTGCTGCCACTAAGCGCAGATAGAAGCTTGAATAAAACAAAAACAATCTATACTAAGCAAGTCAAACAATACTCGATCTAGCGTACACCTGCGGAGTCCAGCTGGGCCTGTTGTATAGACGAATCTGGCCAATCAGAAGCCGCAGCGCCCACCGCTCCGCGTCGCGTCTCAGCATCGAAACTGCCTGGCAACCGCAAACAAAAGACAAAGACAAAGATCCAGACAATCACCCTTCACTCTCCGCTTACACTGTTCAAGGCTCCTCTCCTCACTCGAGTCCGGAGTACCACCGCATGCATCATTGCTGTTTCGGTCTCCGCAATCAATTCTTCCGCCCGCGCCCTTAACTGTCAACACCGCAGTAACATCGGGCTTTCGCCATGGCCTCCTCCGGCCAACCGTTCGGGTCGCGCTCCTACAACACAGGCAAGCTGCCTGACCGATCATTGAATCAGAACACGATCCCATTCAGCGCTTCCTCATTTACTCGACGCGGACTAGGCGCCGCCCAGAGTGACTTTGTACCCGACGCCGCGAAATCAGCCCAGCAACCTCCTCAGCAACAAGTACATGCGCAGACACATAACCCCACACAAGAGAACTCATTAAACCGATTGACGGAAGAGCAGCGCGAGGAGATTAACGAGGCTGTACGTGTTGGCCTCTATTCACATTCCGCCCGGCATGCGCTAACTGATTCTACCCTGCCAGTTCACCCTCTTCGATCTCGATCGCGACCGCCATCTAGACTACCATGAGCTCCGAGTTGCATTCCGCGCCCTCGGCTTCACCCTTCCGAAACAAGAACTCATCTCCCTCTTAACGACGTATGGTGTCCCCCGCCCACAGGTCCAACAGCAGGCCGCAGCGCAACAGTCTCAACAACAGCCGAAAGCCGCTCCCACGACGAACCCCCAGCACCCGTCCAACCTGCTTATGCCGCTATCTGCGTTCCAAGCGGTGACCGCTGTGAAGATCCTTGAGCGAGACCCGCGGGACGAGATACTCCGTGCGTTTGAGCTCTTCGATGAGGGCGGGAAAGGGTACATTGACCTCGAGGACCTGCGTCGTGTAGCGCGGGAGCTGGGCGAGACTGGACTGGAAGAGGAGGAACTGCGTGCTATGATTGAAGAGTTTGATCTCGAGGGGGTTGGTGGTGTGACGAGGGAGGCTTTTGTGAGTATTTGTTGGCAGTGACCCTAATGCTAGGGTTGTCATTTGTCACGAATGTCAATATGCATGTGACATATTGGAAATAAGGTTGTTCATGCGGTTCTCTCTGTATTCCAGGCTTGATCTTCTTGTTGTTCCTGGGCATTGGTGGGCGCCGATTGACTGGGTTTTGTTTACTTGCGTGTCCATATTTTGGTTGTTTGCTTTAATGTATGCGCTTAGCTCTCCTACAGGTTTAGGAATCTTGGATGTCCAGTATTTTCCACTTCGATTGGGTTTGCTTTCTTCTGGAACACGGCAAAAGGACATGTGCATCATTAGTCCATCTGAATTTATTTGCCAAAAAAAAAGAGATAAAGAAACAGGACCTTTTATTTCCTTTATCCACGAGAAAAGGCGACGAAATGCTATATAAGGAGTATAATCTAGACCCCAAACTATGACCGGAGACAGTAGTAGTACCCAAGAAGTGACAAAAAAGACAAGAAAATATATGCAACGATCCGAAACCCAAGGGATCAAGGTATACCGGAGCGCCAAACCCAGCCCGCATTAATGCAACTATGCAATCAATCATATTGGTATATCCAAAAAAAACCAGATCTAATGCTTACTCCGTATACAGCGCCTATGCATACCGCGCTGTCTGCGTGTATCCCGGCGGCGGGCCATCAGGGTAGCTAGGATACGGAGACGGCATAGGCCCTGGACCACGCTGAGGCCCAGGTCCAGGGTAAGGCCCGTACGGACCCGGATAGGGGCCCTGAGGCGGCGGACCCTGGGGAACCTGCCCGTATCCTGGCCCGGGGGAGCGGGATAGTCTTCGCATTTGCGTCTGCTGAGGTTGAGGGGGCATTTGGCGCGGCCAGGCGCCGTACGCAGTTGGAACAGGTGGCATTGGTTTCATGGTATACCGGGATCTTCTGCAGCGTCTGAAGAGGCAGATTAAAATAGCGAGAACGATAAGCCCGCCGACACCTGCAACAACGGGGATGATGATATTCTTGTGCGCCTCGATCCAGGATTTCCCGCCCTCGCAGGAGCCGTTGCGGCACCGCCCGCCATTCTCGCAGGGCGTGCCGTCGATGTAGTTCTGAGAATTCGTCATGCATTGGATCGTGCCGAAGCTTGAGCCCCCAGAGACGGAGCAGTAGATCTGGCACGAGGGAAACTGGCTATTGTCGCAGGCGGTGGTGTCGTTTGTGCCGTATTCCGAGGACAGCATGTTGCGGCATTGTTCGTCGCGGCTGGTGCATTGGCCGCTGGCGCATTGAAGGTCCCCTGAGCCACAGGAGTCGCCGTCCTTTTTGTAGGTGTCTGTTGGGCAGGTGGAGGAGTTGCCCGTACATGTTTCTTGGATGTCGCATTCGCCGGTGCTGGGGCGGCAGACGGTGCTTGCGGCTGAGAATTGGCAGGAGGTGCAGCAGCCATCGTTGGCGTCGTCGCAGACGGACCCGTCGGTAAACTTGCAGGTGCTTGCGTTACAGCACGCGTTATCACCGCAGCTGTCAGAGCCGCCGCAGTCGCAGTCCTCGCCTTCTTCGACGATGCCGTTGCCGCATTGAGCGCCGGTAAAGCTGACGATGCCTTTGTTATCGGAGAGACATTCCGAGTTGACGCTGTTCCGGCCAAGTGCGGAGCAGACGTTGCCGACTGTGCATTGTGAGAATTTGCTTATGTCGGCGCCGGTGCTGGGGTTCATGATGTAGTCTCCGCCAGCGCTACATGTGCTTGTGCTCAGCGGACAGCATCCTGAATTAGATGATGAGGACTGTTGGTTGGAGCTGCATGTTTGGTCTGTGCAGTCATGGACAGCTCCAAAAGTGTGGCCAGATTCGTGGGCGAAGATCTGCCATCCAGCGGTGCCGGTAGACACGACAACATTGGTCCCGCTGACCGAACCAGAGGCTTTGTTGTTGCATAGCTGACCCAGCCATGCCAGGCCAACCTCCGCACCGGTGTTGCAGTCGCTCATCAAGGTCCAGTATGCGTTATCATCTGACTGCTCCCCGCGCCAGTCGGAGAACAAATCTAACCGTTGAGTGATGTTGCCTTGCGAGCATGGCATGTTCCATTGGACGGCAGAGGAGGAAGTATCTGAGCACTCTCTATCTGTGATCGTCAAGTTCCGTAAGCCGAGGGAGATGTTGAAAGAGCTCTCAAAGACATCCGAGGCGCTGTTAACCATGCTAACCACTGACGATTGAACGTCATCCTTACCATCGAATTTCTCCCAAAATGAGCAGTCCGTCGCAACTCCAACCAAAGCCACTTTTTTCGTATTTGGGCAGCCACTCGTATCACCAATCGTGGCTTGTAGATTAACTCCACCACCGTTGCCAGTCACAGTATTGATGTCGTTTCGTTTGCTGAAGCCTAGACCAAAGAGGTCGGCCATTGGCATAGAAGCCCAACTACTCTTTTGCTCGGTGAAAGACCGTAGGACAGGGTGCTCGGGATCCGAATTAAATTCAAGCTTGTCGGCCTCACACGTAGAGCCAATCGTATTCCAGCGTGATTCGAGTTCATGCTCGTCGTCCTTCGTTAGGGATCGTTTAAGGTCTGTACGTCCAGGAGTCTCGGCCCGTAGCAAGTCCGAGTCGCGGTAAAACACCATGTACTCTTCATCCTGTCTAGGGATCTCAACATCCTGAGGGCGCTTCCTTTGGAGATAGGTTGTTTGCAACTGAACATGGTGGTTGTCGCCGCGGATGTTAAAGACGCCCTCGAAGAGCGGCCGAGGGCCGTCTTCCTTTATGTATATCCTCGTCCATCCAGCAGGCTCCCACGTCCCTTGTCCCTTCCCACGTCCGATTAACGTCCTTCCCTTGAAGACCTTGTGCTTATCTCGCAATATCGGCTCTTCCGTATGGATCTTGCCGTCCGCACCGAGGTACTGCACATATGCATCGTCGGCAAGAATATCGTGATTCGGCTCCAACTCGAGCTTTATCCGCTGATCCTTGTCCCGTATCGTAAACGTGATATCGAAATGTGAAAGATGGTCAACGCGGTTCGTTTTCGACGCCGCCTTGATCGTTGGTTGCTCGAGTGAGGATACTCGTCGAATAGCGTTCGGCGCCTGCGATCGGGCTTTTATCAGATTAGCACGGTCCAAGAGATTCATACAATGGCCAGGTAGCCTACCTTGTACGCCATCTGTGAAGAGCGACAGGACGCCGACAACCAGCGGTATTACCGGGTTGAGAAGCCTCATGGCTAGTATGTTGAACGAACGGCCGCAAATACTCCGTACAGAAGTAACGACAGAAATTGATCGAAGGGGTCCAAAAAGGGTCCAAGAAAAGGGGCGATTAGATTAATCCAGTGCGCTTCTCCAATTCATCGCATACCAAGACCGGATACCAGGCAACAGCGAAAGAACAATGGTCCGATTCGACTCGTTTCGAGCTCCGCGGAACTCAAGAGAGTGAAACAACAATCTCCAGAACCCTGACACCCAAGAGGCAACCTGATGACTCTCCCGGCAGCTTCCGACTCCGCCTGGACTTTGGAGGATATGGATCTCAGAGTGAGCTGATCGGAGACGGCGCGGAGGTAACGGAGACGATTGAGGCTGTGCTGGAACGGGGGCGCAGGCGGCTTGGCGTGGCAACAGCGACAATGAATCCAACAACGATAAATTCTATGGGAAACGAGACAGACGAAAAAGAAGAATAGGAAAGGGAAAGCATAGGTGAAGAAAGAGGGGAAGAGATGATAAAACAAAGGAGAGTTGTTTGTAAGCCAAGGAATGGTTGGCACTGCAACGGCGCTTACAGACACCAACTAGAGGCTTATGCTTACCCCGGGCGTACTCTGGGCGACGCTCTTGCGCTGATGAGCTGCAGTTCTAAAATTAATAATTTTTAGAACTAGAGTGGTATAATTTGTGTGCAAGGAGCGCAAAATGAGGTATCATCGCACCGCAGATTGTACACGGTACACAAGGCATGTTTTCTTCCTCGCCGTCACTTTCCCACGAGGCTTCTGATGCTACAGTCGGCGATGATTGTGGGACGGATGTATTTTGCCCTGCTGATATATGCGCCGAGGAGATATATTTGTGCTCCGTCTCCTGCCGTTGGAACATCTTGCTGATATCTCGGCCGCTGTTGTGTTTGCCATCGCCCGCCGCTTCGGCCATGTTTGTTACTGCAAGGTTTAGAACGCGCAAGTTCCAACCAGTTCTCTCTCGATGGAGCTTGCGAAACATAGGGATGGCCGCCTCCTGGACAAGCCGTTCGGCTAGAGCGTCTACGGACTCATCAAGGTTAAAAACATACTGAGGGAGTGGTGCCGAATGCGATATGCGGCTGTAGCTGCGCGTTTGCGTAACATCTGAGCCTGGAGTTGGCCGTGGAATGGTAGACAAGCGCAGGGTTCGCGGTCGAGCAAGCCATCGAACTCCTGTTCTTTCGCGCAACTCAGGCCCCTGGGAGGCGCTACCTTCAGGGTCGCTGTGGCTTTTCGTCAAATCCATCCTCATTCGGCGGATCAAGCTGGCTGAAAGCGATAGCATCTCTTTGCGAACAGCCTCGAAATCATTCAAATAGCCGTACGAGTTCTCAATGCTGATTTGGGTTGGTGTGTCACGGGCTTCGCCGACCTGGGTGTTGTCAACTCCATGCAGTAATCTCCAGAATCTCATTCCGATGTCTCGAGGGGCGCCAGGTCCGCCTAGAATCTTTTCTAGAAGCGAAGGGCCCACTCCGGGGGTTAAGCGAACATCACGAACCGTGACTTTGTCTTCGTCCACGGATTGGTTCGAAGTCGTAACATAAGAGATGAGTTTGCGAGAAAGTTTAGAACCAATTCCAGGGATTGCTCGTATCTCACGCGAGTCAAGAAAACTAAGCACGTTGCTCTCATGGCCTTTTGCTGAGCCATAAGGTGGGAGTAGCGTCGTCTGACTGTTTGGTTTATGAACACTGCCCACTACTTTGGCTAGAAGTTTCGAAGTCGAGATACCCACCGTAGCAGTATAGCCCTTCTGGTCTTCCAGTTGACCACGAAGGTACCCAGCGAGATGGGAGGCAAGGCGAAGTTTCAGGTAGAGGTGAGAGTCAGCTTCGGAGAGAGTAGCTTCAGATTCAACCGGATAGGTAGGGCCATATACTGTAGTGGCATCAAAAGCAAAACCAACTGTAGGGTCTTGTTTGTCCAAATGGAAGAACGAATTCGCCAAGTCATTAGAGTTCAATAAACCTGCATTATAAGTAATCATATCCGTAACATCCATGAATATCTCATCAAAACCCAGCTTCTCGACTCTCTCGCCCCAGACAAACCCTCTCAGAAAGAGGTAGAGGTCTTTGGACGCATCTCGAAATTTGGTGAGATCTTCTCCGAGGACGATAACGACGTCTGGACAGACCTGTTTGGCTTCTTTGATCAACTGGAGTTTGCGCAATCCTCGCCGTCGAGCTTCATAGTTACAAGTAACTACGATTTGCTTTTGCTGAACAGCTAACGGGAGCGTTTTCAGTATCGGCTGCTCGGCCTCGAAGACAGAGGCATAGAAACAGTCGTAATCCTGGAAGGGTCAGTACCCTGCGTTTCGAGGTACAGTGGCGGACTCACGAAGTGAAGTATAATGCGCTGGTCATCTCTCAGCGGAGCGGCCGCCATTTACTCATCTCGTTACTTGATCGCCCTGAATGCAAAGGATGTTTTGAATTGATCCGAAAGGCTCGGGATGAAGTGTCTCCATGTCACGTGACGTGCTAGCGATGTCCAATTGCAACTCGATTCATTCTAGTTGCACACTCGCAGGTCCCAGAAGAAGATGGCTGCAAAACACTGAATGGCCAAGTCAAATCTCATCTGACTCTGTGATGGTCGAATGGATATGAGCATTGTGCTGCACTCCGCAACGAAATCTTCTACATGGGCTGGACAGGCTGTGTCTGGTTTGAGCCCCAAATTTTGTGGGAGGCGCAATCCCCTTCAGAGCTGCTGGGTAGCCGCTTGGATCCCTCGCTGGTGAAATTTTGGGACGCGCATACTGAAACCCGAGAGGCGATAGAAACAAGGGTTTAGCATACCTGTTCTACTCCATTAGGGGTCTATCTTCAGCGGATTACATGCAGTCGATCCGGCGGTTTGAGGCCTGTAATGATGATGACAACGATCGATTTCCGATACTTTACCCATCCAGCGGCTTTAGCCATCATGAGGATAAGGGCATTGTGGAGGGATTTACCGCTTTATCTCCAGTCCAGACTTCCCATGAGATCAGATCGGCTGACTGCTATACATGTTGTATTCTCGGCCTTGCTTGAACGCTTATAGCGATCTCACGGCCAATGTCAATCTGCTGGCAGATACAGATTATCAGCACGGCGTGGTGTTGGTCATTCCTAGACTACACGGTATCCACATGTACTATTGTCTTCACCATCGCCCGTGAATGTCGAGATGACTCCGGTCGTCTTTCTCTCCAGTCGGCTTAGAATAAGCTCCCGGCGGCCTGGTGTATATGCTTCTAATCAGTCTGGGTCCAAGACCATGGATTGGCTATTACTAACCCTTTGCATACCCTCTGGAAATAAACCAGGAAATCGCATTTGCCCCGGATAGATGGGTTCCATGTCAGAAACCGGAACAGGGATACCGAGTACTTGTCAGCCAACTCACCATCGATACACCGTTAGCATTTTCCACGATAGATACTTTTAATACCGTCATCCAAGGCGCTTACCATGTAGGGTTACCCTGAAATCGGGCTATTCACACAGCCGGGGGAGACGTATGGGACTGTCGAAGTCGCAAAAGTGACTCCCTGTTATCTCTATGATCGTACCGGTGCTGACATTGTAGGCATCGGAGAGCTCGAAACATCCTCACGGGCGGCCCTCGCCCGGCTCAACCCACTGCCCATGGCAGGCTCCTCCATTGAACCGAACACATACTCACCTACATCTTTATCACCATGATCCAAGTTCAGTTTATCCTGGTCCTCGTCCTTCGACTCAGACTCGGACTCCGGATTTGAAAGGCTTGCCGTGTGCGTTGGCACTGGAATACTGCTTCATCGACTCGAACTGCTCACGGAGATGGTCGATATGGTCATCGTCATATCTAGGAAGCTTGGCTGACTCCAACCGCCGCCTCTGGACCTCGACATAGCACTCGCTGCATAACTGGACGAGACGGTAAATCAGCAAGAAAATACGCCATGCGCAGTTACAGGAAACCACAGATTCAACACACCTGACTCTTTCTATAAAGTCGAGTGAAGCCATCGAACGAGGAAGGGAATGTCGAGTCGAGATGACTGCATTCAGGTGGCGGTCCGAAGATGTTTGCATTGCAGTAAACGTCATACACACCACTGTCCGGGACATGGGCATCAACCTTCTTATTCCCAGGACTGTGATTCTCTGTACAATCACTTACTTTGCGTACTCGTCCCACTCTTGCATCCTGAGTGTGCACCAGTTGGAAGCACTATCTTGTAAACAGACCGAGTCATAGCCCTCTAACCAAGCAGTCGGGATTGACTTTGCCAGGGGATAACCACCCAGTCTCACACTGTTTCTCCCTTACAGCTCTCATCAACTGCTGCCACCCACGCGGTCAGAGATTCTGCGCACCTGGTCGTGCATAGATTGGAGATTTCCGTCCAGGTCCAGGCTTTGGTAGGTAAGTGTTAGACGAAAAGCAAGTGATGACAGCAGACTTGGGACCATGTACTGTATTTATCTGAATACATGGTTGCTGCTTTGGCTGCTGTTGCTCCATTATAAAAGACCGTTTGATTCCTATACGATGCCATGCTCTGTCAACAACGAATATGATATGAAGAAGGAGCCTGTCACTCACAATGCTCGGGGGCACTACTCTGATAGGCCATAAGTCTGCTACACAGTGTCTTTTTCTCTTGGCCTTCGAAATAGTTGAAAGCATGCTGCGCCTGGAGGGCCTGCAGCAGCCATGAACCGAAGCTGTTAAGCATTGGGGTCGAGCACTACTTGATATTCCCCGGTTTGAGTGGAAATACCAAAGCTAGGTCAAGGCCAGATTGAAGATACATTCAAGAAGGCATATAGGGGTAGCAGGAGACTTCACTTAGAACCCTCCAAGACCCTTGGCCTGGTTAGCGGTAGGACTAATCTGTGTAGGGCTGGCTGATATTATCAATAGGGGTACCTATGGTTCTAGCCTCATTGAATCAATCAACAAAGGCAGACCTACCTATCTCTAAACATCCTAGAATGTCCACTTTGCTAACTTCATCTCGCTCTCCTCTTTCTCTTATCCCTTAGCTCTCGCTAGGCACCACAGCTGCCTGAGACATTTCCCCCCTCCCCTGGGATTGTGGACTCTGTGTTCGTTCCTGCACCCCTCAGTCCCTCCACGTATCTATGGGGCCCCGGATTCTCTGATGGCCCATCATCCTCCAAACCTCGGCTTACGGAGGATTTCCATGACATAAAAGGCTCGTCAGCCTTCCAGTCAGTACGTCGCCTAGAGCACTCTTTACGAGTTTCCGGGGCTCCTGCTTCCCCCGTAATACATTATAAAGGCCCTGCCATGAGCGCTTCGCAGACGCACTCGACCCGACTTTGATGACCGAGAGACATGTACTTTCCGGTCCAACCATCACGCATGGCAGAATCCAGTGCCGGAAGCTCCGGTGTACCCAAAACACAATTTTCCTCACTGTCAGGCGATAAGCCTCGATGATGGGTTCATCGTGACCCCCAGTTTCATGTTAATACAACCAGGGGCATCAGCATCAAAATTGCCTCGTATTATCTTTTCATTTCTTCGTTGGATTGAGTTCAGGCTCGGCTTACCTACCCACCAAGGGGCAAGCTTGTCGCAACAATGAAATGGAAGGATTCGGCTGAAGTGCCCGGACGCTTTTACGACCATTACGTCCTGACTTGTCCATGCAAGGACTGCTCTTGCATCTTTACTCCGTACTCAAATGCATGACACAGGGAGAGAAACCTGATTCTACGGGCTTCCCAACCAACGAAGCGGTGTTCGTATTGGATTCAAGGTAGCTCAGCTCAGCTTAGCTTGGGTATAAGCACATGAAAAACCTGGAGACCTGACGCTGTTTCCAAGGTTAGACGTTGTACCAGACAACATAGCGCGTCTTTGCGGTGTAGCCAAAAAAAAAGATAGATTGATCAAGACCGAAGCGGCAGTGAAATTGTGCGTAAGATGCAATGGTATAATGAAATAAGACATGAGCGAATGGATAATTAGATAAAGTAAAAGTAGAAAAGTATATACGAAAGAAAGAAAAAAAAGTGGGCAAGACATGCAAGCGGCTTATGCTGCTGGTCCCACTCTCACTCCGCAGCGGAGGCTGGTATCCAAGAATATAGTAAGACTTGTCTATAAATAGGAAAAAATTGGCAACCTGGAACCGATATAGATACGGCGTGGTGTGTGTGCAAAGTGGTATGGTGACGAAGTCAATCCAATCCCGATGAGAAGAAAGGTAACGAATGCCAAAATGTTTCTATGATGGAGATGATGCATAAATCGTAAGCTGGGATGCGAGTAGACGCGCAGATGCAATGCAGATGCAGAGGGGTGCAGGTGGCTCCACTCGCTAGGTATTGGGGCGGTTTGGGGTCTGAGGGCTTTGAATCTGATGGTTCTGAAAGAGCGGTGTCATTGCGGTGTCATTGCGCGCCGGGAAAGTAGCCGGAGATGAAATAGATTGTGGTGGCTTGGATGGGGCCGTCACGGTAGTGTTGGGGGCCGGGTTGTTTGGTTCCTCCGGAGCTTGGTTCTCCCCTGTTTCTGATGGAATGGGCGGTTGGGTGTTTGTGTTTGACGTGGGAGGTGGTGACACTGATGACCCTGAGTCTGTGATGTTTGAGTTGCCCGCTTCTTCTAGTGGTCCGAGTGTCCATCTCCACTCGCGGCGGCGCTTGAGGCGGCCTTGCCGTGGTGTTTGTGGTGTTTGACTCTGTGAGGCGTAGGGGTCCTTCAATCCTTCCATGAGAGCAACTGCGCGAACTTGGCGCTCATTGCTGAGGTACTTTCGCTTCTTTTTCTTCTTGTCGGTGGATTGTTCGGTATTCGTTTCTTCGTCTGAGGGCGTGGTATCGGATGAGACGAGACTAGAAGTGGAGTAATCTGAATCATCGTCGGAGCTTGTTTCACAAGATCCAGATTCCGAGTCGGAGACAAGATCCGAGTGTCGTGCGGTGTACTTGACAGTCTTAATTTCCTCCTCGAGCGGATACCGGTAGCTGACCTGCTTCCTTGTTGGAAAAAAGACTCGGCGCGTCGTTGAACCATTGGACGGGCCGACTGAGTTTGAGCGCCTCTTGGTAGATTCCAAACATGAGTTGCGCAGGATGCTTTTCACCCCAATGGGTAGCTGGTATGGGTTGCTGGACGTATATGGCGAAGATGGTTTTGAGAAGCGATGATTAGAAGATCGAGACGGAGAGGCGGTTGCCGAAGGCGGATATGCAACGTCGTAGGCATTCTTGAAGGTGTTGCGCACGGTGGGAGATGCCGTGGGCCCAGTAGCTAGTGAAAGCGATAGACCTGTTGATGAGGTACTGAAGGACATGGGTAAAGACGAAGTCTGAAGCGTCAGTTTTGGTCTTGACAGCGCGGAGGGTCGGCTTGTCGCGTTCGAGGTGAGACCGCAGGCCATGCTGGAGTGCGGATGTGACACTGGCACAGTCGAGTGTGGATGTTGAGGAGTAATAGCAGGAGACATGGCTGGATGCGAAGCTGATGATGCTTCAGCGCTAGACGAGGAGGAGAGAGGAAGATGAGCAGCCGGAGGGGGCATTTGGGTTGCAAGCATGGCGGAGGCGGCGCAGACTGGCAAACAAACGGTGAGGGCCGCAGTGAGCAGGGATATGTAAGTAATATCCGGAGTGGGATATTATTATTATAAGAGAACAAAGACGAGCGCGAGGAGGCGCTGACTCTGGGTGACGAGGCAGGATTGGCGCAGCAGCAACGAGTCGACAGTCGGCGATGGCAGTGCGCCCCGCATGTGAGCGCCCAGAGGAGGAGCCGGTGGCTGGGAGGCGTCGGATGAAATGAACTTCAAACGGGGACACTCGTATATAAAAGATTCCAGAATCAAGACGACGATCGGCCGGGTCACGCAGTGGCGGAAAATTCGGACGCCAAAAAAAAAGAGAGACGAGCCGTTGAGCGAGAGGAAAACGAAGGAGAGTTGGAGTTGGGCACGGCGCTTCGAGGGGATTCCCAAATTAGTATCGGATGACGCTGCACTGCGGAGACTCGAGATACACACGGCAGAGAGGCCACTACAGTACGAACCAGCGATGGCTTAGGACACAAATATAGTCGGAAATCCACCCAAGACACATGAGATCTCAACAGTCTCCAGGCAAAAGCATTCTCCTCTCAGCTCCAGATCAGATCGGCTGAAGCAAAAAGTTGCCTCCCGAGTATAGAGGGCGATCGCAAATTGTGGCAGTTCTAATTATAGCGGGTGGTCTAGACTATACTGCCCGTGTTATACCTCCACCTGTCTTAGCCAACTTCTGTTCTGGCGATCTTTTACGATCTACGGAGTAATTGTCGTGGATCGTGATCCAATATTCATCGGAGATTGACAAACTTATTAATCCTATGTACAAACATCAAACATGATTGTTGTGAGAGTCCGAAGTTTGAGACTGAGAGAGGCTTCCCCGGACGCTCGCTCTCACAAAAACTCCGTTGCTCCGGATCTTCACTACACCATCAACGCATTATTGAGCCACCGACTCGCCATAGCTTGGTAGTGCCTCCCCCTTACCAGGATCATTTGGAACAGGGACAGGGCCAGGGCCAGGGGCGTACCCCGGCAACGCCCCCTCCACCTCCGGCTCCGGGAGAATCCTCACTTTATGCGAGAACCCCAGCTTGAACCTTTCCCCCGCGATCTCCCCCTCCATCTCCCACTTCAAGTCGTGCGAGCGGACAATGTTATACGTGAGCAGATCCGGGCCCAGACTGTTTGCAGGCAGCCGAACTCCCAGTATCTCGCCAATAGCGAAAGGTTCGGACTTCCCCCCAGGAATAACCGGAATTACTAGATTTGTGGTGCCGTTTATGATTGATGTGTTGGTCACTGGTGGAACAAGGCTCACGCTATCACCAGCCTTGGTGAAATTGTGCCGCTCGGCCTGCACTGTTGTCGTTGGCTTGACCTTGACCCGGAATGCGGTAATGAGTATATCCTGCTGGACGCCATGGATGGCCTCGCTCGTTGATTCTAGCAGTGGTTCCATGCTCAGCGTGATGGGGATTATCTGCTCATTGCCCACCTGCAGTGCATGAGGGAGAGACAGCGAAACGTTCAGCCCGATCTTCGGACACTTGGATGAATTGAACAACTGCCTCGTCTTCTGCCCGAAACTGACTTTGGTAGTCCCGGGTACTAGCCGGTATGACCACGTCGTATGATGTCTCTTGAACTCCCTCATATCGAAGTCCGTGATGGCCGTGCCGGGATGGACATTCCGCAACGGAAACGGGGCGATGGCATCATGAATGTCCGGCACTGTCTTGCCCTTATGCTGACGCGCGAGCTCAATCTTCGCTTCAACCCAGTACTCTGTAAAGGCATGGCACGCATCTCCGTGGATGAACGAGTTCCCGGTAAAGACTATGCTCGCCGGCGGCGGGAACATCGCCTCCAGGTGACCCCCGGGCGCAGCAAAATATTTCTGCTCCCACTCGCTCCGGATATCATGGACCAGCTCAGGGATCTTGATCGCAAACTGCCATGATTCCCCTGCGCCGCCTTGCGGGATATGCAACGGCTGCCCTGCAGTCAGAACATGTGTCTCCACTCCAGTCGGGGTGCTCAGGGCATTAAAGTTGGTCCGGTAGTAGTGCGTGGAGTTGTTCCTTCTGATACTGATCTTGGATTTACAGCGACCGCGAACTGTGACCGTGACCTTGGCTTCTGGCGCGACCCCTGGTGCCGTCCGGTAAACTCGGCCTGTGATTGTGTCGCCCGGCCGGTGCGGTTTGCCGTCTAACGGCTGTTCTAGGATTATCGCGAGGCGGGGTGTTGCAAGGGCAAGTGTTTCTGGCATTTTAGAGATTTGTATTTGGTTAAGATAAATAGAGCCGACATCGCATCCTTATAAGGTTACTATACTAGAGCCCTACACAGCCCCGCCCGGGGCGTTCTCGGATGGGGCCAAAAGGATCCAGATACCTCGCTGCAACCAATCCAACCAGTAGGATTCTGTGTTTCACATGGACATAGTTCGTTCTTGTTACGCCGAGGCTTGGTTAAGCATATTCCAGTCATGCAGTGAGCAGTTAAGCAGCTAAGAGCACACCGTAGATTGAGCCTCCTCAGGCTGATCTATACAGGTCACATGACCGTCAGGAGAAAGTGCTTGGCAGGAGAGAACGACCGAAATCTCTGCCGCAACAAAGATTTATTTTTGATTCACCAACAAAGCCGCTCTAGGTGAAAGAATCTATTCCAGTCACTGATTAGACTACGGTATCTATTCATAAATTGCAGATTTCTCGACGTACTTATGTGGGCGCGAATTCTCCCTGTCCGCGGACTCATCTCCAATCTCAACTGCACTGCTAGACTGTCTACTGGTAGACTCACAGCAACACATCACATCAATAACTGCAAACACAGGCTCAGCTACAAACACAACTTTAGCTACAGAACCTTCAATACCTCATCCATCATGCAGGGACCATCAGAAGGCCTAGTGCCGTACAGCAGCATGGCCGGCAAACTCGACCAGAAGCTCTTGCAAGCCCTCAACGTTATGGGATTCGAGCACATGTCGCCTGTCCAGCATAAAGTCCTCACAGAACTCCCCAACTGGCGGAGCGACTGTCTCGTGCAAGCAAAGACTGGCACTGGAAAAACGGTCGCCTTCCTGCTACCCGCACTGCACTGCTTAATACAAGGCCAAAGCCGAGTACGAAAAGGGCAAGTCGCCGTCCTAATCATAACACCAACCAGGGAACTCGCACAGCAGATCACGCAGCAATGTGACCAGCTTACATCGCAGCTTGGCGCGCCGCTCGAGTGCCATTTTGCTGTTGGTGGAACGGCAAGGGCGTCTGCGCACTCGCGGTTTATGAACGGCTCGCCTTCGATCCTTGTAGCTACGCCCGGCCGACTAAAGGATTATCTCTCTGATCCCGCAACCGCGGAGAAGCTCAATGACATTCAGACGCTTATTCTCGATGAAGCGGACAGAATGCTCGAGGCTGGGTTTTTGGTCGAGATCAAGGAAATCCTTAAGCTCATCCCGCCCAAGAGCGCCGGCTGGCAAGGTATGTGCTTCTCAGCCACAGTCCCGCCAAAGGTCAGAGACGTGGTCAACGTTGTCCTCAAGCCAGGATACAGCAGCATCTCAACCATAGACGAGAACGAAGCACCTACCCATGAGCGCGTGCCACAGTACCACGTCACCATCCCCTCGGTCGTCGACACATTCACAGCGCTCACCTCGCTCCTCAACCTCGAAATCCAAAAGGCCTCCAAGATCATTGTCTTCGGCGTCACTGCCAACATGGTTGCGCTCTTTCACGACCTCTTCGTGCAAGGCCTAACACCACTCCAAACCTTCGAGATTCACTCGCGCCTCTCCCAAGCCGCCCGTACGCGCACAACAACGCAGTTCAAAGAAGCCGAGTCAGGAATTCTCTTCGCCTCCGACGTCATCGGCCGCGGCATGGACTTCCCGAATGTCGACCTTGTCGTCCAAGTCGGTCTCCCGTCCAGCGGCGAGCAATACGTGCACCGCGTCGGGCGAACCGCACGCGCAGGCAACGACGGCCGCGCCATCATCCTCCTCACAACGGCAGAATCATTCTTCCTCCGCAAAAACTCCCACCTTCCCATCCAGCCGCACCCCGAAACAGCCGCCATCTTCGAAAAGATACCCAACTGCAGCTCCGCAGTAGAGACAGCCATGCACGCCATCGACGAAACAACGAAGCAGCGCGCGTACTCCTCGTACATCGGGTTCTTTGCGGGCTCAATAAAACCGCTTGGTCTCGATAAGGCGGGTCTCGTGCGTCACGCTAACGACCTCGCTATCCGTGGCATGGCATGCCCCGAGCCACCCGCCATGGACAAGAAGATCGTCGGCAAGATGGGGCTCAAAGGGGTTCCGGGCTTCAATTATGCCACTCCAGCGGAGTTGGCGGCTAAGAAGGCGCCCAAGAATCGCCCTCAGGCTAAGGCTAATGGCAGCGGCAATGACACCCCGCCAACGGGGAAATCGCGGGATGCGTTGAGCCCTCCTAATGGAAGGGGCGGACGCAAGTACGGTGGCGTTGAGAAGAAGGGTGGTCGTGGAGGAGGTCGTTGAATGGGAGGAGCTGGCCGTGGTCGTGGCGGCCGTCAAGGTGGAGGTGCTCGGGGAGAATAGCGTGCGGGCTCTAGGAGCTGCTCTTAAGAATCCATTGTCTTTTCGATATCTAAGATGCCCCGAAACCGGAAGGGAGGAAGGAGGCTGCTAAAAGCTGAGGAGCAGCACTGTCTTGTATTTAAGTGAATCGTGCCGTACCATGACTCGTTGACATTTGCACAGTTTGCAGCGTCCTGTTCGCTCGCATCATGACTTACATGCTACATTGGTTGGATAGAGGTAAAATAGATAATGCATGCAATTTTCCATCTAGACAGGTATGCGCCAGATGGTCTGCCAAGTAAATAAAGTGGCCACAAAGCCCGAGCTGTTACGCGAACCCTATAAACAGTGTAGAATCGTAGATATGGAGGGTCTCCACTTGAGAAAAACCTGTACAGTTCAAGCCAAGCTAGTCTGCGAGACTCGTTGGTTGTCTAGCTTTATAGATGGTTGCTGGGTTGGAGTCAACGGATTGAACACACCCAGGCACGAATTGAGGGGTTAAGTAGACTACTTTGATACGTACGTGCTCTTTACTATCCATTCCATTAAACTGCGTAGATATAGGCACTTCCAAAAGAATCGAATACCGATTTGATATCATACACATACGCACGCATAACAACAACAGAAAAGGAAATCGTCCATGTCATGATCATTCCCGTTGGTAGGCAATCTAGCTCCCGGTCTCCGTCTCAATATCCGGCTCCCTGCCAGAGAGATCTCCACTAAAGTGCTGCTTCACCCTCCGGAGGGCGTATTTGGCCTCGTCCTTTGCAAACTGCGCGTTGCGAGCTGGCTTCCATTGCATCAGGCCGCGCTGCTGTCGCTGCTCGCTACGCTTGGAGGCGCGCTTTGACGTCGTTGTCGAGCTGGAGGCTGCTGTGTCTGTCGTGCTTACTGTGTGTACGGTGGATACTTGGCTGTTGCTGGGGCTAATGCTGGTGCTTTGCGAATAGCTGGTGCTCGGCGCGGTGCCGTTGGTGGGCTCGGTAGTGGCACCGGTGCCAGGCTTTGAGGCGATGGGGTTTGAGGGGTCAACGATTGCGTTGCCTACGTCATGTTCGCCTTCAAGCTCATTTGAAGAGTCGCTGGTGTCCGAGTGCGCGTCGTCGTCGTCTGGTAGGTGCATAACGCCGTCATCTTGCGCCGGGTCTCGGTTGCTATTGTGTTCCTGTTCCTGTATCTGGGCGAGAGGGTCCTGACCAAACGCACCGCTCCAGTCCTGGCCCTCCTTGTCGACCCAACGGCGGCGTTCCTTGGGATCGGCGACCTTGAGAATATCACGGCCCTGGAGAAGTGATTTCTCGTGCATCTGTTCGGTACGCTCAGGGACTTCAGCAGAGATGTGCCGCGGACGGACGCCCTCGGCCATGCAAGCCTCCCATGTCTCAAAGGTTTCGCGCGAGTTGTTATCGACAACAAATCGCTCGTGAGACTCGTCAATGCCCGGGGTGAATGTGCAGCGGAACCTGAGACGGCCGATCTCGTGGATATCCTCAAGGCCTGGACTGCGTTTTTCCTCGAGGTTTTCTTCGGTAATATAGTTCTGCGTCAGACGCTTTCCGTTCTTAGTTTGCCAGATCGGGATGTCGACGGGGGTATCTTCGTTGTCGACGAGGTGTTGGAGCCAGAGGGTCGCGTAGCCCGTGGTCTGACGCTTTCCTTGGGTGACGAACTCGAAAACGACGGGAGACCGGTAGCGGTGCTTGACAGGAAGGCGCAGATCGGTGTTGGAGAGATCGAAGGAGACCGAGTTATCTGCGTTGACGCTGCATACATGCCGAGGGACTTTGCCGCTGCTTCCTCCTGTGCGCACACGAATCTTGGCTTTGTGGCTAAGACCTTGTGCAGTGATATTTCCGGTGAATTTAAAGGTTCCAACATCCCATCCGAGCATTTGCGGGGGCAGCCTGGTCTCGACGTGTCTGAATAGTAGCGAGATGCGGATTCGACCAAACCCAATTCCTCCGTCTAGGGGATACCATCTGGTAACCTGAGAGCTTGTCTGGAAAAGTTCGGAAAGTTTCAAAGGGACCACGCCTAGGATAGGATCGTGCTCTCTGTATCTCTGGTCTCTGACAGTCACGCATACCACCGCTGAGCGCCAGTCGCGTACGAATCGCTCTGTTCCGGCGTTGAATATGGGCTTCGAGCTCAAGGCTTTTGCTCGTGTACGGTAGACCTGCGCAGACGTTAATAACGAAAATTATACGAAGACAGTGACTTACAAGTTCGTCGTTCAGCATGATCTTGCAATAACTGGTCGGCAAGTCTTCACCTTGCTCCTCGGTGTTCTCTCCAAAAGGCTTCGCTGGTTCATACTCTCGTCCTTGCCTGTTACCGTTACTCCCTTTGACATTGACCAGCTGGAGGTTGACGATCTGATGCACGATGATACTGAGAACACCACTTGGCCACAGGGGATCAGGTGGGGTATGCGTAATGGCCTCCTCTTCCTCGCTGGTGATGACACCCTTGTCGTCCTCGAATTTCTTGTCACCCTTCAAGTTCTCTGGCAAGTCCTTGATCTTGCCGTCGGTCCTCAGCTCATTCCTCAGTTTAGGCTTGCCAAAGAATCCGACTTCCCAGTGCAGCTCACCGGGCATTTCACTTCCCTCGTTCATACCCTGTAGCTTCGAGACGTGCTGGTACATACGGCATGGGTGTTGAATCATCTCGCGAATGGGCAGCTCGACCTTGCCAACAATATCATCTGCCGTGTGACGATCCGAGTCCCAAAGCTCAACACTGAGATTCTCGTTTGCTTTGATGAGCTCTGCATTGACAAGTAGGGCTGCAGTCTCTTCCCAGACCGGGTTTAGATCATCGGTGATAACCCGCGTGCAGTACATCGGCTTTCCGTATTTCGAGAAAGAAAGGTTGATATACGGGTCGCTGCCACCACCCTCACTACCACGCTTGTCTTGCTTGCTCAAACCCACCGCTCGATGGATGCGAATCCACATGACTCCGAGGGCTTGTGTATCCTTGACAACATCGTCGCCCTTGGCCAGCATGCTGAGATCCATTGTCATTGACTTGGGTGCGGCGAACATACCGCAAGCAGCACCGATAGCATAGTTGACAAAGTTGGAGATCAAAGGGAGGTTCAGAACATTTACCCCTGTTCTGAACATTGGCATACAACCCGCTCTGATATGCGGAATGCCGGCAAGACTAAATGTCAGGTCCTTGACGAACGGCGCCTCAGGGACCAATTGAAGTCTTCCACGGACTGTGCCGACCATTTCTATCAGCTCCACGAAAACTGGGAACGGTACCCCAAAGAGTCCGCGAACTCCAAGATAAAAAACAAGATGCATGTGCATGTTGCGAGCTCTAGCAGAAGCGCTCTGGCCGGTGGGCTTCGCATGGTAAGCGAAAGACGCCTCAAAGTTGTAGTAGCTGCCACCTTCCTCCAGGGCCGCCGCTTCGTCTGGCTCCTTGTTTTCCTCATTGTCGCGATGAGCGTTGTCTTTCAACTGTTGTACATTTTCATCCGGAAGTGCCCGCAGACTCAGCAGTCGTATCGGATTGTTTCCTTGGTCGATTTCCGCAATGCGAACGTTTTCGATGACACCAGGTGATGAGGCTTGCATAATATCTTCAATAGTATCAGATATTGGTGCTAACATGTCCGGGTTGATCAGGCCCCAGATAATTCCCATGAATGTGTTCATCCATTCAACCGACTCTGGTATAAGATTGGCCGTTGCCTGGAATGCGTGCATCAGAATCTCTGCTACCATCGCCGACCAAAAAAAACTTACCGTTTGTCCACGCAATTGTTCGCTACTCCATTCCATCTCTCTCCCACTGCGGATCACTTCCTGCACCCACAGCCACACGCCGCTAGCAATGCAGAAAGCCAGAGGGAAAAGACCCCAGTATGACGCCCCGAACGTCCGGCCTAGAACGATGATGGCAGCCGATATACCAATGCATAGACTGTTTCCTCGCTTCTCCAGGCTCTCAAACATAGGCTTGAAGGAGATCGTCGGGGTCGGGTGGAAGAGAATATTCGTTCTCTCGCCATGAATGGGAACATCGGAAGTGGTACCCTCCGCGATAGGGTCTGGCGGCGCGGTAATGTCTTGATTCTCTTTGTATTCGGAAAGCGATTGATTTGGATCGGTCTTTACTGGCTTCATCAGAGTATCAGCAACCATTGAATCGAACTACCAGTATCGGGTAACTCACCGTATCTTTACCGAGATTGGCATTGGGAACAACCAGCTACATTTAGTCAGAACAGAACAATGCTTGTAAAGGACAGTTTATTACCTTTGGATCCTTTACGGGCTCCATAGCGGACTCGTCCAAGTCCTCGACTTCAATTTCCTTCCCGGTTATTGGATCTGTGGCCTCTCGAGTCCTGCCCTTGCCCACCTTCTGCGGTCGGTGTGGGACAGTACTCTCGTATTGCTGGGCATTTTGTTGCTTCGAAGCGGCTGACTTCTGATGGGCTTCACGGTCTGCCTGGTCTGCCTGGAGACGTTCAATGAATCGGCCGATGGTTGGGACGGGGTTGTTTCCGCTCCAGTGCTCCCCAACGCGGTGTTGGTTAGGGGAATTGTTCCCCGTTGGGTGAGCAGGCATGCTGGGTAAGTTGTACCGGTTCCTGAAAGCTAAAGCTTGAATAATATGTTGATAACGGTCAATGGTGAGGTATGAACTCAGTATTCCTAGCTTCCAGAGCTAGGTAGGGTTTGCGGAGTCGGATGTCTGCCGAAAGCCTAGATGGTCTGGTAAAAACGGAGGAAGAGCTGGTGAAGGGGACATATCAAAGGCCAGCCAGCCCTACCAGCAGGACTACGTCACTGGATGAATTGGCTCTGAGTCTGGGCGATGTGCGTATGTGGATGGGGATCTGGGACTTTGAGACTGCCGTTAGTGGACCGGTGATGTCACCACCACGATCTAGCATAACTCTCCCCTCGAGACTCTTGACCTCAAAAGGCTGCTTTCTCCATATTGCACCAAATTTCTTGATTGGAATCATTGGATTTGCTGATCTCGCATTTGCTTTTGTCGGTGCCTAACAGACTAGCTCGTGTGGGTTGATGTTATGATTGTCGCCAGATCGAGCTTACCCACTCTATACTACTCCGAATATATTTCCACTCTGTCGTCAGCCGAGAAATCTGACCCTGTTTGTGGAAGGTCTAGAAAAACAAATATATAACCTGCAAGTGTCTTCAAAGAAACCCTCCCCGACAAGACTTTGGACTGCGTGTTATGATCCTGCGCAGTCCCAAGTCCACGATACACTACATCTCGCTTTCGTCATCCAATGTCATCCCACAGGTTCCATACAGTAGGATACCTATCAATTCGCTGTTTATTGGACTAATAGGCCCTCAACTTAGTCTAACTATACTTCGAAACGTTTACTCGGTCTAATTAGGAATAGTAGTTGACTTGGCCCTATTTTTAGTTGTTGGGCCTGGGCTAGGTCAAATATATATATTAACCAATACGGAGTACATCGTACCGCTTAGGAGCATAGTAGACAGACAACGCAGCTGAGATGTAGATTATTCAGCTGCGAACAGCGTGAATTAAAGCCAAATTATTCCAGTTATACCCGGAGACAAATTTAAGGCATTATGAAGTTTTTGCTGGGTATTTGCATTAGGGCCACCCTACAGAGTACTAGTTTGAGCTGCCTGATTGTGGTGATCTGCGGTCATTGGGGCTGATGAGCAATTCCTGCATACACCAGCTTCCCCGGAGAGATCAGCAATAAGGTTAAGGGGAGAATTTGACATTGAAATTGCAGCTGAAGCAGAATAGCTCAAGAATCTTGTCTTCCGCATCATGGACGGTACAAATGAGATTATCACCAGTGAGAGCAAGAAGCCGGCATAACAAATACCACTAGCTTATCAAATTGCAAGAAAGGCCTTAAACAGTGATTACGCGTAGTTCCAGCTGTAAATTCGAAGACGAAGCCCAATGTCTAATTCCTGGGGTATATTTGTTGCTCTCTTTCTCGTGGCAGCGTGAAGTAGATCTAGGCGCTATACCCGAAATAGAAGACCACCATCTGCCAGATGATCGGCGAAATTCATCTTCCACTTCAACACAATCTCAGGACAATATCGCTATCCACGATTTTGAGACGGACAGCCCACAAACGGGATCTGTAATATCTCGACATCGCATCGCCTACGTCGCCACATTTATCGGACACCGAGATCTCAGAGCGCTTTCCCGTTCGCGTACCTGATCAAATCACACAACGTCATTGAACTCGCCAGCCATCGCCGGGTTTCCATTTCCAATGTCTTCAGCGGAAGAATCTCCAGCCCAAAGGGCAGCTCGTCTGCGCCGTGAACGCCGCGAAGCTAAGATACGAGAAGGAGGAGCATCTCGATTGGACAAGATTACGAGCCTAAGCGGACGGACTCCCTCCAAAGGTACAACTCACATCATTCATTCCTGGTTTTGGAACAGCTTAAAACAGCCACTCCTTACATCGTTCCTTTGTGGTCTGTGGGATAAACAACTGATTCTGTGTTGTACAGATCGTGAGGATGCCTCCCCATCCCCATCCCCACAACCTCCCACTGCCATGCCCGCCGCGAGCCCCGAACCACGACCTACCCCGCAACAACCACAGCAAATACCCAGGCAAGCTCCGCCGCCGCCGAGTGTCGAAGATTCAAACCCAGATGAGCTCCGCCAGCAGCAAGACGCTCTCCGTGCTCTCCTCCGCCAGCCAATGCCCTCCCAGCAAGATACCGGCGAAGAAGACCCGACTATGAAGCTCCTGAACTCTCTCATGGGAGGTATGGGAGGCTTGCCAGGCGCAGTCCCGGGTGCCGGCCCTGGTGCTGGCGCGGATGCGAGCGGGGATTCTCCGGCAGGCCTACCCCCGGGTTTCTTTTCCTCACTCGGTCTCCCTCCTTGGATGGCGGACGCGCTTGGCACCGCTTCCAAGCCACAATCTGAAGAGCAGAAGAAGGCCCTTCTGACTTGGAAGATCTTACATATCACATTCTCGGTGGTCCTCGCGATCTATCTTTGTTTTCTCACGAGTTCGTCGGTTGCGATGTACGGCAGACAACCGCCGCCTCCAGCCACGGCGCAGAACCCTTTCCTCTACTTTACGACTGGAGAACTTCTGCTGGACAGTGCAAGAATTATGACCAAGAATTCTGGACCGCCTGGGCCGTTCCTGTACATTCAGCTGCTGCGGGATTATATCCGTGATGGTAGTATTGTTCTTTTCTTGTTTGGTATGGGCTCTTGGTGGAACCAAGGATGGTGATGGGTCATACCCTTGACATGATCTCTTTGTTTGTCTGTTCTGAAGCGGCAGGACTTGTGCCCCTCTCAGATACCTATAGCGACTATTTATTTGGAAGACGAAAAAATAAAGCTTGGCTGAACGAATTTACCTAGAATGAAATAATGTCGTTCATGCCTCTAACTCAATTCTTCGACAACTTTCCGTGACGTGATTTATCTTGGGAGAAGGCATATACAGACAAAGTATAAGTACCTACATGCTCCGAAAACATTGAAATAAGCCCTTTAACTGTGGGGACCACCCGCACACTCCCACTCGTCCCTCAATACTATCAACTTTCGCGATAGTGAGCGTTGGATATCCCGAATCCCACAATCAGCCCACAAATCTGAACGACCATATGCCCATAGCATGCTGAGCGCCGGTTCCCACACTTACTATACACCCCTCCCTCCCAAGTCCCCAATTTCGCGTTATCTCAAAGTGGTATAAATATGAGGCTTTTGGCCCACGAACCAGACCGGTCTGGAATCTATATTTCTGGACCTGCTGATAGCAAGAGGATGGAATACTCTGTTTGCCAGATACAAACATCAAATAGACATGATATTGGATCGGACGCATGGCAAGGCATACGTAATATGCCAACTACTAGGATGATAGTAGGATTAGTATACATAGTCTCTAGTGGTGTGATTGCCGTCCGTCCGAACCCATGGGGATTGAGAGAGTCTTCGCCTGTCGTTGGTAGGTGCAACTCGTATGACATCCGTCGACATATGTATTCTGCTGCAGTCTGAGTGTACGGCGTTTTATGTTATCCACCGATGAGGGCCAGTGGGGGGATTTTGTGGGCGAGTGGGAGTGGGAACTATATACTTTACACGCTGGGCGATTTAGTGTGGCAGTGGGGAGGATACGGGAATTCCGAGAGTCAAGGATATATATTGTTAGCGATCAGCGCATGCAGCGCGAGGAAACCAAGCATAATAACGATATGTAGTATGCTCATAATGCTCCGTAGATAAGCATGGAGTAGTTTGATAGTTTCCCACGAGCTCAGAGTGGGACGAAACTGTGGATGATGGTCGATGGACTACTACGTAGCATGGAGTAGATTCGGCATCGGAGCACCAATGCACTATACTACGGAGTAGACAGCGTCTTGGAGTAAGGAGGCACAGAGCTGGATGATCACGAGCAAGCAAGGAATGATTGAAGAAAACTCATATGAACGCGATGTTGATTGCTTAGCTGGTACACTATATAAGCCGCGGTTTTGCTGTGTGAGAATGTACGTGATTGGCGAGCCCGGGGAAGCGTTGATGAGGCACTAATTTGGTGGAGAGATGCACTATGTTGGAGGTCCGAGCCGGCAGTTTGAGATTGACCGCGATGCTCGTAGCGAGGCTTGATAGTGTTAAGCCGCGTTCTGCTTGGCCTTGCGGGTCAACTTGCTTTGCGTGCCCACTGCCCACTACCTCCGGCCAAACTGCCTGGTTGTCGCAAGCTCGAAGCTGGCGCAAAATGTCGCTTGTGGTTGAAACTACCTTGACTACTGTGCAGCAGGCATTCCGTCGTACGACCCAAACCTTGGATCCCTGCTACTAGTAGTGGCTGGGCTTGCTGTAAGCCTATTATGAGATTGCTTACTACCCTCCTCTGAGGCCATGCGGAACCCAAATCCCTGTTTGATTGTTCCAGTAGAACAATGTCGAGCTGTTGCCATCTTCCCCGCACCTCTAGTGTACTAGATGCTTGGCTGGCGTTCTTGTGATTATCCCTCCGTCCGGGGATCAGGCACGCCCTGATTTGCCGCCCAATCCAATGGGTTCATGCTCCATGCCCGGACGAATCTCGCTCTCTTCGTTGGAAATTCGGACAAACGACCTTGTCTGGGGGCTAAGGCATACCCTCGGTCCCTACCAGTTGATGTAATTAGCGTACCACAGTTGACAGATGTCTCTCGGCTTGAGAGCGTGGCGGATCGCCCCGGAGCAACGGAAAACAAAGAAGAAAGGCGGCCAAGCCCCGCATGGCCGAGTCTGTGCTGAGTTTAGTTCTGTGGAGGCGGCGAATGACACTTGAACCTCTCCGGCATCGCTCATGCAGGGGGCGATCCTCTCAATGTACCTACTCTGCCGTGTAGCATTATTGTGAGGTGCTCAATGAGTGCCTCAACAAATCCTAGGAGCTGAGCAACTTCAACAGGCAGTGGTTCAGAACAGATAGTCCTAGACAGACAAAGCCACTCAGTGACAGTAATGCTAAGTCTCTGACAGGCTGGGGAAAGCTACCACTGAACCGAACCGGCAAGCTGACGGCCACCCGGAAAGGGACCAACCTCACGCCCACGGTCGAGTCGGGGCCGGGGTATTGTTCTCTCTCGTTAGAATGGAAAGTCAGTCCTTACCCAAGGCTAGGTACCCTAGGCTACGCATAATTCGCCTTATAAGGGAGGCATCCCCTCCGTCCGACAGCCGGACAGCGGGCCTCAACAATTAATTCCATTAATTCCATTTAGCCCAACACAACATTAAATACCATCCGGCGCCCTCCCTTCTTGACAATTATTCCGACACTGTATCTCTCTTCACCTCTCCTCCTCTCCCACATCCAGCATACTTCTCCTCTCCTCTTCCTCTCCTTCCGATCTCGACGACTCTATTACCCCTCCTCCTTGAGCTACCCCACTACCACTGCAACGGTAAGCTTAAATCCCACCCGCTGTGAACTCACGTGCCAGCACTGCTCTGCAGGCCTCCCCCCACCAAGCAGCCTCATTTTTTTCTTCCGTCTCTGGGTAGTTTTTCTGATTTTTCTGGGAGTTCAGAAACCTCGAGATTCGCAATTCCTCTTCAATATGAGTGACGGCCCGATTGCACCTCCCAAGCCCTCCGTGGTAAGCGACAGCCCTGGACTCGAGCTGCTCGGCCAATGGTTTTTGACTAATCGTGCGCGGTCAGGTCCTCGAGGCCCACGAGGTCGACACCTTCCACGTTCCGAAGGCTTTCTACGACAAGCACCCCTCTGGACCCCATCTCAAAGATCTCGATGAATACAAGAAGCTCTATGAGGAGTCAATTCGCAGCCCCGACACTTTCTGGGCTCGCAAGGCCCGAGAACTCCTCACTTTCGACAGAGACTTCCAGACCACCCGCCTCGGCTCATTGGAGAACGGCGACGTTGCTTGGTTCCCCGAAGGTCGACTAAACGCTTCCTTCAACTGCGTTGATCGCCATGCCATCAAGAACCCTAACAAGGTCGCCATCATTTACGAAGCCGACGAGCCCAATGAGGGCCGAACCATCACATACGGCGAGCTCCTTCGCGAGGTGTCTCGAGTTGCCTGGGTCCTGAAACAACGCGGCGTCAAGAAGGGCGACACAGTGGCCATCTACCTTCCTATGATTCCCGAAGCCATTGTCGCCTTCCTTGCCTGCTCCCGTATCGGTGCTGTTCACTCTGTTGTCTTCGCCGGTTTCTCCTCAGACTCCCTCCGCGACCGTGTCCTCGATGCCGGTTCCAAGGTTGTCATCACATCCGACGAGGGAAAGCGTGGTGGTAAAGTCATTGGAACTAAGAAGATTGTCGATGAGGGTCTCAAGCAGTGCCCCGATGTGTCGACTGTCCTTGTATTCAAGCGCACAGGCGCCGAGGTGCCCTGGACCGAGGGCCGTGACATCTGGTGGCACGATGAGGTTGAGAAGTACCCTGCCTACCTTGCTCCCGAACCCGTCAGCTCCGAAGACCCTCTATTCCTCCTCTACACCTCCGGCTCCACTGGAAAGCCCAAGGGTGTTATGCACACCACCGCCGGTTACCTGCTGGGTGCTGCCATGACGGGTAAATACGTCTTTGATATTCACGACGATGACCGCTATTTCTGTGGTGGTGACGTTGGCTGGATCACTGGTCACACTTACGTGGTGTACGCTCCTCTTTTGTTGGGATGCTCGACGGTCGTCTTCGAGAGTACCCCGGCTTACCCTGACTTCTCCCGTTACTGGGACGTTATTGAGAAGCACAAGGTGACCCAGTTCTATGTGGCCCCCACAGCCCTGCGTCTGTTGAAGAGGGCCGGCGATGAGCACATCCACCACCAGATGGCACACCTTCGTGTCCTGGGATCCGTCGGCGAGCCCATCGCTGCTGAGGTCTGGAAGTGGTACTTTGAGAAGGTCGGAAAGGAGGAGGCGCACATTTGCGATGTAAGCCGCTTTTCCCCCAGTAATTTTCACTCCGCTGACTTTTTAATTTTCAAGACTTACTGGCAAACCGAGACTGGTTCCAACGTCATCACTCCCCTGGCTGGTGTTACCCCCACAAAGCCTGGCAGTGCTTCTCTGCCGTTCTTTGGTATTGAGCCTGCTATCATCGACCCAGTCTCTGGCGAGGAAATATCCGGCAACGATGTTGAGGGTGTGCTTGCCTTCAAGCAGCCCTGGCCTAGCATGGCCCGCACTGTGTGGGGCGCTCACAAGCGCTACATGGACACTTATTTGAACGTCTACAAGGGCTACTACGTAAGAATGCTCTTCATTCTATTTTGAGTCGAGATTGCTAACATGTCTGTAATAGTTTACCGGAGATGGCGCTGGTCGTGACCACGAGGGATACTACTGGATCCGCGGCCGTGTTGACGATGTTGTCAACGTTTCCGGCCACCGTCTGTCAACTGCAGAAATCGAGGCTGCGCTCCTTGAGCACCGTAAGTCAAAGCAGATGCTCAAACTCGACTAAGCTAATATTGCTATAGACATGGTTGCCGAAGCCGCCGTTGTTGGTATTGCTGACGAACTGACCGGCCAGGCCGTCAACGCCTTTGTTTCGCTCAAGGATGGCAACGAGACGAACGACCAAGTCCGGAAAGACCTCATTCTTCAAGTCCGCAAGTCAATTGGACCCTTCGCTGCTCCCAAGGCTGTCTTCGTTGTCGACGACCTGCCCAAGACCCGTAGCGGTAAGATCATGCGCCGCATTCTGCGAAAGATCTTGAGTGGTGAGGAGGATAGCCTGGGTGACATCTCAACGGTAAGATCTTATTTTCCATGACAAGTTGCCTGAGGCTAATTATTACTCCAGCTGTCCGATCCTTCCGTGGTTGAGCGGATCATCGCCACTGTGCACGCTTCCCGTGGAAAATAAGCTATAATTGCCACTGATTGAGACTTGAGACCCCATATATACCCATCAAAAGAGTGTCATGATGACAACCCGACCAAGTTGACTCGCCTGTCAACTATGCAATTGGATGGGTTTAGTCATGCAATCCATGACGCTATTGAGACTAGAAACAAGCGTGATATGTTTAATTGCTAGTTGTGTGATTCCCATGTTTTATTGGTCTTCGGAGCGGATGTTCTATAAATGACTAGCTATATCTTATGACATTTTCATTGTTCATGAAGTTTGCTACCTGTTTTATAGTAGAAAATCTTTAGACTGCTCTACTCCGTAGAACCTCGGATATGTACCTAGAGATTCTAAACGGCCATCTAGACTCTTAAGAAATTATCACTAATGTAGGCCTCGTCTCTTTCTGATTGGACACATTCAATGTGTGTTCATGTGATCCGAAGAATCGAAGCATTGAAGGCAATAGTAGGACCTGCGGGCAGTTTGAAAAAGCCAATGCCCTTGCTTAGGTAGCAACTTTGGGAGAAAAGGACCACTACTTCAGGTCATGTGAGCAGCATCTGAGTCAAATACGGCGAGTGAAGTCTCACAGCACACAATTTATATTAAGTTTCTGCCAGGCAGCATTAGAAGGTGTTCAGCTACAGATAATGATCTTGTTTCATTGGCAGTGCCGGTTCAGGCAGCAGTCACGTGGGGAATCTTAACACAGACAGCAGTCACAGCACTGAGCCGGATTACATACAATTACGTACAGATAGCACTCACTTGGTCTGATTGTGTATCATACTGCGTATTGTACGTGTACTCCGAGGCCACTCCCCTCTCGCCCGGGCTCTTTTCCATCGCGTCAGTTTCCTCACCTCAACTCCCTTCTGGACTTCTTAAGGTCGCTCTCTCGTCACCCCATCTCCCCGTCCTTCTGGACTCGTCAATATTCCCGCTCTGACGACATCTATCCGTCGGTAGCTGGAGTGACAATTATTTTAATTTAGCTTTTCTGTCTCCTTTCTCGCGATCGACATACGTCGAGGGGAAAAAAACAAACACCCTTGCCCGACCTTTTTTTTTTTCGCTCCCATTGCGCGTCTTGCGATCTAGCGTATTGAGGTCGGAAATTACGAGTCCCGCGCTACATTCGTCTACTAGTTGGAGTTCCTATCGTTTCGCACCGGTTCGCAAGCTTTCGCGACTGTTCGCTACACCTTGATCCTCGAGAGAACAGATGAAGCTATAATCTGGTAAAAGATACGCTGTCATCATGTCTTCTTTCGGATCCGGATTTGGAGGATTCGGTTCGAACAACCAGCAAAGCTCCGGCTTTGGCACGGGCTCTGGTTTCGGCACGAGTTCTGGTGGAGGTAGGTCCATTCAATCCGTTCGATGTTCACAACTCCCAACGCCCTTCTCTCGATTATACTGTTACAATTCCCGTTATTTCCATTTCCTTTCGTGATCGACCGGTAGCTGGTGCTTGAGATGTCGACCCGTGACGGCCCTGTACGGCTTCCAACAGTTAATCATCCCGCGCGGAGACCATCGACGCTGAGCAACTCAGTAGCGCCACAAGAGAAAGGATCGCAGCTTTATGACAGTCTCTGACAGTCTAAACTCCACAATATAGGCTTTGGATCAACCACGTCCCCGTTTGGTGGGAGTAACACAACTTCAGGAGGTGGCGGCCTGTTTGGAAACGCCTCCAGCAGTTTTGGATCCGGTGGAGGTATGTTTCGATGAGCGAGCGATCCTTTCTCTGCTACGGCCACTTTGGACGGATTCTCTGTCGCCCTGCTACGAACTCTCCGAGTTTCTGGTTTGATTCTGATCGCCCACTCCGGCTCCTCGACAATCGCCGCAGGAATATGGCCAAGATGGTCGACTATTAAGGATCCGTGCCTCGGATGGCTTTTGTTTTATACACTTTATGATATATGTCTTGTTTTTCGTGCAATATTCGGATGAAATAATCACGCGGCGCTAACCCATGTCTCCTTAGGATTTGGATCGAACAATCAGACGGGTTCAGCATTCGGAACCCAAAAACCTGGGTTTGGTAGCTCATCTGCTGGCGGTATGTTCGGGAGCAACAATGCCACCACGACTACAGGCGGTGGTTTCGGAAGTGGTTTCGGCTCGACCAACACGGGCGGTGGATTCGGTAGCTCGAACACCGGTAACAGTTTGTTTGGAAGCAAGCCTGCAGGAGGAGGCTTCGGCAGCACAACTGGAACCGGTACGGGATTCGGCGCTGGAACCGGCTTTGGCAGCAGTGCCGGCTCAGGTTTTGGTGGAGCAGGAACTGCTTTTCAGCAGGGCGTCCCTCCTTGCGAAGGAACAGGAAGCACTCCTTTCAGCGCGTTCACGGAGAAGGATGCAGCCTCGACTATAATGAACCACTACCAAAGTGTCTCGATGATGCAACCATACAATAAATACTCCTTCGAAGAGCTTCGATTGGCAGATTACAACGCAGGCCGTCGACACGGAAATGGAAGTGGACAGGCCGGTGCTTTTGGTTCTTCAGCTTTTGGGAGTGGATCCGGTTTTGGAACCCAGCAGTCCACAGGCTTCGGTAGCACCTCGACACCGTTTGGTGCAGCTGCCACTAGCGCCCCCTCTGCATTTGGCTCGACACAGACAACCGGCGCCTTTGGCTCAACTGCCTCCAATCCTTTGTTCAATGCTACCAAGCCGGCAAACTCCCTGTTTGGCGGAGGTGCCTCCTCAGGCACCACCCAGCCTAGTTTGTTCGGAACCACTACAAACAACACAAATACTGGCTTCGGATCCAGCACAGGCGGTGGTTTTGGGTCAGGTAGCTCGTTATTTGGCAACAACAATCAGCAGCAGCAGCAGAACAAGCCCTTGTTTGGCTCAAGTACTGGAACCACAGGTACAGCCACGGGCTTTGGCACGGGCTCTAGCGGCTTCGGTAATACTGGCACCTCAACCGCATTCGGTGGCACCACTGCTACTTCCTCGCCATTCGGCCAGCAGCAGCAGCAGCAGACCGGTACGGGTGGGTTTGGCACGTTTGGCGCGAATACAAACACAAACCAGAATCAGACTCAAAACAAAGGAGGCCTGTTCAGTGGATTCGGCAACAATCCTCAGCAATCCTCTACTGGTGGTGGCCTCTTTGGAGGAACCACCAACACGGGGTCCTCTCTTTTCGGACAGAACAACCAACAGAATCAGCAGCAGACTGGCAGCTCGCTCTTTGGCGGCAACACCCAGCAGACCGGAACCGGCGGTGGTCTCTTCGGCGCCTCTCAGAACCAGCAGCAACAGAAGCCGAGCCTGTTCGGCAACAACACCAACACTGGTAGCTCGCTCTTCGGCGGTAACACACAGCAGACTGCAACTGGTGGTGGCATCTTCGGCGGCGCTCAGAACCAGCAGCAGCAGAAGCCAAGTTTGTTCGGCACTACGAACACGTCTCTCTTTGGTGGCAATACAGGGACACAAAACACGGGCTCCTCGGTTTTTGGCAACACCCAGAACCAGCAGCAACAAACTGGAGGGTTGGGGACCTCGAGCCTTTTCGGCGGTTCTCAGCAACAGCAGGCGCAACCGATGCAGCAGTCGCAGCCTGCGCCTGGTAGCCTCCAGGCCTCTCTTCTCGAGGGAAATCCTTATGGAAACCAGTCGATTTTCTCCGGCCTGCCTGCGCCGAGCACTGCCAGTCCCGGCCCATTGGCGACCCCGCTCTCTTCTGCAAACAAGCAGAAGCAGCGCGCTCCTCTGCCAATCTACAAGATTACACCCAATGCTGCCAATCGCCTCATCACCCCGCCTAAGCCCCGAGGGTATGGATTTTCCTACTCCACTTACGGTTCTCCTTCTAGCGCTGGTGGCACTCCCAACCTTGGTGGCAGCCTTCTCGGAACAAGTATGCGTAACAGCTTCAGCGGCGGCCTGGGCCGTAGTACATTCAGCAAGAGCTTTTCTACCAGCAGCTTGCGCAAATCCTTTGACCCAGATTCCGACAGTATTTTGTCCCCTGGTGCCCTTGGCTCGGGCAGCTCCCGTTACTCGAGCAATAACCTGAAGCGCTTGACCATTGACCGAAGTGTGAGGACCGATATCTTCACGCGCACTGCTAGCTCGCCTACCGCGATTACCAATGGCGATGATGCCGCCCAGTCCGCGAGCAAGGTCAGGAAGAAGGTCAGTTTCGAGTCGACTCCTGACAACACCTCCGGTGGTGAAGTTGTGCCCGTGGAGTCCCAAAGCTCTGAACCTACACCGGAAGAACTAGGTTTCTTGCGCTCAATCCGTAAGAACGGCACTCCTAATGGTGTTAATGGTGTCAAGCCAGCATCTGAGACCCCTGCCAACCCTGAGATGGAATCGGTATCAAGCAAGAGACTTCTGATTTCGGTTCCAGAAGACTCTGACCGTGCTTCGTCCGCTTCGCCTGGCTCGGGCGCATCACGTATATCCTACAGTCCTAGTGGTGACCCCACTCCAGGTGACTACTGGATGAAGCCAACACGCGCCGAGCTGAGCAAAATGAGCCGTGACGACTTGAAGCATTTCAAGGGTCTGACCGTTGGCCGCGAGCGCTGTGGTGCGGTCACGTTCGATCAACCCGTTGATTTGACTTCCATCGATTTGGACAACCTGCTTGGTGGCCTTGTGGACATCGGTGTTCGTAAGATTACCGTGTACCCCGATGAGTCAATCAAACCTGCAAGGGGCAAGGGTTTGAACGTTCCCTCAACGCTGCGCATTGAAAACTCCTGGCCCCGTGGGCGGGACAAGAAGGGACCTTCATCAGCCACTAGCGGCCCGCTATTTGAGAAACATGTCGACCGCCTGATGAAGGTTCACAACACAGAGTTCGTCAACTACGAAACCGAGACTGGCACGTGGATATTCCGAGTGGCTCATTACACGACATATGGCCTTGACTATGATGACGAGGAAGAAGAAGGTGAGAGCCACAACCAAAGCACTCTCCCCGCCGACCGCGATCTGACCGTTGGCTCGGAGCAGATGTCGACATACTCCATTGACGATTCCTTTGCGAGCTCGGTGGGGGGAGTCGATGACGACACATTCGATTTCAAAAAGCGAAAGTTGGTGCCAGGGGCATTTGGAAATCAGGCAATGGAGACAGTGGAGGAGCAGGAGATGGGATCTGAGAACGATGATGAAGACGAGTCTTTTTTAGAGGAAGGCTCCACGGGTTCAACTGAGCAGGATGGCGACGACGTCACCGAAAGCCAGCAGTCTGTTGGCGAATCAGAACTTGAATTAGATGAAGGCGAGGAAATGGACATGGCGGGCACCTTTCCCAACCTTGATCGTACCGTGGAGCATGACGATGATGAGGATATGGACATCACATTCAACCAGCCCTCATTGAAGCCTTGGAACACACCCTCTAAGGCCCGCCTCGATCTTACTGGTGACTGGGCTGAGCAGTTGCAACGTACTATCAGCCCCAGGAAGCAAAATCGTGACGCTCTTCGAGAGATCCAGGCGAATGCTTTCAGCGAACGCCTAATCAACGATGAGACGCCAACAAAACCAGCACCGACTTCCCAGCAAAAGGGATTTAATACTAGTATCGACTTGATGAACTCTTTGTTCCAACAACCACGCAAACAAGGACAATCTCCGCTTAAGCCGAAGAAGCCACAACCAAAGGCCGGAGGCTTTGAGGTACAACCCTTTTCTTCTATTTTACATCCCGATGTTAACCGCGCGTTTTACTAGTGGCCGTACAACAAGCAACCAAAGACCTTTGCAGGCGAGTCGAACGAAATGAGCAAGGACGACTTGGATTTTCATCACTCCTTTAAGCCTCGGTGGGGACCCGTCAATTCGCTCATATGCGCAAAAGGTGAAATGAGTGATCATCGGTACGGGGATCCGCATTGGAGAGAGAAGTTCTCTGTTACCAGCGAAGGCCGGGACATTGCTGTTCTTGGCTCTGGGCAGACTGCTGAACCTCACGAAATGGTTGAAATCCAACGAAAACAATCCCACATTACCAGCGTTGACGGCCAGCCATTTGCTCGACTCGTGCAAGCCAACTTTGAGCCGTTTGCCAAGGCCTCACATTCGGTTCATTCTGACAAGGAGCGAGTCATTTGGGAATTAGCAAATATCCTGTTCAACGATGATATCGAGGATGATCTATCGGCTGGTGTTCCATTACAGTTGAGACAAAAATACCTACACCGCATCAAGAAAGATAGGCTAAATCGCCTCTGGGAGGTCATAGTCCGCGAACGAAACACGGTAGCCTTGAGCAAGGCTAGCTCTGCTGAAGAGCGCGCCGTTTATTTGCTCTGTTCGCATCGTGTCGAGGAAGCCTGCTCTACGTTAATGTCAAGTCAAAACTTTCACCTCGCCACCCTCGTCTCCCAAATTGGGCGAGACCCTACGACGCAGCATGACATGGCGCAGCAAATTGAAAAATGGCGACAGCACAACGTCTGGTCTGAGATGACTGAACCCATCCGAGCCTTGTATGAACTTTTGGCGGGTAACACCCTCCGCAGCGAAGGCAAATCTGGAGGCGCCCTGGAGGATCGTGTATCAGCATTCACGTTTTCCGAACGATTCGAGCTGGATTGGTTCCAGGCATTTGGGCTGCGTCTCTGGTATGGAATAACCGACGATGAGCCTCTAGAAGTCGCAGTTTCAGCCTTTGCTCAGGACCTCAAGAGTGGAGAGGAACCTGCGTTTCCTTTGCCTCCCCACCAGGACAAAGACCGGGGCGTGTTGCATACATCTACCGACAACCTTGGTCACGAATCGCCGCTTTGGGTTCTGCTCAAGGCCTACGCAACAACGTTAGGTGCGGCTAAGGGCACCGGTATTCCTGCACTCGGCTTGCCTGCTGCGTTGCTGCCAGAGTCTGTTACGGGAGACAAGTTGTCGAACCGGCTATCCTTCCAACTCTGCCACGTCCTTGCTGCTGTTCTTGGGCAGCATGAAGGCCTCACGGTCGACGTCGCCCAAATGGATCAACTCGCGTGGGATTACGGCTGGGAGCTTAGCGCATCTGGAAACCTTGCGCAGACCTTGTTTGTCTTGCTTCACCTGTCGCGCGCCTCAGACCGGGCAAAAGCTGTTCAAGAGATACTTGCGCGGTTCGCCGCCCAACTTCCCGAGCCGATTACACCTGAAGGCTCTCCGAGCGCAAATTGGCGGCAGCTTACCAACGACCTCCAGCTTCCAGAAAAATGGATTTGGATGTCCAAAGCCCTTTATGCCCGGGATATTGGCGATGCTGCACGTGAAGTGGATTGTCTTGTCCGCGGAAAGAACTGGAACGATGCCCATGCCACGTTCTGCCGTATTGTTGGCCCGACGGCGGTGATTGAGCATGACTACAAAACCCTGGAGACATTGTTGTCTGGCTTTGGAGAGGCGCCAGAGCGCAAGGTTCGGGGCTGGGCCAGTGGCGGTGGGGTCTACGAAGACTTCCTTCGTTTAGTGACGGCGCGTGGACGAAATCCTCAGCGTCTGAACCGATTGGTGGATGCACTGGTGACAATGGGCGATGTTATCAATGGGTCGGGTGTGGAAGGATTAGAAGAGCGCGTGGCGTTCAAGGAGATGAGCCGTATCGTTGCTGGCTGGACAACCCAGGAGGATGTCAAGGTAAGTTTTTTCTATACTACACTTCTGACATTAGTGATACTAACCCTCTTTAGGCAATGGAGATGTCGCGTGTTCTTCGACTTCCTCTGACAGGTGATGCTCGTCTCGTGCAGACGGCGGAGATGAGCAGGCGGTACTATAGTGTCGTTATGGCTGGGGGCCACTGAGATCTGACTCGAGCAATTTAATCTCCTAGATTCGATTCACTCCGAATGCCTCCTCTTGCGTTGACTTTGTTGCATCACCTTACTTTATCCTGTATTCTAGCTTGCTTACTTTTCTATTGCCCATCCACTGCCTCTGTGTTTTTATAATGAAGCCATGCTGACGCTGGAGAATATTGATATTGTTTGTTCCGCATGGCGTGCTCTGTCATGATAGTTGCTTTTGTAGTAGTTAGATGATATCGAACTTGAATATGATGATTGAATCTCAATGTGTTCATGCCGGCCCCGGGTTATTTGCAGCTGTCCTTGAGTAAAGCGGGCCCTGGCTCCAGGCGTCCATGAGCTGAAATTCGCCGTTCTGGTGAGACAAGATGGGAAACATTGTGTGTCTTGTGCTTCTTCTTCCCCCAACCGTGTGACGCCGTCCCAGTTGTTCTATCTCCTGGGCTTCTTCGTCGAGCCACCATGGCCTCCGACAGGTCTGGCTGCCACCATCACCATGACAGATTTCGCCCGTCTCTTGAGATAGACGAGATTCTCCCCGTCGATGAAGTTGCTGTCACCTCTTCTTCTTCTCGTCGGTCATCAACCTCCACTTCGTCCACCGCATCTTTGAAAGCAACAAAATCTCCAGCGCAAGACTCTGTAACTATGCCAACCTCCACGGAGCACCAGAGGTACTCATCTTTCAGCAATGCCCAGAAACGCTTCATCGTGACCATGGTCACCCTAGCCTCCTTCTTCTCTCCCCTCTCCGCGCAAATCTATTACCCCGTCATGCCGACCCTTGTCGAAAAGTACCACCTCTCCAACGCTCTGATCAACCTGACTATCACCACCTACATGATCCTCCAGGGCCTCGCGCCTGCATTCATGGGCACATTCGCCGACATCTGTGGCCGTCGCCCTGCCTACGTCCTTGCATTCGCCATCTACACTGCAGCAAACATTGGTCTTGCCCTGCAGAACAACTACCCGGCGCTCATGGTGCTGCGGTGCCTCCAGAGCGCGGGAAGTAGTGGCACGGTTTCTTTTGGATACGGGGTTATTGCGGATATAGTGACGCCGGCGGAACGCGGGACGTATGTTGGGCCTATGGCAGCGGGCGTTATGCTGGCGCCAGCGCTGGGCCCGGTTATCGGGGGGTTTTTGGCAAAGTTTTTGGGTTGCAGGAGTGTGTTTTGGTTTCTGGTCATTGTTGCCGGAGGATACTTGGTTTTATATGCCCTTTTTGTGCCGGAGACTGCGAGGAAGGTTGTTGGGGATGGGAGTTCGCTACCTAAGGAGAGGTGGAGGTGGACTGGTGCTCAGTGGTGGCAGAGGGGGAGGAAGCCTGCCTCTGCTGTCAACAACAGGGCTGAAGCTGGTATTGAGCCTGCAACCGTACAAGACGATCTAAATGGCGTTGGGAATGCAGTCGGGGCTTCGAGACTACGCTTTCCTAACCCCCTCAAGGCGTTTACTATCCTCCTCGAGCCAGATGCCCTCATCATAATCTCGGCCATTGGCCTCTTGATGCTCACCAATGTTGCCCTGCTCACCAGCACCCCAAGTCTCTTTTCTGAAATCTACGGCTTCAATGATCTTCAAATTGGCCTATGCTTCCTGTAAGACGCCTGCACTGTTGCGTCCCTATCTCACAACGTTAATCAATCTTAGCCCTCTAGGAATTGGCGCCGCTCTGGGTGCAATCCTCAACGGCGTCTTCTTGAACCACAGCTACCGGCATCACGCCGAATCCCTAAACCTCCCTTTGGACCCATTAATAGCTACCAATCTCCAGGGCTTCCCAATTGAACGAGCCCGCTTACGGCCTTTCTTCCCCCTCATAATTCTTACAATCCTAACGATAATCCCGTATGGTTTCGTCCTCGAGCGACGAACCAACCTCGCCGCGCCCCTAATCCTCCAATTCCTCAACGGCTTCGCCACAATAGCATGCACAAACTCCCTCAATACCCTCCTCGTCGACCTCTTTCCCGATCAGCCGGCCACTGCCGCAGCGGCATGCAATCTGATTCGATGCTGGCTGGGCGCTCTCGGGGCAGCTGTTGTGGAATTTATGCTTAGCGCAATGGGATGGGGATGGTGCTTTGCTTTTTTGGGACTTCTGATGTTGGTTTCTGTTGGTCTTGTAGGGGTAGAGTATGTTTATGGAGCAAGGTGGAGGGAGAGTAGGAGGGTTCCGCGCGAGATGGACTGTGAGGATGGAAGAAATGCGTTGCAGCTCATTGATGAGACGGAAGAGGAGGATGGAAAGGCTTCAGGAAAGGATGGAAAGGCTTCAGGAAAGGATGGAAAGGATACTGCTACTGATTTTGGCACGGGAATTTTGGAAAAGAATCCGCGTGGGCTCACCACAGTTTAGGCTGTCTTTGGGGTTGGATTCTTCAGTTGCTCGACCGCGACGTTTTACACTCACATGGTTTTGGGCTTCATAATCTAATGATCTGGTCTGAGCCTGTCTTGTTAAACATATCAAATATAGAATAGATATGGATAAGATGGATTGAATTCATTTCATTGCTACCGGATTCGATCGAAACTGTACATGGTCAAAACCCTAAGACAAAACAAACAACGCACGCGGACTGTAAGGGAAATAGGAAAAGGAAAGGAAAGATAAGATGGTGCCCCTCTTATGTAGTGAATAAATACCAGAAGGGACTCCAGGGGCCAGTACTCTATGGTCAACTCAAACTCTTTTGATAATTAAGAGAAAAAATAGTTTACATGCCAGGGGAGATCAGCTTGCCCTCAGCCCGGCTGTTGGGGTGCCAGCCACCAGCAAGGTACTGCTGACCGTTCAGGCCTTGTGAGTACTCCTTGATACGAGCTTCCAGTTCCGGACGGAAGTGGCGGATGAGACCCTGGATGGGCCAGGCGAAGGCCTCACCAAGGGCACAGATGGTGTGGCCCTCGACCTGCTTGGTGAGTTCCTGGAGCATGTCGATTTCGCGCTCACGGGCCTGGCCCTTCTCGAGGCGCTGCATCATCTGCATGGTCCACTTGGAACCCTCACGGCAAGGGGTGCACTGACCGCAGGACTCGTGCTTGTAGAAGGTGGAGAGGCGGGAGATGGCGCGGACGATGTCGGTGGACTTGTCCATGACGATGACGGCGGCGGTACCGAGACCGGTCTGGGAGTCCTTGAGGGCGTCGAAGTCCATGAGCTGGTCATCGCAGACGGACTTGGGGATAACGGGCGTTGAGGAACCACCGGGGATAACGGCGAGGAGGTTGTCCCAGCCGCCGCGGACACCGCCGCAGTGGCGGTCGATCAGTTCACGGAGGGAAATTGACATCTCTTCCTCGACAGTGCAAGGGTTGTTGACGTGACCGGAGATACAGAAGAGCTTAGTTCCGGCGTTACGCTCACGACCGAAACCGGCGAACCAGCTCCCTCCTCGGCGCATGATGGTCGGTGTGACGGCGACGGTCTCGACGTTGGTGACTGTGCTGGGACAGCCGAAAAGACCGACGGCGGCGGGGAATGGGGGCTTGAGACGGGGCTTGCCGGCCTTGCCCTCGATGGACTCGATGAGGGAAGTCTCCTCACCGCAGACATAGGCGCCCATTCCGCGGTGGATGAAGACGTCGAAGTCGTAGCCGGTTCCGCAAGCATTCTTACCGATCAGACCGGCCTGGTAGGCCTCGTTGATGGCGCGCTGGAGGACGGTGGCTTCCTGGTAGAATTCACCACGAATGTAAATGTAAGCGGCATTGGCGTTCATGGCACGGCCGACAACCAAGCAACCCTCGATCAGCTTTTGGGGGTCCTTGCGCATAATCTCGCGGTCCTTGCATGTTCCGGGTTCACCCTCATCGGCGTTGACAACTAGGTATCGGGGTCGGGGGTCCTTGTCCCAGTCTTTGAAGTTCATGAAAGACTAGTTAAGTTAGACGGGTCGGCGGGTTCGCGAAAGTCAAGGGGGCATACGTATTTCAACCCGGAAGGGAAACCAGCACCACCACGTCCACGCAGACCGGAGGCTTTGAGTTCTGAGATGAGCTAGAAATGAATCCAGTATTAGCCCACCACCCCTTCCAATTACTCCTCCGTTGCGGTTGGAGGGAACCGGTGAGATCCTACCCAGTCGTGACCCTTCAACACAATCTCCTTAGTCTTGTACCAGTCTCCATACTTCATAGCCGACTTCAAGTCCGCGCCATGATGGTTGTAAAGATTCGTGAAGATGCGGTCCTGGTCCTTCAGACCGCCGTGGTGGTGTACCGGGGGAGCATTGTCCTGGACGGTCGCGAACGAGCGGGCGGCCGGGGCCTGGATTCGGAGAGATCGGGAGGAAAGAGAGGCGAGAGGAGAAGACGAAGGAGCCGCCGCTCGAGATATCATGGTGACGATGGCCCAATGGCTGTCGGAGAGACGGTGAGGAGGGGAAGCACGACACGAGGGGGTCGGTGATGGCGTTCGAGCTTCAATTCTGCGGTTGCTGAATATCCGGCTTTGCCCGTTCGGTGATTGGACGGGGCTGGTCACGTGTGGCTTGGTCAGCAATTGCACGTGATTTTACATCATGACCGAAAAGGGAACATTTGCATAACTATACGCTTCACAAGAATAGGATATAGGACTGTCGTTAGTATGGTCACCGAAAATGAGTCCAGCGCGGCACCTTCTTGGTTGGTATCTCATCCTCGAGTTCGTATTCCAAGCTTGCTAACCTGAACAAGCCCCGCCGAGAATAATCTAGAGGTCTACACAAAGCTGCTAGAGTGGATGAAAATCCATGGCGGCAACCTCCATGAAAATGTCTACATCAGTCACGATGACAGCCGTGGAACCCATATCAGGGTGAAAAAGGGCGGGGTGTCCAGCAATACGCATATCATCAAGACACCCGTCGCAACCACCATATCTTATTTCAATGCAATAGATCATCATGCTGGAGACGTTCATTTCCGGGCTTACGACGTCAAGTTTCCTTCTGCATTCATGGATCCTGTAGGTCCTGAAGAAGTAGCAATCTTCTTTTTGGTTGGTCAGTATCTACGCGGGACAGGAAGCTTCTGGCATCCGTATATTCGGACACTTCCGCAGCCTGGTTCTTTGACCACCCTTCCATATTACGAAGAAGAGGACCTGGAGTGGCTAGAGGGGACGAGCTTGGTGCAGGCGCGGAAGCAAAAGATTGCTCTTCTGCGGGAGAAGTATGAGAGTTCGAGCAGTGAGCTTCGCAAGTCTGGATTCCAAGACGCGGATAAATATTCATGGTAAAACCGACTACTCCAAGATGTTCGACGAAGCAGCTGACGTTGTGCAAGGGACCTCTATCTTTGGGCATCTACAATCTTTGTCTCCCGTGCATTCTCAGCAAAGGTGCTATCCGGGGTCCTTCCTGAACTCGGTATGCCGGAGGAGAACATCTCAGTTCTACTTCCCTTCATCGACATCTTGAACCACCGACCACTAGCCAAAGTAGAATGGCGCGCCGGAAACGAGAATGTCGACTTTGTCGTTCTGGAAGATGTCAGTGCAGACGAAGAGATTGCGAACAACTACGGCCCTCGCAACAACGAGCAGCGTAAGCTTTACGCTAAAACCCTAACAAGCGCCTATCCAATGAACTGACAATCAACAGTAATGATGAACTATGGCTTTTGCCTCAGCAACAATCCATGCGACTACCGCACTGTCAGTCTTCGCGCGCCTCCAGGCAGCCCATTACATTTCGCCCGCGAGCAACAAAAGCAGCTCTTCCCTAACTCCAGCATCAATGACACCGAAGACCCCTTCTACGTCTTCAACATATTTTACCCCCTCCTAGCCCCAGAGATTCCGATGGAGCACTCGGTCTTCTCCCCAGCCCTCTTCAACGCCATCTCAGTCCTCGCAGCCAATCAGCGCGAGCTCGAAACACTCGAGATCTCCGAACACACCATCCAGATCGCAAACAGATACGGGAACTCCCGTGCTGCCCTCTCAGCACTCAGCCAGATCATCATTGAGCTGGTCTCACACATCGTACGCCTGAAGTCAACAGAACCTGACGAGTCACGCCAGCCTCAGAACCTCAAACAAACCCACGCCAAAATCTACCGAGAAAGTCAAATCACTCTCTCTGAATCAGCCCTGGTTATTGCCGCCTGGTCTCTGCAGCGTGCACGCACCCACGGCCTCCAAGGCGGGTGGGACGAAACAAAACGCCTCCTATCCCAGCACATGTCCCGCATCCCAGCTGGTAAATTCCTAGAACACACCCAATCGCGCATTCAAGTGCGCATCCTCGAACGCCCCTCCATCCTCCTACACAGCGGCGAGCTCTTCTCCTTCCCCGAAACCCTTTCCCTCCTGCAACCCTGCGAGGCAGACGTCCACTCAACAGCGCAAGAGTGCCTCACCACAATCCTGAAAACCGCCTCCCGCCGCATCCCCGCCCTCCGAGGCATCACCGCAAACGCATCCCCCTTCCGGTTCTCGCTCTTCGCGTGCTTCGTTGTCGCCGTCCATCTCACAAATAGACATAAGCATAGCGCGGCATCGTCTCACGAGCGTCAAAGTTTCCTTCCGCCAAGGCTGTCGCGCTGGGCTTCGTTCCTGCTCGACCATTATCTCCCGCCACCGGATGATGTTGCGTGGGCGCTGGAAGACGAAGATGATGAGGGGCTTGTGGGTGAATTCGATGAGGTCCTGTCGGAGTTGCGCGAAAGGAACAAAGAGCTGTTTGAGAAGCTAGAGCCGCTTACGGGTGGCTGGCATGGGGACGCGGATGCTTGGTGGTTGTCACCGAATTGGGTGCGGTGGGCGTGGATGATGACGGAGCAGGAGACCGTGCAGGTGCCGGAGGATTCGCTTGCGCTACTTGCTGGTGGTGACGGGGAGGGTGGGAATGTTATGCTTGAGACTGAGACGTACTTGTATATCCCGCAGGAATAGACTGGGGCCCGGCGTACAATTTACACAGGGTAGTCTGATAAGCAAGAACATTCATTCGTCTAATCAACTATCGTACAGACTGCAGGCAGAGGCCATCGTAGTCTCTAGCAGTGAAGGCTCCCATACGTTAGACAAATGCAAAATGCACGCAAGGACAACAACCAGAAAGCAAGGGGGAAAGCAAAAAGATAACCGAAGTATAACGCCGCTAGATCGTATAGTTTCCATCATTCAGCATCAGATCAATGTCGAAAGTGAGTAGTGCCGCTCGAGGCGCCGTTAACCGAACCTATCCAACAGGCGGTATTCGTATTCGCTGTGCTCCTTGTCGTCGCGTTGGGATATACAATGCCATGAAGTCAAATAGTGTACATCATCATAATCATCATCATGAGTTTTGGTTCGTAGGAAATGAGCTCAGTCAATATTCTAGAGGTGATTCTAGACCAGGCAGATCACTGAGGCTTCTTGCCTGGGACCAGAATCTCCACTAGTCCCTCATCCTCTCCTTCACTGCTATCATTCTGGTCATCACCAAACGGGGAGGGTCCCAGTCGAGAACTCCGAAAGCTCTTATACTGCCCGGGTCCGAGTTCTGGATATCCCAACGATTCGTTGAGGATGGCATCTTCCTCGTCGTCGGAGTCCAGCAAGTGAGACTCCATTGAAGGGCCTACCATTTCGCCCATATCGTCATCGTCATCGTCAACCTCAAGCGGCACTCGCTCCTTGCGCCGCCTCGACCCTCCGAAATCGTCTCCTTCATCAGAAGAGTCGGTGGAAAACGTTTCTTCAGGACTGAAACCAGACTCAGGGAACGTCGGTGACGACGCGTTACCAGGTGGAAATTCCGATGAATGATCGTTAGATCCTTGGCCGAAGTTGTCAGACGGCCACTGGAACTCGGTTGAGCCATGCTTCCCTTCTTCATTTTCACCCCCCTCGGCATTCTCGGCTGCCTGTTTGTGAGCCGCAAGTCGTGCAGCGAGTTGTCGTCGTGCCCGAGATGGACCAAGGCTGAGGGGAGCTGGGGGCGGAGCGAGAATCGGTATGGGCTGGCTCGATGCCTGTGTGATTATAGTTAGCGATGTCCGGACAATATTTCATCGTATGCTCGTTGTGAAATTGTTTGGAACACGGTTCTCGGGCCAGATTGATAACAAGAAACTCTGCAACCCACCCAAGTCCTGGAACAGACTGCGTACATGAGGCGGAGGTGTCGAGCACACAAACATCGGCAACCGAAAGGAGATTCAAACATCACGCATCTCAACATCAGCAGAGGGACCGTAACCTACATTCTCGGTGCCGCTTTCCGCGGCTGGTTCGGCTAAGTGCCGGTCGTCTAAATCGTCCAATTCTTCATCTTCATCATCGTCACTCGAACTTGCGAATCCACTGAGCAATGAGTTGCCACCAGAACCAAATGCTCCACCCGATACACTTCCTTGATTCACCATGTCAAACCCCTGGAAGTTCGAGTTGCCAGCCATGCCATTCAACCCAGCATCAGCCAGGGCTGAGGATTGACCAGTGCCCAGCATGCCCTGACGATGCCCGACGGAAATATCAGGTCGAACACCGCCAAGTATGGCATTGTCACGCTCTCTTGTCTCAGAGAGCGTCTGCTCAACATATTCTATCCACTCTGGGTTTAACACGTTGTCCATTACTGTTGTAGAGAGCAGCTCTGGGGGATGGCGCTCGCTGAATTTGACGACTTCCTCTGCGATGAGTGTCAGATGACCCATGTACCCGAGACGAATCCTCTTGGCCTTCTGCGTCTCGTCACTCCGCTTCTGGCCCTCGATAATCGTCTGTGTAATTTTACCGGTCTCAAAGACGTCGATAGCCAGAATACGGTTGTATCCACGGTCCATAGGTCCGTTGAACACTTGCTGAATGACATCATAAACAACATTATGGAGGAAGTTATTCCAGGGGAATCGGAAAAAGAAGTCCTGGACATCTCATTAGCATGTTTAGATGTAATGCAGTTTCACGACTCACCAGTATGGTTGGAACAACTTTGTTTTCTGCAAACATAATTTTAAGATAGTCGCCGACAACAGGTTGTCCATTCGTGTCTATTTGAACATCAGGATGCAGTGACTGGGAGGAATCGTCCTGGCTCTCTTGTGCAGGGAGCTGTTCAGCGCCATTGTCGGCCGCCTCTGGAAATTTAGCCTGTTCGGGAGCATCAGTTGTGACAGGAATATCTTCTTGGTTTTGGTCCTTGTCGGCAAACAGAGGGGCGGGTACAGCGTCGGGGTTTGAGGACATTGGTGCTGATGCGTGAACAGTAGACTCGGTAGGTTTTTGATTCTCATCATTGGCCGGTGTGTTTTCCAGAGACATTTTCCTGATTTGGGAAGTGATCTCATCTGTGGGCGATGCAGTTTCAGATGATGGCGCCTTGTTCTCATCAACGTCATACCCTTTCAATTCAGTCGAGGTCTGCTCATCAGCAGTGTTTGGAGTCTGTGCAGCAGACGATGTCTCTGGATCAGCCTTGTCCTCTTTGCTGTTTGGCCCCTTCTCCTTGTCGACAAGGACGGCGGATGAGCTAACGTCTTCGAAATTTTCGTCACCCCCATTAGATGTATCAAAGTCTCTGGAGTCCTCTGGGGACCCGTAGCCCGCGAGAGAACCGTTGACAAAATCTGCGGTCGAGTCATTAGCGCCGAATGTTGAAGCACCTTCATGATTCTGATCAAACGCGCCTTCCCGTAGGATCCTTTCGCGCTCTGCATCCCTTTGCTTGACGTACTCATCGCTACCAGGCTCATTTAAGAGACCCATATTGCTGCAATGGAGTAACTCCGCCATTAGCTCACACGTTTTGAACCTGTCAAAACCTAGGGGCTCGATTTTGGCGCCCCAAGCAGAACTCAGCTGGCCTCGTTCCACACTCTTCATCTTCCCTCCATCAGAGACTGTGTGTTTTGAGCTCCTAATCAACGCCACAAAGTCGGGGATATGTTTGGCGAAGACCCTGAGTAAAGTACCAAGGTAGATAGGATCGTACATTGAGGGCATTGAGTCGGGGCTATTCAAATGCTCTGGATCATAATCGGAGTTATTCTTCCGGATGACTTCAATCACGATTCCAACTCCAACTGTCAAAGCGTTACCCCCTTGCAACATCGCTTTTACGAGAGTTTCGACGCATGAAACGGATACCAGCTGACGAGTTAGGCTGTTAGGACCGATACAGGATTGGTCGTTCTGCGTTGCGTTCGCCGATATGGTTATGATGGCTTTCAGGAAATCCCCGGCAGAGGTCTGGACGGAAGTTGGCCACTCAGATGACAGAAAAGAGAGTAGTCTTGGTATCAGGTCCTGCGATTTGAGCCACTAGATGATTATTAGGATTTAAGAAAATATAATGGGGGCCACATGTGCTCACATCAACGATACCCTGACCACCCTCAGCTCTTTCCAAGCTGATCAACTTCAAAAGAAGGTCCATGACCATGGGGTTGTCAACATGCTGAAGGATTGCCGGTACAATATCGTTCATCGACTTCAGTAACTCTAGCATCTCCCCCGTCTTCTTGTCCAGAAGTGTCTCGTTCACCTTCGTGAAATAGCTCGCTTGGATAGAATCGAGAGGGGCTGGGCGCCGAATGAAAGCCCAGAAATTCCGCAAATGCTCAGGGTTGGCCATGGTAGAGTCCAGAATAGACCATACTTCAGATGAGAGAATCTCACACGCAACATAGGCCCGCTTGAGACGCTCCTTTTCCATCCGCTCAAAATCCTCAGAGCCCAAAGCCTCCTTGAAAAGATCGCTCTTCCTTCCCTTGGCCTCGAATTCATCCTCCTTCGTTTGAGCGCCCTCCTCCTTATTGGTCGTGTCTGCATCATCATCCTCGTCATCCTCGTTCACCAGACTAGGAGCGATCACATAGTCCATAAGCTTTTTGAGAACATCATCTTCCCGTAAATATTCTATGAGTTTCGTGTTTAGTTGTTTGAGTTCCTGAATCAGCTCGGACTCGTCTAGCAGGTCTTCGAGGCTGACATCGGGTTTGTCCAGAAGAGAGTCGATAGCGGAGACACTCGCATATCCCCCAAAGCGCCAGAACATGTTGAATTATATAACCGAAAGAAACGATTCATGGGAAGAAGAAAGGGGTATCACAAGCTTTTCAACCGTACTTCTTACCCAAGCTTTAATGACGATGAACGCTATGGGCAGATGGTGGAGAGGTGGGGAAGGGATGGAGGATCGATCTATGGGGCCCTCGTGTGATGCACAAGATACACGTGTAAAAGGCGTTCTCATATATCACGCTAGCGTTTGAGGCTGATTCCGTCACGGGAGGGACAGTCGGTCGGAAGTAAAAGGCGATAGTTAATGGCCGGTGAATTATGCCCTGTCGGAGCGACCAAGCGCTGCAATTGAAGAAGCCTGTCAGCAATGGTCTCTCGAGGTTCAGGGCGGCATATCACGAGGCTGTCGCGGCATTCTCCAGAACCAAGGATTTTAGGAGTCGAGTTCCGAGTGAGCGAAGGAGCAGGGGTAGGCGGCTGAGGAGGATAGATTTACGTGGGGGAGAAAACACACACACACAACAAGCGCGGAACGTACCGTCGACGACCCGGGGAAAGAAGGAAGTCGCTGTCACAGGAGATGCAAATTGCTCTGGTAGCTCTTGTGCGCTGCACGAGACCTCACCCTCACTTTAAGAAAGGGCGGTCATCCAACGGCACAGGACAGGAAGCAAGGCTGGCAGGCTGACGTGCGGCGGGCAATCGAGTCACGTCGCTAGTTGAGGTGTGCTGGAGGCAGAGCGTCTGGATCGGCCGGCAACTGTGATCCTGGACAGCGGGCGGAGATACCCAACAAGCCCAATCGCACGTAGCGGGGAGAGGTCTCGAATAAAACAGCGAGGGAAGGACAGGGGGATAGAGGAGAGGAGAGCTGTGAATAATCCGAGGGGGATGACCGCGACCGATCGTTTCAAGTGTGTCCGGAGAACAGTGGGAGGAGTGGGTAACTGGACGGCGCTGGGTATTAATAATTATAGACCGGTAGATAACAAAACTACACGCGATAGCGACTGCCTATGTTTATAGTAAAGAGTCAAGCAAAGCTTTTAGATACCTGAAGACTCGAATAATTCCGCAGACTCTGCAGTCAAGCGCGGCATGGGATTATTCATGCTCCCTTGATGATATCTGTCGGCGCCTGAAGGCGGAAAGTCTGGTTCTATTGGGCGGTACGGGCGGGCTAGCTGCCCACCTACTGGAATAGGTAAAGCCGAGCCCAGAGTCCCCAGGTACGTTCAAGTCACATCCAACATGCGCGTACTACTCCGTACGCTTTCTCCTCTCCACCAACGCCAACATCTCTGTCGCTAAAATGAATCGATTATTCGGTACGAAGAATGCAGCTCCGAAGCCGACGCTGGAGGGCGCTATCTCAAATGTACGTTAGCTCTCTGCCTTTGCCCAGAGTGCGCGCCGCCCCCGCATTTGCCTTCCACTGCCATTACCATTAACGCACTCGTTCCCCACTTTCTCATCTTGCCTAACGATGCTTTCCAGGTTGATAATCGGATCGCCAGTATAGATGTCAAACTCGCCGCTCTGAACTCTGAGCTCTCGTCGTACCAGTCCAAGCTCTCCAAGATGCGCGATGGTCCAGGCAAAAATGCGATCAAACAGAAGGCGCTGAAGGTCCTGCAACGCCGGAAACAGTACGAAGCGCAGCGTGAACAGCTCTCCCAGCAGTCCTGGAATATGGAACAAGCGGGAATGATGCAGGACAACCTGAAGAATGTTATGACGACGGTGGACGCGATGAAGACGACTACGAAGACCTTGAAGAAGCAGTATGGCAATATTGACATCGACAAGATCGAACGCATGCAAGACGAGATGGCAGACCTGATGGATATTGGAAACGAGATCAACGAAAGTATCTCTCGGGCGTATGACGTTCCTGAGGACGTGGACGAGGCGGAGCTTGACGCGGAGCTGGAGGCTCTGGGTGAGGATAGTCTGTTCGAGAGCTCCATGGGCGAAAGTGCTATCCCTAGCTTCATGCAGGATGAGGTGGCGCCACCTCAGTTCATTGACGAACCTCCAGAGCAGACCAAGGTCAAGGAACCTGCTACCGGCTTGGGATAATGCAGGCTGATTTTCTTTTCTATATCACGGAAGCATCGGAGTTTGGGTTGCTATCAGTTTAAATCTCGGCGGGCTCATAAACTTTCCATCATCATTTATATTGTAAATTCTTTGTCCGGCGCACGACCCAGTAATGTTCCTCTTTCAGCGTTGGTGTATCATGCATGTCACGTCAACAGTACCCATTCCAGATGCTTCTCTTTGCCCCGGATGGATGGGCGTCGGGACCCCACACAGCCCCTCAACCGTCATACAACCGCTCCTCCAAGCTTACCCTACAAGCAACACACATTTCCATCCATCTAGACAACATGCCGTCCCAGGCAGACTTTGAGAAGGTACATAATACTCTGGACCGGCATATTGAAGCCGGAAACCCTCACACAGGCTGGGAAGAGCTGTGGGCCGAAGGCGATAACATCGTCCTGCCCTGGGACAAGCGAACCCCCAACCCCTCACTCGAAGAAGTCCTAACTGCCAAGCGGGATGTCATTGGCGGTCCTCTGCATACAAGTATCATCGACGGCAACCCTAAGCGAAAGAAAGCCTTAGTTCCCGGGTGTGGAAGAGGTGTTGACGTCCTCCTCCTCGCGAGCTTCGGGTATGATGCTTACGGATTGGAGTACAGCAAGAGTGCGATTGAGGAGTGTAAGAGGGAAGAAAAGGGCGCCGAGGAAAAGTATCCCGTCAGAGACGCGAGTGTTGGTAGAGGCAAAGTGACCTGGATTCAAGGAGACTTCTTCGCGAGTGACTGGGTGGAGGGACTGGGAGGGAATCAGTTCGACCTTATTTACGACTACACTGTGAGTACTAGCATTGTACTAAGCCGATGACCTTGAAGCTCTCTCGGCGTGAGACTAACTGCTATCTAGTTCTTCTGTGCATTGCCGCGCTCGCTGCGTCCGTCTTGGGCTCTACGATATACGCAGCTGCTGGCGCCTTCGCCGCAGGGGAATCTCGTCTGTCTTGAGTTCCCCCGGCACAAGGATCCCTCGCTTCCCGGTCCGCCTCATGCCTCGCCGTCAGCGGCGTACATGGAGCATCTCAGTCATCCTGGGGAAGAGATCAAATATGACCCTAAGGGAAACTGTAAAAGTGATCCGCTCCGCGAAACGAGTGAAAACGGTCTGGAACGTGTGGCGTACTGGAAGCCAGCGAAAACGCATGATTTCGGGACTAGCAAAGAGGGCGAGGTGTTGGATATGGTTTCTATCTGGAGGCGTCGATAGGTTTGAATGACGCATCAAAACCTCGTCCACCATATTTGCCATAGTATACAGAGGATACGGAGCCACCACTGCGTGTTCTGTATAGAGAGAAAGATAAGCTTCTGAGAGGTATCGTGGATTGTCAAATCAAGTATGCGAAGGAAGATTGTGCAACTCTTGTGGTTATACACACGGCCAACGGGTCTGGATATGTATCATCCAGTGTAGCGCATTGTCTTGCATACAAGGGCGAGTTATCCAGGCCAGGAAGCATAGCTTATACCTCATTGACCGTTCTATAGCAATAGTGCATGGCCACAGAAAGATTAAAGGCCACAATGCCGTTGTCTATGATACTTGCAGTTGCTTTGTGGTCAGGGCCGATCCGAAACCAGTCGTCAACGCCGTGCCAAGGAGACTATTTGTAGCTTAATCCGGTGCGCCTCTTGGCGTTGCTTGACATATCTCTAGCAGTCTAGCTACTCCGTAGATAATCCTCTATCGCTGAGGAGCCGGGCATTTTCTAATTTCCCCTCATGGCCGCCACTAGATTAGTCCCCGCGTAACGATTGCTGCCTGCGATTCGGGCAATGCCGGGGCTTTGAAGCAACACACATCGCCCACAAAATCAACCTCGGACGGGAAGTCCGCCCCGGTTTATTATTGACGGAAGCTTGACATAACAATCTATCTTCTCAGCGTTTCCTTAGGATCCGACCGAGTTCTTCTTTCCCTCCACCGTACCGAGACCGTTGTGACACCCACCATGAACTGCCCCTCACGAACCGACGATACTCTCGAACACCCGGGCTGGAACCAGAACCCGCCGCCTCTGAATGCCGACGCAACAACCCGGGAGGACTTCAACGGCATGGCCAATTCCAAGGTCCACAGAGGGCATACAACCGGGGTGGGCGAAGGGGGCGGCATATCGGTGACCGAAAGCCCATCCCCAGCCCCCGACAGTAGGGACGAGCCACCCCTCAAGGCGGGCACAGCCGGCGGGGCGATCTCTGCATACTCCGGGCATCAGCCCGAGAGAAACAGTGATTCGCTTCGCCGTGTCTTTTCATCATTCCCACACATCTCTACAATCCCCTCTCGTGTCATTCAGAGTCTCGTGAAGTTCGCCCGTTTCGTTGGACCGGGATTCCTCGTCGCCGTCGCCTATATCGATCCTGGAAACTATGCTACCGATGTCGCAGCCGGTGCGGACTTCCGATACGCCCTCCTCTTTATCGTCCTTCTGTCGAACCTTTTTGCGATCTTCCTGCAGTCGTTATGCATAAAGCTTGGGACGGTGACGGGGTTGAACCTGGCGGAAAATTGCAGGGAACATCTCCCCAAATGGTTGACGATCGTCCTGTATATCTTCGCGGAGGCAGCTATTGTTGCGACGGATATAGCAGAGGTACGAACACTTCACGTCGATGTCATTGAAGGCCACTAAACAGTACTTCAGGTTGTTGGCTCCGCAATTTCCCTAAATCTCCTTCTTAATATACCCCTTGTTGCCGGCTGCGCCATTAGCATTGTGGATGTCCTGTTCATCCTCATCTTCTACAGACCAAATGGCTCCATGTGGGGTCTACGGCTGTTCGAGTTCTTCGTCATGGCCCTTGTACTAGGAGTCGTCATTTGCTTCTGCATCCAGCTCTCTCTCATCAAAGAGCAGTCAATTGGAGACGTCTTCCGTGGCTATCTCCCATCATCAGCCATAGTTCAGTCCAATGGGTAAAGCACACCACCAACTTCTATACCTATATACCCTTACTGACCTTATAGACTATACCAAAGCTGCGGCATCCTCGGCGCAACCGTCATGCCGCACTCCATGTTCCTCGGCAGCGGCATCGTGCAGGCGCGCCTCAAAGAGTTCGACGTTATCTCCGGCTACGCAGACCCCACCGCATGCATTGGCAGCACAAACGGCGAAGTCGAGTACCGTCCGTCCCTACACGCCATCCGCGGCTGTATGAAATACTCCATCATCGAACTCGCCTTGTCCCTCTTCACCTTCGCCCTCTTCGTCAACAGCTCCATCCTCATCGTCGCCGGTGCCTCCCTTTACAACTCCCCTGCCGCAACCGACGACGCAGACCTCTTCGGCATCTACGATCTTTTGTCAAGTTCCATCTCCAAAGCCGCGGGGACGGTCTTCGCCCTCGCCTTGCTCCTTTCTGGCCTCTCCGCTGGCATCGTCTGTACTATGGCCGGCCAGATGGTGTCCGAGGGCATGCTCAACTGGAGTATCCGCCCCTGGCTCCGCAGGCTCATTACCCGCTCCATCAGCATCATCCCCAGTATCATCATTGCTGGAGCCGTAGGCAAAGAAGGGCTCAACCAAACGCTTACGGCTAGCCAGGTCGTGCTTAGCGTTATCCTGCCGTTCGTCAGCGCGCCGCTTGTTTACTTCACCTGTCGAAATCGCTACATGACTGTCCCTGTGGAGCGGGTGCATGCTACGGATGCAGATATAGATGAGCAGAACCAACCTCGGGCCCCCGCAGAGGGGGATGACGGCGGTGTAGTCATTGCAACTGAAGGCGTCAAGATGGGCAACGGCTTCATTACCTCGGCCATTGCCGTCGTTGTCTGGTTGGTTATCGCGGTTATGAATGTAGCTCTGCTTGTGCTTGTAGGGATGGGGAAGGCTTAAGCTACCAGCCATCTAACTATCCTCTCATCCCCTCTCACGAATATTTCTTGAGAAAATAGGTAGGTAGGTAGGTGGAGAGATCAACCTAGCCGTTTTGCTAAACCCGGAGAGCACTTGCCCACCAATCTACTCTTATGACCTTGTTAACGATCAACCAAGAGAACCTGTCATGTTAATTATTCAATGAAGTGTCAAGTCAGATGTTGTGCCTCTCTCTAGCTTGTCATCGGCCTAAAATTGGCATGGAGTAGAATCGTAGGCATCCAAAGCAAAAGCACTCAAGGTACACGTGTCAGATCGAGAAATGTGCCCGTCGTTAGAAATATGAGGAAGAAGGCAGAGTCACTCTGGGCTGGACGATCAAGCAAGACCGAGTCGACCGACAATATGACCGAAACTACTTGTAGAGTAACAGCATATAGTAAGATATATATATATTCATTTCCATAGAAACAAGATACAAGAAGAGAAAACTAGCCAGAAGCAAACCCCTTACCCAAAATCATGCAAACAAGTTCGAAAAATATTCATGACTTGAACTGGTCTTCCGTTACACCCTTGCCCATCGCCGCCGTACTGCTCACACCACCAGTAACCATCTTGAGCATGTTATCAACATAGTTAGCACCAGACCACTTCTGATGCGTGACGACATCAACCTTGTTCTCCATCTCAGGCTCCTGCACAAGTTCGCCGTACGCACGCATACCCTGCTGGCTGTACGCCTTGGCGAAGGTATCTGAGATGAGTGCAGTGGTATGCAGACCGGCAAGGGTGATGAACTGCCAGGAGTAGCCGAGGGCGCCGAGGCGCTTGATGTAGGTCTCCTGCTCGTCGCGGGGCATGGCCTTCTTCCAGTTGAAGGATGGGGATAGGTTGTAGGCGAGCTTCTGCTCGGGCCAGACGGCGTGGACGCCATCGGCGAACTCCTTGGCCTGGTTGTAGTCGGGCAGCTTGCTCTCCATCCAGATGAGGTCGGCGAAGGGAGCGTATGCGACGGCGCGGTTGACGGCGCACTGCGTGCCGCCCTGGTAGCGGTAGAAGCCCTCGCGGGTGCGGGGGGCTTCCCAGTCGAAGTAGATATCTGTACCGGCGATTTCCTTGGCAATAGCGCGGGCTTCAGGGTTGGATTTGCCCTTTGATTGGGAGAGGTATTTTTCGATGGCGGATTTCTTGTTTGGGAGGGGGCTCTTGTTAATGACGTCGACGACGGCCTCGTCGAAGAGCTTCAGGCCGGCCTTGGTGAGCCATTCGTCTTCAATGGCTTGGAGCTCTGCGCCATTCTTGCCGGCATGTTCAGCGATGACCATGAGCTCGTTGAGGGGTTGGATGTCGGGGTTGGTGGAGCCGATGATGAAGGCGTGGTCGCGGTGGTCGATGGTGGAGGTGATGAGGGTGGCGGCCTCGGAGTCGGTACGGGCAATGGCGAGCAGGTCAGTGCCCATGATGTCGGCCTGGGCACGGATGGCCACAAGGCGGTTGATGTGTTCGCTGATGGGCACAAGCACCTTTCCAGCCATGTGGCCGCACTTCTTGGTACCAGGAGCCTGGTCCTCAATGTGAATACCAGCGGCACCGCGCTCCACGAACAGCTTGGTCAACTTCATCACAGCGGTAAGACCACCGTGACCGGTGTCAGCATCGGCAATGATGGGGCGCAAGTAGTCAACGTTGGCGACCTTGTCACGCTGGTTCTTGGGGGTAGTCATGCGCTCTTCGCGCTGTTTCCGGTCGTGGAAGAGCTGGGCCATCCAGAGATGGTTGACCTTGTTGGGGACGGTGTTCTACTGCCGTTAGCAAAGCCCTAAGCATTGTAGAATGGAGATGAGCGTACCATAGGGTAGTCTGCAAGATCGGGGGAGGGTTCGTCGGTTGAGGAGGCAGTGGAGGAACTTTGCCAGCCGGATACATAGACGGTGTCGAGGTACTTGGCCATTTGAGTGACCATTGTGGGATCGAGACAGCCATAGGTGAAACTAGCTTCTTTGTTCTGGGAGGTGTCAGCGCTATACATGCATAGAACAAAAGACAAGGACCAACCTTGAAATTGCGCTCCACAATCCCCCACAGTTTCTTCGCCTGGACATTTGAAGGGTAGTCGATCTTCAGATTTCCACGCTTGGCCACAATCTGCTCAGCAGTAAAGGGGCGCTTGGTGTACCTCCATCGGGAGTCTTTCCACCAGTTCTTGACAGCGGCGACCTCATCCCAGTACTTCTTATCTTCGTCTTCAAGGTAACCCATGATGGCGGTATTCAACGGTAGAACTTTCGAGAGAATATAGTACAACGTAGTGCTGTCAATGCAGTAAAGAGAAGAGCACGCGACAGTGGACAGGGGTCAGGTCAGACCGTCAGACGAGAAGCAAAGAGAGGAGAGGGATTATAGCTTCAACAAAGCCAAAGTTTAAGAATCACAAGCCAAAAACCGGGGGAAGAGCACGCAGTTATATGCAATGACGACTCCAGTATGTATGACTCTTGGTCGGTAAACGCTCGGCTCAGCGGGACAGACAGGAAGGCCTGGAAGGCCATCAGGCAGGCCGGCAGCCCTGCTACCGGCGAAAAGTCGCAGAGCATCCCCAGGTTCACAAGCCAGCTCCGGGTATGTGAGTGGCCATTGTAGCTTCGGTAGAGAGGATCCAGAGCTGCTTGTTCCTCGGTCTAAAGGACTTCTGCCTCAGGCTCTCGCCACGACTGCCACCCCCGAGCCATGCCCGAGCCCAGAATTTCGGTCTTTGCCCCAGCCCCCAGAACCCCGGATTGACAACGATACTGGGGCGAGCGGCGAGGTTGCGGTCCGCATCTTCCGTGGTTGTGAGAGAGCGCTTCGCCGTCTCGAGGATGCCCTGGTAAGTGATGAAGACTGAAGAACTGAGGACTGAGGAAGAGTTCCAGATGACGTCAAAACATGTGCCATTAGCATGTGTGACAATACATACATTACGGCTGCCAAGTGACCACCAAATCTTGTGGTAATCTGTGTAATCCAGATACGTCTTATCTCCGTACAACCATGTGCAATCTGCAATCCATCTCTAAATCAACGTCAAGAACACCCAAGCATATCTCAGCGCACTACTATCCCATGAAAACCCTCATGTTTTACGAGCTATATCTAGACTAAATGCATACAAACCAAGCACATGCTGCAGATTCCTAACCAACCCTCCGGGCCCAAGCCCAATCTCAACCTCGGCACAACTTGGGTACTGACACAAGGCTCCGACGCCTATCAAGACTAGTGTACTAGCTATCAGCTGAACTGCCGTTCGTCATTAGGCCCCTGCAGAATATAATAGCGCCGCAAGCATGATAGGCCAAGCCATGAGGTATATTTCTGACCCCAGATGTTCGCCGTCGAATCATCAGCTGCAGTGCATCGCTGGCGTGGCTCCACGAGAACAGCCTCGGGAGATTAAGGAGCTTCCGGCCCGTGTTATTTCGATAACTACTCTGACTCATGAGTATGCTATTATGGCAATTTGGACCTAATGCTAGCAGTTTCTCATAAGTGGGCTTAGTCTTATACTAGGGCCTGCTGTATTTGTTGCCTTTTCCATCTCTGTACCATAAGTTTGTCAGCAGCTTCTGGCTCAAGTTTAGACCCTTCCACCGATTTCTAACCAAAGCACACCAACGCTTCAAAGCCTCTATTTCTGGGTCCTCGGGCTCAGTACCTAAGGTACCTCCTAAGTATGCACCTTCGCCTTCCATAATGCGGTGTGCACGAGGGCAATTGTGCGGACCAGCCGATCCAGTTGTTGTACAGTGGATGGGCATGTTGCTACCAGGTATTCGACAATGAGCAGGCTGTGTTTGAAACAAGGCATTAAACATATGGCGAGACCTGGAGGAGGTTGTCAGCCCCAAGGAGGTCTGCAGTGTGATGGAGGATGGATAATATGAGCTCTGGCGGTAGTTTTTGTTTCTGAAAGATATCCATCTGGACCCGGATGTGACACCTGAGGTTAGTTTATACAGAAGGTAAGGCTTACTGAGGCGCCTGCCTCGCTGACCCGCAGCAATATCTAAGTCTAGGTATGTTCTGGGGATTCATGTCAACAGTGATAAAAAATAGATATTCAAATCTACTTTAAATTTGTATCCCAACCAGCATATTCTCAAGCTCGAAGCAAATAGCTACATCTAAGGTATTTTGTTAACAAAAAATTCCTGACAATGTTCAAAAGCCCCATACTTCATCAAGGAAGCCTTTTGAAACAGCATCAGGCGGGGCATAACGTCATCAGACATTAAGGAACGCAGTCATCTACTCAGGTCTGTTTTGAAACACGTGGTCACCACCCTGCGCGGAGACAGCCTTGCTGTACGTATCCCACGGGGTGACCGCACCAAGGGCACGTCGTTGATGGGCGTTGAGCATATCCAGGCCGTAAACGTAGCTTGCGTTGACCCAGCCGAATCTGAATGATTATAGTTAGCATATTGAGACCAGAATACAGTTAAAGGGTGAGGGCATACCCTTCTCGAGGAGCGCCCTTGAAGTCGACGCCCTGGTTGCCGTACTCGGCATCAACCCGGTGAGGATCAATAGGTCGGGTAACGTCATATTTCTCGACAACGACACCGTTGAAATCAACAAACGCTTTGGTAATCATGTAGAGCCACTTGTATGCAAGTCGCTCGGCCTCTTCCTGGTATCCGTATCGGGCAAAGCCGGTCCACGCCAGCATCTGCTGCGGTGCCCATCCGTATGGGTAGTCCCACTGCCGAGTTGGTCGATCTAACCCAACAGCACCACGAGACTTTTCAGTACCTGAGACGATTCCACCAAACTCCTCGAAGAGAGGAAGGGCCTTGCTGATCATTGCGGAAGCCTGGCGCGGCGTAACCAGTCCGGCCCACATAGCCCAGAGAGTTGTGGCACTCTCGTAGTTGGTTCGTTCCTGCTTGGCTGTGTCGTAGTCAAAGTACATTCCCTTTTCTTCGTCCCAGAGATAGGTGTCCATTCTCATCTTTCTCCTGCGTGCGCGGCGGTCCCACACAGACGATGACTCGCTCTGGATATCCTTGGTAGCTGGTGTCCGGAACTCGACGGGGATCTCGAGCTTGTCTTTGAAGTAGACCCGTATTACCCGAGCGATGTCGACCTCGTACTTGTACAAGAGAGAGTTCAGATCAACAGTAGCGAGGTTGCCGCAGACCCTCTCCAGACGGTAACTGGTATCGTGCCCGGACTCTCTGACTGCTCTGTCGTGCATGAAGTACTCATCCAATTCGGGCTCCTTCACCTTGCCAGTATTATAGGCTCGAACAAACTCCTTAAATTCCATGCCATGCTTCTCGGCGTATGGGGTAAGAAGATGAAGGAAATGTGAAGCTTCCGTCTCGGGAGGTACACCAATACCTGGCGAACGGTATCGTGACAGACCAGACACGGGGTCCAGACGTGGCTCAGCCATCCAAACGCTGTAGTACTCCTTGATGGCGGCTAGGATGGCCTGGCGAAGGAAGTCCAGGGCGCCTGGCTCATTCTGAATGCGGTCGTACACACGCAAAGCCATATCCGTCAAGAATGGCGGCTGGGAGCGCGACAGGTAGTATGTACGGTTGGCGTTGAGGATTTTCGCATAATGCTTAATGCAGAAGCAGAAGTTGACCACCATGGCTTTCGCAAGATCAACCCTGTTGCTGGCCAAAAGCCCGAGTGACTCCATGTAACTATCCCAGCCGTAAAGCTCGTTGAATCGTCCTCCTGGGACCACGAAAGGAACACCGGAAAAGTCGACTTTCCCAGTCTTTTCATCCTTCGTCTCCTCCATGGCCAGAGCGAGAAGTCCCGGCTTATCATTCAAGTCTCTCACATACTCTGGTGTGATCTCTGCAGCCAGCTCTTGTACATCGAGGCGTAGTTCAGGTCTCTCTTCAGCAATCCTCCTGTAGTACTCCAACTGTTCGGGAGCTCCAGGCGGAACGTAAATGCGTGGCCGAGGATCATCGGTCCAATCCTTGGGATCCCGCCCAGCCACCTCGATATTACGTCCATCAATTCTTCTAGTAAGAGAGTTCCAGAATGAGTTCTTAATGAGTCGCGAAAGTCGAGAGACAGGATTCTCAGACAGACGCTCCTCATCAAGAACGATCTGTTTACGGCCGTAGTCTTTGGCAATCGTTAGCTCTTGAAGAAGATTTGACAGCATGTATGTGCCTCGCACGTCAAATCTGTTGTAACCATGGGATGCAGCCGTTCCTACGGAGAAAACCTGGACAAATGTCAGTGCCGCTCATTTGCAGCATCAAAAGAGTTTTACGCACCTTAGGGCCAGCATCCTCAATGGTGATTTGCATGTTCCTGTCAGAGTCTTCGCTTTCCAGCAAGCGGTCAAGGGTTGCGTCAACATCGATAAGGAATTTCCGAGGGTTGCCAGATGTTGGGTCTGTCAATAAACAATTAATATATAGTTCCCTAGGCTTCACCGCTGAAGTACGCACCCATGCTGCCACGTCTCGTATTACGGTCACCAATCATCTCATGGAGGTCTTGATGGTTGAACGATTTTAAGCTCTATCGAACAGCCACCAGTCAGCAATGCCCTTGCCATTGCATTCGCAGATCGTAAGAGCACATACAGAAGAGAACGCCCGGCGGCGGTTCTTTATCCGATCAATCGATTCAGCGTTTCCATAGTAGAGATCTGGGTGCTGAAAAGGATCACCACCTGAGCTGGACCGTCGGTGCTGGGCGCCACCGTTGATGCCGTTCGATGGCGGATTCGAATGAAGTACCGAGTCGTCCATTGTACTTGTTCTTGCTCGTTATCGCGTGATTGAATCGAGGAGGGAGAAAAGGTATGTCGATAAACAAATGCTTAGCGAAAGCTCTGGGGTGAGCTGTAGTACCGTGCCCCGCGTAGTCGGTGAGATAAGGTATCGGCGGTCAAGATCACGGCTGATATGGTGCGATATGTCAAGGTGTAAGAAAACCTTGGCGGTAGAAAACGGTTAGTTGTTAAAAGCCAGTAAAGACAGGTAGTGTGCAATGTTGTATGAAGAAGATTGGGTATAGGAAATTGTGAAACGAGGGTATGAAGTAGTTGCTCCCAGGCCTTAGCACCAGGCCTTATGACGGCATGGGCCCGCCATGGATGACATAACCTACCTAATCTCTCCACTGCTGCTGCTATATGCGGTAACTGAAGCCGCTCGAGTGGCCAACTTCTCTGGTTGTGACAGAAATTTCGAGGGTGGCCGTAAAGGCCGTGTTTATATCTAACAGTTCTTTCAATCCCCGTACCCGCAGCGACAAAGGGGGAGCTGGAGGCTGGGCTGGGCTTACAGTTGAGCCACGTGATGGTCTTCCGCGGACTAAACGAGTCCGACCAGCACTCGATATGATGCATCCACCCCACCTGTCTGATCTTCCTTCATTTCTTCCATCATAATCTCAATCTTTCTACGCTAGCGCCCTGCAACTGTCAGAATTGACAGCTCAAAGTCTGCTCTATCACGAAACTGTCCAGGATTTATTGAAATCTAAGCTTAACTTCGGTAGTCTATCCCACGCCTGTCAACCAAGCCACTTCACCGGTTCACCGATCGCAAGACCAGCAAGAAGCTCCTACGGAGTTATAGGCGTCATCGGGTGTGGTACCGCCGAACCTTCAAGTTCAACGGGCGGTACTCCGACCACAAGCTCTTCGATCTATGAAAGGTTACACGATCATCCTCTATCAGGCGGTCGCTTGGTAGGAGGACTGCACGGTCCAGCTGACTCGGCAGTCCTCGATGGCGTCCTCGGATCATCAACGCACAGACCACGAGTTTGCTGAAGATCGAGAACTGGGCACTGAAGGATGTAGAAGCGCCAGGGTATCCTAAGCTAAGCCCGACATTGCCGCTGCGCGTGTCAGATTCTTATCCTGTATGGCGAATAGGAAAAACTCACTATGCAGAAACGGCTTCGAAGAAGATTGCAAAGACGGAGAACCCCTGCTATTGTTAGCGAATCAACAGCTTTGGTGTACAGCAGAAAGTCAAAACGTACTGGCTCAGCAGGGTTCATGATCCTCTTCGATTCTGCAACGCAGATGCAGAATATACCTAAGAAAATGTACCACAGGTCGAAGCTAAGCTGGTTTCGCATATGGGTCAAAATGTACCCTTTCCTGTTCTCGTCTGTCTCCGGCTCTGAAGAGTAGATACCGAGCGCTTTTTCCTCGTATATGTTTGAAGCTCGGACGGTGATTGCGATGGGAAAGACCGCAATATACATCATGACGAGCAAACTAAACTGCACCGCCGGGTTCACGTCTGCTAGGTTGAACGAGGCAGTGCCAGTATGCCGAGCCGATGCTGCCTGGAAGATTGCTGCCATAACTCGTGGTCCAACAGGAACATGGTTTACGGCGGGATTGTCGAGATCCAGGAGTAGAATCAGAAGAGTATCGACGAAATTCAAGACAAAGATGATTCCAGCCAAGGCCCAGGTTGGCCGGCTGCGGAAAAGCAGCACATAGCACCGACGTGGATAGCTCAGGAGGAAGTTGAGCGGTTCGTTCATTGACGAGTCTTTTGGGACAAGTTTGAACATGATCCAGATCACCAGTCGCAAAAAGCATGGATAGAGAGTGTTCCCAGCATACGCAAGGAAACTCATGACGAACATTGGGAATGTTGCATCTTGGAAAGTTACCATTGAGTCCGGCGTCAAGGTCAACCCTAGGTTATTCGCCATCGTCTGTGCCGAGTAAAAGGCCCTGTACCAGTCAACATCGAACGGGCAACGACTCTTCGACTGTAACGACCGATACGTACCACCAGACCTTGTTGAGGGCGCAATCATCAAGGTAATCTTGATATTTGGCTTTCGCATGCTGAATCCAAGCTGCTAGGCACATACTACCCAATAAGTTGAGACCCACGTAGTATGCTGCTCGATTTTAGCATTGCTCTTCTGGGCTCGCCGCGCTCATCGTGATGCCCATACCTATGACAATCTTCAACAACAGGCGAAGACTGCGATACTCAATACCACCAAGACGTTCCCGATCCTCCGTCGTCAGGTTCAAGAACTGCGAGTTCCTCCCTAACGTAGCCTGTGAGGAAAGTCCCGGGAGGTTTGCATCCCTGGACAGTGAAACAGCAGGCCGAATCCGTGAATCATAAGGTCTACTGGGGGCCCGAACAGACGTTAGGGTACCAGTCCGATTCAGAGATACGTTGCTCAGTTGTCGACGGCTTCCCTCGTCAATCGTATCATTGGCCGCATCGTCGTCTGTGTCTGATGGTTCAGTAAGGCATCTCAATGCACATGAAAGTCTTTAGAAGGGACAACGAACCATCTCTGCTAGGGGCTTGATCAACCTCAATGATAGGACAACCTCTATCACGTTCCCAAGGTGGAGGGATGTACAAGGCCTTGGATGCGTCGCCGAAGGTAACTGTAGGTTTCCTGCTTAGTTCCAGACTTCCTTTTTCTGGAGCTTCGGTCTCGAAGCCTGTTTCGAGTATCTTTTCTGGAGCTTTATTCTCTCCCGGAGACTCGTTGTCGGCAGACCCTTGTCCATTGGCGATTACACCATACTGTGCCTCTTGATCAGACTGTTTGCCCTTCCCCTTGCGTGCTTGCGAACGTGGACGGAGAACATAAGGCGCTATTGCAGGGGACAAAAACGTCAGCATTGATGTCAAGAGCAACACTTGAAAGGCATATAAAGGAATACCTATTTCTTTCAGCCGCTTCTCAAACCAATATAGCCGTACAACAACGACGAGGATATTGATGAAGCCCAAGTTTGACACAATGGGTACGAAGTATAGAAAAAGCTGCTGGTAGGTTTTGAGGTCCTTCAGATCAACACTGGATCATTCAATCAGCTGTCCCTTCCCCATCTGCATATTCCAGTCACAAACGACACGGTTGACGTACGGGTTCATCCCAGACTCCGTCGATGAACTGACACCGAAGAAGTACGAGTCGATGCCGCTCACATTGCCGTAAGGTAAGAACACTGCGAGCCCTAGGAGACCGAGGAATATGATGTACACGTCTGCGCTTATCAGTAACACGCCCGTAGCGATAGCAAGCAAGAACAAGAGCTCACAGTGCAGGAGGATAAAATTCAATGGGATTTTCCGCATATTTTCTCAGCTCAGCTCAATGGCAGCGTTGGCCCGGTAGAGTACCCCTGGTCCTATTCCGGAACCGAGCAAGCTCTGGTGAGCTATGGTGAGATACCAGCGAAAACAAGCAGAGCTGCAGAACGACCCTACCAAAGGGAAATGCCCTTTATATCCCATAGTGGCTTAGCAAACGCCACACCGTCAAGAGCTATCGGCTCTCTTTGTCGAGCTTACTCTTTGGCCGATGTCAACCGTGAATCGACTTGACAGAGAAGCCGGGTACACTAGAGCTGGTTCCAGTGTGAGGCATTTACCAAACCCAATACTAACCACCGCCACTCTCCACCCCACGGATCCGTCGCATGCTGTTCATTTTACTTTAGACTACGACTTTATCACGAGCGGGAATATTGTAGGCCAATTGCTTGGGTCCGTTGGCGTTAGATTTTGCGATAAACGGTGGTACAGCGTGCTCAGCCTCCACAGCTGACGGGCTCGGCGATTATTACCGCTGGATCGGTAGTGGACTGTCGGACTTGTTATTGTCCTTGGACTTGAAGCGCGGAGATTCGTATACTTGTCAGCTGCTCTCTGTTGGTCTGTGCGATCGGATAGGATGCTGGGTGGTCATCTATGGTCCGGAGTACTAAGGGTACTAAGGATTACTTTGCAGTGTGCGGTTCCGGCGTCATGACGTATGGGCAGGTTCAAGACTATAGTGCATTATTTAAAGGGGCATTTTTTTGAGAAGGTATAAGGAAATGCAGTCTGGTAGATTCTTTGGAATCATGCGCTTGAGCATCGATTAGCCGATAGTCAGGGAATATCCCATCACTCTGCACACTGCCCAGCAAGTCTAATCGTTTCTATACTAGCACTCGAAACAAGATATATACTTTACAGCTTGGCAGCCACAACACTTCCCCCATCCACCGTGATAGTCGACCCATTGATGTACGCTCCAGCCCGACTACTCAAAAACAGACAAGCACCCGCGACATCCTCCGGCGTTCCAATACGTCCTAGCGGAATGCCAGCCTCGATCTCGTTCTGGAAGCTCTTCAATGTCGCTGCCATCATCTTACTCTGGAATGGGCCGCAGGCGAGAGTATTCGATCTAGAAGCGGTCAGTATCAGCATCATTATCACCTCAAGAGCGGCGAGCAACCCGGTAGCGGGTTCATCCACATACGTGATATTCCTCTTCCCCAAATGATTCGCAAGCACCCGGCTCATATGATGCAAGCCCGCCTTGCTAGCGCTGTACGCGAAAGTCTCCAACGCAGGAACTCGCAACCCATCAACACTTCCAATATTGATGATTCGAGCAGGGTCATTGGGCGCCGCGGCCTTCTCTAGCAGAGGCGTAACGAGCTTCGTAAGGTCAAATACACGGTGGAGGTTTAACGTGAGGACCCTCGTCCACGCCGCAGACGGGTACTCGTCATATGGCGCGCCCCAGTTTGAGCCGGAGTTATTGACGAGGACGTGGAGTTCTGCGCAAAGCACCCATTAGCTCTGCCCTTTCTGTTCTACGCGTGGCATGAAGATCACGGGATAGCACGCACTGCTCTCCCTCCTCCCCAGCTCCTCCGCAAGCTTCCTGATATCCTCCTCCTTGTAGAAGTCCGCCGGGATAGCGTGCGCTTTGCCCTTGCCGAGCGCATTGAGCTCCTGAACGGCTTGGTCGCACGCCTTGGCGTCCCGGGACGAGATGTATACGGTTGCGCCGTTGGTGACGTAGCCTTCGGAGATCATGCGGCCAATACCTTTGGCGCCGCCGGTGACCAGCACCACTTTGCCCTATGGTGTGAGGGTCAGCTATATTGTACAGTCGCAGCAGGGGAAATGCGGAGGACGGGGCGGCCTACCTTGACGTCGAATAGGCTTTGGACATCCATTATGAGGTTAATGATTGTTGCCAAAACTAAACCAGCAAGAAAATATTGCAATATATGATACAAGTGAAGTCTCGAGGGTTATGTACAAGGAAAACGAGGCATCGCCTCCTCCCAGCTGGACAACCGAGAGCACCCCAGACCGAGCTGGGCCGAGGCTCACAACAGGAAGAATGTTAGTCCGTCGTAATGGAGAACTGCCGATTGCTTCTACTGGTCCCCGCCAGTGACAGGGATGGGCAATCAGGAGAATTGGGCATGGCTGAGACGTGTACAGGAGCTGCCAAAGTAATAACTACCGTGGTTGCTCAAACTAGGGGGGAGTGTCAAAGTTGCGAGCAATTTTACCCCAGATGTGATGGATCATAATACACACTATGCCTAATTAGGTGCCAAAGTGGGACCTCATATCGGCGGGGCACAAGTTTTGATCTCCGGCAGGGACAGTAGTGTCACAGTAATCAGTCCATTTTCACTGCTTTAGTCTCATAAATCACCCAGAAGCACAATCTTTTTCATATCGGACAATTTTAACACTCTTTACAGCCCCTCGACCCCCATACTCCCACAAAAGCCTCAACAGCATTCTGCCACCGCATCATATCCCGCCACGCCTCGAACAAACACATAGAATGGAAGACCTCCTCTCCCGCCACCGCAAAGAGCAAAAAGACCTACAAGCCCGTATAACACAAAAGAAGAAGTCAGCGACTAAGAAAACCCGCCGCGGAATCAACGATGAGTGCGACCGACTCCAGCGAGAACTCACGGAGCGCCACCAGGCCGAGATCGCGGAATTGAACGGCGAGACAGCACCACCTGCTGATGCTCTAGAGGATCTTGACTTGAACGGTGAGGCTGCGACGAATGGCGATACCAAGGAGTCGGAGAGTACACAGGAAGGAAGCGGAACTGGAGAGCCATCAACACCAGATTCAGCATCGGCATCGACATCGGCATCGCCCTCACCAACACCATCGACGGACTCCTCAACACCAAGCACAACCTCCCGCGGAAAGAAACCAAACAGACAAAAAGCGCGTCTAGCCCGCCGCGCCGCCGAACAAGCCGCAGCCGCAGCACAGGCGGAAGAAGAAGCCTCGACACAAACGAACCACCGCGGCAATGAGAAAGAGATCATGGACGCTTCCTTCAAGAAGCTGAAGCTCAAGGAGATTGAAATCAACCCAGACGGGCACTGTCTTTTCTCCGCGGTCGCCACACAACTAGACGAAATGGGCCTCGGACTCCGACCAGACCCCTCCCGAATCATTTTGCAATCTACGACGCAGACGCGCGTGGATACAGTTGCAAGTCCCAAGCATGATGGGTACAGAGCTGTGCGCGCGGTCACGGCGGATTTTATCAGCGAGCATAAGGACGATTTCGAGCCGTTCATGGAGGAGCCGATAGACGCTTACACGCGGAAGATTAAGCTTACGGCCGAGTGGGGCGGGCAGTTGGAGCTGCAGGCTATTGCGCGGGCTTACGGGGTGGATATTAATGTTGTACAGGGTGATGGGAGGATTGAGAAGATTGAGTCGGGAGATGCAAATGGGGATGTTGATGAGGAGGAGCAGAAGAAGAGGGTGATTTGGTTGGCATATTATCGGCATACGTATGGGCTTGGGGAGCATTATAATGCTTTGACGACGAGGGTTTAATATTGCATGCATATAAAAGCGGTCGTACATAGATTTTGTCAATATCTAGATGGATGGTGTCTGGACATCATCCGGTTTGTTTCATGAATATATCTCACTTCGGGGTCCTCTGTGTTCAACTGCTGAATTGCTGGACAGGCTTATATAGTGTCCTCTTTTTTCGCTGATCCAATTCACCGTAAGAAAGAAGTGTGGTATTAGTTATTTTCATTAATCATACATCGGCAGATATAGATAAAATTGTAAGTAAGGTATATATACATAAGAAAAGAAGAGTCGCAGCCCCTAATAGGCCAGCAAGAACGCGGGAATTCCGCGCCAGGGGAGTCAGTCCAGCGAACAAGACTGACTCAACCAAGAAGAAGATAGAAATAAAGAAAGGCATGACGTGGCATTTCAACTTCAAGGAGTCCCCTTGCGGACCAATTGTGCTGCAGAGTGGGATCTGGCGTCTTCATAAGAGTGATGGGTATCTTGCTTAGACCATCCAGCATCTGCATCCGCATCCTCGCCCTCGACCTCCTCCAGGCGGATAAACTCCTGCTCAAGTCGGATTCCTCCAACGGAGTCAAGATTCGGTGGGTTGTTGTGCGCTTTTGAGGGAATATGCGTTGAGTAGCGGGCGCGAGACCCGTTTCCGGAGTGCGAGCCGGACGCACCGCTACCCTTGTAGTTGTAGCGGTTTGAGCCGTATGCGTAGGTGTCGGTTGGTGGTTTGAAGAGGCGGATGAAGAGCGTTCGGATTGCGGGCATGCAGGCGCACATGATGGCGACGTCGAACTCGAGAAGACTCCATATTCCGACAGGGACGAAATCCTCTGGTGTGTCTTGTTAGCATTAAGAACAAACGGCTAGAATTACGGTTGTGGACATACTTGTTGGGTTTTGTGTGCTGTTGAATCCTACTGTTTTCACGAGCCGCATGATACTTATGATGGTGACCCTGTTGAGTATTAGAGCTGAGCGGTGGGACGGAGCGGATGTAGGATGTAGACTTACACTATACCCACGCCAAACATGAGCATCACTCCAAGTCGTTTCCCAAGCGGCATGTGGAGCTTGACCACAATCGGCAGAGGCATGATAGTAATAACAACGTCAAGAAGAATGTTGATAATGGAGTGCGCGAGAAGAATATCGTTCTGGCTGATACACTTGCCCTCATGTTCCCCATCCCATTCATTCCAATAGTGGGATATAGGTTGGCAAGAACCGAGCAGGACAAAGACGGCTCCGAGCCCCCACATGATGGTTACAGTAAGAGTGATGTAGACGGCAATGCGCAGGCCCCGGTTTGGGAAAAGACGAAGATAGAGCATCAACATGGAGCATTTGACAATGGCAATGCATGCGCCGTAGAGCTCTTCCTCAATGAAGAATAGCTGCCGCAGTTGTTAGTGAGTCACATCAGGCGCTTTACGCGTAGGTCCCACCTTGAGAGTCTTCCTTATATCATCGAAAGGCACGGCCCATATATCTTTGCCTAGACCAGTATCCTTGACTGCGGGGCGTTAGAAGAAATACAACCATAAAAGTCGGAACACTTACGTTTGATTCCAATACCGGAGATAGCGGCTGCAAAAAGCTAGCTTCCCGTTAGCATTCCTCCAGTGACTACCAGCACAGACAAAGTTTACCAGAGCAACGAAGATAAGTAAGTCATCCCAGCCCAATCGTTTGTCCATAGCGCGGCTCGTCAGGCGCATCGCAACTGAAACAATCGCGACGACGATGCCGACAATATTGGTAACAGGGAAAACGTGCGTATCATCACTATACGGGTATTGGCAAAGGGTGTAGGTCATATTCTTCGCGGCTGCGGTTCCATTAGCGGGCTGGGTTGGGAGTGATGGGGAGCTTGGATGCTTACTTAGGGACTCCATGACCGAGCAGGACCCGAGAACACAGGCTGTAGACTGTGCGTTGAGCTGAGCATCGCCGCAAACGCAGTCGAGATCGGTGAAGGAACATGTCGAGTTGCCGATGGCGGAGATCAGGCACGTCAGCTTAGGTTGTCAGTACTTTGCCTTCAGATTTACATAGAGGTATGGCGTGAATACCGCGCAGGTTGGAACGTCTGGTGGAATCTCCATGATGTGTATGGAGCAGACGAATGATACGCCTGACGGTTGACGACGAGAGATGCCGTTACAGGATGCTCAGCCAGTGCCCGAGGACACTGACAGTAGTTATATGAGTTGGATGTGGAGACCATGGTACGTGCGTGCTGCATGAACCGGTCCCTGGCGAGTGTAGATCATGCAGATAACTCAAATGATAATGGTGATCAATGCAGGTACCAGCTCCCCGGCAGTAATTTGATGACATCCAGAGCCGAATAGACCCTGGCGAGTGAAAAGTCATGACAGGAAGGCGACATATGCCGGTGCATCCAAGTTGCGATGCCAATATTCTATGGACTATAAGGCCTTTTGCTTGGTTCGTCAACAAAAATTCGGCAAATTCGCACATCGATACCGAATCAGCAGTGGAGAGTTCGCTAGTGCGCCTCAAGGTTTGCCTTCTGTAACTCGTTTCAGTAAAGTGTCTCGCCAACAATGATTCCAACCCGCTGGTACCGTGGTGATCATGCGGTGGAGCATGGAAGGCTGGCGTCCGACGCCCCCCGTATCCCGTATACCCCTCCTGACGTTGACTCGATGCGGGCACCGCTTGCTCTGCCTTTGCACCGGAAGTGATCCGATCACCCGTCACGGCTCGAATGCCGGCTCATTATTGCTAACTTGATAGAGCGGTAGTGCCTAAAAAGTTAGCACATAACGATCTTCGGTTCGTCGTCAATATTGGCTGCGTTGAATCAAGCTTGCTGCAGTGGTGTGACTCGGGCTTGAGGGTTGTTCTCCACGTGCGGACAGGTTTCCTCGGCGATTAAGCCTCTGGCCTGCATGAGAAGAATACCCACATGTTTGGGTAGCCAATGTGTACAACCATATCACGTAGGGGTGCTAAACAAACAGAGTACTCCGTCGAGTCAGGCGCCGCTAGCCCGATTTGGTGGAGTACACGAACTAGCAACGAACTACCGGCTACTATAAGGTACATCTATATTCTATAGATTTATTCAAATGAATGTATTCAAGACTTGTTGGATTGCCACTATACCAATCGAACCGGATTACAAGCCAGTCCACTGTTCTTGATAAGAAACTCGATAAGAATAGAAGTAGAAGCCCAGGCGAAAAGACCATAAGAACTCCGGTTCCTGCCCACTCCTTGCTTGGCACAACAGAGACGGAGAAAACAGAATAAGATATCAAATATAAATGATTAATAACGCCCACCCATGCCAAATCGTACTCCTTAACATCGTAGCCTGTCCCCTGTGCGGGGGATTTATGTCTCGTCCATAACAATATCACCCTCTGCATCGGCTTCGCTCCCATGATCGTCAGGGACCCCAACCCCCTCACTCTCCGCAGGTATAAGCATTTCGATCTTCTCCACCACTGATTTTCGACTAGCGGACCGTGTCAGCTTTGTTTTACCTCCAACACCTTTGCCCTTCGAAGGTGTCACCGGCTCTTGCTGCTTTTCAACAGCTGTCGGTCCATTGATGCCATTCGTTTTGGGAGATACTTGGGCATCAATTGGGTTTTCAAGCAGGCCTGGAGTCTCCTGACGCGCTGTTTCATCCGCTGGTGGGGCAGGCTCTTGTCCGCTGGTGGCCCCTGTTTCTCCGGAGAGCTCAAGCTGATCAGTTTCTAGACCGTTGGTAGCCACGCTTGTCGTGTCTATTGAAGGGGAATCAAACAGCTTCGCACTCCGACCCCGCCTTACGCCAGACTCATTCGCGTTTGGATTGATAGTTGACAGGAATGACGCTTTTCGGGGCGTACTGCGACCACTGGTACGAGTGGTATTCGGAGTGATAGAAACTTTCTGGAATGACTTAGGCCCAAAAGGACGGGCACCACGTTTCTTGGACACTGGTGCTTGAACCGGCGGGTATACCTCGAACCGCCAAGCGGGAACGTTGCTCGCAGGCCCAGGTTCCGTTTGCTCGGCCGACTTGGATGCGTCTGTGGATGCTCGATGGTGGACGCCATTACTATTGGACAGGAGAGCCGTGGAAGGAGGCCCTGCAGGTTCATGCACCTTACCCGCAACTGCGGCACTAGCCGTGCCGGTGGTAAGAGTTTGCTTGGAAGCTTCTTCAACTAGTTCCTTTGCTTCATCCTCTTCGTCGTCAAGCCCTTCGCGCGGTGCAACGGTATGTATTGGGGCGCGATCGAATTGCGACTGGTTATTCCGGCCCATGATATATGGTGTCCAAACAAGAGCATCTGGGTTAAGCGTCACATAGCCTTTGCTTTCCCAGCCGCGAATACATTCCTCGAAGTAGTTGTAGTCGAGACGAAGAGCATATGTCCTGGTCACCGGATCCCTTACTAGAGCGCGTAAGGCTTCCAGGCCCGAAACAACATCATCCGCCGTCATGCCTGTTCGCTCAGAAAGCTCGGCGATACTGAGCGGCGTCTTTTGATTTCGTAGCTGGTATGACAAAATAAGTCGCCAGTAGTTTCGATATGATACCAAGCCCATGTCAGAAAGAGGCTTCTCCGGCGAACCTGTCTTGCCTTCGATGCGTGTGAGAAGGTAAGAGAAGTCGATGAGGAGGTTCCCGTAGCCTTTTCGTTGGTGTATTGGTAGAGTAAGGATACAAGAGACATTATTCGCTGAGCTGGGCCGTTTCTCTTTGCTGAAGTATCCCACAAAATGACACCCTAACTCGTCGAACTCGGTCATGACATAGAAAAGGAAGGGTTCGACGTCATAGTAAAGCGTCTTGGACCCCAGGAACAGTTTGGCGAGCAAACACAGATTTTGGCAGTATACGGGATTTTTCCGTCCGTCCACTTCGAAGATCGAAATCGAACCTTCACGATAGATCTCATCGCCAGGAGGGTGCTTCGCGGGGCACTTGAGTTTATGGCGCCACGCGACATAGTCTGAATTCATATACTTCAAACAGAACTCGCATATGTAGAGCACTCGATTCCGACTATACTCCTCAGGATACGGCGCCGCGTACCATGTCTCGACTTCAAACCCGCCAAAATTGATATACTTGATCCTTGATGGAGGACCCGATACTTTCTGGGAAGCATGCTGCGCAGCCTCGCCGCCAGTCTCGGATTCCAGTAGACGTTTTTGCCATGCCTCTTCAGCTTTTTGTCGCGCGGCTTCAAAGCGTTCTCGGTCAGCATGGGTAGGTAATGTTTTGGATGTGTCAGCATCTGTCTCAGAAAGAATTCCTCCATAAGGCTTGGATTTTGAGGACTCCTCCAGCTCACGATCACTGAATGAATAAAGAGAGGGGAAATAAGAGGCAGGTGTTATTGGCGCGAAGTGTGCCTGTGGAGGTTCTTGTGGTGGAGGTTGTTTGAGGATTTTTCGGTTCCTGATCGAGGACCGACTGCGCGAATTGAGGATCTTGGATAATTTGGTCTCATGCAGCCGGAAGGCCACGATGAGTTTGCCAAACTGTTTCACTACGACCCGGCAATGTTCCGGCTCATCCTTCCGTGTACGCCGAGAACGGGTGCGGACCGGGGACAAAGCATCTCCGTCCTCTTGGATCTGATCTTGCGAGTCGTCTCGCTCGACCTGTGCAGGCGATTGTCTCTGTCGTTTTCGAAGAAAGGGTGTGTGTTCCTCTGCATCGGCGGATTGCGTTTTGCGCTTCCGCAGCGATCGCGAGCTGTTTAATAGCTCGTCGTCAACCGTCACGGTATTGAAGATGGAATGAAAGTCGGAACCTTCCTCGCCACTATGAGCCGGCAAAAGCTCCTTGTTCATGTTCTTCGGGCCGCTTTTCCTTCGATGCGAAGAATCTTTGGGGCTCGGCTCCAAGTCCTCGCTGTGGCAGGTTGGACATCTCCAAGAGCCGGCATCTAGGAATAATTAAAATCATGCAAGGCATGCAAGGGAGAACGACAAAAGACAAGGTGCAGTGTCGGCCTACCTTCGGCATCGCTAAATGCATTGTTTTCACGGGCGCATTGCCGATGAGCTGTCGGGTTGCCGAGTTAGTGAGAGGTCCGCTAAATTCCGGGGTTCTGGCTGGGCCTTTATTTTGATAGGGCCGCAAATCAACATACAGTGATCGCCACAAACAGCACAGCTCAGATACTCCTCAAAGTCATCGCTAGGGTCATGGTCTTCATCTTGATTGCAAAATCTATTCGCATTATGTTAGTTCGGATTCGCGAGAACTCGACATATGTACTAGGCCGCACTTACACGCAATTCCCGCGAACTGTATTATTATCCGCTTCAGCTTCCGCACGGCCGTTACTTTCTGCCTCCCATTCCTCATCGGAGTCGCGATTGCTCGATGAGCTGGAGCCTGCTCGCTCGCTCTCGCTTTGTTCATTGAATTCTGGATCTTCTTCTGCGTCCGCATCCGCGTCCGCATCATCGTCGTTCTCCAATGTTGGAGCTCCTTTCGGAATCTTGACAGCTCCAACAGGTTCTGCTTCGTCGACTTCACCATTTAAAACATGGTCATAATCCACCTCTCCCTCAGCGTCTAAATCCTCGTCAACCTCGGTTGTTCCCGTTTCCGCCGCGACTTCACCCGAATATGCGCGGTGCACAGCATCCTGAAGCTGCTGGTCCATCTGGTAGAGGTCGGTCTCTTCTCCCTCGGCGTCCTGATCACTATCCACAAAGTACTCCGCCGGTGGTCTCAATTCATGGTTGGCGGCCGGCGGCACGGTTGCCGGCATGGTGTATGTCACTGCAGTCGCCAGCTTGAAGGGCTAACGAATCCGTTGAGTAGTGTTGTATCCGCTGTGGTTTATCTCTAGGGATAAATGAAGGCAAGCCCGATAGTTGAGACTAAGGTCGCTTGTCGTCAATCATCGGGAGCCGCATGCAACGAGCATCGGGAACATGAACGAATGGCCTTGGACCCGAAGTATCCAATGATCGAATGCGCCGGAGCCGTAAAGTGCGCAAATCAATAGGCGGCACCGCTTCCTATCCACTGCGCATCCGGGAAAAGTATCAGTGAAGCTCCAAAGTCACTGGGTTCTAACAATGGCACGTAACGCGTTGAATCAGGGCCGGAAATCATACCTCTCAGGCATACAGAACAGCCACTTCAAACAGATTGTAGGAAGACACGTAGGTCGACAGCGCAACAGTCGTCCAAGGGGTTTTCTTTCACCATTCAAAGCGCTCGGCGACGGCCATCTTCGCCACCTTCTCCTGCCTGTGATGTTGAAAGCGTGATGACTCAGCCGCCCGTCGCATGCACTAAGCCGTTTTCGGGCTCCCGCCCAGACCTCGAGAACCGACAAATGAACGGCGGTGCATTATTGCTGCGGCTTCACTGCGACGCAGACCACATCGATCAATTGCTTTCGATCTCAACTCTTGCCGTTGCGTTTCTCATACCTCACAACTCATCATGGGCGTTCCTTTTGAGGCTTTGCTCCCTTATGGGATCGTTGTTGTTGTACGTGCCCCCGCCGGCCGTCCGGTTCCGTATCGGCCATGAGGGAACATTGAACGTCGAGCTATCGGAGGCCATTGCGCTTCCTCTGGCATGATGACTCTATGTTCTTCCTCCGAACACAGTCTTTGAGGAACTTATTCTGATGAGCCCAGATGTTCGGTGTGACCGGTGTCGGTCTCTCGGTCGTGAAGACCTACGCAAATGAGGGCAAGAAGGCCCGGTGGAACAGGGATCTGTGGGATAGAGTAAGGATTCCTAGCCCCGTTCAATTCCTACTTTAGTTCTACTGCGCGCTTTGTCCGCGCGATTTGCGCGGAACACGATGGCTGACATCTCTCCAGCAAAGTATGTGCCTTCAGGACCCGACTATCCATTCGCAATTGCTTTTCCTGGCACAACCACTAATCAACGCTTGCACAAAGTGATGGAAAGAGACTTGAGACTCACAGGCACCCTACGAGGCCAATCGACAAACCCGGAGGCGCCGAAGGGCTTCGAACTCAGCAACCCATGGAAGGTCGAGAAACGCATGTACTAGACTGCGTTCGCCGTTCAATCGTTGTTTTCGTCTACACTCTCGACCTATTCACTTGCCGACAACCCAGTCCCGCGCTCGACAGCATATGTTCGCAAACTCCAGCCGGTGCTCGCTCCGTGCCGTGATTAGGGTTGCGAGTCATTTCCCTGTGATCCATCAACTTCCCCAGTGATCGGACTGACCAACACGTCATTTATGCATGTGCTTTGGGGGAATATTCTTAGATTTGTTTGTATCATACCATCAATGCCAATGACGTCTTCCACTTCAGCATCTATCTCTATCCAGGAAATGCAAGAACCAGTCTCATTACTATAGCAGGATGGGAATTGGCCGTCTTGAGTTACAACTTGACGCATTGTCAAGGCATAAACTGAAGCATCAATAGATGACTCAGTAGATCTCATTTAATATCGTCCACGTCATAAGCAACGCATCCCAAATGCGTGTTCAGCCCGCTTCTATATACAGAAACCAACCTAGCAAGCAGAAACCTTGAGAAACCCAAGCCACATCATGCTCATCATACATTGCCAACCAAATGGGCGTAGCAAAAATTGCGCTCCTGTAAATGCAACCATATGGTTTAACATCTCCTTTCTATGCCTTTCCGACTAACACATATATATTTCACTCCCTTGTATGGCTTCACGCCCTCGCCGAGGCCACGGCTTCGGCGCGGGTCGATGGTAAGGCTCTCAACCTTTATGCCGGAGGGGAGCCAGCCTCGTACAGAGAATGATACAGAGGCTGAATTCGGCATAAGGCTAGAATTGATCTGTGTTCGGGTTTTGCGCGGCGCTGTGTGAAATATGGAGAAAGGTGATTCGGGACGTGGTGGCGGTGGGGTGGATGAGGGTTGAGGGGTCGGTAGAGAAGGGGTTCCAGGATGTGATGGTGGTTGAGAAGATGAAGGTTGTGGTTGTTGGTCGGAGGTCAGGTCTGAGGCGGGTGTCTCGCCTTCGGGGCTGGCGTCAATATCAGGCGTAGATACTGACGCGCCACGGCGAGATGATGCAGATTTCTTCACTTTCTTCACCTTCTTCTTTTTCTTCTTCGGCTTTGCCTTTAGAAGGTCTGGTCCGGAATTTTGCTGGTAAGATACTGCCGCGGAATCGTCGTAGTAGCCTTGTAATAGAGTAGCCTCTGCATCGGCCTCGGCATCATCTTCTTCGAGGTCGTCAGCACTATGACCGATAGCCGTGCAGCGAAGGGTAGCGGTTCCGGATATGCTCCCCGAATCCTTAGTTGGGACTTTCCATTCTAGCACACCCCGTCCGGGGTTGAAGAAAGCCTCACCGCGGCTGGCTTTCATGTCTGAGATATTTCGTACAGACTGAGGGATTGGCACTGTCACCACTACATCCTCCAGAAGCGGACCAGGATTACTGCTGTTTCCGCCAAGAAAAGACGGAGTGGAGGTCCCAGATCCTCCCCGGCCTGCTCCAGCTCGATTTCCAGACGGGTACCCGGGAAAGTCTGCGTTGAGCGTCAACCGCACCTCGAAATCAGCGCCCAGAGGACCAAGCGACTTTCGTATGTCAACAATGGTGGGGATAAAAAGCTTCTCCATGTGGTTTGGAGGGTGATCGAGACTAGGGTCGAGCGGCAGCAAGTCCACTTCATATCCAGCGAGGATAAATCGTCCATCAGGAGGAACGAACCTCATTTCACCCGGCTGCTCGCGCCACTTTGCAAGCCTGACACATGGATGAAACACAGGCAGTTCCATCTTACGCGCAATAGCATGTTGACCTCCGGGCGCCGTGAGAGATAATACCAATTCCGGGACACCGGATACTTTGGCCGTGAAAGCGATTGTTCCTGATACCAAAGCAGACAGCAGGCGTCCCGATGGGGCCATTGTAACGGTGAGCGACTCCACTATATCAACATAAAGCTCGTTTGAAGTATGCCGGACGCCGGGTCGCCTCCAGGGGATGGCCGGTCCAAGAGCTGCATTGGCGGACGTTAATGATTGCCGCTTAAGCCCGGGCTGCCCTAAGATCGGTGTTGATGATCTACGTTAACAAGGCCATGCATGTCAGTAAGTCGCATATCCAATAGATTACGAGCGAGTGCATACCCAGGCAAGGCAACATTGCCCAACAGTTTCCCCATCCATCCCGGCATCTCCACAACCTCCTGCAAGGCATTTAACTCGGTATTGCACACGATGCCAGCATCGCACATTTCATGGAGTAATTGAGCCACCACATCGTAGTTTGCTTGTATTTTCGTCGAAATCAAAGGCGCTCCGATGAACTCCTCAAGAACATCGACAACGCGATGCAGGAACTCGAGGGCGAGGAGGGGCTCGGTGTCGGCCTCCGAGAGCGCCAGAAAATGCAGATTTGATTCGACTATGGAGAGAACCGTCACCGGCGGTGACGTATTTGGAAAATATATCAGCGACGGGCGCGGCGCAGGATGAGCGAAATAGAGAGACCGGATGGTCGCCGCGGAGGGCGGACGAGAGCGATAGACCTGTTCGACCAGAGGCTGGCTAGAGCAACCAACGCTGTTAGATTAGTGTACCGCGAATAGAAATGGAGGCACGCACTTCTGCTCGTCGTATATGTAGAGGGCATCAATCTCGCCGCTCATGGTGTCGACGGCTCTCCAGCTTGATCTTAAGTAACGGTTTAGCTCAGTTGTAGTAGCGGCGATCTCACCCTGCAACCACGCCGACATGATCAAATGAACTCATCACTGTTTCTGCCGCCATTTGCCGCCTTGCCTTTGTTTCCCCGTCGCATCTTGATGATTTGCAATGTTCGATATATCTGTCCACAATCCAGGATTATGGCGGCTCCTACGGAAGAGAACGTCCTGGGGGTGCAGAACTCAAAGGCAAAACCTCCGGTCGCTCTTGATGAATTTGAAGACTGCTTCTCCTGCAGAGCCACTGGTGAGTATGATCAGTCAGTGACGGTCCTTGTCCGAGCTTTGGCGGGACATTGACTACGGAAGGCTAATGCTCATGGCTAGGTTCTGCTGCATTCGTCGGACTCGGAGTATACAGCTACTATACCGGCATGACGAATCTGCGAAAACAAGAAAAGACGATCATGCAAAGTGCTACCAAATACAAGATGGGGTCACGTCGGTTGGGAATTACAACCATATCCGCAGCGCTCGTTGGCTTAGGCATTTGGCGGGCAATTGCCTGAAGACACCCCAGTTGCACGACTTTACGACTGCAGAGGCTTCTTATAGGGACATGTATAAATAAGTATGGACGCAGAAAATATTCATAAGTTGGGGAAATGATTTGCTTCATTGGGTATCTCCATATCAGGTAGACTCTATGAATGTAATGCGTATAAACCAAGATAAGTGAAAAAAAAGGATACAAAAGATCTTGCAGCCCCAAAGGATAGGAATGTAAGAAAAACAATGAGATAACCATGTGCAATACTCCTACTATATGCTCCGAGAGAATAGAAATGACAACCGCTGCGTGACTATGGCGTGACGAAGTTCGAACCGCGGCTCGAAGAAATCGTGCCTCTAGCAAAAGCGACCTCGTTTGCCGCCTCCAAATATATCTCGGTTATTTCCCATTCCGGATAAATCAAAAAAGTCGGGGAACTGGTTCTTTCGCTTTGACCCTATTCCGACTGGAGACTCGCGCGTTGAGTTTCGTGGGCTTGGGCGAGTCAGATTACCGTGGCGGTTTTGCTGGCGGGAGTTCCGTGCTAAGACAGAGACTGTGGCGGCCGTATCACTCGGCGGTGATGGAGACTCGCTGTCTGAGTTTTGCATGTCCATTTCTTGTTCTTGAACTTGCGGAAACGTTGGGCCCGCGGCGAAAGTAAAAAGCGGAGGTCGATCAAGGATAACAGGTTCGGAGGGCTGGGCGGCAGGGGTAGAGGGGGGTTGCTGGGTGGCAGCTTGTTCTTCTCGATGCGGTGACGTGGACTTGGTCTGTTGTCGAGGGGCTTCTGGCTCAGAATGTTCTTTGCGTGCTACAGCAGGAGTAGTGCTTCGAGTCCTCTCCGCATCGTCATCGTCGCTTGTATGCGCCAGGCCATCACTGCGTTCCGTGGCCCATTGTCGAACCAGCCAGCCCTCTCCATCAGTCAAACCGAGGTTCTCCCTGTCGAGAAAGTGCAACAAATCTTCAATCGCCTCCTGATATCCGGCCTGCCTTGCCTGTGACTCCGCAAACACAGCATTCTTGTAGAGGTGGGTGACCGAAAGGGCAGCGGTTCTGAACTGTTGGAGGAGCTGCTCCGAAGGCGGGCGGGGCGTCGAACTCGGTAATGAGGTGTTGAGAGACCTCATCGAGTCCATAACGGTTCCAGCTACTGTGAAAGCAGCTGCGATCAGGCCTGGATAACTTGTTTATTTTTAAGCGGGAATTTTCTCCTTTGTTTCTCGGTACCGAACTCGAGTAGGAGGAGGGGTGAGAGTGAGCGGTGCTCGGGCAAACTTGTAGGCCCAAAGCAAAGGATAAATGAGAGCGAACTGGTAGAATAAGGAAAAGACCAGACCGTCAAGCAGACAAAAATCCCCGCGTCACAGAAGGAAAAGCTCTAAACTGGAACAGAATCGAGATATGTCTGATGGGAACCACCTTCGACGTTCTTCTTTCTGCTGTGGTCATGGTAACGTGACCCACCGCGGGGAAACTCATCTTCCGTGCGGAATAACTCAGTGCTGCCGTAAGGTAAACGGCGCGCCAATTAGCGCGTCTATCCACCATTTTGCCTTTGCCATCCGCGACTCTCATCCACGGCGTCCTTTCATCCAACCCTGCCGCTTCGTCGTCATTCACGCCTTGTTTGGTCTGGACGGCGCCTTGTGCACTCTTTGTTTGGGCCGTCATATTCTGGGCCTCAATTCTCTCCATCTTCTAAAAATACCCATCTCATTGTGAATTACTACATACTCCGAACTACATAGTTCCGCCTGACCTGAATTTCGATTAACGCACATCTTGAACACTAAAGACGATATTTCTACCGCTTCGCGCAGGTCGCGCAATTGGCAAATATGGCCCCCGCTGCTGTCCCAGCTTCCGATCCTCCTTCCCAAGCAGATACTCCGATGACAGACGCGAACGAGGAGCCCACTTCAGTGCCCGTGGACCCCCTGGACGCGAAGATGACGGTATGTTGTGAAGGCGTCCTTCTCTTTTAGATTAGTGTGCGCTGTTGTGCTGTCTCTTGGAACTCGAGCACATGCTAAACTGTCAAGGGCTACCAGGATACACCAGACTACACGGTAATACTTGCGACCGCCGAAGAGGTCTCCTTTCGCAACATCAGCTAAGAAAGTTATCTGCTAGGACTCGGATACGAACCCAAACACCACTGCAAGCAGCGTTGCAGGCGACCCGGTTTTGCCAGACGGCCGAAGGCGGAGGTCGGAGGCCTATCAGATGAGGAAGAATATGTTCGGCAAGAAACATGGCTCTTTGAATGAAAATAAGGTTAGACACCTTGTTGATACAAACAAGGTGCTGTTGTGTCTCATACGTATTCAATCATAGGACGATGACTCCATTCGGCGATTCCGTTATCTGCTCGGACTTACAGATCTTTTCCGCCATTTCATCGAAACGAACCCTAACCCTCGGATTAAAGAGATTATGGCAGAAATCGACAAACAGAACGCCGAAGAAGCGACAAAATCCAAGCGGAAAGCTACTTCGCGGACAGGAGGTGCGAGCAGCGACCGAAGACGGCGGACGGAGCAGGAGGAGGATGCTGAGCTCTTAAACGACGAGAAGCGCGGCGGCGAGACTAACACAATCTTCCGAGAGTCGCCGCCATACATCCAGGGTGAGATGCGTGACTACCAGGTTGCTGGACTGAACTGGCTCGTTTCTTTACATGAGAACGGTATTTCGGGTATCCTGGCAGATGAAATGGGTCTAGGAAAGACCCTTCAGACAATCTCGTTTATCGGGTATCTTCGACATATTTGCGATATCACCGGTCCTCATCTTGTCGCCGTGCCCAAATCCACGCTAGACAACTGGAAGCGAGAGTTTCACAAGTGGACTCCCGAAGTCAATGTCCTTGTGCTACAGGGAGATAAGGAGGAGCGCAACAAGTTAATCAACGAGAGGCTTTTAGATGAGGATTTCGATGTCTGCATCACTAGCTACGAAATGATCCTCCGGGAGAAGTCGCATCTCAAGAAGTTTGCTTGGGAGTACATTATTATTGATGAAGCTCATCGGATTAAGAACGAGGAGTCGTCGCTTGCTCAGATTATCCGTGTTTTCAATTCTCGAAATCGCCTTCTCATCACCGGTACCCCGCTTCAGAACAACCTCCACGAACTGTGGGCTCTTCTCAATTTCCTCTTGCCAGACGTCTTTGGTGACTCGGAAGCCTTTGATCAGTGGTTCTCAAACCAGGAGGCGGACCAGGATACTGTCGTGCAACAGCTTCACCGAGTCTTAAGACCTTTCCTTCTCCGCCGTGTGAAGAGCGATGTCGAAAAAAGCCTCCTTCCCAAGAAGGAAGTGAACCTATACGTGCCGATGTCAGCCATGCAGGTCAAGTGGTACCAAAAGATTCTTGAGAAAGATATCGATGCGGTGAATGGTGCTGCTGGTAAGAAGGAATCCAAGACTCGTCTGCTGAATATTGTCATGCAACTGCGCAAATGCTGTAACCACCCCTACCTTTTTGAAGGGGCGGAGCCCGGTCCTCCCTACACCAACGACGTGCATATCATTGATAACGCGGGTAAGATGGTGATTCTTGACAAACTTCTCGCTCGTATGCAGGCCCAGGGAAGCAGAGTCCTCATTTTCTCGCAAATGAGCCGTGTTCTAGATATATTGGAAGATTACTGCATGTTCCGACAGTACCAATACTGCCGAATTGATGGTACTACAGCTCACGAGGATCGAATCGCCGCCATTGATGAATATAACAAGCCAGATTCGGAAAAGTTTATTTTCCTTTTGACCACAAGAGCGGGAGGTTTGGGTATCAACTTGACGACTGCGGATATTGTTGTGCTGTACGACAGCGACTGGAACCCGCAGGCCGATTTGCAAGCCATGGACCGTGCCCACCGTATCGGTCAGACAAAACAAGTCGTCGTGTATCGGTTTATCACTGAGTCTGCAATTGAAGAGAGAGTTCTGGAACGTGCTGCGCAGAAGTTGCGATTGGACCAGCTTGTTATTCAACAAGGCCGGGCCCAGCAACAAGCCAAGAATGCTGCTTCAAAGGATGAGTTGCTCGGTATGATACAACATGGAGCTGCCGAGATCTTCAATAAGCAGGGCGGAACGAGCACCCTGCAAGAGGGTAAGGCATTGACGGACGACGATATTGACGCAATTCTGCGTAAGGGCGAAGAAAGAACGGCGGAGCTCAGCAAGAAGTACGAGAAACTGGGTATTGACGATTTACAAAAGTTCAACTCCGAAAGTGCCTACGAGTGGAATGGTAAAGACTTTGCGGACAAAAAGAAGGACATTGGAATAAACTGGATCAATCCCGCGAAACGTGAGAGAAAAGAGCAGGTTTACTCCATCGACAAGTACTACCGCCAGGCCCTGGCTACCGGTGGACGAACCGCCGATCCTAAACCCAAGGTTCCCCGAGCACCGAAGCAGATCGCCATTCATGACTGGCAATTCTTCCCCCAGGGTCTTCAGGAGCTTCAAGATAAGGAAACTGCTTACTTCCACAAAGAAATTGGCTACAAGACGCCTCTTGCAGATGGGCCTGAGGAGGAACTCCAGGATCGTGAAGCGGAGCGTGATCTCGAGCAGCAATTGATTGATACGGCCGCGCCCTTGACTGAAGATGAACAGGCGGAAAAGGCAAGGTTATCAGAGATGGGCTTTCCCGAGTGGAACCGTCGTGATTTCCAACAGTTTATCAACGGATCAGCCAAATTCGGCCGTACTGACTACGTCGGCATCGCCACGGAAGTGGACAGCAAGGACCCAGAACAGGTCGAGGAGTACGCTCATGTATTCTGGAAACGCTTTACGGAGATCCAGGACTACCCGAAGTATATTCGCGTCATTGAGCAAGGAGAGGAAAAGCTCCGCAAAATGGGCCATCAGCGCAAGATGCTCCGTAAAAAGATGGAGATGTACCGCGTGCCCCTCCAGCAACTGAAGATCAACTACACCGTCTCCACCACAAACAAGAAGGTCTACACCGAGGAGGAGGACCGCTTCCTTCTTGTCATGCTTGACAAGTACGGCGTCGACGGCGAAGGCCTGTACGAGAAGATTCGCGACGAGGTCCGCGAATCCCCACTCTTCCGCTTTGACTGGTTCTTCCTCAGCCGAACACCTGTGGAAATTGGCCGTCGCTGCACGACACTCCTGAACACAATTGCCAAGGAGTTCGAACCGGAGGGTAAGAACGGTGATGGCAAGGGACGTGGCCGTGACCGTGACGAAGATGAACTTGACGACGAAGATGAGGCCCCGGCTAAGAAGAAGACCAAGGCCGCTGTGGTAAGCTTGTACCCCACCTCTCACCATTTATCTACCAAGCTAATGATTTAACAGAACAAGCAAGTCAAAGCCGTCAGGGGCAAAGGAAACTCCGCCTCTACATCCCGTGCCTCCTCGGCAAATCCTTCCAAATCGCGCGGTCGAAAGAAGTGATGCGATCATTCGATCTCAACCAACCAAGCACTCAGTGCTCGGTCCACTACCTCAACATAACATAACATCTATTGTGTACTATTGTATGGTGATTTTGGCGAAACTTGTAGAAGAGTGAAAGAAAAGGCGCAGAGTGGACGGTAGTCTGTGTCGGTTTGTTTGGTGTCCTTTGCTTACTCAACTGTATGCATGTCTTCTATATCGGATTACGGTTGCGGCGTTGGCTACGGTTAGAACGCCCTGGTTAGTTTAATTCATTCTATATTTTCCCATAACGCTCTGGTCTGGTTAGGTAGTGAGCAGCCTGCAGGACAGATAGATACAAAGTTGATGCATTGACAACCAACGCTTCATCTGCTTGCTGTTCACCCTTAGATCACGTCCAGGGTTCTTCTTTTTCTGCTACCAACGACTACACGGACGAAAGTAAGCGAACATTTATATTTTGTTTAAACGGTGACAGTAACACGACCGACCAGGTAGCTCAATGCTTAAAGTATTGGTATCATGTCCTAACTGGCCCGGCGTGCCCCTCAACGACCCGTACGGTGTAGGGTAGATTGCATAATTGCTCGATCCAAAACCAAAACTGGAACTGATCACAACCAAAGATGCAAGTTCGAATCTTGCCCTGATCAGTTTTATTTTTTAATATATTTATGTTTAGTGGATTGTCTTTAGGTCTGCATCCTCCACAGCAGCGGGCCAGATCCGTACAGCAGAACCGCAACCTGCGAGCGTTATGCATGGCGAATCTGGATTATATACTTTCTTCTGTGGTAAATCATTCCTTGATTAGATAGGCAGCTCACGGGAAGGCGACTGTTTGCTCGTAGACTAGGCATGCGACAGACAATATACAATGATGGCGAAGACATATATACAGCACAATTGAGATAAGACGATCCAAAACCACAACAGAGTAGGTCAGTTCCTCAGTCACTGGTACACTCATTTGAGATAGACCGGGATATAAGACCAATGAAACCAATTTTTTAGAGAGTACATAGATTATTCAATCAAAATTCCTTGGTATCCCAGCGTAATGCTGAACCCAATCATAGTCTCGAGGTGCGTCGTTCGAGAACCTTCATGATGATGTAGGCCACTAGATGAGAATTAAGGTAAGTACGTATCCAGTGAATAGATAATCCAGGAATGAGAGAGTAAAGAAAGACGAAAAAGAAAAATAGAAGATTAAAAATTAGCTAGTGATGGGTATATATAGCCATGTGACCGGTATTACAAAAGTATATGGTATCAAGTAGGCCAAGCAAGTTGAAAAAGCGAAGAAATATATCGAGATCAAGACTCACCAGCAGCAACAACAGCAGCCCGTCCAGTACCAGCTTTAGCCGACCCTCCGCCCAGCGTGAGGATCCACCGAAGCCAGCCTAGACGGACCTTACGACCAGAACGGTCAAAGTCAGGCACGACAAGGCTGGCCGCCTTGAATTTGGCCAGCTTGCCTGCGTACGGCGGGTACCGGATCGCCAAGAGAGACTCGAGCCAGCCCGGGCTGCTTGTGATGGGACGGCGGTGCACGAAAACGTCAAAGCTGGAGCGGCCACGGTACGCACCGTAGCCGCTCTCGCCCACACCGCCGAAGGGGAGGGTAGGGATGTGCAGGGCGGCGTCGTTGACGGAGACACCACCGGAGCGGGTCTGAGAGAGGACTGCGGAGGTTAGTTTGGTAGATGGCGGTGGTCTAAGGGGGACGTACTCTTCTCAGTGTCTGCTTTTGACCCGAAGGGATAGAGGCCTAGCGGTGTGCTCTGAATGCTGTTTGCGATGTTGATAGCCTCGTCGATACTATCCACAGGGAGGATGGGGATCAGAGGACCGAAGCTCTCTTGTGTAAGCATGGAGTCGTCGGGCGACTCGACTTGGACGAGCGTGGGCTCGATAAAGAGGTCCTTCTCGTCCATGGTGCCGCCCATGAGGATCTTGCCCTGGGAGTTGTCGATCATTCCTTTCAGACGACGGAAGGCGCCTTCGTTGACAATTCGAGAGAAATCCGGCGAGGCCTTGGCTCCGTTGGGGTAGAACTCCTTGTATGCCTTCTTGAACTCTTCGACCACAGCGGGTACGAGACTCCTGTCAACGAGGAGGTAGTTCTGGGAAGTGCAAACCTGACCTGCATTCATAAGCTTGCCCCAAAGTAGTCTTCGAGCAACCAGTCTAGGGTTGGCGGTCTTGGAGATGATTGCTGGGTTAAGACCACCCAACTCCAACACAACTGGCGTCAAGTTCGGAGCGGCTGCCTTTGCTATGATGCGTCCGACATTCGCACCACCAGTGAAGAAGATCTTATCCCATCGCTCTGCGAGGAGAGCCTGAGTTTCCGGAATGGCTCCTTGAATGATGGTGTAGCACGATGGGTCGAGCGCTGCCTCAACTATCCGCTGCATAACAACAGCGCTCTTTGGCGCATTCTCACTAGGCTTGATCACGACAGTGTTTCCGGCAGCGATGGCACCGAGGACGGGGCCGAGAGTCAACTGGAAGGGGAAGTTAAAGGCACTATTCGAGTTAGATCATGAATATACAATCGACAGAGCACATCGTACCCAATAACCAAAACTGTGCCGAGAGGATCCTTGCGAATCTTGGGGTTCATAAACTTGAACGTGAGATCGATGTCGTCGGCTTTCTCATCCTTGACCCATTTGTGCAGATTCTTTGAAATGAAGACAATGTCATTCTCCAACCATACGTTCTCGCCGACTTCCGTTTCGAATTGCGGTTTGTGAAGGTCGATCCGGAGGGCTTCGATGATTTCTTGCTCGTGGTCCTTGATGCTATCGGCAAGGTCAGTCACGACCAGAGACGATCGGAATATGCGAGGAACTCACGCCCAGTAGAGCTTTCGAAGCTGGACAAGTCTGAACTCGACGTCTCGAGTCTTGTGCTCCAGGAAGGTCTTTTTCACGCGCGACACCCGTTCCTGGATCTCCTCGATCGGGGTGTACTTGAGCTCGGGGATGTCTATGGCGCCCATGGTGGATGCTGATAAGAAAACCCAATGAGTAGCGATAGGAAGCGACTTTTGATCCCTGGCGGCGAAGGTTGGACAGACTCGACAGAAAGAGAGAGACAGGGAGTGGGCAGCATATTTAATTTGGAGAGGCACATGTACGGAGTAGTTACGGTACTAGCCCGGCGTCCCCTCATGCCCGCAGTGCCTGGGCCGCGGTTAAGCACGGAGCTCGCTGATTGGCTGCCCGCTCGCAAGCATTGCCAGGACTGTAAACGATGGTCAAGGAGTTATATCAGGGGAAGTATCCATGGAATTCTGACAATGGACGAATGTGATGAGGAGCAGAGACTGAGACACTACAAGCCTACAACGAAAGCGCTGTGCTGACTTCGAGGTATGCAGGAAGCTGTGGGATCATGCACAGCGCCCCGCAATTCCAACGGCCATGGCGCCCCATACCTATGCCCAGACTTCTCTTTTTCATATATCCTGTATAGACCACTTCTTATCAATTCAACACAATGACATCGGCCTACACTCCAAACCAGCTAGAAGCGTACCTGGAGCGCATCGGATACGCAAAGACCGCCTCCGGAACAGGTCGCCTCCGGCTGCAAGAGCTCCAGCTCGCAATTCAACAAGACCCTCTAAAAGCTCTAGGAGAACTCCAACGCCGACATCTGGCTTCAATACCATGGGGAAACACAGCTATCCACTATTCCCAACATCACAGTATCTCTACCCACCCATCGGCGGTGTTTGAAAAACTGGTCGTTCGTCGCCTCGATGGGTATTGCATGGAAAACACCAACCTGCTCTACGTTGTTCTCCGGTCCCTGGGCTATCAGGCGTATCCCACAGCAGGCAGAGTATCGAGTGCTGCGGTTGACCCAGCGAATGCTGGTCCGGAAGTTCGATATGGCGCTTTGTATGCCTCCCCATCATGCTGCCCTTAGAATTCCCTGCCCTTAAAATTCCATTGCTGATACATGCGCAGGGGACATATGGTCATTATCGTCACAATCGGTGGCTGGAAATATATGGTATGGACGTGCAATGCATCGCTTTGTTACTGGGCAAGAAAAAAAGTTAACTTCTTCTGGCCTAGGTCGATGTGGGATTTGGGAATAATGGACCGACAGAGCCGTTGGCCCTCCTGAGAAACGTAGCTGGGCACATAAACCCAACACTTGAAATACAGTTGGACAAAGAGCCTCTCCCTGAAGCGGTCGACCAGAGTCAAGAGTTCTGGGTTTACAAAGTCCGCTACAGGCCGGATAAGGGCTGGATTCCTATGTACGCATTCTCCGAGACCGAGTTCCTACCGCAAGACTTTGCGATGATAAACTTCAACACAAGCATGCAGCCGAGTAGCTGGTTTACGCAAAAAGTTGTCTGCGTTCGGCACATTCTGAATCAAGACGAAAGCAATATCGAGGGACTGTGCGTTATGGCCGGGAAAGAGGTTAAGAGACGTGTGGCTGGAAAGTCGGAAATCGTGCAGAAGCTGGAGACCGAGGACGATAGGGTGGAGGCTCTTGGGAAGTGGTTTGGTATACATCTTCTGGATCATGAGATTGCCGGCATTCGGGGGTTAGGGTCTGAGTTGCAATAGTACACCTAGACACCTGGATAGGCTCGATATACCATTGCAGTTGCATATTTTCAAGACGTTGGGATTTGTCATATAGATATCTAGATATAGCGATCTACAAAGATCTAGAGGTTCGTGGAACAGGATGGCGGCCTCAACAGTTAAATCCACCGAACCCCAACCTCCGAATGGTCCAATCCGTCCGATCCTCGGCTATTCTAGAGCTTACGCTTAAGCTTAAGTATACCACAGCATCTTGCACTTCTCTCAAAGCACTCCTTGCCTAGCCAGTAACTAATGGGACAGATTTGTCTTCTTTCCAAACCCTTACACCATCCCCGTCTGCCTTTTACCAGGCGAAGTTATCTCTGTGCTCCCCTCCAGACAACCCCGCGCTTCCCCGCACCGTTCCTCCGCGCCATGTCGACCTCCATCCAAAAGAAGCTCGATATCCTCCAGAACTATTCTGCCTGCGATGTATGACGACCTACTACTGACATACTCAGTCATACAGATAACAAGCTAATAGTCCCACGTTTATACCAGGTCTCAGACGCTCTCCTCAAAATCCAGAAACCAACCGATGGATCTCCCTCGCGGGCTGGGCACCTAGCTGATCTCAGTATGCCCTTATACCCAATCTACCTCGATCTGCTATGCACAGATAACTAACCCACACACTACAGCCCCCTTCTCCCCATCCCTCGGCCGCAACACAACAGGCCCCAAAATCATAGCTCCCGCCTCAACAATCCAATTCATCCCCAAGTCCTCATCCGCCGCGTCCCTCCTCACAGAATTCACCTCCCCGCCCAGTGAAAACCAAACCTTCCCAAAGGGCACGCACTGGGTCGACAACACCGAGCCTAACACAATCGTGCTGATCTCGCAGCCACCGGGTCAACAGTGCGCCGTCGTCGGCGGGATCATGGCCGTGCGGATGAAAGCGCTCGGCATCAAAGGCGTTGTCGTGGACGGGCGGATCCGAGATCTATCTGAAATACAGGGCGCAGAGTTACCGGTTTGGGCGAAGGGGACGTCAACGGTTGGGACCGGGGCGGAGGCGAAGCCCGGACTGAGGAATGTGAGGGTTGATGTTGGGGGCGTGAGTGTTGAGCCTGGGGATATTGTCTTCTGTGATCCCTTGGAGGGGGTTGTTGTTATTCCGAAAGATTCGCTGGATAAGGTGCTGGAGGTTATGCCCGGGATTGTGGAGGCCGATGATAGGGTTAAGGAGGCTGTTGAAGGGGGCATGAGCGTTTTCGAGGCTTTCAAGAAGTTCAGAGGATAGGATTGACCCTGCATTGGGCTGATGGATTATTTTGGGTACAATACATTCGATCAATATACAATACTAGCGCTGGAAGATAAGACAAGAAAGTAGAATCTAATGATACCAGCTCATTTACTCCCTGACCCAAACAGCAGCCATGCCCATACCAGTACCAACACACATACTAGTAACGCCCACCTTTTTATCCGTGCGCTTCAGCTCGGTCAACAGTGTGCTGATCTGACGCGCTCCTGTGCAGCCAAGCGGGTGCCCAAAAGCGATAGCACCACCCTTAGGGTTAATCTTCTCCTCAGGCAGCCCCAGCTCATTGATACACCAGACACATTGCGACGCAAAGGCCTCGTTGATCTCATAGATATCGACATCGTTCTTTGTGATGCCCGCCTTCTCCAGCGCAACAGGGATAGCCTTCCATGGGCCAATACCCATGAGCAGCGGCTTGACGCCGACAACGCTAGCGGAGACGAACTTGCCGATGATCTTCTGACCAAGACGCTCAGCGGTCGAGCGCTTCATGAGGAGCACGGCAGCGGCGCCATCAGAAATCTGAGAGGCGTTACCGGCGTGGATGGAGCCGTCCTTCGCAAAGGCCGGGCGGATCTTTCCGAGGGACTCAGGGGTGATTCCGTCACGGATGCCGTCGTCGGCCTTGACGGTGATGGTCTTCTCTTCGTTGGTCTTAGGGTCTGTCCACTTTACGTCGAGAGGAAGGATCTCTTCGTTGAAGAGGCCTGCTTTTTGAGCCTTGACAGCTTTTTGGTAGGACTTGGCGGCGAAGGCATCTTGTGCAGAGCGAGGAATCTTGCGGTCTTTGGCCATCTGTTCGGAAAGAACGCCCATGGGAACTTTGCAGTTTGCGGCTTCTTGGTGGTTCTCAAGCAGCTCAGAGAATTCGGTGACAGCACCGGGACTGTGCAGGTCAGCATTTCACTTCGTCATAGTATGTACAGTTGCCACTCACCCATATTGGGAGCTCATGCTCTCCACACCAGCACCAATACCAACCTCAATCATCCCGGTCTTGATGGCGTTGGCAATATCAACGATTGCCTGCAAACCGGAAGAGCACTGTCGGTTAAGACCCTTAACGGCCGTAGACTCAGGGAAACCGGCGACTAGAGCTGCAGCACGGAACTCCGTAGCTCCGCCGCCAGGCGCAAGGACAGTACCGACCGAGATGTCCTCCACCAGGTTGGGGTCAATCCCGCTGCGGTCGATCACGCCCTTGAAAACACCGGCCAGGATATCGGCGGCGGCGGTGTCCTTGAAACCTCCTTTGCCGCCTTTGGTGAGAGCACTGCGGAGCGCGCATGTTACGACGACATCGTCGGGGTTCTTTTCGGAGATAACGGCAACTCCCTTCTTGGGGCCGATATGGGATGCCACTTGGATTAGACGCTGCTGTGCTGGGGAAAGTCAGCACTTTTTGCCGATTACTGCGTATTGAGCAGAGGAATAGTTGCTTACCACCAGACATGATGACGTCAACTGTTTACAAGAAGAAGAGCAAGAGATAACAGCAACCGCAAGGACTCGAGGAGTATTGTGAGACGAGATCAGATGCAAATCTCAGGGAGCCTCCTTTTATAACCGAAACAAGAAGCAGCCGAGTCCTGTGGTCGCTGGGCTTTCACCAGTGATTATGTAGCCATCCTGTGAAAATGCCGAGGTCTATGGATCATCGTTGTTCCCGGCGCAAGTCACGAGATTCCAGCCCGCGAGGGATTCATGTGAAGATGATGAAGCTCTTACGCTGGCTGACCCTGGTCGCTGTCGAATACATTGTTGCTCCTTTATACCGACTCTAGTCATGTACAGTAGTCGATGCCTCCATCTGGCTTCTATAGTGCCGTAAATTACTGTCACAAGCTTCTTCAACAAGGGTAGGGCAAGGCTAGAATAATTCGGAAACTCGGCCTTGCGATCTGACTCCTGAGGAATCCTCCGCAGAACGTGAGCCATTCCTAAGACGGCTAGATAGTCCTTGAATCGCACTAACCATGTTCGGGATAGTCAATCCTCGGCCATCACGACGGCCTCCGAAAAGCTTCAAGATCTCCGACAAACCAGGACCCGAATAACATAGAAGTCATATAGCCACAATGCGCAGATTACCACAATCTCTTCTTTCCGCGGCCCTACCAGCCCGACCAATCCCGTCATGCTCTCCAACCAGCAGACTCCCACCCTATTTCCGCGCACCCTTTGTACATACCTCCCACCCAGGCCTTCCATTCTCACCAGAACAAGAAACTAACGCAGCAGCAGAACAACAACAGCGCCCAAATATTCGCGCAATGCCGACTCCTATCCCAAACCCCCCTCCTCGCAAACGCAACCTCAAACTCCCCCTTCCGCCTATCCACCTCGCAATCCTCAACCACACCATCACCAGAACCCGAACCACACGCCAGCCCTTTCCCCGAACCCGAAAACAATACCTATATCGACCCTAACACCGGCCTCCCGGTAAAAGACTATAGCCGCTACCCGCCAAAGCGCCAATGGCCCCCGGACATGTCGAAGCTCTCCCCGAAACACCAGTTCCGGCTCGAGCGCAAGTACCGCCGGCGCGCGGCGCTGAAGTATGAACGGCCGAAGTGGACGAAGGCGACCAAGTTGGTGCAGTGGGGGGCTATTGGATGTATGTTTGTTCTGTTCCGCCTTTATGTGGGAGATGCGTGGTCGGGCATGCTAATGGATTTGATGGAATAGTTGTTATTATTTACGCGCTGCTCTTTATGCAGTGGGATGAGAGGGGTGGGAAGCCCATTGAAGAGGTATGTCGTTTCCTTCCGCTATCCTCGTCCGTCCGCTGGGTGCGTGGCTAACGCTGAATCTGCAGCTACGTACCTACATCTTTGGAACCCTCAAGGGTGCATTCTCTGCTCCCCCGCCTGCGTCTTCTATGCGGCGCGCCGAGGAGTCGGCGAAGGAGTAGTAAGCTTAGCATACCCTAGACATATCTATCTTAGAAGTATCTACGTCCTCAACAAGCCGTGTCCGTAAGTATCTGGCATCTGGGAATGGTAACCGCATACCAAATTCCCAATACTACTTACTGTATATCATGCATAATGTACAAGTAACAGCGTGCCTTCCTAGAAAGACATAAGATCATACAACAGAATAACAAGCGAGACACATGATAACATATTCAATCCATTGTATTTACACCAACAATCTCCTCAAGCTATTTACTGATGAGAACGAGTCGCCCACTGTCACTCTTCAATCTGACGTCCATAACCCACCCACCACACACCACATCCCCACAAACAAAATCAATCATAATATCTGCATTGCATTGCCTGAGTCTGTACTGTACTATGCTAAATCGCGATATGCTATCTGTTCTGTTGTGTGCTGGGCTGTCAGTGCATGCGTTGCTTTGCGCAAAAACCAAATGTTCAAAGGTTCAAGTGTCAATTCAAATGAGAGAGCGTGTGAGAGTAAAGAGAAAGAGGCCCGTTAATCATGTCGTAAGAATCATGTCGTTTCAGCATGGCAACGGAGTAAAGAAGGAAGGAAGAGGAGACTTAGGTAGATGAATGCAACCCATTATGTGGAAACAAAACGCCAAGATGCCAACGCCGTTCTCCAAGATGAGATTCAAGTAGAGCTGTACACAGAAAGACAGACGTTCTGAGTGGCTGAGTGGCCAAAGAAGGACTCGAAGATGATCAACAATGGCGCAAGACGGATGAAGATGAAGATGCTGAACGCCGGTCAAGATGAAGATGGATGTCGGATAGATAGATGCATGATGCATAAGATGATGCGAGTGAAGTCGAGTCGAGTCGAGTCAAATCTAAGCCGTAGTAATAGCATAGTATAGCATCACCCCCGTACTCATTCAGAAATTCCTTAAGTAAAATAACTCACAGCCAATCCCCAATCGGATCCACTTGCTGCTTCTGACCTCCGCCACCGCTGCCAACAGGGATGTCAATCTTGAGATCGAGCTTCGGCGGCAGATCATTCAGCGCACCCTTCTTAGCGGGGCTCTTAACGGGTGACCTGGTCGGCGAGACAGTCTCCCTCGGCGGGCCTTCCCTGACAGCAAGATGTGGCCAGCCATCCTCCACAGCAGCAGAGACCCAAGTCCGCAGGACATCATGGACAGAGGAGTAGAATTTCTCCTTGCATGTCCTCAGCGTACCGCCCATGACTTTCTCAAATCCGGACGCACGGAGCTCGTTGCGGAGATTGTTGCGCTCTTCAGCTGTTGGTAGAGATGCAATAAGGCCGTTGACCAGGTCGATGTGGGAAGCGAGGTAGTTGGTTGCATCCCATTCTACGCCTCCAACGTAAGGTGCTGCAGGGACAGGGGGACGAGGTGTGGGAAAGTGACGCTCGTGGTAGGTTCCGGAGGTCTGGTCAGAATGCACAACGGGGATAACGTTGAGGTGATGTAGGAAGATCCAAAAGACCTCTTTGGTGACGTTGGATATTTCTTTACACCACACTCGGTAGGGCCGAGATTGGTAGATATTGGCGATGAATGAAAGGGGTTGGTTCTCCTCGGGGGGATCTCGTAGGTATGAGAGAATTCGGGTGGTGCGGGCTGCTGCGTCCTCGGCGGATATTGCTGTTGATAGCTGTGTGAAAATGAGATTGGTGATGATGCCGCGGGTGGTGAACTCGCTAGGGCCTTTCTTTTCCTTATCAAATAGCATGCTCAATAAAGCTGGGAAGAGTTCGCCCTCAATGTCGGTTAGCCGCTGCAGCGCAACGGACGTGGTGCAGAGAGCCTTGAGGCACAGCAGTGTCTCATGAAGAAGATTATCTTCGTGCTCCTCCCTGTTATGTGTCAGCGCTGTTCTCCCTATAGATAAAGTAGACGTACCTCCACTCAACCTTCATGATACGATAGACCAGTTGCACTATTTCATCCATGCCCCCTTCGGCAATGAAGCTGTCAACCCAGCTGATAGTCTCATTACGGAGGAGAATTCGAAGTTTGTGGATTTTGCCGACCTCAATGATCTCAGGCTTTTGGATCTCCTTCAGGTAGTGCACAAAATCCGACGGATCAGTGGCTGTATCACGCTGTGCCGTGACTGCGAGTGATGTTGAAGATGCGTTGGGAGTTAGGATCTTGGATAGCCCAGGTGCACTAAGATCAACGGACTTTGGTCGTCGGTGAGAGCTTCCACTCTCTTGCCGCTTCTTCGTAGGCGACGATGAGTTGCCCCTGCTGAAGTTAAAGCCGCGGCTTCTCGACCGTGATCGTGAGCCTTTTCCATCATAGCTATCGTTCTGTTCTTTCTTCTCCTTTCCGCGGCCCCGACGGCCTGTACTCTCAGTTGCGTAGGTGCTGGCGGCACTATGAGGTGTCGTACTTTCGAGCTTGTCTTTCTGGATAAAATCGGCTTTGATATTTGTGTCCAGAGACCTCATCTTGTCTCTCATATTGTGAGGAATGTTCCTCGCATCCTGTCTGGTTAGCACAAACCATACAATGGAAGTAGGTATACTAACAAGTAGCTTCTCAAACTCGCTCTCCAGATCCTTCGAGTTAAGCCGCTTCTGCAGCTCGGCTTCACGCTCCTTCGCATTGAAGGCCGAAATAACTTCCTGCACGCGCGAAGCCTTCTTCGGACTTGCCTGTTTCGGCTCTTGCTCAGGGCGAGCATCAGGAGAAGAGAGACCCCTAGGCCGTCCACGCTCCACCTTTGGAGAGGGATCTGGTTGATCAACAAGAGACTGCTTGCTCGCAGAGAAACCCCCGAAAATGTCCTTCATCTTGGAGCCCCCGACAAAGAAGTCTGACTTTGGGCGAGGCTTCGAATTGGCATTAGTCCGGCTCGTAAGGGATGGTTGATGGTAGTCATAGAAGTTCCGTTGCTGGGCCGGACTGTAGCGGTTCGGCGTGTAGAGCGAGACCTCCTCTTGCAGGGTCCGCCGCCTGTCGCTATGCGCCGGGGAGGGCTCATCGCGGAATGACGACGTAGGTGTCGCGTACTGGGCCCAAATCGGCGAATGTAGGTTATCGACAGCGTCAGTAGGGCTTCGATTCTCCTTGTCGCGGCCGTCTTTCACCTCGTCGCTTTTCCGTCCATGCTGCGACCGTTTCAATATGGCCGTGAAACTATTGGTGGATTTCGCCTTCTTCGGCTTGCCGCTCGCGTCGTCTGGTGTCTTTTCTGGCTTGCGCTCGATATAGTTCTTGAGCGACTTCAAGGAGACGGCGCTCTTCGTCTTCTTGTGCAAGCCCTTGCCGCTTTTATCCGGGGAGCCAGGGTAGAACAGGGAGTCTGGCGCATCATTGGGGACGATCTCTCCGAGAGGTTGTTGGTTCATTGGAGGGTAATGCTGGTCAACAGGGGAGGAAGGGTAGGGAGAACCGCTCATGTACGGCATTGGGCGGGCAGCGTCGTCGGCAGATTGATTTCGTCTATGGCCGAGGAGCGCTCGAAGAACGGACGGCTTGGTCGGAGAACGGGGCGCATCTTCGAAAATAGCGGGCGCCTGCGTGGAAGCCATAACGTGTTTCTGTGCAATCAACCGTCAGCATCGAGTCCGAGGTACATGGTATGAACGGGAACGGATAGCTGCACTCACAATGAACCAGTACTAGAACGTCCCGAAGCAAAAAGAAGCAAAGACAAAGCAACAAAGACAACCAGCTCAACTCAACTCAAAACCAAGAAAAGCAGCGCAAGTCGCACAGCTCCGATGCAACAAAAGACATTGACGAAAACTCAAAAGGCAAGAGGAATGCAGTCCCGTCGCAGCGGCAGAGTCAGTAGAGGCTTACCGCAGGCAGGGCAGGCCAGAGCGTTCGCGGGCAACCAGGGAATTTGAAGCAGTCGCAGGACAACAACCAAGGTCAAGAGGCGATCATTATCCGCTGCCTTCAAGAACCAATCTGCCGACGCCACTGCAGGAGCTGCGACGTGGGTGGCCAGCAGCGGAGCGGAGGAGGTAAACATGATGCGGGAAAGGAGGTTGCTGGGGGCAACACGCCTAGTGAGCCCGGGGGTTGGCGCCCCTGCCGCATCGCTGGCCATCTCCGGCCCAGCCTACTCTGTTCTGTCGAATGATCTCGCGAGGCCCTGGCTGTGGCTTGACTCCAATAATGGGGTTGATTCGTGACACAATGGCGGGGTTGACATTGTTTAGGCCCTTCTGGCTGTTGTTGTCGCCAGGCCTGCGATCGATGCACAATGCAGTGGAAGAGCAGGGATCGATAATGGCATTGTTACGAGAATAGGACATATAAAACTCCATGAGACATATTCAAATATTCAATGCCTCATCAGACACAACAGCCACTGGATACTCAAGCCAACAACATCGTCATGGGAGGCACGGACGCCAAGAAGCGAGACCCCATTGAATGGGCCTGCATTGATGCCTTACTCCAGCTGCAGATGCCAGCTTCTAATTCTAGACCGTTTCAATTGCGGGGAAGAGTCCGAGTCCATCGTGTCAGTGCCCAGAGGGCTGGAAAGAATGCATTCTCTTGTACGGGGTAGTATGGCAGTCTGATAATACAAAATGGGATGCAAAGCCCTAAGCTAATCACAAGAAGAGAAAAAAAGAAAGAATCTCGAATATTCAAATGCAGACACCGAGTGATGCGCGTTTCCTCTTGTCATGAACCATGATCTTCGTCATGAACCTTCACTTGTGTGTATGATATGATGTATGATGCTCCATGCAAATGCCTCCGCGATGTAGCCAACTGCCATCGCCAATCCAAAACAGAATGCAAAGCGATGCAGAGTAAAGCGAAAAGTAGAAGGGTAGAAAGTTAATAATGCATATAGTTTGAAGAAGTATTGTCGTATGTTCATATGTTCGTTTCATGTCGTTAATCAATGCGCCGCGATGACGGCCTTGAGCATACCCTTGAGCTTGGTGGCTGCGCTGGGCGGCGGGGTGGGCTCCCGTCTGCGATGGTGACGATGCCGCCGACGTTCAGCGTCGTCCCCTCGGGATCGAGGGGCCTCGTCCTGATACTCGTCGCGGCGCTCGCGCTCGTCACGGCGCCGCTCCCGTCGGTCTGAACGGCGGTCGTCTCGCTCATTGTGCTCGATTTCTCGCGCCTCGGCGACCGCCTCGGACTGTCTCCGAGCCCTACGGGCTTCCGCACGAGCAGGATCCTCTTCTTTGCTGCGGCGAGAACCACTGGACCGCTCCACCGAAGGTCGTACTTCCCGGGCACGGCCTTCTTCCTTACGATGGGAACCAGTGGGCCTTTCCGTGGTAGGTCGTGCTTCCATCCGAGCAGGATCTTCCTCCTTGCTGCGACGAGAACCACTAGACCGTTCCATTGAAGGCCGTCCCTCACTTTGATGGCGATGACTGTGGCCATGGGAGTGATGGCTAGTGGACGAGCGTCTGCGCGGCATATCGGGGATGTTCGCCGCAGCCTTGGTGCCATTGACCTTGGGAAGTGGCTCATTGCTCGAAACTTCCTCCTCCGAGGGGACGTATTTTAAGAAGTGTCGGGGCTTGGAGGGGGTTGACTGAGAGTGTCTGGAAGATGGTGCCCGGTCGCCGTCGCGGCTACCTCCTCCTGAACTTTTCGGTATTGACTCCTTGGGCACGGATTCTCTTTCCCTCGTGCTTCTGTCCCTGGTGCTGCTGGTCCGCTCAACGCGCGCATGCCGTTTCGCTCTTTCTTCATCTGCAGCAAGCTTCTGCAGTTTGCGCAGTTCGCGTTGAGATTTTTCTTCGTATTGCCTTCTTGACTCCTCCAGGGCCTCCAACCATCGCTGACTCAATTTGTTTCGCTCGGCCTTCTGCGGCGGTGGAGGCGGAGGAGCAGGCTGGGCATGTCGACGCTCGCGTCCTTCCGAGGAGCCCTTGGAGGGCCGTCGTTCATCGTAGGGATCGGACACGTACGACTTTCTTCTTCTTCGCCTGGCACGCTCCAATGATTCTCTGGGAGCAGAAGCGTACTTGTCTTCTGCCGGAGCGTCCCCACCAATTTCAGCTGAAGTGTCGGGCACCAGCGTCCTGGGCGAGGGCTCGTCATAGACGTACTCTTCTTCGAGTCCACGGGTCGATTCTTTGGTGGGCTCGGCAGTAACAGGATCGGCTGGATGTTCGGATTCGGTCGCTCCATACGCAGCGGCAGCGGCGGCCACAGCAGCAGCAGGAATCAGATAGGTGGCTGGAGAGTCAGACATGTCCAATCCCCTTGATGTCTCTTCAACAGGCTGCGCAGGTTCCTCGGCAGCCACCGGTTCAGCGGGCTCTTCAGCCTCGGATTCCTCCACGAGGAATTGTTCCACTGCTGGGACAGGGGCTGCAGCCTCTTCAGCAACAGGTTCCTCGATAGATGGCGTCACAACAGGCTGTTCCTCAACCGGCGGTTCTTCAGCTGGCGCTTCAACAGCAGGCTCATCAGGCATTTCTCGTGTAACCGCAGACTCCGGCTCTGCTTCTTCAGTAACAGGCGCACTATCTGGCTCTGCAGCTTCGGGAACAGCTGCGGCTGGCCCCTCAGCAAGGACCTCGTCTTCGGCGGGTGCTATTTCAGCAGGCGCTGCCGGTTCGGAAGTCTCCTCTGCTGGGGGCTCGGGTGTCTCGTCAACAACGGGCAATTCCTCGGCCGGGGCCTCGGGTTCTTTGACCTCGTCAACGGGAGCTTCCACAGCCGGTTCTTCTGGGACAGGCTCGCTCGGCGCAGGCTCTTCCGCTGCTGGAACTTCCTCGACCACAGGCACAGGGGCTTCCTCGACCACAGGCGCAGGGGCTTCCTCGACCACAGGCGCAGGGGCTTCCTCGACCACAGGCGCAGGGGCTTCCTCGACCACAGGCGCAGGGGCTTCCTCGACCACAGGAGCAGGGGCTTCCTCGACCACAGGAGCAGGGGCTTCCTCGACCACAGGAGCAGGGGCTTCCTCGACCACAGGAGCAGGGGCTTCCTCAACCACAGGCACAGGGGCTTCCTCTACCACAGTCGCAGGGGCTTCCTCGACCACAGGCGCAGGGACTTCCTCTACCACGGCCGCAGGGGCCTCCTCAACAGATGGGGCCTCGGGTTCCGCCTCAGCTGGCGCTTCGGGGTCGGCCGCGTCAGGAGCATCTTTCGCAGTTTCTTCAACTATGGCCTCTACCACTTCTTCCGCCGGGACCTCAGGAGCTGCAGTCTCGGTCGGCTCGGGCTCAGGCGCAACCGCTTCCGCCTCAGGAGCTGTAGGTACTTCCTCTTCTTTTTCAGCTGGCGTACCGGGAGCTTCATCGAAGTCAATCAAGTCGGCTGCTTGTCTAGATGCCTCTTCTGCTTCCAGCTCTGCATCCCTTGCTGCCTGCTGCGCCGCTGCTTCATTCTCTGCATCGACTTTATCAGACGCTGCCAGGGGATCGCACTCGGGGAAGTCATCTTCTTTACCTGGTTAGCATGTTATTCCTAATAAGAATTGCGATCGGTTGATACGTACCGTTAGCAGCTTCATCGGCAGGTTTCTCCGGTTCTGCAGGCGTCGGCTCAGCCTCTTCGACCACGTCCTTTGGTGCTTCGTCTGCAACCTCAGCGGTAGGTTCGGGCGCTGCCGCTTCGTCAGGTTCCGCAGTGGGCTTCTCCTCCTCAGGCGGCGCTTCAGCTTGAGGTTCAGCACTTTCAGCTGGCTCTGCAACAGTCTCCGCAACTTCCGCAACTTCAGGTGCGGATTCTTCAACAACCGGTTCAGCATCAGCTGGCTCTGCAACTTCGACAGCAGGCGACTCTTCCGCTGGCGCAGGCGCAGGCGCAGGCTCGGATTCCCCAATGGCCAGCGCTGGTACCTCTTTTTCAACTGGATCCGCGGGAGGTGCTTGCTCAACAGCAGGTTCCTGGGCTGGAGCCTCAGCCTCGCTAGGTTCCGCCGCGGGTGCGTCATCGGTGGCCGCTGTAGCTGTAGCTTCTTCAGCTGGTTCTGCCACAGGATGTTCTTCGGTGTGCTCCGCTGGCTTTTCCTCCTCAGCAGGCTCAGCGGTCAGAGCGGGCTCTTCAGTTGTCTCAGGAGCCTTTACCTCCTCAACAGGTTCTTCAGCAGGCTTGTCATCTTCAGTTGTTGTTGGTTCATCAGCAGCGACAGGCGCGTCAGAAGCGGGAATATCAGCAGGAACAGCAGGAGCTGGCTCTTCCTCAACCTTCTCGGGAGGCGGAGACTGTTGGCCCTTCTTTTTCTTTTTGTCTTTCTTCTTCTTCTTTCCTCCCCCGGTTGCGGGCGCCGCTGGCTCTTCTGGGGCAGCCTCTACAACAGCTTCGGGCTCAGATGCGGGCTCAGATGCGGGCTCAGGTGTTGGTTCTGCTGCTGGTTCAGGCGCTACTTCAGGTGCCGGCTCTGGCTCTGCAGGTGCTTCTGAATCTGCAGCTGGCTCAGGCACTGATTCAGATTCTGCAGGCAATTCCGGCTCTGCAGCTGGCTCAGGCACTGGTGCCGGCTCTGTAGGTGTTTCCGGCTCTGCAGCTGGTTCAGGTACTGGTTCCGGTTCTGCTGGTGCTTCAGGCTCAGCTGCCGGTCCAGGCTCAGGTGCTGATTTTTCCACTGTTGGCTCGGGCTGTGCTGCTTCTTCCGCCGCTGGCTCGGGGGCTGGCTCAGGTTCGGCTGCTGCTGGCTCAGGCGCTGGCTGTTCAGGTTCGGACACTTCGGGTGGGGGCGAGTCGGTTGCTCCACCCTTCTTCTTCTTCTTCTTGTCTTTCTTCTTCTTCTTTCCAGCTGATGGTGTGACTTCCTCCGCCTGCTCCTCCGGAGCCGCTGCGGGCTCTTCTGCCTTCGGCTCTGATTCTGGCTCGGGAGCTGCTTCTGCCGCTGGATCGGGCTCTTCTGCCTTCGGCTCCGGTTCTGGCTCAGGAGCTGCTTCTGCCGCTGGTTGCTCTGCTGCAGGTTCAGGCTCTGCCGCTGGCTCAGGCTCTGCCGCTGGCTCGGGTTCTGCTGCTGGCTCAGGCTCCGCTGCCGGTTCAGTTTCTACCGCAGCCTCGGATTCCGCTGCTGGTTCAGGCTCGGGTGCTGCTTCTGCCGCTGGCTCTGGTTCCGCTGCTGGTTCGGGCTCTGCTGCTGGCTCTGGTTCAGCCGCCCCGCCCTTCTTCTTCTTCTTTTTGTCTTTCTTCTTGTTCTTCTTTCCGGCGGGCTTGGCCTCTTCTGCTGCTGACGTCTCCGCTGGTGTTTCCGCTGGTGTTTCCGCTGGCGTCTCGGCAGCAGGCTCAGGCGCAGGTTCCTCGGTTGGTTCTGGTGCAGCCTTTTCCTCCGCAGCGGGCGCAGGAATTTCTTCAGTCACGGCTTCTGCGGCAGGTGCATCTGCTGCCTCGCCCTCTGTGGGAGCAGGCTGCTCTGCCTCCGCGGCCGGTTCTGGCGCGGACTCTTCGGTCGGCGCCGGCGTTGCCTCGGGCTCTACAGGGGTTTCCGTTTCAGGAGACTCTGTAGCAGCTGGCTGATCCTCGGTCGGTTCTGTGGTTGTTGCTTCGGCAGGCTGCTCGGCTTCAGCCGCTGGTTCAGTTGGTTTCTCTTCAGCAGGAGTTTCCTCCGCTGCAGGCTCTGCCGCTGGAGCTTCGTCACTAGCGTTCTCAGCAGGGGCGGCCTCTGCTTGTTCGCTCGTTTCGGCGGCGGGCTCGGCTGATTCTTCGGCTGGCTTTTCTTCGCCAGATTCTGGAGTAGCCTCTTCGGCAGGCTTCTCTGCCTCGCCTTCGGCTTTGGCCTCTTCTACCGTATCAGGAGGTGTCGTTGCACCCGAAGATGCTATATATATTAGTAGCTGGAATGAAAACGGGTGGAAATAAGCGTACCTTCTGCCTCTGGCGAGGAAGCATCTTCACTGCTTGAGTCCTCTTTCGGAGGCGCATCTGGGGCTGGGGTCTGGTCCTTCTCAGCATCCGCGGCATCGGGCTTGTTGTCCTGATTTTTGTTCGTCAGAAGATCCGCAGAGACAGGATGGTATGAAAACTGAGCCGTATAACGGTCGAAGGTTTGATAACGAAATTGAGGATGATCATCGAAGGTTTGATAATTGTACGTGGGGAGCTGTGCATACTGGATCGGGGACCCCATGTTCCTCGGATTCCGCCGGGACGGAGACTGGATTGGAAACCTCTGGGTTGGAAAGATTGTTGTCGTTTACCGGGCCCCTTTTGGCGTTGTTATTCTTCTTCTTATTATTGCCGCCCTTCTTTTTGGCCATCGCAAGGGTCGGGTGGTCAGGAGTGGTGTGCCACCTCTAAAAATATGATAGGTTCGTGCGAGCTCGGCGAGGAGGAGTGAGTATAAGAAATCAATTAGACATCAGATCACGGGCCCTTGTGTAATTGTCGGTTCAGGGGCGTGGCAGGTGAGCAGTCGATTGCGAAAAAGGAAAAATAATGAGGCGACGAGACAGATGAGAGTTGGGATGTGAGAGCAGACAGATACTGGACGACCAGGGTTCAGCAGCTGTCCAAGTCTTATTGGATCGAAGGACAGAGAAAGGCAGCGGAAATCCCGTCTATCCGCAGGTCCCCGTTGAAGACCAAGGCGAGGCGACGTATCGCAATTCGTTTGCGATCCAGTTGTTTGGAATCGTCGAGATTTGGGCTTGAGATTGGGGATGTCATGGACGAACTACCCAACGGCATACCGTCTCATTGGGCCACGTCTCCATGCCTGTGGGCCGACTGGGCGAGAAGGAGAGGGCCCCTCTTCGGGAGCATTGCTGCAAAGTGCAATCGGTCTGCATTGTGCAATGATGGCTGCACCAAGGCCTGCAGTAGTGGCCAGTAGGCAGAGTGCGGCATTGGGCGAGTGTGCGTGGACTTAGTGGGGTGTAACAATTGTCACTTGGGTCTTCGAGTCCGCGGAGAGGCTGGGCCAACAGTTGGCGATTCGTGAGATGGTATGGACCACGAGTCAGACCAGAAGAGGATTCTCTGTCGCAACCCGCAACTGCATGCATTGTGTTCTCTACATTGTCACAGGGTATCAGGTACTGTACCTGAACGTCTGGGAGAAACCGGGACCATGCATCGACTCCAAGCAAGTGTTGAGTGATGATTCCTGCGTTCATCAGCATATGCCATACTGCAGTCTGCTGCTACGCGGAGTAATCTCCCCACCGCGGTCTCTGCCCAACACCACCTGTTTCGGCGAGCGACAGGAGGCTGGGACCGCTGGGTGGCAGGCTGCCAGTGCGTGGAGCAAACCGGGGCCTGGCTGTCTCATGTCAATCGGGGACGAATATTATCCGGAGCACGAGATGGAGCTTTTGCAGGTGCTTGCACTGCTTGGAGGATATATGACGATGAAACTTGATGATTATCGCACAGCGTCTCCAGATTGAGGATGGATGGAGTTGGTCGGGGCGTGGAAAGAGCAGGAAAGCAAGTGGGCGCGGGCTTTCTCCACGACCGCCACGTCGATCGCCCACAGACCACAGACCACCGTCTCCACTCTCCACTCTCCACTGCCTGACCGTCACCGACCGTCCGACCACGTCCACCGACTTTTATCTCATACTCTCAGGCCGGCGTGACTCAGACTCACATCTGGCTCTTGGAGCTCTCAGACCCCATCAGGTCATAAAGGGGCAAGATGGCAGTCGCTTGAATAATCATGATCAGCATCGACCATGATTCCAACCCCACTGCCCGAATCATCAAGAAAGCCGCACCGGCACCTCGTACAAAGTGAGGCGCGCTATAGTATGGCGGCCGACAGCTGGCCGTCTGTGCATGCAAACTGTCCGCTGCATCGAACAACCCGGTTAAACTCGCGACTACCATGTCTCAACTCTCAAGGCCTTTGTTTAATTTTAGGTCTCTTGCCCAAACCCTGCAGGTGATGCCTGAAGGAAACTCCGCGTCTACTCCTTCGGTTCTGTTGCATTCCATGCATACTCCGCACATAAGGGCTGATTGACGCGCATTGCCATTGCGGAGGCGAACATGGTACTTATCGTGTCTATCGACCTCGGTGTTGATCATCTCGTCTGGCGCCAATGAGAGGTGGAGAATGAACAGTGATTTCATGGCATGTCTACCGACGCTCGAGCACCATTCGGGTGAGAAGAACGATATCAGGCAGTCATCTCACTTCCTTCCATACGGTGAGGCCAGATATCTGTGGTTTGTTTCTCGCCCGGCGCGTCAGAGTCAGGGCGGTTAGGTAGGTTCCCAGGCGCCGAAGACATCACGCACTTAGGGTTATACTCGGTACCCTACACACTAATCTGCAGAGGTTGTCAACTCGTGAGAATGGGATTCGATTGACACGTCCCCTGTCCACGCGTCCCCAAGTCCGCTTACGATTGATAAGGCGTCCACAGTAGAAGAATATCGTCCATGGCCGATATTCTCAGGGCCAGAGGAAAATGAGGCGGTTGATATTCTGCGCAGTCGTTTCGAGCATGAATATAGTAGACTTGTCGAATCCCAGTCCATTCATAGCTCTTCCGCATCTGCGTCCACGCCAACTTTATTAGCCATGCATAAACATATAGACCTATTGCTTGGGAAAGCAGACAAAGGGTCAGGAAGCTGTTTCTCCTGAAAATACCCTCCCTACCAAGCTCCCTTGAACAGATAGAGGCAGCCACCGAACTCAACACCTCTTACTCCCCTCCGTAACCGAGTCCTGATACCCACTGGCACAGACTTTGGATGCCCTATCGCCCCCGGATTCGTACAGTGATAGAGAATGTTGACGTCCGTCTCTGCGAAATTCGTACTCGCGAGGGCAGCTTTGAGATCTGCTTCTGTAAAGCCTTTACAAGATATATATTTGGTTAGTATCGTGTTTATCCTTAAATGATATAGTTATGGGTGAGTGAAGCGCACCTTGTTAATCAGCTCATCAGGGCAGCAATCGAAGCTAGGTGCAGGTCTTGGCCGCGATGGCGGTGCCCGCGAGGAGGGTAAGGGTGTATAGGACGGTTGACGGTTTCATCTTGCTGGTTGCTAATGCGATTGTTTAAGCCTTGAAAGTCAATGATGCTGTATACCCCAAGATAGGAAATGCAAAAGAGGGATCTGGAGATGCTTGGCTTCTACTCCGGGATGATGAGTCGTTTTATAAACTTATGTGGTGCTTGCATTCTCCCTGCCTTGCGGGTTGATTGGAATGCGGGGAGTTTTTGGAAATTAGAATAGCAGGTAAAGGAATGCGAGTTACTTCGTGGGTTCTAGAATTCCTCTAGAGTAGATATCTCGAGAAGATTTGACTATTTTATGAGCCATTCCAAATTACCTTGATAGGTAGGGCAAAGGCGACTCGGGGATATCGGGTCTGGTCCAAAGGTGAAGTTAGGGCTTGCCGTCCACGTCCTCGGTCCCAATACCCATCAATCTGGATATTTACAAAGCATGAAGCCAACTAGACACATACAAAACCCGTGACACAAATAAACCAAGTTTTCAATTAAGTAATTATCCAACGTGTAGAAATGATTTCCCCTAGTAAGTATAAATAAACCGCGGGTTATGCTCGCCCAGCTCTTCCGCCTCCTCTTCCGTCATCCCCTCAACCCGCCAGTCCTCCTTCCCACTCCTCTTGCGCTCATTCTTTCTCTTGAACCACGCCCAGAAGAGCAGGTATATTATCGCCGACATGGCGACCAGGCCCATGGACACGGCGTGACCTTTGATATAACGAGGACCTTCATTGGTGGTATAAAGCTATGAGGTTGTTAGCATACGTTACACCTCGAAGACAAAGAAATATTGCAGGAAGGACGCACGAAAGGAGCAGGAATCCCCGCAGAGTTACCAATGGTAAGCTGTAATCCCGTCGCAACGGTCCGCTTTCCATAACGCGGTGTGTTGCTAGGAAGCCATGCGAGCGGCAGTCCAACAATAACGTACAGGCCCATGGCAGAAAGGAAGCAGCCAAAGTACTTGACACCGCCAGGTGCCGGCGAGACAAGGATTGCATATCCTGCCGCACAGGTGAGACCGAAAATAACCGTGAACACGGCGCGTTTCTGCGTGCGATCCGAAAACCACGCTACGACGATGTAGCTAATCGCACCGAGGGCGTAGCAAGGGATCGTAAGAGCCTGGACCTCAGCGGTACTCCAATCACCTAGTCCCTTGATGATGGTTGGTAGGAAAGTAGAGTAACCATAAAGGATGGTGTCGCCGCCAAATTGTCCGATTGTGAATAGCCAGATCTTCCAGTCTTTGAGTCCCTCGATGACATCTGCCTTGTGCATCTGGTCGGAGGACTTGGTGTGTCCGATTTGGCGGCGCATGCGGGCGTCGATGAGCTCGCGCTCGGCCATGGTTAGGTAGTGTGCGGTGTCTGGGGTATCGGCCAGCCACCACCAGATGGAGATTCCGAGGAGGAAAGTGGGAATGCCCTCGAGGATTATGATCCAGCGCCACCCTCGCAGACCAGCTACGCCATCCATGTGCCCGATGCCGTAGCCGAGGAGACCGCCGATGGAGCCAGCAATGGCGGCCGAGACGAAGAGGTAGCCGATTCGAAGGGCGTATTCTTTCTTCGTGTAGAAGCATGTGAGGTAGATGGCTAGACCTGGAAACAAGCCGCCCTCTAAGGCGCCCAGGATGATGCGGCAGGCGATCAAACCGCCATAGCTTTGGACCACGCCCGTGAGTGTGGCGACAATACCCCAGGCGGTGGTGATGAACGAGAGCCAGCGGGAGGGCTTGAATTTCTTGATGACGAGGTTGGAGGGCAGCTCCGAGAGAATATAGGTGACGAAGAGGATAGAGACGGCAATCTGGTATTGATTGCCTTCTAAGCCGAGATCCTCTTCTAATCCGTACAGGCGGGCATTTCCAATGTTGACACGATCAAGGAAACTGAGGAGGTAAAGCAACATAACAGGCGGGACTATCCATCTGTCTAATTTGCGGAGCAAGGCCTTCTCCGCGGCTGGGTCGATGGGGATGTCATGGTCAATGCGCTGCTGCTCATCCACCTCCTTGTCGGGGATTGTGTCGGACATTGAGTCTGACATGGTGGCAAAGTCAGTGGTAGACTAGGTATGGAAAGCAGAGAAAGAGAGTGAGAAGGCTGAGGGCCATGATCGTTTTATGGGCCCCCGGTCTCTATCTGCAGATACCCCGGATCGATAACAAGATAATGGGCGGCCTGCAGCGACTGGAGAATCTATCAGGTAACAGGATCTCATGGAGGAGGAGTTAGGGCTCCACGACTCCAAACCCAGATTGGTTAAGACCAGCATCGACGTGGGTCGCCTCGGTCTGGGAAGGACTTGCCGACGGTGCGGAGGAAGACCGGCAGTTTGCAGGTTGCCGACATCTCTATCTGATACTCGTATCATCTTCTTTCAATCTCGGATATTTGGAGTAATAGCATCCCGGCATAATGGCTGACAGTTATAGTATGGAAATTATCATTGCGATAAGCGTGTGGCAACACAGAGTTGCCGGTTGGCAAACGGAAGAGTATCGGCAACTGCGTAGGTCATAATAAGGTCATAAATTGTCATACTCCATACCTTAGAGATCTGCATTAAGATCCAAACATGAACTGCTCTTCGATCTCCGAAGCAAATTCCTTTAGCGTCCCATCCTCTGCGAATAAGCTATCCATCCATTGTACTTGATTTCTGTCCAAAAAGCTGCCGATCAAAGGATTTGCAAGAACGTCAACGTTGTCATAGCCAAATACTTCTGCATCTCCCCTCTCTGCGCCATCTAAGCTTATGGGAGTATGAAGCGGCTGATCTTGATTTGCAGTGGCAGCAGGTGCTCTTTCGAACCCTGCTAATGGATGACTACTTTCAGATCTGTCGACACCAACGCCGCCGAAACGGCCAGTGGATCGTAAGGTTGATACGCGTGCCTGGATGTGTGATAGTCTCTCACAAAAATCAACTGCGGGGATGTTTCCGTCATTCTTTAATGACCGTAGAACGCTCAGCAGAGTCTCCAGGCAGTCCGAGTTGACGGCCGCTGGTTTCATCATGGCAGACATGATAAGAATCATCGCTGCTGAGAAGATATGGTGGGCATCCCAAAAACCGAAAGTGGCCAGCTGACCGTCAAGGAAAAGACCTTCAACGATACGGCTGGATGCCTGCGCCGCATTGACGCAACTCTCGGCCAGGGCCAGTGTAATAGATGAGACGTTTTGCCGTGGTGTCACCTCGTCCCGAGCTTTATAGCCCAGTTGGAACTGCATCTTGAACAGATGAAGTAGGACCGGCCGGGTACATTGAATAATGCATTGGTTGTATGCAAGATGGAGACTGGCAACTGGACGAGGTGTGCCCCTCTCTTTGACTCGCATGTCAGGCGGCAGCTCATCATGCCATTCCCTTAAACTTTTTAAGATACTGTGTACTTGGTTGATATATAGTCCTTTCGTGGCCTTTGGTATTCCGTAAATCTGGGTTACTGCTGACGTGTTAGATGAGCCACAAGTCATTAGGGATGCACTTACAGATGTTCCCAATGATTCGGCCTAGTTTGATATTGATCACAAGATTTCGAGGGTCCAGGAACTCAGCCATCTCGTCTCTTGTCAGGCCATCCATACTAGGCATTTCAACGTCTATATCCTCATCCCTCACGGAGATAGGCTGGCCGAGTTTCGATGCTGAGAAACGATCAAAAAAGTAGAGCACCCACCACGTTCGGCGTCGGCTCTCTCGCTCGACCGGGGTCAAAGTGATATGTCGTGCTGCCGATCTATGCATTCCCAAGCTTAGAGCGAGTCGCATGGCTATTCCACTATAGCAGTACGCGGTTCGAATTCTTCCAAGTATTTGTGATGCCCAAGCCTGTTGCTATTAGCTAGGTGCATTACCGGAAGAGTGATCGTTTCCTACCAACAGCGTCAAAACTTCCACCAACATCAGGCAGGGTTCTTCGTAATAATCCTGGTTTTCCTGCAATAGTTGGACTGCTTGAATGTAGTAGTTCGTCCCTGGGACTCTGTTGCTGTCGCCAACTCCTCGTCTTTGCGTGTATATCTCTCCCAAAGCTATAAGGGCGTAGAACTTGCACAGCCACAGATTCGACGGTATCAGTTCTCTTCTGTAGACAGCATCGATCTCTTTCATGAATGTAACCTCGAGAAAAAGCGGGTGATAATTGCCAATAAACCGCCGCGCAACGTTCAACAATAGTTTGACATGCATCCGTTCAGGAAATGCTACACCCTGGTTCATTGGTACTCGATCTCGAGTATTGAGGCGATGATAGTTTGATAAGCCGGACGTGGACGGAGTGTAAGTGTCATCAAGGCACGATAAAAGTCGATTGCTAAAAGCAGCGCATGATGCTTCTCCAATGAATCCGGGCTCTAGAGACCGTTCATGGACTGGGTTTTCGGAGTGTCTGTCGAACAGAGGATTAAACAAGTTACTCTCCTCTTTGGACAGCGGCGGGGACTCGTCGTCATCGTCGTTATCGTTAATGAGGTTTTGTTCACTCATTGATGCTGGGCTTCGAGTAGCAAGGGCGCGCAGACGCCTGTTGTCTTCTTCGAGTTTATTGAGATAACTGAAACGTTATCAGCCTTGACCTCGGTCAGACCATCGTACTAACCTTTCATCCACTCGAATCTTTCGCTCTTTGGCAGGAAATTCGCATTCTTCGGCCCTGTTCGTAGACACACAGGCCTCACATGGCGCTTTGCCAGAACACTTGATTTTTTGTGCATGGCATCTATGACAGCTACAGTAAGGTATTAGAATAAAGTCACAGACATGGTGTGAAGTGCTCACGCTGCTAGAAGCCGCCTTGGGCGCCTTGGTCCACGGCTACTCATCGAGGGTGACTTAGTGTGGAATCTTTTCTCCTGTCAGTACCAATGCAGACTGCACGGTCTCGGTCGCATGGAGCAAAGCAATTGTGGGGTCCGGGGTAAACGGCTGAGAGACTGAAGATGAAGAGTTGCCGGAGCGTTGGAGACGGCAAATGTCACGCTACCGACTGAATCCTCCGGCATCTCCAATCTTACCGAGTCAACCAATGGGCGAACTTCCCCTCACCCCTCCACAATCGGACCTTCAACATCGCGCCCTATCTTGGATATAAACCAGAGGTCTTGGAAAGTCAAGATGTTCACTCATTCCTCAATTCCAACCTCTTCTTCTTCTACCCTAAATTTCTCCTCCTTGTTCTCCCCGCCCCTCTCACCCGCTTCGCCCTCCTCCTCTTCTCACTCCTTTTGCCTCTTCCCTACTCCTTACTCTCACAATGGCCACCCAGGGCATCCGAATTGCTATCGACAGGGGCGGAACGTTTACCGATGTGTGGGCTCAAGTTCCCGGCCGCGAGGAGCACATAGTCTTCAAGATCCTCTCGGTATGTCCCGATGAGTACGATGACGCGCCAACAGAGGGTATTAGACAGGTTCTCGAGATTGCCTCAGGAGCCTCAATACCCAGGGGCTCATTATTAGACCTCGAGCCCATTGAGTCAATCCGCATGGGAACAACAGTCGCAACCAATGCTTTATTGGAACGAAAGGGAGACCGGGTGGCCTTCCTCGTCACAAAGGGCTTCCGGGATATCCTGTTTATTGGCAACCAAACCAGACCCAATCTATTTGATCTTTCTGTTCAACGGTTAGAGCAGCTTTACGAAACAGTGGTTGAAGTTGATGAGCGTATCACTATTGAGGGAGCTAGCGAGGCCCCTGAACCTGAAACTCCCATCGACGTCTCGTCAGATCCGGCGCTGGTCACGGGCCAAACTGGCGAGATTGTGCGAATTATGAAGAAACCGGACCTTGGGGCTGTTCGGGCAGACCTTGAGAAACTCAAGGCCCAAGGCTTTCAGAACATTGCCATCGGTTTCATGCACGCTTACACCTATCCAGAGCACGAGCTCCAGGTGCAGAAACTTGCCGAAGAGATGGGTTTCAAGGTCTCTGCTTCTTCTATTCTTCAATCCATGGCCAAGTTCGTCCCTCGAAGTCAATCGGCCGTTGCAGACGCTTACCTTACTCCTATGACCTTTGCCTACCTTGATGGTTTCCGCAAGAACTTCAAGGGCCAGTTGGAAGATGAGAGTGCCAACAAACTTCTTATCTGCCAATCAGATGGTGGCTTGACAAGCTGGGCTAAGTTTACTGGCTTACGTGGTGTTTTGAGTGGCCCTGCTGGAGGTGTCGTTGGCCTTTCGAGAACATGTTACGATGATGCTGATGGCACTCCCGTCCTAGGCTTTGACATGGTGAGTTCCTTGCTCTGTCATATAGCTTAATACTGATCAATTGAGCAGGGCGGAACCAGCACGGACGTCTGTCGGTTTTCCGGCTCTCTTGAACATATTTTCGAGAGCACCATTGCAGAAGTCTCACTCCAAACGCCAATGTTAGACATCAATACCGTTGCTGCCGGTGGTGGTTCTATTCTAGCATGGGAGAGTGGCCTCCTTAAAGTTGGCCCTAGCAGTGCTGGTGCCAATCCTGGACCTGCCTGCTATGGCCGTGGAGGCCCTCTAACTGTCACTGACGCCAACTTCCTCCTCGGTCGAATCATCCCTGAGACCTTCCCTCGCAAGTTGGATTTCGATACTGTCAAGGAGAAGTTCAGCGCCCTTGCGGACAAGGTCAACAGTGAAAAGGACGGCGGTGAACCGTTCACTCCAGAAACTCTGGCTCTTGGCTTCCTGGCTATTGCGAACGCCACCATGACTCGACCTATCAGAACCCTCAGCGAAGGGCGCGGCTACGGCGCAGCTAGCCATAATTTGGGTTGCTTTGGAGGTGCAGGGGGCCAGCATGCTGTGTTTGTTGCTCGCGATCTGGGTATCAAGCGGGCTATCATTCCCTCGTACTCGAGTATCCTTTCTGCCTACGGAATGGCTCTGGCGGATGTGGTTGTTGAGAACCAAGAGCCGGCTGCCATCACCTTCTCTGAAGCAGCCGTGTCCGAGATCAAGGCCCGCCTTGCATCGCTGTCAGATCGAGGAGCCAAAGGTCTTGAAACTCAGGGCTTTGATGCTTCATTGACAGAGCACGAATGCTTCTTGAACATGAGGTATCAGGGAAGTGATACCTCTTTGATGATCGCACTGTCTGAGGATGTGGCAGACGCCGGTAATGCATTTACTGCCCGGCATACACAGGAGTTTGGCTTCTCGCAATCTCGCAACATCTTGGTCGATGACGTCCGTGTCCGAAGCGTGGGCAAGTCTCGAGTGCTGAACATTTCCAGCCCATTCGAGGAGCTCAAGAAGTACAACTCTAACGATCTGACACCATGCCCGACTCCTGCTTTCTCGCGCCAGATCTTCTTTGAGAAGTATGGTTGGACGGAGACTCCCGTGTACGAGCTCAAGTCATTGAGCGCTGGAGTGCACATCACCGGCCCCGCTATGATCATCGACAAGACTCAAACCATTGTCGTCGACCACCTGAGCAAGGCTATCATTCTTCCTGAACACGTCGTTCTCGAAGTTGACCGGGCAGATCAGCAAATTGTTGACACCCAGACTGTCGACCCCGTGCAGCTTAGTGTCTTTGGCCACCGCTTCATGACAGTGGCGGAGCAGATGGGACACACGATGGAGAAGACATCGATTTCAGTCAACATCAAAGAACGTTTGGACTATTCTTGCGCCATCTTCTCCGCCGATGGAGGCCTCGTGGCAAACGCTCCGCATATCCCCAGCCATCTTGGGTCCATGAGCTCTGCGATTGCGTATCAGGCGCAAAAGCACAAGGGTGATTTGAAGCCAGGCGATGTCATTATCAGCAATCACCCCCGGGCTGGCGGCACCCATCTGCCTGACATCACCACTATCACACCCGTGTTCGACGAGGAGGACAAGGAAGTCATCTTCTTCGTCGCGAACCGTGGTCACCACGCAGATATTGGTGGTATTGTGCCAGGCTCCATGCCCCCCAACAGTACCGAACTATGGCAGGAAGGTGCCGCTATTGAATCATTCAAGATGATCAAGGAGGGTGTCTTTGATGAAGCTGGTCTTATCAAGCGTCTCTACGACGAGCCAGCGTCATTCCCCGGCTGTAGTGGTACCCGGACATTGGTTGAGAACATTGCTGACCTGAAGGCTGCTGTTGCTTCGAATCAGAAGGGTATCGAGCTGATCAAGGCCATGGTCAAGGAGTTTACCTGGCCAACAGTCGAGCGCTATATGTACGCGATTCAGGAGAACTCTGCTCAAGCAGTGCGCGATCTCCTAAAACAGTTTGCTGCCAAATACGAAGGTGGTGTTCTCAAAGCCACAGAGTACAACGACGACGGCATCCCGTTCAAGCTCAAGGTAACCATCGACAAGGATACCGGTGACGCCGTCTTCGACTTCACCGGTACTGGTCCAGAGCACTCCGGCAACCTTAACGCCCCTCCCACCTGCTCATACAGTGTCATCATGGTAAGCATCCCTCCATAAAGCCGATCCATTCTTAAACTAACTCGGTCAGTACTGCCTCCGCTGCATGATTGCAACCGACATTCCCCTCAACCAAGGCTGCCTCAAGCCCATCAAAGTTGTCTGCCCCGACAACACCATCCTAACCCCCTCCCCCACCGCCGCAACCGTCGGCTGCACAACCGAGACCTCGCAAAAGGTAACCGACCTCGTGCTGCGCGCCTTCAACGCCGCCGCCGCTTCCCAGGGCACAATGAACAACCTCTCCTTCGGCTGCGGCGGCACAGATCCCGTCACGGGTGAAGTTAAAAAGGGCTTCGGGTACTACGAGACCATCTGCGGTGGTGTAGGCGCCGGATTAGGCTGGCACGGCGCTTCCGCAACACATTCACACATGACCAACACCCGCATCACGGATCCGGAGATATTCGAGAAGCGGTACCCCGTCATCTTGCATGAATTCTCGATCCGGCATGGAAGCGGTGGCGCGGGTCGATGGCGCGGTGGAGACGGGTCTATCCGTGAGATTGAGTTCACGATGCCCCTGCAGGTTTCGGTGCTTACGGATCGACGCGTTACGGCGCCGTATGGTCTTGAGGGTGGCAGTGAGGGAGCACGTGGTCAGAACATCTGGGTGCGCAAGGACCCCGTTACTGGGGCCTCGCGGATGGTCTCTTTAGGGCCCAGGAAGACATCTATGTTCGGTGCTGGAGACCGGATCATTATCCATACTCCAGGTGGTGGTGGTTATGGTACCCCGGTTACAGATGGAAGCGAGGTAAATGACGTTGCAGTGAAGACACAAGACACGAGATCATTCTTGACGAATGGGTCGTTAGGTGTGAGGCATAGCATTGCGACTGGAAATTAGGGCCTGGAGCTGGGATATTGTCATTTGGTCTGGATTGTTAGGTTGTTCTTTAGATTCCCTTTGCGTATTTGGTTATTGAATTCAGCGTTATGTTCAAACCGTAGGACCTTAATAAAGCACGATTCGAACTCTTGTTTGAGATGAAAGCCTCTAATTTTCCCGGGGTCTTCCCGTTTCCTGTATCCGCCCTCCTACCCCGGGTAACTTGGCCACGAGAAACCTATACGAGAGAGTTTAAACATTTGTCATAAGCCATTTCAATTGGACATAAAGCACATACGACCACAGGGTGTGGAGAACAGGGCTTCCCGTCCGCTCAGCCGTACTTAAGCCACACGCCGGCTGGTTAGTAGTATGGTGGGTGACCACATGCGAATCCCAGCTGTTGTATGTTTTTGGATTTTTTTTGCTCCTGCCGTCAAAGCAGTATCATCATAGTTACCTATATCACTCCCCTCTCTTGCCGCCGGAGACCATCAGTCAAGCGATGCCATCGGTGTTCCACGTGACGCACAAGGGGCCCGGGGTACCTTCTGCCTTTTTGGGACAGATCTGAGACTAGCGGCTTAGCTTCATCTGGAATCATCCTAGGCCAAAGTCAATTCTCAACTTCCACTTTTAAGGACATGCTGTCAAGATCACTGGAGTCTTGTAAAGACAGTCGGAGGAAACCATGAAATTGAGGATCATGCGCTTCTCCGCAAGTTAGAACAGACTTCCCCTTCTTAGGCGGGCACCCACCTGTTAGAACGAGCTTGCCAATCATCATGCGTCGACGACAACACTCGAGTTCCAACATGAGCGTATGGGGTACATGCATATTCTTCTTTCTGTGTTTGCTCCAAGCGTCAGCGTGCGGGGGATACGATGGCCCTCCGGAAAAATGTGAGTAGCCAGACCTACTACTACTACCATTGCTAATTACGGAGGCAGTAATCGGAATCCACCTCGGCCGGGAGGTTCGCGTCGGTGCCATTAAGGACGGCCAGGTCACCGTCTTCACCGACAGATGGGGTGTCGACCATTTCACTCCCTATGTGGGTGTCTTCAATGACCGTCCCGGCATCGGCCGTGGCGAAAAGGCCATCGGAAGTACGAATATGTTTGGGAGCGTGATGGCAATTAGGTATGTCGCGCCCACAATCGTTCCCATCTGATAGAATGATTACGTTACGGTCCCAAACGCAAACGCTCATAAGAAGAGGTCCCTTGTAGCCACCAACGAGCTGAAAACACCGGGATCTTCAAGCCTACGAATCTTGATATCACGCCTCCAGAAGCTTGGCCCAAGGCTAAGGTCACGGATGTGGTGCAGGGACTTTTATCCAACGGGACAGAATACACCTTCATGCCCGACGAGATCTATGCCCCTGTTCTCGCAGAGCTACGAGATATAGCGGATGCCCATATCGGCCCGAACATTACCGGAGCAGTGGTCACGATTCCGCCATTCTTCACTGATACTGATCGCGAGGATCTTGAAAGAGCTGGGAAGCGGATTGGGCTCCCAATAGTCCGTCAAATGCACGAAGCTACCAGCATGATAATCTCCCTGGGTCTGGACGACCTCTCCTACGAGGGAGAGCGGTATGTCCTTCATCTCGAGATAGAACGAGCCATGCTCTATCTTTCGATTCTAGAAACCGATATGGGCATGGTCGACCGACTGGCCACGATCAGGACAAACCTGGTATCCCGACGAGGTGACGAAGTGCGCCCTGTGCTGGACCAGCTTCTTTACAAGGCCGCTCTAACCCCGAAACAAATAACCGACTTGGTCATCTACACCCCAGGGCCTACATATGACGATGTCCAGTGGAGTATAAAGGACTATTTCCCCAACGCATGGATCGCCAATACGCCGCTTCTCGAGACGGCGGGCGTTTGGGGTGCTACGCTGGTCAGTGGGTGGATGAGCGGCGAGGGAGACGCTGACTGGGTCCCCTGTTGCTGTTCAACCCGTCGACCACCAGTTGGGATATATTCTGATGGCAATGGCGATGACGCTTGGGCTGAGATTCTTAGTCCGTGTCAGTCTCTGCCTGTCTATCAGAAAGCATCGTTAAGCATCCCCTGTGACGACAACACCGCGACGGCCAAGGTCTATATGCGCGATCTCCCCTGTCTCGACTACCACGCTATGTACGAGATGGGCGATTTGTATGTTCCGGAGACGGAGACGACGCGAGATGTGTTTCTCGGCGAGTTTGCGGTTCCAGCCTCTTGCGAGCAGGGTGTCGCGAATATCGAAGTGGAGGTACTTATGACTCGGAACGGGACTTTAAAGGTTAAAGGTGTCAATCTTGATAATAGGAAGAGTGGAGGAGACTCGACTGTCACCGTGGAAAAGCCGCATTTTGCCTGTGGGGATGCGCTGCGGCTTGTTGACAAGGAGCCGGCCAATTATACAATCTCCGCGGGTGAGGATCTGGAGACGAAGTATAGCTTGGAGCTCAGGGGATTTGTCGGGCCTGATAGGGAGCAGAAGCCGGTTGATGCGTTTGTGGAGTTTAAGCCTCTGGACGATGACTTACTGGTCTTCATGCAACAGCATTAGGTAGCGGGTTGATTGATCAGAGACTTGAGACTCGATGCATGCCCCTTTGCAATCTCAATTTGGAGCTCCTTCAACAATGTATTCGTCACATCTATGACACCCATTCCTATTCGACCCCTTAACTAGGGTTAGGGTTCAGCACATCCCAACCCAGCCAGTCTACATAATATGGACATCATAGACACCCTGCGGTACCATCATCAATGCTAGAGTGCTCCAGCGTACCTGAGCTGGCTTTTCATATCACAGTCATGCAACTCTTATGTCTCCACTTGTTTAACCCTAGCACTAGATTCTAGGGTACAGTCGCACACCCCATACACCCCCACCAGTGCAACCATCATCTGCGCTACCACAAGTCCTCAGTGTCTCGTCATTCAATTTTTGTAGACGACTCCGGACGCCGTGGCTTCGCCTTCTCGCACCGCCAAGGCGCCGGTCGCCCAGTCGATCCCCGGCCCAGTAAGGTTCCTGCGACATCAACAAACCACTGAAAGACGGAGACGGTGGTAGCGGCAGCGCAAAGTCAGCGATGCAGTGGTCTGTATATGAGTGGAAACCCGAACATTAGCTTGCAGGTTACAATTAGGGCAGGGTTTGGTGGATGTACTCATGCTGCACCCCGTGACGTGGTACGAAGGCGGGAAGTCGATGAGCACCGACTCGACGTCAGGATAATATACAACAGTGCAACGATGCCAGCGACCCTGCCCAGCGCGTGGGAGAGGTTCCATTTCCGTTCGTGGAGCGGCCTTGTAGGCAGTTGACGAGGATGGGCATCATGTAGGAGAGATTGAGGGCGACGACGGGGGCGGAGATAATCGCGATGAAGGCGCTGTGCATGTGGTCAATGACTGCGCAGGGTAGGGTAGGGTAGGGTAGCTTTGGCCCTGGGTGTGAGTGAACGGACCTGCTCGAGCCCAGGAAAATGCACCCGAAGCATATGACCACCACGAGGTGCGCTTGACAGTTCCGATCAAGAAGAAATGTCTCTGTGTTGAGCAGAAGAAGCAAGAGAACTCCCTGTGTCCGGGGCAGCACAGGGGCTGGACAGGTAAAGTCTCGACACTGGACTAAACTGAAAGACCTGCGCAGACGGCCCCGTTAGGGTGCAAGGAAATGTCCTCAATACTGCTTGTGCGATGGTCAAGGATGGGCCTGCGTTTGCGAGCCTTCAACTTCCTATCAACCAGATACACAACTCCTAACCTGTGAGACTGACAAGATACTAGGCGGCGGCCTCTCACGACTTGAGGAATGGGCGACAAGTGTCCTTGCTCATCTCGTGCTTACTGAGAGTCATTCCTCCCAGGGTTGTCCTCTTTCTATCCTACCCCGTGATAATGGCAGTCGGCTCTGACCTCTGACCTCTACAGAAATTTCGGGCGTATATTGGAAAGTCAAAAGCACCGTTGTGGCATTGAGGAACAGGCGGTTCAATCAGCCGAGCGAAACTCTCCCTCTGGAGGGTCTGGTAAGCGAACGCCTTCCCAACTCGGAAAAAGGTCCTTGCTGTCCGGTGCTGAGCATCGCTGCAATTTATACTCGCCCACGAGGAGTGCTTCTCGTATCTTACGTTCGTGCTCTCTGAAAAGCAATGTCGACGAATCCATCCCAGACAGCAAATCATAGTGAAACTGGCGATGTTCATACCTTAGCTGGTCAGCAAAGGATGCCTCTTTCAGGGCAAGAGCATATGCGTAAAGGTAGTTGAGCATAATGGCCAGATGATGCAATACATTGTGATTGCTAGGACCATCTAGCCAACTCTCAATCAGGGCATCGAGTAGTCCTGGTAATGTGGGGAAGGACGCCGTTTTGTCTGGCAATCGTTCCGTAATCCGCACACCGTCAACCATCGAGGCAAGCGTCAGAGATACATGATCAAAGGGTGAACTGGCTGTTAAAGAAACCTTCCAGTCAGACGCCAGAAGCAGGACAGTTTTAGTCGCGCCATTAGGACATAGCAGTGGGATTTGTGGGATATCCACTTCGGCATCTCCAATTCGACGTGGTGACTCCGTATCCAGGGCCCATCCAGCTTTGATGAGGCATCTAGAGGCTACACCGAGGTCTGGAACAAGGATGTATAGATCAAAGACCACAGTGGGGACACCATAGAGAAGGACGGCATCTTCGAACCAGACGACATATGGAACTTCGTTGTCCCCCAGGATGAAGCAAGAATCGTACCTCGTCCCAGACTGATGCTTAACGGCAATTATGGTATGGTCCGACATGCTTTGGTCGTGTTTGATGAGACCGGTGCCTAGAGGGGAGATGTGAAGAGGGAAGAAGCTCCAGACACGACAGTGGCTGAGGCATGGGTGAGGCACGTGACCAGCTTCCACATCAACCAATCAGGTTCAGGAATCGAGGTGTATAGACTGGCACTTGGAACTTGGAACTAACGATCAGGTACTCTAGAAGTTGTGTGAAACAGGAGATTTTTGGCAGCTGAAGAACTATATGATACAGCGCTTAGTCCCAGGCGGAGAGCTGAAGGTATATATATATATATATATATATGCGTGCGGCTATGCTGGCGCCTAGAGGTAGGTACCCAATGGAGCTCATTTCTCAACATGTGCTATCCGAAGCCTTTCTTGGATCGTTCACGCCTACTCCAAGGTTCCCAGCTACGCATTGCTTGAGCATTCTTCTTTCCGAGCAGTGGTGTCATATCTCCAGCATTTGTCTCGAAACCATTTACTTTGCACTTGACCAACCAACCTTGTCATTTCGCCTCGTCCAGGGCCGGGTCCCATCACATTGCCTTGGAGTACTGGTGTTGTGTCCATACAGGAATTATGACGACCTCGTTGAACCGTATCCCAATGCAGCATTCGCCAACACAGATACGCGACGCCGCAACGGCAGTCGCAAATGCACTTTCCCCAAACACCATATACGCGGTTGTTGGCGGTGCTGCTTGCTGCGTCCTGGGTGAGAATCGAACGACACAGGACGTCGACTTCGTTGTCTTGCGAGGCCAGGCTTTCGCCGCGCGACAGCTGCTGCGAGCATCGGATGATTTCGACGTCGAACCCAGAACCAAGTATACCACCTTCAAGGGCATAATGCCTGTTGACATTGAGGTACTCGCACCTCCCACGATGTTCAAAGAGGCGTTTGATGAGAACACCGAAGTGGTCACTGTTGGGAACATCAAGGTCCTTAAGCCTGCTTTGCTGCTCAACGCAAAATGCCGTACAGTTGTGGAGCGCTCGACTGGTGACAAAAGGTCATCCGATGCCCAGGACATAATATTCCTCTTACGGTACTGTGCTCAGCATGCAGAGTACCTTCCAAAGGCTTCGGAGGTTCCCAATGCGACCAAGCAGTTCGTCCAGGTGTTCATCCAGAAATATCAGGGCCAGGAGTCTTGGGTTAGAGCTGGATATGACCTGGAAACCGGTATGTTTCTGTCTGATATGAATCTTCATGGTTGTCGTTTAATCTCTCGCTAGGTCGGTTTACCAGAGAATAAGCCATCTATATCCCAGGAACTGCCTTCCTCCTTCCGACCAGGGCCCGTCTCAGAGACGTGATCATCGCACCGGTACGGACTAATATAATCTAACTAGATCGCGACCCCACCTGACAGATTATCAATTTTCTGTTCACAAAGGGGGACCTAAATCAGGGGCATATTCTGAGACAAGTTCGACATACCCCTGTCCATGACCACTAGTCATGACTCATGAGTGACCCGACCACCCCTTCCCCCGGACACGGCGACGCCCAACTGCCCAGTTGGAAGTTGAAATTGCTTCCACAACATGGTCATGACTTCGTGTCAACCCCGTATATGCGCGCCAAGAGAGGAGAACACGCGCACTGATAGGCCGAAGCGTTGCTAGGCTGCACGGCTGATGCAACAGGCCACGATCAACGCTAATACGCGCTCTGGTTCACGGCATCGGCGGCTAACACGAGAAGCCTGGTGGTGGGCTGCCAGAGCCTTGCCCTGAGCCTTGCCCTGAGCCGCATATATGATAAGAACTGATGGCCAGTTCGCAACTGCCAGAAATGACAACAACCGTCTAACCAGCCAATATGCGCCCATGCAAGAATGATCATGCTGTATATGCCCGCGTCCTCGGGTCAGGTCCCGATCAGCAACCTTCACTCGACAATGATGAAAGCTCGCCTGTTACATGGGGAATTGGATGGCGATGTCCAACTCTAATGGTTGGTCTCCTTCTTTGCGGCGCCGGCCTGGCAACGGGCCATCACTTCTACTACCGCAGCCTCGACAACACCCTCGTCAACTCAGCCGATCAACAAGCGTGGGCGATTCGAATCGGCACTGCACTTGCTTTCTTAGTCAAGTCTTCCCTAGTGTCTGCCGTTGGGATTGCAGCAGCACAGGAAATATGGGCCACTCTGCGCCGGAAGAGTGTGAAGCTCAGCGGGATTGATGGCATGTTCGCCGTGCTATCCAACCCAATGTCTTTTTTCATCCCCGACATGTGGATGTACGCGAAGACGCTCACTCTATTGGCCATAATATCTTGGTGCGTATTAAGCCTCGTGGTGACAGGCTATACTGACGATCCACCAGGCTCATCCCGCTGACGGCTGTTGTAACGCCTTCGACCCTGGCCGTGCATCTCGAAACGACCAACAGAACTATCCAGTCACAAGTCCCTACTGTTAACTTTACCGATGCCTTCTGGGATGATATGGTAACAACTGCAGGAGCGGGAAGGATCCGGTCACCCTCAGCGGCCATCAGCCGCCTGTTCACAGCTACTTCCTCGTCTCTCGAGGTCGTTCCCGTCCCTGCACTTTTCCCAAACTCCTCTTACACTCTCGAGTTCTGGGGCCCGTCGTACAAGTGTCAGCGACTGAGCGAAGTTATTGTACAGACACAGGGGTTGAATTACTCTGATGTCCTTGGGAATCAATACGACTCCTTTCAAGCACTGTGGGATCATGAGATTGGGAACGTAACTCGACCAGTGCCAACTATCATCTCCTCCGGGGCTGTTCCTAGTGCCCTCAACAATACTTTCTTTATCTGGGCCTCTGGAGCAAACCTGCTGTGGAACGACAACGCCACACAACCAACCGAGCTCGTCTGTCAGCTCTGGAATACCTCATACGTGGTCGACATGACCTTCACAAACAGCATCCAGACCCTGACACCCATATCGGCCGAGCACGTGGCCCCGGCCAACTGGAGTCGAGAGGAGGGTTCTAACTCTCTGCTTAACAAGAACCTCCGAGCTCCTGAGGTCAACCCGGGTTTCTTCACGGTCCACTTGCTGTTCTCCGGCCTTATCCAGGGCACCCTATACGCCAGCGTCTCGATGGAACTAACAGAGAACAAAACCTCCTCTTCCATGACCCCATTCACCACAATGTCAATCGTGCAGAGCGGTCTCTTCGCATGTCCAGACATGTGGAACACCAGTGCATATGTCTACGGCAATGATGAGACTACCTTGTGCCGCAACAGGACGCTAGCACGGGCAATAGAAGACCTCTCGCACAATTTCACCTACAGCCTCCTTAGTCTCAACGCCGGCAATGACAGAGTCCCCATGACTGTCTCAACCCCGCGCAACTTCTACAGCTACAGCAGAGCAAACCTGCTTATAGCCTATGCGGTCGCGCTGGGAGCCACTGTTGCATGCGTTATCGTTGGCTTTCTCGCATTGCACGAGAATGGCGTTTCCCAAAGCACCTCGTTCTCGAGTGTTCTGTTGACAACGCGGAATCCCGAATTGGATCAGCTGGCCGTTGGCCACTGCTTGGGAGCCGATCCTGTGGCAAAAGAGATTGGCAACGTCCGGTTGCGATTTGGAGAACTTCAAAACGAAGACCCTCGATACAAGCATGCGGCATTCGGGACCAAGGGATCGGTAACAGCTTTGACTAAAGGAGAGGAGTACTATTAGGTGGCATTCCATGATATAAAACAGGTGACGGTTGGTTCGGTGGCGCGTGAACCTAGTCCGACAACCAGGATGCTATCGCTGGTGATTCGGACGGACGGTTAAAGGATTCCATCCATCTATAGCGTGGACCCCTTGGATCTTGCTGCGTTCTCGAGGAAAGCTCATCTGACCTGTGTGCTCGTTCCATTTTGTCCACCTGGCTCTGGCTCCAGCTTGCGCCGCTTGGTTCCTGTTCGGTCCACAACCCTAACCCTAACCCAATTTCTCACTCACCACATATTGAACGTAATCCTACTATATATGTTTTACACTGTTGCACTCTCTGGCCGACATACAATCCAGACCCACCTGCTTCAAGCCAGTTAGCCATGACCATGGTCCATAGTACTACGCATCTCGTTATGGAAATACTATAGACGTGTCCAAGTCCTCAAAAGCTGCTGCATATTACCCGACGTATACAGACCATGCTACCAGTTATGGACCATGTTCTTACTTTAAAATAGCGAGATAGGTATGGACAAGGCCTACAGGATCGTTTACTGCACATGTAGAACTTGGTGCTATGCATGCCAGCGGGCGTACCGCAAGGGCACTGATCAAAGTCAGATAGTCATATAATACTCCAGGTTGGAAGGCTACAGGCTACAGAGAGCAAGTAGGGCTTTACACCAGCGCTCTTGATACAATCCCGCCACGGAATGTTCACCTTTGCACTCTACCTAGAGCCATATCGCTCTTTTTTATTACCCAGCTCAAATCAAAACATGTCCTAAGAACTCCGGCATGGGTGCTGAATTGCTACTGCGAACCAATCTACATTGGTCGTATGTCTGACCAAGTATCCAGACAGCCGCAGGGCACCGCGGGACTTGGGAAATCACCTGGAGCTGCAATTGGGGACCAGAAAAAGCTCCCTGGGATCTACCCTAGGGTTGGAGCTGGAGAGCCCCCGTCGTTTGCGTCATGCAGGGCAGATACCGTTCGTTTCCCTAAGAAAACAATATAGCTAGAGGTAACGCAAGAAAAGGTTCAGTTCGTCTTGGCTAGAAGAGAATAAATGGAAACGCCAGGATCCGCAGTTGAAAGCGATTGAAAGCACCAGCAAGAGGACAATAAGCGGTTCCTCGAGTGGAGTGGTATATACCACCCACAAAGCAACGCAGCGCAACGCAGCGCAACGCAGCGCAACGCAGAAAAAAGGAAACGGGATAACAAGCCGTGTCATCGGTCGTGAAGCGCAGGGAGAAGTATGGATTGGATGCGACGTGGTACCCTAGGATAGCTCAGTATAGTGTAATAAGGTTATGTCCTGCTTACATTGGACCACAGAGTAGTAAATGCAACAATCGCGGTACGTGGGCTGGATTCAATAATGGACCTGGTTCAAGCTCCAGGTTATGGGTATAGACGCCATATACGGTGTAACATACTGGCCTGCATGTAATAGAACGTTGCCGGTCCAGTTATACAGTCTTGGACCATGTCCAATTCCATGCCCTAATATGGAGGGAGTGATTACTAGACTACGGGCATGGTATAATATGTCTTTGTATCGGATATTATGATCTATGGTCAAGCTTACAGTCTAAAGAAAAGGAACACGCAGGCCTTGATTATATGTAGGCCGGAGAGTGTAGGATACACTCAGAGCCATGGTATCTCATCATAAATACATCTGTGATTGGCATCACGCCCCGCATCCCTTTCGAAGCTAGAGAACCATAAGATATATACGTAGATCAGAAACCATAGTACAGTAGTAGATGTCCAGAGAGAAGGAATTCGTTTCCATCATCCTAGCTCGCCTAGTATCTTTTGCCTTACCACTCGCGAATCTCGCAATGCATGTTGTCTTCTCATCGCAGTCCAGCCCTTCCCCTTTTTGCGCCATACCGTCCCAGCAGCTGTGAATTATAGGGCTCATACATGGCGGGATATAAATGCCATGTTCTTGTGAATTCAGATCACTTAAGCCTTGAAGGTAACATGAGCGCTGGGCACGGAGCCGTTGCCGACGTTGACAATGGCGGCGTCACGAGCGCCGGTAAGGCCGTACTGGCTCTTGATACCCTCAACACGGTGGGTAGAGTTGATGTTCTTGACCAGTGTAATCTGCCAGCAGGTAGCCCCGCCCTGGCGCGAGGTAATGGTGGAGTACGCAAGGAAGTATTCCCAGATCTAAATAGTCAGTTGCTGCCTTTAGTAAAGTAAAAAAAAAAAAGGAGCACTTACGCGGTACCAGCGCTTGCCGTACTTAGCCTTGACCTTGTCACCGTTACCCAGCCAGTTTCGGTACCAGCGCCAGAGCGTGGCGCTGTAATGGACTCCAACTGTGTCGATTCCCTTAATCTCGAATCCAGCGCCCTCAAGCTTGTCGACCACGAATCCGAGGGGAGTGCTAGCGTCGGCACCAGGGAAGATATACTTGTTCATAAAGAGACCCCAGATGAGATCCTCGTACTGCCAGGACTTGCGGAGACCGGCAATCTGGAGGAAGAAAACTCCATCATCATCCAGCATCTCGTTGACCTGAGCCAAGAATGAACCAAAATGGCGCACGCCGACATGTTCCGCCATCTCCAAGCAAGTGATCTTTTTGTAAGGACCGCGAGGGGCATCACGGTAGTCCATGCATAAGATACGGCTCTGAGATTCGTCAACACCAGCAGCACTGAGACCCTTGTTACCCCAAGCAGTTTGGTTGCGTCCGAGCGTGATACCAGTAACTTGGGCGCCATAGTGGACGGAAGCGTACTTGGCCAGGGTACCCCAACCACAACCCAAGTCAAGCAAGGTGTCTCCCTTTTGCAGACCAATCTTCTCACAGACCACAGCAAGCTTGTTATCCTGAAGCTGCTCGAGAGATTCCTCTTTGTTAACGTCGGAAATGATACCAGATGTGTAGATCATGCGGGGTCCCAGGAACCAAGCGTAGAAGTCGTCACCGCGGTCATAGTGGTCACGGACCTGTTCCTCATCTAGAATCGAGTTAATCATGGGACCTGTTGGCCATGGACGGAAATCAATTACCCTGAGAGCGAGAGTGAACGAGCAACTCCGGAAGAAAGCCGAAGAGGAAGTGCTTGTAGAGACCCATTGTGAAGCGGAAGTTGGCCCAGTCGTGACGGAATTCCAAAGCTTCCAGAGCATCCATCTTGAAGTCGACCTCACCGGCGAAGTACTTCTCATAGAAGACCTCCATGGGAATCTTGCTCTTTCCGCGGTAGGTAGCGCGGTCATGCTCACTATGAAAGTGTAGGTAGTGCTCAACGGGGCGGCCGGCGTACTTGGCTTTTTCGTTCTTGCGGGGAGAGATGGACGAGGCAATAGACCAGAATGCCATCAAGATAGGAATAGTAGTGAAGATCGCGAAGAAGATGGTGGTTTTGAAGCCTCCGCCGATCTGGCTAGCAGTATACCATGGAATGACGACCAGCAGAAGGATGAGCAGGGTGTTGGAGAAGCTGTCGCTGCCGGCAGCGTCTGCTGGGACCGGAGCATTTTTGATGGCTGGGTACTAATAAGCAGAGAACGGAAGTCAGCAATGGTAAGAAACACCTAGGAGAGTGCTTTTCGGAGCTCCTTTGAGGCAATCTGGGGCATCAATGGAGGGCTCACCGAGGTAGTCCGCACTCCGCAGTTGTCGGCGGGAGTGGTGCACGAGGCAGCCGGAGTCTCGATGAACTCGAAGTCCTCGGGCGACTCGGGGTGGATATTCGTCATGGCGGGCGACGAATTGACCAAGACGTCAGGAGGAGAGGGAGGGGGGAGGAGAGTGTGTCAATGGGAAAAGTTGACACGGGGAGGTTGGTGGGAAGACTGAAGAGTCGGTGATGTTCTGGTCCTCTGGATACTGAAATTACGTGTGGGCACCGATCATCCGAGGATCTGCCAAGTCACAAGCTCGACTGCAGCTCATGAACCCTTGAGCTAAGCTTAACTTGATAGACTAGTACTTGAATTGCGCTTTCTACAAAACGTGCACCCCCATTCTCTCCGAAATAAAGCTCTTAGCAGAGTGCTGTGGTCAGGTGTGTTTACTCTGTTAGTCCTGATCTTTGTTCCTGGATGTGGGCCCCGGCTTAGTGTACCAGTTCCAAGCTTATACTCGACCATAGCGGTGAGAGTGAGACCTTTTGATAATGAAAGGAGAACTCCATTTTGCAACAGCGTGGTAAATCATAGAAAAAGATGTCCGTCCGTCCTGTACCCATACCCAAATAAACATGTGTAACAAACGCCCCGTTCATGATAGTAGTACCTAAAGAATTCCTTAACTGAACCCGCCTGATCCACGCCGAGTCGCCGACCTCCACCTAGACAAGCAGAATGAATAGGAGATAATAGCAATCGTAAGAATGATGAACATGACCAAGTGGCATGCTAGTCGAGACTCCAGACTGCTTCAAATCACAAAGTTAGCTGAAAGTTCTGAGTCTCTTCATCTTCTTCGTAAGCAGGAAACAGCTCTTCGGCCAATTGGTCGCTTTCCGTGTCGAGGGACTGGGGTCCGTATGGCCGAGCATAGGTCTCCGGGGATAGAGCCCGTGTGGCTGCCGGCTTTGTTGTAGATGTTTTAGCCGTACCGTGCAGTCGGGATGACATCTCTCTGCCTTTAGTATAGCCCACAGTCGTTCGAGAGTCGATAACAGCGGCAGTGTGCCGCATGGAAGAGGGGTTGGCGGGCGTTCTAGGTTTCTTTGAAGGGAAAAGTGACGAAGCAATCCTGGCTCTGGGTTTGACGATCGGGACTGCTCTAGTTCGTGATATAGTCCGCTCGTTGCCGGAAAGAGCTTTGGCGGCGTCTCGAGCACGAAGTGTGGAAACACCGCTCGAGTAGTTTGGTTTGCCTGAAACAAGTCGTGAGTTTCGCGCTTGAATACGGCGTTGAGGAATCTCTGCAGCGGGAAGCCGTTTCGACTGGTCGTCCTCTCCGTGTTCAGTAAAGCCGATGTTTTCAATTTGTTTGAGAATTGCGTCGTCAACCATTCTGTCATATGCGGCGGCGTCCTTTTGATATTTGCGCTGCCGTTTTGTAAGGCCGTCACTTCCAATCTCGTTTTCGCCGTAAACGCTCTCTAAACCCAGCGCCAAGTTTTCAGGTCGAAACTGGGGAAATGTGGTGTCGTACGTAATATCATCAGGGTAGTCGGAAAGGTCTATACAGAGTTAGACTTGCCATGTCCTCGATGCGCAAACAAGAAGCAGCATTACCCTTGGGCTTCGGCGGCATGTACTCGATATCAGGTACGTCATCCTGCGTCGGCTGTGCCTGAACCTCAGGCTGTGGGTGTTCAATGAACGGGGAGAATTTTTTGACGCGCTGTGTAGAGCCCTTCTTGGTCGTCCTCTCAGGCTTTATAGTCCCAACAGGGGCTGCGGGGGTTTGTAGGCCTCTCGCTTTGGCATTGGTCGTCTTCATCCCCAGGGGAGCACGATGGCGGTTGTCTCCTATAACACTGATCAGCCGGTGCTCTCATGTCGACAGATCGATCTCAACTTAGAAGGCTTATGCGTACCCATAGGAGTGACGAAAGCATCCTTGACGGAGGGTCTAGCGTTTTCATTTTGTTTTCCCAGCGTCTTCACTGTCTTATTTCCAAATGCTAACGGGTCGTTCTCATCCTTCAACGGCACCTTAAAGGGAGTCTTCGGGGCTCGGTTTCCTGGAGTCTTCGGCTGTAGCTGTCTGGTACTTTGATTCAATGGTTTCGACGCGGCAACGGTCTGGTGGTTGTGAACGAGATTTTCCTGGTCGCGGAGGGCCAGCATTGTGGCGGTATTGCAAGGACACTGGTCATCCAAGAGCTAAGAGTTGTCGTATCGGGTCGTAATGCGAGTCGTCAAGTTTGAACGACGATTGTGGTTCTAGATGCAGGGTGCCTCCAAGTGTTTTCTTTTGGCCGCGGTTGTCGTGGAGACAACAAAGGATCCGCGGGAATGCTCGCCGAAAGAGGTTTAGTCCCCCAGTGCCTCAAGGCTCAGGCTCCCGCTGACCGCCGACTGGTGTGTATTGCTGTCCCTTCACTTTCTCCTGAACTCTTCCCCACTGATCATACTCTCAACTTTCATCTGGTTTATCGCTGAGCGAAAGCCTTTTATCGACTCTGAATCTCTCCGTCCACCTTTCTTGTATACATATTTGTTTGCTGCCAGCCCTCCATCATGGACAGAATCAAGGAGGTTTGTCTCCCCCCCTTCTTTCGGCGGGGTAGCTCGAGAGCTATCTTGAGGCCCTGCACATGCACCACCACCACCTTAATTTTCCCTTGCTTCATCGTATCTGGTCCAAACTAGAGGCTCAACTTGACATGTATATTCTGGAAAACTAAATGGAAACTGACTGTTGTTTTAGAAAATGAACGCTCTCCGCCTCGAGGCTGATGATGCCCACGAGAAGAACGAGGATCTCAAGAACAAGGTGAAGACCTTGGAGCAGGAGAACCTTGCAAAGGAGCAAGAGATCACATCCCTCACCCACCGCAACCAACTCCTCGAGGCTGAGGTGGAGAAGCTGGAGTCGTCCGCAAAGGAGGCTAAGGACGCCGCCAGCCAGAGTGCCCAGCACGATACCCAGAACGAAGCGCTGCAGAGGCGTGTACAGCTCCTCGAGGAGGAGGCTGAGGAGGCTGACAGGAATCTGCGCGAGACAAACGAGAAGTATGTTTCATTCTTTTCCGGCCTCTCCTTTAGCGGTGAGACTAACCGTCATCCTTGGAAGGCTCCGCCAAACAGACGTCAAGGCTGGCCACTACGAACGCAAGGTGCAGGCTCTCGAGACATCTCGCGACGAATGGGAGAGCAAGTACGAGGAAATGTCTGTGAAATACGAGACCCTGAAGAAGGAACTCCAGGAGCTCGAGCTTTCTCTGAACAGTGTTTAAGAACTAGGCTGGACAGAGTAGAAGCATGCGATGGAAGGGGTGTATTCAACCAACCATTTTCTCAGTGTTTGTCGTTACTATTTCATTGCACAGCCCACCATTTTATAATATCGTTGGCCCACAGAAGGCAGATCTCACAACATTCCTCGCTTGTTTTGTTCCCACCCACATACTTCTGAACCATCTTGCTCTAGAGTCGACCTCTTAATCATATTCAATTTCAGATTATGCAAACCTTCCAACGCTTGAGGTGTTGATGGGAATCTCAGGATAATCGTGCTGTGTATGACCACGCTCTCGATGCAATCAAATTGGTATATGGCGTAACATCGCAACCCAAGTCTCACCGTTCTCTCCGCGCCTTGGCCTTTCTATGATTCGCCATCCGCTCCTTCATCCTGGTGACTTTTCTCTCGTCCTTGCTTTCGTATCGGAACTTCTTCTTTTTCTTCTTCAGTTTGTTATCTTGCTGTTTCTTGGCCTTGGGCTTTTCTGTTGACTTGGCGTCTTCGGACGGTTCTGGTTGCTCCTTCGGTCGCTCATCCGAGCTGTCATCGTCGGATTGTAGAAGACCTTCCTTCGAGGGATCCATCTCCTCGACCGTAACCGTAGTGTATTTGTCCTCATCGATATATTCGGCTTCGTAGTCCACCGCTGGGGGTTCTTCGAATCCGTCCCACTCGTCTTCATCGGCTTCGCTTGACGTACTTCCAGCTTCGTCGCCGCTTTCGTCCGCTTGTTTAAGTCTTTTTAACTGCTTCTTGTGTTCCGCAAGTGCCCGTTCGAATTCCGCATTTCGCTCCTCGCGCATCTAAATGGTGAGACCGGTCAATAAGCGCCACTTGGGAGAAGCTACAAAAGCAGAACGCACCCTTCTTCGATCTTCCCTCTTCGCCTCGCGCGCCTTTTGCTCAGCAATTTCTTGCGCATGTTTTATGCGTTGTTGTTTTCGTTTGCGAAAGCCAGTCAGGAACTGATGGCGGTCGGAATCGTCAAAGTTGATTTCCTCCACTCGGCTGGCCAGCTTCCGCTTTTTGGAGTGTGCTCCTTTGATTTGCGGTCCCATTTCAGCGGAAATTCGTAGCCTAAGTACTTAGGGACGAGTAGTAGATATTGGGGTTATATTTGCAATTCCCTCGGCCAAAAAAAAGTGGACGAAATCTTGCATCCGTCGGAGCTGGCACCGATTTGACCGCCCTCCGAGCTCGCCCAATCCACCAGCCTGGCTTCCGACCCCAACATCATCATCCTCCGACACTCTCGTTGTCCGACCTAAACACCAACATCCACAATGCGTCTCAGTCGGTTCTCATTGCTGGCTCTGGGAGCCGCAACAGCTAGCGCTTTTCGCGACACCTCGCCCTTTTTCCTTGCATCCACTTCCGAGTAGGTTAGGCCGTTAGGATGGGACTGCGGGCATGAACTCACGAGCTTAGGATCCTCTCCACTCCTGCACAACTAAAATCCGCAACCGCCCTGCTTGACGAACTCTCCACGAAACTCGGCTCATGCCCCTCTGACTACTATGTCATCGCTTCCCAGCCTGGGGTGCACAGCACCGACTTTGCTACGGCCAAATCCGCCCCCCGCCTAGGAGCGAAGATGACAGGCGAGGATAAGGCGATTCGATCCACTATGATTGTCAATGAAGTTGCAGGCGTACTGGAGACGAAGCAGGTCCGAAACATTCTCGAGACGCAATGTGGTGCCCAGACGACAGTTATCGATGCTTCATGTTTGTAACCCTAACGGACCGCTGGAAGAACTTCATTGACATCTGAACAGCCGGTTCATATTCAACTGAGTTTGGCAACGAGCCTCGGATCATCCTCGTCGAATTCTCTTCGCTTCCTCTCGGTTCTGAGCGAGTGCAACAGTTGTCCGACAATGGTATGCGCGGTTATATATTGCGGCGGAGATGTTACTGACAGCTGTTCCTAGACGGGCTCCTTTCTGACATTGTCGGCCGACTCCCATCGGAGAAATATACCATCCTCTATCTTACCACCCCCAGAGAGTTTGAAGATAGTGATCCTCCTGTCTACAAGTCTCCGGGCGACCAGTACCAAGATACTATCCACATGGATCTGAAGCGAGACTATTCTTCCCACTCCCGTCGTGACGGTACAACGAACAACTCTATCTTCCATGAGTACCAGTACTTCACCCCAGGTTCGTACAGTGCTCTTATTTGCTCTGACCCGAATATCTTGACGTTTCTAACAGCATACAGGCATCTTCATGGGCCTTATCGCGACTTTCTTTTTCATTGCCATCCTGTACGTCGGTCTCAGCGCCCTGATGAGCCTACAGGTCTCCTACGCAGCCTTTGAGAAGGACACTTCTTCGTCTGTGCAGAAGAAGCAGCAGTAAACGCATCTATATAGTGTACTGCTTTTGGCATGCTTGTTTTTCAACATTGAACGTATATCTTAAATGCACATGGGTTTGTTATTGAATACAGCTTGTATTATATGTTTAGAATAGCGGATCTATGTTTTGAACTATGATGACCAACTACGGAGTAGATTTGCATGTTCAAGGTTCCTTGTTAGAAAGAAGCTCATTGGTAGATATTCTCTCTCTAAATATAGAATCACGTGATTACCAATATGCACATGATGGCTGGGCTATGGCTGATCTTGCGTCCAACCTAAAGTACATCCTGCGGCATTCATCGGCCTACATACTTCATTTTGATTATCTTTTACTTGACCATAGTACTTACTTCATACATCTTCTGTGACCTTGTTATACCGGTGCATTGCATTGCCGCTCTCGACTTCAGCCGCCCTTGTTGACCTGCCAATCCATTATTTGGGTGGAGATCGATCGATCCACGCCCTTGCTTACTGTCCCCCATATTTATCGATACGCTCTGCGGAGTCAACTTTCTCTACCTAGACGGCTGTCGATATATACCATTACCTTCTCTCATCGACTTGACGGCTTGCGCCGCGCTGGGGACTAATGCGCTGAATGCGATCTTGTGGTTGGAACACGGAATACCCAGGGGCCTATCACCCACATTGACCGCCCACTGCCCCTATACCAGATATCTGCAATGCTTTTTCTCTCGCTGGGCCGGTCGACGACCCGGCGACCTCACTTCCTACTCTTCTTGGTTCTCGTTATCGCCTTCGTCGCGCAAATAGCCCATGCCCAAGATGACTCGGATTCATCGGATAACAACAATGACAGCAACAGCACCGACACCTCGAACAGTACCACATCAAGCACGACAACGGATAATTATCCCGTCATGACGGTCCCCCCTACAGATGACGCACCATATATGCAAAAGTCCACCGCCCCTGAAGGAACCGTGTTCATCGCTGTCGGCGCTGTCCTAGGCGCAATCGGCCTCTCCATCCTCGCATGGCGGGGCATCGTGGCATGGTCCGTAAACCGCTCCGTCCGCCGCGCTGCAATTATGCACTCCTCCGAGAACAAGGGCCTGCTCGGCGGCAAGAGAAAGAAGAAGCGCTCCGGCCGATCCCACTCCCACTCCCAATCACGCCACAGCCACACGCACCACAACGCTGTCAGCCTCGAGAAGATCAGCGGCAGCGGAAACAATCGTCATAGCTCGTACAGGGACTCACGCGCCTCCAAGATCCCAACCTCCGGCAGCGGCCTGTTCTTTTCACCAACAGCAGGCATGCAGAATGCCGGCAACCGAGGCTCCAGTTACCTTCCTGCTGGCTACTACTCGGCGGGCACGGCCGCCGCGGGTCTCGCTCAGAACGTCGGCCTCTCTGCTGAAAGCCTGCCACCCCAGGCTCGGGGTTACACACGTACGGGCTCCGGCCCTTCGCCTCCTGCTACGCCATTGTCCCCTCCTCCGGCTCCCGTTATGCACGAGGCCCCGCGATACAGCAATAGCAACCTCCGGCAGTCGTACGCTGCTGATGGGTCGACGAGTAGCGTGAACCTGACATCCCCGCCTGTCGGCCGGACACCGAGTGCATATCTGGAAGATCTCTTCGAGAGCCATCAGAATCCGCCTCACTCTCCCAACAGACCTCATCACTGACCAACCCCATCATACCCCATCATCTGCATGTGGAATGAAAGCCTGTTCCGCCTCTTTATCTCACTTTGCTGTCTCTCTTTTTGTGTATTGAGTTTGCTTGGATTGATGGAGTATAGTCTTCCTGTTTACATGGTGGTATCGGAGGCATATCTTCTTTGTCCTTTAAATGTTCTTACCTGTTCTTGCAGCTTGCATTCTCTCCAATCCCATATTGGTTGTCATCTACGTCATATACTACGCACCTGTACAGACTTCCTGATCTCATAACATAATTCACATGACTCGACGATATATGTGTTCTGATTGTATAGGATCTATTGAAGTAGTTAGATGTCCCTAACGTAATCTTGCGTTACACGCTTCTATTTAAAATGCAACCCCACAAATCACCAGAGAACGAGTTCCGTAAATCCATCCCATATGTACTCATTGTTTAGACCTATTAAGTCCTCCGAGGTTCCTGCCCATTCCGCGTGCCATAGTATAAGGATAATCCCAGACGAAAGCTCGCCTATAATGACAGTATTATGTCCCAGAATCAGCTCCGTCAACGCTTTTGCCCATATGATACAATAGAAAAGAAAAGTCAGCCTAGGGTCGGGTCGACTGATTAAGGGATAGGAAATGATTGATCGGTAAGATCCCCAATGTAACAAAGCGCAAGGAAATGAAGCTTGCTGAAGCGCGATGGAAAGCCAGAATGTCGGAAAGAAGAAGGAAGGGAGAGGCATTAGTCCCAAATATAAATAAAACCTGACAAGGAATAGAAGGTCGTGTCTATATAATTTGAATGGGTATGAACAATTCAGCTGGTCAGAGAATGATCGTTCAGTCTGTGTCCAGTTTGTCGCTGTATTCTCCAAGTAGCACATCGTTCGGGGCTGGCCCTCGGCTGTTCCGAACTGATAAATTCCATTAGTATGCATTCAACCCAACTGTGCACAGAGGAACTTACTCCACTCAGCTTCTACTCGAATAAAAACCCACATCCATCGACGAATGACCTCGGAGAACATGAGCACAAAAAGTCCAAACTCTGTTTCACTGAGCCAGCCGAACCCTGGCAGGAACTTGGACATCCAGGAGAAGCGGACAGCAAAGTCAACAGCAATGGCCGTATAATACTGTCGATCAGTGAAATAACGGTGGTAACGTAGCCCAAACGGATACTCGTTATCGTTTCGCGATTCGGAGAACAAGGTCAAATCCCAATCCTTTGTGACATCCCAGTAGAAAGAGTAGGAAGAGTTAATGAAGGTAAAGAAGTAGCTGTTCATTGTCAGCTCGCTGCCGCATGGTCTAGACAAATCAGCTTACAGGACTCTAGATAGTGTCACTTCGCTGATACCGTGGAAGTTGAGAGGGCTATAGTTCCTCAATTTCGCAGCAATCAGAATAACCGGGAAGGCGCTGGCATATTTGAGAGCATTGGCCAGATGTTGCCCGCCCGTGTTGCCACTCTTGAAGCCTGTTCGGCGCACGCGGAAATACTCGATCAAGCATTGTCTCAATCGGATGATGCTTGGTATGGCAAGGACCAAGGGGATAGTGAAGCTAAAGCCACAGTGTCGGTCCGGTTTCGATGTGCTTGACGTCTCGGCACTAAAGAACATGCAAAAGGTAACCACAAGGTCTGCAATGACTCTCGCATAGCTTGTAAGAGCGTCCGCCAGTAGAATATCGCCGAATTTGCCGTCTTGGGCTTCCGCTAGCCCGCCAATGCTGATACGTCGTAATGTAGATAGGAATCTGCGCCGTCCAGATCGAGATAATCGGTTGAAAGGGAGTAGAAGGAGGATGAACAGGATAATGAGGTATGCTTGCGGAATGTAGTCAACGGATTCAACCCATTCTCTGGAGCCGTGGGTGACTGGCCAAAAGATCAGGAGCGACAATAGTAGAGGAAAGGTCAGGAGGCCGGCGAGATGGTACGCGGAGACGTGGGGCGTCCGTTGGTTAGCAGACTGCCGAGTATGATACCGGATCAATGCGAGGACGTCCTGGTAATAGTTAGTCCATATTTCCCGAGCGCTTTGTTAACAATGGGGTCTGAGGGGCCAACGCACAATATTATTCTGATGGAGATACTGAAGATTGGCAGCCCAACCCCAGAATCCTTCGGAAGCGTTAACCAAGCGTCATCAATGCTAACTGAAGATACTCACCTGCTAACAATAAGACGGCAACGCGAGAAGGGAAGGGGAGGAAGAGACTGAAGGCATCCAATTGAGCATGCTGATCAGGACCCATATTCCATTGAAAGGAGCGGCGCCGGACTCCTAGCCTTGGACAGACGGGGGAAAGGATACGAGACTAGGAAGCCAGCGGTATAAAAGAGTCTCGCGCAAGTAAATGGAGAGAAGAAGAGAAATGTCGGGGCACTCAACACGCAAAAGAATGACTAGGGGTGAGTCCGACCTCTGGGATAACTGAATATTCAAAAGGTCTGGGCTGCACACAGACTCCAAGAAGCTCAGGGATGCTGTCGAAAGCGGCCAGCGAGGCTTCCGGGGGGAAGGCGCTTGTCCGCGTTCGGCCTAGCCGCGGTCTAGGCCTTGTGTTCCGCATTTAGATCCACAGCTCGTCACGTGGTTTTACACGTGATCTAAGCCGAGGCATTCCTCGGCGGCTTATCTATCCGGGGAAGCACTCCGATCATGCTCCGCACCCAGAGGTGACCTTCGCCAGGCCTAGAAACCGCTGTCCACCTCATACTACTGTCGACTATATGAGTTGAATCAAATCAGGCCTCCTACAATGGCGGACCAGGACCTCTCCCTCCTAGCCCCGGCCCCTCCAACGAGACCTTCGGCCAACTTCTATCCCTTCGCGACCTCCCCAGACATTATCCGTTCACATGAGAAAGATGCCTTCCTCACAGCAAATTTGGCCAACCAGGCCCAATCCATCATTCGAACTCTTCGAGGCGCCAGATATGCGCATAATTATTCAGATGCCATCAAACACCTTACGGAGCTCCTGTACTTCTCTCTCACGACATTGACGGGAAACCGGACACTAGGAGAGGAATATTGTGACCTTGTTCAATTGGAAGATGATACACTACGATTACCGTCGATCTCAAGACGTGTTGGATACGTTTTGAGCAGCATCATGGTGCCCTGGACGCTTCAGCGGATTCTCCCCGGTTTCCGGCAACGTCTTCGCGCCAAACTGGAGCGCAGCATCGCCCGGCAACAAGTGAAGGCGCAACAGCAACAAACGAAAGAGCCAAGTCTTTCTCCAAAGAACAAATCAAAGCAGCCCTCGTTTTTCACGAGGCTACGAATTCAGAAATACATTTTAGAGCACCTAGACTCGATCACGTCCCTGTCGCCAATATATGCGCTTAGCATAGCGACCTTCTATTTCACCGGCTCATATTACCATTTATCAAAGCGCTTTTGGGGTCTGCGCTACGTTTTCACGAAGAAGTTGGAAGAGAACGAACAGCGTGTCGGTTATGAAGTCTTAGGTGTCTTACTCGTCCTGCAAATAGCAGTCCAGAGCATCCTCCACGTCAAGAAAGTCAGCGATAGCCTACAGCAGGAGGATCAAGACGTGAACTCAGAAGCTGCTGGATCCAACGGCAAACAAGATACCTTGACCCGCTCGATCGAGCACCCGCCGACCCTCCCTGTCCTACCCGCATCTGCTGCTAGATATGATCTCTCTGAAGATCCCAATGCTATCCCTTGGATCCCGGAAGGACAACAACGAAAATGTACACTCTGCCTCGAATCATTCAAGGATCCGAGCGTCACTACCTGCGGACACGTATTTTGCTGGACATGCGTGTGCGATTGGGTTCGTGAGAAGCCCGAATGTCCGCTCTGCCGACAGGAGGTCCTTGCGTCGAAAGTGCTCCCTCTAAGAGGGTGAAGCGATTATAAATTCTACAAATGGTTCCATGTGTCCTATCTTGGCCTCGACTTGAGTAAGTGAGAGTGTACGCATTTTGGTAGACATGAGCTCTATATATATACCCTACTGTTTATTGAGCATTTGAAATGACACGCGAATCATGATGATATGCATCCTGGCCATGAGATGCCTTATTAAACAGTGTGCAATGTACAAGAGGTGGTAGCTATTAACAGATCGAAGTGGTATCGTCTAGAAACAACTTCTAGCTGTACTCCAAGGCGTGATCTATAACTCCACACGCTAATGTCCATGAAGCAAAGTATTCGAGCCCAAAGATCTCTCCGAGACATACCGCCAGCAGTATATCATGTGGGCTGAAATATCCAACTAGATGCTCGCCGATCGCCGCCTAGTCACCACGGGCTTATTGACAGGCTTAACATGAGGATCGTCGGCAGCGTCGACACTCAGCGCGCGCTTTCTCGGCCTCCCAACCTTTCTCTTCACAGGTTGTATATCGGCAACATCCGCAGAGTCAACGCTTGGTGCGATCTTCCTTGGCCTCCCAACCTTCCTCTTAACAGGCGTGATCTCAGTTTCAATCGCAGAAACTGTACTTTGAGCACGCCTCGCAGGATGCTCGGGGCTCTCCATAGTCTCGAAATCGGACTCATCGTCGGATTCAACGGACTGGTTACGCTTCCTGGGCTTCCCAGCCCCCTTGACTATCTGGAATGAAGGGTCGTCGGCATACTTGAAGGTCTGAATGCGCTTTTTGGACGCCCTAGGCTTTGTCTCTGCAGATTCGGGTACCATATCAATCAAATCGAGGCCCGCTGTCGGTTCGAAGTCCTTTGTCCGTGTCTGCCTGGGCTTCCTAGCTTTCTTCATGGTCGTAAACTCCGCGGCGTATAGTTCACCAGGGTCGATGTCCTTTACCGGCTCAGTCTCCTCTTTCAACCGTATTGCGAGATTTAGTTCGTCATGATAAGGGAGCGGTGGCGCCGGATTTATAGCTTTTCGCTTCGCATCCATGACCACGAAAAGCTGATAGCCGGCATAGGCGTCAGCGGCAGCATCTGGGATAGTGGGTTAGCTGTTGCACTTCGAAGAGTAAATTCATGCCATAGGGGCCCGGTATCCATACAATGAGCTTGCTGGGCCGTGATGGGCTTTTGCCAGTTACTGCACCGCACGTCGAGTTCTTTCGCTAATGGAAGCCCCAAGTGTTCTACGACCTGGTCGGCCAAACTGACGCGATACTTGTTAATAAGCTGGGGGTTGGTTCGGCAGTACTTAATGAGCTTATACAAATGGCTCAGCTCAAAGGTACCCCGGGCGTTGATTTGGAGGTACTTCCGCAGACGCGTGCAGTCACCCTTGATGTTCACTCCTGTTTTCGTGATATCCGAGTTTTCCAGGATAGTTTTGAGTGTTGGTGGCACGAGGTGGTCTAGACTCAAATTCGGCCTAAAGCGTGCTATGTGAAAAAGTGCGATTTTGTTCCGGCTGGCAAGTTGGATAGTGGATAAATTTTCCTGGATGCTACAGTGCGTAGTAGCACCAGCTTGCCATTCCATGTCAAACCCTAACACGGGCTCGTTAACGAAGAATTGAGCCACCTTTTCGGCCGTGGCTCGAGAATTGCAGTAATGGACCATGATCGGTTTCCCCTCTTCAGTCTTATATAGCCTGTGGCTCCAGTAATGCGTTACAGCATTGCCTGAAGGTTTCGAGGCTGCCGATGTTTGCTGCTTCCATGGAGCTTGCCTGGTGTTTGTGTTCTGTAAGATGTTGTTGCGAGAGTCACCATTGCTTTGAACTTCAGCGAGCGGTGTTCGAGGCTCAGACTGTTCACTAAATGATCGTTTCATGTCTCTGATAGCAGGTCGGTGTTGTTTCCCGAGTCCCTCAGAAGATAGAATTGAATGAGATGAAAGGAAACACCGCGCCCCTTGAAATGGCGCTACGCTGGAGGGTCCACGATGAATTTGTGGATTTTCTAGTTTCTGGAAACGAAACTCTGAATGCTGCTGGAAAGTTCGTCTCAGCGTCAGGGGCAAGAAAGCCATGGGACTTCTAGGTGCAGGGGTTAGGCTGGCCAACGATAGACATTGGAGGCGCGAGCTGTGCCACACAAGACATTCATGCAGCAAGACGCGTCCCACTTCTGAGGTCCTGGTTCCCGGAGGCCTTAACGGGCAAAACAGACTCATCACCTGGGGCAAAAGAGGCTATATGCTCTAAGCTCAGCATCCCTTATGCATTATCCAGACAGCGTGAGCTTTGCGAAAAATTACTTAATGTCAGTGGTGGATTGTAGACAGAAACTGCTCAAAACTTGGGAGGCCATAGATCTCCGGAACGGATAAACACAGGGTCCTCGATGCCAAGTCTCGCATTGGAATCGTCCATCCAAGACTGAAGATTAACCAACTACAACGTAGGTCCCGTCATTTTTAGGGCGCAGGCTTTAATGCCGGGATTCATGCGCGAGGCGCGGAAGGGTAACCTGGCTAAATTAGGAAATAGGGCGTAGCTCTATTTCTTTATAAAATAAGGCCTTTAATAAAAAGGCGTTGTATATCTACAGTAAGAACTAATTACTAATTCTCTAAGTTAGAGTTCTAAGTCAAACTTGGTGTTTTATGCGTTATGTGACTGGCCGCCGCCTTGGCGCGGGGCTAGTTCGGCGCCGAAGTTCCTCCGTCAGGCGGCCTTAGGCCATTATGCGTCATGTGACTGGCTGCTGCCTTGGCGCGGGGCTAGTTTGGCGCCGAAGTCTCTCCGTTAGGCGGCCTTAGGCCACTATACGTCATGTGACTGGCTGCCGCCTTGGCTAGTTCGGCGCCAAAGTTCCTCCATCAGGCGGCCTCAGGCCACTAGATTGCGTTATTACAACACTGCGTAATTGCAACACCATAGCGGTGATAATACTGGCCTAATTAGGAAATAGGGCGTAGCTTTATTTCTTTGCAAAAAAAGGCCTTTAAGTAGTATTTAAGAATTCTAGAACTAAGGGGGCGTAGCCCCCTTAAACCCCCTAGCTCTGCGAGGTAGATATATATATTTATGGCGGAGCTACGTACGAAAGGCGGTTAGAAGAGATCATGTGATAATGTTTTTTTTGGACTAATTATAGCAACCCTGACGCCGCGAGGTCCAGGCGGTTAGAAGAGATTATGTGACAGTGTTTTTTTTAGACTAATCACAGCAACCCCGACGCCGCGAGGTCCAGGCGGTAAGAAGAGGTCATGTGACAGTGTTTTTTTTGGACCAATCACAGCGACCCTGAGCGATTCTGCCGTTTTACATGATCCCTAATAAAGCTCACGTGACTGGGAGCCGGGACCTACGATTATCGAGCGCTTTGGCTCCACTTCGTTCCGCGTCGCGCAATTATATCGCTTCGCCTCAAAAAGAAACCTTGTTTCTATATATCGTGCAGAAGGTCTTCTGTAGAAAGCCTCGAGTGTGTTCCGAAATGGCGTCTCAACTCCTTCCTCTAGGTACGTAATTACCTCTCTTTTATTCGGTACACGCTAACTGGCTCTTAGAATTGATTGACAAGTGTGTTGGATCTCGGATATGGATCATCATGAAGAACGACAAAGGTCTGCTTGCTTTCGAAGTACAGGAAAGTGCATACTGACCTTGGCAGAATTCTCCGGCACGTTGCTCGGATTCGATGACTACGTCAGTAAGTGGCAGCCGCAATCCATGAACTGAAGGCTTCTTTCTAATTTTCTCTTAGATATGGTGCTCGAAGATGTGACTGAGTTGTAAGGGCCCTGTAATATTGTGCTCTTCGATCTCTTCGTCCGCCAATCTCCGACATGTACTAATGTTGAGATAGTGATTACACCGGTGCTCAGGTCAAGCTGCCGAAGATCCTCCTCAACGGAAACAATATCTGCATGGTAAGTATGGTGCTTCTGTGAGCATTGAAGAGTCTAATTAGTTTCCAGTTAATCCCTGGCGGTGAAGGGCCTGTTGGTAGCTCTTAATTGAGGGTCGAGAGTTTCAGTTTGATGCGATGACAACTTTAACAACGACTAGCGATGATATACGTGTAATATCCTTGAAATGATAGAAAATTACTTTCTTTCCAGCAGCTCGGTGTCGTATACTGGCTTGATTCTTGGCGCAGTACATGGGTTGTGCCTATTCTTCTGGCTTATCGGGGCTATAAACCCTGAAAACGGGAAGAAAGAAGCGGCTGATCATAAATAATCACAAATATGGGATTGTTGGCAAGTTCATTTACTTGACACAACTATACTAGAGTTATGGGCACACGACCCCGGCCCCGAGGCTACAGGTACCAGCAAAAGAGCCTAGCGATATCGGGCATAGCGCCCTCTTATCGGCTGAGGGGGTGGCCACTCAAACTGACTTCCTCACCATTTCCAGTCCCCAGTCACATTTAATCTCGCTATCTCCCGGGAACGAGAGCGTGATCTGTGATCCTGCCACAGCCAGGCAGCGGCAAGTTGGACTTATGGCATCTCGATCTCCTTATCCATCATCGGGGCCATCTCGTCGCACGTTGCATTCCCTGTGGCGCGGATGCCCGCCAGGCTTTCTTCATTCTCTTCGCGCTGAGCACATTTGAGAATAGACGACCTCTTCCTGCGGCACCATTCTCTATCCCGTTTGTTATTAGATCGGAAAGCACTCTTGTCACTTGCTATTTCGGCTTGCCGCATCTCGAGCGTCAATATCAGACGGTTCTTCAAACTTCCCGGAAGAAAAAGTGTAGCCCGTTATATTACCGAGCACAATGTACAAAGACTCCTTGAAGGCCGAGGCTGAGCGCTCGACATCAGCCGAGTCCGAACCGGCCTATGGCGAGTCTACATCCAGACGAGCAAGCCTGGGCCATCGGGTAATAGAAAGTTTCCAGAGAGACCCAAATGCTCACCTTACGGCATTCGCGTCCTTTTCTGATGGCAAAGCATACGATATTGAAAACGCGGCGGAGAAAGCTGCCAACTCCCCGTTGCAACGGAGCCTAAGAGGTCGCCATCTACAAATGATTGCCATTGGAGGCTCCATAGGTACGAGCACCCTTCTATCAACGTTTGGATGATACCGCTGCGCTCCCATGCTGGACAGTCAGGTATAGAACCGCTGATGATGTTTCCTTTCTTTACAGGCACTGGTCTTTTCGTTAGTTCTGGAAGGGTCCTTGCTACTGGCGGCCCGGCTTCACTTCTCATTGCATATACGCTGATCGGATGCATGCTATATTGCGCCGTGCATGCACTTGGCGAAATGGCCGTTATATTTCCTGTGGCTGGTTCATTCGCCCACTACTCGACTCGTTTTATCGATCCGGCCTGGGGATTCGCCATGGGCTGGAACTATGCTCTACAATGGCTTGCCATTCTGCCATTGGAGATTGTGGCTGCAGCAATCACTGTTGACTACTGGGAATCAAATATTTCCAGCGCTGTATGGGTAGCCCTATTCTGGGCAGCAATTGTTTCCATCAACCTATTCGGCGTTAAAGGCTATGGTGAAGCGGAGTTTGTATTCTCCTCCGTTAAGGTCATAGCCGTAATCGCTTTCATGTGGGTTACCCCGAGCCTCTAAACGCCCCCTTCTTAAGTTCAATGATTGACCTTGTATAGTATTCTCGGAGTTATTTTGAACTGTGCCGGAGGGCCGAATGGGAGCTACATCGGTGCCACCTACTGGCGTGACCCTGGTGCTTTTCACCATGGCTTCAAAGGCCTTTGTGATGTTTTTGTAAATGCTGGGTTTGCATTTGCAGGAACCGAGTTGGTTGGTCTTGCCGCTGCCGAAACTGCCAACCCTCGCAAGTCTCTACCCACCGCTGTCAAGCAAGTCTTCTGGCGTATTTCGCTCTTTTACATTGTCTCGCTAACCCTAGTTGGGCTTCTGGTTCCGTATACTGAGCGCCGACTAATCGGGACATCTACCATTGACACCAAGGCATCCCCATTTGTCATCGCCATCAAGAATGCTGGGATTGAAGTGCTAGACTCCGTCATGAACGTCGTGATCATGATTGCCGTTCTTTCCGTCGGAAATTCAGCTGTGTATGGTTCTTCTCGGACCCTGGCGGCGCTTGCAGAGCAGCAGCAAGCTCCTCGGTTTCTCGCCTATATTGACCGTAAGGGCCGTCCTTTGTGGGCCATTGCCATTGCGTCCGGACTGGGCTTGCTGGGATTTCTAGCCGCCACAGACGAGCAAGAGGTCGCTTTTGAGTGGATGATAGCAATTTCCGGCCTCTCGTCCATCTTCACCTGGGGTTCCATTTGCTTAGCGCACATACGATTTCGCCGCGCATGGCAGGTACAAGGCCACAGTTTGCACGATCTGGCCTTCCGCTCCCAGCCCGGAATCGTAGGCTCGTGGATAGGCTTTATCTTCAACTGTCTTGTTCTCATTGCCCAGTTCTGGGTTGGGTTTGCGCCGATCGATTATGAAACCATGTCGTCCCGTATGCTGGTCCGCAATTTCTTTTCAAAGTATCTTGCGGTGCCGGTTGTCCTTCTCTTCTACATTCCTTACAAGTTGTGGTTTAAGACAAAGATCATCCGGGCGAAAGACATGGACTTGCGGACAGGCCGGCGGGAGTTGAACATCCAGTGGCTCATGAAGGAGGAACGAGCGCAACAGGCCGCATGGCCGAGATGGAAGAAACTTTATAAATTCTTCTGCTGACCTCCAAACAGTCATCGGACCTTTCTTCATCATAATAATTCTCCATATTCTGTTAGTGCCAATAGTAACGACGATCACGAGGATACCCACATTGAAATTCGCCTTGAAGGTTGACGTCTAACGCTGCGAGCCTGTGACGCATCTGGTTAAATAACGTACATATTATATCAGATCTACTATTTTGCCCATTACTGCAATCGAGAAGCTTCTTCTATATACCTAACAATGCTGGCAGTGGCTGTAATAACAAGCTTTCCCATAGCAAAGCAGCCAGCGGCTGTTTAGCAGATTACGGTAATTTTGCCAAAAATAGCCTAAGACACAAAACCCACGTAAGGCTGAAGCGGCAGCGTCTGTAAATTACTTACGTACGAATACGGAGATTGCACAGGATTCAGGAACTGCCGTCCAACTCACTGTGTGAGACCTTATGGGACTCTTCTTCTTTCTCTTCGACCTTCTCTCCAATTTGTCAATATCATACCAAATATAACGCAGCACTACGCCGGTTTCTCTCTTGCTTTGATTCTTTAGTCCGCTGTCCTTTCTGCTTCATCTTTTGCGCATCCTTTCTATTTCCCTGCTCCTAGGCGCCAACGCATTCAGTTTGCTCGCGTTCTTGTGCCCATTCTCGAACAGTTCACCCCGTTCTGGAACTCGCATTGGCACTGGTGCTTCATTCGAGATCAAAGACTCTCCTTTCTTCCTTGCCCCGCGCTCGTCACTTCGAAGCCCAGTGCTCTCGACCCGTCTACGCAGCCTATCTACCCCGGACCGACGGGGCTCTCCGCTTGCGCGGTTGTTGACAGCCCTCGGCGACGCCTAATTCCAACCTTGCTAACCCGCTGAGCGAACCGCTCATTACTCGCTTGCATACTATATCGCCCTTTCGCTTGCATTTCTTTGGTCCGAAGTCAGAAACAATGCCGGGGTTCGCAGATTCCTTCTGGACCCCAGACTACGCCACTGGTCTGGGTGTCCTCTACGGAAAGCTGCAGCAGGGTATCGTGGAAAATAAGCAAATACTTACCGTTGCGTCGATGCGTGCGGACGCCGAGGAGACATACAGTTCGAAGTTGGGCGATATTGCGCCGAGTGTGGATAGAATGGTAGCGGGATTCGCGAAGGATGACGGAGCAAGTGTGCGAAAGGTGAGTTGTGCTCTGCAGCCCTTAATATCACCTCGTTCCGACGTATGCTGACCTGGACAAACTTCTAAAGGCCTATGAAGGAACTCGTACCGAAATGGTCGAAGCGTCGAGGAACCATCAAAAGATTGCGGCGAATATCCGGGAATTGGTTGTTTCGCCGTTCAGACGCTGGTGCGATCAGCACGAGGCACGGATCGAAAACTCCCACGATGACCTCCAGTCTCGGATCAAGGAACATACCAAGCAGGTGGACCTGGTCAAGAAGCTGCGGAGCCACTACTTCAACAAATGCCGTGTCCTCGAGGATCTCGAAGAAGAGAATAAGCTCGCCTTCCAAGCACCCGAGACTAGCCCTAAGATCAAGCCGACCCCCAAGATCATCTTACCAGACAATGAACCAGAGGACGACGAGCCGGTAGAGCTCGGTGACCGGGTTTACACTCCAGATGACTTAAAGAAACTTCTCGTGCACATGTTGGAGACTATCCCTCAGGGCGAGATCAAAGTGCCCATCATCGGCACGTACCAGAATACGTCGACCGGTGCGGATATCGTGGAATATACCCAGAAGTACTTGAACGCGACTAGTCTCAGTTACGCGGAGAGGATTGGACAGGACCTCGTCGACAATGGCTTCCTCCGGTTAGTGGGGAATATGGGCAGCACATTCGCCAATAGCTCCAAAATGCGCTACCAGTGGCGCCCCAAGTGTTTCCAGATCTCTGGCATACCTGAGAAGAAAACAGCTTTGATGCGTGTGACCTCTGTCGCAACCAGTGAAGATGGCATCGATTCTCCTATCGCATCTGTCTCCGAGATGTTGGCGGGCTGGAACCCTTTGAACAACCCGTATCCCAATGAGACGCCGGCGGAGAAGCTCCGCAGAGAGGCTCGTGAAGCTGATGAACGGTACAAGGCCGCTGTGCGGAAACTTGACCTCATTAGATGCAAACTTGAGGAGGAGATCGTTGCAAACTTGCGGTTTATGGAACAGTGTGAGCTGGACCGCCTCAAGGCGATTAAGGCCGTGGTACTTGATTTCTCCGGAGCTATAAGCAACGTCATTCCGAACTTGCAAAGCACTGTGGACCATATGATGCTGTACCAAGAGACAATTCAACCTCTAGGCGATCTCAGGTACCTTCTCGAGAACTACAGAACTGGTGGTTTCGTACCCAAGGTCCAGGCTTATGAAAACTATTACGGCTCCGTTGAGGGTAAGTGCTCTGTACACTCTATGCACGAGCTCATAACTAAGTAACGGCTTATAGACCAAATTTTTGGTGTCGACCTCGAGGCTAGGGCAAGGGCGGACCGTAAAAGGGTACCGGTCATCGTGACGACGCTCTTGACCTACCTTGACAACTGTAAGATGACGTGGTATTTTTCATCGCCACAGAGCTAACGGCAAATATAGGTTATCCAGAACTCGAGGGAGACGAATCAAGGCGTGCTATTTGGCTTATTGATGTCCCATTAGGAGCCACTCACCACCTTCGTCACGCTTTGAACAACAGGAAAGGCGACTTCTTTGAAGTGCTTCAGAAGTATGAGATTCCTGTTGTTGCAAGCGCGCTCAAGCTATACCTTCTTGAATTGCCAGGTAAGGAGATGCCCATCAAGATACAAGATACAAGTTAAAATTAACCTCCAACAGACTCTCTTGTTTCATCCCAAGTTTACGAAATAATTAAGACCATTTACTCCACGACTGCAAACGAGACCACCGAAGAAGGACGCATCAAAGTCCTTCAAAGCACCCTCGGCCAACTCCGTCTTAACAACATTGCCACGCTTGATGCGATTATGACCCACTTCACACGTTTGATAGACTTGACCTCCGCCGACGAAACCTATGTTTCTGCGCTTGCTCAATCGTTATCCCCTTGCGTTCTTCGTCCCCGCAGCGAAAGCAGCCTCACGATGGACGAGCGCCACAGCTACCGTCTGATTCGCGATCTCTTCGCCCACAAGGACACAATCTTTGGAGAACTGAAGCGCCAGTCCAGTGGCCTCCACGGAACCGCGCCCCGTCCACGGGCCATTAGCACAGACGAGAGCAACCGCCGCGCCGCCATGGAAGCCCGCAATCGGGCTATCATGGACCGCAGCCGTGCCCACAGCCCAGCTCCCCCTCGCAAACATCGCCGTGACCGTTCCAGCGGCCCGGAGCCAGGCCGCTTCCCGATCAACGTCTCCGGCGCGAAAACGCCAACCACCGCCCGAAACAGCCTAGACGTACCCGGTAGCCCCTCGCCCACGTCCGCAGCCTCAGCCGCTGCCGCTGCCGCTGACGAGCTCTCTACCGTGAACATCGACTCCCCTGAACCCGCCACAAACGGCACTTCTGCTACCGCCGTCGCCGCCGTCGAATCCCCCACCGATCCAGACCACCCATCGGAACCGACTACTGCCAGTCCTCCCTCCGAAGCTCCATCTGACGACTCTCAGACACCCACGCCGCCCATTCACACCGAGGAGCCCGCCACAACCAATCTCAACCGCAGCTCTATGTCTCGCTCCAGCGGCATCCACACCCGCAAGCCGGGTCTTGGCAGCCGCTCCAGCTTTCCCATCATCGCTGGTGAGACAGGCACAGACAGCAAGCGCAGCAGTATCGCCGAGAGCGTCACGGAGCCCAAGGGCGTCACGTTAGAGGATAAGCCCATGGACGACTAAGTCTATCGACCGATACTCCTCCTCGACTGTCATTCCTGATTAAACCTGGTGGTTTGGTTGGACACCTATACTACTCAGTTTTCACTGTTTCAGCCTTCAAATTTCGACTTCGACTTTTGATTTCCCGTATAAACCATATCGTTACATTTTGCATACCCCCCTGTATGTCTATCTCATTCTGTTGTTTCTATTAGTCTCTTCTTTTTACTTTACATTTGCTCCTTGGATTGTATAGCACCTTTTTCATTATAGGCCTGTATATGAACTGTATACAGACCCGTTCCGGCAAGTGTTTCCCTGTTTAGTAGGATAAGTTTCATGTGTTCATGGTAATGATGCTCCTGTATATCTAAGAGTACAATGCTCCAAACGACACTCTAAGCAGAATGAGTGACGAGTATCCAACAATCGCTAATAGACTCCACGAATGCTCCGAAAACTAATGACGTAAACAAATTCTTCATAGGCCTTCACCCGAGAACAACCTCCTGAGAATGCCTTCGCCTGGCCCGGTAATCTGACTCTCAATTTCTTTCTGTGAGACAAAACAAACAAGGCTCTGTTCATCCAAGGCTTTGCTAAGTGAGGTCCCGCTGGATTTCGAGGGCGTGCGACGTATATCTGAGCCGCCGGCGACTGTACCACCTCGGCCTCGACTTTGGAATTCACCGACGAGCCCTAACGTTTCTAGGCTGCCAAGGACGTCTTTGAACTCCGTGGCTGTCAGTGGATGCAGAATGTTATCTGCTCTGCACAGGGTGCAATAGGCGTCGAATATTTGCTTGACTGTTGGAGCCATGTTTCTAGACTTAGACGGAGTCTGCGGGATGTCGTACTCGCGACGCTTTCGATCCAGTGCGACCAGCGCACATATTGCCGCTTTTTGTTGTAAATTGAGGCATTGTAGCCTCTGTGTGGTGCCTTGCCCAAATACCGAGGATGTGATTTTTGCAATGTGTGCAATACTAGCTCGGGGCGCTGTAAGAATTGTGTAAGGGAGTGCCGAGCTGGGCTTCGGCGCCGAATATTTAGGAGAAGACGAGAGGTTGTTATTTTCGACCAAAATGGTCTTCGAAGGGCTGTTTGGGTTTTGCATCTCGAGCTTCTGTATCGTTTCGTGTTCAATGACGTCGATTGCTCGTTTGATGAGTTCAAAGGCCTTCCGTAAATCTCCAGTCTGTGAAGCGACCTTCTTCGCACACAGCTGGATGGCTGTAGGTTGGACGAAAGGGATGAAGTTGTGGTCCTCCGCCTGGTCTTCTGGAAGCAATGACCGTAGGCGGTTGATGACAACGCCCGCAATCTGTCCCGCATTGTAAGGTAAAAAGGGGAGCAGAAGAGGCTTCAGATTCTTCGCTTTCAACTGAGGTAGAGATCTGTCCGTCAGGTCAAGTGCGTTTGCAATGCCGATTAGTACCAACTTTGACTCCCTCTGCAATGACCATTCAAACAGAGATTGAAGGATCCCCGCATCCGAAGTGAGAAGATGGTCGATCTCATCTAGCATGACCAAGAACATGTCTTGACTGCTGACTTGCTTTTTGTCCGGCAGGAACATGCTTTTTAGCCTATCAGCTTCACTCTTTCTGAAAACATCGTCATCATCACACAGGTCCTCGGTGAGTTTGCTGTAGACATCCCTTGCTGTTCTCATGCTTGCACAATTCAGCTGTGCGACTCTCACCGACTCGAGATCAACTTCATCGAGCACCTCCTTAACAAGAGCGCTTTTGCCGGTACCTGGAGGACCGCTGACATACATGCACCCACCCTTTCGGCCTTGAATACCTTCGGTGATGAACAAAGTAAGTTTTTCGCGCTCCGCTTCCCGACCGACTATCCGCCCAGAACTCGCACCGCGCGCAAACAGCTGGCGGGCTTGTGTATATACAGTCTGGGCAGTTGTCGGCGTTCCCAGCTGGCGCGGAGTACGGGGCGTTAAAGGTTTCGTTCCAATCTGAACTCGGTGCTTTGGCGTAACTGGAGGCGAGTCGAGAGCATTTCGGTATCTAACTTTCGAAGGGGTTTTGAACTCCACGGGTTTCAAGTTTTCGTCTATACAAATTAGCTATGGTATATTGTCGGTTGGCATCTGCACCTACCATTGACAGGCTTGGAGGTGACTGGTATGGAGTTCTCTTTCGTATACGAGCTGTCATTGATACGTTTGGAGGAAATCTGTAGGAAGTTCTCTTTCGAAGAGGACGGCTCGTCGAGCTTCTGTACATCACTCTTCCTTGTTCGCCTTGTGCCAGGCGAGCGATCTTTCGTAATTGTGTCATTTTCCGATTGTGACTCCTCGCCTTGCTTTGTTCGAGATCGAAGTTGCCGAGTCGATGATGCCGGTTCTTGTTTGCTTTCACGGTGGATTCGAGGCGGCTGTGTCCGGCGCCTGCTATTACTGCGTGGCGGGAGAGAAGCTATGAAAGTAACCGAGTCAGTAAGATGGAAGGAGCGTGGAGAGGCGAGCAATGCTCGCAGTCGTACCTTCTGTCTCAATGGTGCCCCGCTGGCGCTTCCCCAAAACCGTGGCAGCCATTGTGAGGAAATAGGAAAGAGCGACCAAAGACCACCACTATCTATAGATGTAGACTCCACACTGCGAGGTACAAATATCCGTCAAGCGTTATGGAGAACTGTGTCATGGGGTAGACAGAAGGAGGCGGTTGTAGTACTTATCGCAGCTCCGTCCGAAGAGGCATAATTGGTTTTGTCGCGTCCACACGCGACGCGTCCCCTTTCTCACGTGATTGAGTCAGCTCGGATAATTACATACTCCGGACAATCATCAACTGCGTCACTGAGGCAGCCTGATAGCAAGCATGGAGCTTGAACGGAGGTTAAATACATCGTTATTCTTGCTTGCCCCCAGTTGTTGAAAGTCAACTATCAAACTACTCATGTCTCCTTATTCTCTGGCCTTCTTCTAACGATAGATTTTTGATTGTAACATTTCTGACCTCTCCCAAGTTTAGAGGGGTTTGCATCTGTTTGCAAACCCTCGTCTCAACCTTGTGGTTTGAACACATACAAAGACACGCCCTCAGGTTTCAAGGCAGATACACGACACCGCTACTACAGTTCATTTAGAAGTGACTTTGCTGATTTCGATTCGCCATGGATAGCGATGTGGTCGCGCAGTTTTCTGAAATCACCGGCTCGAAGCCGGAGCTTGCAGCCCAGTACCTGCAGCTGACCGACTTCAACATTGAGCAGGCAATGCAGCTTTACTTTGAGAACGACGGTGCGGAGCTCACGCGCGATCCGGCTCCATTGCCTTCTACAGCAGACAGAGCGTCTCGTCCCACAGGCTATGAAGATGCGTCCGGGGTAGTACACATTGATTCTGATGAGGACGAAGCTCAATCTACGCCTCGAAACCCGGTAAATACATCGACGTTTGAAGATGACGCGGCCATGGCACGGCGCTTGCAAGAAGAAATGTACGGTGGACAAGACCCAGCCGATGAAGTACGTGCACCGATGGCCCGCACGACCGAAACCCTTGTTGGACCGGGGGAGGACTTTGGTGATGATATGCACGAGAGTATCCTGGGGCAAATTCGTGCCCGTCAACGACGAGCGAGTAAGCATATATTCTACTTCTCTTGCTCCACTCCACTGCTAATATGATCTCAAAATCAGACCGACCTGGCATCTTCAACCAACAAGATACTGCGTCGATATGGACGGGCGAAGATGAGGCGGAAGCTCACCGCGAAAGACTAGCAGAAGCGACAGGAGGTGCATCTGAAAGAAACAACAAGTCAAATATGCTCGCAGAGATGTACCGCCCACCATTCGAAATCATGTCACGGCTGCCTTGGGATCTGGCTCGAGAAGATGGCCGTGAGCACGAGAAGTGGCTCCTAGTAAATATCCAGGATCCCTCAATCTTCGACTGTCAAGTCTTGAACCGGGACTTGTGGAAGGACGCCAATGTCAGAGAAACCATCCAAGAACACTTCATATTCCTGCAGTACACTAAAGACGATCCCCGCGCCGCGCCGTACCTACAATACTACTTCCAAGCCAGTGACGTCTCTAATAATTATCCACACATCGCCATCGTTGACCCGCGGACAGGCGAGCAAATGAAGGTCTGGTCAGGGCCGCCGGTAGTGAAGGCTGCAGACTTCCTGATGCAGCTCCACGAGTTTCTTGACCGTTACAGTTTGAAACACAATGTTCGAAACCCAGTGGCCAAACGGAAACCAGAAACCAAGGAGAAGAGCATTGATGCCATGACGGAAGAGGAAATGTTGGAACTAGCAATGAAAAACAGTCTCGGCGCAGAGGCTGCGCAAACACGGAAGGTGGAAGACCCTGATGACCTTACGCGAAGTACTGGCGATGTCAAGGGCAAAGGTAGAGCGGTAGATGAAGATGACATTGAAATGGATGAGGCTGGCGAAGGTGGAACTACAAACGCCGAGACATCTGCATTCTGGTCAATTGCAACCGACCGGCCACACGCCGAACCTCCAGCTGACCCTGCGACCACAACTCGCATTCAGTTCCGGCACCCAACCGGAAGAGTAATCCGACGTTTTGCGCTGAATGACCCGGTCAGGAGGATCTACGAATGGCTAAAGGCCGAACCTGTCTTGGAGGAGAAGGCTGGTCTTGAATTCGAACTCAATGCCATGGGACGCAACTTGATCGATGCTCTTGACGTGAGCGTGGGGGATGCCGGTCTGAAGAATGGTACTATCATGATCGGATACATCGAGAATTAAGAACGACCGAACTGGGTGATATACATAGTACGATAGTCTGCAGATCTTCTATCTACTAGACGCGATATGATTCGTCACGGATAATAATGACCCACCACATAATACATTCAGACCTGGTTGACATTTGGAACACTTTAATTCAGACTTTGTACTGCATAGGAACCCTTGCCTGGCCTATTGTTCATTGTTCAGGGACTGACACCGCCCGCAAGCGCCCACACTGACCGCCCGGCAGAATAAACCCCGCGCGGGCCCCAATCATCCGCATTATTGGTGTTGTTTACTGCTGTCCCTGTTGTGGTTGTCCTCATCGTCGGCTCCCTGGTGGAAGACGATGCAAGGGAGCTATCAATCTAGAGCCCTTTATTGCCAATACTTTATCAATTTCCTCATGACTCCACCCTCGGCTTAAGCAAGGAATGTCTGGCCGCATTTCCTGTCTTGCTTTCTAGACCCATCTCAGCCGCTCGCTGCCCGCTTTTGTTGACGTCGACGGGGTTTCCCCAAAACAATAGCATTTGAAACTGTCAACACTTCGCTTCTGGTTGATCTCAGTAGCTATATTCGTTCTTTGAGCTGCTCTGATCTTCAAGGTCCCAGCTTCTTTTTTTCATGCTGTCCCTTTCCCCTCGTTTAGAAACATACGCCTGTTGGTAGGTAAGTTGACTTCCGATCGTTCCTTATCGATGGCGATGATCGTCCATTTTATAGTCCCATCGCCCTAGCTTTGTGTTTATACTGTCATGCATTATGTTTTCTCGTGCTGATTAGGCACCCAGACATAGCAATTTCTAGTGCATGATCGAAGACTGCTCGAAGCGCCGCCGAAATGGAAGGCCTGGTGGATCCAGAGACGCTGTACATGAAACAAAACTGCATTGGTATGTACTGGCAGCGGCTGCTGGTGTCGTCTCGCAATGGTTCTGACTTGTACTTCAGGTGGCGGAAGCTTCGGGCGGGTTTATAAAGGGTATGACACTGGAGTTCCCCCTTAGACTGGCATTCCTGATACGAACGGCATCCACAGTGTCGATAAACGCAACGGAAAGTCAGTCGCAATCAAGATAATTGATGTGGAGAATGCCGAGGACGAGGTCGAGGACATCATCCAAGAGATCGCTATCTTGTCCGAGCTCAACTCCCCGTACGTGACCAGATACCATGGATCATATTTGAAAGGGTCAAGTCTTTGGATCGTGATGGAGTTCTGCTCCGGTGGCAGCTGCTCTGACCTCATGCGCCCGGGGCCAATTCCGGAAGAATACATTGTCATCATCATTCGAGAACTGCTCAAGGGACTGGACTACCTACACAGCGACAAGAAGCTGCATCGCGACGTTAAAGGTACGCTTGCCTCTCGCTGACTGTCCCGAGAAAACGCTAAGACCTATGCTTAATAGCTGCAAACATTCTTTTGTCGTCGGGCGGCCAAGTGAAGCTGGCGGATTTTGGAGTATCTAGCCAGCTATCGGCTACCATGACAAAGAAGAATACATTCGTCGGGACTCCCTTTTGGATGGCTCCAGAAGTAATCAAGCAGTCAGGATATGATTACAAAGCTGATATCTGGTCACTCGGGATTACCGCGATTGAGTTGGCTCACGGAGAACCTCCTTACTCGGACATACATCCCATGAAGGTCCTGTTCCTGATCCCAAAGAATCCACCACCTACACTGCAAGGTGATTACAGCAAAACATTCAAGAGCTTCGTCGAACTTTGTCTTCGGAGAGACCCGCGAGAGCGACCGACAGCTAAAGAGTTGCTTGAGCATCCCTTCATCAAGCGAGCGAAGAAAACCAACTACTTGACGGAACTGATCGAGCGCTATGAGCGTTGGCAGGCAGTGAACGGCAATAAAAAGGATGACGAAGATGACGAGTTGGACCAGGAACCCGCGGTCGGCCCAACGGCCACCGAGGATGATGACGATCTTTGGGACTTTGGCACCGTTCGACCAGCGGGACGCGGGCACGCTCTCAATCCGATGAGAGTGGCAGACCTTAACGCTAGGGGTCAGGGCCCGAGAGACAGAGATTCCAAACCCGAGCTCCGAAAGGAAGCGCCTAGGCCGAATAACCCTACGTGTCCTCCTGCTCATCTCAAGAGCACGCCTACTTCACCAAAGTTGGCTTCTCCATCAAAGATTCCATTACCCCCGTCCCCGGTGAAACCATCGCATATCGATAACCTCCCAAAAACCCCTTCACATATAACACCCCAGAAAGTAAGGGAAAGCCCTGGGAGTGATTATGACAGGGCTCTACAGCAGTCTTTAGCACAAGATTTGAGTTTCCTGCAACTAGATCGTTCCCCGGAAAGCTCCATGGCGACCCTCATTGACAGAGGGAGCCCGCTCTCGACACCGTTGCCTCACCAGTCACGGTCATCCTTTTCCATGGAAACACCAGCTCTGCAGGCGTCACCTTCACGAAACTCCAGTGAACAGCAGGTCAGGTCCGGAATCGAACCACGGCGTATTCAGCCTCCACTCTTTTCTCAACCACAAGCTCAGCAGCAGTCCCATTATTCGCGTCCTCCTCCAACGCCAAAACATACGTCTCCGCCGCCGCAACCTCAACCTCAAAACCATTTACATGCTCCTTTGCACAGCTTAGCACCCAGTCATCCCGATCTAAATGGTCCTTCTTTATACAACAAACCCGCTAACTCGAACGCACAACACACGAAACAGTCGTCGAACCCTCTTGAAGTCACTGCTCTTAACAGTGTTATCCTTCCTGCTCTGAAAGAAGCCATTAATCGTCGTGCTCGTTGTGTAGATATCGCTACCCGGTCTACAATAGCCCACGACGGTGAGAGTCTAAAAACGGCATTGGAGCTTCAGTCCCGACGGGAACATGCCCAAGAGATGATAGAATCATTATCCAATGAATTAGTTGGAATCCTTACCAGGCTCGAGCGGTGGGACAACGACGCCCCGGTGGGTATGGGCGCCGGCATCCCCTCCTTTCTAGAAGGATTCCTGGAAGAGGTTCTTGTCAGGATTGAGCCAGGCGATGATGACGAGTTTCGATAGGCTCTAACACCCTTACTTGATTCTCTTTCTCGCCCTCTACCACTTTGCTCTAGCGCCGTTGTCGTGGCTCACTTCTTTCCCTGCCGCTCCTTAGATAGGATATATGTGGAGCTATATCTACTTTCGTCATCAGGGTCATAAATCTTTCCTTCACCTTTCCTTACTATCTCTTCTTCGTTTTCTTGTCTCAGGAGGCAACTGTGATTGTGAAAGTCAGTCCTGTGAGGAAAGATGTATCGTGTGGCTGTACGTTTGGGGCACTGTGAGGGGTTGTCCACTCAGTTTCTGTTCAGACTTTTTTCTGTTTCGACTCTTCATTAAGTGTTCATACAGGGCTGGTCCTTAGATCTTTCAATTTGGAGCAGGATATTCCGCGGTGTCTGACTTAAGCCTAGTAAACAACGGATGTATATCTTCCACCACGAAGCCTCCAAAGCAACGTATTGATATGATCTAACATTCAGAGAGCCCGCAGTTCGCACATTGCCCCTCTATAGCATAACTGCTTTGGCTTGCTGCTTTGCTTTGCGACCTAATAATTGGATCACAGGACGAACAATGATGAGTATACACCGACAGGAAGGCTTAATATGTATAACTATGGCTCCATATAGTATTGGAAATGAGGAGGATCTGATAGCTGATCATCATTATGGGCTATTTTGGCTATTAAGGGCATCCGATTGAATACGAGCAACGTAAAGGCATAGATTGGGTATAATATCGTGGTATCATGTTAAAGTAAGTTGCCCAGGTATTTTCATGCGGCGAGTATATGTATATGCGAGAAGCTTTTGATCCGGCTATCAGGATCAATGTGAAGACGCCAGTCTTCTACAGAATAATGCTCCCTGGAGGCGCATTAGCCTGAGACTAGGCCGGGTGGTGTGGTCGTGGCGGCGTTATCGTTGACCCAGATCAGCCATTAACTTGCACGCCCTGACTATGAAGAGGCATAATTGGTCTTCTGCTGAGTTGGCATTCACGGCGGGTGAGTGTGAAACCACAACTGACCCAAGGAGGTATTCTTGGAGCGGCCTCAACAAAGGAAGCTTAGGGTTATACGTCCAAAGACGCGGTTTGGAATGATATTCCAGCTGTACCAAGGCGGCCAATATAGTGCAACAAAGTAACATAATGCACCATGCTGTGGGTAGGGCGCCATATAGCTCGGGGTCCGGTTGTATGACGGTGTTCTCGAAATGAGAATGAGTTCCTTTCTGGGTGTTATCAACCTCCAGGCCGAAACAGCCAGTCTGTCTCAGGAGTTGGGATCAGATAATTCGTGATATTAAACTCATTCGTATTGACTGAAGCATTGTCCACACCCATAGGATTCGAATTTCCAGTGCCGGTCAAACCAGGTATCGACATAGGATTGTTCACAGCCTCGGCCATGTCAAGGCCGGTGATATCAGGCGTTCGACCGGCGGGTACGCGCGGGACATTAAAGAAGCCGAATACGTCTAGATATTCCAATTCGTTCGGAGCTAGGCTTCTGGAAGGCATCCCTGCTGTCGGAGCTGCTGCTTGACTAGCGGTTGGCGACGAACGGGGTTGCCGCGATATCAAAAAGTCCAGGTCGAAGGCGCACCGGCGCATATCTGCTAAAATTTTGACGGAAGAGGGCGTGGATCGATCACCATCAACTGCGCCAGCTTGCTGGTATTCACCATATTCATCAAGGACTCTCTGCAGGATTGTGCTGTACCGCTCTGCAACTTTCCAGTATTTGCCCATTCGAGACAGAGTGTCAACGATGAAGACGATGTCGGGGCTGACTGTATGGGCGATTGTGGATCCGTGGACAAGCAGCAACCGAGCCGAGACCCAAAGAGTAAATGCAAAAGGCGGCCCAAGTTTGTCCAATATATTGTTGTTCACCACAAAGCGAGTTACAGAAAGGATATTGTCAACCGCAAGCAAGCAACGCTGACTCGCACTGTAGGATGGCGTGAAGATCGGGGACCGTGTAGTGGGATATGCAGCGGAGGAATGGAGCCTGATTACCGCCCTATTCCATCATTGAGGTTAGTCAAAACTGTAACCATTTTAAAAACTCTGACTCACGTTTGGTAAACAGAATGTAGCTGAACCCAATCACAGTGGTGCCCTTTGTGCTTGGAGCCACTGAACGCTCGAGATGCATTCTCGTAGGTATACTCGGTGGGGAGGTTGAATTCCCAGGTGGTCAACTCGCTATCTAGTTTGCGATATGTGGCTTGCCATTCCTCGACATCCGACAGAGCTCCAATATCGACAGGTCGTTTGAGGAACGCATGTATCCGTGTGAGAATACCGAGTATTTCCACATAGAGTCCAAATGAGCCAACGTTCTCCGAACGAATGAGATGGTCTGGGCGGTCATTTGAGGATTGGAACCACCTCGTCTCGACGGGCTGGTTTTTGATGAAATATTCGTCTTTGCATGGAAGTTTGCGGTCAATATCTTTGTCATCTAAAGCAAAGTCGAAAGCGGTTGCAAGGGTAGAATAACGGTCAAGAAGGTACACCATCCAGAAGAGCCGGCGTCTGCCCTCGTCTTCAATCCACGATTCGGCCTCGGGAAGAGTAACGGCCCGTAAGGTATATATTGAAGGATACAGCGGAGAGATAAGGGTTGACTTGGACTCAACAGCTAGTCCCAGCTGAACCACTGACCTTGTGATTAATGCCAGTAGCTTCCAACCAGGTGGACCATTAGATGACCCGACTAGATCGAGGGCAAGGATCACTAAAGCCTGAAGTGCCTTGACTGACGAATTTTCAAGGCCATAAAGCAGGACTTTCTGCTTGGAAGAGTCATGGTACCGCTTTCGATTTTGTTCGGTGAGTCGACTGTCACTGGAGAAGCGAAGAGTTGTTGCAACAATTGCATATAGCACCATGCGGTCAGCTTCTTCAAGAGGGGTAGGGCCAAAGAAAGTGTCCAATGTCGTTCGGCGATGAAGAATGGGGCACCAGGTGTTAAGGTGCTCGAAGTAGAGATCCACAAGCGCGTACAGCAGGTCATAAGGTGGAAGATCGAGCTCGGGGTCAGAGAACGACTGCTCTTGATTGGAGAACAAACTGACGGGCACTTTCAAGGAGGACTCATTATCGTTGTAGTCGTTCTGCGCGGTAGTGTTGGTGATCTGTGGTAAGGCTGCTACCGGAGCAAGACCATTGGTGATTTGGCTCTGGATCGAGTTCTTCACAGACACATCCGTTGGGCTTGTGGTGGAAGGCTCTGGTGGACGCGGAGCCGAGGGCATAGATGATGGCTCGTGGAAGTAGAATGGGTTCCGTGGACTGGGCCCGTGTGCTGCAGAAGGCTCCGATGGCGAACTATAGGACAGAGATCCTGGCTGGTGCACATCATGAGACACTGACAGCCGCGGCTGGCCTTGAAGAATATGCGTCTCGATGAGACGGGCCTGCGCTTGAATGATATCTTCTAAACGGTCTAGTATATGTCAGAAAGATGACACATGATTGATAACAAGGACAACCAGGATAACCATACCAAGGCGCTGTTCCAGCTCCTTTCCGTATCCTGCACGAAGACCAGGCTTCTTCCTTTCCTTGTACTCACACACCTGGCCATTTCGGGTGCACCACCCACAACTTGGTTGAGCCCGGTCTAGATCGTTAGATACCAATGCATGACGGAATCAGGGCACATACCACACTTGACCTTCCGCTGCTTGCATAATTCACATCTAAGCCTTGTTAGTCTAGCACTTCAAACGAAGGATAGGGCATGTTGGTGATTATGCAAAGACACTGCAAAGCAGGTGTACCATTTCGGATATCCCGAGGGTTAGGGGTTTACTAACGAGACTGTGAGTGGCCGCCTGCGTTTCAAGCCACGCGAGGATCCATTTTGAGCAAGGCCAGTGTCACTGTCAACAGCCGACCAGGACTCGTCGGCACTGTGATCTTTATCCTGATCAAAGACCGGGTTTACAGCGGGCGGCGGGGACTGTTGCGGTACCGCTGCGGGCACAGGGTTCGGCATGGTGAGTAGCGAGGTTGAGTTGCAACCATCAATAGCGGAAACGCATAATGAGCGGGAGAGAGAACGGCGTCAGATCGGCAAGATAAGAGGCGGGTCTCGATGGATGATGATAATTGGAAGCCCCGCAAGTCCAGACTGCCAGATCCCTTTTTTTTTTTCCCTTGCCCTTTGGGTGGTGAGGAAAGAGAAATCCGGGGAGAGGGAAGAAGAGTCAAGCGGAGACGGAGCACATGCCTCTCTCTGCCAGTATTGTGGGGAGCTGGGGGTGCATGGTGCCTGAGCCCTGAGGCATTACATGCATAGCCTGACTAATCCGGCATACCCAGCCACGCATAACCCCCGCAAAAACACGAGCTTGGCACCTCCACACTCTCTACAGCATCTCCTCTACAACCATGAAAGCCAGGCCTCGTGATGCAGATACGGACATGGAGGAACTCAGATGCCGCCATACAAGAGGGGGAGCGAAGCGCGTTCTTCCAGCCGGCACCGAGCCCAACCCATTAGCCGGCTGGCTGTTTTTCTCCATGTCTCCCGTCGCTGATCTCGGGGGAGCATTGCCCCGAGCATAGGACTTGCTCCGACAAGTACCTCGCCTTGCCCCTCTGTTTGGTCCAGCTCTCGGCGCCCTCAAATAACCGCGTCTGTCCTCGTGGTGCCCTTCTTACTTTGAACTTTCCTGCTTCATCTCACCCTTTTCCCTATAGACTGGTTTCTGGCCTGCCTCCGTTATTGTCACCATGGCTACCGCATCATTTCCCCGCATCAAGACGATCCGCACTTTCGTGATCGATGGCGTTGGATCCGGTGGTGACTACCACAACGTATGCTATACTCCCTTTTGGCCAATTGACGTCTACTGACTTGAACCAGGTCAAAGGTGGCCACTGGTTAATCGACAGCGACATTTCCACCCCCATGACTCGATGGGCGCAATACCGGGGCTCGCGAACATCCTGGGGTATCAACGTGCTGGGATCCTTCTGCGTGGAGATTGAAGCTACCGACGGGACCAAGGGCTTTGCCACTGGCTTTGGTGGCCCTCCTGCTTGCTGGCTGGCACACCAGCACTTCGAGCGGTTCCTGATTGGCGCAGGTATGCCGAACTATATACCATCCCGGAAAGACTCAAGACATTAATTGATCAACATGACAGACCCCCGCGACGTCAACGAGCTTTTTGAGAAGATGTACCGCGCCTCCATGTTCTATGGACGCAAGGGTCTTCCCATCGCTGTCATCTCCGTCATCGACCTCGCCCTCTGGGACCTCGTCGGCAAGATCCGCAACGAGCCCGTCTACAAACTCATCGGCGGCGCCACTCGCTCGCGCCTCGACTTCTACTGCACAGGTCCCCAGCCAGCCTCCGCGAAGAAGGCCGGCTTCGTCGGTGCCAAGGTCGCCCTCCCCCACGGGCCCGACGAGGGTGTCGAAGGCCTGCTCAAGAACGTCGAGTACCTTCGCAAACAGCGCGAAGCCGTCGGCCCCAACTTCCCCCTCCGCGTCGACTGCTACATGTCCCTGAACGTCCCCTACACCATCGAGCTCGTCAAGCGCGCCGAGCAGGAGGGCCTCCACATCGACTGGTGGGAGGAGTGCCTTAGCCCCGACGACTTCGACGGCCAGGCGCTCCTGAAGCGTGCACACCCAACCGTCAAGTTCACAACCGGCGAGCACGAGTACTCCCGCTTCGGCTTCCGCAAGCTCGTCGAGGGCCGCAACGTCGACATCATCCAGCCCGACGTCATGTGGCTTGGTGGACTGACAGAACTGCTTAAGGTCTCTGCCCTAGCAGCAGCCTATGACCTTCCTGTCGTTCCTCACGCCTCGGGCCCCTACTCCTACCATTTCGTCGTCTCACAGCCCAACACACCCTTCCAGGAATACCTCGCCAACTCGGCGGACGGACACACCGTCGAGCCCGTGTTCGGCAACCTGTTCACTAACGAGCCCATCCCTGTGAATGGCTACCTGGACGTCTCGATTCTCGATAAGCCTGGCTTCGGTCTCGAACTTAATCCCTCTGCGCCCCTGATTCCTGCCGCCTCGATCCTGAACCCCGCACCCGCTCGAAGCCTCCCTGCCCCCGGTACAGAGGAGAAGCCTGCGACAAATGGCAACCATTAAAGTCTTGAACGACAATTATGATTGCATGTACATAACGCCCCTGTCTTCTACTCTTTTTCCTTGTTTTCTCTTACATAAATTGGCCTTGGACTTCGACATGAACTATGATAGACGGAAATATTATTTTCTACTGAGATCCTTCAATCACGCTCCTCACCTACCGTAGAAGCCCTACCGTATACTCCGTATACTCCATAGGACTAAAACAACCCCTCCTCCCTCTCTACCAATACCAAGTCTTCGAAATCGCCACTCCATTTTCCAACAGGCAACGTAAACGAGATACGACCCATCATCAAATATTATCATAATTGCAACTCGGCGGGATCCCGGAGAAGCCACACGCACCCGCGACTGGTGGGACTGCGGGGCATCTCGGGCCATCAATAGCACGAGCACCCTGGCCCCTTCCATTCCTCCACCAATTGCCGACCGTTTACGCCGCTGCTCCGAGCCTCCGCGACGCGCCCCGTGGGCTTTGGGTTATTCTTTCGGGGCCGAGAGATCCCCGGCTGGCATCTAGATCACAGCTCAGAGGATGGCAGATGCAGCCCGGCGGCTAATGTGCCTTCTTTACCCGTGGCGATCAGGACCAGGGTTGCATGCGGAAAGGCGGGGTAGAGGTTGAGACTAGGGTGGTAACTACGTAGTTGGAGGATCGCTTCCAAGGGTTGCTTTCTAGGGTCCCGAGGTCGTATACATATGTATCAGGGGTGCTACGGAGAGAAGGTTAGACCAGGTGATGTACGTAGCAAGTCAAGAGGAAGGAATTGCATGCGAGATAGATGGCATAAAATTCATACTCGTCATCTGGAGAGATATATAAGGACTAAACCCAAACATAGACTTGGGGCAGGTAGGATGTGTGCTCTGCACTGCCCTAAGACCGGCATCCATCAATCTGGGAAGACGCGCGACCAACCATAGCAGCAAATACTGACAGATAGATTCAAACGCAGCATCAAAAACTTGAAGCGGGATATCAACAATGGGGTAATAATGTACAAGTGAAGGGAAATAAACAGTTCCATATCCAAAAAAAAAAAAATCATGACATCGCAAGCGAACAAGACACATAGGAAAACGTAAATAACATAGGAAAGTCATACACAAAGGAAAATTTAGATAGAATGTGGATTAGGCGATCCGCCATCTTCCACAATTCTACCTTCTCCGTACGCTTCCCCGTTCAGATAAGTCGGTTTATGCAGCCGCTTGCTGAGGCGGGTAATGCCCGGGAATGTGCAACTCAATGGTTGAGATGCTGTTCTGGGTTTGCGCGCTGGGCCTCTTGGGAATGTCCAGCGAGTTGCGCATGCTGTTGGGGATCGACGTTCGAGGGGTCTGCTTCACGGATTCGAGGTCATCGTCAGATTCCTCTTCAACGGACGTTGGCATGGTGTTAGCAGTGCTGTGCGTGTAGTCTGTCACGTTGGTGTTTGTAAAAGCAGTTGATGTGGTTTCACCGCGGTTCCGCTGGCGAGCCGCCGCCTGGTCCTGGGCAGAAGTAGAGCCGAGTCCAGCAACAAAGATGGAGTTTGTGGTGTCCGCATTGTTGGAGTTGAAAGCTGTCTGGTTGTTTATGGAGGCAGGCGTCTGTTGGGGAAACTGCTGGCTGTGGCGGTTGAAAGAATCAGATGTGGTCATCCATTTCTCAGAGGGATGATCGTATCCGTCAATGGGAAACCGGGGCGCCCCAGCTGCACTTGCAGATCGGCTTTGGTTCGAGTGTTGAATTGAATTCACATCTCGGTCAGGGTAGAAGCGGTCGCCTGTGCCGGCAAAGTGGGCACCATCGGGCAACGATCCTGCTGCCGCCAGCAAATCCTTCTCTCCCGAGCTCTCTCCGCTTGAAGGGGACAATGGCGCGTGTAAGTGACGGTCGATGTTCACATCACTAGGGAACTTGCCACCTGGCTGTCGCTGGGACGTTGGGCGCTCCTGCGGAATCACTACTGATCCGGCAGAGTAGGGGGTTCGATCTGCTTCGTCTTCATCCATTACTCCGTCACTGCTGCTCCGGAAACTAGCACCACTGACGGTACGTACATGTCGCCTGACGTACGCATTCCGAGCCTCTCCAGTCATGTTGATCATCCGCTCGATATCCTCGTACCAGGCCATCATTGTCTCGTAAGACTCGGCCCGGAACACCCACGAGTGACCGCGGTGCATAGTTCCCGTCTGTCGTCCTTTCAACATGAATTTGTGCGACGTCGAGTCCGGCTGCGAGTGCGATCCGAGCTTCTGTTCCGGGAGGTACAACGACATCACCGGCGTCTGCCAGGCAACTCTATCGGCCGACTTAAACTCATGGAGATGAGTTGGTGACAGAACATACCTGCAACAGCATTAGCAAATCTGACGGTTCTGTGGAGAAGTAGACTAACCATCCAGGAGCGTAACTCTTAAGATACTTGCTCTTGCGCTCCAGCATTCCTGACCTTACTTCCGCAGCCGCCGGATGCTCCTTACCAGGGTACGTGATACTGTCAACGTCACGGATTCGGATGCGCGGGTCCACCATTTCGTCCGTGTTTGCGACAAATGAATTCCATTCATGGTCGTGTGGCATTGAGATCGGGCCTGCGCGAAGTTTGTCTACCGTATCAAGCGTCTGTTCTGCTTCTCGCTTCATGATACCAGCATAGGCATTGTAAGCCTTCTGAATCTCGCTCACCACGATAGATTCGAGCTCACGGCCAGAGCTCTCAAGGTTCAGGTAAGCCTAGCATGTGAGTTAGCGAGTTGTTAGAGAAACCCTGACAGTAAACGAACCCGATGAAGGTAGTTTTCCTCCTCAATTTGCTTTTCAATCTGCTTCTCGACGGTAAGGCGCACAATGAAGGGGTCACCCTTGCCAGACGTAGCGGATGGGTCTGTATCAACCAGCCCCAATGCCTCTTGCAAATGTCGAACCGACTTTCGAGTGCTATCGACTTCCTTATCGACAGAGTTTTTGAAGTCCCCGGATAGCGCCTTGATCTCCTTGGTCTTCTTTTGTAGGTCGTTTCGGAGCCCTACTAGCTGGTTGATAACTTCACTCTCCACCTCTGCAGCTTTGTTCATCTCAAAGTGCGCTTGCCGATGGAAATCCGTCAGAATTTCATTCGCATCGCCAAGACCGCCTGATTTGAGAAATGTCGAGGGAAGCGTCGTGTTGTTCATGATGTTAGTTGTAGAAAGATAGAGCTTCGCGCGCGCTTCATATGACTTCTGAAGCTCCTTGAAAAACACAATTAGATCCTTAAGGACCTTGCGCCAAGCTAATAACTCAGTTAGCAAGTTGATTATACGAATAATGTCAATTTTAACGTACCCTGAAAGCGCTCTGCCAGAACCTCCGTCGGATTGCCGCTGGTCGGAACGGGAATGTAGAAAGCGCTGTTGACGTCTTCCTCGCCATCCACTGCATACTTCTCTCTGTCGCCGAGAGCCAAACTTCGCACACTGCCGGCGCGCATACTCCTGCGACTTCCGCTGCGGCGCAAACTGCCCCTTTTACTCAGGGATGACTTCTTTTTCAGAGTGCCGGATCGGGTTGGCGTGGCGGCACGCGAGTGAGACATCACAGACTGTGACCGTTGGATGCTTGATGGCCCTTCTGCAGGGCCGCGCATACTCATGGCGTCCATTTCCTCGTGGAAGCGCCCGTAATTGGTGAGTGGTGAGGGATCAACAGCAGCGTGGGCGCCGTTAAATCCAGAAGTACTACCGGCGTAAGAGTTGGGCCGCGAGCCTGATCGTGTGCCGTAACTGCGACCTGGGGCAAGTGTGTCGGGAAGGTGTGAAGATGGTGCGAATGGGTCCTGTATAGGGGTTTGCGATCGCAATGCCATAGCCATGGCGGGGTTGTACTAAGAATGCGAAAGAGGCGAGGAGGGAGGTTAAAGGCAGTAGTACCTCAGAGGCAAACAGGGGCGGTGCAAGCCAGATTGCGCGTCAACATCAATGAAACCGAGCAATCACAGGAGACAGAAGAGGGCGAAGACAGCAGGCAGACAGGTTCAAGATAAACAAGAAAGAAGATCGAAATGGTGATCAAGATGGGGAGGGAATGACCCTTTTCGCCTTTTACTCCTTCTGGGGGCGCGGTTGGTTACCAGGCGAACGGGCGGCGGAGATTGTCAATTTAGTGATGCCGATGGATGGCTGGCAAGGCCTGGAGCGGACGGTTTGCGGGGGTACTTTTTTGTGCCTAGCCGGTCACTAGAGTTGGGTAGTCTGCGAACTAGGAGGCCGGCGGCAATTCGTAATCGCAGGCAGATTACTCCCGAGTCCCAAGTGTCGCAAGGAGAGGAGAGCAATCAATGTCAGGAGAAGCCGTCAGCAAAAAGTGCCTGGGCGATCGGATGCGGTTATGTATGGGGCCCACCAGACCAGGGAAAGGAGGGATGGAACTATGGATGGAGATGCAAGTCCTCCTTGGATGATGAAATGGATATAGGCCCAGAGGAGGGGTTCAGCAGTTAAGAACAGGAAAGAAAGCGGATGACGTCGACCCGGATGCGACCTTCTGATGACGCCCAAGACGAACACTGGCAAGTTGCGACTACACTAGAGTTCCAAGCGGACGGAATCTCCGGACCCATGAGATCGAGGATCCCGATCTGTTCGCGCATTTGATCATTCGGACTCCGAGTAGCTTTGATCTATCCATGCCATATGTGCGTACCCATGAGTAGAGGATACTGCTTGGTACCTCGAGATACCACCTTATCGCAGTCCGGATAGGGTACAAATACAGTCTATTATCGCCTCAGATAAGGTCAGCCTGATTAAGGCTGAAGCTTGCGTCTCGCGATATTCTTAGATCGTGAATCAGGAGAAATCCCGCTGCCTACGAAGTACTCTATAAGCCCACTCTAATTTCCCAAGCCAAGGCTCATCTTCAGGAGATTCAAACAAAATCAACAGTGAACGCCCCGAGAGCGATCTACAGCATTATTTGTACACAATAGCCTTCACAAATTGTGATTATTGAACGCAATGAGCCACCCCTTACGGCCCAGCGTGGCTTGGAGGGGCCATCTTTGGGAGTCGGACATTGAAAGTGTGGCTATGGTCTACAGGGAGGCCCAATCGCCATAAAAATGTAGTGGAGAGCCAGCCCACAGCAATCTCCCTTGATCAGAAGCCATCCCTTTCGCGCTGCATGATGGTGGCAAATCTCATCAAACTCTGGCTGATTTGGAAAAGGAGAGCTGATCTCTGCCGCTTGGGGGCATTGGAGTTGTTCCCGAGTCCCCGGTGGCTAGTGTCTACGTCATGCCCCGTGCATCCATCGCTGATTATCACCGTTCGTTCCAGAGAAAGTTCCGAAGTTCTGTCGATCCATGCAGTTCGTCTCAGGTTCTCAGCTCTCAAAGTCTCATATAGTTGGCTGGAGACTTGGAGCATGATTCAGCAAAAGTATCATGTTGCCGAATAATGCCGTGTGGCTTTACTGCGAGTCCTGAGTCCTGAATCATTATTCTCAGTCAAGAGCTTTCCACGCGACGAGCAAAATTTGTCGCTTCAAACTGCACGGTATCAATACTGGATACGGCTCAAGGGGGGCTGCCTCACTTTGGCCTCCGTCAGCCCCTGTCAATAGACCATTTTGCTGCCGGATTCTGATTTTCTCGAGATGCCTTTACATCCTAGCTTAGCGATGAATATCAAAGTAATAAGGAGCTAGTACGGAGTAAGTAGTAATGTGATATCGCAAGCTGAAGTTGCACAACGCAGGTCCAGCACGTTATGCTTCTGCACTCCACAGCTAAATATAGGATTTTTAAGGTACGTACCGTTCGCACATTCCCTTCAGGGGAGTCGGGGACGGAAGAATCGGTTTGTTCCAGAACTCCGTTCTTGAACCCCTAAATCTGCTACATGGCACCCTTGTTGTAAGTAGATTGTCGGTTTGGATTAAGTTAGGAGAAGGCACAAAGTACGGGCGCAGTTCTAGCCCTTGCCCCCAAGGAAGGAGATGGCGAGCTGACAGCTGTCACTGTTAGTTCGTCAAGTTCCACTATCCCTATCGCCGTTTGTCTCAGGATTCAGGGGATAAATCGTATGTGGTTGTACCCCGTGTTCCGGACATTGACCGTTGACGGGTTGACATTCGGAGCCCGGATAATCACCCACCCACCCCGTTGACGTTCTAGACGGTCTGGCTGTGCTATTTAGTATGTCCCGCAGCAGTCCGGAAAGGGTTGAAAGCGTAGTGAGCCGTGTTCAGTTCATCTCATTTTTATACCCGGAACTCCATGATTTGATAAAGCGGCACTCTGATTGGCCGGCGGCTCTGATAGGCTCAGAAGGTAAAGATGCCGATAACAAAGAAACCATTTATTGTATGTGTGCTTGACGAGCCATTTGATATAGTGCAGGTAATTTTACAGACAAGAGACGCCGACAAACCGAATTTATGAAGCGGCAGGGTGACTGGTAGGGACGTCGATTCCGTACGCCTCCTTAATACGCTCGCGCCGTCTCTCTGCGTACCCGGGGCCATAGATGCCTGGGTATATGTTAGTAGAGCGTATTCAATGTACGGGAAGAGTTCTCTTCAGCAACATACCTCGTCCCTCACCAAGCTCGGCCAGGGTCTGTTCACCGGGGGTCCTCCATTGCGTCCTCAGTTTCTCCCGGCGCTCGAATTCGTCAACGTTAGGGTCCCTCCTTTTGCCGAACAATGATCCACCAGTGTACTCAAATCCTCCCATTGCGGTGGCCAACGCCGCGCCGTATCCGAGAAGAGCGGGAAATGTGCGGGCTACAATATTCAGCAAAAACGCTCGCCTGGCAGGATTGGAGACCTACCGCGCAGACCGAGGATGGCGCCGGAGAAGAAACCACCAAGAGCGACGTTCCAGTGGTCTTCTTTCTCTCGCAGGTTGGCGGATGATGTCTTTACGAACTCATAGGTACCTCCCATAGCGGCTGAACAATTGAGTCAGTAAGCCGTCCAAAACCCAACGAATCGTCATCAATCATAGCATACCAAGGATACCAATTGTAGCACCAGTCCTCGTGAAAACTCCCCATGGTCCCACGTTCTGCCGGGCGAGGGTGTTTTGGACGGCGGAGGCGAAGAGACCCACGGAACCCGTAAGCCCGGTGGTCCTCATCGTCCTCGCGATGGTGTCCTGGGGGTGATAATGGTGGTCGTCCGCGGATGCACCCATGATGGCGGTTGCTGCTGAGAAACGATTCTCTGGAGCTCAAAATGGACCTGAACGAAGTAGGTTGTGGTGGATGACGGGTGCTGGGAGTTGGAGTTTCTGCCGCCAAACACCGCCCGATTCACCTGCCTTAAGTCCATATGATGTCGGCAGTAGATATGACCAGACGATACAGGCCCTAGGCCTTCTTTTTCACTGTCCTACTTGCTATTCGAAGCTGCGGAGCGATTAAATCTTAAGGTTTGGATCTTGAGCGAATCTTTGTTGTGGTCGTGCACTCGGAGGTATATCTAGCGATCAAGTGTCAAGCCCTCCCCGCGATTCGTCGTTTCAACAACATTCCAGCGATCGAATAGTTCTACCTAGAGAACAGTCAAATCGGCGCAGAGTGCAACATAAGCGTCCTTGCCTATCTACATGGAAGTGCCATAAACGATCTTACAGCTCACGGACCGGTCTCTACCTTAATACAGGAGGGATGTCGTCTGCTCGCAGGCCAGGTTGGTAGTTCACCGAACACTTGGACCGCTCTATACTCATATTTTGGTAATATACTTTAGGCAAGACAGCCCCTCGTCTTATACGAGATATAATCGACTACGATCCAGCCCATCCGCCAGGGACCGGCCGTAACCTCCTCGCCGAAGTGCCCCCTGTCTATCCCGAGCATTGCCAAGGACCGCAGCACTTCATTTCCCCATCAGCTTGCAGTCATAGCTATGTCACAAAGGCGAACCAAACCATAAGGCCGCCGCAAGGGGAGCATAGGGTAGCATCGGGTATAGTCACAAAGATATCCGCGATTTGCTCGAAATGTCGACATCACTTACTGCTCGAGCAGAGCATGGACGCTGGCGCACGAGCTGGCCAAAGCTTCGGACATATACACCACTTCATTTGGTATTGGGGGAGGTATATGGGCGGCCAAAAAGAGGCTCCAGTTTCAGTGAAAGGCCAGGTGGTGGAGACCTTCCGTTATGAATGCTCAGATCCCTATTGTCGATACCAAATTACTATACAAGTCGCCTCGCCGCTGCTTTCAGACTACTGGGTTCGGCTATTGACAGACACTGAGGTGCTGAAGAAGCGCTCAGACGACGCTTTTGCATTACACCCTGGGCGGTTGGAAGGCATGGCTCGCCCGCAACCAATAACTGTGCTAATGAACCTTCGTGCCTATATTAAAGATGCCCTCGATAACAGTCCACGAAGCAAGCCAATATCTGCAGTCAATAAAAGATTTATGATGAGCTTTGGTGTCAACGGGGAGCCTTGCCGGGATCTATTCGAATTCCTAGGGTTTACTTTCAGGGTAAGTACTTCCGGCTGTGCCTGCGCGTGTAGTCATGATGCTGATTGATTACCCAGAGGGATTTGGATGGCTTCTGGGATCCTCCTCGCCTTAGTCCATGGGCGCACCAACCTTACACTGACGAGCAGAGGATTTTCCTCGATAATGTCTTTTACGAACTATCAGCACTCATAGGGTTACGGTCCCCGGTAGAGAAAAAGGGCAATCAGGACGACTTCACCTTCCAACCTGCCATTGATGACTTGTACTTTGCAGTAGATGCATTGGATTGTGCGTATCCTGCTTCCATAATAGAGCCGATATGCTGATTGCTGCCCAGACCCCAAAGCGCCGAGACTAAACGAGTTTCAAATGGCAGACGCTCCGTTAGTATCCCCATCCCGTGCCCAGTCAATCTCTACCTCTGACTAGCTAGCTAGATATTACGAGGACCTGGGTGTTGTTGAGGATATGTCGACGTCTTCGATCCTCGATGCGTTTTCTCGCCAAATCACGGTGGACCGAGGGCGGGGCCCCAGCTATCTGCAATGTCTCAAGGAGATAGGATTGCTTCGAGGCGGAGAAGACGAGGAAACTATCAACCGTGCTGTTGAGACGGCGTGCTCAGAGGGCAATCTATACCTTGATTCGGACATCACCGAAGCATACAAGTACTTTGGCCTTGGTCGCGATGACCAACGACTTACTGAGGACAGCATCATTGGAACGTTCTACGCCTATTTGAGCTCTGTCTCTAGCACTCAGGAGACTGAAGCCCGCAGGCAACTCTGGAGGATAGGTGACAGTAGGAATAGCGAGCGCATAAAGTCCGCGGCGGAAGACAGTAAGCTTGGATCTCTTCCCTTCCCTGTTTGCTTCTCACTCACATGCAATAGGAATTGCTACACCTGAACAAGCTCAAGTTTTCCTTGGAGTCAGCGATGATACTGCGGATGATTTTGTCATGACGATGTTTACAGCAAAGGTACTTACTATATGCGTACATTTGGCAGTTAGGGCTAGGGGTTAACCTCACGATCACAGGTAAATGATAACCCGTCTTGCAGGGATGTTGCGCGGCGTGCTGTTCAATTGATAGCCGAGGCCCGGAAATCCGACGTACTAAAGCACTTTGTCAAAACGGGTGAAATGACAGCTGGTGAGATGGATGTGGGTGATGCCTACCTGCTACTGCAGATACCAGATCGCAATGCAGATGAGGGCGCAATAATGGCTGCCTACACGATCTGCGTTGATGATGCCCCAGAACAGGCTGAGAAATATAATCAGGCCCTGGCCATTATTGCCAAGGAAAAGAACAGCCCGCTGCTGGGCGGCATGGTGCCTGGTTACGCAGCGAAACCTGATCATGATTTGTCCAATTGGCCCGTTGGCTTGCAAAACATTGGGAACACCTGCTATCTCAACAGCTTATTGCAGTTCTATTTCTCTGTTCGTCCCTATCGCGAGATGGTTTTGGATTTTGAGAAATATAAAATGGAGTTGGACGAAGAGAGCTGCCAGAAAAAGCGAGTGGGTTCTCGTGGCGTCTCAAAGAAGGAGATTGAACGTTCTCAGAAATGTGAGTAAAGCAGCAACCTCCTACCTGACACGAACTCACCATTGGCGACTGTTATAGTTCTCAGGGAACTCAGGGTGTTGTTTTCGGATATGATCTCTTCTCCGAAGGAATTCGTCACCCCTGGTCAGGAGCTAGCACGGTTAACCCTAATCAGCCCTTCTAACGAGGCCGCCATCCGCCGTCGGTCAACAATATCAGCAGGACAGTTCGGCGGGCTCGGCGAGCTCAACGGAATGCCGGTCTTAGGCCCCTTGGGACCGCCGGCTATAATCTCAGAAAACGAAACTCAAGAGCGGGCTTTGGGGCCGGAGAAGACTAAGCTATCTAGTGACGAAGATAGCGAGGATACGCTTGTCTCTGACGGAGTAAAGAATGAGATACCAGCCACTCTAAATGACGACAAAGAAAATGAGCCACCACAAGATGACGCTGTCATGGTCGACGCGCCTAATGAATCAACTCCCAGAGCGGAAAGCCGCGATACTCAGGCTGCAGCAACTTCATCAGACGATTCTAATAAGCCTCCACCCGTACCGCCGCGACCTACTCCGCAAGTAGATTCTCAGCGGCAGCTTATCGACGAGGTCGAAATAGGAGCACAGCAAGACGTCACCGAAGTAATCAATAACGTCCTTTTTCAGAGTCAGTGTGCCATTCGGCCGCTGTCGATTGCGCCTGACGGCGAGCAGCTTGACCAGGTAAAGGAGTAAGTTTATCACGCTAGGACCCTACGGGCCTCGGTTGCTGACTGTCTGTAGTCTGTTCTATGGGAAAGCGACCTCCTACATTCTGTCGGACAAGGGCCGGCGATCAAAGGAGGAGTGGTGGTGTGACATCAAGATCGATGTCGCAACCGGACCCCGTGACATATACGCAGCTATTGACGGCGCTTTTGATATCCAGAAAGTTAGCGTCGAGAACTCGGTGGCGGAACAGTATGCTACCATCAGCAAGGCTCCTCCCATACTTCAGATCCAAGTGCAGCGTGTCCAGTTCGACGCGGTCAAGAAGCGGTCTTTCAAGTCCACCCATCATTTAGACCTCAAGGAGACCATTTACCTTGATCGATATATGGACACACTGAACCCCGAGATCCTGCGCCGTCGAAAACAAACCTGGGAGTGGAAAGATCATGTGAGAAAACTCGAAGCACGTCAATCAGAACTTCTACGCCAAACTGTACGCATCCATCAAGTTTTTGTGTCGTTGAAACGAGCTAATCTGAAATTAGGAATCCGATGGGTTAGACACTGCAACGCTCTTAAATAGTGCTAGGGATATCCTGAATGATCTCAGTGAAATGAAGCAGGACCCTGACACTGCTCGAGATGCAATCAATGTTGACCCTGCGCTCGCCCCGGAGCTCGATCGACTAGCACAAGCGGCCCACGACGAACTCAAAGGTGAGTCAAGTCTCTCATTAAATGTTTAGTAAGTACGTCTAACCTCGAAAATAAGTCCTTGACCAAGAAATCACGGAATACCAAGCCATGATCTCCAGCCAATTCGACTATAGTAGGCAGTTAGCCTACCGACTATACGCTGTCTTTGTCCATCATGGGTCGGTCGAATTCGGGCACTACTATATCTACATCTTCGACTTTGAGCGCAACATCTGGCGAAAGTACAACGACACCTACGTGACTGAAGTCAGCGATCTGGATGAAATATTCAAGAGCCAAGATCGCCAAAACCCTCCAACCCCGTATTTCTTGGTTTACGTTCACGACAGAATGAAAGATCGACTTGTCAGTCCGGTAGAAAGAGAAATCGCGGAAACATTGCCGGAGAGCGCACCTGGGCCAAGCGCAAGCAGCACCGCGTCTATGGAGGGAGTGACACCCTCAAAGGGGTCAGAAGACGTAGAAATGGGTCCGCCACCATATGATGAGGTTGTTACTGAGAGCGGTGTACCAGGTGAGGGCGCAGACTCCGAAATGAAGGAAAGAGGGATACCAATGCTCGCGGATCATGACAAGACTGGATCATGGGCACATAACGGGACTGACAAGACTGGTGTGAAATGGTAGAGCCGGGGAGAAACTCACCGAACGCCGCGGCTGCGAATCCACTCAAGCGCAAGGGCTGGGATGAGGCGCACACAGGGCCGGAAGGATACCAGTAGGCAGGTCGTACACCCGCCCGCTCATCTGGACGCTGTTGACTGTGTGGTAAAGAGCGTCCTGGGCTCTCCAGGAGGACCGCGTCTCTTGGAAAAGCGCAAAGGCCGTTGGGGGCTAAGAGAGGGGCAAGCTGCTATCGCTCCTCACCTAATGCAGCATTCGCTCCGAGTGATGCATACGTGGAAGCTATCCTAATCGTGCTATGTATATATGGGGTTGCTTACGATGGTAACGATCATGACCGAGAGATAGTCAAATATCATGATGTATATGATGCATGCTCTTGTGTCTCCAGCCTACGGAGTAGAGTATCCGAAGGTGGCCCGCGGATCGGGAGGCTAGATCCGCCCGCATTCTCCGCACTGCACTCGGCATGGACAATTAGAGTCTTAGAGATGCTCTGAACTTGAGGTAACACGGCGAGCCTGGGGGGAATACTACTTGACTATGCTGAGAAGAGTGCCTCATGAGAAACTCAGGTGCAGAAACTCTAGACATACTATATCAACTATTAATCAAATATAAGTAGTTCGTATGTCCAACTCTCGGTCTGTGCTCCGAGTCTCATGCGGGGAAGTTCCGGGGTCGGGCCCAGAGCGGATCCGATTCCGCAGCTCCGCTTCCAGCCGCTCGAGGTCGTAAATATCGCCTGCCCCCAGCGACTCTGTGCTGGACTCCTCACCTCTTCTCCTATTTCTGCTGGACTCTGCAAAGTAACAATAGTCTCAAGTTGGCTATTATTCCACAATATGCCTTTACCAGCAGCGATATGTCTGCGCTTCGCCAGACGTGCTTCGCTCGATCCGAGCAAGGTATGCTATCCATCCCCAGTATGCTAAGGAACCAATTGACAGCCCATGATTCCCGCAGCACCAAGTTCTACTAGCACGAGCTTTCTCAAACAGTGTTCGGCGTTCCGAGATAAACAAAGTCGTCTCTTCCGCCGACCTCGCGATCAAGGACATGAAATCGAACTCGACCCTACTAGCTGGTGGGTTCGGTCTGTCTGGGGTGCCAGACACCCTGATCAATGCTGTGAAGAACAACCCATCAATCACTAGTTTAACAGCCGTCAGCAATAATGCCGGTGTCGATGGAGCTGGCTTGGGCCTTCTGCTGCAGTCCAAGCAGATCAAGAAGATGATCGCTAGTTACGTGGGAGAAAACAAGACCTTCGAGCGCATGTATCTAGGCGGCGAGATTGAGCTAGAATTGACGCCACAAGGTACCTTAGCCGAACGGTGTCGGGCCGGAGGCGCAGGGGTTCCGGCCTTTTACACACCTGCTGCATTTGGCACAGTCGTCCAGACCGGCGAGCTGCCACTCAAGCACAACCCTGACGGCACCGTTGCGCTGTACGGCCAGCCCCGCGACGTCAAGGTCTTTGACGGCAAGAGCTACGTGATGGAGGAGGCTATCAAGGGCGACTATGCCTTCGTCAAGGCCTGGAAGGCTGACAAACTCGGCAACTGCCAATTCCGTTACGCAGCTGCAAACTTCAACGGTGCCATGGGCCGGAACGCGAAGATGACTATTGTTGAGGCAGAGCACATTGTTGAAGTTGGCGATATCGACCCCGCAGCTATCCACCTGCCCGGTATTTATGTCAAGCGCGTTATTCAGAGCACGGCGCCGAAGAACATCGAGAAGTACACATTTGCCAAGGAGGAAGGCGAAGACACCGCGGCTGCCCTAGGTAAGGGCGACACCGCGGCTAAGCGCGAGCGAATTGTCCGCCGTGCGGCCAAGGAATTCAAGAACGGGATGTACGCCAACTTGGGCATCGGCATGCCCATGCTTGCGCCCAACTTTGTCGACCCTTCAGTGGAGGTGCAGCTGCAGTCTGAGAACGGCATTCTGGGCTTAGGACCCTACCCGAAGAAGGGTCAGGAGGACGCAGACCTCATCAACGCAGGAAAGGAGACAGTCACGCTCGCGCCCGGTGCCGCTGTCTTTGGCAGCGATGAATCCTTTGGCATGATCCGATCCGGCCGCATTGACCTGACTATCCTTGGCGCGATGCAAGTGAGTGCCAAGGGAGACCTCGCGAACTGTAAGCCCACTTCTAACCTTGAGCCCACCCTATCACCATACTAACGCAACCACAGGGATGCTTCCCGGTAAAATCAAGGGCTTCGGCGGCGCAATGGACCTCGTCTCCAACCCAGCCGCCACAAAGGTCGTCGTGACCATGGAGCACACGGATAAGAAGGGCAACCCCAAAATTGTTAAGCAATGCGAGTTCCCTTTGACAGGGCGGACTTGTGTCAGCCGCATTATCACCGAGCTCTGTGTGTTGGATGTTGACTTTGTCAACGGGTTGACGCTTATCGAGTTGGCGGATGGTGTCACAATTGATGAGGTCCGCGCTAAGACTGAGGCGCCGTTTAGGGTTGCGGATAATGTGAAGCCTATGCTGTGAGAGGTGGCATCGGTACAGCATCTTTGGTATGATCAACGCTTCGTATATTCATCGGCTTATTTGCATTGTATCTGGGGCGCACTTGTTTTGTGTTTTCGAGCGTTAGCAATCCCATTACGGCTTGTTTGTATATATTGTGAACTGATAGTGAGATAGCTTTTAGCACCAGCGGTAAAAATACACTGTATATCCCGTTAGATAACCACGTCAGATGGGTGATGGGTGATAAATGAATCCGTCTTTTCTCTCATACAAACACCGTATAATGTACAAACCCAAGTCCATATCCGTCACCCTTACTGAAGCCTCAACAACCCACCGAGCCTCTTCCACACCCTCCCCATGACATCCCGATTGGGCGCCTCCTCGAACTCCTTCAGCAGGTCATCGTAGTGGCCCGGGTTACTAGCGGGATGCCGTAACTTCTCTGACAGTGGGTACTTGTTCGCATACCGGTTTTCCAACAGCGACTCTAAGGCGTTGAGGGAAGCCTCGGAAATTCCGCTTGTGTTTGCGTTTGTGCTTGTGCTGGGGGTTTGGGTAGCTTGTGCTTGTGCTTCTGGTGGTGATGAGAGGCGCGATTGGAGGTATGTTTGGACGGAAACGGAGGCTGGGCGGATTGGGTCGGTCGGCCATTGTTTTGCCAGGCGGGTTAGGCGCGCTGCAGTTGTCTAGAGAGAATGTATGTTAGAAACTCAAGATGGTTTGCGAGCTTGATTGGAGCTTGAAGGAGCTTACGGAGGTCCCGGCCATGGTAAGTTTTGCGTTCAATAAATCGGCACAAGGGTTAGATAGCGGGTCGCGGATTATGGAAGGTTTATGAGATTAGATTGCAGCTCGTAGAGATTGCTTGCGAGAATAGAAGGATAAGATGGAACTCTATAGTTTCACTTGTCGTTCTCTACAGCCCTCTGATGCGGCAAAAAGTATATGCACGTGACTCGGTGGGCTTACTACTCCTTGCTGTTTGATTTACCGCCTGCACAGCCACATCCAATCGATCAGTGGGGCGCCTCAGGAGCCAGGCATCCTCGAATTGGATCGTCAGCCGGAGCCCTCAGGCATGTCAGTCGGGTTGGTCAGCCATCCATCCATCCATCGCCATCCTCCACCCTCCCTTCTCTTCCTCTCATCTTTCTCATCCGGCCTATACAGTCCTATCTCACTTTCTCGCTCTCTTCGAATCCCTGCTCAACGCCCGAAGTCCCTCCTTACACACGGACAGTCCTTCTCCCGGCGCTTCCGCTCGCTCAGCTCGTAATGAGCTCGCAGCGTTATGAACGGGTAAGTATTGTCTCTCAGCGGAGTCGGGGACCACTTCGTTCCTGAGTATTCGCACCAAACTCTTAAGAGCCCTACTAAGTGGTACTTTACAGGTAAACGCCCACGACGACGATGATGCCCCTCCGTCGATCGCCCTGCAGCCTACTCCTTCGTCTCCGCCTCCTTCATTCCGCTCACGTTCCGTCTCGCCCTCCTCAAGACGTCTCCTACACGATGACCCTTTACACCGAAACAGCACAGAACAAACACTAGCCGATGCGTTCGATGACAGCGACTCGGAGGCCGGCGATGAGCCAGATGACCGGCAGCGGCTAATGAGGGCGCAGCCGGATTCATGGACGACAGCAGAAACTAGCAACAACACATCGGCACCAGCTGAAGGGGTGGGGGCGGCGTCGTCGTCTGGCGGAGGTAGTGAAACACAACCCGGGGGCGGTTCAAATGCGAATGCCGCGCCGCCTAGAGGAATCCAGCGAAGTTCGACGTTATTGCCTTTCCTTGGCGGCACGTCCAGTTCGGGTTCGAATCGGCATATCCCTTCATCGAATGACGGAGTTTTTGCAAACTTGGCGGCCAAGCCGGAACGGGGAGAGAAGAGTGAGGATCTGCCTCCGGTATGTTCTTTTTTTGGTCCATTGTCGCGTGACTGGTTCTGACCGACTTTCTTTGTAGTCATATGAAGAGGCTGCTGCCGATGCGACCCCGCCATACTGGGAGACCACTATTGTGGCGCCCGGCATTTCGTCGGATGAAGTTTACGTAGATGGGCTGCCGGTCGGCTCGATCTTCTCCTTCATTTGGAATGCCATGATCTCCATGTCGTTCCAACTAGTTGGGTTCCTCCTCACATACCTCCTTCACACGACGCACGCCGCAAAGAACGGAAGCCGGGCTGGTCTTGGCCTCACGTTAGTGCAATACGGGTTCTATATGAAGGGTGGTAGCGAGTCAAGCTCAGGGGGTGGAGGTTCAGACGAGCATATCACGCCACCAGACCCTAATAGCCATAGTTTCGACCCCAACCAGGTGGCCGAGAGTGGGAGCTCGGGCGGCGATGGAGGAGGTGGTGCGGCTGCAATCACCACAAGCGAGTGGATTTCTTATGTTTTGATGATTGTTGGATGGTTTGTCCTAATTCGGGCCATCAGCGACTTCCTCCGGGCTCGACGCCATGAGCAATTGGTCTTGCAGAGCCCTGAGCGTGGGCTCCCTGTTCCAGTTATTGCTGAGAACGAGAGGTCCGAGACGGTCGTTTAGTGTCTCCTTAATACTGTATGCATCGGCATAGAGAAGTTCTCTTTCTCACGTTCTCTATTGTTATTTCCATTTTTATATTGACGGCTTAAGCATAGCTTCACTGCTTCAGTCACACTTGCATACCTTGTGGCTATTTTTTTTTCTTCCGAAGATACCAATCTGAAAAGACATACGTTGGGGTTATTTTGGGCAGTTCCAGTGGCCGCAAGGGGTGAGCATTGCGTTGCTATATTTGCCATCCTAGGCAGCGCTTTTTCTGCGTTGTAGTGATTTACGTATATCTATCACCGCACAGCCACTCTTCATCCTCTCAGAATGGACTAAGATTTTCTTTCAAAATCCCGCCTACTGCTCCGTAGGGTCCGTCTCGACTCTCAGCCTCACCTACGGAGCAATCCATCCCAACACCCAAACAGTCCGCCTGGATAATCGCGATGCCTAATGGATTACGTCTTGGCGCCTCCCCACAGCGATCCGACTGCTCCGTCCACGCCCACGCCTCATTTGCGGCTGATTAGATTATTTATCCATCTCTAGCCTCTGCCCCCAAACCTTCGTCTATAACGCCCCGGTATTTTCTTGATAGTACGTCACGGTACATAAATTAATGGCCAAGCTGGAGGTCGACGTGGCGGAGGGGGAGTCCGCTTCGTTCCCCGCGCCGCTAAACCAAGGGCCCGTCGAGGCTCGCTCGCTCTCCTCCATCACTGCGATCGCATCTAACCCGCCGAATTATCCTCGCAATCCGGCGCAGAAGAAACTTGATCCGCTTGTGTTGTATATTGTTAGGGTTCCTGGAAGTAGAGGTGTGTTTCAAGCCGGCCTGGCCTCGGCCTGACCCCGCTCCAATGTTTATTCTGCGTCATTGTTTTCTTCGAGGCTCGCTAACATTGAAACTTGTTGCGCCCTGCCTACAGATGTTTTTCTCACGCCCCTCAAACCACCAACAAAATCCAGCGTCTCGGCAGAGGCAATTAATGCCTCCCTCTACTACCTCCATGTTGCATCTCCCGACGATGAGATCCTCCTCCAGGAATACGAGCAGGAGCGTGAGGAGCGCGCAAGGTTACGCAAGGAAGGGCTGATTGACGATGATCCGGACCTGCCGATACCTCCGCTCGAAGTTGCGCGCTTGAATAATGTGAGGCGCAAACCTGTTGCTGTTGCTGGCGCCGGTGCTGGGACTGGGGCTGGCGGTGCGACGAAGGATGTAGAGGCCCCTGACACTGCGCCTTCTCCAACGAAGCGGCGTCCTGTGCCTTCGAGTTTGCCTGTGCAGGAGGGAGAGAACAGGACATCGGCTTTGTTAGTCGAAGAGAGGTCGCCTGTGCTGCCCCCGCGGCCGACTTCGTTCAATGGTTCAAACCCAGAGGTAGTGGGGGATCAGTCACCGTCTCCTGTTCTACCTCCGCGACCGACCTCCTTCAAGGCTGATGAGATTCCGTCGCCGGTTCTACCACCGCGTCCTACATACTCTAATACCTCGAACCTAGCAGGTAGAATGGAGGAAGTCCGCCCGCCCATGCCTCCACGACCACTTCCCGGTGTCCCTCAGGGAGAAGCGCCTTTCGACAACCGCACACCGCCGAAAAGGGCCAACCGCTGGAGTGCATTTTCAGGATATATCTCTAACCATGTCCAGCGCGGCGACAGGGGTGATGCCTCTTCCCCGGTTCGTCACAGCTTTGATGCGTCACGGCCGCGATCACGGCCTTCCTCGTCGCACGATACATCTGTGCCGTATTCTCCTCCGGCATACCCTACTAGAAGCCCTGGGCAGTCTCCTACTCGGCGACTGCGCCGCGACACCGCTCAGCCGCAGCGTCAACCTGGTTTTCATATTACGTTGATCCGTCGCGACCCTAGTCACGGGAGCCAGTGGAATGTGGCAACTATGTCGACTCCTCATCTAGATGGCACTGGCATCGATATCGAAGTGTCAACACCAGGATATAGCCGGTTTGCAGGCCAAAACGAGCCGCTTTCGTTAGAGTCTCTTGGCTTGAATCTACCCGCTGAAGCCCGCAGTCTGCTTTCGCGACATCCTAACATCCCTACTCCTTCCGAGCTGCCAGACACTTCGGCACCGCGCGATCCGTCTCAGCCTCGACGTTTCCACCGAAAGCTTCTCGTATCAAGATCTCACAACCATGAAGAAGCGCGCAACTCGCGTGGGTCGCTGGACCTTTCTGGAGGACGTCCCTCAATGGATAGCATTTCCGGAGCTTCTATTAACACCCAGCATCCAGCATCATCCAAGCTCAAGAGTGGATATTATACATTTACATCACCGTGGAATGGCACTTGTACGTTCTCGGCCAGTGTAAATGGCCGGAGTCTAAAGTGCAAACACATGATTCCCTCCTCCGGGTTTTCCAACCCTACGCAAGACAATCCCGCCGTGACCGTGGCCGAAATTCGTTTCAACACCCCCTTTCAAACAGGCCATCTCCAGTATCCGGGATCACAGCATGCCTCTCCCTTTCTCCTCAGTCAGACTACGATACTGAAGGACCCCTCAGCGCATCACGATCCCTCCACACCATATTATTACGACCCTTCAGTGCCTCCCCCATCAAAACGCGCCGCCATTGCCAACCTCATCAATCAGAGACTGAACCGCAGGCCGTCGAATAGCAGCTCAAGTGACGGAGGCGGCGACGCCCCTCCACCACTGCCCATCCGGCGACCTCCAGACGATGAACGCATAGACCTTTCTCTCGCGCGCGAGAAAGCAGGCGGGGGTATGCGCGGCGACAGTGCCAAGCTGGGCAAACTCGTTATCGAGGATGAGGGCATCAAGATGCTTGATTTAGTTGTGGCCGCTTCTATGGCTGTTTGGTGGAGAGGGTATTATTATTAGCTGCTCATTGTTATACCCGGTGAGAGGTGCCTTGGTTCTTTATCTCTGGTTGGATTTGAGTTTATATATGACATCTAGCGATCATGGTTTGCGATCTATTGGTTATGATACTTGTTTTGGATACTCTATCTTAGCGATTTGGTATGCGATATGGATAATGCATTATGGATGATGGACGTTGGGATACTGCTTTAATTGACTCCATGTTGGAGAGGAATTTTTGCCGTCCTATTTCTTATCCGATTGATTTAAGTTTCTTTGTTCTGGTCAATGTAGAGAGCCATCACAGATCTGTATACTGTAGAAGATGCCCCTCTTCTGCCTCAGGCCACTGATTCTGGCCGGCCGGCAAGCAATCAATGATCACCACCACCACGAGAGCTGTGTAGTAGAGCGAGCGCATAGGTATCCAGTGCTCAGCAGCTGCTCCATTCAAGGAGGCATACTCCGTATATTGTGCGCATTATCATCTAAGACACTGTACCACTATTCAGGAGCAGCCACCCCACCCGCCCTCCTTTGTCCGCTGCTGCAGTTCCATCACTTTTTAGCGCTCGTCCTCTACCTCCAATCAATCGACCAAGAGTTGACCCCCGGCATCCTTCTCCCCTTCTTCTGCCTGGCCGTCGCTTTGAATCCCTGCTCTGCGCATTCTTTAATTCGAATCGCAAGGCTCTCAAGCGACCACGAGTCTCAGCCGCAGACCGCAAAAGTTGACCAGGTGGGATAGCTATTAGCTACTAGTAGCAGCTCCGTGACAACTGCGGGGCATCGAGCCGTCCACTCCAACGCTCCTCACAGTCGCAAATCGCGCCTGCAGCCGCAGCCTCGCCTCGACCCTTCAGCTCCTCCTTTAGGCGCTAAAAATCATCTTCTCCCCCCTTACCCTTGCGAAGACCATCTATCACACTCCATCCCGCCGTTGTTTGCGTCGACCCTTTACCCTCGCTTACGGACGACCGTTGTCGTTGACGTGTTTCGAATCTGATTGCTGTTTCACCACTGCCCGTTGCCGGTCGATCGTTTTCGTTTCCAAGTCCAGTCTCACGCGCCCGTCATGTCTGATCTACCTGTGCAGGGACGGAAGGTCTTCAAGGTTTTCAACCAGGACTTCATTGTTGATGACCGCTATACTGTGACCAAGGAGCTGGGTCAGGGCGCTTACGGTATTGTTTGGTATGTGCCTCCTCGGCGTCTTGCTTCGATTGAATGCGAGGGTCCCTAAAATGTTGTTGGCGGGGTCGCGTTACCGTATGCGATGCAGCTACGTGCACATTCAATGCAAAGAAAGACCCCTATATAATGAACGCGGGTACTAACGAGCACTGTTTACTGTAGCGCCGCTACGAATGTCCAAACCGGGGAAGGCGTTGCCGTCAAGAAGGTTACCAATGTCTTCAGCAAGAAGATCTTGGCCAAGCGCGCCTTGAGGGAAATCAAGCTGCTTCAGCACTTCAGAGGCCACCGAAACGTATGCCGATTTAGCGCCTTTGGCATTTGGAACGATAAGGCTAACTAGGGTGCAGATTACTTGCCTCTATGATATGGATATTCCCCGACCGGACAACTTCAATGAGACATACCTGTACGAAGGTTAGACGGTATCATCCTAATCGCGGCGCTTCGTTGCTAATGCTTTCATCCTATCAGAGCTCATGGAGTGTGATTTGGCTGCTATTATCCGCTCTGGGCAGCCATTGACCGATGCGCACTACCAATCCTTCATATACCAGATCCTTTGTGGACTCAAGTATATCCACTCCGCCAACGTCCTCCACAGAGATCTGAAGCCCGGAAACTTGCTGGTCAATGCGGACTGTGAGCTCAAGATCTGTGATTTCGGTTTGGCTCGTGGTTTCTCAATCGACCCTGAGGAAAATGCGGGTTACATGACCGAATATGTTGCGACAAGATGGTACCGTGCTCCGGAGATCATGTTAAGTTTCCAGAGCTACACGAAAGCTAGTATGTGCAGCTCCTACGCTTTGATTTGTCATCCGCGCTAACATGCTGTAGTCGATGTGTGGTCCGTGGGCTGTATTCTAGCAGAGCTACTGGGTGGTCGCCCCTTCTTCAAGGGTCGCGACTACGTTGACCAGCTCAACCAGATCTTGCACTACCTGGGCACACCCAATGAAGAGACACTGAGCCGCATTGGCTCACCACGTGCGCAGGATTACGTGCGTAACTTGCCCTTCATGCCTAAGGTTCCCTTCCAGCGCCTGTTTCCCAACGCCAACCCCGATGCTCTCGACCTGCTCGACCGCATGCTCGCGTTCGATCCCTCGTCACGTATCTCGGTGGAAGATGCCTTGGAGCACCCTTACCTAGCAATCTGGCACGATGCCTCCGACGAGCCCAGCTGTCCTACCACCTTTGACTTCCACTTCGAGGTTGTCGACGACGTGCAGGAGATGCGCCGCATGATATACGATGAAGTCGTCCGTTTCCGCCAGTCAGTGCGCATGCCCACTCAGGCGCAATCCCTGGCTCAGCAGCAGCAAATAGCCAACATTCCCATTCCCGAGCACCAACAGGGGGTATGGCGACAAGAAGAGCCTAGGCCTCAAGAAGCAGGCGCCGCAGGCGGCACCCATAACGATCTGGAATCGTCGTTGCAGCGGGGGATGGATGCGTGATTAGTGAAGTGATGGTATTTACTTGACCTAGAGAATCGCGGGGACGGTTTCCTAGAGCACATGGCACATATATAGTTGCATGCGCAAAGTGCAGATGACGGACTTGAACTTGTTTGGTGTCTTGAATGCAGATATTGATTTCTTGCGCAGTGCTATACCATTTACTATGCTATTGTTTCCACGGTTACACAATATGTAGAAGTCACATGACGGGGATGCTTCTCTCGATTCTCTGTTTCATCCGTCCTTACCGATAGGCCACCTTCTATGTCGATGACTCTCGACGAATGACTATCATAGGCATGTTCTCCTGGTACACAAACCAGGCATTGCGGTACGTCCACTCATGCTTCGGGTTAACCAGCCGCAGCTGCAAAAATGTTAGCGATGCACATTCAAGAGAAAAAGCATGATACTCACATCGAAAGTGGCATACAAAGTAGCAATCATCTTTTTCATTTCCAGCATGGCAAGGTACCGACCCATACATATCCGCGCACCACCCCCAAACACAAAGTCGCAAGTGTCATGCATCCGCTTATGCCGCTCTTGATACTCCTCCTCACTCTCATCATTTCGCCTCAACCACCGATCAGGCCGGAAGGCATCAGAGTCCTCGCCAAAGATCGCGTAATTCCTGTTCGTGACAGCCGGGCTGATACCCACCTTTGTGCCAGCCGGGATATACCGCCCATCAGGAAGCGTATACCCGCTCTCCGGCGCAACACGTTCAAAGTTCATTGCGATACCGGGGTTGATACGCATGCTCTCGCGGATAACGGCGTCGAGATACGGTAAATCGCGGATATCCTTCCACTGAGCGGGCATGGTTAATCCCGCTGATATCAGCTCTGCCACAAGCTTCTTATATGCGTCCGCATTCTTGGCGAGGTAGTATACGGTTGCACGCATTGTGGCGGACGAGGTATCGCCTCCGGCGAGAATGCTCAGCATCAGCCAGTTGACGATCTGGACGTCGTTGACCATGTCAGGGTATGTCTTCTTGAGCTGAACATATTTTTCAAGGGTGTGGTCGACGGTGCCGGCTTTGACTTTGTCTTTTTCGAGCTCGGCTTGGTATTCGGCGACTACCTTGAAGGCGTAGAGGACGCCTGTGAGGGTTGGCTTCGGTCCAATGCGAAAAATGGGGTTCTTGTCCAGCAGGTGGTCGATCCAGGGGATTTGGGAGACAGGAGCAAAGTAGATGAGGCCCTTGGTTGAGTCGGTGATCAGGTTGTCGACGTCTTTCTCCTGGTCGATGAAGCCATAGTGTCGTCCGAAACTGATGTTGGCTGTCACATCCCAAGCGACTTTCTCGACGTTAGCCAGCAGTCCTGCATTACCGTGCAAACGCTTACAGTATCCGATCCATTCATCGGCAGGACAGACCTCGCCTCCGCCAAATCTGACACCGATCTTGTCCACGAATTTGTTCAAAGTCTCGTCAATTAATGGCTCGTATCCAAGAACATTGGTCATTTGCCACAAGTTACGGATCGGAAGGATATTTTGGTTGTGCCATTTTTCGTCTTGCGTGTTGAAGAGGTTGGACACTCGGTGGCCGTCCAAGACGACGTCGTTGGGGCGATACGCTTCGCTCTACGAAGCGCGGATGGCGGGCGTCAGTCCGCTGAGTCTATACATCATATTCTCAAGGGATGGGGCGGTACCTTTTTCCACGGGTTTCGGGTGGAATAAATCACACGGATCAAGCTCGGGTCAGAGATGCTCAACGCATTGGGCCCTATCCGTACCACGGACCCATACTGGCGGTGCAGTTCTGTGTAAGTCCGGTCGATGTGACCGCCGAATGCTTGCCAGGCGCGCCATATGTTGGTAAATTTTGCGGGGAGAGGTCCATCAAAGACCCTCAATGATGAGAAAAAGGCGTCCCAAATGAGCTTGGACAGCAGCAGGGCCGCCAGTGCAGCAGGGATTTGCACCCACAGACCTACACTGACGAAAAGTACACCTGCCATTACTGTGGTGTGATTCGAGAGGCAGTGGACTTTTGCCTGCCGAATGACCTTGAGTGGCTGGTTTCCGTTTCAAACTCGCAGCCAGCAAGGATCGTGAGTTGGCCGGACCCCAGGGACCTCAGAATGCGGGAGATTGACCTGTATTAAAAAGTGTCTTCCTTTCTGCACGCCATTGCACAGGGGCCTATTCCGCGGGAGGGGTTTGCCAGAGATAGGCAGGCCATTGGAAACAATGGCATTCTTGATTGGCCGCTCATATGTATTGCCGAAAATACGAGGCTCGAGTCCTTCAGAGTACGGGAAACTGTGAGGAGAAGATCCATCTTGCAGAACGCCATTGCCACCATCTGGAGCCGGTCATCTGAAACGACTGCGATGAGCGGTTGGTTTAACAGCTGCCAACTCGACTAGGGTTAGCGGCTGTGACCGGCCCTAGTCTAGCGTTCTGGTCGCATTCAGGCCTGCCTAGCTTAGCACACCTGGCTCGCTCTCCCGTCCAATACGGGCACAGTGACAGCGCCCCGTACTTCTGCTGTCCCTGTGAAGGAGAGATTCCATAGTCACATTAACCAAAGGAACATTGATCCGATATACATACGGGTATGACTTGCAGGGGTTATCCCTAGTTACCTGGTGAGATGAACTTTTGATATAGATCGTTGAATCTATGCAATATGCATGACTCGTCGTCTAGCACTGCACATTGTTTAGTACCTATCGAGTTTGCCTTATTCCTTTCCCTTTGCGTTCGTTCTCTGCTTTATATGAGGCATGTCTCTATAAGTGACCGTGCGTACGCTCCTTCGGTAAGGGGACATGACTGACTCACCACCCTCGCATCACATCCACAATGGCTGCTCAACAACCACAACCATCCGCTGCATTTCTGGCAGAGACGCAGGGCCCAACGGTCAAGGCTGTGATGTGGTGGATGACGGGGACGGCCATGCTGTTTCTGGGCCTCCGCCTCTTTGTTCGCCTTCATCTGAAGCGGGTCTTTGGATGGGACGATCTGATTGCTGGCGTTGCCGTGGTACGTTATCAACCTGAAGACATACTAAGCTGGATCAAAATATCAAACTAACATGCCTCTTTCTTCTCCTCCAGGCCTGCCTGGTCGGATACACTGCGGTCTGCCACGTATCAGCAGACATCGGACTGGGTCGGCACATTCAATATGTCTCTCAGAACCCACAGAATCTAATCAGCGTTGCACGATACAGCAGTATCGGTCAGACACTAGCTATCATGGCATGCGCGCTAGGAAAGACTTCGTTTGCTGTGACGCTGCTCCGGATCGTCATTGACCGGTGGATAATGTGGCTGCTCTGGTTCATCATCATAACATTGAACATCGCAAACCTGTTGGCGGCAATATTCGTCTTCGTGCAGTGCAGAGATCCGAGATCAAATTGGGACCCCAGCATCGTGTCGCAGTGCTGGCCGGACCATGTCTTTACCGATTACTCGCTTTTTGTTGGGGGTAAGTCTCTTTGTTCAAATCCTATACCCCAGAGCTAACAACCTCAGCGTACTCTGGATTGCAGGATTTCTTGCTGGCGCTTCTCCCGTGGACTATCGTGTGGAACCTTCAGATGAAGAAGAAGGAGAAGCTGGGTGTTGCTTTTGCTATGAGTCTGGGTATTTTGTACGTGTACTAACAGGCTCAACTTCCAAGGATACCTACTGATTTGCAACGCAGTGCCGGCGCAGCAGCTATCGTCAAAACAACCTACCTCTTGAGACTCTCCGAAAAGACGGACTTCACTTGTATGCCTCGACGCATTCAAAACCGCAGTTCCTTCCAAACAGAACGAAACTAATCTCAACTTACAGGGGAAATAGTCCCCCTCCTCAACTGGGCGGCCGTAGAAGACGCCCTAACAGTCATCGCCTCCTCAATCCCAACGCTAAAACCCCTCCTCATACGGGTCTTCCCCTCATCAACCGCTCAGGAGAGCTACAACATGTTTCCACTACCGCCATCGTACCAAAAACGATGCAACATCCGGTTTGAAGCTTCTATTTTTGCGACGCAGGTGGATAGAGAACGAGAGCATATGGAAATCCGCGATCACACCAGTCAGGCCTCAATACTGCCTCCGTCGAGAGATTTGGATCATAAAAATCAGATCAATATGACGACGGAGGTATCGGTTTCGTATAGGTCGAATGATATTGCTTGATTTGGTATCGGTTTGAGCGGGCGTTTGTCTGGACGCTACGCATTGTTGAGAATACTCTCTACTTGTATTTCGGGCCTTTGAAGATGTTGTCTGCGTGGCGGACTGACTGACTGGAGAACAAAGTTTCGCCACCGCTGTCATGCCGTCGAGCTCGAGTTTATACTATACCCAAATTTGCTGTTACCGACATCTCGGGACTATGTCCATAGGCGGAGATGAACAATCAAAAGTTCAAGAGCCTCTGGCATCCCTTCAACAACTCTCATTGCTACTGGACACCCTCGTGGCATTGTCATGACGGATTGGTAACATACAAAGAATGACCAGATCTCTGGCATGTTAACAGCCCGAGATGAAAGTAAGAAAAGTTCAGGCTTCAGCGATTCGCCCATCCATTCATGCACACAGATGGTCCTGAATCAGATTTGTCATTGGTATCTGCTCCACTTCAGCTGTTCCATACCCCACCTCCTATGAAGCCGCCTAGCAAGATGGAAGCAAGATGCAGCTTCCATACTGCTTGCCCTTTGTCACTACTGCCTGAGAAAAAATCTTTAATTTCTATTTCCACTGCTGTGAACCCGTAGAGTCGTGACTCGTTACTTGTATGTACAGTAAAGTCTGAGCAGCCAGTGGAGTCAGTCTCCAGCAGTCCAGGGCGGGTTGAACGGCTTGCGGGCCGGGGCCTGTGCCCGGAGTCTAGACTTTGGGCTTGTACATACTGTTGAGTCTTGCTGTTGAGTCTTGACTTGTACAGTTTACCGTAAATTATAGTTCTAAATTCAAATTTGAAATTGCTGACACAGGTGAATTCTTTAGGCTCATCAGTACTAGTTTATCTTATCAGAATATTTCTTGTCAAACTAACATCAAAATACCATTTCAGTAATTTTGTGAACCATTTTTTGCCATCCCTACTAGACTTGGGCTTAGGCATGCTCGTAAGTGCGTAACAGGACGGAGACGGGGACTCTGAGCACGTGACTGTATACGGGCCCGGAACTCTTTTCCGCTTGGGACTCAACCTCTTGATGTCATGTTATGGCTGCTCGCTAGAGTAGCCCTGCGAAACGCTCTTTCTGCCACAACTTGACTCGGGCTTACTAGCGGGCTCAGTAGCAGGAATCTTGAGGCAATACTTTCACCAGTTTCTGACCAGCTTCCCCGCTATGGTTGATTGCTTCCAGGCCCTGGTCTGGGGCTGAAGAAGGCAGTGTCAACTGTAACTACCCAAACAGTTACACAAGGCCCTTGGCGTCAGAATATGATTACCTAGGATATCATGGGATATCTGACTTTTAGATATCTTCTCCTGACAGTTCCCTCTTCTTATTCATCCAAGCCATCATGGACGCATCTGACCAAGAGCCCCTGGTCGACAACAACCCTCAACTACAAGGCTACTACCACTCCCTCGAGTCCCGAATCGGATACCGACTTCTCCTCGGCGGAACGCGCCACTTTGGCTTCTACGAGCATGATACCTGGTGGCCCTTCCCTCTCGGCCGGGCCCTCCGCGCAATGGAAGACAAGCTCGCCGCCTCCCTCGACCTACCGCCAGGCGCACACGTCCTCGATGCCGGCTGCGGCGTTGGCCACGTCGCAATCCACCTAGCGTCCAAATACGGATATAGGGTAGACGCAATCGATGTAGTCGAGCACCACCTGGCCAAAGCTCGTCGGAATATCACTGCATCAGGTTTACCGGAAAAGCAGATCACACTCCGCAGAATGGACTACCACCACCTTGAGAGTCTGGGTACCGAAACGCTCGACGGTATCTATACAATGGAGACATTCGTGCATGCAACGGACCCAGAGGCCGTCCTTGCAGGCTTCTATCGCGCTCTCCGTCCTGGCGGCAGAGTTGCGTTGTTTGAATACGACCATGAGATGAGCGACGAGTCGCCGCAGTTAATGGTTGATTCAATGAAGAAGATAAACGAAGTTGCCGCGATGCCAACGAATAGTCGCTCGCATCCTGGCGTGTTCAAGTCTATGCTTGAGGATGCTGGGTTTAAGGATGTGGTTATTCGCGATTACTCGGATAACATCGTCCCTATGACGAGATTGTTTTACGTGCTTGCGATCATTCCTTATTTGATCATCTCGCTTTTTGGCTTGGAGCGGTATTTCATCAATACTGTTGCGGGTGTTGCTACGTACCGTGGCCGGAAGTATTGGCGGTATTTGGCTATCACTGCTACGAAAACTGGAGATGGAATTGAGGTGGCGAAGGATCGGTGATTGAGCTTACTTGATTTCGGGTAGTTTGGATGGATAGCTTTCTGACTTTTCTCGCAAGGAAGCGTAGCTGAGCTCACAGGTTTCTCTGCATAAACCTGTGGGTGGCTACTCGCTGATATCTTGGGCAACTTTCTACATTTAACCGTTTCCTATCATATAAGTGCCTTGTCTCCCATTAACCATCAAATATAGAGCTCACGCCGCACGCCGTAAATCTTAGCAGAGCAATTCGCGTTCGCTCTGCAAGAGGAGAAGGCAAAAAATTCCCATGGTCAACTCTTCTCCCTGCTGACTGCATATTTTGGGGATCAGCTATTCCAGGGATATGCCAGCAAGAGGCATCAGGTGGACCATCAATGTTTCACAGGTCCATACGAGGCCCAACCGTGACTAGAGTATGCCAATAGGTATGTAATATCTCCCCCAAGAGCAACTCTCAGACTATGAATTGATAGGCCTCGCCGTTGTTGTGTCACGTCGGGAGATTGTTGTCTGACGCAGGAAGACACCGGACTGGCTGGAGATGGCTGGCATCATCCATATTATACGAAGTACCTACAAGGCTGCGGAGTCCTCATGATTGGTATTATAATGGCGGCTGTCCAGCTCCTCTTCTCACTCAGGTCAGCTTGGGAAGGCCCTGACCGAGACGAGTGAGTGTACGTCCCATTTGACCAAACCTCTCACAGATCGGCAAACATGAGCAACGAGATAGACAATAATCTCCCAGTTTACGGTTGGGTCGACCCACCAGAGAAAAGAGGAAGCATTGACATCCTGTGGTCCTGCGGCGTAACCGTCATTCTCTGCTGCTGGGTCTCGGTATACCCCAATGTCGGCTCTGCAACAGATAAATGGTATCACCCTGTGATTGACAAATTCCACCTCTTCTGCATTGGTCTCCTAGGGCCTGACTTTCTATTTGGAATTGCGTTTGGGCAGTTTTTCAGTGCGCGGAGGGGGTTGCATGTATGTTCTCACCGTGCTCTGATTGAGAGAAACTGCCTACTCTGACGCGAGCAACCAGCTTTTCAAGAAAGATCTGCGCCACCCTCAAGGCCCGAGGGACTTCAAATGGACCTATACCCATGCATTCTTTGTCGACATGGGCGGCATCCACTTGACGAGTCCCGACTTCCGACAGGGGTTTCCGATCAATGCGGTGCAGTTCCATTATTTGGCTGTTCATGACCATATCGATGTTCCGGATATGGACGGCTTTGATATACATGAGCGGAATTCTGCTGATACCTTGTCTCGGCATGTTCCCTTGCCTACTGACATATCTACCTGCTGACCCGTCTTCCATTAGTCTCATCACAGCTTTTCAAGCCTTTTGGTTCTTTGTGCGAGCCATGGTGAGGTTTGCTAGGGGGTTGCCGACAACGACCCTGGAACTGACTACTCTATCCTTCTCATTGGTAATGCTGGCCACATCTGCCTTTTGGTATCACAAGCCCTCAATCACGCAGCCGAGGTGTATCCCAACGAAGAATGGCAAGACTGTCGAAGAAATCCGCCATTCTATTCAATGCACTGTGAGCCTCCCCTACTCCTCCCCTACCCAAGCAAGTAGAAAGTCCCTCAGGTCTTTTATATTGACGATGATACGCAAACAGACCCACCCCACCCTCCCAGCCGCCTGGTACCGCACCCCCCTCGAATCCCTAACCCTCGACCCCTTGCCCTTCCGCATAAACACTCACTGGGCATACTACACGCAGCTCGCCACGCTAACCCACATTCGCTTCCTCATCAGCCGCCCCGTCACATCGCGCCCCTGGGACCGCTTCCCTTCCGACACGTGGCTGAGGCCCGATTTCGCATATGTACCGTTTGCGGTTGCTGTTGCCGTGCACTTGGGGTTTAGCGGGTGCTTTGTGGTCGCGTGGAATTGGCATTTCCCAACACATGCGGAGAAGGTGTTGTGGCGGGTTGCGAGTGTTTACCATACGGTTTTCTCGATATATGGGGGGTTGTATTTCTTGAGGGAGATGTTGAGTGGGAGGGGGAAGACGAAGCCCGAGACGGAGAGCATTAGGGCTAGTCAGGCTGGGCAGAGGAGTCGGAGTTCAGGTTTGTTCTCGGGGGAATCTGAAGCATCCACTGAGGCCTCGGATTATCATCAGCTCCAGCCGGTTCATTCGGAAGATCAAGACCTACCTGGTGGCGCAGACTTCACAGCAATAACCACAAATACACCATTCCAACATCAAACAGAGCACGGGCACAGCCACCTATCCAATTGGAGAAACATAGCCCCCGACAACAACCCCGAGATGAGCATGTCGCTGCGGATCCTCGTGCCCACAACCGTTCTGTGCTTCCTGTATCTCTTGGCCCGAGGATACTTGTATATGGAGGACTTGATCTCCCTAAGGGTTCAGCCTGCCGGGGTCTATACGGGGGTTGACAAGTTTTTGCCTTTTTTGGTGTAGATCCACCTCAGCTTTCCAATAACCCTGTGCTTGTTTGTGTAAATGTATACTACTGTATTTACTATTGCTCTGGCTTTCAGGTTTTCTGGTCTTTTGATGATCTTGTCAGTGACTTGTGCACTGGACTTTATTATAGTAAGTAAAAGAACTTAATGAGTTGGTAAAATGAGGCAACATGTCCCTTCCATGAAGGAGAGGGCGCGCACCTGTACCAGTACTAGCCAGGCAATTCAACAACCTGGCCGCATACTACTAGGAAAGGCGAGACGTGACCACCATGGACTAGAACTAATGGTTCAGGCATGTAGTTGGTAGTGGCTGATCATCTTGATATATATGCGTATGTGTATGTACAGCAAAGTGTTTACAATGCCAACGATTCCATGCTACCCCTGAAGGCCGAACGACTGAGTACAAGCCTGAGATATGATGTGAGCCCTTTCCCAGACGTGAGGTATGGGTTAAAGCGGGTGATATGTACTCTGTGCTTCTGTAAGTCCGGGGCAGGATTGCTTATCCTGGCTGGCTGCAGCTTGCCGCCATAGCGCTGCACGAAACTCTGATAAGCCAGTTGCATTGTGAGTATATCAATGGAGAAGGGGACAATACTCCACAGGGGGCCAGGGTAAGCAAGATGTGCCCCGCAGGAAGATCAGTGCATGCAGTACTCCGTATTATGCTCAAAACACCATGCATGTACTGTACAGGAACATCAACCATCACTCTTGCACGTCCACATCCACAACCTTCCAAGCAACCTCCAGAACCCGCGGAGGCGTCTCAGCCGTGGCATTGAACACATAAATCTGCCTCACCTCCTCCGTCCCCGTCCCCATCTTGCCCTCCGGGGCCATATCAACAACAAAGGCGTCTCTCAAAGAAAACGAAACCTTATCGTCATCTTTCCTTCGCAAAGGCCCAAGACTATACGCAAAAGGATCATCGCCCTTATACTTGCTCTTCTGCCACGTCTGCTCCATGGGCCGCGGCTCATTCCACAGCGTCTTATCCTGGATAACGCTGTACCCATTCACAAGGAACCAGTCTTTCGACTTGGCTAGGTAAAACCGGCGGAGCAGACACTCGTCGCCGCAGATGCGCGCGACTTTCCCCATAGCCACCATGTCCGCGTTGAACCACGATTTCCAGTGGTGCACGGAGAGCGGAAGGCGCCGGCCGGACTCGAAGAACCCCGATGCGTCCCCGTGCAGGTCAAGCTGGTAGAGGCCGCGCTCCCAGGTAAACTTCGCGGTCGTGTGCGCGTAGATGCACGAGGCGAGCATGCGATCGCCCTTATCTTTGAGCGATTGGCATGTTTCGAAATGATGCTGTAGATCTTGCAGGAGTGGGATTGAGAGAAATATCCCCGCGCCACCGTAGGCCATGTATCCCGAGCCTGAAAGGTGCGCTAGGTCTTCCGTCATTGCGCCAATGTATTGCGGGACCGTGGCGTCGTAGGTAGCGAGCCGGGTAATGAGGTTTCGCATCGAGGGAAAGAATGTATCGTCGTCTATCAAGACGGCCCATTGCGTTGGCTTGGTCGTTGTCGATGTGGTCGCCTCAGACGACGATGGCTCATGGTGCTGGTACAGTACGCGGATGAGCGAGAAGTACCGATCCAACCGGTCGTCTTCCGTTTGTGTAATCGTCAGCCGGAGGTTCAGGTCATCCGCGCGCTGCTGGATACGAGACCGGATTGACGACCCGCCTTGTTCGACGACGGCAATGATATGTGCGCTCGTATTGCCCGCCCAGTGCGCGAACGCATCCAGCGACTCCTCCAATTTCTCAAGCGAGGTAGCGACACCGAAGATTAGATGTGAGGCATCGGGTTTGGGTTCGGCCGGGGGCGCTTGGATCGCTATCGACGTCGTACAGTCATCCTTCGGGCGAAGGTCTCGAGCATTATCCGTGTCGAGGTGGATGGTGGTATAGGACGGGATCGCGACGTCGAGGGAGTCGTCGAAGGAGGTGAAATTCTCTGTTCGCGAGACGCCGATGTTCAGCCGGGCATATTCCACTGTCGAGGCATTGTCCGCATGGAGACGCAGGAGACTCAGGTCGACGAAGCAGGCGTTTTTGTTGCCGTCAGTGTCTGTGTCTGTGCTTTCGCTGTCGATGTCACTCTCCGCATTTTTGTCGGTGGCGCCGGAAAACGAAAGTCCGGAATTGGGGGTTCCAGGATTTCCCGCGGTACTGGAATATGTAAATATAATCAGGCAGGTCAGGATAAACCCAGCGACTGAGACGAGGAGTTTCCACGAGGAAAATTTGCGTTGTTGGAGGGCGTGGTGGAAGAGTAGGCGGAGTTGATGGATGGCCATAATTCTGGTGGCATCACGCAATCTCAACCCCAAGGAAATGAGCAGGCTGATCAACGCAATTGCCGTCTCATGCTTTCTCCTTTGCTTCCCCTCAAGTTTAGATGGCTATTCTTAACGCTTTTTCTATTTTTGATGCATGAAAAGGGGATCAAACGAGGTCCACTACGGCGGATATGATTGGTAGAGACTGGTTCAACCAGGGCTCTCAGGGGGAGCTACTGCATGAGTCAGGACTTTGCAGATGTCCAATATGTACAATCATTGTACGACTACTGATGCATACGCTATGTTCATATGTATATGTATAAATCTGTCATAGCTTCATGACTCCCACTTTTCAACACCGAAAGAACACCGACGCATAGAGCTCATCTACTCTAAGGCTGTATATGTCAACAGCTGATGGTCTAGAGAGAGTTGACAATTCTGCGTTCCTTGCGCAAGGCTTTGAACTTTTGCCGGGCTTCCTCGAGAGGAACAACGACACCTCTGCTTTGAGAAGATGTGTCATCGCGGTTGCGGATGTTGAGGGAACGAGTCTCCTTCTCTTCGGCACCGACAACGAGGATGAAGTTGTACTGCGCCAATTGACCCGTGCGGATCTTCTTTTGCAGCGTGTTTCCAGTGACATCGACGTCTACGTAGAGCTTGTCGTCCTGCAGGATCTGCTGGACCTCACGAGCATAGTCGTACACAGCCGGCATAACAGGGACGATCAGAACCTGGCGAGGGCTGATCCAGAACGGCCACTTGCCGCCAAAGTGCTCGGTGATGATACCCAAAAATCGCTCGAAGCTGCCAATGATCGCACGGTGAATGACCACGGGACGGGCACGGCCGGCGGCGGGCTCGTTAGACTTGGGGTCGGCCTCCTTCTTTGCCTCCTCCTGGGTGGTCTGGACCTTCTCGCCAGTCATGTACTCGAGCTTGAAGTTGATGGGCGCCTGGTAGTCAAGCTGAATGGTGGCACACTGGAACTCTCGCTTGAGCGCATCGGCAATTGTAATGTCGATCTTGGGACCGTAGAAAGCACCATCACCCTCGTCAATGATCCAGTCGTCGCCCTTGAACTTGGTCATAGCCTTCTTCAGCTGGTCTTCGGCGTAGTTCCACGTCTCAAGCTCACCGAGGTACTTCTCGGGACGGGTAGAGAGCTTCAGCTTGAAGGTAAAGCCAAACAGTCCGTAGATGGACTGGAGGAAGTCGAAGAGCCCTTCGATTTCAGACATGATCTGACTGCGTCAGCGATTTGATGTGATATATGCTACGAGAAAACTCACCTGATCCTGGGTACAGAAAATGTGGGTATCATCTTGCTGGAACTTGCGAACACGGGTAAGACCGTGGAGTGCACCAGACGCTTCGTTTCGGTGCAAGACACCAAAGTCCGCAATTCGCAGTGGAAGCTCTCTGTAGCTTCGCTCGCGGTGGCCGAAGAGCACGAAATGACCGGGGCAGTTCATAGGCTTCAGAGCCCATTCCCTCTTCTCAACATCGAGCTTGAACATGTCATCCTTGTAATGGGCCCAGTGACCGGAGGTCTTCCAAATACCAACATCGTACATGTTGGGCGTCTGGACTTCCTGGTATCCTCGCTTGCGGTATTCGGAACGCAGGAGAGACTGGAGAGCGTTGAAGATTCTGACACCGTTGGGGAGCAGGAACGGGCATCCAGGCGAGACATCATCGAAAAAGAAAAGCTCTTGGTCCTTGGCGATTCTCAGGTGGTTACGCTTCTCAGCCTCCTCCAGGAACTTAAGGTGCTCTGCCATCTGCTTCTTATCGGGGAAGGCGACACCACGGATACGCTGGAGAGAGTCGTTGGTTTGGTCACCAAGGAAGTAGGCAGAGGAGTTCTGTTAGGGTCAGCACGGCACGCTCTGGATTGTTCAAAGAGTGACGCTGACCTGCATGATCTTGAAGGTCTTGACCTTGCCAGTGCTCTGGATATGGGGGCCCCTGCAGAGATCGACCAGGGTACCGCATCGGTAAACGGTACTCTTCTCTCCAGTGACGAGCTTGTCAATATAGTGTAGCTTGTACTTGCTGTAAGCAAACATCTTGTTGAGGTTCTCCTTGGTGACCTCCAGTCGGTCGAAACTTTGCTTCTCCTTGAAGATCTTGTTGGCCCTGTTGTCGAGGGTCTTCCAGTCGGACTCCTTAACGACGCGACTATCGAGATGTCAGTGACTACGGCAAACGAACAAACGAATGATATGTGTACTTATCAGGCATAGCCATGTCGTAGAAGAAACCCTGAGGGGTGGGTGGACCGTGGGAGAGCATACATCCGTACTCGCACTCGCAAGCTTCACCCAGACAGTGCGCGCTCGAGTGCCAGAAAACTTCCCTTCCCTCGGGGTCGCTGAAAGGAACGTAGGATACCGTGCATTCTCCCTCCAATGGCCGGCCAAGGTCCCAGAGCTGTCCGTCAACCTTCGAAATAACAATATCGGCGCTGATCTCCTTGGGGACGTGCTTCAACAGCTGCGCCGGTGTGGTTTCCCAAGCCTTCGCGGGGATCGTCGATGTGTTTCCGTCACCGAGGTGAAGCGTGACATTGATTTCGGGGTGAGGCTTATTCTTCAATTCCTCGAGATGCACCTGCCATAGCTCCTCGAAGAGCTTATTCCGCTCAACAATGAACTCAGGGAGCGAGTCGCCGCCTACAGCAATTGACTAGTTAGGAGGGGCTCGAGGATGCAGCGGGGTAGGCATAGGACTCACTGGCCGGTTTGGCCTCAGCGGCGGGCCTAACAGGCAAATCTTTGGGACCCTCAGAAGCCATTATCACACCTCTCGTCACTGACCAGAATAGTGATCAGAGGAAATGGGAGTTCTCGCAGCGACAATGTTTCTTTGATTTCCCTTGTTGACTCAAATCTGTGAATCACGCAAGGCGGTGAGAAGCATGCACGTGACCTCAAAAAAACTGCCCTATCTTCGGCTCCCACCGTTTGAAAACTTCTCCGCGATTAGTCCGCAGCAAGACAACTATATCAACCCCAACATCAAAATGTCATTTCGCGGAGGCGGTCGTGGCGGCTTTTCCGGTCGTGGTGGAGGTTTCGGTGGCCGTGGAGGTGAGCAAAACCCGCGATTGAAGGCCGACATATGTTTGACTAGAGCTAATGAAATTTTTTTTGGATAGGCGGCCGAGGAGGTTTCCAGCAGTCCTTCGGGCCCCCAGACCAGGTCCTAGGTGAATCACACGTCGCAAAGGACTCGGAGTCATCAGACGGCTAATACAACAATAGAGATGGGTACTTTCATGCACGCCTGTGAAGGCGAGATGGTTTGCGAATCTATCAACCCCAAGATTCCTTACTTCAACGCCCCCATGTACCTGGAGAACAAGGTACGATGCGAACCGGGATAGACGAAAACAGCCTGCAACATTTTGGTTAACGGCTGCTCTTATAGACACCCATCGGCAAGATCGACGAAGTTCTCGGCCCCATCAACCAAGTTTACTTCACCATCAAGCCCCAAGAAGGTATCGTCGCGACATCCTTCAAGCCCGGCGATAAGGTCTACATCGGCGGTGACAAGCTCCTTCCTATCGAAAAGTATGCCGTTCCTCGCAATCAAGAGAACTTTGCCGCTAACCACTTACCCTAGGTTCCTCCCCAAGCCCAAGGCTCCCCCAGGTAAACAACCAAACCTCCGATTTCATAACGTGCGTTCTTCTAACAAGTCATAGGATCCAAGCCCAAGAAGGCAGTTGGAGCTCGTGGTGGTGGCCGTGGCGGCCGTGGTGGTGGTCGCGGTTTCGGTGCTCCTCGCGGCCGTGGCGGTGCTCCCAGAGGACGCGGTGCTCCTCGTGGTGGAAGCTTTGGATCTCGCGGCGGTAGTGGTTTCGGTGGTGGTGGTTTCGGTGGTAGGGGAGGTGGCCGTGGGGCGCCTCGTGGGGGTTTCCGCGGGCGATTCTAAACCGTGACAGCTAGTCTGTCTTTGCCTCGTCCTGTCTTATTACGGCGTTATGGGAATACGGGATTTATGTCGATAATTTTGACCACGGTCATCTGAGAAAAATTGGTTCTATCTAGCTTGGGATTTGTAGTGTGGTCTGGTTTCTCTGGCATGTTGTTGTTGTTGTAGGATTAAATGTTGAGCCGCGATAATCTACCAGTCGTCATGAGCTGCAAGTCCACTCTATAGTTCAAGCCTAATCCTCGATTCGAACTAAACAAAATGTGTAATATTGTCGTCAACTGACATAAGTTTAGAACCTGCTTTACTAACAGTTGTGGCTGAGTGTGGCGCAGCGATGACGTCTAGTCGAACTGCTTAAAGCCTAAAAGAAGCGAGACCCTGCACGTGCAATCGTCAACACATCCTCCTTCTGATCGCAATTGCTAGCCAGTATTGCTTTCTACCTAAGCATCTCTCATTTATAGTACTTCCTAGCACCTATTTTACTCTATAATCTCCATTTTCTCGCTATCCCTTGAATGAGCATGTCTCGAAGGACCTCAGCCATGCCCGCGAACTCGTCTACAAACAGCGGTGGCCCAGCGTCTGCTGATGGAGGTAAGCCAGCGCTTGAATAAAGGGGCTTCTCAGCAGACTAATAGCAATATTGCTTAGGTCAAGAGAAGCAGAAGATGCTTTTGTCCTCAGATACCGGTCACTTCAGTATGGTCAGGTTAGGCTTGAACGTCCTGACTGGCGGGGACGTTTGCTAATCGCGGATCCATGTACAGAGCCCTGCATCTAGCAGATCTCGTAACCGAGCTTAATGGTAAGGGACAGACCTAATACTTGAGTGGTGCTTTTTGACTAACCTCCTTTCCAGGATTCTGCGGAGGCAAGTTGACGTCGACGTTGAGATTTCTACGAGCGGCCACTAACCGGTGAAACAGTCATGTCCGTCTTTTCGTCCCTCCGCTACTGTCTCGGCGACCCCCACGACTACGGTGCCATTTGGGCCGCTCTCGGATTTATGCCGTTCGGCCTATTCTTTGATTTTATGGACGGCAGGATCGCACGATGGAGGAAGAAGTCGTCTCTCATGGGACAAGAACTGGACTCCCTCGCAGACCTGGTAGGTCGACATACCTCCTATTGCAGGTGACACAGCTAAGTGGCTGCGTCTAGATCTCCTTCGGCATGGCGCCGGCTGCCGCTGCATTCGCGCTCGGAATCCGAACCCCTCTCGACCACCTATTCCTCACGTTCTTCGTCCTCTGCGGCTTGACGCGCCTCGCCCGCTTCAACGTCACCGCCGCTGTCCTTCCTAAAGACAAGACCGGAAAGTCGAAGTATTTTGAGGGCACACCGATCCCCACTACCCTGAGCATCGTCGGTGTGATGGCCTACTGGGTATCGCAAGAATGGATTTTGGAAGACATTCCGCTCGGCGTTGCTGCTCAAGGTACCGCGCTTGAGTTCCACCCGATCGTTCTCCTCTTCGTTCTGCATGGGTGCCTCATGGTCAGCAAGACCCTGCATATCCCGAAGCCATGAATGACCTAAACGCATGGCGAGTTCCGTTGCGAAACGCTTTCCTTCTTACAAAAGAAATGTCTCATGAGCCGCACCTATATACGGGAGGGAAGGAGGGCAACAAAAGGATTACGAATCGGAGCATTTCTTGGAGATAGGTAACGTGGCCGGCGACGATGGCATGGCTTGCACGGATTCCTTTAGGATAGGCGGCTGCTCTCTACATTGTGTTTGTGTATTACTAATCCTGAAAATCATTATTATACCTAGGTACCAATCATGGCTTTCCGGCTTTCGTTAGGTAAATAGATATTGTTCATATCTCGAACGCCGGCATAAGCCCTGTATCGCACCATAATACAGAGGATATTGAAGCGTATTTGATGCGTGAAACATCCCGGCCGTCGAGTCTCTGGACGACCGGCGGACTCTCAATCACCGTACCTAGTACGTAGTCGAGTGCCGAGGTTAACGATACCAGGACACCGGGCGATGTTCGCGTCAAAGTTGGCACTCCGTGTGATGCGTCAATCTGGCAGGATCTAGATTTGACGTTCATTGACTCCGTATAGTTTTGTTTATAGGACTCCGTCAGAAACCGGCAGTTCGCTAGACCCTAGCGGCACTTCCTTGAGTTGAGACAAGCGGTTCCCGGAAATACTTCTTAATAGTTAGAGCCACCGTAGCAGCTGGATAGTTTTAGACTTTGTACCTAATCATTTGTATGTAGTCTGAGACCATGGAGGATTGGGCGCTGCAGCATAGCGAGGTGTTTCCTAGCGATATCCGAGGTTCGCGTAAAGCTTCACTACCAAGGCTGGCATTAGCAGATGATCCCCCAGGCACGGAATCAATGGTTTGTTTCAGCGCGCTGGATCTTGAATTCGTCCGGATACTCGTGGTCAAGGTGCTCGTGGTAACGATCTATCATCTATGCAACTTCCAGAAATTGGGAACGAGCGAGGAGTCATGCGGCTACTCCGTCCAGGCGGTACGAACGAGTTTCGGGCCATGTGCCCGGCTTCGATGTATCACTCCGCATATTGCGGCATATTCCAGATTCAAGATGGAAGGTTCTCCGGGGACCGGATGTCACAAGATGAGTAGAGGCTTCAAAGCATGAAAGTGACCGGTCACATTAAAAGCACGTGACTGTCCGTACCTGGCGTTCCAGGGCGCTGATCGGAAGTAGCCGCTCAGCAAAACAGAAGACCCATGGTTTCTCAGCGAGTCAGGCTTGAGAGATCCCTGGGAACATGGTCGAGTTCCATCACATTTGCCAGCTGGCAAGCATTATTGCTGGGTAAGCAATCAATAATACGCTGCAGTGTTTGGTCGCCCAGTTCGATCCCCCGGTCTCTGAAATTGCCCTGGAGTCATCTTGGGGTGCTGCGTCAGTCAAGTGATCGACGTTGAAACGATGGTCCTTTCATCCAAGCTGCGCTCTATGACTGGATGACGGCCGACGATGACTGGGTCAAATGAACATCATCTCACTGTTATTGGTCTGCTATGCACATCGGGGTCAAAAGAGCAACTACTGAAGACTGAAGACTTCGACAGCACACTTCATGATCTTCGCCTCCTCTTGGACCTGCAGTGGCCTCTTGCATAAGTGGCGCTTCGGACGATTGAGCGTTAGGACATTGCGCTGTGGCTGCTGCTGGGATGATGGGATCCGAGGCCGCGTAACCCTTGTAAGCTTGTTTTTCTTCTTTTGACAAAAGGCAGAATGAATTTTGAAAGAAAGCTCAGCAGAATAACAACAAAGGCGAACCTGGTCCCTTGTCACCGGAGTGTAAATGAAGCAGTCAAGGCGAGACATGCCCCCCTCCTTTCATCAAAAGAAGCGTCAGGGTCGCGATCTATTCTTTATCTAGTCTAGCGTCGCATTGAGCGGCCCAATCACCCTTAAATAACTCAGCCGCTGATTGGACGCACGGTATGCGGGATGAAATATTACCGGAACTGGCTGGAACCTCACAGTAAGGCGCAGTAAACTATTGTATGGTAAGTAACCAGGGCCAGGAACGGACACAATCACGGGCTGTCCAACACTGACAGTGCTCCGGCCCTCACTCCATTTCAATCACTTATCCAGTCGCTCTTTCTCTTTCTCCCTTTCATCAATACTCGCTTCCTGGGGCTGATATCTATCGATCCAAGGACACACTCGTTTATTTACATTGTTCAGCTTTGTTTCCGCAGCCCTTGTCTTGCTGCCTGGTTTTGTCTCTCGCTTCCTCCCTTTGACCCCTGATTTGTTTTGATCAAGGGATCACTAGTCCGGTCGGCTTGGGAGGATACTCATTGCCTCTATCTCGTTGTCCTCATCATCCGACAACGGATAATCCCGTCACCATATACCTCCCACAACCCTTTCGACCAGACGCGTTCTTGAGTGCTTGTTGTGGCCGAGTCAGCGACCGTTAAGGGCTCCGGCTGAAAGGGGCACTGAAACACGCTTAATCCCCGCCAGGGACCGCTTCTCCAGAAACAAACCGCTCTGAACCTCTGTCACGAAAACTCTACCAAGATCCCCCAACTCAGTCCTCTCGCTATCTTGATCGTTTTTCTTGTTACGGCCCTGCCCAGACGATTGATAGGGTTACGCCGGCCGTCCCGTCTTTCGTTGAACGATAATAGATACAACTGCCGCCTCAGTTGTACCTCGCTTCCCTCACCCTTATAAATTGTCAACACATCGCAGTATGAAGTCGCTCACATTATCCTCAGTCTTCGCGACTGCCGCTCTCCTTCTCGCCGGAAGCTCGCCGGCTGCCGCTCAACAACAGACGTATGTCGGCTGCTTCTCCAGCTCGACGCCCCTGGAAGACCAGGGGGCCTACACGTACCAGAGTAACGGATACTGCATGAACCTCTGCTACGGGAAAAACAAGGCCGTCTTCGGATTGTATAACGGAAACCACTGTCTCTGTGGTGATGAGATCCCAGCCAAGGCGGATAAGGAAGATAATGATGATGAATGCAACAAGTCTTGTGCCGCCTGGCCCATCGTCATGTGTAAGCACATACCAATCTATCATTCAGGAGAAAGTGCTAACTTGTCTTGCAGGTGGTGGATCCGACGCCTACTCAATTTACCTCACCGGTTATAGCGACAGCGTCGCATATTATTCAGATAGCTCCACCTCGACCACCTCCTCCTCAAACAGTAGCAGCACTTCCACAACTAGCGGCGGAAACTCAACGACGACAAACGCGAACGGTAGTGTTGCTACCACCGCGACTGTGAGCGCGGGGGGAGACTCGGAATCGGTCACTAGCACAGCATCGGCAGACACCGACTCCTCGGGGAAAAAGGACGGACCCAATACTGCTGCTATTGCTGCTGGTGTGGTTATCGGTGTGGTGGGATTGGCTGCTTTGGTAGGTGCTGGCTTCTTCCTCTGGCGCTTCAAGAAGCGCCACCCCGCTGATCAGCGGATGCGCGAAATGAGCAACGTTGAGCAGTTCGGCAAACCCATGTCGCAAGACTCGATGTCCGACACTCGTTTTGACGGTGATTTTATGGCCCAAAGGCGCCAGAGCAATGGTAGCATCGATGATGACCGAGATTTCTCCCGCCGGATCCTGCAAGTCACGAACCCCGACCGGCACTAAGCATCGTACCTACCGAAGACCACCGAATACCTGCGACTCATGACGATTGACCTATGCCTCTGGCTTTACATTCACGAAATCAACCTGCCTAGCGGACAATATCGCCTTGATGGGCATCAACCTCTGAACTCGACGTTTCAGTCTCTAAATCGATTGATTCTCTTGTTCGACATGCACATGTGCCATCAGATCCGTCCCATAATTCCAAGCTCCGCCGGTTGGCTTTTTGCAGCGAGTATAATTTGACCCCGACATTGCTCGCTAGATTCAACACCAAATTGAGAACAATTTTGGCTCGAATAGCGGATGAGAGTTTGGTATGAAGGCGTTTGGCTGGGTTGACCTTTTTAATACAAAATATTTCGTATCTATTTCTTACTTTGTATGTTCTTAAGCTGAGAATTACAGTCCTTCTCATGTTGCTTCATACTGTACGGTATTGGTTCTTGGTCTCAGTCCTGTCATGCGATCATGCAATATTGCCGTATACCTAGCCTCTTGACGGTTTAGACACCCGTCGAGCTGGAATCTCTAGATTCCGCGAACATACGTGCTGGGTACCCTCATCCCCTCTTTTAGGTATAGCCATAGTCACATATCACCCATTCTGGCGCTTATCAACCAACAATTGCTCAAGAATAACACATCTCGTCGCCCACTAAAACACTGCACCGAGTCCCAGGGAGATCCCTCCCTGCCACAAATAACAATGCCCGGAGTTTGGACACTACTTGAGTTACCCACAGTGTATAGCTCGCTCCAAATGAGTGTACACATTGGCTAGCCACATAAGGCTCACGCTTGAACAGGCTCAATCTGCCGCTGTTCTCTATGCGGCAGCAGTAGATCTCAACCTAAAACGCATTCCTTTGTTTTGTGCCGGACAGTTAGACGGTCATAGAACCCGGCTGCCTGACGGCATATCTTCATCTTTCTGCTCCAATTGATCCACCCAAGGCTCGATTCTAGATCTGGAATCTCCACTATGAGAGGCTTTGCCTTGATTTCGATCATTTTGATAAGGACTTGAAGGGAGAATAATGGCTCTGGTGATGGAGTTCGAACTTCTAGCCAAAAAAGGTCGGCAGAACTAGCAATAGAGATAGTGGTGGATGGTATCCCCACTCTATCTCTTTTGCGTTCTTTATGCATCTTGCCGTGTAGTGTATAATCAAAGTCGACGTCGCTCTCCAGGTCGTCCTCGATAGGGCCGGAGCTTCTTATATGCTTGAGAGATCGGGCGAATTGGGGAAAGCGGACTGGGAATGGTATAGGAGGAAGGTCCTAAAAACCACAAGTTTGTTTGTATCGGGGCTTGAAGTATGCCCCTGGTCCCGACCCTATAGGTGCTTTCTTCCTTTGGTTGGAGACGTTGTAGCAACAGCGCCCCGATTATCCCCAGCCGAACAAAGCATATTGACATCCAGCAACACTCACTTTGTTCGTGAGAAACAGGAAGCTGGCATTGTTGACACAGGTGGCAGACAGACTTGCAAAAGCGCTGGCACGGCCGGAATTTCTACAGAGCACGCAACACCAGAAGGACCGATCTTCGATTCGCAAACCATACCGGGGCTATGCTCCGCTGGCTCTCGGCAAAAAAAAATGCGCTGGCCTAGGCCTCCTGGACCGGTGGGCAGACCAAACTCCCCGGGTGCTTTGTCCAACAACCATCATTCAAGGCCGATGGCCTTTCTGTCGCCCGAAACATAAGACTTGAGGCCGTGTCGAAAATTCCTAACTCACTACTAAGCCATGCCTATAGTTCCCACCGAGAGCAATATAGCCATTACGCCGAAGAATGTCAGTGTCTGTCGCTGCGCCGAGTACTCATATGCTGTCGCCGCACGGTACATCCCTGTGATTGTGTATATGAAGAATGCTAGGACGGCTGTATGTAGCGACTGTTGTGGGTTTTAGCTTTGGATGGATGTGGTGCGGGGAGGAGAGATAGAGGAACCTTTAAGGCATATCATACAATGGCACTGACTGTCCTAGTGGTGTCTCATGCCTGGCCATAGAGGCGCTCGCGACGAGGAGGAAGCAAGTTGCCGGAATGAGCGTCGCAACTTGATTAGCATTGTCAGTATCTGTGAAGCATGGCCACGTCTGGCTTGACTCGCCGTACAACTTCCAGCAGAGGAGATAGCTCCAAAGAGTAAAGGTAGTCGGGGAAATAGGACATGATTGCAATGAGATGAAGAGCATGAGATGTCTTTGTAAGAGGAAGGTGAGGGTATAGTGGTTCTTCCTTCCTCATCTACGCATAGTGTCATCCGTTCAGAAGTACGAGCTGGCCATCGTCTTCCCGGAATTCATTCTAACAGCTGCTTGGGATGAGTGCTGGGTACCCAGCTTGAGCCAAGGTTAGTAGGGGTTAGCATGGTTTTGGTAGGTTTTGGTAGGTTTATATAGACACAAGAACAAACAAGCAAGAGACATGTGTCCATAGATATCTATAAAGAGATATAAAGCATTTAGAGAAATAGGGCTTGCTATAGTGAACGTAGATAATGCAGATTCCAGCAAAGGCGCGTACATGCGTGGCCCTAGTCAGCATTGGTGTGTGAATCAATTCAGTCTCTACTGGGGTAAATGCGCATGAGAAAATAGACTGCTATGCTTAAGCCTAGATTGTTCACTTACAGGGGTAATTTCGAATGGAGATAAATGCTACGTTCTCGTGACTGAGTCCCAATGGATAAAGGGTAAGGGCAAGGCATCTGCTATATATTTACGTCGCGGATAGGGCTGTGGCAGATGCGAGAGGACAAGAGGAGACAAGACAGGATGGTGTAGTATCTAGCTACTTGGTAGGTTGACTGAGCAGCTGAACAAGCAGGCAATTGGGCGAGTATGTATTTACACACACTCTCTCTGTGTCTCTTTTTTTAATTTTCGGCCTGAGAATAGATATCACCGGTAGACTTGAGAGATCAGTTCCTGGATTGCATGTGTCCTCACTTTTGTGCCCGAGAAACTATACGTACCTACCTACCTGGCAGCCTAACTAGGGGAGACGTCGATCGTGAACCTCATAGAAGATGGTAATAAAGGCAGGGCACTGCGCCAGGAATCTTGTCATTGCGCAGAGTGCCGAGACAGGTAGTCTCTTCCCGAATCACACTGTGGTAGGGTAAAGTAGAGTGGATTTTTCTTTTGCGTCTCATCGTTAGGTTGTGGTTGTGCGTATGAGTACTACGGCTGAGATGATGGCCGTAATACCTACAGAAGAGTATATATTTTCACTTTTCTTGGATTTTTGGGCATCCTATTGACGAATGGATCCTCGTGGGGTGGGTAGACGGCTGGGAAGATAGATCGGGATGACGGGGATAGTAGACACTGTTTCGACGGCGCAACTAGCTATCTGTTACGTTAGAAGTGTACCACGATGCACGCGGGATAAGAACAGGTGGTTTGTCTGTCAAAGGGTATATGTCGTTGGCATTGAGTGAGGCGAAAGCGTCCGAGGTTGTTCTAGATGCGGAAAGAGCGCATCCTAAATGCTGCTTGGTGTGGAGCTGAATAAGTTAGCGAGGGATATCAGACCGGGTGAAAGCGTTGCCTTCAAGATCGGCAGGTTGGAGCCCTGCCTCGGTTAATCCATGCATTGGATATACAATACATTTTTACCAGATTCGGGTGTATCACGAGAACGGCGACAGCTTGATCTCGCGTATATCCTTGCTGTGCATAGGCCATGACTCAGCTCTGGACTTTGATCGACTAGCGTTCGCAATAATAGATGGAATATCCGAGTCCATCCACATTCATCTAGATAAAACTGAACGAAGCGAGACAACACAAAGGTGACGACGATGGTTCACCCAAGTAATGGACATAGTTCTCTCACTGTATAGGTCATGTTGCTTGCGCTGGACGATTATGGGCGAGTATGGACCTTAGCTGATGGCTTCCGGTTGACATGTCCTGCTTCGTGTGCATGGCTTGGGTCCTGCCTCTAGGTGGTATGATGGAGGGTTCGGTGGCGGCATTATTCGGGGTAGAAAGTGCCGAGGGGAAGGAGAGGGCACACTGCCAGCTTGCCTGGGCGGATGTCCGGCACCGAAATTGAGCGTACCTATGCTCTTGGTCTCATTAGCGGTCAGCCACCGACATCTTCCAAGGCGGGTGATAACTAGGGTAAACAGCAGTACGCCAACCTGGTTGTAGAGATGAAGCCAAGCCATGCATGATTCAGGGACCGCCCGAAGCTGTGAGGGATGCAGGATGCAGGGTGCAGGGTGCAGACAATCGCAATTTCCAATATAGCCAAGCAGTAACACGGACACAGCAACGTGTTTGCTGAGATGCAACAACGCTAGGATGATCTGACCATCCCGCGATGGAGATACCGGACGGGACAGGAGGATCATGATCGATGTGATCTTGAGCACGCCGCTGACTTCATGGAGTCTGGCATCGAAGATACCGTGATGGGATAGGCTGCGGTGTACTGCCACTGTCGGAGACAGATTAAAGCCCGTACCCCTGTAGCTTGCTGTATGCAGCTTCGAAACGACAAGAGATGCTCTATCTCTCCATGTGCAGTGTATGACGTCTCCATATGTCGAAAGGACTAGATCTTTGCCACGGGAGGGGGAAAGCTGGTTGATGAAGATGAGCGCTGAGCAAGAACGTGCTGCAGAATCCAACAGATGTACGTCACTGCAGATGAAGCTGTTGGTTCTATCGGTTTCTGTTGGCGAATGGGGGACTCTTATTGGACAGCCGCATCGTGAATTTAGGCCAGGCGTTCTGCAGCATAAGCTGAGACTCGAAGCGTGACTGCCATATCTTGAAGGATCGCGCGGATGCTACTATGGAGTAAGCTTGGTGCTACCTAGTGAGAGTCTAGGTCCAGGCGGCGGGCATCGCCACCACGCGGGATCGGTGTTGTTGGTGCTGGCTAGGAACGGGGAATGATGGTCGAGCGCTATTTCGTGGGGGATGCTTGACGACGGCGGGAGATGATCGGTGGCGGAAGCGCCTTGCATCCGAGCAATAGCATGAAGATCAAAGCCAGTTAATTAGTAGTCATCCATACGCAAGTTGGTTAAACCATTCGAGATGCTGACGAAGGATGTACCAACTGCAGCTGTAGATGGTGGAGAACTATTGGTGAAGACCACGTGTTGGATTAATATGCTAACCGTTAATCCCTGCACCATCAGATGGCAATGGCTCGATGAGTATCATTTAGCGGCCTTCCTGAGCAGGTACCATGCTTGGACAGGCGCTCTAGAGGCTGGCCGGGGTTCGAATCCTTCGACATATCGGTCTGCGGCTGGTACCGCCGAACGGCCAAGTTCCGGGGGCGCGGTAGCCTGATCAAAGACTTTGTTTTGTTCAAGGAACCAACAATACAGAGAGCGATCCAACCAATCCACGGGAGACAAGTCTTGTGTAGTAAGTGTGATGAATAGAGATGTCGTCATATCATTTCTGGCTAGTAGGACGTCGGTCACTAAGCCTGCGGCTTGGTGCCAACGTAGCCAGAAAGCTCATACTGTGCGGAGTAGCATGATGCTCGTATACATGACTGGAAGCAGGCGGCGGTTAGCTGTTTTCAGGGGTAAGCTTTGCGAGGCGTATTCCACGTAACAAGGCAAAGAAAAGATCCGAAATCACGCTGGAGAATAGAGCATGACCTCAACGGCGAAGGCGCTGATTTGCCGGCTGAAAGTCGGGATTCTCACGATACCTTAAGGCGCGGGGGGTTTCCCGGACTCCGTACGTGATGGTCCCGCAATGATCTGGAGCTTCGAAAAGACTCGCGAGAGATTGATAAAGTGAACCGAAGTGAGCAAAAAGCTAAATCCAGACTCCAAACTTCCAAAGTATGTTTTCGTGCTTCGCCCCTTTGAAGTGGGCTCTCAATTTGCGGGTTCAAGGTTGGGTCCGACGGATTGACTCGAGCAAGAGTGGGTAAGAGACTTCCGGAGGGATGACCCGTCGTCAAAAGGGACAAGAGTTAGAGACGTTAGTCAGTACCGGCTAACTCTTTTGATCACTGAAGAGCACTCGTAAGCAAGACTGGAGAAAGGAGAAGTAATCTGCATATTATTCTGCAGCGAGAGCAACTATTGGGATCGGGACATTGGCATCTTCGGTTACAAGGCGCCGTCATTTGTCAAGGCTCAAGCTCTCTGCAGGTTTTGCGGGACTGTCGGCCGCCGTCGGCGCCATCGCTGCGAACTGGCGAAGTATGGTTCAAGCTAACCTTATTGACCGGCTGCTCGGGTCCCACATGGTCATCGAATTTGTTGATCTTTGACCGACAACGGATTCCTGACCTTTGTGCAGATGTGCTTGAATAATATTCTCCGAGTCGGCCGCTTTCTTCTGACCTCCGGTTAGTGAATCTATGGTCTGAGACATGATCAGAGTAGTAACGGGGCCACTGGTCCAAGCCCAGAAGACCGATAAGCTCTATCATGAGGTCCTCGTGAGGGCCCAGGGGTGACTCTATGTGCTGGGTGGATAACAGTGGCATTGACGATTTAGTGCGAATAGCTGCAAAACGAGAGCAGTCCTGCTTCATCGGAGCAAGCCAATATGAGTCTGCAATTCGGCCACCATATAGCCTAAAGGCGGTCGCAGTTCGAAGAAGTCAACTAGAACGGTTGACAACTGCCGGGGCCGGCGGGTGTCAAGCTAGAGAAGCTTGAAAGTTTGAGAGGTCTCGAAGAATACGGCATTTCATGTTTTCAGGCCCTCAGGGGTCACCAAGAAACCAAGCCTCTAATCATCCAATCGTACAGAGTAGAACCACTGTAAATGGTAGGGTTTGATTGAGATGGATATTTGCATTTCCACGAATCAAGAGACTGTGCAGACGGTGAGCGAAATTATGACCCTGAATAGATTGGTCAGGATGGCATAATCAAAGTAGATTAACCTGCAGTCTGTCGAATCGTCGAATCCCTGAAATTATTAGTTAACCACGCGATGAGTGGGCCTTACCTTAGAAAGTCAGCACAGCCCTGAAACTGGGGAAAGCCTGAGGCAAGGCAGATTCGGGTTTCGACTGAAGCTTGACTGCAGGGCGCAGCAGCACAACATTGATCTCCAAGGAGTCCAGGCATGTTTCAACTTTGGCGACCCTTACATGCTGCAAGGAGACACGGCTCAGTCTATATTTATCACAACGTGGTTGTGAGCTTCGACCAGTGGGAATTTTGCTATCGAAACTCGTGGTTGAAGATACGAAGTCAGCTGGAAACGAGGTTCCTCCCGCCGCCGTCCGTCTCGGGAGTAAGACGCCTCCATTCTGTCCAAAACCACGCGAGAGATGGGAATCCTTCTCCCACTGATCGGCCGGTATGATATGGCAGCTGTCAAATCGGATTGTTAGCTTTAGCGCTCGAAAATGCTCCATACGACTCCATCGTATTGTTCTGGATCTGCCCAGTACGGAGTAGTGGCTCCAGTGCAGGCCAAACGGATCCAGGCTTAATATGAAGTATAATATTGTGTCGTTGCCGTTCATCGACCCAACAGCTAGCTGCCCATAGTCCGGGAGCGATCCTGGAATTTGAAGGTGCTATTTAATCGTGGGTCCTTGCCAAAGTCTGGCCTCGCTGGCAGTCGAGCCTGGGATGCTGGAGGATCATGGCTGCCAGGTGGCATGTGCATAATGCGTTTAACGCAGCACGCCTTAGTGAGAGATAAGAATAACTCCGCGTTGGCTATTTTCTGCAGAGGGACGAACGACGGAAGGCAAATTCCGACTAAGCACCGCTCTGATTGAGGAACGGAGGAGATGATCTCTGGCTTTAGATGAACGGGCCAATTGTGATCGAAACCGATTGTTGGTTATGCATTAGTCCAGGGACAGCTAGTGCGCGAATGTCTTGGTCTCTGGAAGAGTTGGGGATCCATGCGATATTATTGTCTGTCGGCCAGTAAGAGACTGCCGTTGAGTCCCAGTCTTAATTATCTCATGGCAAAGGGCACGGGGCAGCTGCAGGTGGTATGTGAGAGATTTCAAGTGTCACACGGCCACGTTGTGAGGGGCTGATCATACGAATGCTATTATTACTCCCCGCGGCTTTCCAAAGGTCCGATGGTGATGAAGGATGATGATGACTCGATACGAAACATAGTTATTGTCGAATCGTCCTGGGCAGCATACTCTGGACATTACACACGGGAACTGCTGGGATTATGGGTTCCTTGGACCAGAGCAAGAGCAGATCTCGATTTTAAAATTCGAGCGAAGGACCCGTGGGTTATTGCAGGCCGTCCTCGTTGGCCCTTGACAAGTCTGCCTGAATTAAAACACGACTGGGCCAGGGCCGCAGGTTGGTCGCCGAAAGCTGGGAAGGAGAGACCATAGGTTTGCTTTGACGTTCAATGACGCAGCGAGCTAACTGTTTGTAACTTTGTAAGAGCCTTGTAGCGACTCCAACGAATGTTAGTGGGGTGTGAAAGAGCCTTGCGTATCCGGGTATCGGGTATTAGCGTCCGTAGCTACATATGCTCTGCCCAGTCCAGGATAGCGGCGCCCGATGAAAGAGGAATGATCTTCAGAAGGAAGATTAAGTTTTCATATCGTTTGTGAGGCCTGGTTCGGGATTCGCCGGGCGTCTTTGTCGAGTCTCGAGTCTCTCGACGAGTCAAGCTCGAGTGAGTCGAGTCTGGACGCCGAAACGGGCACAGGGCACTTGGAGACGTGGTCAGCGGAGAACGGGCGAAGTATGGATCGACCTAGAGGTGGGTAAACCATTAGCTTCCGGAAAAGTTTCCCCAGAGAAAGAAGCACCTTGACTCAGAAGGTATGCCAGGTCCGCCCTGTTGCTGGAGAAAGTGTTAGTGTGGTGTTGCTTTTTCTCGCTTGTAGCGGGCACTGGAGGCACAGAAAAAGTAAGCATAAGCGAGCGGACTGGGGATGCAAGGATGATTAAATTGGAACGCAGATAGAAGGGCGATGGAATGATGAGCTTGCAGGGATGCGAGGAAAGCGTAAAGATGAAACGCTGATGAGATCGAGCCATCGCGAGGGAAAGCCCAGGCAGGTGACAAGTGAGCCTTGCGGCCTTGCCTGAGGCTCTGGTCCACAGGGCTGTCTGTCGGACCACGGACCGAGATGGCAATTATTTGGCACTGAACAGGTACCATAGTTCAATGGCATTACATAGACACGGTGGGCTATTTGTTGTCACGCAGGAACGTCGGAAGGATGTAGAGTGCTTATTTTGCGAGCAGTGCTAAGTCCTCCTTCTCGTGAGTGTCTCTGGCTGTGGATGTCGTTGACTCGTTCTGATCGGAACTCCAGCGATCGAGTCTGCCTGCCAAGACGAGGCTGACCCGCACCCGTCCCGATCTCCAGATACCATACCAGCCGCAGCAGTTCAAGACTCTCACATATCAATCAATATGAATCAGACTGGCATAAATCACTGACTGAGTGAAGAGTATGAACATGAGCGAAGATAAAAATAACTTTTATTCTTAGGCACATGGCTGAAGGCAGTGTTTGTCTGCGGGCAAGCTCCAGGACCAGGAGCACCTGGCAGTTGGCGAGGGGCGTCTCCACTCCACACGTTCCACCGGCTAGCGCGTGCACTAAGCTCAAGGAACCAACCACAGCGGTGCCTGAACCAACAGTTCCAGCAGGGTTCGTGGTTGGAAAGCAGTCAGCATCCTTGCATCACTCCTTGCGAAGTTGCAAAGGGGTCCTGGGAGGGCCATGGATGGACTTCAGCGGTTTGGAATTGCCAGACTCCGGTCTCGCGGTGTTCGCGTGCAACAGGGCACAATAGAGTTGGGACTGGAGAATCGCAGCGGCTCAAAGCAGTTAGATCTTACGCGGACCCAGGTATGCACTAGGCAGCAAATTAGCAGGCCGCAAAAGCCAACCGGCAGCCGTTAAGCCAGACCCCTGTAGCCTCCCAAGGAAATTAAAAATAATTCTCCATACAACGCCTGTTCCCCGTCTTTGATTGCGCCTCAGCCGCACCGGCCGAGTTATTAGTGATCGTAAATTTGTAAATTTACCTTGATTCTCTGGGAGTAGTGCCTGGTGGCTGTAGTGACGATCTCTTGCAGAGGGACGGACAATCTTATTTTATCTGCTGCTGCCAGCCTTGTCTGGCCTGGTGCTGCTCTGCCCTATAGCCTTGACTACACTGCTATACTCCTCCTGCATCCATCTAGAACTGCCACCATCCGCTGTTTCAGGATCCTGCTTTCTTTTTCGACCCATACCTCACTGTCAAGTCTGACCTCATTCATCTGTGATCTTCACTAGTCCAGTCTCTGCTTCACACAGCCCTCCTCATCTCGTCCCGTCTCCACAGACTGGACGTTGTTGTTATTTCTTTGTGCATTGTTCCTGTCAGTCCATGCGATCTTCCTCACAGGCCAGAAACTATATATCGGACCCAATCGCCAATCCTTCAATCCTTCCGATCACTCCACTCGGCACTCTTCTCACATCACACTGCCTGCCTCAAAGCTCTTCACTACTTAGTCTGTTGGTCAGCTCTTCGCAATGCCTCGCACCACTGGCCCTGCGGAGATTCCTCTCCCCATCACCTACACTCCCACCACCCACCGCATCAGCAAAGCCAAGAAGGGAAAGCGCGTCCATGCCTGCGAGCACCCTGGATGCCAGAAGGTCTTCACTCGCGCCGAGCACAAGAGGTATTTTCCGATTCTATTGTTCCCTGGCATTCATGCTAACCTGCGTAGACGCCATGAGTTAAACCACAACCCCGAGGCTCTCTACCGCTGCACTCAGACGGGCTGCAAGAAGTCCTTCCACCGTTCTGATTTACTCGCGCGCCACATGGAACGACAGTGCGTTTTCCCAGTTTCGCATCAAAGTCAAGTGCTAACTAATTCTTGCTCAGTGAGCTCGAAGCTCAAATGGACGCTTCAGCGCGATGGGAACACCCTTCCGCCAGATCGTCCGTCGACTACATTCCCAGATACACCGTGGTGGCTCCCACCCCAGCACCATACATCGCCATGCCGCAGCCTCAAAGCGCAATTTCCAAGTCTCCAGTCATTCACCATGACATGGCAATTGACGGACTCATCTGGGGCACAATGGACCAGCACCAGCACATCATTTCAACTCCACGCATTCACGAGTCTGTGGAAGACTCGGCCAGATTCTACTCAACGCCCGAGGCCTGCCCCTCCCCATGCTCAGACGGCACAACATACTCCGTTCCTTCATACCCCGGCTCCATCTCCTCTGTTTCAACAACTTCGCCCGGCCTTGTCGAATCGTACCCAGATCCAATCATCGATTCAGAGTTAACCTCATCGCCAGCCCCTATGCACGCGACAATTGAAGGGTGCCAATGGGATCGGGCTGGCACTGTGCCCCCTGCGACCACAAGCATGGTTCCCATGTCTACTATTCCCGACAGCCTGATTCATCCTGTAAGACGCCCCGACTTCATTCTCAGCCCAGCTGACTAACCATTCTAGGCTCTACACTATCACTCACAATCATGGCCGATGCCCCAGCAAGTCAACTACAACGAGAACATCATCCAGCCTGTACCAGTATCTCTACCCTACGACGCAACAGAGAGCGCCAGCAAAGCTGCGTGGTCTCTATAATTTCTTTTCGGCCAACCAAGTCTCCTACTCAAATAACGACCCTCATGCACGTCAATCACATCTCATCTCCAATCCCCGGGAACGTGTCAGGTCTGGCCGCATCCCCGAGATCTACATGCATACACATCCCCGACCAATGATCACCCTTCTATAAAAAGAACTGTTGGAAGTCCGCCAATCCCAACCTCCAGTCCTCTCAGTCATCCTGGGCAAAAAGTTACATTCTTCAGCCTTGTACCACCAATACTCGAACTCAAGTGCTGTGCGGTGACCACGAGGCGCTAGACGAGAAATGCAACATGCGAACGCCCGGGTGACGCTCCTCGCATACCCCCGATAACGAATTGTAATCATGAATTTCTTTTGTCCATTTCCCTATTTGAGTTTCTTCATTTCCTTTGTCTGTCTGTCCATCTATACTATATTTGAATCATACTCTTCATGCAGCCTGGAGTACATAGAGCGTCTGGTTCGGAACGAGATTATGGCCCCGGAATGGTTTAGGCGTTGACGGTTGATTCATGGTTCTATTCTTGCTTCCTTCCTTACTCTATCTCGAGTTTTGTGTTGCCATTTCACTATACCAATTATCTAGCTATTGTCCTGTTTACCCTACTTTTACGAACGAATCTATACCCCTCTTTTTATTCTCATCTATCTCATCTCACCTTTTCATCTCATCCCTGTTTCCTCATTCCTATAAAGACGTTGATATCCTTCCTCTTTACACTGCATATGCTTGTGGTGTCAAGCTCTACAAGCAAGCTATGTTGCATTTTGCTTTGGGGTCTGCTTGTTTCATGCTACGAAATTGTCCTACTCAATGTTATGCTAGTGCGCTTTTTGTTTGGCATCTAGATGGCACATATACACTGGGATCAAGGGACGGCGTTTTGGGATCCTTGCTGAACTCTTATGACAGATGCAGAATTAGATTGAATCGACGGACTTGAAAGCCGATCACCGCTGCTAACTGCTCGTTTGCTTGCTTCTCTATCCTCCCCGCTTCTTCATTCTTCTAATCCCAACGGCCCCTCGTTGCAGAATTAAGTGACATGCAGGTACGGGTACGTGCCTAAAGTCTTCGCCGCCTCCTCCACTCCAAGTCCATCTCGCCTAGTCCTGCCTAGATAGGTCATAACGACCAAACAAGAAAGCAAACCAACTCAAACAACCGGCAGGGCCATCCCATCACCCCTCAAATCGCTGCCTGCACTGTACACCAATCTGCCCCCATCATAGTGACACCGCACAATCTGGCCACGCCCAAACATCCCCCGTTCCCACCCCCTCAGCACCTTAACGCTGTGCCCCAATTTCCGCAGGCCCGCCACCGCCCCCTCGCTGATCCCCTCCTCAACGTAAACCGTGCGATCAAGCTTCTTCCCTAGCTCGGGGTTCCCCGCCGCAATGCAGATGCGCGGGGCATCGAGCGCCGCCTGTGGGTGGTATCCGAAGGCGAGCATATTCAGCAGCACCTGCACGTGCCCCTGCGGCTGCATGAACCCGCCCATCACGCCGTACACGGAGTGCAGGGAGTTGTCGGAGACGTTGGTGATCATTGCCGGAATGATGGTGTGGTAGGGTCTCTTGTTGGGGGCGAGGACGTTGGGGTGGTTTGGGCTCAGTGAGAAATTGGCGCCGCGGTTCTGCAGTGTGAAGCCGCAGCCCTTTGGGATGATTCCGGAGCCGAAGCCCGCGTAGTTGGAGTTTATGAAGGAGATGCCGTTGCCGGCGGAATCGGTTACCGCGAAGTACACGGTGTCGCAGTGGTTATGGGCTGGGCTGCCGTGGTCGAGGATGTCGGTTGCGGCGTTGGGGTTGAAGAGTTTGGCGCGTGAGGCGAGGTATGCTGGGGAAAGAAGTTCTTTGGTGGGTACGGGGGTGGTGTCGGGGTCTGTGACGAACCAGGAGGCGTCTGCGAAGGCGATGCGGAGGGACTCGATGATGGCGTGGAGGTACTCGGCGCTGTTGTGCTGCTCTTCCTTGAAGGCGGGAATCTTGCCGCTTTTCTCGAGTTCTTGTAGGATGCCTAGGGCCATGAGGGCCACGATGCCTTGTCCGTTGGGGGGGTGTTCCCAGATCTCGACGCCTTGGTTGGTTTCGTCATCTGTGCCAGCTGTTTGCTTATCGGCGATATTCTGGCCGTTGAACTTGAGCGAAATGGCTTCAGTCTCTTGGGTGCCGGTCTCGGCGTGCGCTTTGAGGTCCTCGAGCGTCATGTAGCCGCCGAGGGATTGGATGACGTTGACAATCTCCTGCGCAACGCGGCCCTCGTAGAACCCTTTCTTGCCTTCCGCTGCGAGGGACCGGAAGGTTTGCGCCATTGTCGGATTCTTGAGGATCTCTCCGGCGAGGGGGCTACGGAAGCCGTCTTGCGCCTTGGGGTCTGCTTTGAGCATCTCGTGGGAGTTTGGGGAGGCTTCGCGGAGGAGTTTCTCGCTTTCGTGCCACTTCTTCTGTCAGACTCGTAGTATTGTGTCAGGAATAGGAAGAACTCACAAAGTAAGATGCCAGCTCAGAGACGGCGAATCCATCCTCTGCAAGCTCAATGGCCGGTCGAAGGACCTGCTGAAGGGAAAGCTTGCCGCTACCGAATTTCTCAACGGTGTCAACCCATCCTGCTGCTGCGCCGGGGACTGTAACAGCGAGAGGGCTGTGCAGCGGGATTCCACCCGCCTCGTCCGGCGTCGCATTCAGGTCTGCTTTGATTTTCTCGAGCGTTGCGCTGCCGGGGTACCGGCCCGAGCCATTGAGGGAATGAATCTTCTTGGTCGCCGCGTCGTAGAAGAGGCAGAACATGTCTCCGCCAATTCCGGTGGACGAGGGCTCGGTGACGTTCAGTGCCGCAGCTGCAGTCGTTAGACAAGAGCTTAGTTTATGTTGCAGGTATGCATACCAACTGCTATCGCCGCATCCTATGCTCATTAGCTTGCCTATTTTGCATAGGGTCTAGGGTAGAGTCATACTGCAGCATTTCCACCTTCACTTAGAATCTTCTGTCCTGCGGCTGCCGCGAGGGGCTGGGTACATGTGACGATGCCTTTTGTGCTATGCACTGTACTTCTCCGGCTGGAGAACGGAGCAAAGTCCGGGTTCTGCCTGGAATATACGGCCTTTGAATTGAGCGGCATTGTGATTGACCTTTTGGTTATGAATAAGGAGGTATGACAGAGAAAGGCATTGGCCTTGGGGAAAGAAGCGGTTTATCAGTGATCCAGACTCCGGCTATTACCCCAACTTCTCGGTGGGTTGTGGGGGCTCATTGGAGTCGGTTGACGGCCAAACGGATGCTACCAGTAGATGACGAGCATTGCGCAGCCATAGATGCTGCAACTGCCTCTCTGTGAGCCCTACATACACCCATGTAGTCCTGTATAAGTATCACAACGCATCAGACTCACACTCCGACTTCCAGTGGCCCCTCTACCCGGTAACCCGGGTATCAACTACCAACTCTACCCCGCGGGAAGGGCGATAACAGTCACGTGAGGAGGGGTAGAAGCACCTTCCTGATCCGGGAAGGTCGCATCACTGGGTCGAGGTGGAAATGACGCAGTGGCTTCACGTGCGTTAGTACTAAACCTGGCCTCGGCCCTCAGACCTCTTCAACTCCTCATTCTCCGCGCGAGTTTTATTTGATCCGAATTCGCAGGGCTGACACAGCTTGCGTCGGCGGTATCGGGCACGCACGTCAAACCCGTCAAGCAGAGGAAAGGATCCTCACGGCTTCGCGATCGCCGAGACGAACCACAGCTCCACCTACGCCGAAGACGGAGCTGGACGGCCTGGACCTGGAAGCTTCACAGCCGTATCATTCCACGGACTATACATGTGCAACCTGATATAAAGCTATGGAACAGCCTGGCTCCTGATCAGGGCTTTACGCTTGTCTATTTTGGAACGTTTTATCCTGCAAAATGGTGGTGTTTGTTGACTATGACCATGACCTCGGCAACCGTACGCCTAAGGGCCCGGATGCATTCCAACCATACATCGAGCCTGTGAAGCCGGCGCTTTCAAAGCTAAGCGTTGGCTTCGAAGTCGAGAAGCCTGCTGAAGCTTCATCGGACGCTCCAAGCACCGCTGAGCAGCATTCCGTTCGGGATGCGTTCTCAGTAGCTCTAGGCTGCTATCCGTATGATTGCTGAACGAGTCACTTGCGGGCCTGGTTCATCCGCTAACACGACCCAGGATAGCCAAGGAGATTGCACGCGCAGTCGACCTTAACACGCTGTATGCCCTGTCAGGGACGTGTCGGCAGTTCTATGCGAATCTATTTCCGTACCGGAAGCAGCTCGCCAAGCAGACTCTACGTTGCGAGAATGAATACATTGAAACTCTTTCGGATATGCTGCACAGCGGTACCGCGATTCCTGATGGCGTCAAGTCGGTGATTCGACTGCTCAGTCGGGGTGCGCTGAGCACTGGGCAACAACTCACGAGCGGCAAGATCGCGAAATGTGCTCGTGATATGGTTGCCGAGTGTCGGGGATGCTCGAAGGTTGTCTGTCGGGTATGTCAAACTAATAACAATGGTGATGAACGCTAATTGTTAGAACTGTACGGCCAAACCCCCGAACAGCGCGACTCTGAAGAACCGCATCCGCCGACTATGTACCACCTGCCGGAAAGCACCGCTGAACAGCCTCATCTCCCCATCCCTCCACGCTCCTATACCTTCAGTATCCGATTCCACTCAGTCTGCCGTCTTCTTACGGGATACATGCACCTGCCAGGACGTCCTTTGGCTGTGCAATCAATGCGGCCAGAAACTCCGTAGGAATGATACTACCTACCGCCGGGTGTGGACCTGGCGCACCCGGTACAGCACATACCTCGGCGGACTAGGAACCGGAATTGGCGAAGGCTGCCAGGGCGTCAAATGCGGTCGCGGCGAGAGCTGCCTTGCGGCGCAGGAAATCGAGCTGGAAGTAGAGTGCGAGGCAGACGAGTCTATGTCCCACAGCCCTCCCGAATACGGCTACCATTTCGGACATCGATTCGATCAGGACCATAGTTCTCATAATCACTCTGGTCAGAGGTGGGTAGACCCCGATGAAAAAGAGCCCGGGTATCTACGCCAGGAAATTGATGGAATTGGAGGGAGAGTGAAACAGAGGGCGAAGAAGAGGGTCTTGGTAGGTGCCTGTGTGCCGGAGTATGAGGATGAAAGGGATACGGGAGATTATCTCACCCGTGAGGAAGATGGATTGCACCGAAGTTGGTGCGGTTGGTGTTGGAGGGTCGTTCCTGCTAAGCAGGAGGCATCTGCTGTGCAGGTGTAGCCGTTTTGGATTAACAAGTAAAAGTTGACCTAAGCTTTGAACAGGATTTGGTTGCCCTAATGGCCAGTAACGCGTCACATCTGGACCACTTACACTTTGATTCCTATCAAAAGCAACGCATTATATTCGGGTATCATGAATCTATAGTCATAATCAATCTATATACAGTCCACCACATACATCCACCCATCAAGCAGGAAAATGATTATTGCATCAATTTATCCATCCCCTCCTTCCACCTGGGCCCAAAAACTTTCATGACAACAATAACGCCACTACTCGCAAACGCTACGAGGCCAATAATAGTAAACAGCCAGCCATTGCCGATGCCGTTGATAATAGGCGCTGTAACAAACGAGCCCACACAACTAAAAATGTTGCGGGTGAAGTTGTTGAGAGCCACGCCCTCAGAGGACTTTTTGGGCATGAACTCGGTGAGCATGGTTGTCACCATACTAAAGATAAGCATTGAGCCGATGCCGAAGAAGAAGTTCGCGATCATCTGGGAAACGAACTGCGTTAGTACTTGGAATTCGGTATATTAGGGTAGGCTAGGATGGACGTACCGGTGCAAGCCAAAAGACGCCCTTGTCAACCGTCCATCCATACCAGATAAGACCGGCTGGGTAAAGCAAAGCGCCTAACCAAGCATTCTCGCGCATACGGTCCTCCGGTCGGAAGATGAGATTGCCCTTTTCATCATAACGATTCGCCTTCTTCGCTTCCCGCTCCATGATCTTGTCGATCCAGCGGCCGCCAAATAAACTCGCTACAAAGTAACCCAGAGAATTGGGGATGTAGAGCAGGCCTACGATGATTGTATCGAAATTGTAGGGGTCTTTCCCGAAACTGTTCTCAATGCTGACGTTCAGCACGTACAAAGATCCAAAGGTAATAGCCGCGTAGTAGACAGTCAATAGTACGGGGAGATAGCGCAGGTACAGGATGATCTTGAGCGGGTCGACGAAGACGATCTTGGCGAGCTTAAGCCAGCGGGTTGTGGTGCTGAGGACTTGGGTTTGTACGGAGGAGACACGGGAGGCGCGGCGGGAGAGCGTTTCATCTGCTGGCGAATCTGCGGGCATGATGGGTTTCTGGTTTGCCTTTGACAATGTCTCTGGGAGACCAAGGAGAATGAGAACCACAACGATGGCACCATATGCGCAGAAGAACCACATCGTGCTTCGCCATTGCCACCGCTGCGCCAGGGCTCCTCCGACGATAGGCGCAATCAATGGCCCGCACAGCGGCCCCAGGTAAAATATCCCCATTGCGCGCCCTCGCTCCCGCGTGTCCCATATATCTGCGATGGTCCCTGCACCGACGGCCTGGACAGAAGCGGACGCACCACCACTAAGCAACCTCATAACGATAAGCATGGCTATTGAGCTCGAAATAGCGCAAAGCACGTTGAACACGACAAAGAGCGCAAACGACACGATGTAGATGGTTCTCCTTCCTAATCGCTCACTGAACGACGACCACCAAAGCGGGAAGATTGACATGCTTAGCATGTACAGCGAGATAGTCAAATTCGTAACCGTCGTTGTTGCATTGAGCTCGTCTGCTACCTGAGAGAGCGCGGGAAAGAAGATGGAACTTCCCATGGGCGCGACAGAGCCGGCCACTGCAACGACGAAGGTGATGAACCATTTCTTGTTCCGCGGATAGCATTTCGGGTTTTCGATTTCTTCTAATAGTGTGATCTGGCCGAAGAGGCCGCGGCGCGAGAGGCGTGGCACGACTCTGGGAACTTCTTCCTCTGAGGCCGCTGCAGGTGTCACCTTGACCTGGTCTTCAACGTCTTTGCCTGGTGTTGTTGGGTGGCGGTCCAATTCTGAGTTTTGGGATGAGGAGAGCGAGTGGGAGTCGTCATGATCATTGTTGTTCGAGATCGCAGTTGAGTCTTGAGCTATTTCGTATGGCCCTTCTTGGGCTCTGTTTTCTGCAGCGCCTTTATCCTCCATCTTGATGTTTGCGGCCATGGTTCGTTTTGATGTGCTATCGCTATAGATTTTTAGGATCAAACTACCGGTAGCTGTGTCAAAAAGGTTGCGGTTGAGATATGTCCATTAGTGCTGCAATATACAGGAAGAACCAGTCAATATAGCATGCGATGGATTGAAAGAATGCAGAGAAGAGAAAGACATGAAAATTGAGACAGTTGAGGTTGAAGTGCACTCCACCGATCTGCGGGTCCTTTGCACCTTCTTCTCTCCTTCACATTCCCTCTTCTTCGCCCAATCCGCGTTTCTTCCTTCAGGACTTCACGCATTCTCCAAGAGTGACTTCTCTCTGCCAGTGCCGTTCCACCCGATTGTCCAGTCGGAATCGTTGCGTCTTGGGCAGACCGAGATAAGCGGAGGCCCACTTGTGGTAGCCGAGGTCAAGCGACGTCGTCCCTGGATAATTATCCGGTCGTCGTCGGTTTGTCAATCAACTCAATCTAGCCAGATCTAGCGTCACTGACACCTTCCTCCATCTACAGGATAGGGCTGGGACACAGGCGATCTTCGACTGATTCGAGGTTTGGATGTTGCAGGACGTCAAACTCGATAGCGATACTATACTCGAGCCTCGGCTGCCACAGCGGGCTCCACCGCGATAGACAAGATTTTTTGATGGGTCTTGGGCATCCACTGGCTCCTCCTGGTCCAGATTGGCCTCAGCTCTATACAAAGTACGATTACGAATGGCACATATGCTCTGTCACCGCCAGTGAATAAACTGACAATGAGTATCATCGATTCCTATAATCCATACGTCGGAGTCACAAAAGCCTCAGCCATTCCGGTATTCTACTGGCGCACGTCTAGATCTATTCGGAAAACTCTACACACCCCCTCTCTACGAACCTGATTCTATCCTCTACAACAGGCCGCACGATGGGCAAGGAGTCAACGGGACTCAGACCGACAACAGTCGCGGCCCTAGCTCTTTCAATACCGGCGGCGTGCACGTCTTCGTCGGGCAACTCTCCGTGCCCGAATATTGCGAGAAGCAGACCGATATCTGTCATGGCTGCCTCCTCTTCTATGATGGTCTGCAGCCCCGCAAACCAAGAAAACCCATCATATCCCTGTGCGATAAACGAGGGCATGGTAACGGTATATGTACGGTCCGGTTCCAATGGCTCGAGGCTCCCGTCCGGTCTCTCGAAAAGGACGTCTACAACTCGAGACCACTCAGGCCGGTGCCAGCTTGCCACCACTCGCAGCCTTGAAACCTGCAAGAATCGGCCATCCGTGTGCATATCAGACACGGAGTTCTCCAGTGCAAGCCGGATGATGGATCCGGGTAATTCTTTCACGAGAATGCCGTTACTAAATGGACAGATGTCTTGTGTGTCCGCGTTAGTCCTTGTCGGCCGCAAAGATAATTTGGCTTACTGATAATGTCTCTGACCAGCAAGGGCTCACCATCGGCCATGGTCGCCTCTAGGATCCGGTCACTCCTGATTGCGCCGCTATTGAAGAAGCCAATGTCAGTGTCATAGAATGCGCGAATGGCATCGGCCAGCATGTTTCCCATGTTCGTCTCTTGGCATCGGTTGGTATGATTGCGCCCATCTAATGGGACAGCTGAGTGCAATAAGGGTTTCTGGACGAGCTTTCCAACTCGGTTATGGATCCCCTGCAAAGTCTCGACGACATGAGTTGACGGTTGCGGTTCTGCAATGGCGGCTTGGATATCGGTGTATTGACGCACTTCCCGGTCAGTCATGTAAATACTGATTCCTGGGCTATGCGATACTCACACTTCACCCTAGAACCAACTACAGCTCCCTTCTCATCTCGTTGAACAACCAGCCGTGCGAGGGATAGACCTCGCCAGTCTGTCCCGCTTTTGATGAGCCTTATATCTCCTTCCGTGTCGGGAAGCATTCCAGCTTGTTCGACTTCGGTAACTTTGAGTCCCTGTTCAGCATTTCCTGCAGTCGAGTCTGTGTCGCCCGCAAACCTCCTCAACGTATCGTGGTCATGTCCTCCGAGCAACAAGTCGATCCTGCTATCTCCGCTGATGGTTGCACTGGCCACGGCCATATCCTCCGGGACACGCATGTGCGTCAGTGCAATGACTAGATCACAGCGCTCTTCCACTCGGAGGTGGCGCGCAAGGCGATGAGCCGCTTGCACCGGTGATTCGAACACACATGGCGGTAAAGATTCACAATTTGATGGCCAGTCACTAACTTCGTCAGTTGGACTGGCGAAGTATATGAGCAGCTACCTACGTCCCCGCAAGGCCGATGAACCCGACCTTAAGGTCATTCGCTAGGTTCCGGACGAGGTATTCATGCGCAGACCCCAGCGTCCGCTTTTCAGCCGCGGAGAGATGAAAAACGTTCGAAAGTAACCAGGGGAACTTCAACTGACTCGAGAGCTCAATCAGCCTTGTGTCGCCGAAGTCAAAGTCTACCGTCGTCAGTAATGTGCCCAAAACATGAACACGATTCGCGTCAAACTCGAACCATGATTCCCATAACACCCAATGTCAATTCCTACGAGGTCCAACAATGGACAGATCTGCTCCCCCTGCAATACGCTTGCCTCAAGCGAGGGCGAGAACGCATCTCCGCTGAAGAGGGTTAGGGTTGGGGCGTTTGGGTTTGAGGCTGCAAATTCGAGCTGCAGGTTGAGGAACCTGGTAAGTAGGGCCGCTGAGGGGATGTGATACTGATACAGTCGCGGTTAGATCCAGGGCATACTCAAGGCACTACCTAGGTAGGGCAAGCTCACGACATCGTTGAAGTGAACGAACTGGACCTCGTCGGACTGCATTTTTTACGATGTTACTCTTCTGGCACGGAAACACAGGATGAGAGCCGGTATAAAAGGAAGCTTGCGTTAGGGGAGTATGTCTCGTCAGCAATTAGCAAACTTGTGTCCGACAGTATGAGTCGGCTGCATACCAGGTGTCAAAAAAAAGGCAGCTAGGCGAGCTTGAAGCCTCACATACAACACTGTCCGACACTGGTGCCTGATTAACAAATAAATGGACAGCTGCAAGTGTATCGATTACACTGGTTTACCAAAGCCCAATGAGTCATAGGCTTATCCCAAAGGGTGAGCTGGGTATGAGTCAAAGGGCAACCGATAACTGCCAAGGCGGGCTTTCTCTGCATATATTCGACGACTACCTAGGCTATGAGGGATGAGGGGGGAAATATGAGGCTTGCAGCCTTGGCAGTTGGGACAATATCGCTTGGACAAAAAACGCCCTTTGCCTCAAAAGTCTGGCTATGTTGACAAAAGTTAAAGCCGGTTTCAACAAGTTGGTTCCATGGCTCAGCTGGTTAGCGCGTGGTGCTAATATCGGGATCTGGACTACTGTTCAGAAGCCGGGTAAACGCCAAGGTCGAGGGTTCGATCCCCTCTGGGACCACTTCTTTTTTTCGCATCTTGGATTTTGACCAGAATCCTGGCCCCTGACCCATTGGCCCAAGATAGGATCCATTTAAACCCCTACTTGTTCTGCAATTTTTATGGTAATTGAGCGTTGTCCCATTCTGGTACGAGTATAATGGTCGATGAGTCTACAAGACTACAACACTCTCGTGCCAAGTTAGGGCTGTCTCCAGCTTCACACAGAATATCGGAGTACCGATCTTAATTATACACGGCGATAATACCGCTGACTATATAACTCAAGGATTATCCTGTAATGATTATTCAGAATAGAACACGGTGATTGCATATGAAGGTGTGAGTTAGGGTTTCGGGGCCGGGGTTGTTGGCCGCTGCGTTAAGAGGGCGGCCGAGAGCAGTGTTGCCGGATAGAGGGGCAACAGACCCTGCGGGTGAAGGGCTTATTCTTATATCCAGACAAGAGAGTATTAGTTTTGACGCTGGCAGGGCGTCCTTTCTCTCGAATGGCGTTTGGGTTTGTGTTGAGAGGACCATTGCGCGGATCATGGTCGAGGCGAAAATATATAGTTCGAGATCCCAAGGACGGCGCCGTCGAGGCGAGCCCACTGAATCGATCGCACCAGAGAAGTCTGGACAACCAAGATAGACCCCAAGGGCAGCCTGGGTAGCTGAAGCCTGGAGCACGATTGGACAGTCTCCACTACCTCAGCCTCGCACCAGGATCAGGAACTAAGGAACACGCTGGGGCCGGCTGATGCAACGCAAGCGACGCAGCCTAACCTGACCCCTTGCACCTAACATAAAGTTATCCCCTGTCCTCATTCCCTGAACTGCGAAAACAACCCGATCAGAACCAAGCAAAGAAAATGGGCTTCCCAACATTCTGCTACAACCAGCTCCTCGTCACCCCGACAATCCCAACAGCCTCATTCGACGGCCAAACAGCCATAATCACCGGCTCAAATACAGGCCTGGGTCTCGAAACAGCTCGGCACATTGCCCGCCTCGGTGGAAGCAAAGTCATTCTCGCCGTGCGCAACATTGCCGCCGGGGAAGTCGCCGCGAAGGACATCGAGCGAACCACAGGCTGTGCTCCCGGAACATGCGAAGTATGGCATTTGGATCTCGCGAGTGCGCGATCAGTGCTGGAGTTTGCGGAGCGCGCAAAGGGGCTTGAGAGGATAGACACCCTCGTCCTGAATGCCGCTGTTGCGACGAAGATATTCCGGCTTGCGGAGGGAGGGTATGAGCGGTCCGTTACCGTGAACACGATAAACCACTTCATCCTCGCGCTTCTTCTTCTTCCTCAACTGCGAAAGACGGGACTTGACTATCCGGATCGCGCAGCACCGCCGCACATCACGGTCCTAACGAGCCAGGTTCACGCCTGGCCGGAGTTCCCGCAGTCCAAGGATCCTCGGGGTATATTCGTCGCCCTAAGTGACAAAGCTGCAGCGAGGATGGACGAACGGTATCCCATTACCAAGTTGCTCAATGTATATTTCACCACGGAGCTCGTCGAGCAAACCCGCAACGATAACGGCGAGGTACCCGTGATAATCAACATGCTCGACACAGGATTCTGCCACTCGGAACTCTCGCGCGAGAACAAGGGTATCGAGGAATTCGGCTTCAACATCTTCAAAGCAATATTCGCGCGGCGCGAAGAGGTCGGCGCGCGCACGACGGTCATATCTGCAAGTGCTGGAGTTGAGACGCACGGGAAGTACATGGTCAATGGCCTTATTGCGGACGAGGCGCTGTCGGAGAGGGTCTACAATGAGGAGGGAAGAAGGATTCAGAAGCAGCTGTGGGAGGAATTCACGAACATAGCGGAAGAGGTCAAACCTGGAATCATGAAGGAGTTTAGATCATGAATAGACACAGCATGGACTTTTAATTTTTTGTTCTCCCAGTCTAGTTAAGATGGAGAGGTGAATGGGCTATAGTCATCTCTCATAGTCACGAACAGTCCTTGTCCCTGTACCCGGATTGTCGTACTCGCGATGAACATGTCTACTACCGTCGCCCCGCTTCACAACATCCCGCGCCTGGAACACGCCATCCTCCGTCATTCGCTCGCGATGATGCCGATATCCGCCTGGGCCGGTGGTGTAATCGAGAATCTGATCATACGCGCCACTCTCGGGGTCATACACCGTGCTCCCCTCGCCATTATCAAAAGATGTAGTCTTCACGCGTAGATCAGCGTCGCCGTCTTCATCGCCGTAGACGTAGGGGTCTGCGTCGGCGTCGAGGTCTAAATCTGTGTTGCCTGGTGCACGGATAGAGGGTTGATTGGCGTAGGAGTAGCCTTCGTAGGTATAGATGTCTGGGTCGTTGTCTCCTGCTTCGGGGGCGTGAGCGTAGGTTGCGGTGTGGTCGGGGTTGGAGATAGGCTCGAAGCGCCTGGTGAACTTGGGGTGGACAGTGTCGACGTGCGTGAAGGAGTAGAAGTCGGATGGGGCTTGGTTACCAGACATTGTGGTGGATGACTTGCTCAGTCTGTTGCTGGTTTGTTTTTTTATGGAACTATATATCAGGGTAAATACGGATTATCATACCGCCATAGGCCAGGTTTAAGTAGGAGATGTGGCAAGATTATGAGAGGTTACATATGCATGCATGACGACTACGGGTCTAGGCATGAAAATGGCCATGGGGAACCTTGGAAATGGATAAGGTTGACATCAGCCTCAACCTTATCTGGAACTCTGGTACAATTAGGGTTACGTCGGCACGTGCCGAGAACCTAGTCCGGCAGCAGGTCGCTGCTCAGTGCTGAGAGACTCCTCGCATAGCCAGTCGGCTTGAAGGCCGAGCCATGTGGGAAAAGGCGGGTAGAGCTAGAGTTGGGGAGGAGATGTGATGGGTACTGGACGGTTTACTTCAGGAAGGAGGTTTGATGATTTTGGCTTCTGGCTATGTAACACTTTGTGTATAGTGCTTGTCTGTAGTTTGTCAAAGGCTTGATGACTTCACCGCTCTGTTAGAACTCACTATTTTAAAAGGATCTATGTAAGACATGCCAATCGATGCGTTTTCCAATGGCGATTCAGGTCGGCTGCCTGTTTCATGGGGGGCTTAGTGTTTAGGTCACAGGGCTCTGGGCCATCTGGTGGCTATTGCAGTATGGGTGATATTCCGGCATATGTCGAGCTTGCTGGGAGCCATGACGTTCAACTTGAGTGTATATATATTAACGTCGGGAATGCCATCCGTGGATGTCTCAAAGTACAAAATACGCATGGAATTTATTTCTCATCACCGAACGTATACTTTCTCTGCCCAACATGCAAGAAAAGAGCAATGCATCTCGGGCCAGACCGCCATGTAGCTGGCGTTTAGGCAATCCCATACAACCCCTGCAACACCAGAAGGGTTGAATAAAAAAAAGCCTGACGGTTCAAAAGCAGAGCAAGCGCTCAAAAAGCAAAAAAGAATGGTCCCAGAGGGGATCGAACCCTCGACCTTGGCGTTTACCAGGCCCTTAAGGCCAGATATTAGCACCACGCGCTAACCAGCTGAGCCATGGAACCAATTTGTTGAAAGCGGCTGTCAATCTTTGACACTATAAAGGCAGACCAAATCTAAGCAAATTAAACACGGGCTGCAGCAGGCTTTAGACCTAGATCGAAGATCCGTGATGATAATCAGAAGGAAGAAGTAACACCTAGCCATACCAGAGTCTCATACGGCCTACTCATTGGGCGTACAAAGCGGCGGCGAAGAGCTGGATGGAATTCCTGATATTCCGCATACTGGTAGAGCAACGCATACTGGTAGAGCAAACACAGTGCTGTGGCACATCGCCATACTGGCACATCATTGAAAAAGACAAGACGCCCATAAATAGGTGCTGTTGTCACCTGGAATATACCACCTCATGTACGCGATATCCACAAAACCCGTAAGGCGGCGCATGTTGTGCTATTGATATATGCAGAGAAGACCTGAAAGGTTATGTTGAACATTTTATGGACGCCAAAAAGTGTGAGAAGACAGTGCAGTCGAGTCCTTCACAGGCTCGGGGTACGGAATACCTGATGAAATTCAGAGGAGAGAGATCTCTTGGGCTCATCGGCGACTCAATCGGCACCTTCATGCTCCTTAGAGACAGACAGACGTCTTTTTACTATATATAGCCTTTGACTCGGGAGCGATAGGTCAACGTGGAGGCATGCAGTTGCGCGCGAGGATTAATAATTAGCCTAATAATATGCACCAGATAAATACATGACAAAACTACTTGCGTTCGGGTTCCAGAAGTCAATCAAGCAAGGAGTACATTGAGAAAAAAAATAAATGGTCCCGGAGGGGATCGAACCCTCGACCTTGGCGTTTACCTAACTTCAGGTATTAGCACCACGCGCTAACCAGCTGAGCCACGGAACCATTGCTTGTTAAAAGTACCTTCTTTTCGTTAATAATCAACCTACAACTGCTTTCGTGAGGTCTCATGGGGACGGCCGCCTAATATACATATTTCGCTCTGCAGGGGGCCGAAGCAGCTTCCCAGCAAGCCATGCACAACACGAGCGATTACTATGTCACTTTTCATGATCCTCCCATTTCAGCTTCAGCTACTCAATGTTCTGATGGGGTTAGCCTAGATGCATACGACCACCCCCTTCAGCCTGCATTTAAAGAAGATACACCTGTTTTCATAGTCATCGCGTCGGTACGAATATGGTCATGGTCCATGGTAGGTAAGTATTTATGCTAAAGAAATAAGGCATATCCCAAAGATAACAATTTGTTTTATTGCTATGGACATGGTCTACATGCAGATACCAGGACAGGGTATGGACTGTGCAGCCCTGCCGCCAGAACGAACCAAACAATAAGTGCCATGATCCCTCAACCAACAAGAGAAGCTCCAAAGGAATGCACCGATGATTGTTTTTTGATGGTTCATGCCTGATTGACAGACTGCACCCTCACCGGCGGATGTGTATCTACATCGTCAAGCGGCCATGCACCAAATGAAAATAACAAATAATCCGAGCCAAAACGCACTCGAGCTAGCCTGCACTGTATCGGTTAGAAAATGAAGTTCATTGTGGTTGTGGGTAAAACAATCTACACCCAGCCAGGCCTTGAGCAGAATGACCGCATAGTCCATGTCACAATCAAAAAAAATCCGAAAACATACAACAGCTGGGATTCGCATGTGGTCACCCACCATACTACTAACCAGCCGGCGTGTGGCTTAAGTACGGCTGAGCGGACGGGAAGCCCTGTTCTCCACACCCTGTGGTCGTATGTACTTAGTACAAATATAGAACCAACTATACACAGCCGAATTAGACGCTTTATTCCGTGTCCGGCGTGTCCGTCAGTTCGTTGAGACGAAGAGATGACCGTGAAAGCAACAGGAGATGCAGATATGGTCCAGGGCTCGTTTACACATGGAGTAACTGAGAGAAGGTGGAGTAAAACAGGTATCATTGTATCGTAAAAACCCAAGTCGCAAGCAACACCTATATCTTGCTCTTGACGGACTCACAACATGACTCCGGATGGAGGGTGGACCTGTTGAAACTTTGCGCTGATTGAGGGACATCCAACGCTGGGTTCTTGGTGAAGAAACCGTCCGGCTTGAGCATGACGCTGATACGCTCCATGGGCATGACGGGGAAGTCCTCAATACGAGGGTTATGAGTGAGACCAAATGCTAAGATAAATATTAGTTTCTGGCTGAAAGCCGCATCTGCTTGTTGGGTGGTAGAGCTGGACGGAAAATAGGTACAGGAGTGAATGGACTTACTGTGCCACAAAACAACATCTTCGTTCTCCGTATTGTCTTGTCTCTTCACCCAGGTCTCCACGCCATTAGCGCGTTTGCTTTGATTGGTAAACTCACCGGCGGCGTATAGCTCGTCGTCTTGGTATTTGGTCACCCAGATAGGCTTGGAGGCGAATTCCGCGCGCTGATAGCCAATGGCATGCTTCGGCATGATAAGCATCTGGCTGGGAGCGGCTTGAAGTTTGTATGCCACAGGCTTATAAGTAATAGGGTTGATAACGTTGTCGTTACGGATCTTAAAGACCCGATGCCGGTTGATGTCAGTGTTGGCAGTGTTTGATTTGTCGATAGTGGTCTCTTCCGTAGTGTATCCAACCAAGTATGGATTGTTTTTGTCTTCTGGGAGGGGGACACTGTCTTGATAGTAGACAGTATTCTTGAAGCCATCAATAGCAGGATCAATGCGCAAGGAGAACATGTGTTGGTGGAAAGGCGCCATAACGCCTGGGCCAACATTGGTGCCCCATTTCACAGTCTCTCCATTAGTGTTGTCAAAGGGCACTGTTGACAAGATGCCCGTTGCGCGGATTTCGAGTTCAATATTTGCTGCTTGATCAAGAATGTAGGCAAAGATGTACTCATAGTTGGCCACAGTACAAATCATCTGGAGAACAAGCTGCCGGTTACGGACCACGGTCGCTGCTCCCGATCTATAATTAGTGTGCTTGTGTTGAAGTCCATTGTCCTGCTCATGCATGCAGATGATGTTCTTCAGAAGAACAGGTTGGCCTTTGGAATCGGCTCGGTAGCCGTCAAAATACTTGATGTGGCCTAGGCAGTCACATCCTAGGGAGAGCTGGTTCGCGTTCAGGCCGAACCCTACATCTCCAACATCAAAAGCTTGCTTCCTATGGTACGGTGCTCGAGGGTCTGTTGTTTCACATCAGTCAGAATTCAAGAGTATTCCAATCGACTGGACAGGGCCAGGACCCACCTCCATAAGGCACGGTCATCTCAGACACAGAAAGCCGGTAGAGAACGTTGCGGTTGTCGTAGGTGAGATTGTAGAGGACCAAGCCATCGCGGTTATTGAATCCGACTCGGAAACGCCACTTCTGCCAGTGGACCTTGTTTCCATCTACCGAGAACGAGGCACCTTCCGGTTGTTGGACAATGTAAGGCTTGAGGTCGGTGCGGAGAGGCTCATCCAAGAGGTCATGTGCATATTGTATGGTCTTTACTGGCTTCCAGGGTCGCGTCTCAACTGTTTGGGTATCGGAGCCTCCCGGCAGGTAGTCCATGCGGACCAGCTCACGGGTTTGGCCGTCGAAAACGGGAGAGAACTTGCATGGGACGGAGTAGTGGTTGTTTTCGGGATGATCCACGGACATGATGTACATGAAGCACTGGAAGAGACGACGGGTCTCATTGACATTGTCGGTGCCGTACATCCAAGGATCATTGCAAACCGTGACTCCCTTGGGAAGCTTCAACTTCTCGATCTCGGCCAGGACGGCTGGGTGCTCCATGCAAAGCTTCTCAATGTCTGTGATCTCGTCTACATCCATGGGGATCTAACATTGTCAGCAATAAATCGCAATATAAGGAGGATAAAAAGTACCTGAACTCCAGCCGGTAACTCTTTTGCGTAGACAACGGATGCATTGTCAGCGTTGAGCAAAGCTTTGCAGCATGCCCCTGTGTCGAGACGGTGAAAGTATGCGTAGAGTAAACGGGTTGGCTTCTGGGGTAGAGGCTTCCCGAGCCGCTCTGCCTCGATATAGGGAATAACTTCTCTTTTGATAGGCTCCTGGAGGTCGATTCGGTTGATCCGAAGCTGAGCTTCTGGAAACGCTGACCGCAAGATGCGAAAGCCCAGACGGATCTCTTGGGGTGTAAGCGGGTCGAATGGGTGGGGGACTGATTGCCCTTGTGCTGAAGACATTGTGATGTGTGGAAAGAGAGAGGAGATAGGAAACGGGCCCTGAGAGAGGTCGAGGGTATCAATGATGAGCTAGGATGAGACTGAAATTCAAGTACATCAAGAGGAGATATGGCGGTTTAAGTAGTGCCATATTTGCCATCGGCCATGGACGATAAAGATGGGATCGCGATAGATCAGGATGGACCTGCCTATTAGGGAAGGTCACGGCTAGCGCCATTGTGGGGTCGCGTCTAAGTAGACGACAATCGAGCATTCACATAGTCAAGTTTGAGCCGCTTATCAAAAGCCATCTTGTCGAGCCTTGGGGTAACACTGCATGATAGCGGGCTGACTGACGCTGGTGGTACTGGTCTACTGCGGTGTATGGCGCCTCGGAGATACTGTGTATCTACTGCAGGTCAGTCGACTGGCCTGCTGGAGTACACCGCCGGTACGCAACGGAAGAAGGTTACTCACCTTTCCCAGTCGTAGTTCAATACTTTAATGTCTTTCACGTCGTGCCAACGATGTAGATGTCGCCCTCGAGCATGAGAGGAAGAAGAGAAGGCATCCCCAGTCTTGGCGAGCTGGCGGGCTGGGCGCAACTCTTTCCGCAAAAGGCTTAGCGTCAGATATTCCCTTGTGCCAGTTTCAGCCTGCAGGCAGTCTTACCACAATGATCTCGTCAATCTGCCTGCTATTTCATCAGAAATCTGTTATCTATGGAATGCATCATCTGAGACCCAATTCCTCAGTTTCCGTCATAGTCCCTTGTTGACATTTCGGGTCATCTCCGAACTATATCTCCCCGCAGAGAATGGGCCGCTGTGGTGCGGTCACCTCTCAAGAGAATGATGGTCCTCCACCCACCAAAAGAAGATGCAGAAGGCAAGGGGGAAACTGGACTCGATCCGGGTGTCTTACATGCAAAAGGCGAAGGAAGCGCTGCGACGAGGGTAAACCTAGGTACAAACCCTAGCCAGCGCTCGCTCAGCAACCACCAACTGACCTAGAGTAGCTGCTATAACTGCACCAGGTTAGGCTTGACCTGTGAAGGATATAGCTCCCTGTGGGCAGCTCCTCTTGGGCCAGCGCACCAGGCCTTCAAGAATACTGGACCGGTCAAATACCGTGGACTCAGTTCATCGCCTGCTCCATCACTCGGTTCAATTGCATCGTCAGGGACACTTGAGCAGACCTTCTCGGCAGCAGACCATATATCTGCGGTCTCGCCGCCGCCCACAGAGCAAGATGACGCCTCTGAAGCAGAAAACTGCAGTCGGGACCTGGTTCCCCTTGGCACCAATCAAACAGCAGAGGTAGTTCAGGTGACTTCGACAACACCCTCCAAACTAATCAGCCACCTCTCTAATCTCGACACACACTACCTCCAATACCACATGGAACGGGGCTCAAAGCTTTTAGCCAATCTTGAAACCGACGAAAATCCTCTCCGTTCATTGATAATCCCAAGGGCACTCTCATCCCCCCTGCTTATGAACGCCTTATGTGCCCTATCTGCAATCCATTTCTCCAATCGTGCTCACTACAGCTGGTCTGCCGAGAATGAAGGGGCTAATTACTACATCGACACAATGCGTGGCCTAAGAACAACACTTGCGGTTTTCCAGGGAAGCTCTGTTCCAGATGACGCCATCCTTGCTGTTTCTCTTCTATGCAAGTATGAGATTGTCCGGGGTAGCGTGAAGCAATGGGCCGTGCATCTAGATGCTTTGCAGACGCTGGTCGTCTCCCGCGGAGGGCTCACTCAGCTTGCTCCGGAAACTGCCGAGTTCATACGGGGACTGTACGGTCTTCCACCTCTTTCCTGCAAAACGTCCCCATCACTGACATAATCCCAGTTTCGTCTACGCAAACAGCCTAGCAAAGCTCACCGACCGAAAAACCTTACTCAAACCACCCATCCCAGTATTTGATATTGCCAAGCCCCGCAAACTAGATATCTACATCGGGTACACGGAGGAAATTATCAAGACGTGTGCGCGGATAGCGGATCTGCCTAATTTAGCTTCAGACCCGGTAGCCTTAGGGCTTGAAGTCAAGATGATGTACGCGACCGTGTCCAAGAACGAGGGAGAACCCGAGTAAAAGAGAAAGGCAGCTAACGCTGTTACCCACAGAGACAAACTCCTCCACACATGGACTTCGACCAAAACAACCTATATCGTCCCCAAAGGCATAACTCAAGCCACTCTCTCCCGCCTGCGCCTGGTAGCAGAGTCCTTCCGTGACGCCGCATACATCTATCTCCACTCAGTCCTAGAACAAATGACCACGTTCACATCCTCACCGAATCCTATTCGCGAATCGAAACACCCCATCTCGGTATCCAAAACCAGCGCCATAACATCTCTCCTCACGCGTCTGAAAATCCAACCTATCGACAAAAACTGCGAGTTCTCGGCGCTGACATTCCCGCTCTTTATTGCTGGTTGCGAGACGAACAGCAAGGAAGATAGGGAGTTTGTCTTGGATATGTTGAGCGTTGTCGAGAAGAACTTTGGAATCGGGAATGTGAAGAGGGCGAAGGAGGTGCTGGGGCTAGTTTGGGGGGTTTTGGGTGAAAATGGGGTCGATGGAGACGGGAAGACGCACTGGGCTGACGTGCTTGACGGGTTGGGTTGGGATTTGATCCTTGCGTGATACCTAGTTACCTCTGCGTTTGGATTGCGAGGTATGGATGATGACTATTAGACGTCCCAGCTTCGGTACCCTGTACATAATACGACATTACTCTACATCCAAGGACCAAGAATTAGAATATCAATGCCACGCCATTCCCGGCAGGACAAAATCCAAAAAAAAAAAGAATAAAACAATAATTTCTTAGGAATACATTCTCAACCTAGGGTATCAAACTTCCTCTTAGGTGACTCACTCGGCTCAGCTCAATCCCATATTCACTTCATCCCCCAGCCCTAGCTCCCTCTCCGCCCTCTCCGTCCCTCCCGTAGCCCGAGACCCCCACCTGTCTAACCGATCCTGCGCATCTGAAAGCTCCTTGTCCCGGATACTGAGGCTGTCGCTAGCAACCGTGCTACTCCCATGGGGACTCCCAGTGCCATAGCCCGAATTGCTCCCAGAGAGACCAGACATTCTTTGTGATTTGGAGATGCTCACGGGTCTCGAAGCATTCCTCAACGAGGTGTTGTTGCTGTTGCTGAAGCTAGTACTAGTGGCAGAAGAAGAGGTTATTTTCGCGTTTCCATGGTCTGCGGCGGAGTTTGGCTGGGCTGATAGTGGAACAGAGGCGGTGCTGCTGTTTTTGCTGTCGCTTACACTTTTCGAGTTGGAGGATCCTCCAAACCAACGCCGTCGCCGGGCCTTGCTGGAGGCTGTGGACGGGGCGAGACTCACGGAATCAGCATCGACTGTGGAGGCATCGACGTCGGAGTTGCTGCTGCCGGTCTTGCTCTTCTCGATTTCTTGCGCCAGGGCCTGGGTCAAGGCGGACGGTGCTTCTAGGGGCTTGCCGTCTGGTGTGATTTCCACGAGCTCAGCGTCCCGGTACCACTTTCTGCGGCGAGTATAGCGGTCCCATCCGTCTAGACCGCGACGCCCGTCATTCCACTGCGCAGTCAGAAGTCTGAAACATACGAAGGATAGTTTAGAACCCACCTTATTATCATAGTAGATCCAACCGCCGCCATCAGAAGCCTTGGAGTCAGATTCATCATCATCAGCTCCGTCAATATGCCATTCACTGCCCTCAACCCATCGCCACTTTGCGTTCCCGCTTTGCACCTCGGGGAGGTCAAATTCGCTCTTTGAAGGAACTGGGTTCAAATGCTCATCCGTCCATGCAGCGCGCTCAGACGGAAACAAGGAGTACGTCCAGCCAATACCTAGCCAGCGACGTTGATTTTCATAGAGAATAAAAGTAAAACGAACGCCCGACGAGTCTCCGCGGCGCCTAGTGGCAACGTTTGCGGCGTGTCCGTGACTTTGGATGTGAGTTTTGACTCCGTCCAAATCAAACGACAGACCTGTGATCATGGCGCATATTCGGCGGATTGTAAGAGACCTCCAGAGAATGACGCGGCAGACTCTCGCTGTTCGCGAATGGTAAGTAAGCATAATCGTGCCTAGGATCATAACGACACGGCGGGTAGTGATGAGGTAAAGCGGAGGCAGTGTTAAGGCAATCCATATTGGTGTAACAAAAAGGATCCTGACAAATAAAGTAGTGAGCGCGGGCCGCGTAGTCGCAGAGGTAGCTGTCCTCTGAGTCGACAAGAAGTCCGTGAGTTCCACAAGTGGTTCAAGGAGGATATTGCATCGAGTAGTGAACGTCCTCATCGCCTCGACAATTTCGTCTAGACTATCATGCCGATGTGCAGAGCCATCTGACGCCGCCGACTGGTTATGCTTCCCCGTTGAGAAAGCCCTAGTCGACAAAGGAGAGTAGCGTCTCCAATACATCCCGAGAATCAGCCCGACAACCACCAGAAGCGGCCCGGCCCAAAGAATAATTGCATCGCCATAAAGAACGACCGCCCAGAACGTGGCAACGAGGAGGAAGCTGTAGTACGAGTCGCCCGTCGTCCATGTCAACAAGCCGACGAGCGTATTCAGCGGTAAAATGAATGGGTACGAATAGGCTAGCGCTCGAGTGACCGGTGGCGGAGTGGCCACAAGGAGCGGAGACTTGCGATGCACAATGATGCTAGAGCGTTGCCTTGATGTCAATGATGAGCCGGAGATGGTGGTGGGCGAGAAAGCGGCGACCGTCGGCGGCTGAGAGTCAGCATGGCCGTTGAGGTGCGTTGACGGGGCCATGGAATCTAACCACGGGATATCTTCTGCCAGCCGTTAGTATCGACCGCTACATTGCAAAACTGTCCAAGTGTGGCCCGAGCGTAAGGCAAAGGAAAGATGCACATTATTCCATCCGTTTCTACATACCGAGTGCTGCCATCCAACAGAGACGTCATATGCAACCAGCAAGGTCATCGCGGGCGGTGAAGGGAAGAAGGGGAAGAGAGAGAGAAGAAGGAAAGGAGAAGTACTCGCAAGAAAAGCTCCGGACGAGCACACGATGGAGGCAGAGCTGGACTGCGGGGGAAAAGAAGATCGCGATGGACGACCCGCGGTGCAGGTGAAGCTTTTGGACATGTGATCTGTGATGGATTCTGCCGAGTTGAGCTTATACCATGATCTAGGACATCGTGACGAGGATCATATGAGGATCAAACTAGATGTCAAGTGAGCGTTAGATATTGGCATTCAGAGTATAAGTTGCCATAATAATACCCAGACATATAACCACCCCGTGCATCTGTACAGTATGTATGTTGTTTGATCGTACTTCGGTCTCGGTCTTGGCAAATCGATCGAAGCCGGCCTCGCGCTCCGAATTTTTCCCTCCGGCCAAACCTCCAGCTCCGTCTGTCCATCGCCATCCAACTGCAGACCACCAGACCTCACTCCCCTACCATTCCATTGCCTATACTTGGGTCTAGTCTTTCGCTCTAAGAAGATGGTATGTCAACCTCACCAGAACGCCCTCAACAATCCGAAAGCCACCTTGTCTCTTTCCCTTTTCCCGTCCGCATTGCCTTACCCGCGCATGAGGACACCTCGTACTAAACTTCCCAGGCCCACCGCATCGTAACCCAGGTCGTCGTAACAGGCGCCCGCGTTTTCGGCCGCGCCTTCGCCGAAGCCTACAAGCAAGCCTCCGCAGCCTCAAAATACCAACAAAAGACCGGCAAGTCCGTCGGCGGTTCCGCGGCCTCCTCGGGCCTCACTTTGGACGAGGCATGCAAGATCCTGAACGTCAAGCCCCCGCAAGCCGGCGAAGCGAACCTGGAGCAGACGATGGAACGGTTCAAGAAGCTCTTTGACATGAACGACCCGCAGAAGGGAGGCAGCTTTTACCTGCAGAGTAAGATTCTCCGCGCGCGCGAGCGGATAGAGATGGAGGTTCGGCAGGCGGAGAGGCACGCGGCGCAGGAGAAGGAATTGAAGGATGGGTGGAAGCCGAAGGTTTACAAGGATCGGTGAACCCTGGATACGATGGGAGTTGTACCCTCGGTGTTTTGTTTTGTTTGTCCTCTCGACTCGAGGTTTTGCGGCATAGCATGGCGTTTTTCTTCCATTTTGGTGATTTGAGCATTGGCTGGGAAACCTAGACTTCGTTGTCCACTCCGTCTTCGTCTCGTGATATCTTCGGCTCCACTACTCGCCTCCAGCCGATATGAGTTTCGACATCGATCCGACGGTACTTGATGCCGAACATGCTACAATTGGGGCGTTTCGAACCAAAAGATTCAGAGGCGGAGGATGGGATGCGGCGGTTGTTGACTGTTGATATACTTCTTTCTCCTCCCATATAGTATTCTCCCCTCTCATATTTCGTTCATGTATTATAAATAAACGACGGCGCTGATGATTGCTCGTTCGACTACCTAGATATATCCGACCTGGTTGATTGCACGCATAATTTACTGTTAGACGGTTGCGGCCATGAACCTGCATAGATAAGCCCACCATAACTGCCCAATTGTTCTGAGTAAAGTGTGTAATATCAGCTGTACAAGCACCGTACCATCCCTGTAGCGAATGTAATCCTCACGTTCCTCTCCAAGCAGTCGCATATAGCGCCCCATTGATGAGAAAGTGAAAAGACCATAGAGACGTTGAGTCTCCAGGGACTGTACCAATTGGATTGTCATCTAGCTCACTCATATCGTCGCCCTAGACCATGCCCGACGGGAAAAAAACACAATCGTAGAGGTTAACCTGCGTTGCCTGAACCGAAACCCCTGCGGGTACGTCAGCGAAGAATTGGTATCTCAAAGAGAATAGAATCTTGAGGTAAGCAGTTGACGCTAAGTTCCTAAATCTCCCTCACCACATGCAGTGCAACCTGGCATTTGCAGTGATCTCGACAATCGAACGCGTCCGAAGCAACCCGACGACAGGACACGTTATATCATCCCGGATAGACACCGACCAGCCAAGCACACAAAAAGGCCATGGCTGAGAACAAACCTTTTGAACGGATACTGCGAAGTAAGTAGATAGAACAAAGTCCTCAGAGTCACTAGACAAACTGGAAACTCAGTCCAGGGCCTGAACGCATAATCTCTCGTGACAAAATCCCAACACCGTAACAAAGGGGTATCTGATGCTAACGTAAAATACATGGCCCACAATATAGGAAAATGGAAAAGACACATCCAGAACCGCCTGGGCTTCTCAGTGATTGGTCTTGATTCCGAACACGTCTCCAACATTCGAAAAAATGGTGCATGTCTCTTTCTGTAATGTCGTCGACAATAGACACAGATAGGCCAAGCACACAAGAACTCCACGGCCATAACCAGCTTGCCATGCGCGCATTGCTGGGATCAGCTGATCGCGACAATCCCTTTCTCCCGCATAATCAGATCCTTGTCCATTTCAGACTGGGTCTTATACCCCCCGAGCTTGAGGGCTTCGTCGTTGGTGATAGAGAGTGGTACTTTTTGTATGTCAGGACGTAGTCGCTTCAATCGAGCAGCGCGGTCTTTTGACGCCTGCTTTTTCTTCTGTAGTTTCGTCAACTTCTCTTTCGTATCCTTGACGTCCTTGGTGTCCTTGGCCTTTTTACCGGCCGTTGAAGGCTTGGCCGGGAGTGGATGAGGTTTAGAGGATGGAGGCGGCGGCGGGACCGGGGCCAGTTCGCTAGGCAGGGGAGGACTGTAAGGAGGCGGGGGAGGAGTAAGAGGCTTGCGGAGATGGGCGAATCTAGGATCAGTATCAAAAACTTCGCGGAGCTGCCATCGAAGTTCTGTGTACTCATCAAAGTTCGCGGCAATTATTGTACCTAAGACGCTCTCGTTGGACTTTCCAGATAGGGCCATAGACACCAAGCGGTCCTTCAGCAAGTGGTGTGCTTCCGAGAAGGACTTGAAAATCAATGCAATCTCACGGGTGCCGCCAGAGATATCGTTATCAGGGTTATTGGGATCTTCAATCGAAAGACGAGATCCATTGTTGGCTTTGTAGACTCCATACACCCTCTGCATTTTCAAGTCAGCGGATGCATGGTGCGGAATAATGGATTGATTACGAACCTTGTCGAAATACCCAGGGGGGTTCATCCGAATCCCACGGGTTTCAAAGTCAAAGTCTCTCCCATAAAACTGGAAGAAAGCCATGAGGACATCCCCCAAGTTCGGATAGAGGTTACCGCGGGGCATGTGCTGCAGGAGACTAGTGACGAGACAGGTGATCGAAAACCCACCCAACCCGCCAGTAGCAACCTCATTGAGGCCACGGAGAAGGAGAAACTGCTTAATGACTGACACGATGACGGGCATCGCAGGATATTCCGATTTCCATTGCTGGAACGTCTTGTTCGCAATGAGCCCGCTGTCATTATCAAATGATAAGTCGACTTTAAGCCCAGTCAACTTGTCCACAAATTTCAGGATAGGAACACGAGCGTGCGCAATGGTTTCCACAGAGCCCGGAACGGCAATGTTCTGGTTCTTGAGAAAGGCGGAAAATGCATAAATCTGTCCTTTTCTCTCGCCAAATGCTCTGACTCCGGATCGCTGAAAGCTGGTGGAGAGGAGAACGAGATCGATATCAGCGTTGGGAAGATATAAACCAGAGGCGAAGGAGCCAAATGCATGGATTTCCACCCCGTGATAGCGGCTCTGAAAGACAGCCTGGAGCCTATTTACTAGGTCTTGCCGCACAATTTGTTCGTACTGCACAGGCTTTGCCCAGTGGTAAAAACTCAAGATCTCGTCATGGAATCTGTATGTGTTATTTTATTTGTATCATCGCCTGGAGGATTGAATATACCTTGCGCCCACAGTTACCATATCTAGCGTCCGTGGCATAAAATTTATCCAAGGAGTTCCCGTTTCAGAAGGACGCAACCGCCATTCATCTATGATCGAGCCGTCGTTATAGTACCGACTGACAAGCTTTCCACCCATTGTTCTGGCTGGTCCCTTTATCTCATCATCATGTGTTCGCTTCCGATTGCCAAGTGCTGGATCACTTCCTTCCAGATGGCGCCTGGGCCCCTTTGGAGCGTTCTCTGGAGCGTTGTTCGTTTCATTCTCGTCAACCAAGCCAGCCAGGGAAATGAAGTCCTCGTTTGATACGACAGCATCCGTCTTCGCAGGTTGAGCACTGGCCGCGAGACGAGCTTTCCTGATGAGCTTAACGACATCGATCTTCTTGGTTTGACTTTCGTCGGGAGGCGGCAACGCAGTGTATGGATCGGGATTGGACCATTTTGGAACAGGCTTCGACTCGACGGTGTTGCTCTCTAACGCGCGTTTTTTGCGTGGATGCGCTGCCTCGTCGTCGGAAGACACGTCCATGTCCGCTTCTTCGCTGTCACTCAGATTCTCAATCCGGGCAAATCTCATCGCTGCATTTCCGGCGTCAGGAGCGACAAGCTGTTCCGGGGTCTTCTCCCGATGCGACCGCAAAAGCGGCCGTTCTGAGGTCCCCGGACGCTGGTACCGGAAAGTAAACTCATGCCTCGGATGATGAGGCGGCCGCGGACCGCCGCCTCGAAACTCGTATGCCGGCGGGGGCATTACTAGATATGATAGAAGTATGAAAATTGGTTTAGGGAGAGGCGAGCATACGAGAAAGTGTTGACGGAAGCTTCGGGCAGTTTGTTAGAAGAAAGTGCGTCCACGGAGCCATCGCCAGTTTTTTGCTATTCATCTTGCGGCAGAAAATGAACTCTGGCTACCTTTGACCGAAGGCGGTCAAGAGTCGCGTGGGAAACGCCAACGCGTATCAGTGGCTTTGGCTTACTAGTATTCTTCGCAGAATGCTGGGCATGATCAAATCAAAAGCCCTTTATTTTATTCAGTCCACTTTCTAAACCCTGAATCAGTGGCTTGTCTACTGCCATTTCAGCGAAACTGGTCCGCCCTGTAGCCCAATGAAGCCACTCTTCAGCCCTGAGGCCACTCTCTGCATGAAGGAGGCCAACGCTCACATCGATTAGGAGCGGCCGCTTTTCGCAGTGCCAAAAAATTGACGCTCCACAGCGGTTACAGAACTCCCGGTAGACCTGAGGAGAACTCTCATATCGCTTCATTGTGCCGGCGCCGAAAGCTAGCTCTGATTTTTGTGCAGTCAAAATGTTGGATCTTGGTATGAATGCCCAGGTCTGGATGGGGAAACCACTGGCCAGGCGACATGACCGACAAGCACATGTTCCCGCCAGATACTTAGTTTTCCCGGCGCATAGCCACCACTTCACATCATCCTCATTCTCTGCAGAGGCATCTGAATTGTATGGGACGAGGAGGTCCGGCCAAGGAGACCATGGTTCCTCAGAGGTTAAGTCCGGGCGAGTGATATAGAACTCTATACCGCCGCAGTGACATCCAGCCAGAAGTTGATCGCGATGTGCGCTTAGCCTTTCGGTCCTTGTAACCGCATTCTGACCGGAGACCCAACATGACACACTTGCTTCAGCCGCGTCGCCAGGCAGGAAGGATGACAAACCGCCGTCTCGTGTATCATAAACTCCCCAGTGTCGGATGATCTCGGTCTGTGGTGGACTATCTACCAGTCCTGATGACACATGAAAGCGTCCCGTATATATATCGTGGACAAAAACATGCGAACCGCAGGTCCGACAAAAGTAGCGGCTGAGCGAGTCGGACTGTTGGTACTTCTCGAGGCCTTCAAGCTGGGGCTCTTCTCGGAGAAGGTAGTACGAAGTACAGATTTGTCCAGTGACCGTTCGACATGCCGTACAGTGGCAGAGATCCAGTGCGTTGTTGGCAGACTCGAGGAGCACCTGCTGTGCCACTTTGGCGCATAGACAAGATACAAGGCGCTCCATTTCGTGGACGAGGACTAGCAGATACGTAGTCGCTGATAATCTCGGGGTATTGGATTGTATACCTAGGCTTACATGCTTCGTTAGCGACACAGCCTAGCCCATCGGCAACGAACATACCACTCTGGCTCATGGGACGCAAAGCCCTCACGCCGTCTACATGGCCATAAGAACAATTGCTCAGTAAACCGACCACTCCAGTTGGCCTCAAAAAAGCCAGCGATCCGCCCACTTGCAGAAATCTGCTCACATTTCGATCCGGCGCGGAAATGTCGCAGCTGGGGGAGGGGCCAGGGCGCCTATAAATACCCGGTGCTGGACCCCGCCACTCTTCCCTCCTCCAACACCTCTTGATTCCACAAATCTTCCGAAAGACCACGATCACAGCACTAGAAACCCAAGAAACCTCTTCTTGAACACCACCTATATTCACAATGTGTACGTTGCCTGCTTGCTGTTATGCTGCTGCCGGCCAGCCTGTTTTCCTGCATTGCATCGCTGGCGGGGTCATGGCGGGGTAGATCCTCATCCCTGTCAGTGCACTGTCAGTGCCCGGGCTATTTGCCCGGGATCTTGCACGAATTATACGATCATGCCAGGATAAGGACCTTTGAGACAAGTCTTATGCTAATGCTACCTTCTCGTACAGCTCACGGTTGCTCTTGCGGTGCTTCTTGCCAGTGCCCTGCCGGCCAGTGCAACTGCCCTGTAACTACCCCGTCTGCGTGCTGCTTGCTCAACGTCGCTAATGGATGTCGCCTACAGAAGAACTAAGTCTCGAATATCCTTCGAACTCACGATGAGCGAGCGGAAGTGATGAGAGACGTGATGAATGATGGGAGTGGATGATATTGCCTTCGATGTTCGTAGCGCAAAAGACGATAGAATGCTATCGGCTCATTAATCCAGCAACTTCTCTGACTTCTATGGCCCCAAACTCCAAGTGCTAGAACCGATGAGCTGCGTTGTATACTCAGCGCAGTGGGAGTAGTTTGTAGAACACACCCTACAGAGTAGAGACTGGTTCCCTGTCAAACAGCACCTAACGGAACGCCAACCCCGCCTCACCCAAGATCAATACTGCTCTGTACTATGTCTGAGGTTAGTCAGATGGTCTTCATCTCCATCTCCGATCATCGCTTGCGGCTGTCGCGGGTTGACTCTATGGAGTACGCAGAGCAGTGGGCACTGCGCCATTATCGCCAATGCAGGAAATACTTCATAGCTCCATCTTACCCCACCATGACCAGGGCACATGTTGGACGTGAAACTTTCTTTCTGAGGCATTTTCGCCTCTCTGCCTAACTTCTATCGAGGATACTATCCACAAAAATGCCAGAGTCCACTCTGGTTGCATCACAGGTTTCGTGGGATGATGGTACACAGATAACACACTTCAGAAACACGTTGCAGAGACGAGACAGCAGCAGGGTGCCTGAGCTCAAGCTCCCAAGATCAGCTACAGCTGACGGCGCCCGGTCCTGGCCATTAGAAGGAAAACTAGCCAATGACACTCATAGAAGACTGGAGATAAGATGATGCCGTTAGTGCAGCACTAACGCATGCATACAGGGCGATATTAAGTCGCCAGTTTACCCTCGATCAAACGGGCAACCAGGAATTACGAGTTACGACTACTTCATACTCGAGCATTAGGATCTCGTAAGTAATGGGCTGCAGAAAGCCTTCTTACTGCTAGCCTCACTTTCGCAGCTATGGAGCCATGAAGTATGGACGTGGCATGACATGTATACTGCTCTAGGTACCGGGATTCTGCTCCAGGAAGCCCGAGGTCTTCATACTTCGTCCATCTGAATTGAAGAAGATCTTCTCTCATCTTTTCCTTGGTTCAGCATCGCATGGACCCGAGCATCGTAGCATCGTATCAAATCTGCACGCATAATTCGGGCGTACTGTACAACCCCCACATCTTACTACGCTCCATACACACTCCCCGCGTACAACTTCCGCAGTGGTCCCTCTTCGCCCGCTGAGTATGACCAAAAGCAAAACATCATAGGTTTCAGCATGACCTGGTTTACCTCTGATCGGCAAATCGCAGTAGGGCGTCAAAGAAAACAAATCGGAAGATAACTGGGGATTCAGTTACCATTGGGGGCTGCCTTGTCCGCCAACACACAGGGACCACCCACACTACACCACATGGATGGGAGCAAGCTGTCCAGTGTCCACTATGCTCCACAAGTGTGCTGTGCGAACTAGGTTTAGCCAGTAAAAGAGCCAAGGATGAGCTGCGTAAGTTGCAACCGTGCAGGTGCAGCGCCTGCAGCGCCTGCAGGACTACATCGGTGAGCGTGGGAGCGCTACTACTACTGCCAGTGTCAGCTGTTGCACGCCAGACTAGGTCGTATTGAGGGGAAACTAAAGCATAACAGCCAGAAGGAAGAGGTATAAAGAGAGCTTTCCGCCTACCCTCAAGGTTCTCTTTTCTATCTATCCATCCAAACAGTCTCCGTTAAGCTCTCATTCAGACAAACAAACATCTTCCATCCTCCGGTTTCTATACCAACACCAACAATCCCATCAACATGTCTCCCTGCACCTGCAACTGCTGCTCCGGCGAGTGCAACTCCTGCTCTTGCAGCTCTTGCAAGGTATGTCCGCACCAAACTACCTGCCTATTCTTTCTTCCAGGATAATGCTAACACTCTTCAGCACTAAATTCTTCCACCCCTCTGGATCCGAGCGAGCATCCCTCCCGTCAATCAATACCTCGAGGTCAATACTTAACGCCCGTCGGTGAAGGACATCATGGTTCCTGGTCTGGGCCGGTCCGGTTTGGGCAGAGGTTGAGGGTGTTTTGTGAGGGATGTTTGGTTTTCTGCTTCTTCGGCACATCTGTGTCACGCTTTTGAGAGAGATTTATAGTCAATGATATATGAGATATACGTACAATGATCTTTTGCTGGACGCTGTGTGACTCATCCATTAAATAATTTCTTGAATGCTGGACCCTGAACATAGCCCATACATTGTATAGATGGTGCGTTGCTTGCTCCTCAGAAATAGATCTCGCAAAATATTGAACCAACGCTGCATGCAATTCAGTTTAACAGTAAGTAGTACTGCCATGTACACTGTACAAATCTATGTCTCACAGCTCATCCTTAGCCCGAGGAGCCACATTTCCCCGCTCCTCCCCACCAGCACAAACAGCCGGCGTCGTGACAAGCATCGAGTAAACGCACTTCTCATCCTCAGCAACCTTCAGTATCTCATTTTCCTCACCGCACTCCAAGACAACAGTCGTCGAGCGTGCCGGTCCATTCCAGCATCCCTGGCCGTTTTTGTACTCCAACGAGGTTTTCTGCACCTGGATGATTTCACCAGTCTCGTTGAGCTCGTCGACGCTAACGGACCCAATACGCTCGAATTTGCCCATCCGTGAGGATGAGCCACCTTTCTTGGGGATCTGCTTAGTCTGATCCAGGAAGCAGTGCTCATAGGTGTACTCGCCGGCGTCCTTCTGGATGCAGACGCCTTTGAGGGCGCGGAAGACGGAGGCCACGCCATAGTCTGTTTCGAGGTCGGACTGTTCTTTTTCTAGCTTCTTTCTTAAGTCGCCAAGGTCCTTTTCTGTTGCCTTGACGGCGTCTCGGGCTTGCGCCACGGCTTTGGATTCGGATGTCGAGGCTTTGTCCTTGGGAGGTACGATGCCGCTGCTTTCAAGGAAGCTCGTGAAGGACGTGATCTTGTCTTCTAGAAATGTAACAAGAGATGGGGGCAAGTAGGCTGCGATTTTGTAGACTAGTGCCATTAGTAAAGGCCTAAAGATTGTAAGAGGTGGACATACCGGTATCTGGTTCATCGTCGCCCTCGTTCTCCCATTGCTCCCAGTTGATTCCGAAATCCTCATTGTCAGGCTGAGAGATGGCATCCCAATCACGATCGCGAGCACTGTTGAGAATAGTCTCCGCAAGCCCCCGAGCAGCATAATCCTCCCAGCTACGCACAGCGCGCTTGACTCCCTCGTCGTTGAAGTTGGGATTATACTCGACCTTGAACTTGGACAAAATCTCCTCAAGTTCCTGTACCCGGGTCCGGATCTCGTCCCTCTCTTTGCGCACATCCACTAATGCACTTCGGAGTTCATCCACACGGCCCTTCGCCAGTCCAGCCAACACATTGACCTTACCCGTCTTCTTCCCCTTCACAACCTTGCTCTCCTCCTTCCTCTTGACTTCTTCAAGATCAGCCTCCAGAGCCGCCAGGTTCATCTCCTTGATCTCAATGTTGGTCTTCAGCGCAGCAATGTGGTCCTCGACTTCCTTCTGCTGCCTGCCCGCATCAACAAGTAGATCTCTCTTCTTCTTCAGTGCCGCCGTCATAGACTTCTGCCTCTTCTCCTCATTCTTGCGCCACTCCTTGCCGATCTCCTTGCACTTGTCGTCGCATTTCGTGCCTCCGACACGGGCCCACTCGTCGCTTCCATCGCAGCAGAGCTCGTAGTCACAGATACCGTCGTTTACCCGCTGAAAGGGAATATACGACGGCTTGTGTCCCTTGTTCTTACAGTGAAAGCCCGGAATGGCGGCCTTGAGCCCATCGCTGCTGTGACCCTGTAAATGGGCGACGTTCAGCGGCGTATTGCCGGACAGATGCGCGCATGCCGCAGTTCCAGGCTCATCACTGCCATCCGGACAGTCGCAGAAATCATCGTTTACGGCGGAGAAGGGTATCTGGACAGCCGGGTGGGAGATGCAAGAGAAGGTCGTGGTGTCTTTGTAGAACTGAGCGACTAGGGCGACGACGTTAGTATATACATCTCGCTATGACCCGATCCAGTGATTCTCCATGTCCGTTGGATTGCTCGCAGCAACTAACTATGCAAGACCAACCAGATACTCACATTCAGGCCCAACTCCGCGGGGTCGCGAGGAATCATCCTTAGCAGCCACCAGTGTGCTGGACGCTGCTAAGCTCACCAGCAAGAGCGATTTCTGAAAGACAATCATTGTAGCTGCATCGAGCTTCCTTTCCTTTAAGAAAGATTTAAGCAAGTGCCGGGTGTACGATACACTCCACAAGGAATGAGAAACGCGGAGTTGCTCGACAGCCCTAACTTCAGGTCCAAAGTTCTGGCCAGCTGTTGAAACCTTGGAGACGCCAATCTGGGGATCGGGGAACGATGGGCTTAGTCATCCGCTCATCATCGATCCCGCAGTGGCAAGCCATCGACCCCAAGAAACCATAGTCTCAAACAACTACACAGTCTCGAGTCAGGTAAATTCAGTGTACACAAGTATGGGTAACGACGGCGGCAGGTAAGACAACTCTTGATTCTCCTGGCACCCGCAGCCCTAACGAATTACCAGTATTCCAACCCGCCGCGAACTTGTCCGCGAAGCCGCCCGCACGCCGACCACAGCGCAACTGAAAGAAACGCAGCGCGAACTTCAAACACATTTCTGGACGACCTGCCCGCTCTCGCATAAGCCTCTTCAGCGCCCAATTGTCTCCGACTGCGCAGGGAATTTATACAACAAAGATGCGATTCTGAAAATTCTACTATCTGGCGAAGAGATCGAGGGAATCAGCTCCAAGGCTGATTGCGAAGAGATCCTTGCGGGACGAGTCAAGGGGCTTCGAGATGTGGTGGAGCTGAAGTTTGAGGTCGACACTGAGCGCGAGGGCAACGCCACTGCAAATGGGAACGGCGAGGGGAAGAGTGAGGGCTGGATCTGTCCGGTTACGGCGAAGCAGCTGGGGCCGAGCGTCAAGGCGGTTTATATCGTGCCCTGTGGGCATGTATTTACCGAGGAGGCGGTCCGGCAGTTGAAGCAGGATAAGTGCTTACAGGTATGTCTGCATCTCGGTCTAATCGGTTTGGGGGTGTATGTAACTAACGGCCATCAGTGCAATGAGCCCTACACAGAAGAAAACGTCATTCCCATCCTTCCTACGAAAGAAGACGACAAGCAGCGTCTCATCGATCGATCCAAGCGCCTAGCAGATCAAGGTCTCACTCACTCTTTAAAGAAAGCTCCGGGCTCAAAAAAGCGCAAGAACAAGGGCAACGGCGATGCGACTACAATTCCAAGCACAGCAGCCGAAAGCAACGCTGCCAGCAGAGAATCATCAGCAAAGACAACAATTTCGAAGAATCCATCATCAGCACCAGCAAGTAGAAGCAACACGTCCACGCCGACGCCGTCTGCACCGAACGGAATCAAGAATGCAGCGACAGCGATGCTGACTGCGCGGGTTCTGGAGGAGGAGAATGAGAAGAAGAAGCGGCGCAAGCTGATGGGTGCAAGTGATAACATCAACAGTCTCTTCACAAAGGACTCAAAAGATACACAACATAAGAATACTGATTTCATGACGAGGGGATTTTCTTTGCCTGCTGCGAGAAAATAATGCGGGTACGCGTTGGCGTTAGGGTTGGTCTGAAATTGGGATTTGATGGGTTTGGTCGACATTTCCTTTTCTTTTTAGTAATGCCAACGAATGTACATATTACCATTCCAATAATCGAAAAGAAATTGCTACTATAGTACAAAAGTCAATCATGAAACAACATGCTACAAGAACTGAACTGAACAAAGGTTTTGTTAGTGACATCAAATCACTCAACAAGACCCCTCCTGCGGAGCTCACGATCAATGAGCTTCTTCCGCCCCAGCTCCTCATCCTTGTGCCAAGGTTTCTGCCTCTTTGCGAAAATTTTGACGTTAGGTAAGGTCTGGAGGGTGTCATTGGCTAGGAGATATTCTGCAAGCTTCTTGGGCTTAGGTGCCGTCTCCTTCAGGATGTGACCTAGGACCTGCTTAACGGAGGTAATCGACTCGATGGTAGGGTCGGGGAAGTAGTGGCCGGAGAGTTGGGAGAATCGCTTCAGGAACTATCGAACGGCGGATTAGTACGACGCAACAGGTAGAGACGACCAGAATAGACTTACAGCGAACTTCGTCGCCGGATCGGACAATGACAGGGTCGAGAAGCCCTTATCCTTGACATCTTGGTACCCGAAGAAGAAGGGTTTCTTGACTGCCGGAGCATCCTCATACTCTTCCGACGCAGCGTTCCCAGAAGCCTCGGCGGTTTGTTCGGCATCCTGAGCTCCAATTTGCTTGAAAATGAAGACGAGCGCATCCTCCGTCTCCTTATCCGGGTACTCCAGGGCCGAATCCCATGCCGAATTTGGCTGGATCTTGCAGTTATAGATCAGTTTGAAGACGGGCTTCTCGTGTTCGACGACTTCGCAGATGCTGGCGAGGGGCTTGTTGAGGGTGCGCATTATGCACAATTCAACTGCGGTTTGATGAGCAGCCAGGGCCAAGTGGCCGGGCTTGGTGAGACGGCGGTTGGAAGAAAAGCTGCACAGATTAGTTCTCATGCCGATGAGCCCATCCGGGGGCAACTAGGAGAAGCAAGCACATACGAAGTGAACGCATCCTCGGGGTTCGGAGGAAGATCATTCCACCTCCCTAGGTGTCCAATACGATCAAGACCTTCCCAAGTTGTTGCAGGCAAATATTCGCCATCAATAGCTTCCTCAGCTACATCTCCACCCTCCGCGGTAGCGGCTTGGTTCTCGGCCGCGCCCTCGTCACTCCCCGGCGCACCTCCCTGCTTCTGCGCCAGGCTGCCCTTCCCGAACTTCTTCTCAAAAACACCTTCGCCGCCGTAGGGATCTTTCAGACCGGGCGGGTTGTCGGTACCCCAGAGCTTTCGGCGCACGCGTTCGGTGATCGGGGTGTTGTTGTCGGAAGCATGGCGAAGAAATTGACGAGCGACGAAGGGCCGGGGGCGCGCTTCTTGTCTGCAAGTCGAGCAAACATATCGAGTTCGGGATCCTTGGAGGTGAGTGGCTACCTCCACGTTCAACAGTCGCATAGAAGAACGCATGGTTGCGATGTTGAGATCTTGCCTGTTACTTGCAACGCTGGAAAAGTTGTTAGAACTGCCGAAAAGCGGAGCACGTGACAAGGCCACGACGGAGTATATGGTCTTGGCGTTTTGAGCCAAAGTACCAGATCATTGGAGGCCTGCAAGAATTGGCCAATTTTTTATAAGGAGATAAAATGGTGACTTAAGTTTTCGAAATTGCTATGTACAGGTATCTACGCTAAAAACATTTTGTAGAGAGGTGGCTGATCTACTCCCGAACAAACATGCCGGCCATACCCATGCCAGTTCCGATACACATGCTAATGACACCAACTTCCTGGCCAGTGCGCTCCAGCTCAGGCAGCAGGGTCGCAAGCTGTCTAGCTCCAGTGGCACCAAGAGGGTGACCGATGGCAATGGCACCACCCTTGGGGTTAATCTTGGCCTCATCAATGCCCAATTTGCGAGCACAGTAGAGAGCCTGAGAGGCAAAAGCCTCGTTGAGCTCCCAAATGCCAACGTCCGAAACATTCACGTCGAGCATTTGGAGGAGCTTGGGGATGGCGACTGCGGGGCCCACACCCATCTCATCAGGGGCACAACCGGCGACGGCAGTGCCAACCCAGCGGGCCTTGATGGACGAAGTCAGGCCAAGCTCTGTTGCGGTAGATCGGCGCATCAAGAGAGCAGCGGCAGCACCATCGCTGACCTGGGAGCTGTTTCCGGCAGTACTGGAACCCGTTGCAGAGAAGGCCGGCTTCAAAGAGGCCATCTTCTCAACAGAGATGTTGGCGCGAACACCGTCATCCTTAGTTACGGTAATCTCTGTGGGCGGCGTATCGGGGTTCTGGGCGTCGTAGGATAGAGTCTTAACGGGAACAATCTCCGAGTCAAACAATCCAGCCTCTTGCGCAGCCGCAGCCTTCTTGTGCGAATTGGCGGCGAACACGTCCTGATCTTCCCTGCTGATACCGTATCGAGATGCAACGTTCTCGGAGGTGATACCCATGGGCATGATGCAGTCCCTCGAGTCCTTCGAGGGCGATTCCTTAAGCTCGGGCCACAGGACGGTAGGGATAGCGCGGGAACCGTAATTCCGAGTCATAGATTCCATTCCTCCACCGACACCGACGTTGAGAGCCCCCGCCCGAATACTGTTACCAATGGTCGAGATGGCAGCCAGACCAGATGAACATTGTCGGTTGATTGTGTGGAACGGTACGGTGTGAGGGAAGCCGGCGTGGATCTGAGCCATGCGGCCTGCTTTTGCGCCACCAAGCTCTTGGAGAACGGAACCGATACAAACGTCCTCGATCAAAGCGGGGTCGAGGTTCGGGTTGGCTTCCAGCGTCGCTCGCAGAACATTGGCAAGGAGCTCTTCCGGGTAAGCATCCTTGAAGCCGCCCTTCTTTGCTCGAGTGACAGGAGTGCGGAGGGATGAGAGGATAACAATATCTGAAGGCGATTTCTGGAGGACCTGGCGAATGCTGCGCGGGATTGGGGAGGCCATGATTAACGGACGAGTCTTCGGTTAATGTTATGTTATATTTTGACCTTCAAAAGCAATTAGACATAGTCGCGTGAAAGTTATCGCTCAGAATCAGATACTCACAGGGGTATATCCGAGAGTTTGCCAGCGCCGAAGAAACAGTCCGAGACAAGAAAGGCCTCGCTGCGGATACGGGTGTACAAAATACTTATAGAAATTGGGTATGAGGCGCCCGTCTGATTGTCGGAAGCTTGGATCCATTCTTAAAGGCCAGGGCCATCTCCAAGGGCAAATTGCCATCGAACTGCCGGCAGTGAAGATCGGCTAAGGGCTCTGCCGCCGCCGCGCCGAAAAGATTGGGGGAGATGTGGGGATGACTGGCAGTGGCAGTCGGTCGAGGTCTTTGAGCAATGAGCCGGCAACCCGCATCGGGTAGTCGAAGTCTTCTAGCTCTAATTAGTAAATATGCACCTCCGGGCTTCTTCACAAGCTTTTGGCGACCCTTCAAGGAACGTGGCCTGTCGCAAAACCCTGAGGAGGACAAAGCAACCTGTACGTACCTGATCCGCCATCCTGGATCCGAAATGGATTAGGTCAGCGTGTTCGGATATGCTTCGGAAGAGGTCGGGCCAACTCTGGAGTCTGAAGACATGGAATATGGAAGACCCAGTTCTTTGTAATCTAAACCCCGGAATCCCGGGGTATGAGGACTATTACAGCAGGCACCAGATGCCGTGCATTCCCAGCTTATATTCACAAATGATGCCTCTATCTAATATGCAACATCACGAAAGTCCGCCCAAAACGCCTGGTATCGACGGATAAGTAATGAATAACCAGATGTTTCCCAACAACGCCGTGCCTCATAACAACCATGCATCCGTAATATCGCTGAAATAAAAATGTTAAAAAGACGCCACGAAAAAGCTCCCTGCGAAATGGAAAACAAAAGACCAATGAACAAAAATCTCAGCACCCAATGATATGACTGTAGTGCCCAGGTACTCTACGCCGGCATTTATCGCAATCTGCGCGATAACCCATAGAAAACCCCAATTTTTTTGGCTTGTTGGTTGAAGTCTGCTCTGTCTTCGATTGGGCTGGTAAGTCGAGAGACGACAGCCGTTCCCGCACATTAGCAGCCTCAGCATCCATGGCCGATGGGTTCACCAGACTTGACGGCTTAGGTTCTGGAGGAGTCCGCTCGACTACCATTTCTGCATCGGCAGAGCATTTGACATCCGACATATTATCTCCATTGTCGCTCACTGGACTCGGCAAGCGCGGACAGGCCCACCACAGGGGATCTGCAGTCAAGTTCAAAGCTGTACCACGAGAACCTGCTGAACCGGGAGCTCCCATTGTTAAAGCATTTGACTGCTGCGGCTTCAAAGGAGGTGTCGTGGTTTGGAGAATGCCGTCTGACCGAACATGGTCTTGCTCCATCGATGCTAGACTTTCGGGAACGTCAACGTCCATTATCATGTCGCAGTCAGGTTCGAACATGCGAGGGCCTTGTAGGAGTTGTTGGTTCTCGGGGTTCGATTTGTAATACAGGTTGATGAAGCCCGCTTCATCATCGGAGTCAACAGGAGTCAAAAAGGATGTATAGACCGAAGGAGGTTTCTGTGGGTCTCTCCTCGTGTTTCCCACTCTCAAATCCTTGCTGGGCTTTTGAGGACTGCGTAGCGGAAGAGACCGGTGCTTCTATGGTTTGCGAGTTAGCCAGAGACAGATCCAGCCCAGCTAGGGAAATAAACAAAATGACGCCGATTGAACGCTATGTACTAGACGGTGGCACAGAGTCGCGAACCTTCTTCTCTCGAACATGGTCACCATTGTAGGCTGTCAGCTCCTCGTGTTCTCGTTGTCGCTTAACGGGTTGCCAGGACATGGTCCGGTTCGACGCGGACGAGTTCAGCTTCCTCGAAAGTAAAGAACGGTGAGATTGAAGAGGCAGATCGGGGTCGTGAGAAGTATCAGGTTATATAAGAATCATAATTAAAAGGCGGAAGTATAAGTGTGGACCGGCGTCGAGAGTCGAGTCCCGTCGAAGGTGTCTCCAGAAATGTCCGGGCGGTCTAGCTCCAAATAGGCAACTACGCCAGGTACCCGAGCTGCCTGAATTAGTAATACAGTGCTACTAATCTCACTTCTCCAACCTACTTTGACGGTGTACTCGACCACAGTCAGTGCCCGGATTTGAAAAAGGCCGTTTCGATGATGTCAATAATGCCAGGGCGTCTGGCTTCCGCCCAGTGATTATGGATACCTTTCGGGGCTCATCGCCGAATCCGACTTACCTCAAATGAAGAAATGCCACCCCTAAACTCCGGATTTGCGATCGTGACCCCGGGCTCACGGGGTATGGGCTTTGCTTTTGCACAACAGCTTCTTGCCCATTCAAACATACCGGTGATTGCAACTGCACGAACAGACTGTCATGGAGTCCGAGACCGGTTACTTGAGAAGACCAAGAGTCGGTCGGATGCAGAGAAGAGACTCAATGTTTTCCAAGTTGACGTGACTGGTATTTGCACTACTTATCTTCAGCGCGTCTGAGCCCGGTTGTCCTGGCTGAACGTTGCTTAGATGAATCCACCATATCCGAAATGACTTCGGGACTCCGTGCGCTTTACCCGGATACTCTCCTACGAATAGCCATCACGCTTCCTGGCATTCTGCATGTCGAGAAATCACCAGCCCAAATTGATGTTCAAAATGCATTGAACAGTTTCAAGGTCAATTCTCTGGGACCGATGCTCCTGATGAAACATTTATCTCGATTTCTACCAAGTAAATCATCGCCATCTTTTCAGGACATCCAGTCACCTTCCGAAGTAGATAGCTCGCCATGGCATCTACCATCACATGCAGTCTACGCAATGATGGCAGCCCGAGTCGGATCCATCTCGGATAATGCCTCCGGTGGTTGGTACTCCTACCGTGCGAGTAAAGCATCGGTTCTCCAGTTAGCAAAGACATTCGACCTATATCTGCAATCTCGGGGCAAAGAGCGAGCTATAGCGATTGCGATGCATCCAGGAACCGTTCAGACAGACTTCACCCATGACTACTGGAATGGTAGAGCGATGCTGCAGCCTGAGGAGTCCGCCGCATCGTTGTTAAAAGTCCTATGTGGAATGAAAAACGGCGCGAACGAGGGGCGTGGTAAGTGTTGGGACTGGAAAGGGCAAGAGGTCGTGCCTTGAATTGTTGATGGCATTACACACTGAAACGACACCCAAGACAGGGCTCTTTTCCTGCTCCTTTATGGTGTCTGAGACCTAACTTTAAATTCATGACTGCAGTCATGGACTGAGACGTGTCTATGTCGAGCATACGTTCCACGCGCATTATCAGCTTAAACATAGGGAACCCAAATCCGGCCAGAGTTTCATAAAGTATTTGGAAAAGAAGACGCCCCCTGTCTATTTTGTTTCAAATCGACATGCTCAAACATAATGCGGCTCTTTGTTTAGTACCGCTTGCTGAAAGAACATCTAACTACACACCACAATTAGATGGGCCCTTTGTGACTGAAACAAACCCTTGTTCCAAAAGCGGGCTGAAGTATATAAAGCAAGCTCTCCGTCACATAACTATAATATATACCGATTGCTACCTAAGCGTCCCCGGGGACGCCAGCTCACAGTCTATCTTCTCTTTCCCCCTTTTGCGACTCGCAGACAAGCACCTTACCAATCATAATACTCCATCCTCATCCCCCGATATAATCCCCCCCCCCCTCTGCCTTCCCTTCCCCCAACCATGCAAGAGCAAAGCCAGAAAAAGCGCAAGAGCACAGATAAGGCTCAAGACCACGGCGTTTACAAACATAAGCACCCTCGCATATCAAGCAACCGCAAAGAAGCCATCGACACCCATGCACCCATCAGACGTTACCTAACCGAGAAAATCCTACGAAAGCATCGCCACAAAGCATACGAATTATACGCCGCACAGAGACCAAAAGAGCCGAGGTGGAGGCCAAAAATGCACGTAACCAAGTTCCTCCGCACATGCTCACAGGCCACAATACTTGAGATACAGAAGTTTGCGAGGGGTGGAGGGCCAGATTGCTCTGATATTCGCGGGGTATGTTGCCTTCCGTTTCTTATCTTCGTTCTTTGGTCTGCTCAGGCCGGATAGAAGATGTTTTTTCCTTTTAATTCATTCGCTGAGCGATATCCCATTATAGTTCAAAGCTGATCGCGTTGTCTTTGCTCGAAAATAGTTTCCGACTCCGAGAGGCTTCACGGCGTGGTCATATTTTCCTTCTCAATAATCCCGATCAAGCCTTGCGATCCATAAGATGAGATGGAGATAAGTAATTGATCGGCATGTTTGCTTTGGAGGGAAGATTGTGTTTGAACAAGCTGAAATCGGCTTAGGACGGGACGGATATATAGCCAAAGCTCTGGTAGCGCCTGGCTGCTCATTGATATATAATATGACTGATAACTTCATATTTTATACCCCGATGATAATGAGAAGCGAAAATACTAGTTTCGATTTGATAGTCACGATGGGACGTGAATATCTTTTCTCTTTCATCCCCGGTAGCTACTTAGAATACTACACAAGGAGACTTCAATGGTGTTATTAAAGACAACGAAGGATATAGGCTGGTAGATATGATTCAATTGTTAATTTTCCTCGCTTCAACGGGGTAAGCGCGAATTCTGTAAAAAAAGGGCCATGGCCATGAAGCACAGTTAGGGTCAACTTAGGGTTGAGACGGGATTACGGATATATCGAGCACCCCGACTCCGAGTGTTTCGGGATGCCGATTCGACCACGGCAACACGGCTAGCTTGTCAACACTTCAAAGGCCGCTGAAATACGGATAAGGATTGTAGTAGTTTGCCGAAAAGCCTGCCGTGATTGTAGGATGATCCTACCTAGTTAGGTTTGAGCCTTTATATATCTTAAAAGCGGCTCGGCCGAGCCAGAACAGTTAACTCAGCACAGCGGTCTTCGCCAGGCTACGCCATGGAGCATACGCAGTCGATCACTGCGCGGGCGTTGGTGTCTTACGGCCCGTACAGCAAGGGAGGATGGAAGTTGAAAGAGAAACTCGCACTCCGACCGCTTTGGGACAACGAGCTGCTGGTCGAAGTTGTTGCTTCCGGAATTTGCCAGACGGACCTACATTTCGCAGGCATGGATGATGGTTTTGGCGTGCATTATCCACGGGTAATGGGCCATGAAGGTCCGTCTTTCATCCTTGCTCTGCTTTTCAGCCTCTTTCTAGAGACAGATTGTTCTGATCACTATCGAAACCGTAGGATCCGGATACGTCCGACAAGTCGGGCGCAAAGTCACCGCTGCAAAAGCCAACGACCCCGTACTATTATCATTTTCATCCTGCAAAGTCTGCGAGTGCTGCCGCAGAGGACACCCAGCACACTGTCACGATTTCGACTTCATCAACTTCGTGGCCAGCCCGGATAGCTAAGTGTTCAGGGATGATGGACAGGGACCTACCGGCACAGACTGCCAGCCAGACATTATGGACAGTTTTTCGGACAATCAAGCTTCTCGAGTTGGTCGATTGTAAGGGAGGAGTCGATCGTTAACGTGGCAGCCTTGGTGGAAAAGAAAGAGGATTTCCAACTGATGGCGCCTCTAGGCTGCGGAATCCAGACTGGGGCTGGAGCAGTCATTAACGCGGCTCAGGCACACCCTGAAGATCGTGTCGCTGTCATTGGCCTAGGAGGGGTAGGCCTTAGTGCAGTAATGGGTGCGCGGATTGCTGGGTGTACTCAGATTATCGCCATTGCCCGAAATGAAGCTCGCCTAAAGCTCGCTCTAGACCTAGGCGCGACTGACGTCGTCCGTATAGACCCCGCGAAGGGTTTGGGAGCCGTGACGGAGGCGGTCCACGAGATTACAGCTGGTCTCGGTGCAAATATCACCCTCGATACCACAGGGGTGCCCGTATTGGTTGCTGAGGCAGTGCGGATGACAGCTTTCAAGGGAACTATTCTCCAGCTGGGGACCGCGCCGGTCACAAGCACGCTGGAGATCCCAATCCACGAGTTCATGGTTTCGGGGAAGCGATTCCAGGGAGTAGTGGAAGGGGATGTGAATTCCCAAGAGTTCGTGCCAACAATGGTCGATTGGGTGAGAAGCGGCCTGTTGCCTCTGCAGAAGATGGTTGGCTTTTATCAGGCGGGTGATTTTGAGGATGCGATACGGGATATGCACAGTGGGAAGACAATCAAACCTGTCCTACTGTGGTAGGTCGGGCGAATCTGTCATCATCCCTACCGTTTATCTAGTTGCTAGGGCTTTCCGAAATCCCTCGGCCAGTCTATTTCCATGGCAGCTAGATGTAACACTAAGCATGCACTGGATACATGGAGACCTCTCAAGCTCTTTTTTGAGCACCTTTATAAGTGTAAGCATGACAATGACTTATGATGCGTGCCTAGGGACCATTGCGAAACATGAATTTGGCATCATAATGGTTGGGCACTGGTTTTGTTCAAAATCAGGCCAATGCACTTTGACCAACATTGTCTTTGAACGGACGTGCCCAAAAAGCAGCATCTGAGTGCCATAAAACCCAATGACAGTCATCTGTGAGCCCAATCTCACCTAAGCTCAATTCTAACAGGAAGGACTCGATGCCGGGGGTCTGAACAACGGCAATGTGCTGGTGGATGTACGTTCCGAAGATACACTACCCAAGTGCATCTGCGAAGCCATTTCATAGAAAATGGATGGTCTGCTTCCACGACTGTAGATACTCCGCTGTCGCAGCCTCTTATGACGTTGCTGGAGAGGGTCACCGAAACCCATATTTGGAATGCACGAGAGCGGAGGCAGCTTTTGTTTGTCCATGTACAGCAGCGACATGGCAGATTTTCTGTATCAGCCAAACGGTGATAAAAACATGGGAGTAATATATCAGCCTGCAATGAGTGAGAACTGCGAGAGATGGCTTGTATCAAGATGTTCCAGAAACTTTACAGAAGCAAGCTCTTGGCTGAAAGTGGAATGGCCAATTTTTTGTTGTGTGAATGGCGAATTCGAAAAGCATGATTGGTGGGCCCACCTGAGATGCCACTTTTTTTGCCGTTGGATCACCGATTTCGCTTCTCGTCGCGGAGGGGTCCAGCCATAAGTTAGCTTTTCGCCGACTCTGACAGCTCCTGCTTTCATATCTTCCTTTTCTCCGTCGGGAATTGAACCTGTGCCGCTCTTCTTAATCGCAGGACTCGAGTGTCTTTGTGTTCTTTCAAGCTCCTCTTCATATTGCACTACACGCTTATACCCCACTTCCACATTTCTATACAGCTTCACAAACAGCACATTCTGCAAAAATGAGCGGACAAAACGAGGATACCCGCGGTGAGTCATTCCTACTCTATATCTTCTCTATTCAGCCACTGATCGAGCCATCCCCCCAGTCTTGGGTTACGAGCCTCTGCTTTCGCCCGAGTTCGTTCAGTCCGAGATTCCTTCTGTGAGTCATACCGCTTCGGGGTGCCAATGTACCAGGCCATTCCTATGGCGACCGGACTTGAGCAGCACCTAACAATACTGTGTAGAATGAGCACTCCATTCCTACCGTCCGCGCTGGCCGCAACCAGGCCATCGAGATCATCGAACAGCGCGATGACCGCCTCCTAGTCATCGTTGGCCCTTGCTCCATCCACGATCCCGAAACCGCTCTCGAATATGCTTCCCGCCTCAAGGAGCTCTCTGCTCGCCTCTCCTCCGACCTCTGCATTATCATGCGCGCCTACCTCGAGAAGCCCCGCACAACTGTCGGATGGAAGGGTCTGATCAACGACCCGGACATTGACGAGTCCTTCAACATCAACAAGGGTCTTCGCGTCTCCCGGAAGCTCTACGCTGACCTCACAGGCATGGGTATGCCCATTGCTAGCGAGATGCTTGATACCATTTCCCCGCAGTACACCGCGGATCTTATCTCTCTCGGTGCTATTGGAGCCCGTACCACCGAGTCTCAACTGCACCGTGAGCTCGCGTCCGGTCTCAGTTTCCCCATTGGTTACAAGAACGGCACAGACGGCAACCTTACCGTCGCAATTGACGCCATTGGCGCCGCTTCTCACCCCCACCGCTTCCTAGGTGTCACCAAGCAGGGTCTCGCCTCTATTACCAAGACCACTGGTAACCCGCACGGCTTCGTGATTCTTCGTGGAGGAAACAAGGGCACTAACTACGACCGTGAGAGCATCAAGGGCGCTCGCGAGGCCCTGCGCAGCAAGAAGCAGCGTGAGATCGTCATGGTTGACTGCTCGCACGGCAACTCCAACAAGAACCACCGCAACCAGCCTCTCGTTGCCAAGGAAGTCGCTGACCAGCTCCGAGAGGGTCAGGACGCTATCATCGGTGTCATGATCGAATCCAACATCAACGAGGGTAACCAGAAGGTTCCCCCCGAGGGCCCCTCCGCTCTCAAGAAGGGTGTCAGTATCACTGATGCCTGCATCGACTGGGAGAGCACCGTCACTGTGCTGGAAGACCTGGCCGATGCCGTCCGTGCCAGGCGTACCGTCAAGTCACAAGCTAACGGCACTGCTTAGATAAGTCTTTGAGGGGTTTCGGGCTGTTTCTTACTCTTCTTTTGACGACTTGGCATAGTTTTGATTAGATACCAGAGCCGGATTGTTTATATTGCTTAGCATGAGTGCTTGTATTTAGGTGTCTTTGATACCGCAAAAGTTTGAACATTGGCCCAAAATGAATTGATGACATCGCCTTTGCCATGCTGTAACAACTCTAGAGTACCTATCTGCAGGTCACATGATTTAGCCTAGGACATATGGGGCATGTTTGTTAACACTAGATGTTTTGACTTATTTTCTCTTTGATACCTCAGCTCCTGAATCACACCCAAGCATAAACACAAATAATCAATACAAAGAAGACTCATTATTACTCACTGGTTGTCCTCTAAGCTTGCACCACTATGTATACAAACCCACTGGGCAGGGCGGTGAAGAACCTCTCAGCCGAGTGGAGAAGCAGTGCCAAGATTTCGAGCCCACCCAGTTTTTTTCAAGTGGGCATATCGCGGTTTTCGCTCCTTCGACCGACGGACTCGTTACAGAGTACAAAGACCCGTTGCACCTCTCGGTCCAGTTGTTGAAGTAAAGAGCGGTATGGCTGATATCGAGGTATGATACCTTATTAAGATCTATCGGAGAATCGATTTATTCTCTGATGCGCTGCTCGGAACAACGTGGTTGACGAAAGTTTTTCTCTTGCTACCAGGAACGGCTCCGAAGCCATGCACAGGCCTTTGATGGGCTGCTCTCGCTGATCCCTGCGAAGTTCTACTACGGAGAAGATGGCAGTGTATGTCTTTCCTCGCGTCTTTCCTTCTAAAGGGCTATTTTCCCGTTCCTCTGCCTCCGCCGTCCTACTCATGATTTCTCGCGTACATTCTATTGACTCGGGTACTCGGATAGGATCAATGGAAACGGAAGAAGCAAACGAAGGAACAGGCTCGGGAAGCAAAGAGGGCGAAGCTTGACCCTGATTCGGCCAAGACTGCGAAGGACGTGATGGACGAAAAGGCGCGGAAGCGTAAACGTGGTGAAGAAGAGGGCAATGAGGACGAGGACGCGGAGTCATCCGACGATAGCGAACTAGGCTCAGAAATGCCGAAAGAGGGGTTAAACAGGGGTGACGCAGTATCGAAGAAACAGAAACAAAACGAGTCCTCCATAAATCCCGAAGACGCTGTCAAGATGGCCGAAGAGGCGGAATCCCGCAGGAAGTTGAAGGAGGAGAAGAAGGCGCAGAAGAAGCAGACCCAGAAGGAGAAGAAAAAGGCCAAGGACGCCGCCAAAAAAGCGAAAGAAGACGAAAAGCGGGCTGAAGGGACCACGGCTGCCACTACCAAGTCGATGGCGGCTACGAGCAAGCCTGATGAGAAACCTCAACCCTCAAACGCCGAGGATTCTGATGTCGAAGGCGACGATGCCACTGCAGAGGGGCTCTCCCTCGAGTTCAACGAAGAAGATAACTCCACATCGTCCGCCCCGAATTCTCCGGAATTCGACACATCAAATCCTCAATCGGGTAGCTCTTCTATATCCTCCATAGTCCCCTCCTCCGACGCCGCCAAATCCTCATCCTCAGAACCGAAACCTCTCAAATCCACACCCGAAGAGTTGAGGCAACGGTTACAAAAGCGCCTAGACGAACTCCGCGCAGCCCGCCATGCAGACGGCCTCGACGGCAAGCCAGCGCGAAACCGACAAGAGCTCATTGAAGCCCGTCGACAAAAGGCCGAACAGCGCAAAGCACACAAGAAGCTCCTCCGGCAGAAGGCTAAGGAGGAAGAGCAGAATGCGAAAGATGAAGCCATGACGCGACGATTCTCCCCAGGCGGCTCAGGCTCGCTCCTGGCATCTCCACGGTCTCCCGCGGATTCAGTTGGTTCAGGAAACTACGCCTTCGGCCGCGTCGTCTTCTCCGATGGCCAGATTGCTGATCCCTCCCTATCCGAACTACGTGAGAAACCCAAAACACATGGTCCCCGCGATACCGCCTCAGCCCTCAAAGCCGCCGAGGCCAAGAAAGCTCGTCTTTCCGGCCTAGATGAGGAGAAGCGCGCCGATATCGAGGAGAAAGACATGTGGCTCAATGCCAAGAAGCGCGCGCACGGCGAACGAGTCCGCGACGACACCTCGCTGCTAAAGAAAGCCCTTAAGCGCAAGGAGACTGCGAAGAAGCGTTCCGAGCGCGAGTGGAAGGACCGGATTGATACTGTCAAAAGAGGCAAAGACATGAAGCAGCAGAAGCGTGAGGAGAACCTGCGCAAGCGCCGAGAAGATAAGGGAAAACCTGGAGGCGGCAAGAAGGGTGCTGCCGGCGGTGGCAAGAAGCCCCGGGCTGGCTTTGAAGGCAGCTTCAAGGGGAAGGCTGGAGGGGGCAAGAAGAAATAAAGAAAGTTAGAAGGTGGGGTCTGGGATATGTTGTATCTAATGATGAATGTGTATACCTTTATCCGTGATGTGATGAGGAGGGACTTGTTTCCTAGATGGAGACTGGAATCAACAAAAGTCAGAGTGGCCTCTGAAGACAGGTGTTTTTGGTATTTGTTTCATATGGGGGTTCTGTCATCTTGTGCACATATGCATTGGTAGCGATTTATTGATACAATAAAGGAGTTTTCTTCAAGGTTGTTCTTTGATGAGCCTCATGGCTTGTAGTCTGAGTATGGTTTAGCTGAGACTTCATTACAACAAGTCTAGCAACTCAAGAGACCTGCTCTCGCTTGCTAATGCCAGTGAAGAGAATGCAACAAAGGAAATAGCTCAATTGATCCCTAACAATAAAAAAACACAAATCCCTTCTAACATCACAGATACAGAAAGACAGTCGGGCAGCTAGGTAGACATCGGATATCCCTACGAATCCGTCAAGTACATAGTAGCAAAGTAGGAAGAGTGTAAGCAGTGGCGTGAGTTATGTACAGAGTGGAAAGGAAGAAGGACTTTGAGTGCGGAAGCACTCTGGTAATCATTTGGTGGCAATACAGGCTTTTTCTTGACGAATTCCCCCGTGAGATCGTCCAATGAAAGACACTGATGGTTTATCGGTAAGGCGCATCGGCTCTGGCGGCAGCAGCAATCTCAGGCTCCCACTTGTCACCGTTGGCGAGGAGCTTCTCCTTGTTGTATAACAGCTCCTCGCGGGTCTCGGTAGCGTACTCTGCGTTTGCGGCTAGATTGTTGGTTAGTGCTTGATTGAGCAAATGTAATAGAGGAACATACTCTCAACAATAGCATCGACAGGGCAACTCTCCTGGCAGTAGCCGCAGTAGATACACTTGGTCATATCAATGTCATATCGGGTCGTCCGGCGACTTCCGTCCACACGCTCTTCAGCTTCGATGGTAATGGCCTGGGCAGGGCAGACAGCCTCGCAGAGCTTGCATGCAATGCAGCGCTCCTCGCCGGTAGGGTAGCGTCGTAGGGCGTGTTCACCACGGAATCGAGGGGAGATTGGGCCCTTCTCGAAGGGGTAGAAGATGGTGTAACTGAGCCAGTCGCGTTAGCAGCAGATTACCTTGATGCTTCCGCACGTAGTGCGTCCGATCGAAGGTGTCGCATCGCACGTCATGGCCTAATATCAATCGCGAGGGAGACTTACGGTGGTCGGAAGAACTGCTCCAAAACAACGTACATTCCCCGGAAGATCTCCGCCATGAGGAAGTACTTGCTAGCCTTGTCCAAAGAGGACTCGGGGTCTTGATCCCATCGCTTGGGAGGAGGAAGGCGGAAACCCGACGGAGGAGGTCCATAAGGTGTGGCAGCCCGGCTCACCGAGGAAGAGAAGTTTGCGGTCGGGACGAAGAAAGGCGAGGACACAATGGAGAGAACAGGCCGTCGGTAGGCGAGCAGTCTCGCCGCGGATCTGGAGGTAGCCATCTGGAGATGGGATGTGGACTGGCGGACGGAGAGGAGAGTGAGGGGAAGGTCAATTGGGGGGGAGCAGACGAACTGGAGCAGCTGGAGGATCTCGAAGGTCGCTGGTTGCTGGAGTGGTTTTGCAGGCGGCTTAGGTCATTGCTTTCTGCCGGGAGATGATTGGCCGGTGCAAGGGATTTTGCTTTCCCCGAAGCCGCAACGCCAAATTCAGGTTCACCTTTCCAGCATCAGACAAAGCTCCCATCAATCCCTTTGCTGCCCATCTCTCCATTCTCCTGCTCAGGTAACCTCAATTTGTCTGCCTCGTGATTTAAATTGACTTAGTCTAACCCCCTCTTAGGCATTTTTCACCGCGCCCTCCCCTCTACCGTCATTATGTTCCGTTCCGCTGTCGTCCGCTCGCTCAGGGCCTCTGTGCCTCGTGCCGTCAAGCCGCAGGCTGCTTTCCACATCCGTGCTTCTCCCGTGGCTCGTCCTGCTCAGCTCGCTCCTCGCTTTGCCTTCCAGGCTGTCCGCCTCTACTCCGCCCCTGCCGGCCTTAACAAGGACGAGGTTGAGGGCCGGATAGTGAACCTCCTCAAGAACTTTGACAAGGTCGGTTGACTCACTCAATGCTTCAACAACTCTAATGAGTCGCGCGACATTATATCGCTAACATCTCTTGTGTAGGTTAACGATGCTAGCAAGGTGCGCTGCTATATCAACAGGTTATCGGAATCCAATAATTTTAACATCAGTGGAACAGATCAACGGCGCCTCTCACTTCTCGAACGACCTCGGACTCGACAGTCTGGACACCGTTGAGGTTGTGATGGCCATCGAGGAGGTACGTCAGATAGAGCGTTTCGAGTGACGCCACATTGATATTGACTGTGTCATAGGAGTTCAGCATCGAGATCCCCGACAAGGAGGCCGACCAGATCCATAGCGGCAAGTTCTTGTGCTAGATGGAAGCTTTAACACTTACTGACATAAGCTTCCTATAGTTGACAAGGCTGTTGAGTACATCCTTGCTCAGCCCGATGGTATGTACAACCTATCTTGAACCCTCAATGAGCACAACTGACTTTCTTCTAGCTCACTAAACTATTTAATACGAGGACACGGGAGAGATTGCTGAGGGTCTAGATAGAAAACAACGGGGATTTATAGCGTGCATCTATGCAGGACTCTTTAGACATGGGGTATCTGAGTAGTGTGGCGCTAATTGTACACTGATACATGCCGGTGCTTTTCTCCTTCCTTTATCGTGTATATCACTTTCAATGCAGTTTTGAATGATTTGGATTCCAGCAACGTTGCCTTAGAAAGTCGCTTGGACTGATGCAGCCCCAGTATAATGCGCGAGTTGGCTGATCACATAAAAGCAGATAGCCACGAGGTCTCTCGGAAATGTAGTACAACAGAAGAAATTAGCTAGTTAAAGTCGAGGAGCAAGTCAAGCGCGAATTTCAGGGTGCTGGCGAGCGTCGTCATCACCGCAGACACTAAGAAACGCGCGTTGGAGCCAGATAGTCTGACATTCTGCCGAGCCTCTTCTGGGCACAATACTAGTTATCGCTCAAAGAAATTGTACTTCCGAGTTCTCAATTTTCTGGCCATTTTGATCTTTTCCCTGAATGGCACATTGAACTCGCAGTAAGACCCCGAATTGTGCATTTCGTCTTCTTGCTGTGTCTGCTGGTTAATTTGAGCTGCTCAAAGCTCGGGCGGATCTTTTTGTCTCCTTCTCCCTCTCTGCTCGTCAATCTCCCCAATAATTCCAGCCCTCCATCGCGGCTCCGGAACTATATTCCTCTGCAAACTATAACGTGGTCAGGCGGAATAGTGAAACTAGATAGACAACACCAGAAAAAGTGGAACAGGCTCCAGCTCGACCACCATCGCAACCTCACCCTCCCCCAACACCCCGCCCCGACAATAACCCTCGCCCACCTCGCCCATCCTAATGGCCTCAGCCGGGGGCTTGACTCGCCGGAGAGGTGGCGGTCGAGCTACTGGCCCGGACGATAATGATGACAGCCGAGTATCCTCCCCTGTCCCCCGGAACGGCTCCGCGATGGACAATCGCATCCCCGAGACGTCATACACGAACTCAGAGAATGGACACAAGATCGCCTTTGATCCTAGGGATATCAGCGAAACGGAGGAACGAAGCAAGCAACCGAAACTTACACTCATGGAAGAGGTGCTCCTGCTGGGGTTGAAGGACAAACAGGTCAGTTTTGACCCCTCTAGAAGTGGAGGCTTGTCGCACTTCTGGCATTTGAACAATGGCTGACAGGCGCCTGGAAATCCCGCAGGGCTACTTGTCATTTTGGAACGAAAACATTTCTTACGCTTTGCGAGGATGTATTGTCATTGAGCTGGCACTCCGCGGCCGAGTTAGCATGCAGAAGGATTCCTCTCGACGAAGGTTCCCCCTAGCCGATCGGGTGATTGAAGTTATCGATGACACATTGACGGGAGAAGTCTTGCTGGACGAGGCATTGAAGATGATGAAGTCGAGTGAGAAGATGAGCGTGAACTCTTGGATCGACCTGATGAGCGGTACGTACAACATCCCTTCTCTCTTTTCGACATGCGCTAACCACCATGCGCGCAACAACAGGCGAGACTTGGAACCTGATGAAGATCGGATATCAATTGAAACAAGTGCGCGAGCGTCTCGCTAAGGGCCTTGTAGACAAGGGAATCCTCCGAACGGAAAAGCGTAATTTCCTCCTCTTCGATATGGCCACCCACCCCGTCGCCGATGGCGGCGCCAAAGAAGACCTCAACCGCCGAGTGCGCAACATCTGCAGCAGTCGCACTGTCATCCTGCCAGCCAACCAATGGCTTCCCGAAGACATCGAGTTCCGCTACCTACGCACAATCACCATGGTGTGCGCCGCCTACGCCGCGAACGTCTTAGAGAATGCGCTGGTCACCATGAGCCATGAAGCTCGAGAACGGGCCTTTGCACAGGTGGACGAACTTCTGGCCGAGTACTCCCAGTGGCCATTTGCGCGACGCCCAGGCGGCTCCCAATCTATTGGGGCTAATTTGGCCCAGGCCATCAACGACGAAATAAGCAAGGGCAGTGACAAGGAGCTTCAGCTTGAGGTATTACCAACCAATTCCTCAACCAAAACCACGGACATTGATTAACTTCTCTTCTCTAGGTTGTCGCGGCTTGTCTAAGCGTCTTCACTAGGCTCGACTCTCTCCTCTAAGTCTAGCTCTTGTACTTTTCCCGTTATCTTCTTTCCATTCCATCCCATTCCATCTACTGCCAATTACCATTCTATCCGATTCTCACCGTCCATATTCTTGCCCTTAAGCCCGCCGTCGGTGATTATCAAACATTACTTCTGCCCCGGGATCTTTGATGAAAAGAAAATTGCCCGTTAACGTTTGTTTTTGAACTCTTCGGCGTACGAGGCTAGGTTGGGCTAGGTTCCGTTGCTCCTTGAGCCTCAAGAAGGACAGGCTGTGTTTGTTTAATATGAAAGCTAGTCAAGCGAAAGCGACGCAATGTATTACTCTATAAGATTTAGCATTTTCTCCTTTTCTTCTTGAAGACTGTCATGACGTGTATCTTCCAGTTGACTTTCTCCGGGTTGTCCTGCGCCCAAATATTCTCTATTTAATGTCTAGGGGTCAAGGCAAGAAAACGAATTGCTCTAATTGACCACTGAGAACTAGATGAAAGAAAAACAGTTTCATTATTCGTGTGCTCGATTGAGTATAATTCAGATACTGAATACAAGAATCATTGCAAAAGGTTGAGGCGCTTGCTGTTATGTGCCGTACGAAGCAAAATATGAAAAAAATGCAAAGCGTAAATCAGGTATTCACTCGAAGCACATGGATCCCACCCATCCTCTCCCCTCCAGCAGCCGCAGCATTAGAAGAAAGGGAGCCCGCCCCGTTAACAAGATCAACAACATCCTCAACTCTTCCCCGAACAGTGTTCTTCTCAACCATAGTCGCAATCAAGCCTAGCGTCTTGCCGTCCGGTTCAACATGGACAAAGCGCGCCTGCGGCGTCCCCTCGCTCTTCTTCGGGTTGACATTCAAGACGGGGTTGGCATCCACAGCTGAAAGGACTGCACCGCCGTCTTTGATGATGGCTGGGGCGTTGGTTTGGGTAAGGATGACCTCGCCCGTACAGTCGAGGAGGATATCAACAGGCCCCCACTTGTTTTTGCGGAATGTAGTCTTCAGGTCGAAATCCTTGGGCATTGGATCCGGGACGAGGATGGTTTCATCGACGTCGGAGGTCTGGCGAAGTTTGGCGGATGCGTCTTCCGAGGCGCAGGTGACGCAGATCCAGGGACGGTAGCGCGGGAATAGGGACTCGGAGCGGAGGAGATGGAGAGCCTGCGTGCCGACCTCGCTATGGTGGGCATTTGTGATTAGAACGCGGAGATCCTTGCGGGCTGTGGGATCGAGGCCCGCGTATTTGAAGAGCGCTTGCCAGGCTGTGAGGGCTGGTAACGGGATAGTTGCTGCTTCTGCGGCGGAGATGTTCTGAGGCTTATGCGAGATCTCGTCCTCTGTTGCGAGGACGTAGTCCGCTGCTGCGCCGTCCTGGGAGTAGTCGATCAGGCCGAAAACGACCTCGTCGACTTTGAACCTGGGCCCGTCGGGCTTCTCATGGTCCTCGGTGGGAGTGCTGATGATTGTACCGCAAAAGTTGTGGACGGGCACTTGCGGAATGGATTTGATTGGGTTAAGCTCCTTCGCCAGTCTAAGCTCGTCATGCGAAAATGCGGCGGTTTGGACTTTGATGAGGTATTGAGATGGGGAGGGCTTCGGTGTTGGGAAGTCTGTGTCGAAGACTACTTCTGAATCTACTCTGGGATTGTCCAGAGACGTGTCGTCTCGGATGGCGGTAGAAGCGGGACACCAGTAAAGAGCCCTCATTGTGTCCGGGACGAATGTCTGTTCGTCCATTGTCGTGGAGAGTCGCTTCGCTGGCTTCATTGTTGCTGGTATCACAGTCGGGGCTATGTCGTTGCAAGGCTATCAAATAAGGGGGTGCGGTTTTGGCGAACAATCAAGAATGATAGAAACGATAAGCTGTGATAGGTAAAAAAAAATGTTGCGAGTCATTTTGTCCTTCGGATAATAGCATCGTCACTGCGATATACTCCAGTGTCAAGTCTCGCCACCCCGGACGTTGCATTGACGTAACTAACTGACAGCCAGTCGGATCAGCAGCCAGGTCCACCTTAACCCCAGAGTATGATATAAAACTGTGCTCAATAATGGGACAAAGGTACTTATGACTGTCCGGAAAGTAATCAAGGGGAAAAGCTTGCGTTGTCTCTTGCTCTGATCTCATCGAGCACATTGTAGACTTCCCTCGGGTGCTCGAATACATGCCAAATATTTTTCGGAACATCCTTGAAAGCCTCGGCGAATCTCTTGGACGAGTTTTTTTCTTCCATTTGAGGTACATCCGTGACTTTTCTAATGAGTATTGCGTGGATCCACTCGGGATGTCTTCTGTAAATCTCCGCGTAGGCTTCGGGGTCCGTCTGTGTGGAGTCTCCGATGCAAAGTGCTCGCCGATGCGGAAACCATTTCCGGATCTTCCTTATGCGGTCTACCTTGTATTCCATCGTGTTGACTGTGAAGGATTTGACCAATTCGCTCATGTCCAACCATGAGGAATCTCGAAGAATGAGGGTCCCTGGGGTGAAATGATCGCGGAGGAACCCTCGAAGGAAAGGATACAGGTTGTATGGTGATGCAGAAAGGTAGAACCATGTAGGCTCAAACCGTCGTTCGATACGAGAATACAGCTGAGGCATGCCGGGGATGGGTCTCGGCTCCTCGGCGAACGTTGTGCGGATTATTCCGGTGGCATTTGAAGTCTGGGTGTACTTGATAGTGTCGTCAACATCGGATACAACCAGCCAGCCTTCGGGTCCCGCAAAGGTTGTTTCCATCGTTGCCCTATCTCTCACACCTCGGACTCGGGACCAAATGCGCAGTCCATCTTCAATGTGACGAACACCCGTATTGAGGACCTGCGAGACAATACCATTCTCTCTTGTGGGGCCAATTTCATGGATTTGAGTTGGATGGTTGGGTAGAGGGAATTCGAGCATCATCGAGTGGTCCGCAACGACCTGATATAGGAAAGGTTGTAGGCGTCGCGCAATCCGGTGGCGTATTTCCTTTTCTGTGCCTAATTCTCCGTCGAGTCCAATAAGATCTGCGATCGCTGCCACAAATTTGCTAATGTCTCGTCGGCTGTTCTTACGGAATACGCAGGCCACAACCTCCACTCGCCATGAATGAGGCTCACCAGACACATGTGAGGCTGGATACCGATATGCAGTATTATCCAGCAGCCAAACTGTGTGTTGGACATCCGCTACTTGCGGAGGTTGTCTCAGTAACGTGGACGAGACGACTCGTATCATGCTGGAGTATCGTTTCCAAGACTGCGTAAACCGCCCCAACTTCTGAGGGAGGACAGGGTCCTTCGTCCGGATAAATGGAGAGCCCATTGTTTGGGTAATGCGGTGCTTGCTAAGTAGCCAGCAGCTTCTCTCAGAAGGATTGACTAGTATCGCGCAAGGGTTGACCCTGTATCGCACGCGGGATATAGTCGTTCAACGCAAGTCAAGATAAAGAAAATACCGAAGTCAAGTCGACTTGAAAGCTCCGCTTTGGCGGCCCCTCGGCGGCTATTCTTATACGGACCCCAGTCTTTGGGGCAAACCGCCCGCCTGATCTTCATATTCACAGAGACAAGCCACAGGTCAGTGACGCCTTGCCTGTGCCAGATACAGCTCTTTTTGAGTCACTCTGTCGTTCAACCATGAGTCAGCTGGACTAAGGCAAAAGGCTCAGTCTTGTTGGGATGAACAAAGTCTCAACTGCGAATACTGGATTTGATAGAAGGAGCGCATGGGCGTGCTTCGTCGCTTGGCGCCTAGATCTGTGCTTGTGACCCTATCAAAATCAGCAGTTCGTTCCCGGGCGCCTGACTGCTGGAGGTGAGATTTCAGGCAGATGTATAGTAGAACTGGCAAGGTCAGTTGCTAGAGCCTCTTGATCTCTCAGAGCCTTGAATTTCCGCGCCCTGTTGCTCGGGCAAGGCTTTGTGAACCGCTGGAAATAGAGAACTATCCGAAATGCGAAGGTCGAGTGATCAGTACTCTCTGCGATTAGTCCTCTTATGATGCCTCGTGGGCTAGGGATTCCAGGGCGGATGAGCGGAGTTGGAGAGCGATCATCAGACTCAGAGCGGATTGGCCGTGAGGCGCACATTCTGCGCGCATCTTCTGTACCCCTGATGCAGCACGCATTCCTGCCACCTAATTTCAATGTCAGTGACGATATCCGGAGAAATGAGCGACAGCTTATTTAATGACAAGTGATCGCTCGTGTGATTCATCGACTTGAATGAAGTCTGGCAAGACGGTCGAGAGATCGACCATATTCATCTTAATGCCATTTCTATATCCAATTCTTTGAGCCCAGCCAGTGGCCACCCTCGGGTTGGATTCATTAATCAAGGATTGTTATTTGGGTGATGAAAAAAGCAAAGATAAATCAAAAGACCTGGAAAGAAAAGATCACGTGAACCAGCCTCCTTGATCAGCTCCTGAAAAACAAACGACAAACAAAACTTTCAATAAATTCGACTTCGTGAGATCGCCTTGAAATCCAATGGGCTTGCTTCTCGAGATATTGCAACACTTGGCCCACACAATTCACGAGAGGCCTGGGTGAGTTGAGCACAGTTTGAAGCATGCCCCGGGCACCGAATCGGGTCGTGGATTGGGAATCCGGCCAGGTATACACAGAAACTGTGTCAACGCCTGCCATTTCAGCCCTGGATGGCGCGGCATGGGTTCATGAATCGCCATATTTGCCTAGCGGATTCGAGGAGGGAAGCCCTTTTGGGGCATCTCCACTGAGGCATATAGCGATGAGAAAACTTGTCCTAGACCAGAGGAATTTGTCGCCCAGTTTATTCACGAACGTGCCATGGAATATTGCTAGCGATGTATGGGACCTTTTGGGTAGATGGTCAGTGAAACCTATGAATATATCCTGCCTAGGCTTATGCGCAACACTAGTAAGAAACAAACTTTGCATATGTGGAAGCTTCTTGCTACAGTATATCCGTCTCAGCTAGCTGAGACCGAGCAATACCGCTCAGTGGAGATCGAAAATCCCAAACTTTCCATGAAAGACTACCTGTCGTTAACGAAAAGCGACAGTTTGAACTGGCGGGTTGTACTAACTCTGGCATCATCATATGCTAGGATACCTGAACTTGTGGGAATTTCCGAGATCAAGAATCTATGCGCGTTAGATATAGCTACGCCCGCGAAACTGCATGCATTGCCCGAGGATACCGATCTCCAGGTAACAGCTCTGACAGACCGAATCGTTCGCGCCTGGAGCGAACTGGCTCAGACAGCGAAGGCATTCTCACATCTCCGAGTTGTAATTCTACGGCACCAGACGGATCTGTCCAAGGTGGCTCTCCATTACTTGAGGTTCTTTCCGAACCTGCAATCAGTCGTCGCATTCGGATGCCCTGGCATTGAGTCTGCATTATCTGGTGGCAACGTAGATGGGTGGACGTTAGCAGAGGTGAAGCGATCCGCCCCAGCTACTCTTTACGCACACTACAAGGCCAGTTGCAATGCAAACAGCAATGACTCAACGGTCGCGGAAAGCCCAGTCCTGGACTTTCAAATCGGCGAGATGAAGAAGTCTCGCGGACCACCCAGCACACCGTATTCGGCCATATATCTCCAGCGGATAGGTAGCGTTCCTGGAGCGAAACCCGAACCGAACACCAAGAAGCGAAAGGAAGCCGGGCCTCTTGGAGATCAGCCTGGACAGCCTCGAAAGAGCAAGGCCGTTATGAAAGACCGCACCAAAGATATAGGGGATGTGCTCAGCAGTTTTTTCTAGCTACTGCGTGTATACGGGGAGTATAGAAGTGCGCCGGATGATGTCAGCTATGTCAGCGTAATCAATCTACCTACCTAGTTACGCAAATTGTCATATAAAACCATCCAGAGTTCCTCATCCATTTCGACCATGGCCATAGGGAGTCCTCGCTTTCAATTAATAGATTGGCGATAGCGTGCGCCGGTCTCATTGGCCGCTGGGCCCTGGCCGACCGCCGCTTCCCCCGCAACGCCGCGTGATTCTCAAGCTCAACTTTCTTGACTTCTCCCATTCCAAGCCGACTGAGCATCTTATTTATTCTTTCTTATTGTTGCTGAAGCTATTTTCGGCCGGCGTCAATCTCACTTTCCGTGCTTTCTCAGTACATCGAAGAGTGCTACCCATTTGCAATAGTGGAGGAGCGAGTCTCCCCGCAGTTCTCATTTAGACCATGGCCGAACAGCTCGACGTACCGGAGAGCTCCAATGGCTCTAATGGAGCGTCCCCGCGATCAAGCACTGATTCTCGTCCACCGTCAACCGGAGGCCGGACTCCTCGACTATCCTCTCACGCCTCGAACCACCAACATCGACAGAGCTTCAGCGAATCTCTCCGCGCAGCACCTAGCTCCCCGCGTGCCCGACGCCAGCCTTCGCTCACACAGGCCGCTATACAGAGCTTAATCGACAATCCCCCAGCTCCGCACAATATGAATCCCGCCTTTGCTGGTCGAGATTGGCGCGAAATCTCAATCGGCGAGCTGGTGACCGCGAATGACCTGAGGTTCGTGGAGGTTGATACTGGAATCGAGGATGCTACGAATGTATGTCCACCTGCGTCTTTATCAAACTACTGGACTAACGGGCTTGTGGGTGGTAGATCCTTATTGACTCTGATGCTCCAGTGCTGTTGATTCGCGAGACGCCCGAGCACAAGACAGCTGTTGGGACCTTTGATTATAGCGACCTCAACACGTACCTCCTACTTGCAGCTGGTTTGACCAGGCCCGATGAAGGCTTACTTCCTGCTTATGAGGAGCTTGCCCGCAAGGCTCGCGAGAACATTCCGATCCCGATGAGAGACGTGAAGGAGCTGGGCAGAAAGGAACCGCTGACGACGCTCCCGGCGTCTGCCAGCTTGATGACGGCAGTTGAAACATTTGGGGGTGGGGTGCATCGTGTGGTCGTGATTGATGAGCGACGAGACAACGAGGTCCTAGGCATTGTCAGTCAATTTAGGCTCGTCAAGTTTCTCTGGGAGAATGGCCGGTGCTTTCCAGTGCTAGACCAACTGTACCCACAGTCGTTGCGAGATCTGAAGATTGGTTCTCACGCGGTCATCTCAATCAAGTATGTTTATGGTCTCTCCTGGAGTGCGCATACTGACGTTCGTTAAGTGGCGACAAGATGCTCTCTGAAGCGCTGCAGCTGATGCATAGCGAAGGAATATCGTCAGTGGCCGTTGTCGACAATCACTTCAACGTTGTTGGAAACATATCTACCACAGATGTTAAGGTACGGCTAATTACCGGTGGGCTATATCGCTCACCGGCCCTTTTCATGTACTTGCTGACCAGAATAGCTCCTCACGAGGTCATCATCACTCCCTCTTCTAAGCAATACGTGCACACATTTTATCTCAGTCATCCTCTCGACGCGCGGCCTTCAAGAGGGCAAGGACTCATTCCCTGTGTTTCACGTAAACCCAGCTTCGACCCTAGCCCATACAGTGGCTAAAGTAGTGGCTACCAGGTCGCACCGGTAGGTTTTGCTCGTTTCCTTCTACTCTATGCAGCGCTGACTTACGCTACGTAGCTTATGGGTTACCGATCCCTATTCACCGTCGTCATCAGGGCCTCCTACCCCCTCTCACTCAATGGTGCACATTCCACTCCAATCACCGCCTGAATCTCTCAATCCGCCCGTGGCCAATGTGCAGCCGGTCGGCCAACCAACACAAGGGCCTTATGTAAGCCCTGCACCTCTTACACCATCGATTCCAGCGTCTGCTCTACCGGGGGCTCGACTCTCCGGGCGTCTCGTGGGCGTGGTCAGTTTGACTGACGTCTTGAACTTACACGCGCGAGCTAGCGGGCTAAGCCCGGCGGATCCAGCAGAGAGTCGCAGTCGGCGACGACGAAGTAGTAGCTCGAGTATTAGTGTGCGGCGAAGCGGTGAGATAGGGCGAGAACTATTTAGCCGGTGAAGCATTGGAAGAGCCGTGACTGAGAGAACTGGAGTTTTACATGCACATTACACCAAGACCTATGATTATGTTTTAGCTACATTCATACCTTCCACTCTATTCATGAGAGGAAGGATCCATCCAGGCCGGGGCCGGGACTCAAAACAGGCAGCCTGAAAATAATTAAGAATGTACCGATAGGTATGCTCGATCAGAATCGGTACTGATAGTGTATAATCCCGGTGTCTGGACGGTTCTATATGACTTATGCTTATAAATTCTCCAATTCGTAGGTGCTGGAATGTCTACGGTTCTAAGCGTGTGTACCAATCGGTCTTTTCATCCGTTTGCGTACTTTGTCAGCTGTAATAATAGGCAGTGGCGGGCCTCTCAAAAGCTAAGCTATATGAAAGGGAAACTTACAGAGTCAAAGAACAGGAACCTATCGCCTGTTGTGCTTGCCTAGCAAACACGATGAACCAGGGCAATGACTTCCGCTAATATGGCCATTCAGATTAGGGCCATTATGAGCCCACTCTATGTTGGCTTTTCTCGGCTTCTTTCTGTCTCTCTTACCCCTCCTTCCACTTCCCTCCCACAGTTAGGATGCTTACACTCTTGGAGAACGCCCTGAATTGGCCAGGTAGCTCAGGTAAAATGCCGAAAGAGGACCATTGCATGGACTTCCTTTGCTAGCTTCACACCAACCATTTGAAGAAGGATACCTTCATCATCAGCGAAGCCCAAGAGCGACTCAAGATCCGGGTTGACAGCTCCTCATGAAGACGACAACCATGACCACGAAGTGCCGAATGTCTTCATTCCCTGGACGTACGATGACCTAGCGAATACCCCATCAACCTCGACCTTCTGGACCTGGTTAAAGGTGTGGGAATTCGGGCCAGATTCCTCAATCGCTAGAGTGCGTTCGAAGATAATGGGGAGTCTATTGGAAGTCGTCAGGCGGGTATTGCGCCCGCCTCGCTCGAGAAGCTCTGGTATATCCAAGGAAGGGAACATTAAATGATGAGAGGACTCTCAAGGTGATGTGGGAAACTCACTGGAGGTCTCAGGCGTGAGTTAAATCTCATCCTTTGTTAGCCAAGTGCTTTTGCTTATACCTCATTATAGCATTTACCTATGTGATGATAGATCAGACTCGCACATCACCAGGGCTAAACCATAGTGGTTGGTTGTGTCTACCTGATTGACAGTGAGACGCCCTTTTCAAAATGATGGTGTACCCCTTTGCCTCAAAACCTCCAAAATGCCTCTTCGCGGGAAGGAACTAGCCATATTCGCGGCTATGAACAATTGGCTGTAGAGTGAAAAGCTGAAGAAACATGTCGTTACCGGTATACTCAACCTCTGGGTTAGAAAATGGGACTGACTAATGATACCTTTTTCCACTTAGGTGATGGTATTCTCCTTGGTTGTTCCGCAGCAGAACAGAATTCTGACCTCGTATTTTGACGGGGAAAGGCAATATTAATGGTTTGGAAGTCAGACCCGTGCCACTTTCACAAGGACGGGTGGGGCGTTGTTCGGCTTCTTTCTGAATCTGAGTTACATGACAGCGGACGCCAACGACGCTCCGGATACTACCATGTTTCCAGCGCCACTCGAAGAGGAATGGGGGACGGCACACATAATAACACGGACCATTGCTCAACCGCAATGTAGTCCTCTATATTACCAAGAGGTGGGTACGGAGAACACCGACTCGCAAAGCTGAAGTTCGATAGGTGGCGAATGAGACAGTATAGAACAGTCATGCCAGGGGCAAAGACAGCCTTGGGCCAGGCCGTGTGGGTGGATGAATTGAATCAGGCCACTACTTTCCCCGCATCTACCGACTTGGGTAATTACCTACCCCTACCTACCCAGTACCCAGCCTATCGTAGCCTCTGTACTGCAGACCAGGCTAGGCTAGACCACCAAACCCGCTGAGGATGCTATTCTACAATCTACACTCGAGAATCGACTTCCCGCTTCACGGAGTGAGACTCCACCGCAGCTCTTCTGCAAGGTGCGCATTACATCACCCAGGTTCCAGCCATTCCACTAGCACTAGTGACACACGCAGTCCAACTCCAGCCCAACAAAAATAAAATTCGTCAACAACCTTCTGCAGGGGCCACGCCAACAGGACGAAAAATTCCCACTGGCACTTGCGTGGCTGCAGGACGTGGCAAGGTTACTCTGTCCTATCGCCCAAGGGATCTGGTCCTGTCCCTTCATTATTAATTTCAGGGCAGAGTGAAAAGCTCAACCATGGAAGTTAGCAATAGCGATCTCGACCCGGCTACCAACGGGATTGAATGGCTGGAGCGAGCGAGTGCCAAGCCCTCTGCAGAAGGCACTAACCGCACCCGGCCTAGCGGGAACACGATCGACAGTGGGAGAACTTTAAATATGTGATTGGGCCAATGGCACTGCAGTTGCTATTGCTAATCCATCAGTATGGGACGGTGTGGAGCCTCCGAGCCAGCTTAAGCTCACACTGCAGTCACTGCACAGGCTGCAGTGGGCCCCAGCACAAGGCTGCACAGCAGTGTGCACTGCAGTAAGGTATCCACTCTCGACCTCCCCGCCGGCGCCCCCGCCAGTTCCGGGTTCAGCATGAGGACTTCCAACAGGGTAGTGGACGGGTCCAGGTTCTGCGGCGTCAAAATCACGCGGTTGAGAAGCATCACTCTCCAAAAAGGAGCTGAAGCACTAGGCCTACCGCTGGAGATTATCGAATGTACCAGTCGATTGAAATCTAGAGTCTAGACCTCAGAATCTTACAAGATAGCTACTTTTAGTTTCCAGATTGATGTTACATCTCATCCGTCACGGGCCATCCGCAACTCGTCACATCACGTTATCGGTACTCCGCGCCCTGTCTCAACGCTCACCTTCCGTTTGCGGTCGAGGCCAGTTACCTCATTCCTATGTCAGTCCTCCGGTGGTTCGGGGCTATTCAGGGCTTGGATCATGCCCCAACGCAGTAATGTGCCTAAGTGTAACGTCGGGGGATAGACCTTGACTATTTGCAGATCAAGATGGTGTACCTTGCAGACTTGCGGTCCATTCACATATGGGCCAAGGCCAGAAGCTAGTGTGGGTAGTTTTGCAGAAATAAAAAAAAGAGAAATCCATAGAATATCAAAACCACTCTTCGCAGGTATTCAAACTATGGTATTGGTAAGGCACTGTCGAGCACACGTCAAGTCGGAAGAGAACGCCCGGTATCAATAATGCCAAAGAAAATATTCGAAGAGATCAAACCGCTCACATGTTAGTAATGTACTCTTTCATATCCAAGTTGCCAGAGAAGCCAGTAGTATCTGCAGGAGTACCATCACCAGGGCCCGTCGGTACCTGCCAATGGGACATGGTCGGGTAATGGTTCGGATCAAGATGGTTCTGGTCAAGAGTGGAGGCAAATTGGCTAAAGTCGAGGAAATCCTGATCTGCACTCTCAGCCATCCCCTGCCCTGGTAATTCTAAGCTGAGTTGGAGACCTGCATCGAAGCCCTGTAGCTCAGACAACGTGTGTTTGAATGGGTCCATCTCGGTCATGTCCAGGTCGCCCATGCTCATGTTCATGCGCGGGTTGGAGGCTTGGGAAGAAGCCGGAGTATGAGGCGGCGTGCTCCGCGGTGTAGGCAGCAACTCGATGGAGGAGCTAGGGTCCGAGAATGATGGATTGTTGTTTGGGTGAAATCCTGTGTGTAAAGACATCGACGAGGAAGGGGAGGAGGTCGAAGTGGAAACAGTTATGGGAGCCGGCCCCGGTTCTGACCGCACTCGGTGATGCTGGTTCGTTCCGGGGATGGCGTTGGGGCCTGGTGCTGGGGTAGCAGTCTGAGGTGGAGCTGGAGTCGCAGCCTGATCCTGAGCCTGGGCTTGTGCTTGTGCTTGTGCTTGTGCTTGTGCTATAGTTTGGGCGGGCAACGTAGGAGCAGACGCAATGCGGTTGCGGAACTGACTCGGCAGCTCTCCAATAACAGGCAGGCCACCCATGGATGTCGAGTCGGACATGGCATGGCGAGGGAAGAGATTTTGCCAGGTCTGCATTAGCTGCTGTTGCTGCTGTTGCTGCTGTAGCTGTGGACGCATGGTCAAGCTAGGCTCCGTAATAACGTAGGATGGCACCTGGGCTTGATTGGGGGCCTCAGCTGGGGTCATGTACGGCGGTGAGAAGTTGACCCCCGGAGTCGAGAAGGCATTGGAGCTGAATTTGCCCGGCTCAGTGCTTGGTCCAGGGATGGTGTTGCGCAGGTGAGAGAGATCTATAGTCAGCCTCCGAGCGCCATGGATGGGCCCAGTGGGTGCAACGCTGGATGCCCGATGATGACTGTTGCGTCGGCTGGAGATTGGCCGGTTCTGAGCCCGCTGGTTTTGTGAAGCGTTTGGCATTCTCGGACTATGGGAAGTAGACTCCTGCGAAAGCGAAGGGCTGGGTAGACTCGAGCTCTGTGAAGTACTAGGCATCTGCAGGCCGGAGTGCGATGAGTGCTGCAGACTGTATGAAGGTCCGGTGTGTAGTGGAGCGAGCATCTCGCTTCTCTGCGAAGCAGCGGACACGCCAGCGAGAAGTGAGTTGTCAAAGTCATGGTTCAGCTGCGCATTATGGACACGCATGTATTGAAGCATCTTTGCGCGATAAGTGTCGTCAATCTCCTCATACATTGATTCATTCTCAACGACCTCGCGGTTGATCATGAGAGCCCTCCCGGTGCGCTTCTTGTGTAGCATCGAAGCCCGATTGGCGGACTCAATGCGAGCATCCAAGCTGCGGTCTTTGCGCCTGGAGGCTGCAATAAAGGCACTGCTGATATTAGAACTGGATAGACGTATGGAGGGAAGAAGTCGCACCGTTCCTGGTTCTCCTCCTTGGTGCGGCCCTGGTTCTGACCGTAAGACTCGATGCTTGGTGGTCTGGGAGACATCTTCCTGGGTAAGGATAGTGGTGAGAATGTCAAGAGGATTGCGGGGTGGAGGTGGAGGTGGAGGTGGAGGTGAAGAAGGCTGAAGAAGAGCTGCAGAGGGTGACATGGAGGAGCAAGTTAAATGCCCGCCAGGCCAGGTCGAGAGGCGCGCCGTCCATGGTTGGCAGCTGCCGCCCAGGTCTGCGTCCTCTCTGGGTCACTGGCGGGCTTTCCATGGGGCTGCCCGCGTTAAGGTTTCTTACGCACGAAGCACCGCAGCCACGCAAGTCTAGGCCTGCCACTCTTCGCCCTCTCCTCGGCTTCCTTGCCTTTCCTCCAGGCCATTCTGAAGTCCCGTCGGTTCTTTCACCATCTGCATCAGCGAATCATCTCTTTGTGGTGTCAAGAAAGTCGTTGTCTGTCGGTCCCTGGTTGTCTCGGTTCGCTCTTCCTCCTCGCCATCTAGTACTCCTTGACAGCCATCCGATCCATCCGCCAATAGGCAAAGAAGCCATTCTGACAGCTGCAGCTAACGCACTGTTCAGCGATCAAACCCCGAATCAACTCCACTTGCCACCCTCCTGCTCCTCCCCCGGTCCCCGTCCTCTCTATCTGCTTCCAGTATAGAGCTCAGCTTCTAGCCCGGCCCCCCATCCCTTGGTCCTTTCTTCGGATGGGTAAGCTGGGAAGCTCCCTCCAATTCAATCGCAACCAGTCTACTGTCCGAGGAACTGCCGCACTGATAATGCGGGAGACAGGGCACCTTCCCACGTTTCCCCTTACAGCCACTTTCCTCGCCACTGCCCCTTCGCCTAAGGGCTTCTCGGCTGTGTGGTAAATTCTACCTTGGAATTATCTGGAGGAAGATATAGGTTGGCAAGTGGTTCCCGATCGTCCGAGCTGGCCGAGGTTTGCCCTACATCCCAGCAGCGCCTCAGACGGAAGATATCGGGGTACGCCGTACACTATCGTCTTGCGACCTCTCGTCATACGATGAGAAACTATCCCCTGTCGTCACACTCTACCCTTCGCTATCGGGCATCAGGCCATATCTTGCACTTGCATCGGGTCCGATGCTCGTGGCTCGCCTATTTTCTCCAGACCTACGTAGTAGGCGCTCAGATCGAGATTGCGCTAACGCAGGGACTCTTAGCTTTAATCTAAGGCTGTCAGAATGAGGGGCTAGACTCCAGTCTGGCTGTACAGGATGGAGGTAGAAAAATGGCGTATCTTTGTTCTTGTGTTGAGATACGCATACGGCTTCATGGTTATAGGTGTCCTCCTCACCTCGGGTGATAGGTTTAGTCTATGCACCTGTTTGACCAACCATGCGCCTCACCGATTATACAAGTCCGCCACAAGGTATAGAAAATTTATTATCCTCAGTTTCCACCTTCCCATTTTTGCCCAACTTCGTTCATGCACGGCGACTGAACAGGGCGTTTGCAACCTACATCGAGAGTGGCAAGCTGTTCATCCGAAATTCAAAAGCCGGGCGAGTTCTATCTCTTGCCCCATTCGGGCCAACGCATATTTGGACAGCATCTTAAGTTCATGGGAATCTGCCAAGATCATACCAGAAACGGTAGACACGGTGTCCATCTTGAACAATTTAGGGCTACATCATTATGCCATGATTCACTCAAACCCGATCCAAATTAAGATTTATATCTGTCATATTCATGTAATTACCGTTTGGACTTGGCCTGAGTGTGTACAGGCGTGGATATGGATGCAAACTCTTTACCCTGCCTCTATGGTTGATGGAGCGGCTTCGCCCGATTCCTCAAATCTTCTACATACAGTAAGTACCATCACTCTTAGCGCTTACAATACACGGCATTACCCAAACGATTTCAGTCTCGGAAATATAAGATTTCTCCAACAACCAAGGACATCCCTCCCACATCCCATACCCTAGGTCTAGGGCGTGGAGGCGGCGGCTAAATTCACAAAATATAAACAAGAAGAGCGCTGCAGTTAACAGGCTAAGCTGAGTAAGTGAGTAGGTAGGCTGGCGCAAATACTCAAGAGGGTAAACTAAGCTAACTAAGTAAGAATAAACTAGTCGTGGTAGCGGTAGTTCTATGCAATTCCCAAAGTCGGAACCATCCCCTGCTCTTCCTTTGTTTCGCTGCCGAGCCGGTACGAGACGCGGAACCGAATCTTGACTGAGTTGCCCTTGCCCATATCAATTCCGTCGAGGAGCATTTCCTGTTGCACTCCGTTCTGTTGGAGGGGGCCGATGTCGCGGCCAGACTGAGGCCGGAGGTGTAGGGTATATGCCTGTTCAATCGGTTAATGGGACCATTGGTTAATGGACGAGAGAAAACGTACCTTTTCAACGGCGACCTGAAAGTGGAGATCACTCAGAGGTTGACTTGTCGCATTTGAGAAGTTCGCAATGATATGGATTTGGCGTTGTTGCTGAGGGTGTCGGCGGGCGACGAACTCGACCTTCAGTGACGAGTTCAACACCTGCACGCGATTGGTACTCGGCAATGAACTACTCTGCGGTAAGGATGAGGCAAAGTCCCACTCGTCATCGTCTGTTGCCTTGGGCTTCTGCTCAACTCCGGCGCCAGCTCCAGCGAGGTCAAGTAGGGTAGACGATGCGGGCGGCCGAGGGCTTGCAGAGCTGGAAGGGAGTGGGCTGTTGTGTCGAGGGCTGGCAGATACTAAGGACGCGAATGGGTCCACTGCGGGGGGTGGAGTTGCAGTAGCAGGAGGTTGGGAGAATGCAGGAACAGGTGTCGACGAATATGACGGAGGTTGGGTTGAACTTGAACCTAACGAGCCGAGGATATCGAAGTTTGGTTGGAATGCGCTGGGATTCTGAGGTAATTGGGGAACCGGAGGGCTCGCTTTACAACGTTAGTCAATGTCTGAGCAAAACACAGATCATACGTACTCTGTCCTAACGAGATTCCACCTGACGGAATCGGCTCGTCGATCGATAGCCCAAGTAAGTCATTTTCAATAGAACTGGATCCCTGCGCCGGCTGCTCTGCGCCGTTGGAACTAGGCTCTGGGTCGAAATCGATCAAAGACAGCTCGTTGTTGGCGTTCTTGGACACGCCCGTACTAGTGCCTAATGTGCCCTTGGGGATCCTCGTCGCGGCTTCCCAATCGCCGCTCTTCACAAGCTTATACCGTTGAATCGTGCGGTGTATGCTGTCATTAATCTCCAATAGTTTGCGCACGGCTTCTGGGTCATCCGACTCCTCCTCGCACATCTTCTGTATCTTCGGATGCGCGCTCTGAAGGGCATTCGCGAGCTCCTATGTTGAGTTAGAATGCTTTTTGGTTTGGAATCCATGCATCTTTACCTCAAACACATCGCCCTCCGCGATCCGATCACCCGGCGCCTGGCTCTGTAGCATTTCTTCCAGAATCTTGGCCTTCTCCTGCACCTTAGCTACTTCCTCTGCCGCCTTAGCCCGGTAATCTGTCTTATGCCGAGTGTCAAATCCAGCCATGACCTTCATCAGCCGGTTCGCCTCTTGTAGATCTGCCGGTGTCCCCCTTCGAATAAGCTCCTGCAGCTTGGCCGATTGCGCCTCTCGTTCCTCTTCTTCCATTTCCTCCGCCGAGCGCAAATTCTGCAACCAGTCAATACGACTCTGGCAACAATCGTGCAGGCCAACATACATCGCTGGGGTTCAGAACAGCCGCATCCTCGCGCCGGATCTCCGGGAAAACATAACCCTTGTATAGCAGTAGTCGATGCATATCACGAATATGTCCTAGATCATCCTTATACCGCGACGTCTGACAAATAGTCTGCCTCCACTCCTCAATTGACTCGAGAATGCGATGCTGGACCCTCGTGGCCCGCAAAGGCGGCCGTTCGGGGAAGCGACGGACCAATTCATTCAGAAACTCCTTCGTGCTGATCTGGAGGTGGAAAGGGTACCCGCAATTTTTGACGCAAATGTCCAGGAGCTACCGAAGCCGACTCCGTTAGCAATGCGCCGTTCTGCGCTAGTCACGGAGATCTGTCTTACCGCCAATGCTAGTAACGAGACATTCTGGTTTCGCGAGTTGATGAACCGGACGATTTCGAACGCTGCTTCTCGGGGACTATGGTGGCCGAAAGATCAGAAATGTGTTTTCTGAGGTTCGCGCTGTAGCTTCGATTGGGGCGCGGCGACTCAAACCCAGAGGCGGGAGTACTCACGCATTGCCTTTCTTGGAATTGACCAGATCCGCAACTTCGAGGTTTAGAGCGAGATTCGGTTCGTAGAGGGACAAGTCACAGGCGTTTCCTGCAGATTGAGCGAGCGAATTAGTCAAGAATAACAGATGCGTTCCGTTGCACCGCCCGGGCGTCACGTACGAATGGCCCTTTGAAGAGGGGTGAAGCCCAGGTCAGCATAGGCACCACCAAAGCGGTCCCTAGCTGCCATCCGTGCTGAAGCGGCCTCCAGGGTGACGAGAGGGGCCAGTGTAAGAAGTTAAAAAGAAGAAATGCAATTAGGAGATATGTAGCTCTCAAGAGCCGAGGCGATGGGCGTATCACTATCGGGCAGGGAAGTGGTGGACGTGGTGGAGTTGAGGACCGATGGGTCGCCGGCAGTCTGGCGGCGACGGCGTTTAGCTCTAACTCCACGTGTTTGCTCGATTTCTTTGGCTTAGTCCCTCTTCTAATTAAGACCGTGTCAAATCTCTACGCTCACCTCTTTATCACCTTTATACCCTGTTCCTACCATTTGCATCACGATGGTCCGCCACAAGAAAGACAACTTCTCCCGCGGAGGCAAGAAATTCTCGAGCCCCCGCCCACGCCCTGTACCCCGCGATGGGAACGATTCCGGCTCGGAAAGGCCTCCTTTCAGAGCCGCATGCTGGGATCTCGGTCATTGCGATCCGAAGCGATGCTCAGGAAAGAGGCTAATGAACTTCGGTCTGATGCGAGAGCTGGCCATCGGGCAGAAGTTCCAGGGTGTGGTTGTCTCGTACGTTGTCTTATCCAAGAACGAAGGGCGATCAGCGACTGACAGTATAACGTGTAGGCCCAATGCGAAGAAAGTCGTCTCCCCCGCCGATAAAGAGCTACTAGAACAATATGGCGCCGCCGTAGTAGAGTGTTCCTGGGTGAGAGTTAAGGAAGTCCCGTGGTCGCGGATTGGAGGGAAGTGTGAAAGACTCTGTAGGTCTTCTTTCTCCGCGCAAGGAATCCGCGGCGCTAATTTGGCCAGTACCCTACCTAATCGCAGCAAACACAGTCAACTACGGAAAGCCATGGCGATTAAATTGCGTCGAAGCTCTAGCCGCCTGCTTCTGTATTTGCGGTCACGAAGACTGGGCCCGAGTCGTCCTAAAACCCTTCCGATACGGCGAGGCCTTCCTCGAAATCAACGCGCAACTTCTGAAGCGGTATGCGGCATGTGAAACAGAAGAAGACGTCAAGCGGACAGAAGAGGAATGGCTTGCGAAGATAGAAAAAGAGTATGAAGAGAGCAGGGCAGGAGGCGCAGATGACATGTGGACCGTCGGCAACACGAACCGAAGATTGCAGCCAGACTCGGAAGATGACGATGACACGACTAGTGACGATGAGGGAGAGAAAGACGATGAAGACGACGAAGGGGAAGAAGAGAAGGACCCTTACGCTATTTCTGACGACTCCGACGACGAAGATCAGATGGCCGCCATTCGTGCGAAGATCCTCAATTCGAAATCCTTCCAGAACCCGTCAGTCCCTGATAAGGTGCAGCCAGAAAGGATTGAACGGCCGGATAACGGACCACTAGAAGACTCGGATGCCTTGTCGGGTACAGAAGGAAGTGACGACGAGGCTTTCGATAACATCATAAACGCCACGCCGGTCACTGATCGAACAGGCATTATAGCTGCATCAAGACACAAGTCACAAGACACGTTCAGTGCCTCGTTTTCAAGGACCGTTGTCAACGCGCCTAGGAGGGGGTAGTTATTCAAGACAGAAAAGCTATGCTACTATTTGATAACGGATAAATGAATATATGGAATGAACAACTGTACTCCTGCACCCACCACATAGTAGCTTGCTATAGGGATGATGAACTTGTATGCAGGGCATCCACAGGTATGATCTTCTCCTCCAGATGCTGCCCGAGTGGAAACCATTTCTCTAATGATGAAACCGCGCCATGATCATGAAAACACGAAAAGCAAAAAGACATCAACATGCAAAAAGGATATTTTAATGACGAGACTATGCATGAAAAGGCAGAGCGCATCAAAGTGTTGTTTATAGGTGATAAAATCAGGATGGTAGAACCCCAAAAAACCGCCATAAGCCCATTACATTACATAGAGTAGGTTCACATCTAGGAAATCCGTCAGAAAAGCCCTCGTACAAGAACATGTTATCCAGGAACAGGGGACGTACCCAACGGGTGACTGGAACTCAGCTGCGGCTTCTGTGAGTATTTGGTCGACAGCTCATCTCGGATGCTGTTCAACAGCTGCACATAACTTTGCTGAGGGTTCTTGCGCATAGCAGTGATGAAGGCCCATGACATCGCACCAGTAGCCTGGCCTGCGATCTGGGCGTCTTGGCTGGTCTGAGAATCTTTGCTCCCTGACCACATGATAACATCTGCGGGGCTGGTCTTGGTCTGCTTAGTTCGCTCGTAGGCTTCATCGCCCTTGGCGGCCTTCTTCAGGAAACCGACGGCTGTCGACATCATGCCACCCATATCACCACGCGCGTACGATGAAATGACGCCCAGTAAACCTTGACCTGCTTCCTTTGCGAGGTTGGGTTCCTTGAGGATACCCTGGGTCGAGTAGATGTATGGCAGATCTAGGGCAGAGCCAGAGTGACACGAGTCGAAGATCGCCGTCAGTCGCACGCCTGGCCGAAGCGGTTTCACCATGATCCGATGCATCTCGTCGTCGACTATGTGGCCCGCCACTCTGAAATCTACAGGGTAGATGACTTCGTCGTATCCATCGTCTTCGTCACCGTCCAAGTCGGGTGTCTGGCCACCGTGTCCGGAGTAGTGGAAGAAGAGAGAATCGTTGGGTTGCGCGTCCTTAACCAGCCAGTGCATGGCACGCAGGATATTCGCCTTCGTCGGTTGGCTCATCGGGTTTTGTTGATCATCTGTCAAGAGCACCATGTCCTCCCGGGCGTAGCCAAAGTTCTGGTTAAGGTATGTGGACATGTTCTTCACATCGTTAATACATCCACGCAGCTGGCCTTTCTGGCTGAAATAGTTGATACCAATCAAAAGAGCCTTTCTCTTCCCCGTGCACCTAGAATACTGGAAGCTATAACCTTGTGGCGCGCCGTGACCGAAGGCTTGTGGTTGGGAAGGCGGAGCAGCAGGGCCCCCATGCGAGGACGGGTAATGGCTTTGTTGGTACGAGGGCTCTGGGATAGTGTCAGCAGAACGTCTGGCTGACGGTTGACTGATTTTACGCACGTCGTCCATGGTACATCTGGCCGCCAGTAGGAGGAGCGGGTGAGGGCGGATAACCTGATGGGGGTTGCTATATGGCAAAGTCAATAAACAACAGCATGATGAATGCCCATCTTGCAACATACATTGTATCCGTGATTAGGAGGGTACGTCTGAGGTGCTGGGTGGCCGTATTGCGGGTAAGGGTTCTGCTGCTGACGGTAGTCCTGGCCAGGATAGCCGCCGCCGTAAGACGGTTGTTGATGGTGGTGATGCATTTGCCTGTGGGGTGGAGATAGATCCTCGATAAGTCAAATGTCCAATATGCGGTCGGTAGAAGAGCGCACTAAAAGAGAAGAGTGGAAGAGCAAGAAATGTGCAGGTAGGCAAGAAAGCAAGCAAGGTTGGAAGGTTGGCTAGTCTTACTGGTATGGGGGCGGGGAAGGCTGGTAGTTTTGAGGAGGATACGGTTGCTGCGGCGGGGGGTATCCGGGCGCGCCGGAATAAGGGGGGTAGTAGGACATTCTGTCTAATCAGACGGGCTGGCCAAGGAAACCACTTGAAGCCAAAATAGACAAATAGGAGCGGCAGGGCTGAGGCCGGGCTGTCGAATGCAGACGGAGATGGTGGTGAGGGAGGGCGGGAGAAAAGATGCAGCCTTAGGCCTAAGATCAGGTGGGGAAAGCATCCGCCATGGATTGGATCCAGCCGATACCAGTCGGTTACACTTACAGGGCAGACTGGTCAACGATTCATCAACAACAAACCGGCCTCGCCGACGCATCAGCCAGCCGAGATTCGCTAGTGCCATCTTATAAAGCCCCAGCCAGTCCAATCAACTGCTGGAAACTTGTGTTCGAGCCCAAGCCGTCGGAATTCGATCATGCTGGTTTGTTCTTGAATTTTTACCTGCACTTGGCGGCTGAGCCTAACTTTCAAGGATGTTTCATGCTCTTCAGCCTTATGTGGACCGTCCCGCACACGTGAGGCCCGAGAATGAGATCCAGACGCTTGGATCGTTTGACATCATACAAAGTCCAGGTCTAGGCTCATACTTATAGCAGAAATGCCCTGCTCGGCGTTTCTCGAGAGTCCACATCGGGAGCTGGACATTTTCCACTGCCACACTTCGATGTCCTTAGGAAGCATGTTATGCAGCGCTGATCAATCAAATCATCCAAGTCAGGCCCGCCATTCGGGCAGGTGCTCATGCGTCCCCGTCTATATTCCGAGGCTAGTGAGTATTATAATACGGTTTAGAGTATTAAGATCCCATTTGACGTGGCTCAGTTGAGTCGCAGTGAAAAGTTCTGAGTATTGATGGTGAGATTGAGGGTGATATGCAGCGACATGCTATTCTAAGTATCCATCAGAGTATTTTTATCTCTTTTGCGCCGGCAGCGAACTTCATTTTGTTACTCTGCCATATCGCCACTACCGTAAATATCTATCGCCTCGGCATACCACGGCCTCGGCCTCCACCAAGAGCCCGTTGCGCAGCTCCTGGAGGCAGGCCGCGCGTAGGTGCCTGAGCCTGGGCGGATTCTTGGTTCTCTGTTTCAAATGTCAGCCACTGTTTGTCGAACGCTCAAGCATGTTGATAACTTACTGATAGTCTCGTCAACACTCAGAATCAAACAAGCAGCTTCCACGGCTGCTTGAATAGCGTTAACCTTGACCAAGCTAGGTTCCCAAACAAAGGCCGCCATATTGTCCCGGACGCCCTCGTTGTCAAAGTCCACACCGGCCCAAGTGTTGCCCTTGTAGTGTTCCACCCGCAGGCGGTTAAGGATGTCCGTGGCGTCGAAGCCTGCATTGTCGCACAATTGTCGGGGAATAACCTCCAGAGCCTTGGCAAACGCCTTGACAACGGCTTGCTGCTTGTATGGAACGTTTCGGTCGGCATACCGATGGAGATAGCCGGAGAGCTCCAACTCAGTCGCACCGCCACCCGCAACAATGGTTGTGTTGCGCAGCGCACGCTTGACAATCATGATGGCGTCGTGCAGACTTCGTTCGACTTCGGCAATGAACTGCTCGGCTCCACCACGCAGCACGAGTGTGCATGTCTTTGCCTTAGGGCACTCGGAAAAAAGGTTGTAACGTTCTCCACCGATCTGACGCTCTTCAAACGAGCCGCAGGTACCCAGATGACGATCCTGGATATCGCTGCACGTAGATTGGATGGCGGCACCGGTCGCTTGGCACACGCGGTCCATGTCATCTGACGCAACACGGCCGGCACAGAAGACGTCGCGGTCCGCAAAGTATCTAGAAGGAGCGAGCTGTTAGAATATGAGAAGCCAATGCATAGCATCAGTGGACGTACTGCGTAGCCAAATCACCGATAGGCAGTTTGCTGAGAACAACCTTGGCCCCTGATTTGTAGATAGCTTCGAGCTTGTTGTAAATGATCTGCCATTCCGCATCGACGATAGCCTGGTACTCGGACACTTGTTCAACCCGGACCTCGGCGTTGTCTTTTTCACTCTTCAATTCCAACTCCACGTTCAGACACACGATCTTCGGGTCCTTGAAGGACTTGGGTTGTTGTTCGAAACCAGCGTAGGAGAAGGTCTTCTTGAATGCCACACCGTTAACAAAGAGAGAGTCCTGGAGACCACCACCAGTGACCTTCTTGACCCCAATTAACTTCTCGTTCAGGTCGTCCTGGTCGAGCGACAGAACCGCATCCACGACCACTAAGAGAGACAACGGTTAGCTTACCCCGAGTCCCATCCCGCTCGGGTCTCTTCTGCCAGAAACACTTACTTTTCGTGAAGAAATCCGAGTTCCGCTTGATGAGCTTGCTGTTCATAGCGGTTCCAGCCAGCCTCCGCAGTGTCTCAATTTTCTTTTCTTCGCTTCCGGCAGAGTCGATCATGTCCACCGCAATCTCCTTTACTTTGTTCACGGCCATCGCGCTAGCAGTTCGGAGACCCTTGACAATGGTTTGTGCGCTCACACCCTGCTCAACCAGCTCCCGAACTTCTTTGAGGATCTCACCCGCAAGGACAACGACTGACGTGGTACCATCTCCAACTTCGGCATCTTGGGAGCGAGCAATATCGGTAAGGATTCTGGCGGCCGGGTGCACAATGTCCAGGAGCTAAAAAGTAGAAGCTCATCAGCATGCTGTGTCTTTGTCTTCCACCCAGACAGTAATGAGCAAACCTTCATGACCGTAGCACCATCGTTCGTGATTGTCTGCTTCCCGTTGCTATCAACCAGTAACAGATCACCTCCGTACGGGCCGAGAGTGCTCTTCACTGTGGACTGGACTGCCACGCAGGCATTGATGTTGGAGAGGATTTGGCCCCTTCCTTGGGACGCATCGGTGCCTATTAAATGATAGGGAAAGGCACGGGTCAGCGGTGGTCAGCAGCCTCAACACACACTGGCGAAGAGGGGTTCGAAATGCGGGCGGAACCCACCCTCTCTGAGGACAACAATCGTGGGAGTCTGGCCGGCGAAGGCCATGGTGGTATATTTATTGCGAGGAAAAACAAATAGTAAGATATAAACAGTTGTGCAAAACCAAGATAGGGGCCAGCAGGAAACGGGGTGATAGAGCGGTCCGTCCGAATGCTCTCGACCAAAATTTCCCCGAGCTTCTCATTTCATCGCTCTCCAGCACTGAGGCGGTGACCAATCACGCCGCGTCCCGCAACCCTAGGTACTCTAGGCTGTAGAACTACAGGCGCAACTTCTTTGAAGCTCATGCTACAGAATAACCAAAGAGCTTCGCTTCAGTATTTCAGCAAATGGACTGGTTTGCTTCTGAGTATGAGAGTCAGCGTGCATAATTGTTCTCGACCGTTGGCCTGTTTCTTGACATAATGTCTTGAACTTGCTAAATATATATCCTCATCATCCCGTACTACCCTTCGATTTGGACGCACTTTAGGGTTGCTTTATATCTTTGATCCATTGCTGGCTTCCCTAACCCTGATAAGAATAAACTAGATACCGAAAACAACTGACATGGCTGAGAGAAATCCAAAATACCCGTGTCCAAAACACCTTGCTCGCTATATCGTCACATGCAAATGATCAAGACCAACAAATATAAAGACAAGAAAACAAGGCCGTAAATATACAGAACGCTCCGCTTGACTAATATGATAGATAGATACGCGGTTGAGCAAACAGTCCATCTCGAGATTCGATTAGCTTTGGCGGGGGATGGCCCTGAAGTGCTTCAGCAGCCACTCGCCATCGTCGCCAGCAATTTGTCGACGGATGGTAAGTATCTCCGCAGAAATCGCAGCGCGTGGTTATTGGCTTTGATTGAAGGTTGTTTCGACTGTATTTCGGGGGTTGGCTGTAACTGCGGCGTGCTTTCGCTTTTTGCTCTTGATCTCGGCGCATCTGTTGGATGACAAAGTCATTAATCTCCTCCTGACTGGGACGTTTCATATGACTGCGAGCATTGTGGCCGGGATTATGGCTCATCTGGCTAAGGCGCCGTGATTCCCGCTGGTTGCGCATCTCTTGAACAACAAAGGCGTTGATGTCCTCCTGCGTAAGCGACCGAGGCGTCTGTGGTACCGCGAACTGGGCGAAAGAAACCCTCCGCTCTGAACCAATTTTCCGCTTAGTCCGCCGTTGTTGTAGTAGCAACCGTTCCTGCTTGAGCGCTAGATCCGCGAGCTCTCGAAACGACATGCAATCGGTCAGGTTGGAAGCGGTGATTCGGCTATCCCGCAAAATCGTCATAGCCCATTCCTTCCATTCAGGACGTGACTTTAGCTTGGTGAGAAAATGTAGGTTGATTTGCGAGTCGGGTATTCGGATATCCTCGTCGATCACGTATAGCCCCTCGCGGACTGCATGTATGAGGGCAATGAAATCGGCAACAAAATGTTGCGTTGAGTCAATGTCAAGAAACTCGTCGATCTGGTGCAGTAACCGGACGTTGCGATGCCAGGCTTCCATTATGCTATGCTTTTGAGTAAAGGTGAGCCGAAAATCGCAAGTAGTGAGTCGTTGGATAGGCTTTATGTGTTTTCTCCCGTCTGCTCCTTTTCCACCAGGGATCAAAGGCCCCTTTGAGGCGCTTAGCTTTCGAGCATGCGTCTAACATGACGTCAAGTGGGCTGTAATATGACTGTAATACCGCGGTATCTATGCTAATCGAGCGCTTTGTTGCCGTATCATCAGCGTACTACTGCACCGACAGCAGAGTGAGCCCTTCAATTCCATATTTCTTCAGGGGATTAACTGAGTCATGTGCCCTATGATCTCCTAGATCTCCTGAGATATCTTGGAGATCACACTTTGAATGTTCGATCCGTGGTGCTACTCGCAATTTGCGAAAAGTGCACTAAGTACGCTACGGGGCGCTAAATGGCAGTGCATTTGCTCAAAACATCCTGGCCTCACTATAGGTCAGACTCAGGGTAGACGCCCATGATTCGCCCATGATTCGCCCATGATTCGCTCCGTGACGAGGAGTGGCAGTACCCTGATGGGCACTTGGGTGGTCCTCTCTGCCATCATTGCGCTAATTCATTCATCTTCGCCCAACGAGCTCATAACTGTCCTTCAAGGACTAAAACTATGGTCACCCTTTGTTGCGGCAGCATCCTAAGAAGCTATATATCAAGTCAGGCTGATGGAGACTGTTCCTCCGAGCTACTCAGCAGCAACGACCAGAGACGCTTTGTCAATAATAGCCCAGTATGTCCCCTCGAGTGACCTCTGCGCCGTGACTTTGGTTTGCCGAAGATGGCATACAGTGTTCATGCCGTTCTTATGGGGAAACCCTGCATCTCACTTTGGAACGGAAAATGATGAAGTCTACGGTAATCACACTCTAACCATCCGTGAACCTGGGTATATTGATTGATACATGCGACAGTCGCTTTGACGAGGTTCAGAAGGACCTTGAAGTATGCCCGTCTTGAGACACGGACGCTCACCCACACTCTTCACATGCCCCCGGCGCTCTCGGAAATCTATGGGGGCCCGCATAATTCGTGGCTGCGCGAAATTTTTGAGTATCTGCCCTGCCTGCAGTCCCTGATAGTATCCGAGCTACCGTTCTTTGATCACAGTGCCATGATGGCTCTAAGGGGCGCTGCATCAAATGGAGCATCCACGCGAACATACAATACCCGCCTCCTCATAGCGGAGCGCGAGCCCAATACAACGTCCCAGGGCATAGCGGAGACATTGTTACGCTTTCCAGAGCTAATATATCTCGATTTGTCATATACTACGTCTGCAAAGGATCAGACTGTCTTATCTACATTATCTCAATTGGAACGTCTGCAGGTGCTCAAGTTACGGGGAATTGGATTGAAGGATGTCGATGCAGCATTTTTGGCCAATGCCATTGGGTACAGGGTTCGGCTTCTTGACCTACGGGACAACAAGCTTACCGATATGGCCCTTCAGTCGTTGCTTCATGCCTGCTTTTTGCCGCCCGGTCATGATATAGATGCACGTGGTCAACACAGCCGTACACTGACCACCTCAAGTCCTAATAATCACTTCTCCTTTCAGAGCCCATGCTTCCTTCGCGCACCCGGTTTGGACCAAAAATTCCAGGAGTCATTGACCAGTCTTCTGACAGGCCGATCTTGGGTGGAAGATCTACCGAATGTGGGGATCACACACCTTTACCTCGCAGGCAACGAGTTCACCGTTGACGGGGCAGCGAGTCTTCTAGCCACATCTCGACTACACGTGTTGGATATAGGGACTCTTGATAAAGCGCAAAAAGTCAGTGGAAGCCAGCTCGATGCACAACGCCGGACCCGTTCGGGCTCTGAACAGCTGATACCTATTCTTGGTACTGTTGCAAAAGACAACTTGGCTTATCTCAGAGCACATCACGCAATTTGCACTTCTACTGCACCGAAGGGAAGCCCGATATCCTCGGATGATTTCCTTCCAGAGCTCTCAGGTGGAAATAGGACAGCAGGCTTCAGTGAGTTAGATACTCATGACACCCAATTGCATGAGCTGCCTGCAGACACTACTCCTGTATTCGAGCTTGCAGGAAGCACTCCACGTCCCCAGTCACCCGACAAATTGCGCAATAACGGGGAGAACCCAAGCGGCATGGAGCATACCCATGATCGTCCAATAGCTCCGAGACGTGACTCTACTTTTGCGCCTGAAGTGTTGATCCCCAACGACAGTGACGCATCGACGATGACTAGCCCTTCCGACACTTACGCTGCACTCTCATGTTCACCTATTCCAAGATATAGTTCGCCGCTCTCCATGGAAGATCCGCGAGCTAGAAAGATCCAAGAGTTACTTGCAAAGCGACCAAAGTCTCAGCCTCGGCGAGAGGGCAGGGAGAGCTACGTTCATTATCTCCATCCTTTCCATATCCCTCACCTCGAAGTTCTGGTCCTCACAGATGTACCGTCCCACGTTCCTGCCACCTCACCTATCCTCGAGTCGTTGATTCAGTTCATAACCGCTTGCTCCAACGAAGCACTACTGGCAACACTGCAAGCAGGGTCAGATTACTCCCTACCCCCCGGGAAGGATAGGGCAAAGGCCGAGCAGGAACGAGCAAAGTCCCTCTTTGGCTTGCGCCAGCTAGTCCTCGAAATTACACCGGTAACCAACTCTCTCCAACCCGTCAAATCGACCGGTTGGAAACCCGGCTCTCAAATAGGGCAGCAGAAATCGGCGACGGGCGATTGGGAGCTCGAACGCCTGTGGTCTGCGGCTTCCGATGACTTCAGCTTCTTTGGAGAGACTGAATGTGGGATCCCAACAGAGGATAATGCTCTCATGCCAGACGCCAATAAATTTTCCTCTATTTCGGCACCGTCGGCACCCTCAGTACCAGTTGTGGACCTTGTCTGTGAACTAGCTGCTTTCCGGCGGAGAAAGAAATTAGAGTACGTGCAGGCTGTGCGACATACTTCTCAGAGAAGAAGCACCAATAATATCCTGTCACCCCAGTCTTCCTCTCGTTATTCAGCGGGGTCGGCAGCCCGGTTATCCCCGTCTCCGAGCACTACGGCATTGAGTCCCGTTCCTGGACCTAATTTGTCTATTGCCCATCATGTTGAAGGGCACTGGAAGGGAGAGGTTAAGATTGTTCGGAATGCGACTCCGAAGGGACGGAGTGGGTGGGTGGATCTTTATGGGAACTATTTTGAGAAAGGATATTTATATCCCTGAGGAATATGATTTTGATGTTTTGATGGTCGCCTGCCCGATACGCTATAACCATAAAATGCATCATACATGTATGATTTGTCCCAGACTGTCTCAACGGTCCTATTTTCGCGCATGCATGCTACTCTTCCTTGCCGTTTTCTCCCCACTGGCTTGGTAGGCATCCTGTCGCCCGTTTTGATTCGCACTCACAGTACCGGGAGAAGCAGTACGTCATAATTTATCTTCATTTTTGGTACCGTCTTATGAAGTCTGTTGCTTCGAAACCATTATGCCTTTTTTTAACCCCGAGGCGAAACCCGTTCATTCCATTTGCACCGAGTAAAAAAGAGTCTGTTCACAACAAAAAGGGAAAAGTAACATTCGTGTCGTTTAAACTAATTCCATTTTCCTTGTGACCTCCTTACATAGCCTTGGCGGCCTGAGGAGGGTTCAGCTTCTTGCCGTCCTTGTTGTACCTGATGCGAGGGGGAGGAGCACGGTTGCGACGACCTTCCCGGGAGCGGACACTGTTGGAGACAAGATTAGCACCAGTCATGTTGCCGAGGTCGGGTTGAAGATATCAATGTGGATGGCGTACCGGACGATCTTGCCGTGGATAGCGCAGGAGACACAGTACTGCAGCTTGAGGTACATCTTGGGGACGGCGTAGTCGGTGAAGACGGAGGCCTCGGAGATATCACCTATAGAGCGAAAGGTCAAGGTCAGCCTCTATTGTGGTGGTTGCGATTTCCCCCGACCAGGCGTGTGTGTTGTTGCGAGGTTTCCATGTTGATTCCAATCACGTAGTCCATCTCTTTTTGTACAACACCGCGCGACGGATCGGAGGTTCATTCGGTTGTGGCGGGGTCAACGTACGGATGGCAGCAGACTCAACCATGTTGCGGATGGTGAATCGCTTGATGGCCTTGTCCTTGGGAACGCAGCGAGCGCAGTTGGAGCAGCGCACGGGCTTAACGTGGCCGCGGCCGTTCTTGTTGCGACCGCTGTAGAATTGTCAGTTTCTGATATTTCCCACGTTGTTTGCTTTCCAGCCACTTCATGTCATTCCCAATCTTTGTGACATTGTGTTGAGAACCTTTCCAAGGCGAGTGCATAGCGGTCGTCCATCGGCGCCACAGTCGAAGTCGGGAAGTTGATGTAGAGTCCAAATTCGTGCTAGGTAGGGAAGGGTTGCGGTCTTACTTGTTCGCCCTCTTCTTGACCATTTTGACGGATTTCTCTAAACTGCGGGTTAGAGAATGTAAAGCCGAAAAGTAGGGGTTGAAGGAAAGGTCGTCGCGTACTTGGGTGTCGGGGTTGGTTGTCGTTAAGGCTCCAGGCTCCGGACGCTCACTCTCTCGGGATGGATGAGGATATGTCAGTGTGTGTGGAAGCCCTATTTCCTAAGCGAGCCACGATCACGGGATATGGCAGCCTCAGGCATCCTGAGAGTTGCTCGTTGAGGCCTCAGGCACTAAGGATCCAACCGGGCGGGTGCACGTGCCGATCGCGCTTCTTGAAATAGGCTAGCGGCCGTTCGTGCCCAGCGGATTGTTTGGTCAGCCAATACGGGGATTTTGGTTTACTTGGAGTCGGGCAAAAGGTCAGGCCACACTGTCAATAAACAAAATATACATGGTAATATCACCTGGCTCGATCATGGCTCAGTAGTAAAAATTGGCTATATAAAGCATCTACATAAGGCGGGTCGCGTGAGGACCGTAATAAATGGTGAGCCCTCTATCGAAAACCAAAGCCAGTTTAAGCGGCGGACAACAAATAGTCGATCTGGGCCAAAAGCCTCCACTCCTGGGACTCCCCCCTGTCCTGCGGTCTGCCCGCCCGTATCCTTCTCGTTGGCTCGCATCATCTTCCTTCCCCGACTGTTGGTTTTTTAATTTTCCTTTTTTTTGCATCTCGAGTCAATCAGTGATTGAAAACATTTACCTCAATATTCTTTGTTTTTGGTCCTGAATTTCAGCCCGCCCATCCAGCCCGCGGACATGTCTTCAACACCCACCTTTCGAGGCACCACTAGCCATAGAACTGTCGGACGCGGCAGGTTGCCTGATTTTGAAGGAGGTAGCTCGGCCTCTCACATTCCACGCCCTCGACCCGACTCGTCGTCTACGATCACATCTCACAACCCTCATACGCCAGGTAGCGACATCGGCAGTTCCACAATGAGTGCGGCAAGCAGTCGGCAGAGGCAAAACCAGTCGAAACGCGATGAGGTATGAAATCATCTTCGAGCCGTGTCGAGGGCAAAAAAATGGATCGCGCGCAAGTGCGGCCGAGAAGTTCTGGTTCTAACTATATGTGTGCATCAGGCTATTCGACGGAAGCTGGAGGCAGACCTCAACAAGAAGAGGAGTGTTCCAGCAAGAGCGAATCGCGCCCGCAAAGCTCCTCCCGGTACTGTCCTTGCTCTCAAACCGAGCTCGGCTCTCCAGATCAAGCCCTCTACTACGATCGCCGAAGCCGCGCAGTTGATGGCTGCGAAGAGAGAAGACTGTGTTTTGGTGACGGACGACGACGATCGAATCGCTGGTATCTTCACCGCCAAGGATCTTGCGTTCCGGGTGGTAGGAGCTGGACTTAAGGCTCGAGAAATTACGGTCTCCGAGATTATGACGAAGAACCCCCTGTGTGCGAGGACGGATACCAGCGCTACCGATGCCCTCGATCTGATGGTTCGGAAAGGTTTCCGGCATCTGCCTGTAATGGACGAAAACCAGGATATCTCGGGTGTTCTAGATATCACCAAGTGCTTCTACGATGCTATGGAAAAGTTGGAGCGCGCCTACAGCTCGTCCCGCAAGCTATATGATGCGTTGGAGGGTGTTCAGTCAGAACTCGGCTCTAGCCAGCCCCAGCAAATCATTCAATATGTGGAAGCCCTTCGGTCAAAGATGTCTGGCCCTACCCTCGAAACCGTACTGGACGGTATGCCTCCCACCACGGTTTCCGTCCGGACTACGGTAAAAGAGGCTGCCTCATTGATGAAGGAGCACCATACGACTGCTCTGCTCGTGCAAGACCAAGGATCTATCACAGGTATATTTACTAGCAAAGATATCGTTCTTCGTGTCATTGCGCCGGGCCTTGATCCTGCAACTTGCAGCGTCGTTCGAGTGATGACCCCTCACCCCGACTTTGCTCCCAGTGATATGAGTATCCAAGCTGCGCTCCGCAAGATGCATGGTAAGTATTAACTCGTTTGTTGGGCTAGAAGAGGCTTGTAGTTAACCAATCGACTATGCAGATGGGCATTACTTGAACTTGCCTGTGATGAACGAGGGAGGCGAGATTGTGGGCATGGTGGATGTGCTCAAACTTACCTACGCTACATTAGAGCAGGTACGTAAACCGTGTGTCTGATCTTCAAAAGGTTCCCACTAACATTTACCTCTAGATCAACTCAATGTCAACTCAAGATGACGAGGGTCCAGCTTGGAACAAGTTCTGGTTGTCAATGGACCACGAATCCGATTCCATGGTTTCTGGAAGCCAAAGCCAACAGCCACATACCCCGCATCGGTCAATGATCAATCCCGAGTCACCGAAAGCTAGCTTCGACGCACGGGACAGCGTGCTTCCAAACGAATCAGCGTCCCACCATGGCGGTGACGAGCACTCCGAGTTCCACCACGGAGAACTAGCCCCGTTCCCCTTCAAGTTCAAGGCACCGAGCGGCCGGGTGCATAGAGTCAACATACTCCCCGCTGCTGGCATCGCCGAACTGGTGGCTCAGGTAACTGCCAAGCTTGGCCCAGAGGTTGAAGCCGTTGGCGGCGCGGCCAGCTGTGAAGATGGCATACTCAGCAACACTGGCTACGCTTTAAGCTACGTGGACAATGAAGGAGATACTGTTTCCATCACCACTGATCAGGATCTTGTTGATGCTGTCTTCATTGCGCGCCACGCTCGTCACGACAAGGTCGACCTCTTTGTCCATGACCCAGCTCAACCCCCAATTATTCCTGCTCCTGTTGAGCCTGCCCCTGTCAAGCCACTCGAGGTCACGACTCCTCCTGCTTCAGACGATCAGGTGCGGGATGAAACGCCTGCTCCCAAGTCCCGAGCGAGCCAGGCTTATCCCGCTCATCCCCCTGAAGAGCAACTCATTGCAGGCGTTCCCAATGATTTGCTGCTCCCTGGAGCGATTGTTACTTTGGCCGCCGTCATTGCAGGAGTGTTTATCTTGAGCCGCTCCACTTCTCGATAATTGTGACACTGTATTTCAGCCAAGAAGGTTAGACTTGTGCATCTCTTCCTCCTTTTTGTTTACCATCTTTTGTACAGCGTGTTCGTCCATTTTGTCCATCTCGCTGCTCTAGCACCTGCTCCTGGTTGCATCTGCTCATTACAGTAGCTTTCCATGTCATAGTAGCATAATCTAGGTAATATACAATTATCTTGGACGGAGGCTCAACTATAGATTGATTAGTCACAATTGTGAGGCACCAAAAGCCGATGCCTTGGAGATACTTAATCCTACCGGTTCTGGACTAGCGTGTTCAAGGAGGAACGTGAACCTCGAAAGGTTTTTGGCATGGTCACTTAAATATTGCTTTTAGTCCCCCTTTGTTGTTTGAATGTTCTTTTGTTCACTGACTTGTCAGTCTTGATATCTCCATATCATTGAGTTCTGACCCTCTTTGATTCGATCCCCTCCACTCAGTAGTAGACTAACTACGCTCCGTACATCCACCTCCCACCGCCTCCCCCACCAAAACAATTTCCTTTCTGGAAAAAAATATCCTCCTGACCAGATTACCAACGCACTGATCGGACCACCTACGTTTATATTCCGGCCCGCCTTCAGAGTCCAGCTGGAAACGCGATCAGACTTTCGCTTTTTTGTCTCGGTTCGGCAGTCGAGGTTGAGCGGGCGAGATGTCTCTGCTGCCCCCCGAAGTCCATTCCGCCCTCTCTCAGTTGCTAGGCGCACTGAGCACCCCAGATAACAACATCCGCTCACAGGCAGAAGAACAGCTGAACAATGACTGGATTCAGAACCGACCCGATGTCTTGTTGATGGGTCTTGCGGAGCAGCTCGAGGGCGCCGAACAACAAGGTGTAAGTGCTTGAGACGAGGATGAGGGGTTGACATGGTGTGAGGAGATCTGGAAATAGTCGCCGTCCCTATGATTAATTATTTATGCGGTTGAATGGCATGTTCGCATCCTTATTGATGGATTCCTGTATAGACACGTTCGTTCTCCGCTGTTCTGTTCCGACGAATTGCGACCAAAACACGAAAAGACCCCGTTTCAAACGAAGCCAAGGAGCTTTTCTCAACCCTCGCCCGTGAGCAGAGGCTGGTAATCCGTCAGAAGCTTGTCACCTGTCTTACTACCGAGTCCGCGAACGATGTCCGGAGGAAGATTGGTGATGCGGTGGCCGAGATCGCGAGGCAATACACCGACAACGGTATGCACCATGTTGGAGACGAAATGGATGGTGGTTGATCATCGGTCTGACGAGTGATTCTTTTATTCCCAGGCGATCAATGGCCGGAGCTGCTAGGTATCCTGTTCCAAGCCAGCCAATCTCCCGATGCGGGTCTACGGGAAGCCTCCTTCCGCATATTCTCGACAACTCCCAGTGTCATTGAGAAGCCCCATGAGGATGCTGTCATCGGTGTTTTTGGAAAGGGATTCCGGGATGAGGTCGTTCCGGTATGGTTCCCCTAGGTCTGAGTTTGTTGCGGTCGTGGGAATGGTAGAGCTAATGTGACATGCTTAGGTGCGCATCGCAGCCATGGAGGCATTTGCTTCCTTCTTCCGCTCCCTTCCCAAGAAATCTCAGCCGAAATTCTTCGGGCTCATGCCGGAGATGCTCAACGTTCTGCCTCCTCTGAAGGAGGCGTCTGAAAGTGAGGAGCTCTCATCAGCCTTCTTGGCCTTGATTGAGCTAGCGGAGATTTGTCCCAAGATGTTCAAGGGCTTGTTTAACAACTTAGTCAAGTTCAGTGTCAGCGTTGTTGCGAACAAGGACCTCAGTGATCAGGTCAGACAGAATGCGTTAGAGTTGATGGCTACATTTGCGGACTACGCGCCCGCGACATGCAAGAAGGACCCGGATTTTACAACACAGATGGTGACTCAGTGTTTGAGCTTGATGACCGATATTGGCGAGGATGATGACGATGCTGCTGAGTGGAACGCGTCGGAAGATGTATGTCGTGCCTCTATTGCTTTTGTGTCATCCCCTAACGTGCTAACGTTGTTCAGTTGGATCTTGAAGAAAGCGATTTGAACCATGTTGCCGGTGAGCAATGCATGGACAGACTTGCCAATAAGCTCGGAGGTCAAGTCGTGCTGCCGGTTACTTTCGAATGGATTCCAAAGTTGATGGCTTCCTCCGCGTGGCGTGACCGTCATGCAGCGCTCATGGCCATCTCCGCCATTTCTGAGGGCTGCCGTGATTTGATGGTAGGCGAGCTGGATCAAGTCCTCCGTATTGTTGTCCCTGCTTTGCAGGATCCTCACCCACGAGTCCGCTATGCGGGTTGCAATGCCCTTGGCCAGATGAGCACAGACTTCGCAGGCACAATGCAGGAGAAGTATCACCAGGTTGTGCTTAGCAACATCATTCCTGTCCTGGACAGTGCTGAACCGCGTGTTCAAGCGCACGCTGCTGCTGCGTTGGTTAACTTCTGTGAGGAAGCTGAGCGCAATGTCCTCGAGCCCTACCTCGCAGATCTACTGCGACACTTGCTGCAGCTTCTTCGCAGCCCCAAGCGCTATGTACAGGAACAGGCTCTTTCGACCATTGCCACCATCGCCGACTCTGCCGAGAACGCCTTCGAGCATTATTACGAAACCCTGATGCCATTGCTTTTCAACGTGTTGAAGCAGGAGCAGTCCAAGGAATACCGTTTGCTCCGTGCGAAGGCTATGGAATGCGCCACGTTGATTGCCCTTGCTGTGGGTAAGAATAAGATGGGACAGGATGCTCTGGAGTTGGTACAGCTGCTTGGAAACATCCAGCAGGGCATTGTCGATGCGGACGATCCTCAGTCGCAATATCTTCTTCACTGCTGGGGTCGGATGTGCCGAGTCCTAGGACAAGACTTTGTTCCTTATCTTCCTGGAGTGATGCCGCCGCTTTTGACTGTCGCTGCGGCCAAGGCTGACATCCAGCTGCTTGATGACGAGGACCAGATTGACCAGGTGGAGCAGGATGAGGGCTGGGAACTTGTCCCGCTTAAGGGTAAGATCATCGGCATCAAGACCAGCGCTCTTGAGGACAAGAATACCGCCATCGAACTCATAACGATTTATGCGCAAATCTTGGAAGCCGCTTTCGAGCCATACGTGCTCGAGACGATGGAGAAGATTGCCGTTCCCGGACTGGCGTTCTTCTTCCATGACCCCGTACGCGTTTCCTCGGCAAAGTTGATCCCGCAGCTCCTCAACTCGTACAAGAAGGCGCATGGAATTCAATCGGCTGGCTTCGCCGGGATGTGGGTCAAGGTTGCAGAGAAGATCATCGAGGTGCTTAGTGCGGAGCCAACGGTTGATACTCTTGCCGAGATGTACCAGTGCTTCTACGAGTCTGTCGAAGTTGTTGGCAAGAACTCTCTGGGTCCACAGCACTTGCAGGCTTTCATCCAATCCGCAAAGTCAACGCTCGAGGACTACCAGTCGCGTGTAAAGACACGGGCCGAGGAGAGGGCCGAGGCGGATGACGGTGAAGAGGAGAACCCGGATTACGAATACGCTATCGAGGATGACCAGAACCTTCTCAGTGATATGAACAAGGCATTCCACACGATTTTCAAGAACCAAGGAACATCGTTCCTCCCTGCATGGGAGCAGCTGATGCCATTTTATGATGCGTTCATTACGAGTCAGGACCCGACACAGCGACAGTGGGCGTTATGTATTATGGACGACGTGCTCGAGTTCTGTGGACTGGATTCATGGCGGTACAAGGATCACATCATCCAGCCCCTCGCTGCTGGGCTGCGAGACAACAATGCGGCCAACCGCCAGGCCGCGGCTTATGGCGTCGGGGTCGCTGCGCAAAAGGGTGGGGAGCCCTGGAGTGAATTCGTTGCCGCTTGTCTACCGAGTCTCTTCCAGGTGACACAGTTCAACCAATCACGGACAGAGGAACATGTGTTTGCTACTGAGAACGCGTCTGCAAGCATTGCCAAGATTCTGCACTTCAACTCCAGCAAGGTGCAAAACCCGGCAGAATTAGCGGCCAACTGGATCTCTACGCTGCCCATCACCTATGACGAAGAGGCCGCGCCATACGCATACTCTTTCCTCGCCCAATTGATTGACCAGTAAGTTATTTTCGATCACCATGGACTAGAGAACATAACTAATTGGACCAGACAAAACGCTGCGGTGATGTCGAATGCAGGCCAGGTTTTCGGGTACATCGTACAAGCGTTGGATGCCGAGACCCTCCAGGGTCAAACCGCCGTACGAGTGGCTAGCTCAGCAAAGGCTCTGGCGCAAGCAACGGGCTTGAACGCAGAGCAAATCCTTGCTGGCGTGAGCCCAGAGAACCAGGCGGCCGTCCGCAGCTATTTTTCTTAATTTCTTTTTGATGTCATGATTCCTATTCCTTCTATATGAGACTACTCTTCCTTTTTTTTGAACTTCAATCAGCACATTAGGTACACTGTACATGCCTAGACCAATGAATTATGTGCTAAGCTTTGCTGTCTTATAGTCAACTGGCAGCGCTTCTTGAGCTGTTGGTGATGTTGAACTACCGTCGAGGTATTAGAACCTTGCCCATTCATCTTGAAGAAATCCGTTATAGCATCCTGTTTTACAGCAAACTACTGGCACAGCCGTTTGGACTATCAGCAATATACCTAATGAGCAGCATGGACGTCATGAAAACAACTCAGCATATTCACATTGTGATGGCACCCGTTTATAACGCCACGAAGGAAAGACCAGATAAGATCACAGCGAGCCTCCCAATTCCAAATCATTGATACATGGAAGAAAAGAAACAAGAGTAGAAGCAACAGCAAGAAAAGCATGCGGATATTAGCCATAAGTGTAATCATGTCGATTATTCCTTATCGTCTGCCACCGCAGCCCGCAACTCCCAGACTAGATCGTAGCATTCGGCCAGCAAGGCGTTCACTCCACCTTGTCCCTCTGGGATATCGTTTCCAATGTAGAACTTGCCGTCGACGCGCATGTTGTCAATCGAGTTGAGCTTGTTTTGTTAGCGGATGTTGAACTTCTGAGCAAGTTGAGGCTGCCCTACCTTCATACTGTATGGGTAGAGTTCCCGAGAGTTGGATACACCGCCGGACTCTTTGACTTCAAATAGACAACGTCGTAGTGTTTGCAGCTGGTTATATACCGGTAACAGTGCTTCTGAAACAGGTTCTGATGAAATGAGGAGCGCATAAATGTACGCGTAGCTTCTCCGGATCAGGTAAAGGAGGGTCTAGGAAGATTTTCATGGTTAGCTCTGGGTAGATCGATAAACGGGATTTATGCTGCCTACCCGCTGTGCGTGAAGGTCGGCAGGCTTGCCCTCGGCATCCACGAAGTTGCCGTTGACTCTCGCCTCGTCAACTCGATCGAGTTTGCGCTGGTAAACGAACAGATCTGTCTCGCGGAGAGACCATGCTTGTGTGACGGAAAGCCGGTCCAGCTGGTTACGAATGTCGAGTAACCTCTCGTACTGCTCTCGGAATCGTTCATCGATTTTCCCCTCCCTGTTATAAAGTTAGTCTGGCGGCGCAGGAGCTTCAGCTCGTGGGCGACAAACCGCTCCAATACTATCTCAGTCCAACGCCAACATCGGTGTAGCAGCAGTTTCACTTCATCTTGGTTGTCCAGTATAGTTCCGTTCGCGTCAACAAAGTTGCCGTCTTTCATCGAGTCTTCGATCTTCTTCAGTTGATCTCGAAGCCCGTTTACTTCCGAAGCAGAGAACTTCATGCCCCTCTGTTAGTATGATTTCGACAAGCGAAATTTGTGCCAACGAACCTTCGAGCGAGTATTAACGGCCGCAGTTGACCGAAGGACAGAGACTAGGGTTTCGTGTGTTGAAGCGAGCTCGTGGCTCAATTTCGCCAATTCTTTTTGCAGTTTCTCTAGCTTGATCTGGCACTTGTCTAGGCGACTTTCGAGAAGCGTTAGCAAGGCCGGTGAATGTGCTTCTTTCCCCCGTTCTATGGTTTCGCGCATTTCTACGAGCGTCGTTGTGATCGAGCTCAAGTCTTTCGCACTGTAAAATCCGGCTTCTTCCAGATGGTCAAGTAATCGCTGCAGGCCCAGTCAGCACCATTGAAACGAATGCAAAATAGGGGATCGGGTACGTACTTGTACTGTAGCCGCAAGGGAGTATCTGCAGGAGACAACAACTTGACGTTAGCGCAGTCTACTTCCTTTAACCCTTGCAAGACTCACACTGCCGGAGCTTCATTGTTCCTCCCAACCGTCAGGAATAAAAGCGAAATGAGTTGGAAGCAGTCGTCTAAGACGTAGTCCACTAACGTCAAGTAGTACAATATCAGCACCGTCCCGGCAAAGCTTTGTTTCATGGTGATGCGACTAACATCGATTATGCGCCAGGCGGCGGTTTTGGTCTTTTCGAACAGCATTGAGCTTTTCTACCTCCTCGGTCACCTCTTCATAGAGCGGAAGAACATCACGAGATCTGATATAAGACGACTTGTCTTGTTTCAGTAGATAGAGTGCGTCGCGAATGCGAAGTACGGATTCCAGGATCGGTTGCTCTTTCGGATCAAGCGGGGTTTGAATAGCGGGGGATTCCATCACTGTTGCAGGATTCGGAAGTATAGAGGGCAAGCCCGAAGGTGTGGATCAAAAGAGACAACTTTCCAGAGATCGACCAGGTAACGTGAAAAAAAGAAAAAGCACAATCATGCACCAGCATCAGAGATAAGGTAACAAAGGTACTGACTACTGCGTATAGAGCAGCCCACCTAATGATCGCTCCCGGCGTGACCTATGATGTCGTTGTTGCCTATTCCGGTCTAGCCAGATAGTCACGAGGAACCTCCTTCAGAAAAGGGCCACGTGACTTGGGCCTGCGCTAAGCCGCGTACGGACAGCCCTAAGCGAGGGCTTTGCTCGGGTCCGCCAAACACACAATTTCCGCGTTGGGTCTGGCTGTTCGTTGTCCCCGTTCGACTTCTTCAAAGCGTCCCTTCGTCCTTTCTCTTTCTCCTCCCCCATCCCTCTCGAGACTTTGTCCAGTCCAACGACAACCATCGACACCATGTCTACCGCCGAGCTCGCCTGCTCCTACGCCTCCCTCATCCTTGCCGATGAGGGCATCGAGATCACCGTATGTATTCCCTCATTTACAACCCTCGCTCGGGGGGCAATGATGGAATTGGCTGGGAAGAATCAAAATTATCGCGCACGGCTACGGGGAAGATTGCGACGGATTGAACCAGGGATTGGAAGCTGTTTTGGGGATCACAACATGGCGCATGAACATTAGGGCTGATTGTTTTGGGATTTATAGGCCGACAAGCTCCAGACTCTCCTGACCGCCGCTAAGGTTCAGGAGGTTGAGCCCATCTGGACTTCCATCTTCGCCAAGGCTCTTGAGGGCAAGGACATCAAGGAGCTCCTCACCAACGTCGGCTCCGCTGGTGCCGCCGCCCCTGCTGCTGGTGGTGCTGCCCCTGCTGCCGGTGGTGACGCTGCTGCCCCCGCCGCTGAGGAGAAGGAAGAAGGTAAACAGCAAACCATTGGACAATATCGCGTGTCAGTTCGAATACTGACTTCTGGCTACAGAGAAGGAGGAGTCCGACGAGGACATGGGCTTCGGTCTCTTCGACTAAGCGTCTCGCAACGATCCCGTTCGGCTTCCCGTTTATTTTTCCTTTTGGTTTTTCTCCTCACCTCGCTTCTTTCCGACCTCGCTCCTTCCACACCCTTATATCTCTCTGTACCCGATACTCCGCAACCCTCACGAAGATCAAAAAAGGGAAAAGGCAAAAAAGAAAAATTCACGGACAAGGACATCCTTTGGGACTGGGCGCTGTGCTTGCAATCGCATGATGGAATACGTCATGGCAGAGGTACTAGACCGGATGACGCTAGGATTTCGGCTGTTGGGAACACAATGGTGAATGGACAGACAGCAGCATGTATGGTAGTCCGGAGGCGAGGTCTGCTTGGCCGTCTACGGTTCTCTATCTGATTTATGTTGATCAGCTACTTTGATTCCTTTGGAGCTTAGTTGCCCAGCTCTTATGCGATGTCTGTCACGCGACCATGAACAAAAGGTTTCCGTCTACACTAACTAATCTGGAGGCTCTTGATTCTGAGAGTCACTAGCTCCAAGTATTCTGTAGTCCAATTGTTCTTCTAGTAATAGTACATGGTACTAGGCACATTCAAGGTAAAGTTCACAAATTCTCGAGACTGACGCCAGGCCAGACCTAACAAACCCACTCTTAATATCACGCCCGCAAAAGTAAATGACCAGACTAGATAACGATAAGATCAAACAACCTCGGCGACAGTGCCCCGAACCGCATAGAGACGGAACTGCCCGAAGATAATAGCATCCTCGACCATTGTGCCCAAAGAGCCGATCAACCAGGGTAGGTTTGTCAGAAAGTAATTCTTCTCGGTGGAATGGCAAAGGATCTATACGACATTAGTCGGAGCAATGCACCTTAGTGAGAGGGAAGCTTACCCCAGCACCATAAGTCAAGTTACCCATGAGAGAGAGGATGAAGAACAAGAGCGATAGTCCTAGGATGATGTCACGAAAACCGAATATCAACGAGACATGGGTGCGCGACTCACCTTCGCAAGACTTGTCACAGTAGTTCTTATAGATCTGTGGGAGCCGGGCCCTGTAACTCGTTAGCGAACCAATGAACAAGCCAGCCTCAAAAGCACAAATTCCCTGAGAGACAGGACATACCCCAGATAGCAAATAGCACTTATATACCCCAGCACCTGCGCCCCGGGCGCCATATCAACGCCTCCATTCTCACCCTCCAACGGCGCAGGCTTCCAGACTCCAGTCTGCCACGCCATCGTCCATCCCGCCATACCAATGACACAGATCGCCAGGACACTGCTAAAATTCTTGAGCAACACGCTCTGCCCAACCTTATTCTCTTCAACCAGCTTCGCAATCGTATCGTCCGGCCCCTGGTCCGAGCCATTCACAGCACTATAAGACGGGCGTGAGCCCCTGGGTCGGTGCTCAGCATCCCCACCAAGCAGCGCATCGCTTAATCTCCGACCAAGCAGCGGCGTCGTTGGCTCAGATGTAGCGGACGACGACTCCCGGACATGCGCTGCGGCGGCGCGAGAGTTCCGGGCGCGGTAGTAGAGGCACTGGCCGATTAGGACGCCATCGGCGAGACAGAAGTAGACGGCGATTGCGACGATGACGGGGACAAGGCCCGCCCAGGCGCTGCCGGCGAGGTTTGTGATGTCGCCGACGAACCAGACGAAGAGGAAAAGGAGCGAGATGGCTTCTGCGTTGCCGTTACGGTAGTTTTCGATTAGTTGGGGGACCTGATGCGATCAGCATTTATTTTCATCTTTGTTTCGTGTTCTGTAGATATGTGATTCAGATAGGATGATAGCATGCACATACTAGAAGAAAAATCCAGCAAGTTAGGGAGATGGAGCCGAGCAGGCCTGATGCGGCCTCTCGTGGAGTCAACGGGACGGATACTCCGGCCATGGTATGGAGGCCTGATGGTCGGGTCGATAGACTCTAGGACTGTATGGCTATTGGATGTGTCGCATGAGTTGAAGGTAGACAGGCAGAATTTTCGAAGGATGAATCATAAAGAGCAGATCTTGAAGCTTCTCCAACGGCTAATTGCGGGGTGGATCCGCTGAGCCTTTGACTAAGCTGGGGTTGTGAAGCCCTTTGTCTGCTTTCATTCTGACGTTGCATCTATTTCTGCGGGTTGAGCACTGTATCTACAGTTTCCTATAGATACTCGAGGCTCTTAAGGCCATTGCAGCGTTGTACTACATGCAAGTATACATGAGTCCCATGCCGGAATTTATCCAGCCAATCGGCTTTGCGATGATTTTTTGCGTACTGCATATCTTACCGTATATCATTGGACTCTACGATAGGGTTCAATCATTTGCATGAATCATATATACATGTTTTTTTACATAGAGCTTCGCAGCATGGGTATCACTGTCCATCACGTTGCTGTTCCTCATACTCCAGCCGCGTAAGCTCCATTTCGTTTTGCAGTAGACTCACAACTATTGGACCCGCAGCTTCTCGAATCGCACCATCTAGTAGTCTCTCCCGCGCGGGGTCTGGTACAATCTCAAACAATGTGTCAACGTATTCATGCAGCGGGGCATAGTCGAGATCTTCATCCCAGTTCCCTCGATCGACGCCATGCTGACGAATGAACGCTTCCAGAATCTGCAACCCGTCTCCAAGCAGCCATTGTTCAAGTACAACCTGGTCCTCAGCGCCAGAAGCCGGTAGCACATGGTCTTCTTCCGGTTCATCATCATCACGTTCCTCCTCATCCCCTGCACGGAACCGAGGAAGGCGAAACGCGCCATTGTTTAGCTGATTCATAAGGTTACGGATCCAGCCAGGTCGCTCTGCTTCTGGGACTCGAGACAAATATGATGGTGTTGGATCGGACTGCTGTCGAAAAGCTTCAGATTCGTAAGGTGGTAGAGGGTCAGAGGCTGAGATTCGCCCAGACACAAATCGAGTCGGTAAATGCGTTGTAACGAGCGGGACGTCTGAGAGGACAACATGGCGCGCAATATCCAGGGTAATCTCTGGCGGTTCAATGGGCTCGTCTCCCTCTGTTAACGTGTCCGCCACCTCTACCAGAAGAGAGACTACCTCCGGGGTGTTCCACAGATCCTTGGTGCGTGCAATGTAGAGTTCGGTGAATAACTCGTGCCCGTCAGTCGGGGGTAGCTTACCCCAGATCCGCTTCGGCATCGGCTGGATGTCGAGCTCCTGCGCTAGTTTGCAGAATACCCATGGATAGCGGGCCATTGCCACGCGCATCTGCTTTCGACAGTCTTTCTGTTTGTTCAGGCGTAGATATGCTAACGCCAGGGAGCATTGAATATTTGGGAGATACTTCCACTCCTTTGATAACCTGGTTTGTGTGCAGAGATCGATGAAATGGGACCACTCTCTGCCACGGAGTGCTAGATTGTCGATCATGAGTCTTATGCAATAAGGATCATCTGAATCCAGGCTCAGTAACAATTTGGCCCATTCATATGCGGTTCTCCAAGTCCCTTTCATTCCGAGATTGGCAATGTACCTCCACCCAACTAGCCACAGCTCGCGGTTTTCTGCATGCAAAAAGTCAAGCCTAGCCTTGCCCTCTTTGAGGCGATTTCCAAACGACGAGTGGACTGAGCGACCAAAATTGAAGAGCGCTCGTTCAAGAAGGTCTGCAGATACAGCGTGATCGCCTTGGTGCTTTGCTATTTCAGACACTTGAAGGAGGGTTGAGATGTGGTAAGGGTTGTACTGAAGAAGATGGATCATCCTTTGCGGATCCATTGACTCCACACAAAGTTCGAATTGCCTCTGCACATCTTGGTATGCAGCATTGTGGATGAAGCGATAAACGGTAGCGCCGTTGGGAAGCGATTCTGCCATCTCCATTCCAAGACCTCCACTTGGAGCTCGCGGCCACTCATCTTTTCCTTGAAATAAGATGTTGCGCCGTTGCGTAACTCCAGCAAGACTAAGCCCCCTACTTGCCGGGCTGTATCTACCTGTCAAAGCACGGCCCAAGTCTACTGTTTCTCGAGCTCGGTCACGCCTGCGACCCGACCCCGTTTCCGGCTGATCGAAATTCTCAAACACAACATTGCCGAACAACTTCCGCATCTCGTTGCTTGCGTTAAGCAACTTCGAGTCGATCGACAGAAATTCTTCCGGGGATTTCGCGAATGATGCATCGATGTTCTGCACCAAGAGTTGAGCGTCAGCCTCTCCTTGTGACGGGACAGCCAACTCCTTTAAGGCTCGGTCGATCTCATCCAAATCTTTGTCATCGGAGCCCCCTTTCGTAGGCTCCTGCTTTGTCGCATTTTTCTTCTTCTTAATCTTGGCCTTCCTCTTTTTCTTCTTCGCAGGATCTGCTGTTGCTGGTGGGCCTGCTACTTCCTTGGTTGGCCCAGTCACCGGCTCGGGAGCCTCACTCTCGGACTGCTTTTCGTCCTCATCCTCATCGTCATATGCTGCGTTCAGAAGGTCAAACGCATTCAGTTTGGGTTTTGACGGTCTTGAGATCGGCTCGTCTTCGCTCGACTCCTGGGCTTCTTGTTCGGCTTGCTGCTCTTGCTCGCGCAGCTTTTGCAGCTTGCGGATCGCACGGGAGGACATTCAGGATGTTGACAGCACGCTGGTTTGTGAGGAACTCTCGAGTCAAGATAATATATGTTGCGCTGGATGTGGTTTCTGGAAGCTATACTTGCCAGGCTGCTTTGGAAACTTGGAGAATGAGTAGGTAGAGAATCTTCAATTTACTCACTGCGGGGATGACGACAGCGGGATCCAAGTCCGGTTTAGTGCGGAGTATTTGTATTCTTGCATCCATTGTATCTGCCGTATTTATGCTGACCGCCGCCGCTGACTGATGATGGCCTTAATGCCCCAGGCGGCTAGCCTTACTGAGCCTCATTCACGCCCCTTCTAAAACCTCGCCTCTCACGGCCTAGTGTTGCAGGGAGCCTCGGTCTTTCCATCCTTCAGTCTCAAACCGCGAGCATCAATGCGTCGTGCAACTATTCAAGCGCTCCGTACTGCTCGTCGTGCACCAGTATGGCGGGTTGGCGGTAGGAAACCGAGCATATCGTTTACAGGCTGCCCGTCTCTTGGTCTCCGATCTTACTCCACGCCTAAGCTTTCTGCTACCCTCCAGTCCTCCATGCATCTTCGAACCTTCTCTGTTGCAGCAGTATCGGCAGTAGTCGCATCCGGAGCTTGGTACGCTTATCAAGGCGGCTCCCAGACACCAGCAGCTGCCGGTACGTCCTCGCAGATCCGAGCATTCACGTCGAATGCCCATGCCGAACACCCCACGGAAACGGCGCGCCGTGCTCTTTTAGTGGATAACGACCAATTCTATACAGCGACGCTTTCAGGAGAGAAGCCATTGCAGAAAAACACTGACGACTCCGATCGCCGACTCCTAGAGATGCTAACGCCCGAACAAGCAACGCAGAAGCTGAGGAAGAACGAGGAATCATACTTGGTGAATCGGGGCAAGGGAGTCGTCCGATATGATGTTGTTCAGGTCCCGAGCAACTCTCCCATCGAAGATGACCATGCAGAGAAGATAGTTGAGGTACCTGCGTCCAATTCCGCGGCCAACGAAGGCCAATCCAGCAGTGACTGGATGTTTTGGGCAGTTTTCGATGGCCATTCGTAAGTCTTTTTCATATTTTCTTATGAGTGTAAAGTATATTGGCTGACTCTAGTCGAAAGTGGCTGGACAACTTCTGCCAAATTGCGCAATGTCCTCATTTCCTACGTCGCCCGCGAGCTGAATACTACATATAAATTGGCGTCGGCGGACCCTTCGCTAGTGCTACCATCATCCATAGCAATAGATGCCGCTATCAAGGAAGGTTTCGTTCGTTTAGATAATGACATCGTCCACGGCAGCGTCAAGGAGGTTTTCAAGTCCAACTCGCGCCGCGCTGCAGCCGAATTGCTTGCCCCCGCTCTGTCCGGCTCCTGCGCTCTCCTCGCGTTCTACAACTCGCAGACCCAGGACCTGAAGGTGGCCTGTGCAGGCGATTCCCGTGCCGTCCTCGGCCGTCGCGGAGAGAACGGCAAATGGACAGCAACGGCGCTTTCAGAAGACCAGACGGGCGGCACGCCCTCTGAAATGAAGCGCTTGCGTGAGGAACACCCCGGCGAGCCGAACGTTGTCCGCAACGGACGTATCCTCGGTCAACTAGAGCCTAGCCGTTCTTTCGGAGATGCTTTTTACAAGTGGAGCAAGGAAACGCAGGACAAGATCAAGCGCCAGTTCTTCGGCCGAACCCCACACCCCCTCCTGAAGACACCCCCCTATGTCACCGCCGAACCCATCATCACAACGACCAAGGTCGAACCCAGCCAAGGCGACTTCCTCGTTCTCGCAACAGACGGCCTTTGGGAAATGCTTAGCAACGAAGAAGTAGTGGGCCTGGTCGGGCAGTGGATCGAGGAGCAGAAAGCAGCAGCTGGAGCTGGTACCGGCAACAAGAGCTGGATCCGGAGCCTCTTCAGCTCCCAACCTACCCAGCTACCTGTAGAAACACCAAAAGAAGCCAGCACTGACGGACAACGCCGCCCAATCCGCCAGCAGCAATACGACATCTCGGGCGCTGCTAGCCGCTTCGTCGTTGAAGATAAGAACGCAGCCACTCATCTTGTTCGCAACGCCATGGGCGGAAAGGACAAGGACATGCTCTGCGCCCTGCTCACCCTCCCTAGCCCCTACTCCAGACGATACCGGTAAGTCCTCTGTTCCATGCTACGAGGAACCCACAGAAGACCTAGATTGTATCTGACCTACAACAGCGACGACGTGACCGTCGAAGTCATCTTCTTCGGCGAAGGCGCCGACAGCCGCACGATCTCCATCAATGAGGACGCCAGTGCGTCGGAGGAGAAAGTCAAGGCTAAACTATGACCAGTTCATATAATACCCATTCTATTTGTCATAGCAAGCAGCTTTCTGTTATTCAATACCTTTGATCGTACGATTTATGAAGGACATTGTTCGGCTGGTAGGCGAATTCAGCGTAAGGATTTGATCCACTTGTATGTTTGTTGCTATGGAGAATCTAGGTAAATAGGCTGCAATATTTCTTCCAGTTTATTGTCTCACAAAGCTTGGAAAGTATGGTAACTGCAGGTGTCTGGCAACAAAGGCCTGGTTGAGAAGAATATCACGTGAGTTACACTAAATCAGGGCCACGTGAGTTGTCATGCCCTGAATCATAATAGACTCACCTGGTAAAAAATAGTGCCAGGTGGGAAAAGGCACCTACCTCCTTCACACTAACTTGGAGCTGTACTGTAATTGGAGAGAGAAGTGCCATTCACTAGGAGGCTCCATTCAAAGGTATTATGTAAGAGTAGAATGTAAATCATCAATAGAAAAGCAAGAGTATGAGCTTGTTCAGTATGCAACATACTATGGAAGAGTAGGGTGAAATGTTCCAGATTGCATCGCCAGAGAAACACACAGAACAAGCAGTGAAGAGGTCTTTTAGAGCTAGGAGATAAAGCTGTCTTTTTTCTCTTCTCCCCTCTCTGCTTCCCTTCTTCATCTTACCCACCCTCCTTTTACCACATCAACAAATCACTTGTGCTTTGTTATCATCTTTCAACCTCGAGTCTTTCCCTTTAGGACCGCTCACTTCGCAGCAAATAAATTCTTCGCTCCAGACTAGATCATCCTGGCTGGGACTCGATGAGCTTCAGGTGAGAGACTGTCATGAATATTGTGGTTTGCTGGCTTCGAGATGAGGTAACTGAGATTTCATCAGAAAGTGAGCTTCTTTTGAGGCCGACTCAAGAATAACAAAGGGTTCTCGCTGTCGTCGTTCTCAACGGTATGCAGTGAGTCTCAGTCCTCCCAGAGGTTACATCTGACTGACCAAGCTGCAACAGCCCACCATGTCTGATCCGCAGGGTCACAACGAAATGGCCGCCGAGGAACTGGAAAGTGAGAGTGAAGGAACCGTTCTTGAAGTGACGTTCCACTACGCGGATTGTTTCGACTTGGACGACGCTGGATACGGAGGCGTGATCCTCCGTAGAAACCGCGAAGGAGACATCATCTCTAACTCAGCGACGCCCTTCGTCGTGCCCAATGCTGAAACAATTGAGAGAGCTGTTGCCGCGGCCGCTGATGCTACCGAAGACGAAAGCCGCCGTCCTCGCATCGCGCCCGAAAGACCTCCACGTACACCTATGCCCATCCAAACATGGGACCAGCTGGCGAGATTGTCCAGTAACATCGAAAGAGAACGCGAGGCCGCCGAGATTGCTTCGTCTCGCGAGCTGGACAACGAACCTGACCAAGCAACCTGGCCGTGCGGTTGGAGCAGATTTCATGATTATTTCCTCTGGACATGCCGTGGAACCGTTACTGTAATTACCGATCATCTTCAGGCTGTTTTTCGCTTCAACCCCGCCATCAACGAAACCTTTGTTGCTGAAAGACTTTGCGGAGTAAACGCCTACAAGCAACTGACATTCCTCCAGAAATACCTCCCTGGCGAGATTCATTCATTGCAGCGGGCCGAAGCTCGTGGCGTGGTTTATGAGGCTGATATATCGCACCCTGATGTCCGCATGGGAACCCAGGACCTTTATATCGAACAGCCAGATGCTGGAGATCCTAAATACATTAAACCCGTGCTTCCTTGCTGGGCTCCTCCCGGTTGGGACCGCGCCGATGACGCATTCGCTGCTTTGTACTTGGGCGAGCACCCGCTAGTGTTCCTGCGCGAATACGGCTGGGCTTGTGCCGAAATGCCAACATTGGAATTTGTCAGCATTCGTATGGCTCAGCTTCCGCATCTGAATCTGAACTGGCTGGAACTTCAGGCAGCGAAATCGCGCCGTGAGTTCCTTGTCACCACGTACCCATTCGACGCGGGATCCTATTGGTGACCCCACTCAATACGAGGTTGTTTCTGGTTTCCCTTACTTTTAATTTCATGTCTTCCCGTCTTTCCTTTTCATTTTGGGTCAAGGATGGCAAGTTTTCAGATCTGCCCAATTCTTGGCGCTTGCACATATGTAATGTCGTCCAGGTATCCGTGTATTCATAGCCCCGGTTTTGAAGTGCGATCATTGGCTTAGTTCCGTGATAAAGCCTTGCGACCTCGTTGAGATAATCCAATATGAATCTGCGTCCAGGTTTGCAACGACGAGGTGGGAAACATGTATTTTTGAAGAAGAAACGTTTGCGCTGTAGCAACATTCGTGCTTGTGATCCAGTAAATCATAACGGCCGCCGGTAATCCATGAGCATAAGCCGCGAGACCAAGATTTAAGGCAAGCAGTTGAAAAACCGATCGAAGTAGAGTACTCGACATCTTCTTCACCATTTCCTTACGCGGCAACTCGGCACATCTCCTTAACGATTGCACCTTCCATCCATTGCGGATATTGACCAGCAAGGACAGGGTCAATAGCACCGGCAGCATGCCCGTCGAGTCACCTGCCAGAAGGTCCGGAAACCAAAGTGCTCCTTCCGTTGCAAGCGATGGCTCCACGCCGACAGGGAGAGTACCGGTTGCTGGTAAATTGGCCGCTGATTCTTGAAGTCCGAACAACGCACGGAGGCCATTTTGATCACCGCTCATGGCCCTGATGCTTTCGATGACGGCCAGCCAGATAGGCAGCTGGAGGAAGATGGCGGGTCTATAGTACGGCACCACGCCCCAGCGCCGGCGAAGAGCATCATACTGTGCTTTGACATTTTTCGTGGCAATCGCTTTCGCCTCTCTCGCAAGCATTGGGCCGTTCGCACCAGCCGACTGCTGTATCTGTCTCTGATGGTGCTGTCGCCAAGCCATTAGAATCGGGGCCATATCAGATTCTTTGCGGGCCTGGACTTTGGTGAAGACCAGCAGAGGCAGGGCCACACCCATCCGAATCAGAACCGCGGTCAATGGAATAGACAGAGCCCATGGCATGTGGCTGACCGAGTGCACACCATACACGAACGTCGATGCGGCATCTACCGCCTCATTGATAAAAGGAGCGGGTCTCGTCTGATGAAAATGGCGGACATGCTGCAGAGGCAGCATCCGAGGGATACAATGACCAAGCCTCATTTTGTTTGACAGTCTTCCGAGATCCCTTCCAATTCAATGGCGGTTGCATGCAATACACAGACAAGGGCAAGAAGAGGGCGGTGCTACTCAGATGAGACTCTCACAGGGGTAAACAACACAGAGAGTTCAAAGGCAGTAAGATTCCTGAAATGGAGCCATCGCGTGAGGCCTATCACGTGGGCGGTCACAGAGCTCTATACTTAGCCGTGAGGTACGGTACGTAACCCACCAACCATACACGTAACACAGTCGGTACGTAACCCACCAACCATACACGTAACACAGTCAGTCCTTATCGATAGCGAAAAGACCAGCAAGCAAACATCCATCCAACATCCAACATCCGCTTCCACCATCACCGACATTTGATCTAGTAGGCTCCTCTACTGCTCTCAGCTAGCATGCTCCCAACTGGCCCCAAGCAATGATGCTGCTCTTTTTCAAGTTCCTGATCTCTGTGATCGCCTTCCTTGCCGCCTGTGTTCTTCTTCCCCAGTTCTCCCTGGGACTGTTCCGTGTTGTGCTCCGCGGCATGGGATGGGTGATTCGGAAGAGGACACAGGCTCGCAGGGAGGCCATATTGGCTCGTGTCCGGGCAGATGAGGATTTACTCTCAAAACAACCCAAAGTGGCCTCCACCAGTGCGATGTTAGCAGAAGATGAGGATTGGGAGAAGGTCAGTTCGGGTGACAGCAGCTCTGGATCAGCTAGCCAGAGTTTCCAGCAGGCTGGTGTAGACGAATGGACTGGGATTATTGGCTTCTTCCATCCATTCTGGTATGTGCCTCTGCTTATAATGGTGGAATATCCGAGGCTGACTTTCCGACTAGCAACGCCGGCGGAGGGGGAGAACGTGTCCTCTGGGAGGCTGTCCGAGCTACGCAAAGACGGTGGCCTAAAGCCGTTTGTGCTATCTACACCGGCGACTTGGATGTTACCAAAGCAGCCATGCTGGAGAGAGTCCAGGTATTTTTTGATTCCGATGTCCCCCTAACCATTTCTAACTCATAAACAGAACCGCTTCAACATTCAACTGCACGCCCCAACAGTAGAGCTGCTCTATCTGACTACCCGGAAATATGTCCAAAGTAGCATGTATCCGTACATGACTCTTCTAGGCCAGTCCCTCGGTTCGCTGATTGTGGGCTACGATGCTTTCACGCTTCTCGTGCCCGACGTCTTCATCGACACCATGGGCTACGCATTCGCAGTTGCCTTTTGCAAGCTCCTTTTCCCCTCAGTCCCAACAGGTGCCTACGTGCACTACCCCACTATCTCCACCGACATGCTCCAGTCTCTAGACGACCAAACAGGCCTTAAGGGCGTCAATTCCGGCGCAGGAGCAGGTCTCAAAGGCACGCTCAAGCGCAAATACTGGCTCGCCTTCGCCCGTCTCTACGGCTGGATCGGCAGTCACGTCGATGTCGTTATGTGCAATTCGTCCTGGACATCAGCGCACATCCGCTCCATCTGGGGCCCCTCACGGCATACCCCCTTCCTATCATCTCACACCACCAACTACAAAGACCCAGTCGTCGTCTTTCCCCCAACCGCCGTCTCAGACATCCAATCCACTATCCCGGTGACCCCTGAGACAGAGAAAACGCGCACTCCCACTCTCCTGTATATTGCCCAGTTCCGGCCCGAAAAGAACCACCCTCTCATCCTCCGCTCCTTTGCCCGTTTCCTCGAGCGCCACAACAAGACCTCGCCAACCGGGCAAGGACAAGACTCCCAACCCCACCTCATCCTAGTCGGCACTGTCCGCCCCTCCAGCCCAGACGAAACCCACATCTACAACCTCCGCCTCCTCGCCCACGAACTCCGCATCCGCAACAACACTACCTTCCTCTGCGACGCCTCCTGGCCAACCATCCTCTCGCATCTCGGCTCTGCCTCCATCGGCGTAAACGCCATGTGGAACGAACACTTCGGTATCTGTGTCGTCGAGTATCAAGCCGCCGGGCTGATCGCTGTGGTCCATGACTCTGGCGGTCCGCGCGAGGATATCCTCGTCGACCTCCCCGAGTCCGAGTCTCTCAAGGATGGAAGTGAAATTGGCGGACGGGCCACTGGATTCCGCGCAACGACGGAAGAAGAGTTCGCGGATGCGTTTGAGAAGGCACTGTCTCTTAGTGCAGATGAGAAGGTTGCTATGCGGTTGAGGGCGCGCAAGTCCGCGTTGAGGTTTACGGAGGAGGAATTTTCGAAGAAGTGGGTCGGTGAGGTTAGGAAGTTGGTTGATATGACTCAAAAGGCGTAGTTTAATAGTGCTATCACTCCCTGTTAGCGCCTTTAGTTCACATGGTCTGGTTTCTCAATTACCTAGTTCTTGGGTATAGTAGTTCCAGTGCGGCCCGCCCTCGGGAGACCTGTCCAGGCCTCGGCTGACTTGATTACCCTGATCATCTACAGCAAATAAGCGAACTTCGAACCTGATACTCGAATAACGGAATCCTTCTTCCTATCTTATAAAAAGAAGATGCTTGATTGTATGATGATGACAAGAACTACCAAAGTCAAAGCAACCAAACAGTCACTCAGGGTATCCAAGTATCCCTAGTAAAGCAACTGAAATTGGAAACAAAACGAATTGTCTCCCAGGGGTATGAAGTTCATCGTAGGCTCGTAACATAAATAACAAGGAAATGGGGGACCTGATCAGGTATGCTCTGACCGTCAACTAGCCGGGGATGAAATGAGAAGAAAGGTTTATCAGGACCGAGTATTTCGTATCCTGTATCCGCAACGCCGAACATCTATACGCCAGAGCCAGAATACAGCCATGAATCAGACGAAACGAAGAAAAAGGATCTCTCTCTTGGGCAGAGATACGAGTGGCAGGAATGGAGGGTACTATTTACCCCAGTTCTGATTCGCATAGCCAGTTTCGCCTGGGTTGACACCGAGCATTTGGCCCTGGGCATCCACTCCGTAGATATTGCCCTGGTCGCTAGCATAGCCAGCACTCATGCCGGAGACACTAATCCCCGATTCATCGTCGTCAAACCCAAACTCTCCGCCTGAACTGGCGTCGAAGCTGTTACGACCGCCGATATCGCTCGCGTCATCGGCCCCGGCGGGTATTTGATCCCACTGCAATGTTTGCAGTGCTGGATACTGAGCTAGCAGTGCCGCGGGAAGAATGAAGTTGCCGGTATGCTGGCCCTCCATTCCTGGGACCATGAGGGGTTGCGTGACGGGCTGCAGATGCTGCTGTTGTTGGTTCATGAGCGTGCGTTCCCGGTCTTGAGACTCCTCGTCCAGGAGCGGTTTGATACAGATTCGACCGGCTTCTGACCTGAAATGGCGCCCCAGCGCATCCGCACGAGCGAATCGGCGACCACAACCCCATTGTCCGCCTCGGGAGAGGTCACCGCGGCAAACAAACTTCTTCTCACCCGAGTGCAAGCCTTCGTGACGTTTACGGTCGTGTTGGCGGGCAAATGCTTTGCCACAGACGGTGCAAACAAACGGCCGTTCGTCTGTATGGGTTCGTAAGTGAGAACGTAGATTGTACGCCCGAGTGAAGCGTTTGGGACAGAGATGACACTGGAAGGTCGCCGGGTGTTTTTGAACACGTTTAGAATCGGTAGTGTTTGATCCAGGCCGTTGGGGATCCGCAAGGCCCAGGATATAGTTTCGACTATCCACCGACGATGTTGAAAGTCGTCGGGAACGCGCAGGTGAGGCCTCCCTGGAGCTGGGATTGCTGTAGGGGTGGCGGCCTACATCGAAGGGTGACAATGATCGAGGTGACGAAGCGGCCAGTACATCCAAATTAGCCGCGGGGGACGAGGGCGAGCGAGGGCGGGAGATCGAAACCGTGTATGGATCGGACTTGCTCCGCATACGCGACGCGCCTAGAGAAGATATTAGAGCCATTTCAGGTCTAGTGGTCGAGAAACTTACGCATAGATGGCGGCGGACTCAGCGTATCCATATCACCAGAAGGCTTATCAGTGGGAAAGACTTGAGTCTTTGCTGGTGGCGCAAATTCCACGTTGATGGACGGCGGAGCCATTTGTGACGCTTGTCCAATGTCACCGAATTGGTTCGCCTGCGGCATCATACTGTCGAGACCATTTACGTAGCCCTCTGTTGGAGGTGTAGGGTAGGCAGAGCTAGTTGCAGGTGGGGAAATGAATGGACCACTGGGAATCATGTCTGGCGGATGCTGGGGCATCAGCTGAGGAGAGATGTAAGGGCTGTGGTGAGGGCTAATGCCCTGCGGTTGGGGCTGATGGTGCTCGGACAGAGTAAATGACTCAATTCCCAGAGCCGCATTATCATAGAGACTAGGATCGTTCTGGGCGCCCAGAAGCGGGGATGGGTTATTGTCCACGATGTCGAAAGTGTCATGTTGGGGGAGGTACGGGGAATGGGCTGCGGATGACACCTCGGAGACCTCCGAAGGAGCGCGTCGATGACCGTGGAAGGAGGAATTGTTTATAACAGCTTGCCACTCGGGATGCGAAACGTTTGCCATGTAGGCGGCACTAGCGGGATCGAGGGACGTGTGACGCGAGTGTTGAGGGGTATAGAACGTCCCCGGCGAAGAGGCAGGCGGCGACATGGCGTTCGGAGAGGAAGCCGATGGCTGCTGTTCCAGCGGCGAGGTCTGCGGCGAGTTTGAGGGGTGAGGAGACGGGATTTGGCTGACCAAATCGACCGGGTTAACAGCCTGAGTTGCCGACTGCTGCGGATCGAGCAAGCCGGAGGGGTAGTCGGAGCCAGAATTGTTCGGGCTTGGGGCCTGATAGAGCGCGAAGTCAAAGTCGCCGGTATTCGAATTCAAAAGATTGGAGAAGTTCTCCTCAACCGGCTGATGCGATAGCCCTTGGTCGAACGACTGTGGGATCTGTAGGCTAGGGCGGGCAAAGTGTTGATCGGTCGCGATAGCAGGAGTGAGATAGCTCGATGAGTAGGCGAACGCGTCGGAGCCAGGAACGGTATTATTGGCAAAGGACGAAGGGGGGTAAGAGGAATTGGTGGTGATCGAAGGGTCAATCGTCAAGTCGTTATGATTGTTGTATTGCTGGTGAGCATGAGCCGAGGGGCTGACGCTGCGGTTTTTAAGAGCAGCCGGAGCTCGCCCCAGGTCCTGGAGCGTGTCCTGAGGATCCATGGTAGATTGTTATGCAGGCAAGATCCCAGAATAGATACCACGCGAAGGGAGGCTGAGCGAGGGGAAGGAAGAATAAGAATGAAGGCAGGACGATCTAAAAAGAGAAGGGGACGAAAGCGCGTGAGGTGGGGAGACGAAGCAGGTGGATTACGGTCGGGCTGAGGCGTAGATACACAGGCGCTGATGCGAGCAATCAAGAATAAAAGGTGAAGGAGAGACTGCTGGAAATAATAATCTTAGAAATAATATGCAAGGTCAGTCGGGGGCTTTCATTCGCGGTGGAGATGAATTCAGGGACGGAGTCGGAGGGCAGTTTGCGATTCAGCCTCGTCGCGCTATCACCAGCACCAAGATCAAACGATCATTGATCTGCGGTCCTTCGAGAGGGCTGCGAGTCCCTCGATAATTAGGATGTTGCAGGTAGACTGACGGGCAACAACAGTCAGACTCGACCTGAAAGAGATGAGCGTGATGAAGAGCCAGAGAGAAAAAGATGGAGATGAGATAGAAGAAGTGGAGGAAGACGGCAGTGGTTCGTGAGTGGTGCCTTGGTGCCTGAGCAGGTCCCAAACGTGGGGATACGCTCCGACGCTCACGCTCAACACCACGTTGTGGCAGGAGCTTGTCGCTGCTTGCTGCTTAAAATATCTCGAAGCCCAAAAATAACCAGCATCTAATCTTTAAGGATGATGACAGGCACCGAGGCAGACACGATATGATTAACCACTGCTAACAGGAGCGCAACGGGCACTGGGCAGGAATCCGCAAGGCAGACTCGCTCCCGCTCCACTGAACTCAGGTGTCAGAACCAAAGGACGAAGGATATCCCAGCCAGGGTAAGGAACTACGCTCAGTCAGATACTAAGAATAACCTCATGGTCTATGCTGATACAGGAGGATAAAGGTTGCTGGTTACACTGATCGGACTATCGCTCCGCATACTTGCTACGGGGTACCGTAGACTAGACTGCCGACCATCGAGAAAGCCGAAGCGAAGCAAGATACAGAACTTCAGCCCAATAATTGTCACCTACAGAGCCCAAGCAGGCAAACGTCACTTCACCAGATTTCTCATCACATTTCCGCCCCCACCGCATCCTCACGATTGCGATCCAGGGTAGAGTCAAGGACTACGCGAGTCAAATCGTCAAGTCAGCCTGACCGTCACACCCGCATCACATCTTGGTTGATCCCAGTCTTTTTCGATCTCACTAATAAAAGACCAACATGTCGCTAACATTTACCAAGCACATCCGCAAGTCTGGCCCTTGAAACTTGACACCTGGTTCACCGTAGGTTGGGGAGCTTTGGCCGACTCTGCTTGGTGGATTCCCGGCATCTTAGCTGCGTCTGCACAGCCCCCTAGCTGAAACCCGGTCAAATCGTGAAACCGTGCGATTTCGCTGCCCTTGCTGGATGATTGATCGAAGCTGCTGTTTCATGACACGAGGTGCATGGAAGTAGACTAGAAGATTATGATTATCCTTGGTTGTCAGTATGAAGTGTCCTGCATATACAATGTACTCGCATGGCACGTCGGGTGCATATGTAGGGCAAGCCAAAGTATATACTTCCGAAACCTCATCCACCAACGTACCAAAGCAGGCATTTTACAGATCCCCAAAAACACTCACACTCCCCCTCACGGTCTGAGTCTGCCAATCAACCATAACAACATCCTCACAGCTCGATCCCAATCCCGCATTATCCACCCATCCAGGCTCCCAATAATAAATGCCCACAGCACCAGCCTCCCCCAGCACATCCGCCAACTGCCCCCAAAAGGTCTTCTGCCCATCAACACTAAACGCAATCGAGCTCAAATCCGACGGAAACGCATACTCAGGCGAGCTACACTGCACCGGCCAGTCCGTCTCCACGACTAGCACCTCCTTCCCGTAGCTCGACTTCAGGTTCGTCAGGCTGGTCTTGAGCGAGGAGAGCGTCGCATCGGGGTTGTAGAACGGGTAGTACGATACGCCGATGAGGTCGAAGTCCGAGGACTCAAGCGTGCGGGTGGCCAGCACGGTGTCGTAGAAGTACTTCTGCGCGTCCCAGTCCCAGCCGTTGTCGAGATGCAGGAGAATCTTGGGTGTTGTGGAGAGGGAGGAGTCCTTAACGCCCCAGGCGCCCGAGTGTAGGAGGCGCGCGATGTTGTCGTAGCTATCTGTGCTGCCGAGGGGGTGGAGGAGGCCGTTGCGGATCTCATTTCCGATGGACACGATCTCGACGGCTAGGTTGTTCTCAGCGAAGGTGTTGCAGACCTCGAGCGTGTAGTTGTAGACCTGCCAGGCTAGGGTGTCGATGTCGGTTGTTGACCAGGCCGTGGGGGTTGTCTATTCCCTTAGTTAGTCCGTCCTACCATAGGAAGAAGAAGTTCTTGGATATACCTGATCACCAGGGTCTGCCCAGGTATCACTCAAATGCAGGTCCAGGTAAACGCTCATCCCGGCATCTTGTACCCTCTTCGCAAGCTCCAAGTTGTAGTCCAGGGTATATGACGCCCCATCACTTGGACTCACCCATACTCGCTGTCTAATCGAGTTCACTCCGTTATCGGCTAGTATGGACTCGAAGGCTTGGGTTTCGCCGTTGAGGTTCTTGTATGCGACGCCGGAGTTTTCTTCAACTAGGAGCGAAGAGATGTCGGCACCTCGGTAGGTCAGGGCCGCGCTGGTGAGGGACGCCAGGGACAAAGGTAGGAGAGAGCATAGAATCATGATTTATTGTTTCCCTGAGAATTGCGGACAGAGACGGCGGTCGACTGGTCAATCAGTCAAGGAACTCGGTGGTTTTAAGCACCGCTCGTCAAGCAACTTGGTGTCTTGCAGCATAGACATTACCTTGCGTTTCAGAAGTGCCGGCGGGGATGGACTCCGATGGACATTCATTTTGCAGGCGCAAGACCCATTGGTGGAGGAACACCTGAGACGCCGGAATATGGGGTAGGGCAGTTGATGTACATGCACTAACTATGACTGACACAGCTGTGAAGAATCAAATGTTTCTCCATTGTTTCCAACATATCATCTGGTTTATCTCGACGTCTCCTCGTACTGAAACGTTCAACGCGGACACCACTCATATCGAAGCCAAATGCACTATATCTCAGACCTCCTCCCATGGACGTTACATACAGAAACTCACACATGTCCCGAACCCCGTGCATCAAATAGAACCGATATATAAACCGTAAAGGGGGTCAAATGAAGATAGACATCGAAAGCAAAACCAACGCCGGTCTTTTGAAGCCCATCCGAGAAGAAACGAAATGAGAAGGATAGCCTGCCACCAATGCAAATATACGTACAAGCAATGTAACCCTCTGCAGGTACCCTGTATGCGCGCAAAGAAGATAAAAATGCAGCCAGAAGGTCCCAATTAAATGATATACACATGAATCCCAGAGCTTGGTAAGGCGAGAGACGCTCTGAATTAAAATGTCAAATAGGGTTGAAGCGGGCGGCCGTTAATAAGGTAAAAGTAAAGAGCTCGACGAGCCCAAGTATGATGATAGGGGCACAATTAGCCTGCATCGTGCCCTGGCTTTGCCTTGCCCATGACGATTGCTGGTTTTTTGTTGGCGGGCTTGTTGTTGCCAAAAACGAGGCCTTCATCTTCGGAATCGTCGCCGCTCTCTTCCTCGTCGTCGCAGTAGTAACGAGATTCGTCATCCTCTGGTGGGCGTGATGTACTGCGCCGACGTGCTTTGACTGTTTCACCGGTTCGAAGAATTGAAGGCACCTGTGCCACTCCGTCACAGTCGTTCTCCTTGCTGTACCTATCTTCTGACAGCGACGATGCTCCCGACATAACGGATGGAATGCTTGGATGCGATGTGCTTTGCGACATGCCACTGGTGTCTTCGTCCACGGAAGAGGAAGACATGGTGACTGCAGATGTAGGTGAAGTTGTCAGGCCGTCTTTGACATACTCCGCGGAGCCATCCGAAGTCTTCCGAGAAGCGTCGCCCGTGTATCCTCGATGTTCGCGGTCTGCAGAAAATCCGGTGAGTGGGTCGGAGCGGCTACCCTTGATGTGCCATGAACCCTCCTTGGTGAGGTTGAGGGGCTCAACAGCTAATAGGGGGTGGGATATTTTGCGCCGGTGCTCAGGCGTTGATGCCGGGCTCTCGCGAAGTGTGAACGGCTCTCCATCTGTTTGCCAAGTCGATGGTTGCATCTGCTCAACCGCGGATGTGACGTTCAGAGCGACGCTGGGGTCTGAATGGTGATCCTCCTCCACAGTAGAGAACTCACCAGGGAAAGGTCGTTCCCCTGGCTGCAGGCCCCTCGCCAATCGGCGGCTTGCGCCGCCAAGAATACCACCGAAATTTGTGGTTCCTGAAGTTCCTGGCAGCTCGGGCGTAGCGGGCCGTAGAGGTACAGAGTGGCTCTTATTCATGACAGATGCCCTGACAGTCTTGGACGACTCGGCGGTCGATAAGTTTGACATTGCACGCTCAGGAGGGCCGGGGCGAGGTGTGCGATTGGCAGCAGAAAAATAGCCAGAAGCGGCATCCTGCGCCAAAGAGGAAGGTCGTTCCTCTGGAGTAGCAGTTGGGCTCACTGTGACGCTCTGCGATAGAGGATGCTCGCTATCTCTGTTGTACTGGCTTGACCGAGAGAAGGTTTCATCATCATTGCGAGAACTGGACCGGCGGCCATCCCAGAGAAGATGCTTTCCTTGCGAGTTGCTGCTCGAGGTGGACACCGAATCAACAGAAGGGCTTGCGCTAGGCGTGCGTTTGCGACTATCCCTATCTTTCGACCTTCCGGTCAAATAATTTGACCACTTCGCCACATTGGACCGCACCCGTTGAATGAAGGGAACTTTGCTGACGGCCGTTGTCACTTCCTCGCTGGAGACTTCAATCCTCTTGCCCTTGCTCATATAGGCAGGATCGGTTTCTTCAACCCATGCCCTAGGGTTCGGGAGACCATGAAGAACCCAAGGATGGTGCTTGATCTCTTTCAACGTGATGCGCCGCACTGGGTCTTTGGTCAGCAGTCGTTTCAACAAATCCCATAGTTCCTCATCGATGTCCTCGTAAGCCAGCTCGTTATGTGCTCGCATATCTTCGGGTGTATGGGGCCATTGTGTGCCGGTATCCACTTGGACAGGCTTTAAACGTTTGCGCGGGATGAAAACATCCTGCTTCACAATTGTTTGGTACATGCTGTACTCGTCGTCTGAGACAAATGGCAATCGGCCAAATATCATCCCGTAGAGCGTCACGCCTAGGGACCAGACATCGATGGCACCGGTAATGCGAGGTGCGCCACCAAGGGTATCTACAAAATCGTCGCCGGTGTAGCAAAGTTCGGGGGCGTAAAAAGCTGGTGTGCCAACAGTTTTGGATAGCTCTCGGGCATCGTCCAGCTCCGTCGTGACATCTGTCTCGTCAAGTCGCTCTTCCTCCTCATCTCGAATGGGCCGTCCCAAGTAAGAAACACCGAAATCAGATATTTTGACATGATGATCTATGGTGACTAGAAGGTTCGCCGGCTTGATATCGCGGTGTATGATGCCTTGGAAGTGGAGATATTCAAGGCCGAGGAGAGAATCTCGAAAAGCATTGCGCGCCTCCGTCAAAGTAAGGCAGGGCACCCAGGACATGTCGTCATCTGCGGGGGACAAGTCTGTCTCAGATGGCGCGTAGTTGAAGTTGCTGGATGCCGAACTGAACCGCCGTCTATCTGACGGGTGATCCGGGTAGGCCCCGTACATAGTGCCTTCCATAGCAGCCAATGCAGCTTCTTGGGACCCGAGGAAAGAATGGCTTGGCGACGAATTCGTCTCCTCGTGGTTTGAAAGGCAGCGACTGGCCGTACGAGCGATCGCGAGTTCGGGTCCCAATTCATCATCCGACTCCGCTCCATGCTCCAAACTCCAAGCGGGAATGGGTCCCTTTTGCGCATGCTCTGCTTGCGCTTGGCGCCGCTCCATTGCCTTCTCGCGCTGTTCCCGGATACGCTGTGCCGTCATGATGTACTGCTTGCTCTCTTCCCAAAATGCTGGTGTTTCCGGAATACCGCTCTTCTCGCGGTCGAGCCGGACCTTGTCGACTTCCACGATTTCGCGAAGGCCTCTTTGTCGCCATATAATCTCGCCATTTTCGACATACTCGAGCACAATATAGACCTTCTGACGGTTCGGGTCATCAATCACTTCTAACAGACTAACCACGTTCGGATGGCGTGCTTTTTTCAGGATAGCGACCTCTTTTTTGACCTTGTCCTCGGCGTCTCCTAGCCTTCCTAGGCGCCGCCGTTTCGAGTATCGCTGGACAATTTTGATCGCAACCTTCTGCTTTGTGGTCGAATTACGGCCCAGTTTCACTTTGCCATGTTCACCACGACCTAATTCGGAGAGAATTTCATACTGGTTGATGGTTTTATTCCCAGTTACGTGGTCCCTGTCCACTTCAACAAAATGTGTCCTATCCAGACAGTCAGTATCTGTGAGCATGCGGCGTAGTGGGGAGGTTCGAGAACTTACTCCTTGGGGGGTTGAAGATGTGACGGATGGAGGTAGGAGTTGCTGCTTCGCTCTTCGCCATCCGATCCCGGTGGTGTCAGGCCAGGAGTTCGGACAGAGAACAGGCCCGGGCTAGATATAGGCGTATTGCCTGCGGTGCGGGCGCCGCGAGAATGCGCATGTTTTTCAACAGGTTCAGAGGGGTAAGAGCTATGGCTGCGTAAAAATGGAGGTTGGTAAGTTGGATGTTGTTGAGACTGAAGGACGGCATAAGACTGATCCGGGTAGACAGGATATTCAGCGCCTCCGCTATCCAACTGGCGATTATAGGATGTCCTTCGCGATAACGTGATCCGTCCGAAGATACCGCGGTCGGACCTGACATCAACCACTGTATCCTCGTTCAATGCTTGAAGAGAGCTAGACGAGCTTCGGGTCGAAGGTGAGCGAGAGGCCCCGGAAGAATGATAGAGATGAGGGAATGCCTGCCGAAGAGGCGGTTGACCATCCAGAGAATCGCTCGAAGGGGCTAGTTTTGCGTTCGATGGCTTGGTAATGGTTCGGCCGACGTCTAAATCGCTTGAAGGCTGGGAACCGGCAGATAAGTCACTCTTGCTTGTTCCCCGCCTATGGGTGTTCTCCGACATCTGTCCACATTGGGGTGCCGCCGCAGTCGCGAATTCCTCGAGGCTGAACTCTGAAGGCGGCCGATCGGCCATCTTCATGATCGTTTTATGCTGTTGAACCACTGCCCCAACGCAGTGTGCGCATCCTCTGTTACCAATCCGTCCCTGTACTTTCGCTGCAATAGTTTCGTTCGTTTCCGCCGGTCTCTTTGTTTTCAAAATCCCCAATCAGCCAAGAACTCAGGTGAAATGATATAGGACTCCGACTGTATGATCGAATAGGTCGGCATTACTCTCACGGATCGACTCGAAGGGAAGCGGCAGACGTCATGAAGGCCGGCCTTGCGAAGGTCGTGTACCGGACAACGGACAGAGTATTTAGTTCTAGAGAGATCCAACCCACTACAGCGCCAGGATGTAGTCGGTTGTAGTTCCGCTCGAAGCAAGGATTGAAGAGACCGTGGACGGAGATGTTCGGCGAAGTCGGAGCGAGTCCGGAGGAAGAAACGGTCGAGTATAGGGCGGAGAACAGACCGGAGAGCGTCTAAGGATAGGATCAGGGGTGTAATAACGATGACACTTATATAACAGAATATAAAAAGAGGGCACCAAGGTCCGACAACCACGAAGAATATTAATATCTGGAAGTGAAAGGCGAAGGTGAAAAAGATAGCAGAAAGTTTAAAGAGGGGCAAAGCAGCGAAAAGGAACAAATATGGAAGACACTCGGCCGCGAAGGGAGAAAGGGAGGGAGCACAGGATGGAGACGCTAAAGGAGGATGGATCGAAAGGGGAGGAGACGGTGACAGGGGAGAAGAGGAGAAGAAGCGCTGGTCATGAACGAGAAGACTGGAGAAGAGTCCAGTCCAGGGCCAGGCGGATCAGTTCAAGCGATGGGAGGAGAAGCGAAGACGGAGAAGGAGAAGAGGAGAATGTGCCGGCTGGTCCTGTTGAATTTTCCCAGACTTTTCTTTCAAAGAGATACAACCACTGTCAGAGTGAAACGCTGTCTATCTCTCCATAAATTACAATAATAATATTGTCTGCTTGCTGGGATTGCTGTTCAGTGCCTCCGCGGTCGCATCGAACCCCTTCGCAGTTGTTCGCTATGATGGAGCCAGGATGAGGATCGACTGTCTGATACTATTAATATTTATGATTTTTGATATTCCCATTACACACAGGGTTTACAGAAATCTTTCAATAAGTTACCGCACTAACAGGGTTAGGCTTCGGCCGATGGGTCCCCAAGACTGAGTCTCCTCCACTCTCGAATCCACGGCTCCAGCCATGAGTGTACGGAGTCGGAGTATGATAGGTATATCCGACTTGGATCGCATGTTGTAGTGATGACGGAGTGCTTCGCCTGCGGTTTGTGTACTCACAGCACGGAGTACTGCACCCTTATCATCTCTAGGTGCGGGGTAGAGTGATAAACAGCCAAATGTTTCCATCGTCATGTTGGTCGAGGAATCTCAAGCTCGCAGCAAGCCATGGTTACTTACCATCATCGGTGGTGATGGCCATGGCCATGGGCTGGAGCGTGTTTCAATTTTGCCTTCCTCATGGACGGGGAACGTGCTAAGGAACTGCTCAACCACACCTGCAACCGCATCCCTGCCCGATAACGCATTCTTAATGCAGCCCCTAGCATGAGGTTTCCTTCGCCTCGTTTTACCGTCGATCAGATATCGCTGACAAGCAGCATCAATGACCATCAATACTCCGTACTCCGTATCAATCAATATAGCACGACAGTACTTAGAGCGTGTCTTTTATCAAGATCGAGAAAGGGCGTTCCGCGGGTCCAACCCAGCACCGTCCGTTCTCGACCGCCGGTGGATACTGGATACAGACTCTTCGTCCATATTTCATCATTACTTTCTTTGACCTTCTGGCCGATCGCCATGGTAATTTACTTCGTGACAAGGGCCAGCAACCAATGATTTCCATTATTGCGACAGTACCGGTAGTCTCGCATGCGACTCAATGATAGTTGCGCTTGGCTTCGCTGCCGTAGAGCTTCTCCAGAAGGTCGTGTTTTCCAAGTCCTAAATACCTAGTCTACGGTAAACCAAGGCTGGGACAAACAGAGCGGTAGCTTTGGTGGCAAACCGAGTGGTGGAAAACACAACCATGATCCATCATCATCCTTCATCATGGCTCAAGGTTGGCAACTATTCCAGCTTCGCTTTTTCTTTTCGCTTTTCCGCTTCTCGACTAATAGGAACATCCTTTGGGCTGTGCTCAGCCTTGAGTCGCCCACTGTTTTCACCCGAGGCTAAAGCCGGGTCTTGATATTGGCTCTTGATTCCGAACTCCTGCAGCACACTCTACGGAGTATGCCACAGGATCGGCTTGCCTGGATGAACCAAATCAACCGTCCTCGACCTTCTCATGCATAGCAGCCTGATCATCCCACGAGGAGCGGTTGAACTAAACGCAGCGGAAATAAGCTCCACTCGGAGGCCTTTCAAGTTCTAACTTCTAATTCTCGGTTTGATTCCCGTACATTCTACGGGGACAGGGCCGAAATCCTCTGAACCAACTGTTAATGATTGATGCTTCCTCTAATGCAAGCCATTCGATCCAGGTCGGCGCAGGCCGCTAAACTTGACAGTTCAAAGTGAAACTTGGAACATGACACGCTAGCTTGACTTGGAGATTTCAACTTGAAAGGATAAGCGTCTTTCTCCTCATTATTCCAACGGCAGCTCCAACTTCAAACCCCAGGATTTGAACCATTACCTTATCAGATTGGCTCATCAACTCAATTTTCCCATTGGTTTGACGTCATTGAAGCCCAATCAGTTCATGTCCGGCAACCATGGGTAGCCTCGGGGTTATCATTGTCAGAACTAGAGTAACCGCCAGGGCCCAGACTTTGGCTTTCAAGGCAGGACTACTCACGACATAGAGTCACTACGTATACGTCATGTATGCGCCGTGCCATGACCAGACGCATGAGCATGAACTGAGCCTCGTACCTCTCAATCTTCCCTGTGGCTCAACCGGTACTAGTACGTTACGCACTGAGCTACCTAACCTCGCCTGTCTCTCTATATTACCACCAACGGTGGATACATCGTCGTCCATGGTCGGCGATTACTACCGTGAGGCACGGTTAAGTCCCATAGGATTTGTGCGGAGTAGCTTTGGTCTCAGGGAACTTGGAAAGCATATCTTTCTTCTGGATCTTCTACCCTATCACCCTGGGCAACCTGGGCAGGCCATAGATTAGGGCACTCCACGCCGTGAAGCTGTACAATGCTAGCACATCCCGACAACCCGAGTTAGAAAGACTTGCTCATATGCGTCATACGTCATGGATAAATGCTGCTGTTCTCTACGCTTAAGAATAGTTTTAAGGACGAACCCTTCGCCTCAACTAAGTAGATTGCTTGCCATCCGTCCGCGATAGGCTAGTATAGAGTATAGACATATAGAATTACCTATCAAGCCCTTCAGGGATCAAAATCACAATCCTGACCAGGTATTTAGATCAATTCAACCGACCTCCCGATTCTATGTAACCCATAAACTGGAGAACAAGCAAACGCCTAATATGCTCATTTGGCGTGTTTATTGATGAATGTCGAATATCAGATCCCGGAGCACGCTACTTACCCTCCAACTCGACTGCCTCGCTCGAGCCTGGCTGCTCCGCAACATAAATGCACTTATAAGCCTCGGACTAGGGAACTCCATCTAGCATCACGTCTGATTCATTTTCTGCTACTAATAGATTAACGGGCGAAAAATGAAACAAAAAACATACAACAGCTGGGATTCGCATGTGGTCACCCACCATACTACTAACCAGCCGGCGTGTGGCTTAAGTACGGCTGAGCGGACGGGAAGCCCTGTTCTCCACACCCTGTGGTCGTATGTGCTTGCTATGCCTATATTATTGCCTCCTCAGCAACTTTACAACAATGCTAAATAAAGCAACCAATTTCTAGCCCTACATACCGTCACCTCGCGGTGGCCATAGCTCCGATACCTGTACCTACTAGTTTCATCAAGCTATCCGAGCATCAATTAAAGATGGCCCTAAGACCATCCCGCCGTTGGCTGGTTCGGGAATATAGTTGCGCCAGGTTGGGTCCAGCATATTGACTCTGGTTACATAAAGCGCTTCGCAATACATACTTCATTAGAGCAAAATGAAAATACATGTTGATTTTCGAGCTGTATCAGCAAAGTAGATGCATAGTGCGAAGTGGTTACGTTGCGTTTGCAGCAGATATGCGTGATTGTTGCTATAGATCACTGGGTGAATACAGTTTGGCAGTGGTAGATACAGGTTTGCTGGGTTACGTATCCGCAAATAGAGTTTGTATCCAGGTCAATCTGTTGCCGCCCGTCAAACCCGTTGCCAAGATCATCCGTATCGCTGAGGTCGCAATGTATCTTGAAAATTATGTGACAAACGTTGCGGATGCGGATTGCAGGCAATTTTATGTGTCGCGCATGATGCAGATTGATATTAACGCGGTGTAATCGCTGCTGGTGATGCGCAGTCACCCGGAGTTTATGTGCTGCGGAGGTAGCGCTTAATAGGTCGGTCCAACGGTTTCAATTCAGCGCTATTCACTGTCTAGGCTAACTATATAGGCTATAGGACACTGCTACGGGATCAGGATAAATACAAATGTGGGTGGAGATGCCGATTCGATGCCGACATTGACGCCGATGTCCGACACTAACAGAGATCCGAGATGTCAAGGGCCCGTGCGCCGCCGTCCGAGTCGATCCCGGCTTACCGAACCAATGCCAAGTCGGGAGCTGCCGACACAATCGCCGAGAAAATCCCGCGTCGCTGACAAAGACCTACCGCTACGGGCAGTCGGTCGAAATCGCTGTCCGTTGTTACACATTGTGTATTGAGTTTGGAGCGCCATGGAACGCCATCTTTGAACACGAGCTCGTATCCAGGGAAGGCGTTCCGCGTGATGCCGATGGAGGGTGAGTCGACGCGTCATCAAATTGCCACCGTATCGCCCTGTACTGAGTTTGCGTGTCCTTGGACAATGTGTGAGGGATCCATGGAAGCGATGATGAATCCATGGATGCACGAGCAGCTGAGCCTTGGCGAAATTAGCTTTTCACATAGTTCAGGCATATTTCTAGTGCCTTGGGACATTCTTGCATGTTCCACAGGATGTTTTCCTCCCCAACCACGGTATGCGTTCGGAGGCCGGCGGAAATCGATGAGGTCACAACGAGCGGGGTAGCTAAGGTCATGAAAATGTCAGTCAGCGCGGTGAAACCATCCGCCGTTCGCATAAACTTACCTTGTAGAGCAGTCTTGTGACCTTGATAGGCTGATGTCATGAAAGGTCAGTCAGCGCGGTGAAACCATCCGCCGTTCGCATAAACTTACCTTATAGAGCAGTCTTGTGACCTTGATGGGTAAAGGTAAGTCCGACCGCAGTAATTTGCCTTGTAGGGACAGCAAGTGTCGTGACTTCCAAGGGATGGATGAAAAAAAATCCGCGCGACAAGGGGTGTCTGGTTCGGAAGACGGAGCAGGGATGACCCGTTGGACGTCGGGATAGCATCAGGCACATGTATTTAGATAAAGAAACAAGTTAGCAACACCTTTTTTGTAAGTAACAGGTACGTGAGAGCTTACCAGAATGAATTGCGTCGCATGTTCGACTTACTATTTTGATCAGGAGCACAATTAGCAGCAGAAACAACCAGCAGAAGTAGGCATAGCATACCTAACGCACCAAGATTGAATTGTAAAACGCCCGGAGTCCTACCGCATTAGCACAGGCAAGTTAGTGACTGCTGCATAAGTTTACAAACCAGCAAAGCGCACCGCTATCTACTGTACCTGAGTCAAACTTCCATCATCATCCATCGTCCGCATCATCGTCCGCATCATCGTCCGCTGGGCAGCATCTTCAGTGTTGTCCGCATCATCCTCAGCATCACCCTCGGCATCACCCTCGGCATCATCAACACCTGGGCAACATCAGCATCATCCTCAGCATCATTCCATTCACTGGGCAGCATATTCCAGGTCAGTGTTATCCGCATCATCCTCGGCATCACCCTCGGTATCATTCCATTCACTGTTGCAGCCCAATCAGCATCTTCAAAGCGTCCGCGAAGCAGCTGTTAAGCATCAAGTTCTCCAGGGCTCTTAATCCATCACCACAATCTGCCCCCTCCATTCTCCGTCACGTTATTACCCTATCACGGAATCGAAAAACAACCTCGGGCTATTTGGCTTGTCTCTTGGTGTTGCAAAGGAATTGAAAACGCGTCCGGGGGTGTCTATCCGTATTCTTGCTTGAATCAGACCGCATAATATCCGCATGAACGAAGCAGTACCGCAAAAGGCGAAAACTCGGGTTCCTATGGTAAGAGTCTATTAGCTTGCCTGTTTCCTTGATACTTTGTCCACTGCCTGGATAGAGTCGACTCAGCTTTCAATTTTTGGATGGGTTGAAATGTTCGTCGCCATTGCGGGGATCCTGGAGATGGTTAGCTGCTGCTAAACACCAGGATGCAAGCTGGGTCCAAACTAGGTGCTCTCGAAGGTAGGCGAACAAAAAATCTAGGATCCTGGTTAAAAACACCATGAGAACTAATGCTGCAACAGGAAATCAAGGCCTAGATAAAGCCTGGCGAGAAAGGGAGGATGTACCTAGCAGTACTCGGCAACACACGTCAACACCTGCTTGAGAGTTCCGGCCATTAGGATACATCCAGCAACAATGCGCTGCGGCGTTTTTAGGCGTTGAAAAAAACAGCCACGGACAGCTGCGGACAAACTTGGGTATGGCTGAGGATCTTTTTGGAATTGTCCTTGGAGTTGATGGGTGCAATTAGGCCGTGAGCAGGACGAGTGTGGACAAGGGAAGACAACCTTGGTCGCCGCGGAGGAAGGCGCACAATTTGCGTTAGCTTTGGGGTCGGCAAGGCCTCTTTCAGAGGTACAAAATTTTGTATGGGCTTGCCACCTAATTTTATGTACCTCTGGAATTTGAAGAAAAGAGTAAGGGGGTACCCTTACTCTCCGCCTCGCCAGCCAAATTTCGTGCATTCTGCTACGCCTAAGTCCACGGATTTGATTGAGCTTCTTCTCGCGGGGCTTAAACCTGGAGAAGTTGGTGTAGTAAGTTTGATTCTTGTGATGCACGAGGGCGAAGTTCGATAGACTGCCTAAGTTACCTTGGCCAGTATAAATAAGACCACCTATAATCATTGTGCGTATCTATTCTATGGCATATTGTCCCCCGGCCATCAAATCAAGTCTGATCCGTTTGTATTAAAATATATTAGCAATTGCTACATCCGCATTCGTGTCCTAAGTTGCCGCCGTATTTCTAGCTAGAAAAACTCCACATTCCAATTACAGTGTATCATCGTAGTGTCGGTGATGCTATCTGCAGGTGGCAAGCTATCCAAGGTCGATTGGAGTAGCGCCGCTAGTGGTGTGTTTGAAACCGGAACTAGATAGTGGGATGCTGTTCCAATAGACTGAAGGCCGACCACAATCTTCTCTTTGGTTCTCTGCACATAGGATAGATCCAAAACAGTGTCACGCGGGATATGTTGGTGTGGAATCACCGGTGTAAGAAGCGCGAACGCTCGCCGTTTCCCGTCTGCAAGCTGATGGGTAAAAAATAATTCAATCTGTCCCATGGAAGCTCCTCGGTACGTGACAACGCTGCCTTGTTGGAACACATATCGCCTGCCCCTAAAAGCATCAAGAACAAATTAGTAAATGCACTTAAGGTAGACAGTATTGCGCAAGAGCAAAAGTCCACGGCTAGGAATGACATCGAGAGGCAAAAGTGAAATAAAAAAAAAACAGGATAAATCCAACCACCACTTACTGCGTGCTCATAGCGACCCGCCTGTACCATTGGGCATTGTTTGGTATTTCCATAAAGGGTGGGAATTTGTATTCAGCATGATACGCCGAGCAGATGCTGTCAATAAACCAATGGAGTTCTGAGGCCTGGTGGAGCTGCTTTGGGATGCCCATTTGAGCCTGCACCTTGCTGCCAGGTACAGCGAACGACAACGAAATGTCCTTGTAAGAAAGCGGATTTGGTGATAACACCAGGCCAAAGTACCCCAAGCCTTCTTCCTCATTGTCCCTGTCCTCTTCCGATAGCCCAAAACCAAGCGGCCACATTGCTTTGAAGACCATCGGACAGCGCTGCGCGAGATTCTGAAGTTCTGGAGTTGGGATATTATTATCCTCTATCGCGCCGTTGAGAGAGAGTTGCACGGATATAGGAAGGTATTCGTTAGAAAGCAGATCTCGTTCAGGTTCGCGGTGATTTGTATAACGGACTCGATTCTTGAACACCCTAGGAATAGCAAATTGTTAGTCTTTGTCCTTAGTGCACGTAGAAATGACATTTAGTCAGGCAATCTAGAATGCTCATGCGCAGAACAGGTAAGAAAAGTCAGGGTACAAAATTTAATGTAAACAGGAACACCGGAAGCTGAAAATATTGATCTTCCCCATTAATATGAGACGGAACATGAGACTTAGATTCAGAACAGGAGACTAGGATGGACTGGAAGTGCTAAGCAACTATGGATTGCGTGGACTTACTTGTTCTTGTGTTCTCCAGCAAGGACATTGTTGTTCCATGGAGTTGCATACTCAGCGGACTGCGCGGGATAGTGAAGTCCTATGTGCATATTAGGCCGCTGCTGAAGGGCTCTTATGCCCCTGCTCTTCTTGGTTTCAATTGGCCGCCCCGATGCAAGACTAGTTTGGCTACTTTGACTGCTGGCTGGTGTTGTCTCCCAATCTGATGCTGTCACTGCAACAGACTGGGATCGAGATCGAGACCGAGATTGGTATGGTGTGATTTCTTCTGCTGCAATAGCGGCGGCTTCGGCTATATGTTGAACTCCGCTTCGTGCTTGCTTGATTATATGTTCAAGCTGAGATCGGTCCTTGGACTTCATGGAACGTTGCTGAATTGCGCTGTTACTCCGGGCAACAGCAGCAAAGACACTGGTGATGATATCCTTGGGGTCATCCTGTCTCTCCCTGAAAAGCTCACACAATGCCTCATAGAAGGCATCACTAATCCAATGTCTCTCCATATAACAGCGGAGTAACAAAGGAGCAACTATCGATGCACGTACATGCTCTTGGAGACGGTATGACTTCATGTGCGTAAGAGGCGACTGCAATCTCTGCCAACCAACTGGAAAAGGGAAGCGTTGCAGGACAGCGAGGTATCTGGTCCTCCCATATTCAGTAAGTACGTGCTCGAGTAGTAGGATATGTACCATCTGGCTCAGGCCAGCACCATCAGCATGACAGACATCAATTGGGAAGAAGCGCTCTAGAATCTGAGCGGGAGCTATCTTAAATAGGGGTGAAGGGAGAGACGCTAGACCATACTTCCGGCAGAACTCGGATTTTTCTCTGCCTGTCTTCTGATGCGCAAGTTGATGCAAAAGTGAGGTCTGGTTATGGTACCTTCCAAGCTTGACTAAATTGATGTCCAGGTTATGTCGGCTTGACTCGTCAACAAGGCAGAACCGACAAGAAACATGAGCAGTAGGGCCTAATAGACCACAGTTGACATTCTGCTGCGGCATATCCCCAAGAAATGCCAGGACGAACGCGAAGACCTTGCGCATGGCGCCATCATGCATTACCTCAATCCCTGCGTCAAGCTTGCCAAGTGCAATAAGGTTCTTAATCACATCTCTAAAGTTTGTCCCGTATGGACCCAGTGTGATTGCAAAGACGTTGTGTAGTTTTGCGCGCTCATCCACTGTCATGCCTGCGAAGATAAGGTAGATGCCCATAAGAGATTTGTATGTAGTCCGATACAAACCGAATCCATCCATGAACATCTGGTATGGGAGGGAGATGGGCGGGGTGCTTGAATCAAAAGAATCTATAAGGTGCTGGCGGCCATATACTTTGATTTCTTGTTCACCACGATGGGGGGAGGATAGGTAGAGAGCCCGAAGCTTGTGTTCCTTGTCCAAGATGCGCCGGACGATGAAATGACCAGCTGGTGATGCTATGGGCTGGGATAATGGGTTTTGGTATCCATAATCAAGAGTCACGCGAGGCTCATGGGAGAGGAGCTGATGTTCTGCAATCAAGACATGCTTGTCCTCGTGGATAAGTAGTTCCATCAAATCTATTGGGGACCCTGAACGTCGAGCAGTCAAGGCAAGCGTGCTTGGCACTTCAGAACTCTTTAAAAGAACCTGGAGCTGAAGAACAATATCCCCGGAACGCACTTCGGTGATATATGATGTGTGATTAATGCCAACACAGTTGATTCGGCCAATATGTGTACGGGAGTCAGATGTACAAGCACAATTGAGCTTCTGACATCTGTACCAGACAAAGTCTGATGGGAGCGCAGCAGCGCGATCACCAACAGGCCCAGGATACCGTGCAAACTGTCCGGAGGTTGTCCGGACTGAAGAACCCCATGCAACGCCGTGCCAGAGTTCTGTGGGCACATCGACAAACTCCGCCATACCTTGGTGGATTTGCTGCATGAAAGACGGGGATTTCACAAGACTTGAGATAAGGGGAATGGGATCAATGAAATACATCCATGTCGAAGCATCCAGCGCGCGTCTTTTGTCCGGAGCACTTAGTGTCTGTAGCTTCGCACTAACCACAGGCACCTTAACACGGCGCAAAGGTATGGAACGGAATTGACCTTTGGTATTCTTTTTAAGCTGGCCTAGGGAAGCAGGGAGTGATGCAATAAGGGATACATCATCCAGGAGTTGCAGCACTTCAACAAGCGCTTTGTACTGACTTTGCGTAATGTTGTATTTAAGTGACCATAATCCGAGCATTAGGTGAAAGGAAGGCAGTGTAAAAGTGCACCGTTGTTGGGGCACTTCTTCCGACTCATCAATATCCTCACGGCGCACCCAGTTCGGGGGCAGCATTGTGCCTGGACCAAAAGGAGTCTCGCTTAACTCGGCATCCGGAGCCGCATCCTCAACCGTATCTGGAGCCGCATCCTCAACTGCATCCTCAACCGCATCCTCAGCCGCATCTGTCTCCATCACATTGGTATCCTCAATCATCTCAATCGTGCCAGACGCATCAGTTATATCCATTGCATCCACAAGAGCAGGAGTAGAGGCATCTCCAGAAGTGTTCGCCTCCGCATCATTCACCTTGTCCGCATCATTCACCTCGTCCGCATCAGTCAGCTCCGCATTATTCACCTCATCCGCATCAAAGAAGCTATCTTGGACAGCATCTGTCACTGCCGCTGCCTCCGCCTCCGCCTCCTCGATCAGAAACAGCGCGTCCTGGTGTGTGATCTCGGAATCCGGAATAACCTCAACCTCTTCCATGATTTCCTCCACACTGCCATTTGTACGGTCACTCCGATGGGACGGGCTCGCGGTTCTTGGTCGCCTCATGTCCTAGTTTTTTCCAGAAACAATCAGCATCGCACAAAAGGCACCCGTCAAGCATAGAACACGCATACCATGTTTTGGTCCAATACCCCAGGCTCAATGGTCTCAATCCAATCATCAATTACCTGGTTGTCTGCCGTTTGGACCTCCGGGTCAAGCTGGGCCTCGGAAAATGGCGGGCGATGTTCGAGGACATCTGGCGCGTCGTTTTGATCAGGGGGTACCAAAGAACGCGCTTCTTCCCGCCGAGTGTCCTCGAGAATTTCCATGAACATATATTCCCTGGGCCGGCGAAAAAGTCGACGTGCCATAATGCTAGGAAGAAGCAGCTGTTAGCCCCAGCGAAACGCAGCAATGTACTTTTTTATATCCTGCAACACACTCCCACCACCAAACATAATATTGGTTCATCAGGGATAGATGCGCGTACCTGATATTGGGAAGCAACTGGAAGAGGTAGAGACAGGTGCGGACAGATCTGGGCAAGGCATTAAAAAAGTTCCAAGGCCGTTTTTTTGATCCTAGAACTGGCTGGGACAGGCAGGGACAGGCAGGGACAGGCAGGGACAAATCGGGGTAGGGAAAGGCAAAGAGGACAATCTGCCTGGGCCAGCGACCTTGACGACCTCTCGATTTCAAAAATTTCTGAAAGGTGGTGAAAAAACGTCTAAGGCAAGCAATCTGGAAAATGGAGATGATTTTCGCACTTCTCGCCGGGCTCTTATCAGGGTGGGTCTGGGGTCATGTGATGATAAGGGCTTAGCCCCGCTATGTCTACCGCCTACTAGCTATAGACTCCCGTAGTTATCCGCCTTAGCCAATATCCATGCCAACCTTTCCAATTCCATTCACCTAGGCCTGTCATTCCCCGGCCGGTCATCCCTTTCTCAATATAGGCTCAATCTAATCACATCTTGTCCTTTTCAAACTCTCATCTCATGTAGCGGCAGAATCTCATCCCGTCGTAATGGCAGGAGGAAGATCTCCAGCTGTTGAGACCGATCGGGACAGCCGCCCAAAGCGAATACGGACATTAACCCCAGGTGGGGCAGATCTCGCTGCTGCTGCAGCTGCTAAGAAGAAGGCAGATCTCGCTGCTGCTGCAGCTGCTAAGAAGAAGGCAGATATCGCTGCTGCTGTTGCTGCTAAGAAGAAGCCAACAAAGGTACCTAGTTTCTGACATTTTGCTATCTTCAAAGACAACTCAAAGACAGCTAACTTTTTTTTTTTTAACAATTATAGAATTCCTCACGAGACAAACGTTTGAATACTACGTTTCAAACACCATCAGAACGCCAGTACCATGAACACGAATCTGAATCCCCAGGCCGCTCCCAACAATCTGAAAGCGAATCTGAGTCTCTACGCCGCTTTCAGCTACATGAACGGCGTGAAGCTGCTTCCACCACATCAAACACATCACCTGCAGAGGAGAGCAGTGAGAATGGAACACCCGCGGAGACTGGAACCCCAGAGGGCACGGAAGATGAGCCAGAGATTCCACAAACGGAGATGGATGGCCCTGTCGACGAGGAGGCAGATCTAGCTACAATCATTCCCTCCCCACCGCGAATGCCCAGAATCAAACACCCCCGTGCCCTCCAGCATGAGGAGGAGTTTGTGGCCCGCTGGAATGCTCTCATGCATCGACTCCGATGGCTTTATTTCATCCAGTTTCATTACAACGCCGGACTGGATGTCATTATCCGCAAAGAGCTTACTCTAACTGACGAGAAAAGCTTCGGTTTCACCAATGCGTTTTCACGTTGTCGTGATGCATGTCGTAATTGGAAGTCACGGACACTGAAGCGGATGCTTGTAAGTACCCCAAGCTGTTCTTAGTATTGTTGCAGTCTAACTAACCCAGCCAGAATCATGTTAGATCGATGAAAATAAAGACGCGTGCGGAGCAACCAGCTGTCTCCTACCTTGATCTTACTGGTAATTCCCCTCAAGTGAAGCAGAAGCTGGTCGACCATTTTTTCAAAGCCTTCTCTGCCCCTGTTTTCTTTCAGATCTGGTACTGGTTACGAGATCTTATCGACTACGACAAGTCTTCAGAATACGGCCAGTTTTTTATTAAGTGTAAGTCCCTAGCACTGCTGCCGTCCCATCCTGCACATAGACTAATTATTATCCAGACATCTATGCACATCTAGCCGCGGAGATGAAGCTCTACGATGATCTATGTGATGCCGGTGACCGAACTTCAGTAGCTGCATGGGAGGAGCTGCTGAACTTTTGGAATCACCTAGCAACAGACAAGGAATACGCCGATTTGGACAAAGGTTGTTTCAAAGAGCTACCATTCAGTGAACGGCCCAGCAAAAAACGGAAGCGGAAAGATATCCCGCCCCCAGCAACGAAGTATTTTCCAACTGCCCTTCCAAAGAAAACATCGGAACCGACAGCTGAGAAATACTAGAATGTATTTCTTGTTTCCCCTTCTGCTACTACGAACTGTGCTGCTGCTGCTGCTGGTGTTTCTTTACATTGTAACATGTCTGCGTGATGATTTCCTCGAGCTTGCTTTAGTTATCGGCGTTTAACAGTGTTATATAATATCAGGACAGGATCGGCGTCGGGTTGATGGATGATTATACTGTTTTCGAGCTCCAGCTATATAACTATACAAATCAAATGCCTCCAGGCTGGAGGTGAGGTCTGCGTCTATTGATTCTAACCTTTGCAGTGTGTTTATTTGTAACAGAGAGCTAATTCACAATTGCAGAATCCTCTAGGTATGATAAATCTAGGGAACTTGTGTCTGGCAACGGAAATTTGGCTACCTTAAACTGAAACACTGCAGCATTTTTTATTTACCTTTAGTCTCCGCGATCCGCTCATCCTCTCTTATCCCAACACACCTGCATCTGCCTCCAGCTTCGTCTTCTGAAAACAACCACCTACGTTTATCAGAATACTCTCCTCTGCAATAATCGATTCCTATTCCTCTAAACGATAGCAGCCATGCCTCTGTCTTACGATATACCAACATCCTCTCCTGAATGGCCACCCAGCGTTGTTGAAGAGACACCACCACCGGTCGAGCTTGAAGAGACACCATCACCTGGACCGCTTGAAATTGAAGAGACTCTCCTAAGTGAAGAGGTAATACTACCTAGCACTATTCCTACCTGAAGCACGAACTTCTTTGCTAACCACTGCCCTTTTCTCCTAGTCCAACACTGTGTTGTCCAGCCCTAGTACTACTTCCGAGTCTCCTCTGGCCGCCGCTGACCACGAAGCTGCTGGCCCCTCAAACATCCCGGACTCTTCTCCAAACACTGGTAATTGAATTCTTGCAATAGAGCACAATCCTAGGAAACAGAATAATAAGACTAACACGTTTTTTTGTGTTTATCTAGCTTTGCAAAACCCTCTGCTCATGCCTATCACCAACACCAACGTCTCCTCCGGCTGGCCGATCCCCAGAACGACGTATTATACCTTCCTGAACGAATTTGTTGTGCTAGACGATCTCGTTCAACTCCCGGAAACCGTCCATCCTACACGTCCCGTATCAGCAAGAGCAATGGCTGTGGAACGCTTTGCATTATCATGCGCAATCCAACACCTCAACCGCCACATACGCAATTGGATCATGCATCATCCTAGTCCAACTCACATTGGAAACCTTCATGAACACGAAGGTGTACAAGAGATGCTCTCAGTGATAGACTTCTATGGGTACTATCTGACGTTGCCCCAAGTGCACTGGCACTTCACCTGGTCTATCTACAAACTGAGAGTCGTGTGTGGCAACGCATACATACAGTTCGAACTACCTCAGAATGCACCTTCCCGGGATGATGAAACTCATCCCCACGGGTACTTGTACCCGTGGGTTCATCGCCGCTAGGTAGGACGGGCCGATGAGTTAGATAGTTTCGTGTATCTAATAATCAATACTGTCTGCACGCTCGCGACGCCGGGGCGGAAGTGAGATATCTCGAAGACGACGAAGACGATGAGCTGGAAGATGAGGATGACAAGGAGATAGTCGAAACCAAGGAGAGGGTTGCGGGCGACGGTGCCTCTGGTCGTATGGACATTGGCAACTGAGTTTGACTTTTTTCTACAATGACTTCCGTCATTTCATAAGCATTTCAGGGGTGGATGTCATCTCTTCGATCCACAGCTTAATTTCTGTCCTTTTTTTAGTACTTGTCAGAACCGATGTTCTCTACCTATGTTGTTTTTTTACATGGAACCTTGGACGGGATGCAGCCGGCGAACCGGTCTCTTGATAGCATGAAGCAACAAGAAAAATCTATATTCATAAGCTAAATCTATAACTAGGAAAGTACATATTGAAAATCCCGTCACGTATCCATTACGATCTGTTGCCGCCCCCCCGAAAAGCATATCCGGCCGCACATTTACATATCCTCGCTAAGAATAGATAGAAAACATGAAAATACAGCTTGCACTTAGCTAATACATCGCCAAAAACATGATCTATAATAAATTATCGAACCAAAACGACGTGCGATGCATTTTTGGCGGGCGATTACATTTTGCCAGCGTCTTCCTGTGTTGATTGTGCATACAGATTTTAGAGAATACTGTGACGTCACAGTTGCTTATCGCGTTATCGTAATGCTATCGCAAATCACGTGGTTACGATAAGACTACGCTGACTCCACCATATTCCCGAACCAGCCAACGGCGGGATGGGAGTGTTAGTACTGTTTTGACCGCGGGTGAGAGTAAGACAATCCCGTCCCGCCTGTACTCCTGAGTCCAGTACGAGCGAGCTCGGTTTCACATTCATCAAAATCCATTGAACTGGTCGCCAATCCGACGATACCTGTGGGGTCGAGGATTCCATGCCCGCTAATATTCCGCGCTGCCATACCGAATTCAGCGCGCTGCATACGTCCTAATACCATCGGGCGAGGGAATTGTCTCTGGCGTCGTGGGTGATTGGGCTATTTTTTTGCAACCAAGCTTTTTAGTGCACCATGCAAATACCCGAGGGATGGCGGGCCTAGATGTGATAGCTCTGGTCACTAAGTGGGAATAGCTGGTTCGGAGATATCATGCTCCCATCCCGCAGTTGGCTGTCCAGCGAACATGCTGGAGCTAGTGTGTTGCTATACTAAAATCCAGTAAATACGTTGCCGCAACGTATCCGTTTTTTAGGTGTGCTAGGGTATGTACACCCAGTTTTTACTAAGGGTGGCAACAAAAGCTTGGCGGCGTGGCAACAGTAAGGTTATGTATTAGGTTGGTAATATATACTTAAAATACGCAATATAGTAGCTATAAGTGGCAAATCCGGCGCCCAATGAACCGGATGACTTTCTTAGCGCGACCGAGTGAACGAGATGACTTTCTGACAGAGCCCTGTTTCGGCCCCGTCACACAACTTGCCTAGTAATTTACTAGTAAAATTGTTCTCCGAGGCTCGACCTCGGCCAAACAGAATAGTACCCTTGTTTAACAAAATCGATTCTTCATAATCCTAACTAAACTGAGCATTCTGAAGCTATTCCGAACGTCTAAAAGTTATATTTACGTCAATAGAATGCAGGAATCTCATTGGTCAATTCAAAAAGGGGTAATTATCTGAAACAAATAACTTTGCGCGCGCGCCCGAGAGGCCTTGTACGCCTGCCAGTTTCTTCCTAACACGGCCAAATTGAAGCTATTTAGACTGGGGATCGTAGTGGGCGTAGCGGGTGTAGGCCTTGTACGCCTGCCAGTTCCTTCCTAACACGGCCAAATTGAAGCTATTCAGACTGGGGATCGTAGTGGGCGTAGCGGGTGTAGCRRAGGCCTTGTACGCCCGCCAGGTAAAGGCCTTGGTGGTGAAGGAGGTGACGTTGGCCGTGGCGGCGTTCTATTGGCCAACGAGCTTTTTTGTGGGTCTACGATTACTAGCCAAAACGCGGCGCTAAACTCCTTTAGGCCATTTTTGTCAAAAAGTCATCCGATTCACTCGGTCGCGCTAAGAAAGTCATCCGGTTCATTAGGCGGCAAATCCGGCCTAAATATGGTAATATTACAGTATTTATATAATAAACCTTTATTACTATATATTTTACACCTAGCTCCAGCGTATTATCGCTGGGTGTTCATACTCTAGCATGTTGGCGAACCAGCCAACGGCGGGATGGTCACGGAGTAGGTCACCCTCTTTGCTTCCCACGGGTAAGGTAAGGTATGGTATGGTAGGGTATGGCGTGGTGTCATCTGCTGTCGCTTACAGGCTGGAGTTAGTTTAATAGAATGCTACGATAAGGTGAATACAAGACCATCTGCTTGGGGAAAAGGTGGAGGGGAGGATGCGGGGGCTGACTGGAGGCTTCGACGCAGAGTTGTGGCTGCGCCGATAGTCGGATCCGATTCCCAACGACTTGGTTATCTACCAAATCCAATTCAAGAGGATTAGCCCCAGTGCAGTGCAGGCGGCGAACACGAGATCGCACCTGGGGCAGCTGGGCTGGGGGTGGAGGCTGACTGCCGCTCCTGAGCAAATAATGCAACGCAGAGACCCGTTGATAGTGGAAGGATGCACGAGCTCAAGTTCTGCAGCATGGATGCTCCTGCATCTGCCATTTACCAGCAACCGGGCAGCTGTGACATGCTCTCCTCGGCCCTATCATGGTTACCCATGACACCCTTACCCCTGCATGACATTGAATTAGGCCATACTAAGGTTGGAACCCGTGCCCAACCCAATTGCATTGACACAGATGCACACCATCGCCTCTTTCGCTGTACGGAGTACACACCGCAGGTGGCACTGGCAGCAGCAGGAGCAGGAGCAGCGGCGACACGATTATCTCGCACTACGCGTCGGTGATTGGGCTGGTCGGGATACGCCACCTCTTCCCTCTGCTGACATAGCTCTGTGAAGAGCTGAAGAAGGAATGAGCAAAACACGGGCCAAGGGCATGGTAAAACCCGATCCCATCAGCTCTTACTCCGCAAGGTCTGTGCCCGGGGCCTTGGTGGGATCATGTAGTAACCGGGTCTTCCCGACGACTGTGCGATTACGCTTAGGTACGCTTTGGCCTTCTCAAGCTCGATTGTTACTGGACTTGGCCAGGGAACACCCTGTCTTTGTCCTGCGAACGATTGGAAGTGATAATGTGATTCACGACGTCGGGAGCAAGTGGTGGTGGCGCTGTGTTTGCTTTTTCCACGTCTTACCTATTTCCCCAGATCAGGAGGGGGCTCGCTTGGCTGAGAGAGTAGGTCAAGGAGCACATTGCGTTTCTCAAGTTCTGTTGGAGTATATCTGGCGCTGTTATAGGACAAAGACCCGTTTAGTCTGTTCAGCCTGGGGCTGCTATAAAATGGGCAGCTAATGGACCTGTAATATAGGAACAGCAAGAGCACTCTGTATGAAAGTTATGGTAGTACACAATTACAATCAAGAGTAGGAAAAGGTGAGGGGGTAATTAGTTGCTCATGCCAGAACCCCAACTGCCCTCCAATATTGCAAGTAGCGATTCACCAAGCCCAGCCCAACCCCATTACAGGCCCGCAAGGCGCGAGACACTTTGCGCGCCTGCGTGGTGTTCAAAATAACGCCTCCACTTGCCAGATTGCGAAACTCACTCTCAAGGAAGGGCTTCAGCTGGCCAAAGTCTTCCTGGTCTTCGTCCGTCTGCACAGAAGCAGCAGCGCGTTTCAGCCATCATGTAATGACAACGGCTCAACGCTCCTCAGATCTAGCTGCGTGGCAAGAGCCGTCAAGAATGGTTTCCACGGTTGACAGATGGGGTTCTCGACGTGGTAGATGTTCTCGTCTGTTTTCGACTCACCGTCGCCAGAAGTGAACAGGATGTCAAGAATGGCCTGCGCGGCAACACCGACGGGAATCCAAAAGTACGTCTGTTGGTCTATTATTGAGTAGAGTGTTACCATAGAGAGGGACGACTTACTCCATCCAGGGCAGGAAGCGCGCCAACGAGCTGAGAAAGTCTGAGTAGCGCTGGTAGGTGTTCCTTCGGATTTCACACCCCGCTGCTTGTGCCCCCGCTTATCTGCCCAAGTTGGACAATACCGGATCTGACGGGAGGGCGCGAGCGTTGAATGCTATCAAGAAGTATCTGCTCACTGACCCATTTTGCCTGTGCATAGCCAAAAGCCGAGGCAGTTGTAGGATCGGGGATACGTTCTTCGCGGACAATAGAGCGCGAGGGGCTTTGGGCGGCGACAGCAATGGAGGGCAGAAGGAGAAAGCTTGGATGCAGGCCGGGGCCTCGTGCTGACTGGGCGGTTGGGCAATCTGCATGTTGACGCGGATACGAGTGGGAAGTTAAGGAAGGAACGTACGCTCTGCGTTTCGCGTTGGCATTGCCTTGGGCACTGCGGTCCACCTGCAAGACGAACAGAGTGTTGACCCTTCATTGAGAGTTAAGGGCTCTGAACCTTACAAGATCACTCACGCTTTTCCATGTGCGTTCACTGCATCGACCAGGGCTCGATCCTCATCTCATCCTGCGTCCAATGTCCTTTATTCGATCCCTCGGCTATAGCATTGTGCTCGCGTTTCCTGCAGTCTTTGTTCGTCCGCCCAGGCAACTGCGCCGCTATGCACCGCCAGTTCTTGACTGGTCTTTGTCTGTCCCTCACTTCTCGCATCACTCAGCACATCTGATCCAGACGAAGCCGCACGGCTGACAAAAGTTGGACGTCTCTTTGGAATAGCCTATCCTCTTCTTGGGTCATCGTCGGACCTGCTGGGGTATTTCCAACTGTGGAACGAGTTTCTGGGTTTATGAAAAAGGAAAGAGGGTGTGCAAAGCATTAGGCCTTCCCCGTTCTAAGCGTTCGGTAATCCTTCGAAACCTTTGGTAAGCGCTACTGGATCATTGGGGTTGTCCATGAATAGGTACAGGAGAACCCTGAGCGTGGGCTGCTAGTGTGGGTCAACCAGGGGATGGCATCCTTCGTGCATCAGCCCTTGTATATCAACACTAAGGCTGGCAGCAGCCCCGGTGGGAAGCCACTCCAGCTGGCTGGCAAATCTGGATGAGGTCAGAAGTTATCATAAGCAAATGACGAAGCGAATTTAGCTCGCTTACACCATGGTTTGCCTCTCAGCGCTAGATTAAAGTCTGTCAGACTCTTGTTTGCTAGGTTCCTCAAATTCAACAAAACGACATGTTTGCTAGGTTCCTCAAATTCTGCAAAACGACAACTCTGGGGTGAGCAACAGAGTCAAGACGGGGTATGCATTGCAGCAGAGGAAGCGAAAGGGTGACTTTCACTCTTGTAGACAATAAGTTCCTGCCATCTGATATGATAATTCTTCAGCGGGAGATTCCGCTGCCAAGAGCCAAGATACAACTTGGCTTCGGGAATATTGGCACGGTGCAATAACCAGATAAGAGCTGTTAGCCAGACCAATCCATATCCTCAGGTACTTGCTGGAACCGCTGATTGGCCCTCTCTGTGCTGTATGCGATGGCATTATCATTATGGAGTACTTTATCTTTCGCCCCCATGTCACAATGCAGAACAACTGCCAGTTGGTCTTGATTTTGTAACACGTGGCACCGGAGTAAGTCCGCTGAATTGCTGATAACGACCGGAAGAATAGATTGACCAATGAGAAACTCAATATTGAGCTAGAAATACCTACGATCAAAGACGCGGCACGCGTGTCTGAGGCGTTCGAGCAATGCCAAGGCGCCCCGGGGCGTCCGGCATATTAGTGATATCCCTGTTTAGGAAGTAGCAACTATAGTTACTAGCTAGTAGCAAGGATGCGGTTCGAGGTGCTGGGTTGAACGACACAAATTATACGCCATATTCCGTATCTGGGTGCTCGACAACCCTCTAAGTCGTCAATGGCGTACTGACGGGCTTCTATCCGGCAAGTGGCCGAGCTCATGACGTGGCGGACTTGCAGATACGCAAGGTTGCTTGATCGGGAGGCTGCAGATGTGGCAACGCGGCGATCAAAACGTCTCGAGAGATGGTGGTCGGGATTGGGGGCTTCGTGGTAGGGTACAGCAATGCAGAGTAGCGGCTTCACGGACGCCTGAAGTGACGCGACGTGGACGGCTTTCGGGGTTGTAACAAGAAACATGGATTTCTTTGCTGTAACGGCGACTCTCGCTCAGTCCTGGCGCAAGTGGTGTGTATGCGGCCCCAGCAGAGTGATGCAGCCTGGGGGTTTGAAGCTCCATTGGTAGCTCCTGGTGTCGAGCCTTCGACCTTCGACCCGTGTCCCTCGCAATGCATAGATCCTAATCCAGTGACATTGGTCGTGAACCTTGGAAAGTTGGCGAGAAGCATTGCGGCGTGTAATGCGTACATAGGCTCTTGGGAGATCGCAGGCTAGTCGAAGAGGAAGAAAACATTTCCAGTAAGCTGCTGCTGCTGCTGTGAGATTGTGCCTTTCTTGCGCTGGTCGACATCCGGTGGCAGCCGGAGGGCTGTTAAAATTAAAACAGTATGAAGAAGATGCAGTGTGACACGGGGTTGGTACGTGCCTCGCCTCTGACAGCCACCCAAGCCTCATGAACTAGCGATATCGGCGGAAAACAGACTGGTGGGCAGTAAGAGTAGAGAACGTGGCCGACGCCAAGCTGTCAAACGATGATGTACTCCGTATTGTCAACAGACGGGAGGCTCCACTTCCAATGGCCACCATGGAATGTTCGATCACTTATTGTGGACTCTTGCGCCTGACTCTTCTTCAAGACAGTCCCAGTGGCTTCATCTTCAAAATCGACAGTTCCACATACAGCCTGATTCCAAGCTTTCGGAGCATCATAGCCAGCGCCTCACTTTATTGGACAGTTCATTGAACCAAGGATGAGGTCCTCGTTGCCAGTGCAACGGCCGTGTCAATATCGACGCGACCAGCCCCTCACCCACTCAAAGGCAAAACCCACTGCCCATCGTGGGGAATGTTGATCTCGGCGCTATGGGCTGCCAATTTATTTAGGCTCCAGCTGTGTGTTTCGAGTGATCTAGATCCAATCGTGGGCCGCTTCGATTGAGATGCATACGTACTCCAGATTCACTTTGTTTACATGACTGGCCTCAATTTCGCCCTGCCCGCATTATTATCTACATCATCACACCGACCAAACCTTTTACTGGACATCTTCTCTACTCGACACATCATACGAGCTAGCAGCGCAAGAACCCTGGGGAGTGTTGACGAGAGCCGTTTTCCCCCACTCATTATTGATGGTGCATCTCCGCTTCCCGGTTGTACTTTCTCTAGATCCTGCGATCGAGTGATCGACAGCCTCTAATGTCTCACAGTCGGGTTGACCGTCGCACTTCTGTCCACGTCGCTCAAATATAGTGCATCTCCATGGATGGTCGTTCCCATCGAAGATCCCGAATGCGCAGGGCAGTCGGCGCCCGCTCGTTGCTGTCCCTCCTTTGCGTCCTACCCCTCCTCGGCCACAGTTCTGCGCAAGTTCCATACACGCCTTCCACCCTTCTATACTCTTCACAGCATAATTCCTCTTTCGCTTATCTCCTGCGAACAACCGAAGGCCAAACCGAGTTCATCTCGCTAGATGTGTCCCAAAAAATCGACACCAAAAATCCTTTATATACAATACTACTCGATGACGCCCCGTTCAATACCAAGGACGTGAAGTCCGCCTACGTTCCCGTCATTGACCAGAATGGGGTGATAAAGGTGTTTGCCGGTGATTGTTGGGACTCGGGCAAGTCGCCTAAGCTATGGTCCTTCTCTCCCGATTCTGGCTCCTCAACAGGCGGTGGAAAGTGGGCGGAGTTTTCAGCCCAAGGGTCACAAAAAGGCTCTATTACCACTCGTCCAAATTATCTATCAGCGGGATTCGCATACTCGGCTTCAAACACAACCCAAAGTTCCCTCTTCACGTTTGCTGGGATGTGCCCGTACCAGAGCGACAGCAGCATTTCTTGGGTCTCGGACGCGAACTATTCCCAGACAATGACAGTTTTGGTCCCCTGCAAAGAGGGAAATTGTTATGAGACGTTGACCACTGGGGACCGCGCACCTCCAATTCCCGAAGCCGGGTTCACCATTACTCCTCTCCAAGCCACATACGGATACACGGATGATGAGCTCCGGCAACAGCAGGATTTCCTCCTCATCGGCGGACATACCCAGCAAGCATTCATCAACATGTCCGAACTTGCTATTTTCTCCGCTCCGCAGAATAGCTGGAGCTTCGTCAGCGTGGGCTCCATGGCAGACGCTTCAAGGGCTGATCTGGCCCTCCGCAACACAGCCCTAATCGAGCCTAGGTCCGGTCACACCGCCGTTCTCACCGCGGATGGGAGCAAGGTGATTGTGTTTGGGGGCTGGGTAGGTAACACCAGCGTCCCTGCAACACCCCAGCTCGCCATTCTAGAGATAGGTGGAGGCTTTGCTGGAATTGGCGAATGGACCTGGACTGTGCCGTCAACCAGTGGAGGTCTCCAGGGCTCTGGATTGTATGGAATATATGGACACGGTGCTACGATGCTGCCTGGTGAAGTTATGATGATCGCAGGGGGTTATGTGATACCACAACTCTCCAAACGATCCAAGGTTGGACCCGAGCTCAACTCACAGATCTACCTGTACGATGTAAAGTCAGGCGTGTGGGCTTCTTCATATGAGAACCCATACTTTGACGTCACTGCTGCGGTTACTGATAGCTCCTCCGCCTCAGGTAAAAGCTCATCCGCTTTAAAAGCTGGCCTAGGTGTTGGAATCGGCATAGGGGTTCCAGCAGCTGCCGGTCTTTGTCTGCTCGCTTTCTATCTCTGCCGACGGCGCGGGATGCGTCGAACTCGAGATAGTGAGATCCGCGAGCTAGCTCTGGGCGCACAAAGAGCTCATTACTGGGGAAGGGGCGACTCGGAAATGGCCAGTAGTATTCGGAATCCTTCAATGTTAAGAGAGTCGCAAGTTAACAATGATTACCCTTGGGGCGTCAATAACAGGCCACGAAGCACCGGAAAAAAGGTCGACTGGAACGACAATGGCGAAGGAGTTGCCGAGAGAACTGGGCTGCTGGGGGGTATACACATACCCAAAAAAACCAACCGACCAGTACTGAATGTCGGGACCTATCGACCCCCTTATTATGATTTCAGGAAAGGTGACACTGCTGGGACTATTCACCCCATTGATGAGCGCGACGAGGATGAAGCCAATCATGCAGAAAATGTACAAGCGCGTGAAACCCTTGACTCGCAATTGTTTGTGACTGCTCGAAACACACAAGTGGACGCTCTGCATCTCGATGGTGTTGGACCGACAGAAGGGGATACAGGCAGAAATGCCTGTACGTCATCAGGTAATGATGAGCGGACTTCAACCAATTTATCTGAGGCTTCGGCATCGGCAAAGTCGGCAAAGTCAACACCGGGAATGGGTTCACCTACCAAAGACAAACACGCCTATCTGCCGAGCCCCAGCAGAGAAGCCATCCGCAGCCAGGACAGCTCGATATCGGCAACTACATCATATGACAAGCGCTATTCATCAGATTCCTTCTCCACCGCTCACTCGGCGATGTCGCAGCAACAAGCAGAGGGTGAATATCTTCTCCGGGACTCGGAAAACGCGCAGCGTTCCCCAATAGCAGGACTATTCAACAACAAACCTCCAGGACCGAGTCGACCGAGAGCCTCAGAGTGGATTGGGGGTATCCGACGAGTACTTTCTGTATCGAGGAGGCGACCTCCAGCTAACGAGGGCCCGAGCACTATCTCCATGGCTTCTGGAATTGATGCAGAAAGCGCTGGAATCAGCGCGCGTGCGGCTGACACAACACTCCCTCGGAGATCGGTGAGCGCTTCGGCAGAGCTATTTAGACGAAAACAGGGTGCCAAAGATTGGGGCGTGGGTAACAGATTCTCGCAGGATACGGGATTCCATTCGGCACGTTCTACGCGTGATGACTTTGGACTGGATGGGCATATTGATCCTGATAGCGACGATGAGTGGGACGTCGAGGGTGCCGCCGAGGGCCGGAGGGTGCAAGTGACATTTACCGTGCCAAAGGAGAAACTTAGGGTTGTGAATGCCTCAGCGGGTGACATGGATGATCTGTCCGTGAACTCGGTCAGTCGAAACAACAGTCTGTCATAGGCTGACTGTACTGCCTCTTCTTTTTCCCAGCTGTCTTATTTGACGATTCTTCGATGAGTACACAAGAAGGCGCTTCTGGACTGTCTTGTCTAGCGTTCTTCTTGGTTGAAGTCAGTACTTGGGTTTACTCGGATTGGAGCGGGTTTCTGAATTTGTTTCCTTTCTTCCCCTTTTCTTTTGGCAGCGTGTCACGGAGGTATTGTGAGATTCGCTTTGTTGTTGGCTAGCGACAGTATATATTACCCGAGAATGACTGTACGAATGTGAATGATTGATGAAATGGATATTCCGTAGGCATCCCCCAGGTTATGCAATTGAAACTGCTGCTCGACATCCAACAGTTGATTCGTAAGCTTATCAACCCAATTGCAGTCCTACTGACGCTGTGCCGAAAGTGAAAAAGATACATGGAATAAAGTCCAGGCATGATGAAGTATACTGAATTACTTTAGCAGTACAAAAGAGGACAGAGTATATGTAGTCATAAAACGTATAACTGGTTTATCTATATCTTTATTTTTCACGCAGCCAATAACCTAGTTCGTCCCCGTCGTAGGGCGGGTAGGGATTGTCTTGGGTAACGGCGGAAGCAGGGTCTTTGCGCTCTCGCGCGCGTACTGAGCCATCAGGGAGTCCATGATGACAAGAGCAGACATGGCCTCAACGATGGGGACAGCACGGGGCACAACGCAGGGGTCGTGGCGACCCTTGGCTTCTAGAACACCCTCGCCAAAGTCGTAGGTGGCCGTCTGCTGAGCCTGACCAATAGTAGCGGGAGGTTTGAACGCAACGCGGAAGTAAATGGACGCGCCGTTGGAGATACCACCCTGGATACCACCGGAGTTGTTGGTCTTAGTGACGAGGCGCTGCTTCGTTGTGTTCTGCGATCCGAGCTGGGTGGGCACCTCGGAGGCCACGAAGGGGTCGTTGTGGATGGAGCCGGGAACCTCGCAGCCGCCGAAGCCAGAGCCGATTTCGAAGCCCTTGGTTGCGGGGATGCTCAGCATGGCGTGGGCGAGCTGCGCCTCAAGCTTGTCGAAGCAGGGCTCGCCGAGGCCAACGGGGACGTTGCGGATCACGCAGGTGACGGTCCCGCCGATGCTATCGTGGTTATCGCGGAAGTGCTCAATGACCTTTGTCATGCGCGCCGCAGCGGCTTCGTCTGGGCAGCGGGTGGGGGCGTGCGCGTCGACGGTCTCGCGGTCGATCTTTTCAATCAGATCGAGGAAGGCGGGGTTTGTTGCGGGGCTGGGATGCTCGGCTGTGGGTGGGAAGAGGTGCTCGTTGCCGACGGAGGTGGTGAAGGCAACGATTTCGACGCCGTGCGAGAGGCGCAGGTACTTTTCGGCGATGGCTCCGGCGGCGACACGGCCTATTCAACTCATGTTAGACCTCGCAAGGATGAACTTGTCGGCGAGCTACACACCAATTGTCTCGCGGGCACTGCTTCGTCCACCACCACTGCTGGCCTTGACGCCGTACTTCTCAAGATAAGTGAAGTCCGCATGACTCGGGCGGGGGTACATGTCCATCGTCTTGTTGCCGTAGTCCTTGGGGCGCTGGTCCTCGTTGCGCACAACCATGCCAATAGGAGTGCCCAGGGTGACACCAAACTCGGTTCCTGATTGAATCTCGACTCTGTCTTTCTCGTTGCGCGGGGTTGTGAGCGCACTCTGGCCGGGGCGGCGGCGGGTCATTTGGGGTTGGATATCGTCTTCAGTGAGCTCCATGCCCGGGGGGCATCCATCGACAATACAGCCGACGGAGCGGCAGTGGGATTCACCATAGCTGGTAAGAGCATCAAGGTTAATGGGAGATTGGTGAGTGTGTAGAAAACTTACGTGGTGACCCGGAAGTAATCACCCCACGTTGACATGGTGGGCAGTGTATAGGAATTGGACTGCGCGGTTTAGGAAACTCAAGTTGGTAATTTTTGCTGCAGGTGGACCAGAGCTCCAATTGCACAGCTAATCAAGCCAGGGCGCCTGAAGAAAATATGAATGACTGTGGAATAACTTATGATATCAAAGATGACTGGCCTCGGGAATATTTTCGGTGACTCGATCGTTGAAAGGCGCCCGTTTTGGCTTAGCGCCCGCGATCGGAGTCCGCTGAGCTTCGGTCTTGCCGCCGACATTTTGATACTCTACAAAGCTCGCGCCTCTTCGTCGATTCGGAGCCTCTATCAATGATTTTGTTTCCTAGCGCTTCATGCTGGAAAGCTTCGCGCTGTAAGCGGGGCCTTGGAGGTCACTATGTCCGGTTTAATTCTGCTTTTACCTCTGACCAGTTCGCGCAACTCGCGTCTCGACCATCCTCCATCCACCAGATTTACCAGTCCCTCTCGACCGACCCCTATGTAAATCTCTCAATCGAACACTTTCTACTAGAGAGAACCCCGGCAGACTCGAGCATACTTTTCCTATACATAAATAGACCGTGCGTCGTTATCGGACGGAATCAGAACCCTTGGCTTGAGACCAATTTGCAGAAGCTCCATAATGATCGCGAAGACAATGCGAATTTCAGTGATGATGCAGTATACGTCCGGCGACGGTCAGGCGGCGGCGCTGTCTTCCACGATGCGGGCAACTTGAACTACAGCGTTATCTCTCCCCGAACGACCTTTACACGGGACAAACATGCGGAGATGATGGTGCGCGCATTACACCGCGTTGGAGCGATCAATACAAGTGTCAATGATCGCCATGATATAGTCATATCGACGCTTGAAGACCAGCCGCGGAAGATCTCTGGATCGGCGTTCAAGCTGACGAGATTCCGGGCACTGCATCATGGGACTTGTTTGCTCGATTCGCCGAACATAAGTGACCTTGGATCCTGGCTTCGATCTCCTGCTAGAGACTATATCAAAGCGAAGGGTGTTGAGAGTGTCCGGTCGCCAGTGGCCAATGTGTCTTCTTCGATGCAAGATGCTCCCGCTGGCTTCTCAATGCAGGCGGTCATTGCTAGTGTGATGGACGAGTTTGCGCAAGTTTACCAGGTCAGCCCGGATGCCGTCCGCCAAGCTCAACGAGCTCATGCTGTTGAGCCGGAGTTATACGCAGCGGATAGCTGGGTGGCCGGGGCTGTGGGTGAGCTCGAAGCCGATGCGGTGCCCGAGATTAAGAAGGGCTTGGACGAACTGAGGGTGTGTTTCTTGGCCTGGACCTCCGGAAGATAGCTTGCTGATGACTTTTACTAGTCTTTGGAGTGGAAGTACACCCAGACACCGCAATTTACGTTTTCGACGTACCCAATTGAGGAAGATCCCCGTGAAAGGCCACCCCTTCCGCCTTCCCTGCCCCCTTCGGTGAGTGTCGATTCTTCTTTAGGCCAGATGACAATGCTGACAAGTTGTAGACCCGCGTATTTCTACGCTTCAAACACGGAGCCATCATTGAAAGCTGCATATCCACCTCTGATAACCCATTAATAGCCGCAGAACAGGCGAGCCGTGTACACCCAGCCCTAAATGGGCGAAAGCTGCATGAGTTGCAGCTATCAAATTGGACTGGTCTACTACTCGGCCGGCTATCCGCTGACGAAGAACCGGATACTATACGGCAGCTGGCAAGCTTCATTGCCAGCAAGTTCGGTTCGTAAGCCACAAATTCAAGATAGATACATACCCCATCCTAATCTAGGACCAACCCATAATTGGATTGTGCCAATATCCTAACCGTATCTTTTGACTGGTACGTTTAAGGCCGCAGTAAGTTGCCAGCCTGATGGAAACCTAAGGGTCAGATCACCTTGTACGTTATCACTGCTCCCTTACTGACGCATGATGAGCGAATTACATTCTAATAGTTACCTTATACAGACTATGAGTATCTCAAGCCTCCACTAGTTTTTTCAACCACGCCGGGATAGTCGGTGGCTTGTTCCACTTGTCAATCCAGATTTCTCTCCAATTCTCGCCATTCCCATGCGCCGGCAACGCGAACACCGCACTCACGAGCCAAACCTCCTGCCCTGATTTTAGACCGGCACTCAAAGACGGCAGTAAAGTACGACCGTGGATCAGGTTCGAGTTCGGGTCTGCTAGGACGACCCTCCCTGCGCGGTCTGTAGTAGGCTGTAGCTCCACAATGCCTACAGCGCCTGCTGAGGATACAGTAAGCGCGCTTTGGGACTCAGTCGCAGTCCCCTCGGATGACGGGCTGATGGGACCCGTAAAGGGTTGAAGGATACGGCCGTTCCCAATCTGGCACCCGTAGATCGCAAATGCCCCTTCTGACGTCTGGAGGTCCCGACCTGTTCGGACACGGTGCGCACGAATATGCCAGTTCTCGCTCCCGTCGACAGGGGGAATCAGGAAAGTCTCGACCTGGACATCAGACCAAGGACGCCAGTCGGAGATTAGCACGGGCGCGTTCTCGCGGTACTCGATGCGTGCATTTTCCACGACCCTCCGCGTCTGCCAGATGTCGCCGCCGTCCTCGGAAAGCGCCAGCATGCTATCTGGCGCATGTTGCTCCAACTGGTATCCCCCGGTTGGCACGGAGTATCCGAACGAGGCGCTGTATGCGAACTTTCCGTACTTGGCTTGAATCGCTCGGACAGGGTAGTGGCAAGCCTGTCCCGATGAGAGGAGAAAGGTATGGCCGCCCCGATGCACGATGATGTGCTTCGGGTACTTGAGAGCTGCCACCGCCGAGAGCGACGGGTAGGGCTCCTCCTGCGCCGCCCAGAAGGGATGCGTATCAGGCAGAGCAAGGGGGACAAAAGCCAGACAGCACCAGTACGGCGAGCCCGGCGAGTTGTAGTTCTCCGTCAGATACATGTTCGCATAGGAGTATCCCAGGTTCAAGGTCCCGTCGGTGTTGAAGATATCCTCCTGCGTCGCCCACCACCGGAAATGCCGGAGCAACAGCCCCTTCACCATACCCCAAGTCAGTGGCAGAGGCGGGGTGACGCCCGCAAAAGCGAGTGCACCCCAGAATCCAACCATGGCGAATCGGTATGTCATTGAGCGCCCAAAAGGGATCGACCGTCCATCGGGATCAAAGTAGTATACGAAATCGAGCGCGAACTCTTTCGCGCGTTCGCGGTATCGCGCTGCACGGGGCTCGTCGAAGTCCGCGGCTAGCTTGGAATAGAGCAGCTGCAGGAACTGGATTGCGAAGGAGCCCGAGTAGTAGTCCATCTGGTGGTGACTCTTGGGTCCGTCGTTGCTCCATCCTCCACCGACATGAAAGGTATCCAAGTGATCCATATCAGCTTCAATGCGAGAAAGCGAATACGGAGCCCCGTTCTTGCGCAGGCCCAGATTCGCAAAGACTCGGAACCACAGCCTAATCAACACGATCTACATTAGTACCATTGGCGCTCAAATCATCTATCAGGAGACAGACATACCAGTTTGTATTCGGCATCTCCCGCTCATTGATGCTTGCTAGCCACTTCGCGACGTTCGCCTTCTGCTTATCCGTCAATGGATCCCAGAATACGTGCGGCGCAACCGCCAACGCAAAGCCAACTGGACACATCTCCACCATCCGCTGGTCCAAGTCCTCGATATCCCCCCAGTACTCCGGGCCCTCGGGGTCTGTGCCTTGTATGAAGCCATCGCGCCAGCGCGAGGCCGCCGCATAGTCGCCATTGCCTCCGAGTAGCGCAGCTAGACCCCATAATGGGCGGGCAAAGCCCTCGATTTGTGCGCCTCCTTCGTCAAACCTCGTGGTCGATGATCCGATCTTTACGCGACTGCCTCCGAGGGTGAAGCGGGGTACGAGAGGATCGAGGAGCGCCTTGCAGCCATCTTGGAGGTCGCTACGGGTACGAAAGGGGGACTGGCTGAAAGGCTGGGTAGGGGTCTTTCCGTTGGCGTGTGCTGACATTATGTGTGAGACAATAGAACATACAATACGCTGGGTATGCAGGCTGGGGCTGCCCCTCAGTTATTACCTATTCATATATGTATACCCCAGAGCTCGGGGCTCGGGTGAAAGACCGACGGGGAGAGACATTCGGCAATATACCCGAGGGCTAAATACGGAGAAGAAAGCACTGGGGAATCATAAGGTGTTGGCGCGAAATCATACGCTTGACAGAATAATAATGGACAAGGAGTCAGAACCACCAACTGCCCCTATGAGGGCACGTCCTGATAGGTGGAAGGTGTTTTCCCACTTATCACGCACTCCCTCGAATCTGGGGTCAAAAGTCCCCAATAATCGCCCCCATTTCCCCGCAGTTTTACTTGCAGCTTGGTATCGTGGCGCGTCATATCGCCTGAACGTCGGGACACAATTCGGATGCCTCCAGTGTCAGAACTAAACTTTCCGCTCAGGCGTCGAATTTGGAAAGTTCGTCCAGGATGTCATCATCAGCTATCGAATGCGGTGGGTTGCCATGCCTTAGTGAGTCAGAGCCGTGCGCCGCTTTATTAGACATTGGCGGCCTTAACCACCGTGAGCTGCCCTTGACCATCAGACACAGCACGACGAGCAGGAACTATTCTAGGAGCCTGACTTACATATGACTCTCCATAGTCCCTTTCTTGCGGAGAAAGCCTAATGGGACTCTTCCAGTTGGCTGGGCATCGGAGCCAGCCACGAGGTCGGGATTCGATGTTTGGCACTCATCCTGTATTTCTTTGACGGCCCCTTGATCAACGACGGGCTGTAGCCAGATATCGTTCAATGCAGCAAAAGCCTCCGTGAGTTCAGACCGCAATTGTTCCAAGGAGTCACGAACAGGGTGATCCCGATTCTCGATCAGCTTTTCCAGCTGGGTGGCCAGATACTTAAACGATGTTGTCATCGTTTCGAGCTGATCACCCAAAGCGTTATCTATCTCAGGGGCGTTGTCCCTTCTGTGCAACTCTGACTGGAGCATCACAATGTGGCTTCGGAGATCGCTGTTTTGCTTTGCATAGTTTGCCTCAATTTCCTGCACACTGCTCAGATGTGCGTTGTACTGGTTAACGATGTCCAAATGCTCTCGTTGTAACTGCTCGCGCTCTTCTTGCTGTTTGGACTCCATATCTATCACTCGATCATCAGTGGCCTTCTGCTGCAGCTTAATATCCTCGAGTGTCGCACTGACGTCGCCGACTGATTCAAGCAAGGCATCAACCTGACCACAGCGCTCTTCGAGAATACGCCGCTCATCCAGGACTTTGATGTAGAGCGCCTCTGTTTCTTCCCTCTCTTTTAGAACCAGTTCATGCTTGAGGCTAAGTTCCCTGAGCTCTGTTTTGAGGTGGTCCTTGTCCGTGAGATGCTGTATCACTGCTTGTTCAAGGTTGGAATTTTCCTCCTTGACCGCGTCCAGCTGGGAGCGGAGTGTTGTTACAGTCTGCTTAGAATCACCATTCCAAGCTTGCGCTTCATCATATGCCTTTAGGTGTGAGGCCATAACGTCTGACTTTGATTCCAAGTTTGCTCGTCGCTCTCGCTCGTCGGCTAGGGCTTGTTCAGAGAGCCGTAAGTCCTGCCTGAGTTTTGGCAACTCCTTCTCGATTGTGTTCAGCCAATCGCCCATTGTTTTGACTTCCGCTTCGAGCTTTGCCTTTCCCTTCAGTGCCACTATCAGTTCTCGCTCAGCTGAAATGGCCTTCCGTTTGTAAATCTCAAGATCCTTTATCTCCTTGACCAGCGGGCTGTCGTCCGTCCCGTCCTCTTGTTCCTCGGCATCTGAACTAGGAACATCTTCGGGATTGAACCGGTTTTCAGAAACTTCATTTTTGCTCATCGAAACTAGTCGTGTTGCGGTGGGTAGTTTCGAGGGTACATGCCTGGAGTCCCCACTGGACGCTGAGCTGCGAGAGACTGTTGAAGCGGCGCTGACATATCGTTGGGATGGGAAGGAGACGCTGGCTGCTGAGGCGGGTCGGCGATGTACGCTAGGTATCAACGACATGACTGCGGCCGTAGCGGTACACCCAAAAGGTGATAATGATACGCATGAAACTGCTGTCACCCTGTCACCTTTCCACTGGGGATTTGGCGGGGCCTATGGGTAGGGTCGAAGGGAGCTCTTTCCCTTTCCATCGGAGCTTGGTGCCTCAGTCCGATATGGATGAAGACGGTCCAGATTCTTGCTGGGCGGAATTCGTGGATTAACTGCTTCCAGTATAAGCCAGCGACCTAATCAGAGCCTGGTAACAACGACAGATGTGCCTTCAAAGGCTGGTATTCAAGGTTCCTGCTACACTCAAACTACTTGGCAATAGCACTGGTTCCACCTGGCAGACCGGTAGACGAGAGAACCAGTCCAATATATTTCTGCTCCAGTTCTTTCTCCTAAGGCAACGGAAAACTGTACCATCTGAGATTCACCTTGCTCTTACCTTTGCCCATCTACAGATCAAGATCTGCTTAGCGTTCTGCTACCCGCTGTCCTACCTTCTGTGGCTCTATCGAACTATATGTATGCTCTTTATTGGGCATGATTCAAGGACCAGTTATGCAGAAGTGGGATCTGTTGACGCCCCAGTTAAGACATCTCATCGATGCTGTTCTTCGTAAGTTCTCCAGATATCCTTCAAGTTGAAACTCGCGGCCGAGATACCTACTTTGATATTAACGGCGACATCGTCCAGTTATAGGTGATCTTCGAACCTCAATTACCGATACCTGGCGAATGCTAGCAGACTCTTGATGGCCACCTCAGGTCTTCTGAGCTCGTCGCCGCACCCGCGAGCCTCATCATCAGCGCCGTCGACTTTCAATCTGGTTACAAGTTCAACTGCTACTCGCCTAGCTAGCCCTACCGCGGGACAGACAATTTTTCAACGGAGGGAGGCAGTTCAACCTTGTATTTGGCGTGTGCGTGCTCTAGGAATACTGTGACCAGTGTCAGTAGAGGCTCCAGGTCCTGTATTGAAGTTGATAATATCGGACAGAGATACCTAGTGGATAAGCAATCATACTTGTTAGTACAATATATTCGAAACGAGACCGCTGACAAGTGGGTAGGAAATCGAGTACAGACACAGGGAGAAAGTCTCTTGGCGGGATTATGTACCTTTTGCAGTTTTCAGCCCTGCACTCACTTTGTTCTCCCCTCCGTCCCCTCGGCATCTCTCTTCTCCCTCTCCATCTTCCAAATCCACTTGAGCAGATTCGAAACCCCCGTCGCTTTCACTTCCAAGATGCACTGTCTCCTGCTGATAGAACATCGATGAACCGGGGACTGGAATTCCTCTAAAGGGGTAAGCTAGCCAAAGTCCGTGACCATCTAGGTGAGCCCACGCGATCAAGCAATGGCGAATAAACTGACTAAGATAAGCCATCTGCATATCCCCAGGCCTTCGAAGCTGAACTAGCGACATCTGAGGCGCGCTCACTTTTTCTCGACGCCAATCGCCTGCTTTGCCTGAGCGCAGTCACGACCGCCATCTCAACCGCTCCCAAGTCGCCTCCTCTTGTGCTTGTGACAAGCGCTATGAATGTGGTAACCGCATCTTCTGGGCCCTTGGGGCTACCGTATTGAAGGGTGTGCGGATTTTAGCCACTCCGCCGGCGTTGCTTCTTGTGGCGGACTTGGCCCTCTGACTGACATCCCATCCCTTGGCCGAGACCGATGTTCACGTCTCGTTTAAGACATACGTGTCTCTGGAGTCGGTGCTTACTGGTGGAATGTACTTCCAATGATCCTGGGACCTCTAAGCTCGTCGTTCTTGGTCGTTCGCTTGGATACATTGAACACTTGCACTCTTGGACGAGAGTGTCCACAAAGGATACATGACCTTAGACCCTCTCACAATCCGGGGTTAGGCCTTTCCGGGACATGAGTGAAGTCTTTAGGTATCCCACGCCAATCCTGCCAAGTCAAGTTCAAGGCAGGCTAAATCCAGAAAATATACACCAATCATCTCTCACCGGTAGATTCCTAGGCTCCTAGCGAGTCGCGCGGCTTCCCCGCATACCTCTACTCGTATCTATTCTCACTTTCGCCTTTTCCCCGGCACTCCATTCAACCCCTGCAATCCCAGACCCTAGCTGCAGTCAACCCCGTCTCTCACGGCAGCCTATTATTGGCCTCGTGATGATTAGGCTTCCCTTCCAGCTTCTGTGGGGTTGTCTATCAGTTTCCCCGGTCGATAATTTGTTTCCATCTCGGCGTGACCTCCTTTTTCTCACAGACCCCTGCGGCCCTGCCACACAATAAACGCTCACCTATGCCCAGACGGGAATTGATATGCCATCCCCTCATTTGCGAGGTGACTGGTGCTGAGCCCTGGCTTGATGCCAAGTTCATCTGAAGCTGGGCTCTAGACTTGGTTGGTGTACATAGGATTCGTGGAATCGGGTTTATGCGTTTCCTCTCTTGTTTCTCCGTCGACAGTCTCTCATGATGCTAACCAAGTCAAAGACCGACGTTATGAATGTGCTGCTATCGTTGGTCCACCGGGTATCCAGCATGGCTCGCTTGAAGTTCCATAACTATCCGGGCCGACACCCTGCCGGAAGATTTTGAGACAGGATCTGATATATATCTGGGCCGAGTCGCTCGAGCTTCTGAAGGTGGACTATCTTTGTTGAGATCCTGCCACGGCACACACAGTGGGGTTCACAACTGGCAAACAGATACCCCAGCCTCACCCACTTTTTTACCTCGACCTTTGCCTTGGACGTCCCAAAGGACGCAAACAATTAGCAAATATGTCTTTTCTTCTGAAAAGGCTCGTCCACAATGAGGCGATGCGAACGGACCCTCCTGAGATCTACGGGTGGAGGGTCTACGCATTGGCTTGCTCGGTGAGTGCTGCTACTTCATGTTCCTCCTATATACTCATTTATCTCCCAGGCATGTTTTGGAGGCATGTTGTTCGGAGTGGAAACCGGAATCATTGGTGGTGTTCTCACAATGGATACCTTCAAAGCGTAAGTTAGCCTACCCGTTTTGCATTTCTTGCCATTAACGGCTTTGAACAGGAAGTACGGATTAAATGAGTTGGACGATACGGCAAGGGCCAACCTCTCCGCAAACATTGTGTCCACTCTACAAGCTGGATGCTTCTTCGGCGCTTTGGCTGCGTCTTGGGTAGCTGATAGGTACGGGAGAAGGCTAGGCCTGATGGTTGCATCCTTTGTAGCCATTCTTGGAGTTATCATGCAAGTTGCAGCCAGCGGTCACTTGGAAGCCATGTATATCGGACGGTAAGTACACCTGTCTGCGGATGTCTAGTAGGGCAATCTAACTCTTTGTACAGACTACTCTGCGGTATTGGTGTCGGTTTCGCCTCCATGGTCAACCCACTCTATGTCTCGGAGAACGCCCCACGAGCTATCCGTGGTGGTCTTACAGGTCTATATCAACTTTTCATCACAATGGGAATTATGCTTGCTTTCTGGATTAATTACGGCTCCCTCCTCCATATCAGTGGCCACGCTCAGTACCTCGTTCCGCTAGCCATGCAGGGCCTTCCAGCGATTCTTCTTCTCATCGGCATGCTCCTCTGCAACGAATCCCCTCGATGGCTGGCCAAGCAAGACCGCTGGGAGGAAGCACGCGCAACCCTTTCCAGCATCCGCAATCTCCCACCAAACCACCCGTACGTGGAGAACGAATTCCAGGACATTGCCAGCCAGCTCGAGTTTGAGCGCCAGCTCATCAGCGGCTCAAGCTTCGTCGACCTCCTCAAAGAGATGTGGACCATCTCCGGAAACCGCAAGCGCGCTCTCATCAGTATCTTCCTCATGGTTTGCCAGCAAATGACCGGGACCAACGCAATCAACTACTACGCGCCCCAGATCTTCGAAAACCTCGGTATCACCGGCAGCTCCAACGGTCTCTTTGCCACAGGTGTCTACGGCATCGTCAAAGTCGTCGGCTGCGCCTGCTTTCTCGTCTTCGTCGCTGATTCCCTTGGCCGCCGTCGCTCTCTCCTCTGGACCTCTATCGCTCAAGGCCTCTGCATGCTCTACATTGGTCTGTATGTCCGCATTGCCCCTCCGAAGGAAGGAGAGCCCGTAATTCCCGCCGGCTACTTCGCCCTCGTCTGCATCTTCCTCTTCGCTGCCTTCTTTCAGTTCGGTTGGGGTCCTGTCTGCTGGATTTACGTATCTGAAATCCCAACGACCCGGCTGCGCAGTCTCAACGTCTCCTTTGCGGCTGCCACCCAGTGGCTGTTCAACTTTGTTGTTGCGCGTGCTGTGCCGAACATGTTGGCTACAGTTGGTGCGAATGGTTACGGGTGTGTTCCGCCTTTGCTCCCATAACCTAGACTAAGAGCTAACATTCCATCTAGAGCGTATATTATATTCGCTTGCTTCTGTTTCTCCATGTTTGTCTTTGTCTGGTTCTTCGTCCCCGAGACCAAGGGTGCGTTAAACCTCTTCTCTTACTCATCTACCAAGATCATCTCGTCGTATGCGTGCTTCGAGCTGACATGTATTATCTCAACAGGTCTATCCCTCGAGAGAATGGATGAGCTCTTCGGCGTCAGCCACGTCAGCACAAAGCTCCACCCCGACGATTCCCCCGTCGAAAAAGAAGAGGTTGTCAACATTGAGAAGACGGCGTAAGGAATGTTGATCATGCGAGATGGTCTTGGAATTTTGTTTGTTGCCACGTCGGAGAGAGATAGTTTGGACCATGTCAAAGAACATTCAGTCGGTTTGTGAATTGCGCTATGCTCTTGATTACCTGAGCCTACCTGAGCCGCTACCAGATAGTATTGAGGTAATGGAACATTGCTTTGATGTTGCTATTGCTATCGATCTTCATCATTATCGTCAAGTCGTGCTTTATGTGCCTCTGGTCCCTTTCCTAGTCCTCGCCTGGATATATGTAAATGCCAGTCAGTACGTTTACCTGCACTCTGGACTCCGTATGCACAAAAACTTAGATAAGTACAAGGAGCCGAACCCGACTCATAAACAAAAAAGAAAAACAAAACAAAAAACCGTCGAGTAGGTATAGAGTCAAAACACTAACTTAGTAAACGCCCTGCCCTTGCCTGGTATGGTGAATGAGAAAAAAAGATACAGGAGTAGCAAAGCAACGCAAACGATTATACGGTGACAGACAACATTGAGTTCGAAGCTTAGATGTATTAGACGCGACGACAAAGATGACCGGACCAGGACTCCATCTGTATGCTAGGGAGAAAGGAAACGCTAAAAAGCGAAAGGTGAGGACTGCAACGAAATGTATACTGGAGATGGAGAAAAGGAAATAAGACGGGTTAGAAAGAGGTGTGTAGATAAGTAGGCGCAGTCTATGGTTCAAAAGGCCCTCCGACGAATACCCGCGGCCGACTGGCTTTGAACCCTCTGAGACTGACTCCTAGTCATGCGGCGCGACGGCCCATCATCGAGACTAAGACTGCCCAGACCGGGACCGAGCTCCGAGCGTCTCGGGGAGAAGAAGACATCGTTCACGGTGCTGTTGCGACCATAGCGAATGTTTCTGATAGTGTTGTTTGTCGTGGCTGTGGCAGTTGTCATGGTGGTTTCCGTGTCTGAGTCGCGCTCGAAGTCACGATCTGAGGCATCAGCCTCTTGTTGTTTGAGGTTGTTCAGGCTGAAGCTGTGCCTGTTAATGGCACTGTTGAATGAGCCGCCGTGGGGTGAAAATGGAAGTTGATATTGTGAAGATGGCTCAGGTTTGTGTGTCAGGAAGCTTGAGCCGGCTGCCGTTGATCCGAAGGAGAGTGATGGTGGCGCGTATGAGGAAGGAGAGTTGAACGACTGGTTGTTGGATCGTTTACTTATGCTTGAATCTGGCGAGTCGTTGACAACAGTGTCGCCTGCAGGCGATGATGATGGTCTTTGGGCTTGTTGTCTCTTTGGTGAGAGCACGTCGGGAATGAGCGGTGCTTGGTAAATAGACAATAGCCCTAGTGCCTCTTGAACAGCCATGAAGATCAGAAGGAGCTTTCCGTATCTGTCAAAGTAGTGCCGTTCAAGGAACACTCCTGGCAGGTATCCTCCTAGATGCACAGCCGCAGCTAGTTCTGCAACATAAACAAGCAGTTCCATTCCATTCCATTGTACGATAGGCTGCTTCACTCCCTCAAGAAGAGCAAATCCTGCAAGAAGGCTGGCACACCCTAATGATGCGACCTCAATGTAGTTCCCAGGGACAGATACAAGCCCGTACTGTGAGAGACTCCACACAAGAAGGGAAACGGACAGTAGGCCAAATCGAACGCAGCGAGATATGAAAATCACTTCCAAATTAGTAGATCGCGATGACCGAGGACTGGGCTTCGCCCGTCGCGGTGTCTGCCATTCATGGTCATCATTATCTGGCGACTTGATAGTGAAGGCTCGGTCGAAGAGATTCTCCAGCCCTGTTGAAGCATGGTCCGTCACTGGAAAGAATTTCGGAGGTGCGAATACAGGATCTGGAGAGTCTGGATTGCGACCCCAACTAGTTGGGGACGTAGCAGGGCTGCGATGAAAAGGATTGCGCTCGACGACCTGTGCAATGGGCTTCGGTCTTTGCGAGGTTTGGTTTCGCAAGTTCCACGACGGTGGCACTGGAGCAGGAGGGAGTGATCCATAAAACGGGGTAGGGCCAGAGAGAAGGGACTTTTGCTGGTCTCGTTGATGAACAGTCGAAGATGGTTGAAAGTCATGCTGTATAGAAGGAGTCCAGTCCATATCATCGACCTCGGGCGGTGGCGTCGGGATCGCGCGCTCCTCTCGAGCGGTTTGCGGACTAGCCAGCCTTTCAACAGGAAATCGTGGGGTGATCTGTTGCGATGTTTCATGAGGCGTGTAAAAGGGCTGTTTCGTATCCGTGGTTATCCGAGGAGATGCTTCTGTTTTTCGAGCTGGGGTTGCCATTGGAGTGGTTTCAGCCCAATTGACCAGTGGTCTAGTGTCGTAGCAGATGATGCGCCGCGAAATGATGACAGACTAATGTACGTCAGCAACGCTTTATGGAGTGAAGTAAACAGGTATAGGAGTACCAAGATTGTAAAAGGAATCATGAACAAATGCAAAGCCGGCGGTAGGGTAGCATCTAGGCCGCTTGACAAGGGATCTCTAAGAACGGCCCAAAATGCGCATCGCACGACCATGACAATAAGTTGAACTTTGTAGTATTCACCAAGACCCAAAAAGCGACCGCCTCTTCCTTCAACCTTTAGCCGCAACTTCGGATTATACCACAGCGAAAGAATACCGGCTACAAGCGACAAGCCTGCATAGGGTACTAGGTCAACAGGACTATGGGCCGGCAAACGAAGCGCTCGGAGACCCTGATGAACGCGCCACACGATCGAGTGCGAAATCGAAGAATCGTCTGGATCTCGTAATGGTTCATCAACAGGTAGAGCACTGTTCATGTCCCAGGCAAGTTGACCCGCAATACTAGCCCAGTAGAATATGGCACCGGTAAATACCAGAAGACTCCTCCAGTTCCATTGTCGTGCTTTGCGCGCTGCTTTCCCTGCCTTGCTCCTGTCCATCATGCGTCGTAGGTGGTCTGACTTTGCTTCGTATCCGGCCTGACGGATGCGCGCCTTGACTCGAGGTTCGCATTTGTCGCATACTTGAGGATACCTCTCTTCCAGATTCGTTCGGAACTTAGGATATTCCCGTTCGTAAGCGCTATATTGTGGATCATCTGACGGTGGGAAGTAGGAGGCCAAAGCACTGGTAAAAAGATGTTGATTCCGTACACACTGTGCACAGAACAAGTCGGAGCCGGTCAGCCCTAGGTCAGCGGGCTCGAGAGGGGATTTTGCTGGACCGGGCGTCGGCGGATTCGGATTTGTTTCGGTAGCAGGAGGATCTGTAATATCCCCATTCTAAGGAAGAAAGCTCTGTAAGTAGATGTACACTGCGAGGAAGCGCAAACACAAGGACGTACTTCATCAAGGTAGTTGACGGCCTCGCAGTGTTTACATTGCCATTTCCGGAGAAGGCTTTTTCCAGACTGTGCAGAGCGATGGCCACAATAGAAGCAGCTTAGTCGCTTCGAGAAGAGAGGAGCCATGATGTGTAGGACATTTGATGGGTAAGGAAGGGTTCAAGGGACGTTGTGAGGAGTATCTTCCCAGACGGAGAGAAGTCTTAACCCCGACAACACCAGCGCACGGACCACACCAACATCAATAAACCAGATGGGCCAGTAACACTTCATTCACTCCATTTACTCCATTACACCATTAGATTCCTTAATTCGGTCGCAGACGATTGACTTATGGACTGCCAGAATTTGGGCCATCTCAGCATGCCTACAGCCCTGCAACCTCACCTATTTCTGACTCCCGTTCTTTTCTACTGCCAATCTTGATTGAAGCTTTGTAAACTACAGAGTACTTCTCCAGCCCTCACAGTAATGGCGGTCTCTCAGCTATCTATCGTGTTTTTTACCTTGGCCATTGGCTGTACCGCCTTGGGCTTCGGTTTCATGGCGCTTTTACAGCTATCGCTCCCCAGTCTCTCTGTCTTGTTGCCCCTCTTCGTCGCGAGCGCTATATCGGCAGCCCTGGTGCGTTTCATTCCTCCATTGCGCCTTCCCATGTACGAGCTCCCCTACTGACTTGCCATATTCAAGTTTCTCAGTGCCTTTGCGGTCTCACAGAACACTCCGGTTCCCAAATGGCGTCCCAAGAACTCCCCCGTCCATCTTCTGGTCGTCCTAGGCAGCGGCGGCCACACAGCGGAGATGTTCTCCTTGCTCCGTCGCATGGAGCTCAATACCAGCAGATACATCTACCGCACCTATATTGTGAGCTCCGGTGATAACTTCAGCGCTACGAAGGCGGTCGAGTTTGAATCAACACTCGGCGCAGAACCAGAGTCTTACGCAATCATTACGGTACCTCGTGCCCGCCGCGTCCATCAGTCTTACTTGACAGCTCCCTTCACGACAACTTTTTCGTTCTGGTCCTGCCTTCTAGCCTTGTGCGGACGCCATCCAGACCAGCAACAACACAAACGACCCGAACAACTTCCCTCGCCCTACCCGGATCTCATTCTCACGAATGGTCCCGCGACAGCCGTTTGCGTTATACTCGCTGCTAGACTTCTTCGTCTGGTCGCTTGGTTTCTGAGCTTCCTGTTTCCGGCTAGGATTCATCCGCCGACAATATCGGCAGGCGGACTGGCTCCGCCGGAGGAGGAATTCCGCCTCCGTACAATCTTTGTGGAATCCTGGGCTCGGGTGAGGACGTTGAGCTTGTCGGGAAAGATTCTGTTGCCCTTTGCGGATCGGTTCTTGGTTCAGTGGCCTGCGCTGGAGGGGAAGAGAGCATGGTGGGGGATGCGGAAGGCTGAGTACATTGCTGGTCTTGTGGATTGATCTTTCGCGAGCAGTGCGTTAAGAAGCCAATTACGGCAATGGATGCGGGGGAGATGCATTTCTGCAATATCTTCAGCGAATGCACCATGCGTAAGACTTACAGTACATATGTAAATCCACCTGGGCAACGGTCTACGCTCCAGCCGAGGTCTTCCACTCATAATAATATTGCGGATCCGTTCCCTAATAGATTCGGATTCATCGAACGGATCGTCCGCTCAAGGAACGGCTGCTCCGACGTAGCTCAAGCGATAGACAGTTTGGTTCACTATTTAATTGCTGTCCCTACCAGAACATCGGCAGATCTCCGCTGTGTTATAGCTTAGCCTTGGGATTATTGAAATTACTGACTGCCGTCCGCGGACCCCGACAACCTTCTCAAATACCCCAACACCCCATACCCCGCCTTTGAGCAGAAGCAATTATATCCGGTTCATGCTTTACCACCCCTCCAAACTGCATTATTCAAGAACATATCGTCATCATGCCGTACGCGCTACAAAATCGCAATGTCCTTGTTACCGCAGGCTCCAGGTATACCACACTGCCATACCGTTCCAACAACATTTATATACACCCGTCCTCCGACACAACACCGAAACTTTGCTGACCATTCATTTGTTTGTTCCACCACCTAGAGGCCTGGGAGCAGTGGTCGCCCAAAAATTCGCTGCCGAAGGCTGTAATGTTGCAATCAATTACTTCACAAGCCAGGAGGCTGCCGAAAAGGTTGCGTCGGATATCCAGGAACAGTATGAGGTTAAGGCCATAACGATTCAGGGTGTACGTTTTCCTCCTTTGCATTCCTGCAGGCTGCTATCTCAGCGCAAATCACGCTGATATTAGCGTACTGATGAACGCGTTGCGTGATGGTGCAGGATGCAAATATCCAGAGCGAGTGTCAGAGCATGGTCCAGAGTACAATTGAGCAACTTGGGGGGCTGGATATCCTTGTTTCGAATGCCGTGGGTTGCCGCCTTTTGCGGTTCTTATGAAACGGATGAACGAGCTGATAGAGAGAAAGGGCTGGACCAAAATTACGACATTCAGTAATCTCGATGCCATGGACGAGGAAGACTGGGACAAGGTGGGTAGCAGTGAGTGATTTAAGTGGCATGGTTGTGACTAACAGATGCCATAGTGCTGGTCGGCCAATGTGAAGGGGCATCTGTGGCTCTTCAAGGCAGCACTTCCCACTTTCAAAAAGAATCCGGACGGTGGTGTCTTCCTACTCACGTCATCGGCTGCAGTCAGTAATATGTCTAGAATAAGCATGAGTAACAGTTGGGTTTGCTAACAAGCTGTTAGGCTGTTTCTGCGTCAGGAAGCAGTCTGCCATATTCAGTTACCAAGGCGGCGGGTAAGTGATCACGATATCGGGCATCGGAATGCATGAATAAGGCTGATAAACTGCAGGTTTACACTTGGTCAAGTGTCTCGCGCAGACTCAAGGAAACAAGGTCCGCGTCAACGCAGTCCTACCAGGTCTGCTTCTCACTGAGTGGGTACGAAGCATAGCTCAAGAGAATGCGACATCGAACTAAGTCGAAAACAGGGACTGCGGTTTCCAAAGGAAAAGATTGAGGCTTATAAAGCCAGGACTCCTCTTAATGCCCTGGTATGAATCCCGAGTAAGCGATGGTGACTTTGTGTGTACTGATGCCCATTTTCACATCAGCCCGAAGTGGAGGACACGGCACATGCGTATATCAATCTAGCTAAGAACTCATCAATGACTGGACAAGCACTTCAGATAGGTAGGCGTCTTTAGAGTATGATGTGAGCAGAATGACTGACTTCGCAGATTCTGGGTTCGTGGTGAACTTTTGAGCCATAAATGTTTGACTCAAAGTTGGAAGATTAGAGGCCATCTGTACTGGACCTTCGCGCTGAAAATGGTACAGGGTGTGAGTCGTATATAGAATACATTGATTTTCCTTTCCTCCCAGCATTTAGCTGAGAGGGTTATGGAAAGGAGTAAACGAAGCATTGTTCCATGAGAAGGTGTGGCTGCCGATCATCCGAGCTTTGAGAGCAGCCCGGAAGGCATCGGTATTTGGCCGGCCTTCCACCTTCATACTGTGAATTCTGACTAGCTTCCTGTCTTTGGTAAAGACATATACTCCCTTTTTTGCATCAGACTTGACTGTGTGTTCACCATCTATAAACGGTAGTCCTGGAACGACGGCAAATACCTCACTTTCGTTCAAGGGTCGTACCTCTTCGAACTCACTGAGAATGACCCTTCGCTGTTCGAAACTCGGAGTAGGGCCAGATGATTCGCCAAGGACCAGAGACTTGCTCCACAACGGTCCCAGCACGCGCTCCCGCCGACTGACATCTGCCCACGTCCACGTAGCCCAATCAATATGTTTGTCTTCAGGCGTGATCTTTGTAGCATGTATCAGGTCTTTCTGTTGAGTCGAATACCAGCCAGCATCCTTGACTGGTGGGACAAACAACCCCTCTCGGATGCCCTCGAGTAACAACTCTGCGCCTTTGGAAGCGACAATATCCAACAGCTCCGCAACTGTGCATGAATCAGGGTTCGGTATCTCAAATCCAGGAGACGGTGTTTGCGCAAGAATTGTTCCGTGATCAAAATGCTTAAGGTGTAATGTCTGAAGGCTGATGCCGGTAGTTGTTCTCCCAGCTAGGAGAGTATGGTGTAGCGGTGCAGGTCCACGAAAGCTGTAGGTATTCTCGCCATTAGCATCCACTGGCAAGCTCGAGCGTTCTGCTTGCACTCACTCGGGAAGTAACGACGGATGGACGTTTATGCCACCGTATCTGGCACCATTGAGGATCCGTGGCGGCACAAAAAGCCCAAACGACACGGCCACTATCAGATTGATGGGTCCTTCGGGGTACACGGGGGGCTAAAACCATGAGTTTGCATGCAAATGGGTTGATCAAGGCCATGTATTATATACCTGCCACCCCGTAAAGGTGTCGACCTCGTGAATGGGAAGAGGTAATTTGGACGCGGTAGATTTGATTGGGACTATCAGAGAACCGCATCAGCGATAAGCACTCTTCTCGTAGCTTTCTTCTGCATAAACCACCTTCGCGTATTTGCTTCAATCCCCTACCCACCCGTTTCCCAGGCCTGCAGACGACGTCAATGGAAGCGATCCGCTCAGGGTGTTTCTTATGTTCGTCGTGGAGAGCTTCCAGAGAAGCTATGCTGAAATGATCAGAACCGCAGAAAAGAATCCGGAGCGGATCGTAGGGCTTCGTGGAAAGGAATCGTGGTGAAAATGATGACCGAAAGCGGGCCTGCCGAACCGAGCACAGCAGCCCTGGGCCCCCTGGAAGAAACATCGCTGCGCAAGCTGATTGTTCTAAAGTCCGGGGAAGTGAGACTTCCGAGGCCCCCGACGCCGACAGCGCTTTAGGCCGACACGTGATGTCACTGTCCAGTGTCCACTGCAAGCCAAATCGCGGGGATGACGATGATCCAACAACTCGGCCATTGCATTGTGAGCTAGAGCTCGCGGCCTAAGATGCCATGCCGGAGAGCGAATCTTCTTCGGTAGTTCCCGCGCAACTCTCGTTTCTTGCCATCTACAACCCCTCGCTTGGAACCACGGACGAAACAATTAGGAAGCAGATTGTCTTCTACACTTCGAGGTCCAGTCTCCTGCGACGGCATGATAGCTCCACGGCAGGCGAAAGCAAGGAGCTCGGCGATGATTGGAATGAGCGGTTACGCCAGGTCGGCCTGGCGCAGGGTATGGTGACCTTCGCAAGGTGGGACCTGCTGCTCGCGAGTATATCGGGAGCAGGACTAAGAGTTATTCAGGAATTTCTCGGAGGACAAAGCCGTCGACTACGTGGAGACGGAAAAGTCGCAAATCGTATTACATGAATTAGAAAATGGATGGTGGATTTTAGCTGTACGTACCTACCTTGAAGCATCATCAGAACAAACGCTGAGAGCTTTCAGTCTGTTGATCTGACCCGACTGCCGGACTCTAACAATGGATCATCTTCGCAACAAGACGCCTCTGAGCGTTTCTTCCACTACTCGTCAAAAGAAATGGCCCCCCCACAGCTTCTAATCCAGCAGCTTCGTCGAGCGCATTCAACATTTCTCCTTCACCATGCGTCAAATCTGGATACCCTCTACAAGGATGTTGGCAGGTCCACATTCTGCCTTTTTCTCGAAAAATTCTGGTTGAGGTTTGCACGTAATTGGGATGTTCTTCTGGGTGGAAATCCTGCTGTCGATATGTATAACGGCATAAAACTATCTGCCGGAGGCGAGCTAGGTTTTGGGGTTGGTGAAGAAGAGTGGGGAAGCGGAGAAAGAGAGGTACTTGAAGACTTTGTATCGAGGACAGACGGTCTTGTAGATCTAGTCGTGTCACGGTTCGGTGATCCATACGAGTCTACCGAAAGTTGTCAAACAGGAAGCAGGGCAGAGGATGAGGCCGAGCACCAATGGCTTGGCACTGATGATACTCCACGACCTTCAGACGGTGTCATCTTCTCGGGTGTCGGGACAATTACCAGACGCTCTCTTGTATCCATATCTCATTGGATGGAGTGGATATACAGGTACGGCGCTGATGCTTATGGAGTCAGCGAAGATCCTACGTCCCCGCGACGCCGAAGACGCAGGAAACGACAACGGGCTGTGTCTTCCGGGAAAACTACGAGCAATCCACCCCCTTCTCAACCTCCTTCTGATGTCGTACGAGGGGCTGTTTTGGATTGTCCTTTTTGTCCAGGTATTCCTCCGCCGCTTGTTGGGGGATCACCGCCGCCTCGGCCGTCGTCGAAAGACCCCCAGGCAAGTACAAGGTCACAGGGGAGTGATGAGAGCTCTCAAAATTCTGAGGATAAGGCCAGTGATTGGATGACAACGGGGACAGAGACGTTTGTGAAATACCTCACTCTCGGTTATGGATCGTCATGGGCTCTCCCAGGACTGTCGAGTGGGACAGCTAGCCCACTGCAAGTCGATGAATCCCGGAAAGGCCACGGAGTCCTTGCAAACAGCACGATTGCTCGAAAAAGTTCCAAGGGCTCCTCAGGTTGCAACGGTCACCGGAGAGTTAACAACCATGGCAAATTCATCATAGGTTTACAAGACGATGTTGCCAGCTCAGATGCTGCCATAGAAGAGATAGATCGGCCTAATCCCACTGCTACGCCGACGCAAAAGGTGACCAAGAGGGCAATACATGTTCATATGGCAGATTCGCAGCAGGAAACAGGTAAGCCGGTCTTTCCACCTAGCCAATTCAGAAGTCTCACATACCAGACTCAGTGCAACTCCAGGCGGTGGTATACATAGTAAGTTCCGATCTCTGGCTGAACCGTGATGAGAGCTCACATTGATAGTACCAACCATTTATCTACACCTTTCTCTTCAACACCACGACACCATCACTGTCCGACCCGTCCCTGTACCACAGCATACACCACCAACTTGGTCCGCTTCAGAAACCGCTTAGCATCTCCACCTCCCCATCAACAGCGGAATCCCGTATAACCGTCTTTCCAGAGTTTAATGCCAAACCTCAGCAACAAGCCAACCCGATCTATGACCTTGTCTACGACCCATATAACCTCTCCATTCGGTCATCCATACCCAACATTCCTTATCTCACCTTCCAAAGCCAAAACATAACCGGGACCACCGCTCTCTCCCGAGTAGAAACGATAAGCATCCATCACCGTCTGCTTACCACATACGTGGAGACCCGGTCCCGGCCCCTCGAGCTCGAACGGACATGCAAAACCAGCCGCGGGTGGTGGATCGTTTGGGTCCGTGTTTCCGCTTCCCCAGATACGCAGCAAAGCTCGCCCGGATACGATTCGGACAAGGGCAAACAACAGGAAGCCTTCATAGTCCGCCGCGCAAGCGACCACTCCACCTCGTCAGGCCACACTCGGAATGCTAGCAGTATTGGTGGTGGGAGCGGCGCGCGGTTTTTCAGGGATCTCGGCGGGGCATCATCTCCTGGTTTATCGCAGTCTTCGCGGTTGGATATAGTACCGAGCAAGCTTGTTGAGGGGCTGGGCCTTGATGCGCGACGATATATCGAGAATTTGCTCAGCTTGAACAGATAAATCTGGGTTTGTAGAGATATTTATGGATATATCACTGTCTATCCAGTATGAGCTGATTGTGCAATGACCAGCTTCAAGCAGAGCCTCGTTCCGCCAGCCTTTAGAAACTTGTGGGCAGCCAGCCGCCAATAATCCCAATTGAAAGACGAGGCTGAGTCTGGCTTTGCCGCATTGGAAGCCTTGCAGCTCTCGTCAGCTGCGTTTTATACTAGAGAATGTTTGTTGTCGAGTACACGTGTCGATTGATCGTCTCGTTATGCCTGAGGCTAAATTTCGATACATGATGTCCAAGGTTATCTGCGTAAAGGAGATACGAGTGTTCGCACTCCGAACACCGAGCTGTGGATGATGGTGACGTTTGCAATATCGTACGTACTTCTGTCTGTTAGCGCGGATTTATACGGGTTTATTAGCTGCTAGCTTGTTACTATTCTTGCTCCAGCTCCAGTCCACTACTAAAAAGGCACAAGGTGCGTATGTACGGAGTATTCCGAGTATTTTGGGACACGGGAATATGTGCACCGCCACGTATGTGCTCTACAAGGAAAATCTTATTTCCACGAGCTGTAGTAATATTACAGAGCAGGAAAGTACAAAGTAGTCAGGGTTGATGCTCTCAGGCGGGCTGTCCAGACTCTGGGCTTCTTCTCAGCGCGACGCGTTGCAGGGAAGCAAGGCAGACGAGATCAGCTGGCAATTACTGGCTGTGGTTCGTCCGGGTTGTAGTGAGCTTCTGTAGGTTCGAGCTTGGCTTCCTCATCACAGGCGTGTCGGGGCATTGAGACTGAGAGTCGTATCAATGAGATGTACTCCGTACGGAGAAAGCCGCTGGACAGGGGTCTTAGGATGCCTGTCATACGTAGAAAACTGCACTCGGCGAAAGCCACATAGATTATTGGCTGGGAAACCGACAGTCTGCGGGGTTAGCTGTTCAGTTGATATCACAGAGTGGAAAAGATCAATAATAATGAATGAAGCTGGCATATAAACCCGGGTGATGCTGTGCAGTTTGTTCCAACGATCGTATCGGTCCCCATTAGGTATAAGCTCAAGTGACAGGTTGGGTTCAGCTTCAACGCTTGATCTCGATGTTTCGCTTCACCTTTCAAGTTTCAACGGAGAATCCGGGGGATACTTCGCCCTATGCGCCAGCGCATATAGTTTAGACCAGCAAAATGTCAAGATTGATTGCGACCCATGGCCGAGACTCCAGCTGTGTCAACGTTCATTTCATCAAGGACCAGCCTCAGCTTCAGGAGCCGTTCAAGGCTGTCGTGATTGTATTGAGACATTATTACATTCTTTACAGCCACTGTGGCTTGATAGGCTAGGCACCAGGCAACAAAAAGGAGAAAGGACCTCACTCCTTTATTCAACTTGGGCAGCGAATCTCAGACTGAAACACGGAGGACATACCACTATTGACCCTGCAGGAGAATACACGGCTTAGAGCAAAGAATTTCTACTGATGGATTGTTGCAAGAGCAGACATCTTCTTCGTCATTGAGGACAAAAACAAACAATCGGTCTCCGCCACATAGCTGCACAGCCACCCTCTGGACCTTGGTAACTGGTGTCTGTAACGCTGGTATCGAAGCTGTTTCAGAAGCAAAAGGACAATATTGAAGACTAATAATTTTCTTTCTTTTTTCCTAGGCAGGTTATGAAAGAGCTAAGTAACTAAACTCTTTAAGGGGCCAGACAGATTATTCCAGAGTGCCGATAAAGCGTGGTAAGCTGGGAGGCCAACAGCGCTGCTTAGGGAGACTCACCACTAACCGCCTCTTTCCACCTCCTCACTCTCACTCTTCCATTTATCAAGCACCCTCCGTCCTCGTCATCCTCCTTCCCCTGGGCCCTTCCACCTGCTTTCTGAGCCTTTTGACCCTGTCTACTTACTGGACTTTCATTTCGCTCTTTGAATCGTCTTCCTCGCCCACTCTCCTATTTTAGTCTGCGCTGCTGCGCCTAGTTCCCTCACCGTACGTGATAACCCTTTTCCCTCGGGCGTCTGACTTGTCCCTTTTCTCAACCATCAACAACCATCAACCTTCCGTCTCCTGCCAACGACACTGTTATCCTCTCACTATCTTCAATCTCTTTCTATTCGGTATCCAAAGCAAATTTAATATCGATCGGCTGGCTGACTTTCTTCTTTCAAGATGGCTGAGATCCGCCGCAAGCTTGTTATCGTCGGTGATGGTGCCTGCGGTAAGACCTGTCTGTTGATGTAAGTCTTCCTCCAGGCACATCTGATGCAAGCTTTAAGCATCGATTACTGATATTACTCTTACCTTGCAGCGTCTTCTCCAAGGGCACTTTCCCTGAGGTCAGCTCCCCACGTTCAGTCGCTGCCGCCCAGCATCGTCGATCTCTACCCATAACAGGGCTGATGCTCTTTTACACAAACTAACGACGGTACACACAGGTCTACGTGCCCACTGTTTTCGAGAACTACGTTGCGGATGTTGAGGTCGATGGCAAGCACGTTGAGCTCGCCCTTTGGGATACGGCTGGCCAGGAAGATTACGACCGTCTCCGCCCTCTCTCCTATCCCGACTCGCATGTCATCCTGATTTGCTTCGCTGTCGACTCACCGGATTCCCTTGACAACGTTCAGGAGAAGGTGAGATTTATTCAAAAGACTACATACCCGCATTGTGCTGACGTCGGACAAGTGGATCTCCGAAGTTCTGCACTTCTGCCAGGGTCTCCCCATCATCCTCGTCGGATGCAAGAAGGATCTCCGTCATGACCCCAAGACGATTGAGGAGCTGCACAAGACCTCCCAGAAGCCCGTCGGCCCCGAACAGGTAGGATTCTAGAATCAAACGCCATGATTGGAGCACAGCTGACTTGTATACAGGGTGAGGAAGTCCGCAAGAAGATTGGTGCTTACAAGTACCTCGAGTGCTCTGCCCGAACCAACGAGGGTGTCCGCGAGGTCTTCGAGGCTGCCACTCGTGCTGCCCTCTTGACCAAGACCCACAAGAGCAAGAAGAAGTGCAGCATCCTGTAAATTAGTCTATTCCCCCAGCCTTCGCAAAGGGTCTTTTCATGCGGAGATTATACGACCGGATAAGCGTCTCGAATATTTGGCTGTTTATGTTTTCTTATCTTACAAGGGGCGATGGATTTCGTTGGTGAAAGTGCCAGTGGGTGCCTGATGCGAATGTGGTTAATCTTCAATCACGGGCACATGAGCTTCATGGGATTATCTGGCTGTGCAGTTGGTCGATTTTCTTCTTTTGCAGACTTCTTTTTCTAGGGAGGCGTTGTCATAACCTTGTGGGCTTTTCATTTTCTCTTGAACCGTTCTCCATAGCGCCCCCGAGGCAGCTCGAGTCCCTCCGGCGAAGAGGCGCTCTGTTCACCGGCAGATGGTTTGCACTACTAGGAGTTGTAGACCGGCGGTGTCTTCGCTTCAGCAGTCCGACCTGGAGGGTTTGATCGAGCAAGTTGGAATTTCGTGATCTGATAGAAGATTCCTGTGCCTTTCGGATTCCCCGACAAAGTCTAATTGCCATTCTCCTTTGTCATAATTATTCTTGGTTACAGAGAATGCATGGAACTATCTTCTGTTGATTGATTGTTTGCTCTCGAACAGCGTCAATTCTATCCTTGAAATCCACATGATAGCTGCAGTTATGAGGTTAGCAACAGATTAGGTATTCCAACAATCTTAGTGTAATAACCTCTTTAATCAAAAGTACAGTCATTCACTATTCAAAGATGAGTTGCTCTTGAAGGTCGAGCCATGCCACTCAAACGCGCACGTGACTTGGGTCCGCAATTTTCCCTCTCCGACACGACAATAATCAACAATTCCGCAGTCCGCACCACACGCTCGACATTGCCAGGCCCGGCTCTCCGCAAAATGCAGAAGATCGTCCGCCGGACAGCTCTGGCGCGGAACCAGGCTCAGCGCAAAGCTATCCTAGCGAACAAAGAAGCCAAACATGAGGAAATGAACGACACCCTGCGACAGCGCTTCCAGTACAACCGATCTCAACTAGACCACATTCGCGCCGAGAGGCTACGACGTCGTGAGGACTGGATGAAAGGGCCGCTTGCTCCCCAGCGAGATGCGGGTCTGGACGGGAAACAGTTTGCTGCTCTGAGTCCGCAATCAATGAACCCGCCGGCTATCCCGAAGCATTTGCGGAGAAAGTATATCAACTTTGCACCCGGAGACCGGGTGTGTATTATGAGGGGAAGAGATAAGGGAAAGATCAACATGGTGACTCGCGTGGATGAGTCTAACGAGACCGTTATTGTGAAGGATTGCAACGTTGTATGCATCTCGCTCCAACCCCTAGTTGATACATGGGGCGGCATGGAATGAGGTTATGCTAACACAATCTAGGCCGAAGTCTACTTCCCTGAATGGCTCAGCGAGCAATTCGGCAACACGAACCCTTTCCAAACTGTCCCTATCCCCATCTCCATCGATGATGTCCGCCTTGTCGCCGCCCTCGACGACCCAGCCACAGGCATCACTCGCGACGTCCTAGTCGAACACGTGTATGGCGGCGGACCCATCCTCGAGCGTGAGCACGGTATTGACACACCCCGCCACACCCGCTACATTGCCGGCGAGGACATCGAGATCCCCTGGCCGCGTCCCGAGAAAGCCAACTTCAAAGACGAAGAATGGGACACGCTCCGCATGGAGGTCGAAACGCCTACCTGGGTGCCGTCGCTTCATTTTGCGCCCTTTCCGCCGAGTGTGCTCGACGAGCTGCGGAATAAGTTCTCCAAGTACCGGACGCGTCATGACCCAGAGTTTGTGGAGCAGAAGAGGATGGAGGATCTTAAGAAGGAGTATCTTCAGAGCAGGTCTTTGATGACGCCAAAGGGTGAGCTTATAGCTATGATTCAGAAGAAGAAGAAGGAAGCGTTGGAGAGCAGGCGGGACGAGGAAGGTAATTTGATGATGGATAAGACGACGCTGGCGTTCATTGAGGGGTTCATGAAGGAGAATACACCGAAGAAGGCTAAGAAGTCAAAGAAGGCTAAAATGGTTCAGGTTGCTTGATTGATTGAGCCAGACTCTTTTTCCTATATCTTTTCTCTTCTTTTTTCACCTCTTCCGTCCGACTCGCGTGCTTCATTATTTTCCCTGGGTATTTTTTGTATCATTGTACCATATAATATGAATGTGTAAAATTAGGTCTACGGTGATTTATACACTTCTAGTACACCTTCGAAAATTGGACCCATGATTAGAGCAACTATCACCTACTCAGATCAAAAAAGAAGAAAACAACCATCAAAAGACATACATGACCACTCTACTCCTATATCAATAATGTTATAAAGGAACAGCAAATATATACAGCTCACGGAATCACGATTTGTAACTGTCATAACTAACGTGATCGCCACCACCCAAGAACAATAACACCTATCTAACATGAACAGCCTCCCCCTTCTCGCTTTCCCCCAAAGCTTCAACATCGTCTCCTCGCTTGATCCCTCCGTCCCCAGCAGCAGTGAGCCCAATCTCGCTCTCCCCAACCTTGTCAACGGTATTTCTGTATGCTGGTACAAAATTCACCGCGACAGCATAAGTCCACGCAAGGACCATAAACATCGTGGGAACAATGAACGCAAAACCCGTGTCATTCCGCAAGTCCGCAACATGCGCAAGCAGCGGCGGAATCGCCGCACCACCACTAACACCGCCGACAATCCAGCCGGACCCACGCTTATAGTGTCTCCCGAGGCCACGGATGCCCAGCGCGACGATCGTGGGGAAGCACACGGATTCGAAGAACAGAGTGAGGAAGAGCATGGTGATCCCCGTTGCGTTGCGCTGTGTCGTGGATGCTGCACAGAAGGCGACTACGCCCGACAGGTAGGCTAGGAAAACCCATCGGGGCCGGATGTATTTCATCAGGAAGGCGCCTAGAAAACGGCCCACCGTGAAAGCTGCTTGCGCGCCGGCGAGGTATTTGGAGCCCGTGGAATTGTCCACTGCCGGCCAGGTTTCTGTTGCGTAATTAATGAAGTAGGATGCTATGGCGACTGTTGAGAATTAGGGCATGGTTAGCGATTGGTCTCGGGCGTACGGGTAAGCAAAATAACTAAAGAAGGCAAGTACCTTGAGCACCAGTGTAAGTAAATTGCGCGAATGTGGCATGAAATAGCTTATATTGTTTCCAAAACGGCTTCTCCTGTTCCTCGATATGCGTAGCAGCGACCTGGAATGCCATGTCTTCATCCGTGACTTCGGGAATGGTGGACATGAAGAAAACCGCAGCCAGAACGAAAACGAAGATGCCGATGGCAAGGTACACCCACTGAACGCGCTTGAGAGCATCGACGGAGTCCTCGGTGTCTGTGAAGAAGACATAAGACGCCAGAGCGGGGGCAACGACTGTGCCGATACCATTGAACGCTTGAGCTAGATTGATACGGATTTCGGCGTACTTTGGCGGACCGCACACTAACAGGCTTAGTAGGTGTTCCAGAATGTAGAGTATGTTGAACGTTACCCGCAAGGTAGGGGTTGGCCGCTGTTTCAAGCGATCCCAGACCTGAACCGATCACGAATGTAGCTGCGCAGAATCCTCCAAATGACCGGTTCAATCCCGCCGGCCACATGCATAGCGCTCCAATGCCATACAGGACTAGACCGAAGATAAAAACGAGTTTATATCCGTAGTGCCGAAGAAGCCAATTTGCGTAGCCTAGGGATGCAAGAGGGTAGGCACTAGATGGTTTGGTTGGTAGGATGCTCTGGTACCTAGTGTTGCAGACAAAGCAGATATTACGAACCCAAAGTAAGCAGCCTGTAGTCCTGAGCTCCTTGTCCGCGTGATGTTGAGTGTAATCTGGAAATGCTTGTTGAGAGTGTCGAGCAAACCATATGCGAAACCCTACGGAGTATGGTGTGTGAGCCGGAGCGAGGAATAGCAGGGCTGCTCTGTTTCCGTTCTCGAGAACTACCTACCCATAAGAAGAAGAGTATAGTGACGAGGATTAGGGGCCACAGACTCTGCCTTAACGTCAACTGCGCTGCAGACGTAGTCTTGGTATTGTCGACCCGCAGCCCGGAGCGGGTTTTCAAGAACTGAACGAAGCCCATCTCGGGCAGGGAGCGTAGGGCTTCTGGACTCGAAATCGATGGTGCCCTTGTGCCAGGCAGCGCCCAAGTTGATTGTGCAACAGCTTTGCCCACAGGAAAAGCATGTGCAGGTCAAAGATCAGCTACCCAGGGCCCTTATGTAGTTATACGCTCGGCTTGTGCAACATCAGGAGAGCTAGCTCGGGCGTGTTGGGGGCGCACATTCTTGGGTAGCCAATAAGTTGCACGGAATCGAGTGCTGCCGTCTTGCAAACATCATCTTCTCCTCATTTTCCTTCTGCTGGAGCCGCTCCTCTCAGTCTGGGGTAAAATGGTTGATGGTCACTGGTGGAAGTGGGCGATGTTTGGCTCTAACCCCAGGCCTCCTGGAGACACCAACCGTCCAGTCTGGGGAAGATCCCCGGCAAGAATCCACCACTAATAGGTAGTAAGCGCACCCTGGCGGATCCAGGCATGTGTCTTGACGGACTACCCGCATGACAGGCTTGCGGGACATAGGGTCTTGTTGCTTGCGGAAATATCCGGTAGACTGAGATTGCTCGCAGTCGACTTCCATGAGGGTGGCAGGAATAGGTGACAGGCATTCCGCCACGCTCTGTTTTCTCCTGGCTCGTCTTTTACAACAACAAAGATAATGCTGACAAAGAAGCGGTCGTGTTTGCGGCAATTAGGGGCCAATGAAATCAAGCGTATCACAATTGATTATGACGAGTCGGATAATTCATCTTAGGACTATAGCAGCGATAAAACGTGGTAGTTGACCGGGGTCAATCACAATGGAAGCTTGATTCAAGATGAATGACCAAGTGGAAGCCACGTCGGGTGACGAGCTCGTAAAGTATTCAAAGGTCAAACTACGCTTAGAGCTTGACCCAAATTCGAGATGATCATTCCTCAAATACACTCATCTAACATGATACATACACGCATAACTTGTCCAAAAGTTGAGGACCACATCTCGAGGGTCATGATCTAGATCTATCAGAGGCGCCAATTGGCACTAAAGCCACCACTCCATCAACCAAGTTCTATGCCTTCTTTGGCTTTGACACGGCTCCATTCTCCTTGACGGGAGCGATGACAGTGATGTTATACAGGCGACGCTCAACCACCTTTAGAAGTTCATCGATAACACTGTCCGAAAACATTAGCATGGTTTAAAACACAAGGGGCAAAACGAGCTTACACGACAGGGGCACTAATTGCCCAGACTGCCTTCCACTCCACCCAATTCAAAGGAAGGATGGCGAACAACCCTTGCAAGAAGGGAATATATAGAATCGCAAAATGAAGGGACATCGAGAGGATAATGGCATAGACGAGCATCATGTTATTCCAGAGACCGAAAGTGAGAAGGGACTCGCTAGAGGAGAGGGCGTTCATCGCGTTCAGCATCTCAATCACGACAAGAATTGAGAGCGAGACCGTGGACGCAGAGCGCGACATATCATTCGAGAACATCTCGCAGCCAATCTCCGGGAACTCGGCGGAGCATTTGTGGAAATGAGACTATGGTCAGTTAGCAAGGAGCTTTATAAAAGCTAGGCCATAGGCTTACCAGTTGCCAGAAAGAGATTTGAGGGCCTTGGGGATTGTAGAGGAACCACCAAACGTAGCCAAATACAGTAGCCGCGCCGACATAGGTACCAATCACCATGTATCTGAAGAGCAGCCAGCCGCCAACAAGCGGTTCATCACGCTTCCTCGGGGGTCGTCGCATAACATCATGATCGGCAGGATTGAAGGACAGAGCAGTGGCAGGTAAACCATCTGTTACCAGGTTGACCCATAGAAGCTGCACAGGAACAAGAGCTTCAGGCATTCCCAGGGCGGCAGTCAGGAAGATAGAGACAACCTCACCAATATTTGACGAGATAAGGTATCGGATAAACTGCTGAGTGTTGCTGTAGATAGACCGTCCCTCTTCAACAGCAACGGTGATGGTTGCAAAGTTATCATCCGCAAGAACCATATCAGCAGCGAGTTTGGCCACATCGGTACCAGTGCCCATAGCAACACCAATATCGGACTTCTTCAGAGCAGGGGCATCATTGACACCATCACCAGTCATCGCAACCACATGGCCAAGGGATTGTAGTAGATCGACCAGCTTAGATTTGTGGGCGGGTTCAGTGCGGGAGAAAAGCGATGCCTTCTTGACAGCCTCAAGTTGTTCACTGTGAGAGAGACTATCGAACTCCCTTCCGGTGAAACTTTTGCCTTTGAGATCTTCGTCCTTGCCGAAAACACCAATTTCACGGCAAATCGATTCTGCAGTGTTCTGGTTATCACCAGTAATGACAATTACACGAATACCAGCCTCTGCACACTTCTTGATTGAATCGGCAACCTCCACCCGAGGGGGATCAAGCATCGCAACAAGGCCAATAAGTGTCATGTTCTGTTCCAACTGGGCGTATTCTTCAGAGGTGCTGGCCTTCTGGACCAAGGGGTTTGTTGCCACATCATCGACACTTGCCAAGGCAATCACACGGAGACCACGGCTTGCGTACTCTACCACTTCAGATGACAAAAGATCAAGGTGGTCTTTAGTCAAAGACACACGGGCACCGTTCGAACCAAGGAGAACGTAGGAGCAACGCTCGAGGATAGACTCAGGCGCACCCTTGACAAGGAGTCTCTGGTCGTTTCCAGTGCCCACCAAGACGGACATACTCTTTCTATCGCGGGAGAATTCATAGGTAGCTTGCAGAGGCAAGCGAGCTTCGTAATGGGCACTAGAAACATGAAGCTTCTGCGACGCGGGCAAGTTGAGGAGTTTGTCGTTAGTACCAGCATGATCGGTACCGATCTTCTCAACGAGGACACGGAGCGCTCCTTCGGTGGGTTCGCCGATGCACGAGAAAGTACCGGTTTTCTCATCGTGGGCGATTGCAGCACCGTTGCAACGAGCCATGACCTCAGTCATCTGGCGGACGGTCGACGAAGACACGGCCAGGTTGGTGACGACCTTGCCATTGGACGAAAGGTTGCCCTCCGGCGCAAATGTTGTACCTTCCACATCAATGACCTCGACGTCTGTTCCCAACTGGCTCAAGTAAACAATCTTTCCAACACTCATCTGGTTGGTGGTAAGGGTTCCCGTCTTGTCAGAGCAGATCACACTGCAGCTTCCGAGAGTTTCAACAGAGGGCAACGAGCGGACAACGGCGTTCTTTTGCGCCATCTTACGGGTACCCAGAGCCAGACAGGTGGTGATGACAACGGCCAGTCCCTCCGGAATAGCGGCTACCCCAAGAGAAACGGCGATCTTGAGGTAATAGATGGCACCTTTGGCCCAGCCGCCGTGAGAAGGATCGTTGAAATGTTCGACATTGATGACCCAAACCAAAATGCAGATGACCGTGATAACTTTGGCCAACATATCACCGAAGTCGTTCAGCTTTTGCTTCAGCGGTGTCGGTTCCGATATCTGAGACGTGATGCTTTCATGAATATCACCAATCGCGGTTGACGAACCAGTTAGGACAACGACAGCTGTGGCATTGCCGTTGACAACGGTGGTACCGGAGAAGAGGATGTTGGTTTGGTCCTGCTTGACAGCCTGCTTATCACCGACCGCACGGGTGTCTTTGGCGACACTCTCGCTTTCACCAGTAAGAATAGCCTGATCTACCCGGAAACTGTTGCTGTGGATGGCAAGGAGTCGACAATCGGCGGGGACACGGTCTCCAACCGCAACGTGAACGATATCTCCGGGTACCAGTTCCTCCGCTTTGATGCGCTGGACCGCTCCATCCCGGACCACTTTAGCCTCGTTCGCAGAGTATTCCTGTAGAGCCGCAATTGCCTTCTCGGCGCTGCTTTCTTGGGTCACACCGACGATCGCATTGAGGATGAGAATAGTCAGAATCTATAGTAGCGCAAAGCATGTTAGAACGGTGTTCTAATATATAATCTTAACAGGTCCCGTACCACTGCAGGGTCAACAAAAACAGTCCAGTCGTCGCTCTCCTCGAAAAGAGCCAGCACAAACGAGACAGCTGCTGAGCCCAAAAGAATTAGAACGAGCTGATCTTTGAATTGTTCGAGCACCAGCTCCCATAGAGGAGTCGGCGGTTCTTCCGCAAGCGCTAACAGTGGAAAGGACAGATTAGCTTCTGGAAACCGGCTCATTTGCATGCAGAGGACAGAGCACTTACCATTTGGACCATATTTCTGCCTTGATTGGGAGACTTGAGAGCTAGATAAACCAGATCGTTCCGTGACATCGAAATGCTTCAGCACCTCCGCCGGAGCGAGAAGGAAAGATTGCTCCATGGCCGACTATGCAACCGAATAGTAGACCAGGATCAGGGAGCAAGAAGAATCAAAGGAGTGAGAGGTTCGCGGGAAAAGGGAATGTTGGTCCGGGGCAATCAAGGCTTTAATGCCAGGACAGGTGGCCCGTAATTAGTGAGCGGAGGGCGGTTGGAGAAGCCCAGTCGGGAAAGATCTAGAAGATAAAATGGACCCTGGAGGCAAACTGAAGATATGACTGCATGTCTACTACTCTTCAGCGCAAGTGTGACTACGGCACTATATTTTGTTTTGATATGTTTGTCCCTCTCTGAAGGTCTTTATCGGAGCCTACAACCAAAAAGTCCAGACTTCTCGTCAACATAAACAAGATTACTTCTGGGACAGGGCACTGCTCAACGTGTTCCTTTTAATGGATGAGATGAGTGGCGGTACCAAACAGCAGCCCTGAACGCTCTCATACGCATGGTCCGTCCCAGTTTCATCCTCTTTTCTCTACCTAGGTACCAAATACCCGGGCTGTTACCTATCGATGGCCACGTATTCAGATACAGTTTTGATCTCTATAGATAAGATATTCTTTAGGCTCAAGTTGCCTTTCTTCTTCAATAATTGCCTCTTGATTTCATGCTGTCGTTGGTTCTCGTTGTAATCAGTGGTTATACCGTTACCTGCAGTTGCTGCGAGAAATGCTGATGCCTGTACCAGATCCACAACCAAGACAGCCCGGGTGGTTCTCAGCTAGGATAAGAGCCAGTAAGCGCATCTTGGAAGGGGATCCTAGTGAGCTTGTGGATTTTCAATGGATCATTTGTGATGCTATGCCAGCACAAGTGCGTCACTCATGAACCAGTAGCTCTGCACGTAGGGCTGGATAGAAGCCGTGCTTCGAAAATGAAATAGGTGTGATGAGGCATTTCGAAGGGCGAAAGATCTACATCTGGACATTTGCCTTGTGCATTGTTGTCTGCCACTTGATACCCGCTCCTCCTGCTCTTTGTCTTTCTTGCAAATAATCCTATAGAGATCATCTGACAGCGAGGGTTCTAAGGTCGTCTACAAAATCCCTAGGCGCGATTCAATCCGTTATATGAATCACGTGATAGAAAGCTTGGCAGTATGGCAGGTGACCATGTCATGTGCCAGAAGTTCTGCCCGGGCGGTGACCCCTTAAACAAACCAAGCAAACACAAGCACCGGGCTGCCGCTTTCTCGCTAAGCCAGAGAGGTCGTCACCTCACCGTTGTTCCATCGCTTCCTGGTTGCTGTGATCGCATTCAACTCCCCCCCATCTTTGTTGCTTCTGTGCTTCTGGCTCCTACCTTCCACGTCCTTCGCTTCTTCAACCTCACTCATCACCTCGCAAGTAACCCCCTGTTCCCTATCTCTCCCGACTCCAACCTAATCATCCACCATGACTTCTGAGGTATGTTATTCTCGGCCCAACCCCTCCATCTGGTGTTATCAGTACGCCATGAGCATCATGATGCTATTGCCTTCCTTTGCCTTTTATCTCTCTTTTACTGTCTAGTCAGGTTGAGTACACCTTGTTCACCTAGTTCATACTTTGCTAATGATCTTCTGCTTCGAACAGCGTGAAAAGTAAGGGTCTAGACTTTCTGGATTGCCCCAGATAAGAGCCGTCCTAACCCCCTCCTCCTCCAGCAAGACGTTCCTCGCCCGCCTCTGCGAGCAGGCCGAACGCTACGATGGTAAGATCCTTTGGTTTCCAGTCTTTGGTTTGTTTCCCGAATACTAATCTTGATTTGCCCCGCTACAGAGATGGTCACGTACATGAAGGTGAGTGCTAAGCGCCCGCGCGGGAACGTCTTGATGCTGGACATGATCACTGACTCAATTTATAGGAAGTCGCCAACGTATGCATACCTCCGCCCCGAACTCATGATATACTCTTTTCTTCGCTCACTATCGCTTTCGAAGTTACTAACATCGTCTTAGATCGGCGGCGAACTCACTGTTGACGAGCGTAACCTCCTGTCTGTCGCTTACAAGAACGTCGTCGGTACCCGACGTGCTTCGTGGCGTATCATCTCCTCCATCGAGCAGAAGGAGGAATCCAAGGGCTCTGAGCAGCACGTCGGCATTATCCGCGACTACCGTCAAAAGATCGAGACCGAGCTGGAGAAGGTCTGCCAGGACGTTCTCGATGTGCTGGACGAATCTCTGATCCCCAAGGCTGAGACCGGCGAGTCCAAGGTCTTCTACTACAAGATGTATGTTGTCTTATAATTCGCCTGAAGATGTGAATGCAGTGGCTGAGGTGACGAATAGGAAGGGTGATTACCACCGTTACCTTGCTGAGTTCGCCTCTGGAAACAAGCGCAAGGTTGCCGCTACTGCTGCCCACGAGGCTTACAAGGTATGTTTTCTATTCTATGCTCTTGTATCCCCTATCGGGGCATGAGCTGATTGCATACAATTACTAGAACGCAACCGATGTTGCTCAGACCGAACTCACTCCCACGCACCCAATCCGCCTGGGACTTGCCCTGAACTTCTCTGTTTTCTACTACGAGATCCTTAACTCCCCTGACCGTGCCTGCCACCTTGCTAAGCAGGCTTTCGACGACGCTATTGCGGAGCTCGATTCTCTCTCCGAGGAGAGCTACCGTGACAGCACTCTCATCATGCAGTTGCTGCGTGACAACCTTACTCTGTGGACTTCATCCGATGGCAACGAGCCCGAGAACGTGTCTGCTCCCAAGGAGGAAAAGCCTGAGGAGGAAGCCGTCGCTCCCGAGGAGAAGCCCGAGGAGGCCAAAGCCCCCGAGTCGTAAGGGCGATGTTTTCGTTTGACTTCTTTGCTCTATCAAAAAACCGCGTTTCATGATCGGCGTCCCTTGTTGGACGTACGACTACACCCCTGGAAGTGTTTTGCGAAGGTCTGTTTTAGCTGCGTGACAGGTTTGGGCCGGCACTTATCTTCCACTTGTTCGGGATTATCTGGGTCGGCCAGCGGAGTTTGACATTCGGAGAGCGGAGGAAAGGGGCGAAGTGGACGTTATCTATCTCTCTTTTATTCTCTCTTTTTTATTCCCACCCCAGCAAGATACAATGTGTTAGTTCACGTTTTCTCACTTGTCGCCTTCCACCGTTGACCCCTTACCCCTTTTCCTCCTTGTCGTTTCCCATACAATCAGAGGCCAGAGCTTCAACATCTGAATCCAAGTAGTCAATTCTGTCTGTAGCCGTGCGCAAGTCTTTTTTACCAACATCCTCGCTTGCCTAAATTCATGTCAAGCACATGATGGACCCCTCATAATCATGGTGATTTGGCCAGACGGAGAAGCATGTTATATATATTATTGGTTTGGTGGTCACATTTACCAATACCATTGAACTTCCATTTACTTACACATTTGTGAAAAGGTAATAGGAATGCTCAGAACCTAGACCTGTAGCATACATTTGGTCTAGCTCAAATATACAGTTCTCCCGGCTACGTTCAACAATGGCAGGCCAACCAGCATCCTTTTATGCTTTTCGGGAACGAATTGAGGCGCAAAAGCGAGGAATCAGAATGACGTTCTATTGAATGAGTGGTGCTCAATGCTTATACTTGAAGAAGTCGAGAAATATGTTCAGCAGGGAAGATGTACAAAACAAGGGAGGAAATGTTGTCGATCTATATAAAACCTAGACTTTCAACTGGGTGAGAAGTATAGATGAAAGGAGCAGAAAGATCGCAAGAGAAAAAAAGGAAATCACATGAAGTCATCGTCATCCATCCCATCGTCATCATAAGAGGTCGTCTCAATCTTGTCACTTCTCGACGCAACCAGCGAGACCTTGGTCTTAGCCGCCTTAGTCTTCTTGCTTCCTTTATCGGCCGCCCTTTCCTCCTTCATCTTCTCGTTGCTAAGTGTCGTCAACGCACTAGCCACCTTCTTGATATCACCACTGGGCAGCTCTTTGGCCAGCTGCTTGGCAAACTCCGGCAGCCAAAGCGCGTATTGGGGCTTCTTGCTCTGCGCGCTCAGAAGCGGCGCAAGGGTGCTCGTGACCTTGGCGAACTGCTCCTTAGTCGCGGGCTTGAACAGCGGCATCGCAGAAAGGTCGACTGCCTGCGTCGGGTCGCCCGATGCATCGTGAACAACGATCGTCTTGTTCTTGCCCCGGTTGCGGTTGAGGTCAATGTCGTCAAAGAGGTCCTCTGCGTGCTTGAGGTCGGAGTCCTTCTCGCTGGCGCGCAGGCGAGCGCGCTTCTCGGCCTCGTCTTCATCACTGTCATCGTCGTCCTCCTCCTCCTCCTCCTCGGCCTTGCGGCGGGTCTTGTGCTCGGCTATCCGCTGCGCTTTGCTCTTCTTGTTTGCGGCGGCCTCGGCCTCGGCTTTGGCTTTGGCTTCGGCGGCCTTGGCAGCCTTTTCACGCTCTACTTCGCTGTCTTCGGCGGCATCCCAGGAATCGAGGACCTAATTTGAGATTTAGTGATTAGACTACTCCTGCTTAATCATGGGTTGGTGGAGTGTGTATACATCTTCTTCTTCCTCGTCATCGAAACGGCGGCGGGCAGCAACGTGGGGAGGGGGGACGCTGTCTTCCTCTTCTTCGTCTGTTGCGCAACCAGAATTAGTACTCCCCAAGGCAAGGCGTAGGAAATTTTGAACTTACCCCACTTTGATGGAGGCATGGTAGTTAGATTGGGTTGAGGGAGGGTAGGGGGTAGGGGGTAGGGGATTCAATGTCTCGTAAGGTGAGCGAAGAGGCAGTCCGCAGGCAGGGATCTGTCGTGGACAGAGGCAATCGTGGGCAAAAGTCCTTTCTTTTGCCCGCATCCCTGGTCAATGGCCCAGGTGGGGCCAATAGCTAGTCACGTGCTGAGTGCCCGATGTAGAGAACTTGCCTCAGGCTTCCATGGAATAATGTGTGTCACAGTATGTAGTAGTACGTTTACAAGTTTAGCGCTGCTATGATATCTGAAACTTTTCATTAGGCCACTATATCATGTAACTGGCTAGTAGATTCGTCATCATAACTGTCCCTCCCCGGCGACTTGTCGAGACAGCTTAGTTATGCCGTTCGAGCAAATGAGGTCAAGCATCCAGAGACTCGAGCCATGCCAGTTCGGGAGCCCAACCGATAATTGCTTTATTGGGAAAGTTGGTTTCATAGCTGAATTTACAGGTTGACAGACTTGCGGAAGTTGGATCCGGCGTAAATGGCGTTCTCGCCGAGCTCCTCTTCAATACGGAGGATCTGGTTGAGCTTGGCCAGACGCTCGGACCGGGCAGGAGCACCAGTCTTGATCTGTCCAGAGCGAAGACCGACAGAGATGTCGGCAATGGTGACGTCCTCGGTCTCACCCGAACGGTGGGAAACCATGACACCCCAGCCGTCGGCGTAGGAGTCCTTAGCGGCCTGGATGGACTCAGTCAGGGTACCGATCTGGTTGACCTTGAGGAGAAGGGCGTTGCAGGACTTAAGCTCAATGGCCTTCTTGATACGGAGGGGGTTGGTGACAGTCAGGTCATCACCAACGATCTGGAAGTCAGAGGTCTTGTAGAAGTAGCTCCAGGCCTCCCAGTCGTCCTCAGCGAAGGGGTCTTCGATACTGACAATAGGGTACTTGGCAGCAAGAGACTTGTAAAGGTCGGCAAGCTGCTCGTAGGTGAGCCACTTGGAGGGGTCGCTCTCAGGGTTCTTGAAGTCGAGATCGTATTTCTTCTCCTCGGCCTTGTAGAACTCGCTGGAGGCAACGTCCATGGCAATGTTAATCTTGCCAGTGTAACCGGCCTGCTCAATGGCCTCGGTAATGAGATCGAGAGCTTCCTCGGCGGTCTGAATATCGGGGGCAACACCACCCTCGTCACCGACGTTACCTGCAGACTGGCCGTACTTCTTCTTGGCAAGAGCCTTGAGCTTGTGGTAGACCTCAGCACCCTGGCGGAGACCCTCGGAGAAAGAGGAAGCAGCGCTGGTATACGTTAGTATATTCGAGAAGTGACAAACATCCTGCATGAGACACTCACTCAGGAACAATCATGAACTCCTGGAAAGCCAGGCGACCACCGGCGTGGGAACCACCGTTGAGGACGTTCTGGAAGGGGACGGGAAGGACGTAGGGCTTCTTGGTTCCAGCCAAGTCGGAGATGTGAGCGTAGAGAGGGACACCCTTCTCAGCAGCACCAGCCTTGGCAATGGCCAGACTGACACCGAGGATGGCGTTGGCACCAAGGTTGCTCTTGTTGGCAGTTCCGTCGAGCTTGTTGAGGAACTCGTCAACCTTGGACTGCTCCTTAACGTCGAGGTTCTCCTTGATGACGGCGGGGGCAATGATCTCGTTGACGTTCTTGACGGCAGTCAGGACGCCTATTGAAGATTATTATTAGAGCCCTTCTTCATATCATACATAATATGAGTGCTTTCAAACATACCCTTGCCGAGCCATTTGGACTTGTCGCCATCACGGAGCTCGTGAGCCTCGTGCTGACCTGCAATCGTAGTCAGCAACGTTATTTTCCTTCAATCAGCGCATCCTGGAAAGACTACACACCAGTGGAAGCTCCAGAAGGAACAATTGCACGGTGGAGACCGGTCTCAGTGACAACGTCAACCTCAACGGTGGGGTTACCACGAGAGTCGTAGACGGAGCGGGCGTGGATCTTAGAGATAGGCATCTTGATAAACTAGGATGATAGAGTCAGAAAAGAGAAGGAGGAAAAATTTTGCAAGACGGAGACGTCAACAATTTAATAGACGGGGAGGAGGCAAAGAGTTGCTGGGAGCGGTTTAGCAGGCGGGGGTGGTTCACCGATGGCCCAAAAAGAATGATGCCAACAGTTGAGGGATGGAGTCATCCGGTCAATAGTTGATGGATCGAGACCCCATGGACTCATACTCAGAAAGGTCATAATGTGGAGGGGCATACCGATATGTCAATGCCGGTCTAGTAGTGATGACAATGCTATGTAGTTCGATGGGGAGGAGGGGTCAAGCTTAAGCTTGTGGATGGTGGGGTTGTAGAAGAGTTTAGAGGACTTTAGGCGGATGAAAAGAAACGGAACTTACCAGACTTTGGACAGCCGAAGGAGTAAAACAACAACAGCAAGGGGGCGTACTGAGAAACAACAATTGGGCTGGAATCAGCTGGTTCTTGTATTCTACGCAGGTGTCTGCCTCCGAGTCTTTCCAAGGCGGTGGTGGGGCAACGACCGCCTGTTTGTTGGCTCAGGAGGCTTCGCTGACGCTCTACAGCGAGATCTCCCGTACACCCTCGGCGCGAGGCGGGTGACAGGATGCTCGTGAGTACCAATTCATCATTGCTTGGTGTAGACGCCGGGGTTACCGTGAGTTTGTTGCATACTTGACCTATGCCTCCGAAGCGCTACGATGCCGTAGTCTAGATCTCCGTTCCGCAATACGGAGACAGACGGCAGAGAAGCACGCTTTAGAGTGGCAACTCATATCCAAATGCGATACTCTTCTGCTCCGTGCGTGTAGACGAACATGTTTGTAACCTTGACCTCGCGGTCCCTAGAATACCATTGCCCGCAATTCGGCAACTTTGTTGCGTAATGACTTTATGAGGCACGAAAATGAAGCCGGATTAAAGCAGACACCTGAATGCCTGAGAGCTGCCGGATAACAGTTACTGCGCTTATAGTCTGACCTGGCTTACTGCCTGAAAAGAAAGGCAGCATATCTTGTCATGTGATCGAGTGCCTGGTAGCTCGGGTGAGCTTGAGAGCTAAGTCCAGACACCCTTCTATCAGCATCTCCGTCATCGCCTCAACACTCCCCTACCGTCAAGACATCTCCTCTATCCAACATAGTGCGACTATCTCGACTGCGCTCTTTACTGGTTATATATCTTTGATCTTCGATTAACCATGAACGGTGCTGTTGATCCCGAGAGGGAGCAGGCGCTGGAGGAGTACAAGCGGAGCCTCCTGGATCTCCGGGAATGGGAGGCCAAGCTGAAGGCGCTGCGGATGGGCATTAAAGACTTGCAGAGGGAGTTTGATATATCGGAAGAGAATATCAAGGCTCTGCAAAGTGTCGGTCAGATCATCGGAGAGGTACTGAAGCAGCTTGATGAGGAACGATGTACGTCTTCCGCAATTAATGGACTCTTTTGTTGTGTTTCACGTGACAGCGGTTGACCTTACTAGTCATTGTCAAGGCTTCATCCGGGCCCAGATACGTTGTCGGTTGCCGTTCGAAGGTCGATAGGGCGAAATTGAAGCAAGGCACTCGTGTTGCCCTCGATATGACGACTCTCACCATCATGCGCATGCTGCCGAGGGAGGTTGACCCGTTGGTGTATAACATGTCTCTGGAGGACCCTGGACAGATCAACTTTGCTGGTATTGGTGGTCTGAACGACCAGATTCGCGAGCTACGTGAAGTCATCGAGTTGCCGCTGAAGAACCCTGAGCTATTCCAACGGGTGGGTATCAAACCGCCTAAGGGCGTATTGCTTTACGGACCCCCTGGAACCGGAAAGACGCTCTTGGCACGTGCCGTAGCAAGCTCTATGGAGACCAACTTCCTAAAAGGTGAGTTTATTTTTGTGGCGTTCGAAGTAGTGCTCCGCTAACACGATCTAGTTGTCTCATCCGCTATTGTCGACAAGTACATTGGTGAATCCGCACGGTTAATCAGAGAGATGTTTGGGTATGCCAAGGAACACGAGCCTTGCATTATCTTCATGGACGAGATTGATGCTATCGGTGGCCGACGATTCTCCGAAGGTACCTCCGCAGATCGAGAAATTCAGCGAACATTGATGGAGCTCCTCAACCAGCTGGACGGTTTCGACTACCTGGGAAAGACAAAGATTATCATGGCTACAAACCGACCCGACACGCTCGACCCGGCCCTGCTGCGTGCTGGTCGTCTAGACCGAAAGATCGAGATTCCCTTGCCTAACGAGGTCGGTCGTCTTGAGATTTTGAAGATCCACTCCAGCGGTGTGCAACTGGAAGGCGACATTGATTTCGAGAGTGTTGTGAAGATGAGCGATGGTCTGAACGGAGCTGATCTCCGTAATGTTGTCACAGAAGCGTACGTCATATCCTTATTTTTTTCCGACCCGCTCGTTTCATAGCTAACATTGAAACAGTGGTCTTTTTGCCATCAAGGACTACCGAGAAGCGATCAATCAGGATGACTTCAACAGGGCCGTTAGGAAGGTGGCAGAGGCGAAGAAGCTGGAAGGCAAGCTCGAATACCAGAAGCTGTAGACTAGTCACGCAGATAGCATGTCATTTACAGAACCCTGCGCAATTAGCTTCGTTTGAGCGAATGCTTTAGTATACATACTGAGAAGATTTCCGTATTCTGAGCAACTCTTCGGCCGGTCTATAATTCCAGCCAAGGCGGTTGCTTGCGCTGATCAGCCAATAGAAATGTGTGCGGACTGAAACCGCAACAAGTGGCCACTCCTACAATGATCACCAATCCAAAACAATCCCTGCAGAACAACTATATATTTACTATCATACTAAAGGGTTTTTCTTTCGTGGCGAACGTGCAAGCAAGCTGAACAAACAAGCACACTTCCGCAACAGATTTTACACGGCACCAGGGTTCGTACTACCACCTTATTGCGCTCCACGAGCAATATTTCGACAGCTCCGAAGAAGCTAACATTACGATTCCAGGCTAGAGGTCTCGATTGTGACAATTGCCCAAAACACGGTCACCGTAGCGCAACAGTAGCACACTGATTCACCACTACCTATGCCGAACGCTTAGCAAGTACATCCATCGCTACCACGGTGTTTGCGAGGCCCATACTCAGTGCTTGAGCAGACGGGCCGGCCATGTCTTTCCCCAACACACACGGCAGCCCCTCATATCCTACCTCGCGCTCCCCTTCGGAAAAGTACTGGCAGGCCAGTCGCAGCCCCGGGACCAACGGTCTAGGGGGTTACGGGTTCTCTCAACCGACTGGGGTTACGAACAACTTGAATAATTTCTTTTCCGGCGACCGCAGTCTACCCATGTACAAGGACAAACCATACTTTGCGCCGCGGCGTACAGGTCCAAGATTTAGACGGAGGAGGGTTTTCCAAGGCATACTTCTTGCACTTGGTCTGTTCAGTCTGTGGTATCTCGTCACTGGGCCCAGTGATACCTACCGGTCTCCTTGGACGCCTGATACAGTCAAAGGGGAGGAGCTATGGAGGTGGGTGCAGAGCCTGGACTCGGAACAGCCTTATGACGGCACTCCGTTGAGGAATGTCGATTGGGACGCGCGACGGGAGAAGGTCCGAAATGCCTTCATTGTCAGCTGGGATGGCTATGAACAGTATGCCTGGGGTATGTTGATATGGTGCCTTTTCGGGCCGATTGATTACTGACGTATATCGCTGGAAGGCTTCGATGAGTATAATCCGGTCACTAAGAAAGGCAAGAACATGGTTAAGGGTGGAATGGGGTGGCAAATTGTGGATGCGCTGGACACTTTGATGATCATGAACTTGACGTCCCGTGTACAGCATGCGCGAACATGGATACACAACTCGCTGCAATATGACCAGGACCATGACGTGAACACCTTTGAAACGACGATACGCATGCTCGGTGGCCTTCTTTCCGCCCACTATCTCTCGACAGAGTATCCGAACCTGGCCCCCATTTTTGACGACGACGTCGGGTCCCCGGGTGAGGATCTATATATTGAAAAGGCTACCGATCTCGCGGAGAGACTTCTGGGTGCTTTCGATTCGGAAACTGGTATCCCTTATGCCAGTGTTAACCTCAATACCTCTACTGGTATTCCGTCGCATTCAGACCGCGGCGCTTCGTCTACGGCCGAAGCCACTTCAGTGCAACTGGAGTTCAAGTACCTGGCCAAGCTGACAGGAGAGGCTGAGTACTGGCGCATTGTGGAGAAGGTAATGCAAGTGGTTGAAGCCAATCAAGCCCCAGACGGCCTTCTCCCTATCTATATTTACCCAGATACGGGCACCTTTAGGGGAGCTAACATCCGCCTTGGTAGTAGAGGCGACTCCTATTATGGTACGAGACTTGAAGCCGCCCAATCAGGTCATTGCTAATAATCTTCAGAGTATCTTCTTAAGCAATACCTTCAAACGTCAGAGGAGATCTACAAAGACATGTGGGACGAGGCCCTCATAGGAATCCGCAAACACCTCATCACGTATTCAAAGAACGCCAAATTGACGATTCTGGGCGAGCGACAGGCTGGACTTGATGGTCCTCTGGTCCCCAAAATGGATCATCTCGCCTGCTTCCTCCCAGGAACAATCGCTCTTGGGGCCACAGAAGGCATCTCCCTCTCCGAAGCCAAAAAGTCTCCCAACTGGACCCGCCGCAAGGACGAGGAAATTCTTCTCGCCAAAGAGCTCATGAAAACCTGCTGGGCGACATACCTGGCGACTCGCACCGGACTTGCCCCAGAAATCACCTACTTCGATATCGACACCCCGTACATCTCAGAGCTAGAGCGTTACCCCGACTCCACGCTAGCTGTGGGCAACTCAAACAAGAAGCCCGCGGACAAGGACCTCCCGCTCAAATCTCAAGCGCTGTACCCTCTCGCAGACTCAAAATCAGACCCCGATTCCTGGCGCGGTGACATCATTATCCGCACCCAGGACAGACACAACCTCCAGCGTCCGGAAACCATTGAGTCGCTCCTTTACATGTACCGCATCACAGGCGACGAAACATACCGCCACTGGGGATGGGAGATGTTCAAGTCCTTTATAAAGCACACCGCAATCATCGAGAAGTCGTCTCACTACGAGACCGAGTCCGGCGACGCAACGACATACCGCATCGTCAGCTTTACCTCGTTGTCGAACGTGAACACCGTCCCGCCGACTCATCGCGATAACATGGAGAGCTTCTGGATGTCCGAAACGCTGAAGTACTTTTACCTGCTCTTTTCGGACCGTGATTTCATCTCACTCGAGGACAATGTGTTCAACACCGAGGCGCATCCGATCCCGAAGTTTAAGCCTACTGGGGAGTTGACTACGGGTTGGACGAGGAGTGAGAGGGTACCTGGATCTGTACCTGTGTGAGTACTGTTCGTCTTCTTCCTATGTTTGTCTATATATACCTTCAACTGGCTGGTGGCTACTGTCGTCTGTCGTTGTTTCTGTAGACTGGAATGCATTCTGGAGTTTTGTTTCAATGCTTTCTATGTATGTTCTAGGCTGGCCTGTATTGTATAATCATGAAGTATGACTAGAAATGTATGAACAGTGCGATGATTAGGTCTGTACCTGTGGACCCAACTTGGTGCTTCAATATACAAAATGGACTTTGGGCAAAGAGATTAGACCCGCTCCAACGCAGCATCAATCAGTTTTTTGTAGCCTTTAACAGCCTCCTCCAGCTGCGCAACCGTAATGGATTCATGATCTCCATGGGCAACATGGATATTTCCAGGGCCGTAAAGATACCTCTTCACATCATTTTTCTTGAAGATCTTCAGGTTCGGCACATCGGTGCCGTAGTTGACGGTCGTAATCTCAAACCCAGACACATCCGTGTCAAGATCTTGAGGCGCATATCCACCAACGCCACCGTTGGGTCCTTCGGCAAACTCCACAGCAACATGAGGGTTGTCCCCCGTTGCGTTGGCAACAGCCGCAAGCACAATCTCCATTGCGTCCTCCGGGGACCCGGCAGCAAGGCGAACAGCAACATCCGCATCTGCTGCTGCGGGAACGACATTTGCGGCTACGCCGGCTTCAACGCGGCCGATGTTCACTGTCGTGCGGCCGTACTTCTTACTCGAGGGAAGCCCGCCCTTTTCGACGGGGGTATCGCCGAGTTTGTCGATGACCGAGAGCGCGGGGAGGATGGTGCTCAGTGCGCTCTCGCCGAGCCATGGGTACCCAGAGTGCGAGGACTTGCCGATGACGTGGACATGGAAGGAGAGCATGCCTTTGTGTCCAGAGACGAGGGCGAGGTCGGTTGGTTCGCCGAATATGATTGTCTTGTAGACATCAATCAGAGGGGAGGGTGCATCTGGGGAAGGATTGAGGGTCGTGTTTGTCGAGAAAGCACGCATGCCCGCGCCGCCAACTTCTTCGTCAACGACAAAGAGCAGGGCTAGAGGCGCAGAGGGATTGTCGTGGAGTGTCTCCAAGGCCGCGAAGACTTGTGCTGCGACACTACCCTTCGCGTCGTCGCAACCACGGCCAAAAATCACAATGTCTCCGCTGTCATCATCGTTCTGCACCGAGTATGGAATAAACGGGGGCACGGTGTCGATGTGGCTGGTGAGAAGGATTGATGGTTTGGAGGAGGCGGAAGATGGATAAGCGAAGACGTTGAACCGGGACGTACGCCCAGGAACAGGTTGTTTGATCACATTGAAATTGTGAGACTCGAGAAACGAGGACAGAAATTCGCCAACGGCTGATTCGTTCCCTGAAACGGAGGGGATCGAGACGAGGTCTCGGTGGAGGGACAGAAACGGGGAGTCATTGATGAAAGACTCTGAGCGTTCCGCATGCGAGGCGAGCGGGGATTGTTGCTCTGGTGTTGCAGTGGCGACGCTGGTCAAAGCCAGAACGGTGAGGAGGGAGGGCTTCATTGCTGCTTTTGCGGTATGAGCATTCCTTAGGTCAATTGGTGGTCAAAGGCTGTATCTTAAGGTGGGGGTGAAGTTGGAGTAGTACGGCCGTAATGTCGTGATGCGGGGACGATCCACAAACGCGACAACGGCCGGCCGAGGATCATCATTCTAAGAATAGACCAAAGTACAGGAAGTAGACAATAGACATACGGGAAATCATGTCCTTCTCACCAATTCATTGACTGTCTAGATTTCTAACCATGGATATTTGATCATCCTCTGGTCTTCGGTTCGCAATTGATGTCATTCGGGACTACCGCCAATGGCATTAAACCAGCAGAATGACACCGCCCACGGGAGCTACGGCGGCCACAGAAGCACAAAGTGCAGCACCAAAATGACGCACGGAAGAGGTCCCCGGCAGACAATTCTCCCCGAGGCTCCAGCGTCGTCATTGTGGTCATGTTGCGTATCTATAGCATCATCTTCTATTGGGCGACTTGCCCTGACCGAGGAGGGTATTTTACCGCACAGCTACCCTTGTGCTCAATTCCCCGGCCAGTTGAGAGCAAAGCGGCGGTCTCACAACCGTCGTCGGCCCTCAGATTATTAGCCAGAAATGCAAGACACCAGCTGCGAAGCCGGACTGTAAAGGCCAAAGAGCCACTGGTCGGCCCTGAAAAAGGGCACCAACGCGAGCACGCGTTCTCGGCTTGGCCTCTGTTATCCACGGACGGGGACAGGGATTCTGGAAGCAGGATCTGCCGGCCGTTTTTGTGGCTGTCAGGGCCTCGCCTTTGGATTCCCATGGTTCCTTGGTTCGAACTTCGAAGTTTCCGCCAGAAGCATGAGGCGAATTATATTGCCGTTGTGCTGCTGCCCATGTGGGTTTGACGTCGGCACCAGTATTTTGGAATTGCCGTTCTGCGTCCAACTCCACTGAGCCACTCGCATTCCGCGATGGCGGTCGTTATGGAGTATGGACCTACCAGTGGGAGGTCAATTGAAGATTGGACCAGTTCGTTCGGACATATATGCACTGTGTAGGATGCCATTGTCTCAGACTCTCGACTGTCTGTGGTTGACTTGATAGCTCTTGGTATTTTTGGACGTGACTTCCTTGTCCTGATGGGTCGCACGGCGCCGACGAGAAACCCGACGAGTTGAATCAGTAGTCGAGTCGGTCGGAGTCTAGGCGATTTTAGTGCCAGATTCTTTTGCTGGGGGAGTGGGCTCAGAGTCTTTTTAGGCCGAGGGCTGATCGGTTGAGTTTCAAGATGTGTCAGAATTGCGATGTGCAGCGTTATTGTTTTTGAGACCACTGGACGCTAAAGTGTAGAGATGGAGGCCCATGAATAATATAGAAGGCACTGAAGCTCTAGTCTACTGTCCAGAGCTTAAGCTTTCGTGAGACTACTGAGTAACCAACCTTAAGAGCAAGAGTCGGCCAGTCGTGGCAACAAAAGCCTTCAAACGGAACCCTGGGACGGTCACGACTGGACGGTGGGCTCTGCCCTGGCCTGATCCATCCTCTCTTCTCGCCTGAGATTTTTCGACGGCAGAGTCTTCGCGATAATAATAATAATCTTCATTTTGTGTATCACACTCCCGGCCCTCAGGATCTCTACCCTTGAACGCTCAGGAATCAACCCCCAGCATCACTGAAAGAGTCTCTGCGCTGTCACTGCCCGCCAGTTGTCGCCGTCGGCCAACGACCAGCGCGCTCCACGTTTTGCCGGCTTCTGCCCACTGCTGCCCTACACTCTGCATCTGATTGCTTCCTGACCTGAGCACTGGCACTGGGCACTGGCAGTTTCTTCTCCAGGCAATAATAATAATCGCCATCTTTCCATATTATTTTCACGCCTGCCGCTTCCTGCCCGCAGCTCTCGCAGTTTCTTCTTCAACCTCGTTGCTTTTAGACCGCCACATCTTTCTGCTCTTTCTACGGTACTTGCGTATCAAGAGTCACAGCTCCATCCTCTCCATATACATTGTCCCCTAACTCTCACATCCCCGCTCTCTCGCTACCGTCTTCCTACCTTATTGACTCACTCTACTTGCATCCTCGACATGTCTCTGCTTCCCTGAATCTGTCTTGATTTGCCCTACAGCTGCCGCACGTGAGCAACGCCTTGCTGATCGACCATTTGAACTCTAAAAATACGCCAAAATCAGGATCCAGATCTAGATCGACCAAGGAGACGCGAGTAAAATACTCTATATCCACACCTCGACATGAAGCTCTCGCAGCTTCTCGAAGCCAAACGGCGCGAGAGCATCGACACCATTGGCGATCTTACGCCTCCGTCTCGCCAGCCTCCCCAATCTCCATTGACCGCATCCACCCCAGTCTCACCCGCGGTTTCTTTGTTTTCCGCCAAGGGCCATACGCGTTTCTCCAGCTCCGCGTCGTCACTGGTCTCGTCTCCTGGCCATGGAAATTCGATGGATATCACTTGTCGCAACCCCTTGACTGGTGTAAAAGAAGAGGAGCCTTACGGGTCGCAGGCGAGGGATCTCGAGGAGGAATATTTCCGTATGCTGCCCTTGTCCCCAGCCTCGTTCTGCTTTTGTTTACTCTCGCGGAACCTTGAACGTCATAAAAATCTCCGACTAACAATGGACATGCAGAACACTTTGATCAAGGGTTGTCTGTCCCTGAAGACTCATACCTATCCACAGTCAGTACTTGCGACGAGTACAGCTTCACCGATGCTGGGATGGATATGACGCACTCCCCCAAAAAGAGACGGTCCGAAAATGCCTCTGCAAACGGTCTTTCCCGCATTGGCTCGCGGATATCCACCATCTCAAACCGTTGGAAGTCCAAACGAGGATCCGACGGTACAGATGGAGAATCATTCTCACCGCAATTGCGGTCTCGGGCCAATTCTTCTGCGTCTGTATTCGCTGCCAGCCCAACTACAGCAGTCCCGGTGAGCTGGGTTGAGTCCACCCAAATTCCTCCTTCGCCCGCAAGGACGATTTTTGAGGAGCGTCTCAGCGAGTCTGGAGTGCAGCCAATTGATATCACCAAAGCAAACCGGCAAGACCACGACGAGTCTGCTCCGCAAGCAACCACTCCTTTGCTCCCGCCGTTCATGGGCGACGACCTTGAGTACCCCATTTCTATAATGCAGTCCCCGTTACAATCGCCTTCTGTTGCCGATGTCTCAAATGCCAGTCCAGATCCAAATGCACTTAGGGATCGATTAGTCAACCTCCCGTCGCCGCCACTGTCCACCAAGCCATCAATTGCTTCTTTCAACCGCCCACGAGCTAGCACGATCCGAACCGTTTCTGGAGAAGTGCCTCCACTGACCCTCTCAGATCCAAAGGACGAATGGGCGATTGAATTGGGCCATGCGAATTTCAATATTCAGCCAGAGCCATACGTCCCTGAAGTGTACGATATCGATTCGTTCCGGCAATTGCGAAGCCAGTGGGACCTAGCACAATGCAATTTTACTAAACACCTGGTTCGGACTGGAGAGCACTACGGCATTACTTCAAATATCTACCAGTTGACGCAGAAAAAGTGGGATTCGATTAACCGCGAGTGGAAGCGGCACTACGAAGCAATGCTCGCCCAGCTCGAGGCGCTGAATGGGCCGATTTTGAGCACGATAGACTCCCACCGCGATCCATGCGAACAGGTCAAGATTCCAACACTGCATGATAAGAAGTTTCCCGAATTGGGTGACGGCGAGATAGTCGGGCCTATGAAGATCGCGCCGGCGACTGGGCGATGTCGTGATCGGTCATTAAAACGGAACTTTTTTAGGTTCTTCCACGACCTGGTTTCTCGAGCCTAGGTATCTGCTCGCCTCCGACGATATCAAAATCGCCAATGTCCCCACTTCTATGGAGTATCTTTCGACAAAAACAGAACAAGTTGAGAGGCATGGATGTACAACATCTGATTCTTGCCCGCGCCTCTCAAATGCTAACGAGCGAGCGTGATGACTAATGCTTACTGTCCCATTTTATGTTTACGCCCGTGCGATTTATACAGCCAACGCATGTCCTATTCTTTACGCTATGATCTGTGATCGAATAATGATTGACGACCCCGATGCGCCGGCGACTACTGACTCGCCAGGTGCAGTCCATTCCTTAATGAAACTTGATACCATTCCCTTTGTGTCTTACCATACTACATGATTACACGATGATGATCTTCCTGCATCGTTCTGTGGTGCCGTTGCGCGTTGTGATCAATTCTGTCTTTTACACCTGTATATCGTTCATGAATCGGAAAGCAGCGAAAACGACCAGCCTCTGTCTAAGGGTTAGAAAAGTGGTGGGAACAGGACGGTTGCAAGGGTTGTGTATTGTCTCTTATCCCTGCCATGATACTCTAACGGAACGAAAGGGACTGTGGATAACTATTAAGTGGACGAGACCTTGTGGCGCCTGTACCTCTTGGTGCCGTTCCATCTCACAAGCACGGATGTATATAACAAGCATATTTATTTCTATAATGAACATGAATTACCTTGACATTTCCCAACTCATATTTCTTCAGACCAGGGCCTAGAAGGGGATTGGCGGCAGAGCAAATAGATAACTAGACCCTTGCAGGAGATCCTTAGGATGAAACCCAATAGTCTCCAAATACCAGCCTCTACTTGGTACATAGCTGCAGTACCTGGGAGCCCTGACGCAGGGGACACAAGAAAGGTCGGAGGTATCTAACCACTAGGGACGAAGCCTAGGATCCGATAAAGAGCTGTTCTGCGGGCGGTTAGCTTGTTCCATATTGCAAAGCTGCAGAGCACAACCAGAAAGAGGCCATGGCTCGAACTGAAAGTTCCTACGCACAAATATAGATACGGCTACGCTACAGCTAGACTACAGCTTGCGTAGGATCGATGCAGGCGGGAAGAGGCCCGGCACCCGGGCTGCGCAACGTTGTACAGAGGGTATTTTGGCTGCGTGGCGTCCGCATAAACTGGTTACTAGTCGGAGCCTACTATGTATGTACCGAGGTGGGGAGCTGGAAGACAGGAGCTGGGGTTTGCTACCCATAGATTAGAGTTAAGTAAGCATTGATGGATAGCTATGTAGGTATACGAAGTGAACAAGTGTTGCCAAAACGCTCTCGAATATAGCCGGTAAACCGCGCTCAGATCACAACTTCACTTCGTTGGTCCTCCCTGGGCAAGACCACCCTCATGTCCTCTCTAGTTTCACAGGGTGTACGAGAGACAGCATCGAACATAGGCAGTGTATTAATGACACAGTATTTAAATAAGCGAAACTCTATCCCACGCCGGTAGCTGCGCGGCGCACTCTGGCGTGTCCAATCGGAGCTTTATGACCAGAGTGTACAATATATGCACTTTCTAGTCGTACCTTATATCCAGTACTGCTTCCACAAGTTCTTCGCCTCGTCGTCTCCGCGGAACCGAAAGTCTACTCGAATAATATCCTGGAACCCTTCGGTAAGAGTCGGCTCTTGGAAGCGTTTCAGGAAGTCACCGAAGGCAATGCCGGGAACGAGGATGCGTGATTCGGGATTCTGTTTGAGGCCTCTGTTAGTATTGGCTTTTCTAGGACGGTGGCGGTGGCTTAATTGGCAGTGGCTTAATTGGCAGACGCGGGTAGTTTAGTAAGTAGATGCATATTAGTTATGTACCATGATGTATGGAGTGGATCGGCGGTATGAGGTACATGAAGTAGCTCAGAACACAAGTCTCAAGGCAGCACTGCACAGTACCTTGTTTGACGGATGCAAGAAAAAGGTAGAGACAAGATTAAGGGTCAACTCACAAGGCTTGTATTCGCGGCACGGACTGCATTATTATGTTTGCAAAGCGCCGGCGACGCAGAAAAGTAAACACAGCGAATCGGCACGTTGAATTCCTTTGCGACCTCTATCCAATGCGCTCTAGTGACTTGATCGGCATTTGTATTATCTGCAGGCGAGACAAGTAACGAGTCAGCATTACGTTCATGGGCAGTTGTGTTGGGAATAATATCCAATATCCGCTGCGCAGTGCTTGTTGCTTCAAGTTGGACAAGATGCAAGGGCTTTCCATTGTCGGCAAGGACTGAACTGGAGAGCAGGAGAAGGATTGAAGGTTGCAGAAGGCTCGAACGGCCTGTCTGTCTATACGTACCTACAACAACCGACCTTCTGGCTGCAAGGTGTTCTTTGGCCACTTTGATACATTTCGGCCTCTGGTTTCTCGTCAGCTATTCGCATAATTATCTCGGAAAATTAGGAATGTACAGATTTCAGAATGTCCTGATTCACGCGCTCATAGTCAAGTGGTTTGAGGTAGTCCCAGAAAAATGTAGATTTCCCAGCACCCGGGCTGCCACAGAGAATCACAAGCTCCAAAGGACGTTTCCTCAAAAACGGCGGCGAAACTGGTGCCCAGACATTGCTATCAGCATTCACATGAACCAGCAGCTCGTAAATTCGTAGCCTCACCATCATCAACAGGATCATTTTGCAGGTATACAGAGGGATCAAACGACTCAACAAGCGGCTCAGGTGCAGCACCCAGGAAGAACTCTTCCGGCGTCTGGAACGGTATGTGAGCGTTACTCGCAAACCCGCTTGATGCTGTTAGCCAGAACCGCTAACCTTCAGGAATATGACATACCGATCAACCGCAGAGTGGTCTGTTGGTCGCCCAGCAGCATCTCCGACGAATATTGATTCAGAAGAATCATATCCGGTTATATCAAGATCGTAGTCGTCAATGAACTCTCTCCACATTCCCGCCCTGGGCTTTCTATACTCGTCGTCCTCAGTAGCGGCATATACACTCAATGGAATATTGAGCTGTCTCATCACGGCCGAGACCCTCTCTTTGAAGTTGGTGAAGCTCTTCGAGTCATTTCCTTTCTTATCTTTTTTAAGGCTGATTGCCTTTTGGTTCGATATGATGGTGACACGGTAACTAAAGACTGTCAATAAAGTACCCAGTTGACGATGTGATGAGGCTTCCACCTACCCGTCTGCGTTGAGTTTTTGAAGTTTTGAAGGAACACATTGGTGCCACCATTTCCAGTCAGTAGGGCCCTTGGGGAATGTATTCCCCGAAGCTGTCGCTACTAAGGTGGAGTCCTAGGGGTAGTCAGTGGTACTGACACACTCAGGAAGCTGACAAAGGGAGCTCACGAAGTCAAAAGCAGCTATCTTCGGTCTGCTAGAGTTTTGCCTTGGAACTTCGCCTGAGCTTGACGCAAACTTTCCCACTATCAACGTGTTGTTGACTACTCTCCATGACATGCTGGTAGGCTCAGTCTTCTTTTGTGAAGCAGGCGTAAAGAACGAGGTTGCAACCGTCTCTTTATAAATTTAGCAGACAATACCAGTGAAGGAGCCAGGTATGATAAGCCGTACTCACTTTTCAGCGTAGAATCAACTTTCCTTCTGAGAGGAGGTGGTGAGATTGCTTTGGGTGACGCTGCCCGCTTCAGAGCTCCTTCCCCGGCCATCTGAAAAAATAGATTGAAGAATCAAAATCGCAGGATAGGAAGCCGCAGGTATATCCTAGGAAAGAAGTGTTAATGCCAAGTTCAGTGGCGACTGGAGAATAATACCAAAGACGATTGCCGGTTAGGGCTATGGATGAGAGGGGGAAGAATTTATAATTTTAACGTGATGAGGAGGATAAAGAGGAGCGTAGTCAGTGTTAGACTTCGAAGTTGATGGAATCCAAGATCTCAGGATGTGCTGAGAAGCAACTCAGATAGATTGACTCCAGGTACAGAGTAGAGAACGCGACGCGCGATTTGGTCACGAAGTCACATGCTCTACCAAAGTACTTTATAATGGAGTAGAGAGCAAGCGCGATTCCCCAAAATGCAAGCACTACTGTCATCAGGAGATAATAAATGACTTTGAATTAAATACTTTTCTATCATCTACATGGAGACATGCCCCGGGGTATAATAAAACGCAGATATCGTTACTTGGCACGAGTGTCTAAAGACAACCGATCAGCATGCTCGAGACGGACCGCCGACTTGAGCTGCTCTCGAAGCCCGAATAAATGCTGAGAGGCCGTCCTCATCAGCTCTTGATTACCGCCATCCTGGACTGTGATGGCAGCCTGGAGGATATAACTTCCAGTTCTTTCCAAGGGCGAGAGTTCTCGGAACGAGGGAAGCTGTCGCCGGGGTTCATGTGGTTCCTGGCCAGGATGAACCGAATATTGTAGAACACGATGCAGGAAGATTACGATGTCGTTATGAATAAACACGTCTCCTTCCACCACATACTCGGTTACAAAACTGATAGGGTTGTTAATGAACACATGCCACAATTTGCTAGCCATATAACTGGCCATAAACGAGGCACTAACCTATAACCCCAGGCATTCATGGAAGGCACAACGTCTCCCTTCGGTAGAGCAGCACTGGCCGCCAACCGAGCCGTGATGGTTGACCGAATGCCGGCTTCTGGAATGTCCCTGAATTCGAGCTTCCACGGCTGGCTGTCATAATCGTAAGAGCTGCCTGCAACTTCATCTGTCCCAGACATGGAGGCATCTTGGCTTTCAGACGATGAGGACTTTCCATCGAAATCTGCCTCTGAAACAGGACCGACAACCTGTGTATAGAACATTTGCCCGTTGAGCATCTTATTGAGACGTACGATGTCAGCGCCCTGACTAGCGCCGCCGCGCGTATTGGCTAGACCAGGCTTCCTAGTTGCCTTGAAGATCAAACGCCGTTCTAGGGAGTGGCGGGGTTGCATGGCTGTCAGGCCAGTAAGCTGCTGCAACAACTCATGATGTTGGTGCGAGGAAACCGAGGCAAATAGCAAGAGCTCGTGCATGTTGGGAAGCAATAACCAGCCAGGCCGGCTCGGATCCAATGACGGTCGCGAGATCGTAGAGGGCGATGTCGGTCGGGGTGGAAAACCGAGCGGGAAAAGCCGGGACGGAGACTATTTTCCACGGATTCCGAGTCAAGCGCAGTTGGACTTTAGAAGGGTTTGAGGGTGCCGGATTTTAGACGGATATGATTCGATCTCGGATCCGAAAATGGTCAGATTGATGTGTGCTGACTGGACCTTTGATCTTATCGCAGGAACTCCAACTATGCACCCTGCAAGATGGTGTGACTGGTTTCGGACTTTAGGCAATCCCTGCCAGCAACTCCTCCAAGCTTCGCCGTTTCGTTACCGTTTCGGCGGAGCTCTCGGAGAGTCACGTGTGATATTGGGTCGTCGGAGATGGAGCGGAGGGCCCTGGCGTCTCTGAGCCTGGAGTATGAACCTGGAGAGCAACCGGGATTCAACTTTTCAAAGGGGGGAAAGCGAGGAGAGATGCGGGGTGAAAAGCAAATGTAGCAGCGATGATCGATCCTCCACTTTGCCTCCTCACCGGTGATGCAACTTGGGTAAGGTCGCTAAGACGCGTCGAATGAGTTTCCTTTGAGCAGTTGGAGAAGGGCGTATGATCGGATACAGACTCCAGACTGAGAATTGCTCTGCACCCCGAGTCCCACCCCACCTAGACCGGTACTCGCGTTACGCAGCTGTGTAAAGTATTAGTACCGCGGATTATCACACCACCAGGCTGATAGCGCACCTGCTCGAACTTATCAAGCCCTCTCCTCCCTCGCTTCCGCTCCTCTTTTCCTCTACATCCCCTCTCACGCTTCCTCGTCCACTGTCTCTCGCCTTCACCCCCCTTCTATCTGCTGTAAATATAACAATTGCTTCTGCCTTTATCCATATCAATCTCTCTACCGCTCTCGAGTCAAATTCCACATCAATCCGGTTAATCCAACTTTTCAATCCAACTACATTCAAAATGCGTGCCACCATTGCTCTCCGAAATGCTGTCCGCACCCCTCTCATTCGCTTTGTCGGCAAGCGCTCTGTTCCTCGTATGTACTCTGGCAAAACTATCGTGACGGTAGCAGCCGCTAACCTGCGATAGATTCCGTTGACCACACTCCCCGTCCTCACCCGGCCTCCCCCACCGGTGTCCTTCCCGACTCTTTCGCCGCCTACCGGGCCAAAGCCCAACAACACGGTCCCCTTGGCCGTGCGTCCTTCACCCAGGGCTCCGTCGGTCGCACCCCCGGAGCTGCTCTCGGTCCCGTCCAACCCAAGCAGGGCGAGTTCTTCGACCGCGCCGAGCTTCCCAGTCGCTTCCACCGTACCCCCTACACTGAGGCTGAGATTGAAGCCATTGAGACTGGCGGTGCCAGTCTATATGTTTGATTCTGCGAATTATCTTTGACGGAATGATTCAACGATGATGACCAAAACGAGACCGTGGACAAGTGGCACGCCTGAGATGCGAGGGGGCCGCTACACGGACCATGGTCGCTTCGCGACCACGAAAGATACTGAAGGCTGAAACCCATTCCCAGCGAATGCGCGCCTCAGTGCTACATCCAGGCCCGGCTTGACCGTGGCTTGCGCGTTCATTACTACCGAACTTTGTGTTTACGGCGCAGGTGGTTTGCTAGTCTTCGTGCTTAGCGGTTATTTTACTTTTCTGGCGCGCATTATGCGGGATATTTCTTTTTGATATCAGGTTATCAAGGTCATAGATGGCTTTAAAAAGTCTGGAATGGAGCTAGTCTCACATTCATGTCAATTTCTAGGTCAGCAATTGATGTTTGACTGAACCACTCACAGCTCGTTCCATACGTAGGCATATAGGAGACATGCAATTGACATTTGTCATCAGAATGCGCCGATTCGAATCTCATAGTACCGTATGGATGCCAGGATATCTATTCCGGAGCTTAATTGCAAGTTACATGCTTACTCGCGCCCACGTGCGTCCGCCCAATCATCAATGCTCATCTGTGCCTAAGCGCCGCGGAGCTTCGCGTTAACATCACCAACCACCTGGCAGGTCCTCAAAGTTCGTTTGTCCCATTGGTACCTCGAGGACACGTGGGCATGTATTTATGAACAAATTTTGTTCGACTGCCGCATGCATATATCAAGGTCATGAGTATGGCTCCTGCCAGCGAGAGAACGATTACCTTCACTGAGGTCAACAAGCTTAACAAGCCAACATTGACCTATATCTACTCCTTACCGTCGTCAGACGTCACGCCCCTTACAATTGGATCGGAGAAGGGTACCACAGGCCGTCTAGATATAGCAGTACGTCTCAGATGATTGATTCTTTGCGCGACGAACTCGGACTGACGAGATATTAGCATACTTCGTCTCCTTCAACATCATGGTCTCTGAGCTCGTTGCGGAGCTTCCTGGTCAATGTTTTTCTTCCTGCTGGGTATCCGACCAGTGTTAGCGACGACTATACCCCGTGAGTCTCTCAAGTCGTTCTGATGTGCATTCGCGGTACTAATACAGCCAGATATCAAATATTCGTAAGCTGAACTCTGCCATGCATGCACCATGCATTACTCATCCCCAAGGACTCTCTCCAAGCATTTAGTAGTTCCATCGCCGGCCTTCTAGCATCCCGAGCAGTACTGCAAGGTCAGCACAGTGCCCATGTTCATACGCACTGCATGAAGCCCAGCTAAATCACCCACCCATCCAGGCGTCGGAGTCGGCAACGCAGACGCATCACCAACATCCGCTCTCCTCCTGCACATCCTGCAAGATACGTCCGGCCGGATCGCGACCATTCTCTTCGCCCACCGTGTGGGAACAGCCTTAGAGCCGGAATGCAAAATGTACCGCTTTGCGGCGGACATCTTCAACGATCTCGCCATGGTGCTCGACTGTCTTTCGCCGATGATACCGGCTGGTCTGTGTAGGGTGACTGTCCTTAGTGCCGCCGGTGTGTTGAGAGCGCTTTGTGGTGTTGCCGGAGGAAGCTCGAAGGCCAGTCTGGGTGCGCATTTTGCGCTGTGGGGGAATCTGGCGGAGGTTAATGCGGTATGTCCCCAGCCTTCAAGGTGAATCGGTATCAGACGCTGCTGAGCAAAAACAGTTAATGGTTGCTTCTTGGCGGATACATAGAAAGACTCCTCCCAGGAAACAGTCATTTCACTCATTGGGATGCTCGTCGGGTCCCTCGTCGTCTCCCATATCACTGGCTTCACGGCAACATGGCTTACCCTTATACTCCTGCTAACCATGCACTTATCCCTCAACTACGCTGCCGTTCGGTCCGTCCAAATGACGACGCTGAATAGACAGCGAGCCAACATCATCTTTTCGTCACTGCTCTCCTCAGACCCTGACTTCGCGGACTTTGTCTCAAACCCTAACCATCAAGATGAGCGGTCCTTGCAGCAAAAGCATATAGGGAGACAAGTAAAACCCCTAACCCCAGCCCAAGTCGCCAAGCAAGAACGGATCTTCGATGCTGGCAGTGCGCTGAAGTGGTACCCTTCCTTTTCTTCCTCATCAGCAGAGCAACCACAAGTACTGGGATCATGCGAGATTGGCGTCTCAGTACGGCAGTTCTTCTCCCAGTCATCTCATACTACCAGTCGAGGGCCCAACTCGCTGAAGACGAACCTCCCACTACGAGAAATAACGGCTCTCTTTGAAGGGGAGGCGTATATCCTTTCCCTTACGCCGGCTTCTACCAACATATCAGCTACTGTCATCCTCAAACAACGCAATCCCACCGCCGACACTGATCGCTCAGATTCAGACCCCAAAACCAACCCGCAACTTAAGGCATGGATGCACGCCCTCCTCGCCGCAAAGATTTTATCCTTAACCTCCGCCTCGACCTCGATCTCGACACCGGTCTCTGGTGACGATAACCCAACCCCAGTACAGGTGGACCATGTCCTACAAGTTGTCTCCCGCACACTGGACTACTTAAACGGCCATGGTCGGTTCCAGGCGTATATTGACTCTCTGAGGGAGACCGGGTGGGAAGTTAATGGTGATGGTGAGGGCGGTGGCTCTGCATTGGAGACGAGGGTTGTGGGGAGAGTGGTTGTCTCTTCTCTTTCCTGATGCTCTTCTCAGTGTGTCGCAAGGTACATCCATAGGGTTTGAAACCAGGAGAGGGCGATGGAATGTTAGATGGGCGAAGACACGATCTTATTGGTCGTACTTCTTGCATGTCCAGACACCACATGGTATGTGACGAAGTTTAATACTTGAAGGGAGACGCTACGAATTGAACAAGAAAGGTAGAAGTTATAGTGCTGCAGTAATCACACATTGGGTATCTAGACAATTATACCAATAAATGCCATGCCAATGCCAATGCCAGGTCATGTCGTTTAAAACACACAGAAGAATGGTGTATGCTAGGTATAGAAACAAATGCAATCAAGACCCGCCTTCAGGTGACATGAGGATTCAAGGCCGGTGTCATGGATTTTGCCTGCCATGCACGATGCATCAAATGGATCGAATCGACCATCTTTTGAAACAAAACTGAAAAACCAACGCCAGGCAAAATGCCTCCCATTCCATGTGGACCGTCTATCTATTCTTTTGCAAAACCGAATGCTCGCTCACTCGCTGAGAATAACGCCTGATAAAAATGCTTCCGTGTGAAAATGCCCGTGCGTTATGCCGTCCATTCGTATCGGTTCAGACATGGTCCTTTTTCAGGACCAAAGAGAAATCATGGGTAGGGGGTCGTGGTACGAAATCGGTCGTAACGTTCTATAAGTTGGAGAATTTTGAAGCGAAGATGTGGTGATAAGGCCAGAAAAGCGTAAGACAGCGTCTAGTCATTCATCGTGGGGAAATCGCATGCTTTGACTGCCGCCGCCCCGTTTTTTGAAGCCGAGCTTCATACCCATTTTCTTCCAAGGGTTGTCGACACGGTTCTTAGGACTGCTAGCCTGCATGCTCGGCTCGCTAGAAGGAGGTGTCGTCGGGGGGGTCATTGGCTCCCCAGTACTCGACTGCAAACTGCCGGAGTCGTCGGACAAACCGGCTGGCGCGGATTCACCACTTGTACTGGACGGCTGGGTGGACGATCGGTGAGAGGATTTACCGAGAGAAGAGACAGCGTTGAGGGAGAAGCTCGAGCGGGAGAGGCTGGAAGGCGGGCTTGTAGAGATCGGGGATCCTAATTCCCTCGACTGCCGGGGCGAAAGGCGTCCACCTTTCGATCGAACTCGTTTGACCGCGTGCTCGTCGAGACTCGGGTTGGATACGATCGTGACACCGCTGTCATCGTGGGAAAACAGAGGTTCCGAGAGTGGGAAAACGTGGGCGGAGGATGAGTGGGCGTTCAGGAACGGCATGAAGATCGATTCCTCCATCAAATCATGAACCAGTTTAACCGCCGCGTCGAGCATCGAGGGGGGTGGAGGAATAGACGCGTTGGCATGTTGAAGGATATCATCACGGACCTCACTCGAGACATTGATTTCACGCGGGGACCCGGGGAGAATATATGCAGACAAGAGTCGTTGCCAGAGCATACGCAGATGTCGGCTCTCTGAGCAATCAGCCTCAATCGGAAACTCTCCTAATTGGCGACTAAGTTCTTCATATGTTTCCCGGTACCGCTTTGCATCCAATGTGAACTCCAACGTCTCGAGGCAGTGATTCTGTGAAAGGTAGGCCATGAAGGCACCGAGGGTATAAGGAGCAGGTGCTGTATTCGCGAGCACCTCATCGAGAGTCGGTCGCATGGGACAGAAAGTGCCCTGAGGAATAGCCAGACTTAGCGGGCGTGAACCAGCAGGGTCCATGTCCTCGTCCGACTCGCTATCCGATGAGGACGAGGTCGGAGAGAGTTCCGGTGTGGAAGTAGGGGTGCTGTGCCAGAAGAGTAGAGGGGGGTGTATAGACTTCTTCAGCATCGCGCTTAGCGGTCGTCCCCTTGTTTGAATATATTTTAAGAGTGAAATTATTGCACTCTGCCCTTTACCCGAGACAAGGGAGTGTGAGCCTGTCTCGCCGGAAGTGTTGAGAGGGAAAGACACGTCGACGTGCTGGTATTCTGGATTCAGGATTCAAATGCGAGAAGCCGAGAAGGAGGCGAAGATGTGTGACTTGGGCCTTGTGATGATTCGAATCGAAATCGAAGCGACGAGGACTGGAGGATAAGGCGGGCGGTTAGTGAGAAAGAGAGCAATGCCGTGAGAGATGGATCATTGGTGGGATAAGCGCATCCCAAAGGTTATACAGCTAAAGCAGGAGAAAAGAAAGATAAGAATAATAAAGAAGGCTATTGATGACAACAAACAGAGAGGGAGAGAAGCACTGGTGAGGGGAGGGAGAGTGGGCGAGGCATATATGAGAAGTCAGAGCAGAGGGAGAGAGTGGACCAACACTGGACTACTTGGGACTCTGGGAGATGTGAT